CAACCCCAACCCCAACCCCAACCCCAACCCCAACCCCAACCCCAACCCCAACCCCAACCCCAACCCCAACCCCAACCCCAAGAAACAAACTGAAAGATTAAAAAATTAATTTTTTTTAAATAAATCTTATCTTCATATACTTTATATTTAATGTCATAGAGTAATTCAAATAATATTTATTATAGATACTAAAAACTTAAATTCTTGAATATTTTCACATAAAATTTGAAATAAAAAAATAGTTAAATATTAAAATTTACTATTTTTCATTTTTTTATTTATTGAAAAGAATTTAAACTAATTTTTATTTATTTTGGAAAATAGTTATATATTTTTTATCAAAAAGACAACAAAATTTTTAATTTATAACAAATAAATCAGATTTATTTAAATTAAGAATTTATACTCTTTGCTTGTAAGTTCAAAAGTGAAATGAATTAGAAAAAAACTAATAAATAAATAAAATAAATTTAACTAAAAAATGTATGTTATTATTTGTTTATATCTTTTTTATATTAAATAGATTTAAATTTAATCAATTTTTATTTTCTTAGTTTTAACTTAAATCGGTCAGTTAAGCGCTTTATTGCTAATTGACCTTAGTTTTGTATTTAGATATAAATTATTCAAACTATTCTTTGGAGATTTGTTTATCTGGAGTAGTGCAACTTTAAATTTCTTTAATGCTGCTCATATCTTATTTAATATTTTAAACCTATTTGATCATGTATTCTTTGAATTCGTTTTTGGACATTGAGTTTTAATTATCATCATTTTCCAAATTTTCGTTATCTTTAATGTCTTTTTATTTTGGAGTATTTTCATTTTTATCTTACTGTTATTCTTATTCTTACTCCAACTATTCAGACTTTTATTAATTATTCTAAGTATTATGATTATTTAAATGTTCATTCTAATTTTCTTACTTTTTAGCTAATAACTTGTTTGGGGTTTGTGATGGCTCTCTTTTTGAAGGAGAAAAGGGAGTAACCCTACCTTTTGTATCTGAATAGTTAATTTAAATACTTTTCTTATTACTAATTTCAAATTAATTGGATTTGTTACTGCTTGCAGATGCAGAGGAGAATGTATTCCCTTTAACTTGATTAATTTCTTAATTTTTAGAATCATTTAGTTTATTATTTTTCTTCGTATTTTATAGAGAAGTTATTTTATTTTGATTAAACTTATTAAATGGTTGCTTAGCTTGAGAGAGAGAGTGGTTTTCTTTTGAATTTGATGATAAAGGAGTAGTTGATTTAAGGCTATTTTTGGTTTATAAATTTTAAATTTATATCATATTTTGATTTAACTTTTAAAGAATCGATTGATTATCAATATAACTATCATTTTAGTTGCTAATTTGATTTTAATGTGAAGCATTAGTGCTTGAATAATTGTTATGATTTGATTCTACACTCTGACATCTTTTTTATTAAAACAGTTGCTTATCATATTAAGTGTAAGTATCATTCACAGCATATACAGCTAGCTTAGGTCTTTTACCATTCTATAGTTTAGTTGGTATGATTGGTGATTTCAGAAGATAGTTGCTTATGCTCTAAGTGTGATTTGTAACACTCGAGTTTTAATAAGAAATATGAGAATTATTTAACATACTTTTAGGAGATTTTTCATTCTAATCATTTATTTTAGTCTAAGAAGCAGACATGAGTAATTTATATTGCTAAATTTATTATTCTTGCTTCTAGATTAGTAAAAGCTTTTACTATTAAAGTTCTTTTTATTTTGCCAGTTTCATTTACACTTCCTAAGCTTACTTTTTAGCTAATTCAAGTTATTATTTCTTAATTAATTACTTTCTTTATACCAGTTACTTTTTTCTCTCATCTAAACTTTTATTATTTTCTATTTATTGGGTTGAACTATTTTGTTTTAAATTTTTATCTTCTTAAAGCATATTTTATCTATCTATTTAATGACTGTTAGCTTAAATACCATCTTAATTTTTATTTATTTAGCTGCTAGTTTAATAAGCAGTTTTATTTTAAATAGGTCTATTTGAAGGTTTAAACTAATCGTTTTCAAAATTTTACTTTTAGTAGTAAGGATCTGGAGTTTTACATTTATTGTATTCATTTTTAACATAATATTATGGAAGTCCATTCTAGCCATTTTATGCACTTTTAACATATGTTCTATTGCTATTAGGTTGAAATCTATCAGATATTACTCCAGAAAGATAAGTTTGCTAGTAAATGCTTTGTTATACTAATTATTTTTAACTTGAATTAAACCTTTTAACCCTTCTTCTATCCCTAGGCGAGTCATAAGATTTTAGTAGATCCTAATAAAAAAATAATTTAAATTGAGTAAATTTGATTTTTTTATATAAACATTGTTAAGATCAACGATCTTTCAATTCCATTGTTATTAGCTTCATTATTGTGAATGAAATAGTAGAAATAAATAAAGAACAGATGATAAAATGCTAAAATAAAATTAACAAAAAAATCTCACAATAATTTTATTAATCAATGAAATTTATTTTATATTTTTACCCAAAATTTCAAAAGTTAAATTCTATCTATCAAGCATTTTGATACTTAAGTAAAAATAGAATAACAATGTAAAGATATAAATAAAAATTTAGTATTCAAAGAGTGGCATGAAAACTGAAAACAGATGGTAGAAGGTCTAAATAAATGTTCAACAGTTTAAATAATATCTGAATGAAAAATATTTGTGTTTAAATTTTATTTATATATTTTTACTTTCTTGATTTCTATGTCATCTTAGAGAGTTTCTATTTTTATATCTTAGTCATTATGATTTGTAAATTAGTAGTTCGAATGTTCATCTTTGTTAGAGTCAAAGAATCTATTTAGTTCATCTTTATACAGCTAATTCTGTAATAGTTAAATTTATAACAATAATTAATTAGAGTAATTTAAGTCAAATATTAAAGATTAGTATGTATTACATCTGATAAATTTAATTTAAAAGGTAGAGCAACGTTGTGAGTTGGATTATGCTGAGATTCTTTGCAGCTATTGAGCTTAACAAAATATTTATCAAGTATTCTGCCTTCCTTATCAACCTTATTAAAACAATATAAGTTTAATTTGTGTTGTTTACATTTTTAAAATGATTTATTTATTTACTAATTGATTTTATTTTATTTGTTTTCTCACATTCTTATTCAAGAAAAAGCCCTTTAAATGATCGTCTGTAAGAGGATTATATGATAATTTATTAGTTTTACCTACATTTGTATCAATAACGAAAGGTCTTTCTGTACCTATATTAATAGGAACCTTATTTCTATTAAATAAAATGATAAATAATTAGGTAAATCTACAAGTTTAATTGAAAAATGTGTTCAATAATTCAAACTAAAAATGTTGAATTACATTTTAAAGTTCTTTTGTTTTTTATTTTCTTTTTTGTTTTGAGGACCTTCTAACTAGCTTATTGAATACTTATTGTTTCCTTGATGATTTCTACCCATTTAGGATGCATATTTTCTTTAGCCATCTTCCTTGCTATTTTCGAGTAATTCAATGTATTACTCCTCATCTTAGTAATAATCTGATTATCCATACTTATCCCCAGCATGCTAATTATAGTTTGTCTCTTAAGTTGTAACAAATTCAGCCTAATTTGTAGGCGAAGTATCCATATTAAACATTTCTATTGCTTAAAAAACTATAATTCTAAGTTAGTTTTATGAATTTTTAAGTATAAGTTATTATTTACATATAAAAAATTAATGTAAAGCAAATTAAATGAAATTTCACTTATTAATTAAATAAATAATATAGTAATTAAATAAATTTATTCAACACTACAAACTATTGGTTTTTATTTGTTTTCATTAGTTTCTAATTTATTTATAATTCGATGGACTATAAATAAAGAATAAACAAGCAAACTATTCATTTAATAGTATTTGCAATCCTAATTTTATCAAAACAATCTTGCTTAATCATAGTAAAAAATTTATACTTTCAATCTGAAAATTAATTTTACAATCAATCAATCAACCATTTATTTATTTATTATTTTTTCATTTAATAATATAACAATTCTTGAAAATAAATAGTAGAATTGATTGATTGATTTTTTTGTTAATAATTAGTTGAGAAATAGATATTTTAAACCCCCTTTGAAATAAATAAAGTAATAAAATAAACAAATATTATTGATTGATTACAAAATAAATAAATGTTTTTTTTGAATTTAGTTTATTTGAAATGAAAGTGTGTTTTTATAGGTAGAATAATTGAGTAAAAAGTCGACAAACATCAAAGAGACATAATTATGCATAAATAACTGATAACCAAAGATTAACTTAATATATTTGTTTATATGAGATTGAAACCTATTAATTATATCAGTTAACTTTGATAAAATACAATAATCTCTTAAGAAAGTGTCAGAATTAAAACTCGTTTTTAGTTAAAATGAGCTACTTACTTATAATTTGCTAAGCTTAAGTAATCACAAATATTTATCACTATGACCTCTGTTTTTAACGAAATCGAACTTCTTAGATTTGAGTTATTCGGCAGTAGATGCTTCGAGGAACTCAGCGAAAGCAGCAGGGTTCTTTTAGCAGGTAACGTATTAATTAATCCATGTTTTACAGTTATACAAATTGCCATCAGACTTGAACATGCATTCACGAGAATCGTTGAAAGAACTCAAACAAATAGGATCCATCTTTTCACTTAATTTAAAATAATTTTATGGAGAGTGCAAACAAAATATTTTATTTAAATGATTTTAAATAATTGAAGTAAATGATCGAGCGAGTGATAAACCCACCCAATTCAAACAAACAAACCAACTATTCAAAGATCAAAAATTTATTAGATTTATTTCAAAGTGTATATATTTATTTATTTATTATGTTTTTGTATGTGTGTGAGATATACACACATTAAAACAGACAATTATATAAAGAGATAGCCTAGATGTATCTTTTGCATTTAAACGCAGTAAATAAAATCAATTAAATCCCCATTCTAAATATTGAAATTAGCACTTTATATTTACTTAAGTATCCTTATACAATATTTGATTTTTATTTTCTAATACATTGTTTTTAAGTTTATCATTCATTCAATCATTCATTCATTTATTATTGAAAATAAAGGCTATTCTTAAAATGTCGCTAACAAAACTAAGCTTAAAATCTAAATTTATTTGAAATTTAAGTTAATTCAGTGATATTTTAATTACGCTTCTTTGTAACATGAAAGGACTTCTTTGGCTTAAGCTTTACAATGAATGGGATCCTTGGGAAGAGGAGTATCAGTTTATCTACAATCCTCGAAATTGTAAACTTGCTCTCTGCAAACATCAAATGCATATTAAGAATGGATCAAAACCTTTTTATTTTTTGTAAAAATTTAACTTAATGCTCACGCAGTCTACTTTTATTGCTAAATAATGCCCATAAGCTTTTTATTTATATTTTAATAATTTAAAACTATTATTAGTATTTATTACTTCGAATGATTTTGTATTCATCTTACTTATCCTCTTTAAAATCTAATTAGCTTTTTTTAATAATCTTTATTTTTTTCTTTATTTATCTATCTATCTATCAAACTAATCTTTTTCCTTTTCTTTCTCCTTTCTAATTGCATTAAAAAATACTGAGACATATTCTTAACACTAAATAAAAATATTGCTTTCATTCATATATACATACAAACATTCATAAATATCATTCTAATAAATAAGCCCCACTTTATTATTGTATTTTAGCTACTTAAAATACTATACAAAGATATATATGTTTATTAGCATATTCAACACATTCTTTATCAAATTAAGTATGCTCATTAAATAATATTCATTTCATAATTGCTATCATTAAACTATTAAATATATATTCATTATTTCTTTAATAAATATTCAATAAAATATAATAAATCTTTGCATGAAATCTTTTCATTTTATTCATTTAAATATTTTTTATTGATTTAAGATAAGATATTCTTAAATAATCAGCAGCCAGTTTTAATTAAATTATTTTTTAATTAAAAAAAATATTATTAAAATTTAGAATCTTTTTTTATAATTTTATATTTTAGATTTATTTTTTATTTTTAAATTTTTAAATTAAATATTTTTTTTTTTTAAGCTTTTTGTTTTTGATTAAAATATTTAAAAAAATGATTTTATTTTTATAAAAACTCTTTATTTTTTTTAATGAGTTAATACTTTTGTTAATTTAGAAGCAAAAATACTTTAAAATTCAACTTGCAAATAAATTAACTTAAACAAAGTTGATGTAAAAAAATAAAAGTTGATTTTGATAATTATCATATTAACTTTTATATTAATTTTAAAACTTCAGATTGGGATCTGATTATTATTAATTAATTAGTTGTTAATAAGTATCTTCCGCTCAAAATATTTTCTGATATTAATTAAATTAAAAAATAAAATCAGATATTTTTTATCAGGTCTAGCAATAAAAAAAATGAGTACTGAAGAATAAGAAAGTAAATTTAATATTTCATTTTCTTTAGGTTAATTTTAAGATTTAGAAGTAATCTAGGAATAGCCTATACTTGCAGAGTAAGCTCCTAAAGAAAAAGTTGACAATTACAAAGTTTTGGTAAAATTTATTTAAATTTGGTAGAATTGAAACATATAAAATGAATGTTAAAGGACTGGGCTGTTGAACCACTCAAAGATCTACGCTAAGGAAAAGAACAAAGAAAATAAAGTGTTAAATAAGTAGAATTTGATAAAGGAAGACAACAAGTCTTAATCACCCTAGAGCAAGATGAAAACCATCCTAATGAGCTTTAGATATAACTTACTATTTTTGAAAATGGAATTCTTTACTTTAAAGCTAAAAATTAAAGTAATACTTGGGATTTCTAATTAGATGATGTTGTAGGTCCCTTACCATTACTAAATGAAAATATTGATAATATCGAATTAGTAGATAATGGATGCCATTATCATCTCCAAGTTTTAAATGCAAACTTAAATCTAAAAATAAATAAATCTCCATTCCAATTGTCATTTTCTTAGAATAACCATAACTTCCTTGAAATGAACTCACTTTTCTGTGATGGAGTAGTATCTTCTCACACTCATTTATTCTCTTCTAATCTCTATGGCATACCTGAGCATCCCGATCACTTTAATTTAGTTGATACTTCCAACGATAAGCCATACCGTCTTTATAATCTTGACAGGTTTTTCACTAAAAATTTATTAAAAGAATTATTCTTTATTATAAAAAATAATTAAAAAGATACTTATGGCCTATCCATTCTAAAGGAAGTTTATATGGAACTGCTCCTATCCTTATTAGTCATAACGAAAATATAACAACAGGATATTTCTGGAGGAACTGTACAGAAACATATGTTGATATTTAAAAGTTGGAGCAAACAAGCAACGTGAATTGGCTTAGTGAAAATGGTGAATTCGAGTTAGTTGTATTTGCAGATTAGTGTATTGAAAAATTCTACAAGAAGCTTGCTGACACTATAGGATATTCTGTTTTTCCTTAGTTATTTGCACTTGGATATTAACACTGCAGATATTCATTTAAGGATTAAAAAGATGTAGATTATGTTGATACAAACTTTGATGAGTTAGGTAATTAATTATGAGCAAAATATTAATAAAATCCAATTTTACTTAATAAGTAATATAAATAAATATATATATATATTTATATAAAAGGTATACCTTACGATGTAATTTATTTAGATATTGATCATTGTTACAAAAAGAGATACTTCTCTTTTGATAAAGAGCTATATCCTGATGTAGATTTGATGGTGAGAAAGTTAGAAGGTAAAGGAAGAAAAATAGTTACAATTGTTGATCCTCATGTCTTAATTGATGAGGAATACTATGTTTATACAGAAAGCAAAGGCTAATAAGACTTTTTTATAAAGAATCCAGATCAAACTGACTTTGTTGGTAAATGCTGGCCAGGTGACTGTAATTGGTTAGACTTTTTGAATGAAGATGTCAGAAAATATTGGGCAAGTTTATACTCATATTCCAAATATAAACACTCAACATCTAACTTTTATACATGGAACGATATGAATGAACCAGCTGTTTTCAAGGGTATTGAAGAAACTATGATTAAAGATAATATTCACACTGTTAAGAACAAAGTTAAAAACTACTAAGTCCCTCACACATTTGGCCATAACCTATATGGACTCACCTAAGCTATGGTAAAAAAGATTTTTTATAAGGAAATAACTTAATTTTAAATTCTTTGAATACAATAGGCTAGTTTCTAGGGTTTGGCGTAGAGAGAAAAAGAAAATGATTAAAAGAGACCATTGGTGCTCACTCGTTCATGGTGGGTTGGCTCTCAAAAATATGCTGCAATTTGGACAGCAGACAGTGAAGCAAAGTGGGAATACTTAACGATCCACACTCCTATGTTATTGACATTCAGCACAGTTGGTTTTCCTTATTGCGGAGCTGATGTAGGAGGGTAAAATATTGTTTTAATTTTTAACAATAAATAATTTTCAATAATAATTTTATTTTAAAAGTTTTGAAGGTAACCCTCCTGAAGATTTGCACATAAGATGGTATTAAGTTGGTGCCTTTTAGCCTTTCTTTAGAGGTCATAGCTCTACTTTTTGTGATAGAAGAGAACCTTGGTTGTATAGTAAGGAAACTTGTTAAAATATAAGAAAAGCCATCAGAACTAGATATGAATTCCTACCTGTTTGGTACAGTGAATTTTTCCGTCATTAAAGAACTGGTCTACCAGTGATGAGAGCTCTTTGGTAAAACTATCCTAGTCGTACAGATTTGTTTAATGAAGAGTAGGTTTATATGATTGGAAAAGATGTTTTAGTTGCTCCTATTGTAAGAAAGGAATAAACTTCAGTTAATTTAAAGGGACTTGAAGGTAGATGGTATGATTACAATAACAACTATGCTATTACTGATACTTCTAAAGATATCGAAAACATCCCTCTTGATATAATCCCTGTTTTCTTCAGAGGAGGTGCCATAGTATTGCTCTATTAGATCCTTCAAAATGAGTAACATTATAGCTTTTAAATATTTGTTCATTTAATTACTTTATAAGTTTTATTAAATTTATTTTCTATTAATAATTAATCAATTAATATTTATTTTTTATATATTAATTATATAGAACAACTTATAGATCTAGCGAAGACATTAGATAAAAATGCCCTCTTTAATTAATCATTTGCTTAAATGAGTAATAAGAGGCTCATGGTAACTTCTATATGGATGATGGTTAAACATTTAAATACTCAAAAGTAACAAAATATTTTTAACTAATTCAAGTTTTTATTTATTTATTTTATTATTTTTTAAAGAGCGGATAATTTTGCGTTAGCAATTTAAGCTACAAGGATAAGTAATTGCATTTAGATGTAGAATCTAAATTATAAGACTAATACTGGATGACTGAAGTCAACTAGGTAGTTTTATGCGGTTTAAATAATCTCAATGAGTTATAACTAAGCGAAAATATGACTATTGAAGGAGACACTTTAAAGATTACAGGATTATCAATTAACCTTAATAAATCCAACAGTTTCCATCTTTTCTGATGATTTATTCTGGTGAATTTTAAAATATATTTCTAGACATGAAAATTAACAGTTATTATTCGATACTTTTATGAAATAAGTTTATTTTTATGTTTTTAAAGTAATCAATTAAATAATAAAGAAATAAATAGATATAAAAATGATTAATCTTTTGGAAAATAATATAATTTTAAGCATACATTTATAAACGAATTTGTATTTTATTTAAATAATAATTCTAGTTGAGAGAATGAAGAGCATTTATTTAGTAAGCTCATAAACTTACTTTTAAATTTGCATTAAAATAATTAATATTTATTTCTATCAAGTATTAATTTAAGATTTATATATTATTATTTTTGTAAACAAAATCAATACATAAGTTAAGCTGCTAATAAATAAATGAGTGGGATATAGGATGATAAGAAAATAGAAGAAGAGGATGATTATGAAGATTAGGAATCAATAAAATTATTATCAAAAGCAAACAAAATACTTAGCGAAAAACAAGTTTCGGATGAGAGCTTCAAGTTTTTCACTTAGATAAGCACTGAAGTTTTGATGAAAATTGCAAATCAGCTATCTAAGGAGAAGGCAGAAAAATTAATGAATTACTTATCAAAGTAAAAAATTTCTAAAAAAGAGGAAAAATTATTAAAAGAATAAAGTAAAAATAATGGGAAATAATCTTTGAATTCTCAGCAAAATGAAAAAACATAATTTTTCAATCCTTCTGCACCTGTTTGGACTGAAGACAAATCATAAAATCAAGATTAAAATGATAACAATCCTATTATACTGAATTAGCTTTTAAGAGAACATGAAGATTAGCAGAATATAAAAAGTGGAAGAAAAGATAAAAAATTTAGGATGGATCCTTCTTAGTATAAATTTGAAGAATTGGCAAAGTATCATGAAAAATCTAACCCCTTTTTCCCTTTTTATAGCATTGTATCAAAGATTATGTATAGTTATGGTGATTTACTTTAGAATGATGAATCAGCTGTGCAAATGATGCACTCCTAAATTGAAGAAATTCTCAAAGCAATATTTGATAAGAAATTAATGCAGAAACTAGTTAAGTATAGCAAATAGAATTCATAAAATTTATATGATTTGGAAGATGAAAGTATTACTTCTAAAGATAAATTTGTATTTCCTAAGGCAACCAAAACTATAAAGCGATGTTTTAATTAGTATTTCTAGACTATTTTTGCTGAATAATTTAAAATTTATCAACGATTTAGAGAGACATATTAAGGAATTAAAGAAGAAGGAGGATTTTACAAAAATAATAAAAAGGGCAGTGGCTAGAATGATTCTGAAAGTAGTGGGGATAGCAGTGGAGACGAAAATGACTAAATGGAATATGAAGAAGATTAAGCTGAGGATCATTAATTAAGAGAAATGAAAGAACATTTCGATAGAGATGACGAAGAAGAAAATAACAATTAATCAAATTAAAATTCTCGTAAATTAGAAGAAAGTTCTTTATCAAGTAGTAAAATCAATAAGAAAACTGAAGTTACTTAGAAAAAAGATATTCTATTATTTGATGACAACTAAGAAGAAGATGATGAAGAGGAAGAAGCATAAGATGGACTTGAAGATAATTAAGAAGATATTTAAGACACTTTAGATACATTAAATTAGATTGAAAAAATTGCTAGCTTAGATGAGGAACATAAAAAAGACGAAGTTATTTTACCATAAAATAAGCCTTAAAATGTAGGTTAAACAGCTACAACAAGCAATTCTTTAAATAATAATGGCATTTTGAAAGAGTAAAATGGCGAAAATTCATTTTCTCACTTCGGAGATAAGTTATAAATAAATGAAGAAGATAGGATTAGATTTAATAAAGAAAGAACTGATGAGATGAGTAATGAGGAATGGAATTATTTTATGAATGTTAGATGTACAACATTTACTTCTAATGGAAACAGAAAGCTCTTTGTGGATTTTCTGAATATAAATAAATATAACAATTAGTTTTCTGAGTGCTTAAATGTTTTTGTCCCATTTTTGAGTTATTGTTTATGCAAAATTATTGGCTTAGTGGTTGAGTAAATTTTGAGATCAAGAGAGAATGGTTATTTAAAATAAGCAACTCATTTTGTCACTGAAAGAGAAGTTTAAGTCTTTGGTAATTCAATCATAGAAAGATACATAAATAGAGCTAAGAGATATATTTTGAGCAAAGAAAAATTGATCAAAGCAGCCTTTTAACAATTTACTGAGGAGTTTTTGAAATTTGGATATGACAAAATTCTCTGTTAAGAAAAACCAGTTGCTCCAAAAAATCAAAAGAAAGGTTCAGTTTAGAAAATTGAAGGCTCAAAAACAAATGAAAAGGAGGAGAAATAAATTTAGTAAGATGAACAAAATATCAGAGAGTAATGGAAAGGAATGAAAAATGCATACAAAAAGATGTGGGTTGAGAGAGTAATATCTGAAAAGCAAATAAAAAAAGTTATTGAAGAAAAGACATAAAACAAAGAGCAAAGATAAGCCTTACAAGATTTGCTAAGAATGGACTCATAATAAATTTAATTCATAAATAAATATGCTAGCTACTTATATGAAAGAGTGCTAGAGGATATGCAGAAGAATTGGCTGCAAATAAATTATGCATAACATTTTAAAAATTGGTTTTTAAACAATGATTGTCAACGCACAGGCCAAATTAAAAAGGCTGTAATTAACAACCTTCAGAATCAAACTAAAGACCAAAAAAGAAAAATGATGAAATTCGAAAGTATTTTGGATTGAAAAGCTTAAACTATGTTTTACCTAAATAAATGCGGTTCTTTTTTTTAAATTATTTCATATAAAATCTTAACATATTTATTAATTTATCTACTATTTTAACACAATTAAAATATCAAAAATAAATAAATTCTTAAAAATTTGAAATTTAATTAATTTTTATATTTATTTTAAAGAATTTAAATTTATATAATTAATATGTTTAATTGTTGTACTAATTAATTGTATTAACAATCAAATTTTGTGACTTAGAAAGAGAAATAAATGCATAAATTTAGATTTAGAATATAATAATTGAGTGAAATTTGAACTCTAAAATGATTAAATTACAATATTTTAAAAATAAAAGTAAACAATCTATCAATTTAATTTAATTTTTAGATGATATTTACTAAAAATCTTTTAGATGATGTATGGCTTTCATAGAGAAAATAATTAAATAGATATTTGAGAGGTAGAAATTCTATGAATTAGTTTGTTATTAATTAATTTGGTTATTTATATAAAGCTAAACTATAAAAATTAAATAAATCATTAAAAATTGAATAATTTACTTTAGTTGTTATTTTAAATATAGAATTAAAACCTAAAAAATTTATAAAACTCTTTAGAATTTAATTGTTTAATTGTTTTAATTATAAATAAAATTGATGAATTAAAAAGTGAGCCTAATATAGGCTTAAAAATAAAATAATTGAAATATGAACTCTAAAATTATTAAACTACAATATTTTAAAAATAAATATAAACACTCTATCTATCTATCTTTTTAATTATTTTTTTAGATAATATTTATTTATTTAAAGTGCATTTATATGCTTGCTGTTAATAGTTAAAATAATTAATTAATTAATTATGGATTATAAGTTTGAGGGTAAGAATTTAATTAATTTAGAATAACTCACTCAATTAATTGGTTTTTTGATTGGTTACTCTGGAAATATTAATTAATTATCTTATACTTTTATTATTAATTAGTTCTTATATTTTATAAATTTACTTGTTAGCTATTTATTTAACAAAGCTCTTTTTAGATGTAATTAATTGTTCTTCACAAAATATGTTTATTTTCATTTTCAAATTTTTTATTTCTTTTTAGGTGTTTATTCGAACTTAGAAATATTTTATTTAGTATTATTGCTATTATTTTTATTTTTATTATTAACTCCGTTAGTGATGTTATTATGATTATGTTAATTTGTTTCTATAGGATTTGTAGCTGACCTTAAGGCCTTCTCCCTCTTTGAAGATAATTATAAAATAGAAGGATCTTAGTTTCTCATTAAATTTTTTATTTCTTTACTAAATAATGAACTTAAGCCTCTTTTAGATTTCTTTGATTTAGGATCCTATTCATTTTTTAATATTGTTTATTCAATAAATTATTTAATAAATATAAAATATTCTTTTACCTTTTTATTGCTTTTCTTATCTTTTTCTGCTTTTATGTGCTCTTTTTTCTTTGTTGAGACCTACTTAATTTTCTTTTAATCTTTTTCTTTACTTTTAGATTTTTATTAAGCTTTAGTTTATGCTACTTTTCCATTCTTCGTAGGCTTTTATTTACTAGTTTTTTATTTATTTCTTTGGTTTTCTTCTATTGTACTTTCATCTGATTAAATAATTGATTCTACTTCTTCATTTTCACTTTCTTCATCATCAGCATCTTCAGTCTAATCTTCGTCATTTTCTTCTTCTTCTACATCTTTATCTCCTGATTCTTAATCTTAGCTATCTTGTTCCTCTTCTTAGCTTTCCTATTCATTCTCTTCTTAATTCTCCTCTTCTTCATCTTCACTTTCTTCTTCTTAGCTTTATTGTTACTCTTCTTCATTAGAATCGTCTGTAACTGCATTTTCAGATTCTTCTTACTCTATAACTGAGGAATCTGTTTGATCTACTTCATCTTCATCTTCGATTATTTATGATTTACTTGACTATTCTTGATCATTTTCATTTTCATCTTCTTCCTCTTCTTCTTGCCCACTAGATTCCTATTGTGAGCTGTTTTCTACATCACTTGTGACTTCTTCACTGTCCTGTTCAACGTCTGATTAGTTGCTTTATTCAATTTCAGAGGAATCACCTTACAAAGAAGAATTTTCTGATTCTTCTTAAATGTCTTCCGTTTCTTAATCTGAGTTTTTAGAGTTTCTATTTTTGCCCTTTGCGGATTTTTTGGGTGTTTCTTCTTTCTTTTTTTCATTCTTTTTTGTTGCTCCATTTTTAGCTATTTTGATTATGAAATATTTTAAAATAAAAATAATTTTAAATAAAAAATACCTTTTTCAGCTTTTTTCTTTTTTTCTTAATTTTAGGCTATTTCTTTATCTTGCTGCTTCTTCAATTTAGTTGAGGCTTTTTCAAGCTATATTTATATTTTTTGCTCCTTTTTTTTAAATGTTTCTTATTCTTCTAGTATTTAAAAGTGCTTAAGTTTTTCTCTTCTGCAAACTTAAGATATAACTAATCTTACTCGTTCCATATCTAATCTAACGTAGGTAAGATCGTCTAACTTAGTTTGTAGAGTTTTTTCTTCTTCCACTTCCTTTTCATAAGTCTGCTTTTAAACTTAAAATACTATCATGCTGCTATTCGTTGCCCTATTGTAAATATCGTCTCTTTCCTAATAAAATATTTTATTTTAATTTTTATTCCTAAATTTTAATGCTGATAAATAATATAAATACTTTTCTCTTTCTGTCTTCTTCTGAAAGAGGACGCAAGTACTTATTAAGCATAGATTCCTACTCCAAATATTATATATCGCCACCATATAGTAAATATATACCTTTAAGCTTGTTTATTTACTCATTTCTAAGACATCTTATGCAGTGGCAATAATTCTATTTTAAAAAGAAAAATTTTATTTTTGATTCAACATTAAATTTATTTACTTGGCAAAATGGACAGACCCAATCTGTCTTGCTTTGATCATGCTTGAAATCATAATTTTACTTTAAGCAGTGAATGCAAAATTTTCTCTTACAAACTAACTCACCATCTTTATTTAAAATAAATGAAAAAATAAAGCTTAGATTTTAAATAAAATTGAAATATTTTACTGCTTTTCTTAATATAAGAATTGTAATTGTTTCTCTTTCTATTTAAGAATGGTCTTCTTTGATTGCTATCATAATCAACAACTATTTTTTTAATTGAAATTATTTACTATTTGAGTCAAATTTTATTATAAAAGCTACTTTATGAAATAAATATTTGATCGTTAGTTGATTGGCTAGACTATGGCATTCCCATGACTGAGCTTCTATAATTGCACTTAACTAGATACCCTAATTCAAAAATTTATCTACAATGATGGCATATGTCAAAGTTTCTAGTCATATTAATGATTTTATGGTGGGTTTGGTCATGATGCTAGTTAGAATTTCTTTTAATAGTATCTAAGATATCTTGATCTTTATAAGGATTTGGTTTATTTCTGTTTGTGACATATTGTGTGAGTTGAACATACTATTTAAATTTAATTTTTTTAAAACATTTCTACTTTTTTAATTATTTTACATTGTGAGAAGTAGAGGAAAAGAGAGTTTTAATAGGTAAATTGTATTTCCTCAACATTGAATGTTCTCTGTATTCGTTGAATCTAAGTAAAGTTTTCTCATCTATGTAGATAGGTTGAGAGTTTAGAGCATCTTCAAACATTACTTCATAGTGAAACTCTTTTTTAGATTCTTTTTTACAGTTTGTTATCTTAGAAATGGAGTCAGCAACTTATTTTTCTTCTAAAGTAAATATCAACTGCTATAAATAGTTTAAGTGCAAATCGCTAATTTCTTTTTCAGACATCTTAGGACGAGGGTCCTTTCCTAGTTCTTTTTAAAATCCTCCAAATTTAGGTAGAGTATCTACAACTCCTGCATCTGTGTGGTCTGAGGAATACTCATTGTTCTTCTTGCTTTTTTTCTTTTGCTTGGTTTGCTGCTGTTTGCCTTGCGAGTGCTTATCGTGAACTACTAAACTGCTATTGTCATTTTGATTTTCAAAAAAGATCTATTTTCCTTCTTTAAGTTCAGCTTGTACTTTTTAATTTAGCCTATTTAAAAAAAAAAAATTAAATAAAAATTTTTAGAAAATTAGAAAAATTTGATTTCTTTAATGATTAATAAGTCATCAGAAATAATCAAATCTTATCAGGAATGCCTTAATTATATTGATACTGAATAATTTTTAAGAGTTATGCAATTTCTCCTAAAAATTTCATATTAATTTTACAAAAATAATGATTTTTGATAAGATCTAGTTGAAACTTTCTTGGTTAATTTTGAAATTTAATCAAATTTTGATAAGAACAAGATAGATTTAATTTCTCAATTTTTTTTATCGTTCAGAATTTAAAATTTTGTTTTAAAAATTAAGTTGAAATATTTACTTTTTTAGGTTTAATTTATTGATAGCATTGATTTCCTCTAATTGCCTGACTAGTCTTTCCTATTCAAAATCTAATTTTCTTGAACTATGCTTTGCATAATAACTTATTTCATCATTTGAAGCAGTAGATATGTTATCGTGATTGTTGCTATTATCATTATCTTCCTAATCTATTTCACTATTGTTGCTATCTTCATCAGAATAATTCTAAGCTTTTTTTTAATGTCCATTTTTCTTTTTGCTATGCTTTGAATCTTAATCTGAATTTTATTCTATTTGCTTTAAGAGCTTTTCTTCTATGGCTTTCAATTTTTATAATTCATTTTGCAAGTCGTTAATGCTTTTCTTTTTTGTACTCTTTTTAGGAGTAATTTAGTCTCTTTCTTTAATAATTTAATCTAAGAATTTCAAATTTGCTTTATCCTTAAAGTGACATTCATAAATCAAAGCCTAAATGTTGCAATTAACCTTAACTATTTTGAAAAGAATTTTTTGCACTTCTGGAGATTACTATTGATCACCCAAAAATTTTTCTTTATCTATAACATTTTAAATAGCAGTGTAAACCATGTGATTTGCATACTTCTGCCTTTGAAGAGAAGCTATTTGATTAAATAAATGTTTGTAAATACATTTGCAATTTGCATGAATTTTTTTGTGTTGGGAACAAAATCAAATTTAATTAAGCCCTGATGACTAAATGAAATTTTTTGATTATTTTTCTAAAAATTTGAAAAATAAAATTTTTAGAGTAATTAATTAGATAGAGAGACAGAAGGATTAATATTTTTTATATTTCTTATTGCCAATATTAATCAAAAAGGAAATATTATATTCATAAATGAATAGAAAAAAAATTTATGTAGAAAGAATCAGTTGGGCAATCAATATTCTATTGAAATGAATGCAGAATTGACAAACTGATATCAAAAATGAAGATTTAATCAATATAATAATATTAATTAAAAGAACACTAATTAAAACTTCTTTCTTTATTAGGCAATAAAAGAGCCTCTCTTGCTTTTTGTTAGTAAGGATATAAGAAAATAGAAAAAAGTGAAAGGCTTGCAGTGGGATGTGATATGAAGAAATCAATAAATGGAATGGAGGAAATCAAAGGAATAGTTTAATGCTAACATACTATCTTATTTTAAGGAGAATAATTGATCAAGATAGGACAATCTTTCCATTTCATTTGTATCTAATTTCCTAAAGTAGTATCTATTAATGTGACGCCAGAAACACCTCAAGGTATTTTCAGGTTGATTCTAGCCCAAAATGGAGCTTGATGTGCTGGAATTGATGTTGCGGACTTTTACTTTGGTACTTTATCATAAAAGAAATATCATAAATTATGTGCGATACCCCCAATTACATTTGTAAATTTGTAAGAAAAGTCTTTAAAAAAAAGTAGAGTTTTGAAGTACTTAAATAAAGTGTCATTGATTTCAAAATTTGCGTGCTTTTTGTCAATTTTGATGAGTTTCTCAACTCCATTCTTAATTTCACTTTATTATTGTTTTTTATCATCATCTTTATCACCTTTATCGCCCATGATTTTTGATTATGAAATATCCCCTAGCTTAAATAACGTGAACGAGTATTAAATATGAATATTCCCCCTTCTTACGTTGTCTATGATTATCTTTATATTTGTAATTAAATATATGCAAATAAATATACAAATTTTGTATACAAACTACTTTTTTTTGATTTACAAGTCCTTATTTATTTATCAATTAATTTATTTATTTATTTTTCTTTTCTTCTTTTCTTTTAATCAATTTTTTGTTTGATTGTTTCTTTGTTTTTTTACTTGATATTTAAATGCAATTCACATAATTATTACTTAATTAATTAATTAACTAACTAACTAAATGAAATATTACTTGATATTTATACAGTTTTGAGATTAATAAATTGAATTAGTTTAATTATGGATGAATGAATGTGCCAAGTATATCTATCTCTATTTATCAATTTATCTATTTATTTATTGATTTATTAAATGAGTAAAATATAATCAATGTATTCATTTAATCATATATCAATATAGCTAATATACTAATATATAGGCTCAAATTCACTTAACTTAATATCAATTTTAAAATTTTTCACTCATGAACCTTTTGTTAAATGCTAAGACATCATCCTAACTTATTATAAGAAGGTAGGTCTCTTCTTAGAGATGCACAAAATAAATCTAACATACCAATAATCTTTATTTTCTCTAAATATTTTCTTGTATGCATTTTTCAATCTATTTTTCCTCTTTTTCAAAATTTTATTTCTCCTCATCACAATTAATTTTTTTTTTCCTCTAAATTTTAAGGATTGCAAAATTTATTAGTTTTGATTTATTTCACATTTTTATTTTGAATAATAAATAAATAAATTAGTTGATGAGAAGATAGATTTTCATTTCTATATGTTAAAAGATTAATTTTTTAAATATCTTTAATCCTTTATCCAAATCATTTTTAATTTTTATTCATTTACAAAAATTAAAATTATATTATATAATTTTTCCAAAAATCAGTCCAAATTCTTTGAGCTTTATCATTCAACCTATCAACTAAAATATAATAAATAAGTATATATTTTTAAACACAATAAAATAATAACATTTTTTTAAATTTAATATTTTTGAAATTATTTTGCATTGAAATAAAAAAATCGGACTTCCAAAATAATTAAATAATTTTTCAGATTTTTTTATGAGAGTTACACAATACTTAAAATAAAAAAAATTTATAAAATATTTTAATTTATTTTAAAATTGTTAATTAAATTATTCATCAATAAACCTTAATTATCTAAACAATATAGAACACTCTAAATAAAATAATTAAAACTTGTTTAGGAAATAGAATGCCTTAAATTTATCTTATAATAGTCAATATTTAAACTAAATAACTTAAGAAATGAGGTTATCTGAATGAATTAGATGTTTTCTTTGTTGATCCGAATTAAATAAATCTTATAAAATAAATCAACTAGTAAAATGAAGGAGATAGTAATCTATTAAGATAAGAGATATCTTAATGCAGATATTAATTACCTTGGAATTCAATCTTAATTATATAAAATTTAATTTATTGTATGCATGTAGATTGATAAACAAATGATTGATTGATTGATAAGATAAGGCAAAGAATTGCATAGTAAATGCAAAAAGATATTATTTGACATAATAATAAACTTAATAATCAATAAAAATTTCATAAACATTCAGTATCTTAAAAAAATATAATTCCAATTAAGCCTTTGAAATAATGAGTTTTCCTCCAGTATAGGTTTTGATGGTTGCTGAAAAGCCATCTATAGCTAGAACAATAGCATAAGCTCTATCTCAATAAGTTCATACTTAAAGAAGAAATAACCATGAAGTTCATTTTTTCCCTTCTTACTTCTTTTAAATGGTAGCATTAAATTACGATTTTATCTATTTGAAAATTTGCAACATTATTATTGACACAATAATATCCATTTTATAGACATATTCATATTAATATTATAAACTATCTATAGCCTTGCCTGATTAAAGTTACTTCTGTAGTTGGTCATATATTTAGCACAGATTTTTCTCCAGAATACAATGGAAATGATGTAGATCCTATAAAATTGTTTGATGCTCCAACTATCAAAAAATTCTCAAGCCCATCATCGTAATCTAATTATTAACTTAGACTTAAAAAAACCATAATAATGTTTTGTTAAAATCAGCACTATCATTTAGCACTTAAAAAATGAAGCTTAAGGATGCAATTTCCTCGTTTTATGGCTCGATAACGATAGAGAAGGAGAAAATATTTGTTTTGAAGTAATATAAGTATGCGATAGTTTTTTGAACGTGTTTGATAGGAATTCAAAATACATTTTCAGAGCTAAATTCTCTTCAATTACTCAAGTAGATATAATAAAAGCATATGAGTAGCTCATCGCTGAGCCTGATTTAAATTAATCTCTTGCAGTAGATGCCAGATAAATTCTTGATCTTAAGGTATTTTCCTATAGAAAAACTCTTCTTATTTTTAAATATTTAAAGAAAAATTTATTTAATTGTAAAATTTTAATGTTAGAATTTTATTGCAATTTATTGCATTGTTTTCTTTAAAATTATTTATTTTCATCTTTTTCAAAAAATATCTTAAACAAATAAAAATAATTTTTTTTTTACAATTTAAAGCTAGGTCTTTCTTTTAGTAAATTTTAAACAAGATATCTTCAAAATAAGTACAATATTTAGGGCAAGAAAAAGATTTCTTACGGTCCTTGCCAAACACCAACATTAGCTTTCTGTGTTGAAAGACATGACGAAATTGAAAATTTTAAGCCATAAACATACTACACAGTTGAGGTTAATCTAAGTGAATATGTAAATCATCTGAATGTTGTCATTCATTTAAAAAATTTAATAATTTTAGGCAACAGCAAAATGGTCAAAAGAACAAACTTTTGATCAAGAAGAAGCCAAAAAAGTTCTTAGCGAAGTCCAATAGAGCAATTAATTAATGGTCAAAAGCATTTCAACTGTATAAGCAATAAAATCAAGACCTGTTGGTTTGAATACTGTAAATATGCTTAGAATAGCATCAAAAAAATATGGTAATTTTTATTTTTAAATTTAAATCTAAATTTTAAGCACTTTTATTTTTCGTTTAAAGAAATTGGACCTCACGATGCAATTCATATCGCTGAAAGTTTGTACTTACTTGGTTTTATAACTTACCCAAGAACTGAAACCACTAAATACCCAGGCGAATTTGATTTTAAATCAGTTCTCCATGCTATCTCTAATTCTAAATTTAATAATATGGCTAATTATGCAAAAGGTTTGCTTAGTGAACCACTCAATAAACCTTACAAGGGTGTAGATTCAGGTGATCACCCACCTATTACTCCTACTTAAAATGTAAAATCTAAATAAAAAATGAATAATATTAAAATTTTATTTTTTCTATTAAATAGGCTCCACAATCCTTAAATCCATAATAAATGAAGATTTATGAATTAGTTTGTAAAAATTTCTTGGGATCACTCTCGTAAGATGCTCAAATCGAAAATACAACTTATATATTGTCTTCAGGATAAAATGAATTTGAAATGAAAAAATCTATATTACTTCATTCTGGTTACTTAGATATAGTACCATGGGAGTCAGTGTGCTTAAGTAATCCTAAAATTGAAAAAATTGAGGAAGGAGTTGCTATCAAGTATGAATAAGCTGAAGTCTTAACGTTACTAACTTAACCTCCCAGCTATTTGTCAGAATCTGATTTAATAGGACTTATGGAATAAAATGGCATAGGAACAGATGCTTCAATGCCTTAGCATATAAACAATATTATTCTCAGAAATTACGTTTATGTAAATATTAAAGAAAGATAGCTTATTCCCACTTAACTCGGTATTGCTCTCATTCATGCATATAAGGATATTGATAATTAATTAGTTGCTCCTGAGCTAAGAAGAAATATGGAAGAGTAAATTTCTCAAATAGCTAAAGGTTAGATGACAAAAGATGAGCTTGTCGAAACTTAAATAAAAATTTTTAAATAAAAGTATGAAAATTTTGTTTCTCAATCAAATAGATTGGACTTCCATTTTGATTTGATTAAATCATTCCTCCAAGGTAAGCAATTTAATCTTTTAAAGAATATTTATTTAAATACTTAAAAATTTTATTTCAAAAAATTAGACTCATCAAACGAAGAAGAAAATGAGGAAGAAAGTCAAAATCATAGAAATTGGAGTGATAAAAGAGGAAATCAACATTAGCACCAAAATTATAAGCATAACCATTACCAATAAAATTAGCATAGAAACCAATATAAATAGAATAATATTTAGAAGTAAAAATATCAAAACTACTAAAATAATAACGATCATGATAATAATAATAGCAACTCTTATTAGGGATAACAAAAATATTAAAGAAAAGATGCTGCTTACAATAGATAAAATAACCAATATAAAAATTAAAATAAATACAACAATAATTAAAATTACAGCAATAATTAATAGTTATAAGAATAACAATTCCCTAGTATTCTTGATTAATTAAATCCTGCTAAGTTAGTTGAATAAAACGTAAGTGATATCTAATAAGTAGATGAGCAAACCAATTAAAATTAAAACAGCTCTTAATAAAAATAGGGTAATTCAAATACTTAACAGCAATAATAATAATAATTAGGAAATACATAAAAAAAGAAAACACAACATAAAAAAGATTAATATGTTTAAAAAGATAAAAGATAGCAAAATAGAGAATAAACTTAAAATCCTGATTAGTAATCGTACTTGCTTGCCAGTGATTGCATAGAATAGTAGCTAACAGACATGCTAAATCTTAAATAAACAAAAAAGAAATCAAAAAAGACTCTAAAAAACGAAGAGAATGAATAAAATCATAATAAGGAATCCTTATGATATGATTTTTTCATTTTGATTTAATCTAATAGAATAAAAATATTTACGTTTTTTATATACACATAGTTTAAGCTTTGAAAAAATTATTGCAACCAAGTTTTAAAAAAATTATTTTAAAATATTTTTATTAAATCCACATAATTTATTTTCTTTCTTCTTTCTTTTAAAATAGTTTCAATTTTAATTTTATTTAATTAAAAAAGTTTTTGAGAGCAAAAATAGAATCAAAATTTACTATTAATTTTGTTTTTTATATTTTTCAAAAAATAATAAATCACATTATTTTAGAGATAAAAAATGTAAAATTAATTAATTAACTATCTATTGTTTAGAAGGAATTAAATTTTCTTAATAGTTATTAAATAATATTTGAGATAAAGTTGAATCTATTTTATATTTTTAGAATTCATTTTTTTAATTATTTTTAAATAATATTTAAGATTTTATAATACTAATTTTATATTTTAAAAAGCCATTATATATCAATTTTATTGATAATTAATGAGATTTAACAATAATAAAATTATAGGCATTAAGATAGTTCAAATTTTTTTAAGATTTTATATTAGCAGCAATTAGTTTTATTTATTTTTTCTAGTATTTATCTTATTATCTAGCTATAATTTAAAGAATAAATTAGTTTTTTATTTTTAAATTATTAACTAAAAATGAACCTATTTAAAAAAGTAAAAAATTATAATATAAAATTATTTATGATAAAATATTCAATAGTTTAATAAAGACTTTAAGTTTTTTTTTGCCATTTATTTATTAATTAAAAAACTCGTAACTAAACTCTGTATTTATAAAAAAATTATGAGATATTTTAAGATAATAACCCTAATTAAAAAATATTTACTTGTTAAAAAATCTATATTGTTAATGTTTTTTTAATTAATTTAGTTAATATTTGATTTTGCTATATTAAAAATTTGTTTCATATTTTTTTATTTTTATTAATTATCATGCTAAAAACTTCGTTTTATCCTATTAAAAAATATTATTTTTAAACAAATTAATTAGTATTATTTAAATTATTAACTAATTATACTAATTTAGAAGACTATGAACTTTTTGTGCTAAAGAACTCATTTTTCTTTTATATTTAATCTATAATTAAATTATCTATGAAATATAATATGTGATAATTAATTAGGTTTATCAAAAATATTTGATTCCATACTTTTTAGGGTAGTGATTTTCAATTATAATTTATTAACTATTTTTGTTATTCTTATATACATTGTAAATTTCTATTCACTATAAATAATAATTTATTTATATCATTTCAAAAATTCTTTGTAAGATATTTAAAATTAGATATTTTAAAGTACTTTTTTAAAAGAAAAATATACAAAAATATTTTTGAAAAAATTCAAGATGGATAAAAAAGAAATTGTTTTCTGTCAATTATTGATTTAAAGTATGAATTAATTTATATTATTTTTATCGTATTTGGCATTCATCCATTTTACAAATAATTAAAAAAATTATTTCAATCATTTAAATTAAGCAGCTTAAAGATTTATTCTTATTTTATTAAAAAAGATAAAACTATCTCTAAATTTTATATTAAATAAAATTTGAATTTTTTATTTAGAAAATAATCAAAAATAATTTGTTAGAAATAATAATTTTTATTTTTAAGCTATAAAAAATAATTATTTATACTATAATTAATAAATGCATTCTATTTTATATAAATTTTTCATTAGACAATGTAAGAGCCTCTAAAGCTTGATGATTTTTGTTTTTGAGCTTTTTCTACTATTTGAACTGATTCATTCTAAAAATCAAAACCAATGTAATAAGTGTCAAAAACAGTACTACCGAATTAGATATAGTTAAGATGGCCTAATTGTTATTAAATTAATAACTAGTATTCACCACTGGGTAATTATCTATAAAGCTAGTAGGGTTATAGTGTAACAGTGTAAATTTTTCCATATCTGTTTTTGAGGTAAATGTATAAAGGCTCTATTTAATCAACAGATGGTAAAAAGATGTCAGCAGGCTTTGAAATGATAATTTATTCAGTTCTGTATTTAATATTCTTTTAGTCAAATACTTTAAGGATTTGATTTACAGAATCACTAGGTAGTTAAGTGAAGGGAGAGTCTAAATTAAAATGAGCATAAACATATACTCCTAGTGGTTAGTCAGAGTATAAAGCACCTTAGCAGTAAGCGCTGTAATATAGACTATCAGGAATGGAGTAGACTGCTAATTCAATGAAAGAGGCACCTTATTTAATCAAAGATGCATCTGGTTCTCCAATATCAATAGTTCCAACAACTGCATCTCCAACGTTCTACAAAGTAGTACTGTTCAAGTTAACGTAAGTTATTTGATTCTAAATAACTTTATTTTCAAATAATTCAACAATTAAATTGTCTTATTTAAACCTCTAGAAAGAAAAGCAGAGTTATCTTTTTCCGACTTAGTCATAATAGTTTGAGGTAACGAATTTAAGATTTGTCTTAATATTTCCTAAATCGAATTCAGTAGAGTAATTAGGATTTTTAGAGAAACTATCATCTCCGATATATTTAGCTCCACAAACGTCAGTCTAGTGTGAGGGATTAGAAATAATGTTATAGCAATCTTCGCTGAATACAGGGAAGATATCCATTTCGCATTTTTAAGGCCCATACTTTACTTAAAAGTAAATAGCACCATCTTCATACTACTTCAAAGGTAGAGTAACTTTAGAAGCAAAGGCTTAACTGCATCCAAGCAATATTATCATGGATGCAATTACAAGATTCAAAGCGTTTTTTTTTTAATTGATCATTTTTCTTCTTTTTTTATTTTAAATTATTATTTCAGGATTAATTAATTAATTTTTTTCTTCTTAAATTTAATAACAAGAAACAACCCAATCAATAATCAATCATATAAATAAAAAAATATTTCTCCTTGAATAAATATTCAATATTAATAAAAGTATAATTGATATATTTGTGAAGAACACAATTAATTTTGTTCTCTGATGAAATCTAATTAACTCCACCCAATAGAGTCAGTCTTACTTATTACACTAAAATTCTTTCACAAAAAAATAAAGCAAAAAAATTTAAAACATACACAACATATTTTTCTTAACTCAGAAGTATTTTTTGAATCTAGCTTATATTTAAAATAATTTTATAATATATAAAATAAATTTTACAAAGTTATTTATTTATTTATTTGTTTGTTAAGTTTTTCATAATATATAATATTATTTTTTCAAACTTAATTATTGTTTATTTAAGCAATAGAAATTGATTAGCTTTATAAATCAAAACCAATGTAGTAAGATTGTAAAGCAGTGTAGCCTAAGTAGAAAGATTGCTACTATGAGAACACAGGGTAAATTAACACTTAGAATTTACCATCAGCTGTTTTTCTAGTATACTCAGTTGGTTTAAGAGTGAGTAAAAATGTCTTGCTGTCTGATTAAACCAATTAAATTGTTATGTCCTAAAGTTACTCAATCGATTTAACATATAAAGTGTTTAGTTGACTATCAAGCTCATAACTGATACCTTGTTACATCAAAATATTTAAAAGTAACTAGAAAGAGTTGTTTGGAATTCCTGAAAAAGGCGAATCTAAATTGAAATAAACAGAAGTTTGAGTATAAATTTTAGCACTACCATAGGTAAAGTAATCTCTAGATAGAGCATCAAAGGATATGATATTGAACACATTTTTTATATTAACAAACTAGCTAGTAGTGATTGAAGTATCAGGAGCACCAAAATCAATTTATCCAATAACTTGTCCTGTTTAAGAGTTAGCGAGGTTATTCAAAGTTATGAAGAATTTTTAGTCAGAAATTTATTTTGTTTAATAAAGCTACAAAAGAGTATTCAGTTCAAAATCGAAACGTTGGAATCCTAAACACAAAACACTCTCACCATAGAACTAGGATTTACTGCCATTAGGAGCAGTAAAATTCAAGACCTTTTATTAACTGCCTAATTGGATTTTAGATTGATAATTTAAACCCTTAAAATATGGATTTAAACCAACAAATTCTACTCCACATTATTCAAGTTCTTTAGCAGATTTTTGTATAGAGCTGTTGCAAGTGTTAATTGATAATAAGAAATCAACTTAGCACTAGGCAGAGCTACCTACATTAGCAGTAAGATAGAGTTAATTATTATTGTTGAGCTTTAAAGGTACAGATATTCTTTCAGACAAAGCACAACTTAAAAGAGCAATAGTTATGAGCAAAATTTTTCCAGTATTCATTTTTATTAATTTCAGATATTATTGTAATTTCTAATTAATTTTTATTTACTTTGAAAAAGTTATGAGGATATAAACCTTTTTTTCATTTTATTTTTATTTAAAATACGAAAAAAAGTATTAAATCCATGAATGAACAATAAAATAGTTACATGAAATAATTTTATTAAAAAATATTTTAGTAATATATGCAATTTATTTACAATAAAATATTTCATATTTTGTAAAATATCATAAATAAATAAATCCATCTTCATCTTGAAATGATAATATTTTGATTTTTTACATATTTTATATCAAAAATGCATAAAAATAAAATCGTGAATTTTTCTATTTATGAAAGAAAGTAAAGGGAATCTAAACATTAAATCAAAAGAAAAAATTACAATATTTGTAAGTGATTAAATTTGATCAAGCATTATAAAAGATTTAAGTTGTAAAAAATAAAATTGAAAGAAATAAAATCAAAAAAATATCTCTATTACTTAGAAAAATCTTTTATAAAACAAAATTAAGAAAAAAATTTCAGAATTTATTAGTCAAAAATTTTTGTTATTTATTTCTGATAATTCACTAACTGGATTAAGGGCATATTCAACTTTTTAAAAATAATTATTGATATTATTTAATTATTTGAAAATTATTTTCTAATTTTTATTATGAAAAATAAATTGATAAATAAATATTTATAAAAATCTTTTATTTAATCACTTGATTTACATTTTCCTTCTTTTATAATTCCAAAATTTACTTTAAATTTTTTAATTCATTTTTATAATAAAATTTTTTTAATTATTTTTGATAATTTAATTGATCAGAATATTTAACTGTAAGATTCTTGGATATGATTAAATTTCATTATTAATGGATTTGCTAAATATAATTCATCAGAATTTATTCCAAAATTCACTCTAAAGTAAATTAAACAATAAACTATTAAGAAATCTTTTATAAAATATTTTCATCAAAGCTAAAATTAAATAATTTGATACTTAAAAACTAACTAAAAGGTCAATCTAAAAATAAAATTAATTGTTAAGATTTTTATACTTTATTGAATATTTTTTATGAAGAGATTAGTTAAATGATTTTATTTTTTTGCCTTAATTAATTTTAAAAATAAAAATAGAAGAAAAAAAAAACTATTACTTCTTTTTTTATATTTAATTTAAAAAGCTATTTTTATTTTTTAGTTTATTTTACAAAATATTAGTTTTAAATTTATAAAAAATTAAAAAAAGTAAGCTAAGCGAAACTGCTCTTCTTAAATTAATTAAAAAAAATTTTTGAATTAAATAAATTAAAATTTTCTCATTTTAATAATAACAAAACAATGCTAAAATCTAATTTTAAATAGTCCATCATTAATATTCTAAGTTTTATTAAAACTTACAAGCATAAATAAATATATAAAATATATATAGTATTATATCAATATTTAGAATAAATTATATGGAATTTTTATGTATTATTATCAGTGATGGAATTAGTAATTATAAAAAAGATTTTATATTAAATTAAAAAGGTTATGCATTGTTTCGTCTTATATATATAAAAATTATTTATATTAAAATCTATTGAATTGAAAGTCAAAACAAAAATATTCATTGTATAAATCATAAATTAATTTCACTTGAATACTAAAACAAAATATAATAAATTATAATGTTGTAAAATATAAATATTATTTACAATAATTAAAGAATCTTAAAAACTTAAATATTATTTTTGATTTGATAATTTGGAATTAAAAAAAGTATTATTTTTTATTATTAATTAAATGTGTTTTTACTAAATATTCCAATAATAACTTTGAAAAAAATTATAAAAACTAAAATAAAACAATTGTTATTAAACATAGTTGGCTAAATGTATATTTATTTTATTACAAATTATAAAAGTTATTTTTCATTTTATATTTTTAACAAATATTTAAATTAAAAGTTAATTGAAATGAAAGTCAAAAAAGTAAATTATTTAGGTGTAATGAAATAAGTATAAGTTATTTTAAAAATTAATTCTAAGAAATTTAATATTAATTTAATTTTAAATAATTCATACTATTGATAAATAATTAAAGAAACTCAAAAAATTAAGATATTCTTTTTCATATTTTATTTTGGAGTTAAAAAAATTATTTTTTTTTTATCAAATAAATGCTTTTTATTTTGCTAAATACATCAATAATAACTTAATTAATAATAAGCCACAAAATTATTTAATTATTTAATTTAATTAAATATCCAAGTAAGAAAGGATTTCTTTGAAAAAAGTTAACATTTTAATTGATTGTATAAGTATAATATCTATTTATCATTTATCATAATTTTTTTTTAATTATAAATAATTAAAAAAATGTTAATTTAAATTTAGAAAGATAAAGTCAGTCAGACAACTTGAAAAAATTTAATAAAAATGAAATGGAATATTATCAAATATAGTTTGCTCAATATTTATTTAATTTTACCAATTTGGAAATTAAAAATCAATATAAAATTATAAAAATGGTAAAATTGTTAAAATATAATGAGTATATTTTATTTAAAAATTTCTTAACAGATAATTAAAGTTCTTTTTAAAAATCTTAATAGATATTTAAATTAAAAAACACTCCATTTAATCAAATAATTATTTGCCGACTTATTAATTAGAACAATTTAAATATTTTTATTTTTTTCATATTTTTTTAAATTAATAAATAAATCATTTTATGCTTGTTAAGATATTGTAGTATTTGATTTAAATGGAATTTATTATATTTAATTTATTTTTTAAAGTGTTTTTTTTATTTTTTTATTATAACTCAGGGTTTGAAGAGTATTTTTAGTCAAGAATGAAGACTTAAAGCTATTTATTATATCACATTATATTCCTTATATTGTTAATATTAAATTCAAATTTGAAATTAAATTTTAGAAAATTTGCGGGGATCCTTAAATACAAAATTTAAAAATCGTCAGAAATAATTAACTAAAAAGGTTAATTAATCTTGGTTTATTATGAGTTAATTAATATTTTTCACATATTTGTAATTCCTAGCAATTTATTTATTTGTATTGCAATATTCGTATCTAAAATTTAACATTGATTATTTATTACAAAAGAGCTTGTTTTTAGTTTAGTATAATTAATTAATAGTAACTTAAGCTGAAAGAAAACAATAGAAGAAGAGAGATAGATAGATAATAAATAAATAATATTATTTCTGATTTAAACTAGGTTCTAAAAAAAGCACAGACAAAGAATAAATTCTGAAAATGTATTATTTTAAATTATTTATATTGGCGCGTTTAAGATTTAAATGATTTATTATTAAAAATCTACCTAGATTTTAAAATAGCCAACTTTGAATATATAAGTAAATAACTGAAGCTCTGATTCAATTAAAATAGAAAAAGCAAAAATGGAATAAGACTTCTAAGGAAAATTTAATAGGTCTTTCAATATGTAGTAGGATTAGTTTAAAGCTTAGCATAGCTTCATCTAGGATAAGCAAAATTGTAATATTTATTAACAAAAAGATTTAGAAATATTTATTTTTTATTATTTTGTATTATTAAATTCTTTTTTTTAATAGAAGGTTAAAAAAGCACATTTTAATACACTTAAAATGCTCAGCAAAAATTCTAACATAATCCCAGATTTAATAAATTTGATCATGAAGCTGATTAAAGCTCATACTCACTTAAATAGTTTGATAGAGCTTAATCTTATGGCAAGAATTATGGAAAAGATAGGAATATGCACATTGAAAAGGATGGATCTGATTTATAAGAATAATCAACTGGAGCAGCACCCTTGAGAAAAGGCAGCTTAAATTAATATCAAAAAGATCAGAGTTCATTCTAAGGCAAATTTAATTAAAGAAAAGACTCAAATAATGAGCAATTCTAGTCATTAAGAGGCCTCTCTCAAGACGATAGCAAAGTGCCTGCTAAAACAGGTTATTTGGGTAAAAATTTTGATCCTAACTACAAGAATAGATTAGCAAAACAAAGAGAAGGATCATTAGAGAATTAAGAAGATGGTGAAATAAAGGCAAATAGTAATCCTCTTCGTTAACCCAGAAATAATTCATCTAGCTTTTAAGGATCATCAGGTTCAGTTCATTAGCCACCTAGATAACAAAATCAACCATACTTCAGCAATGTCCATGCTAAAGGACTTCTTCCTTACTCTGTTGATGAAGGTTTTGATAGCTTCGTTACAGTATTGATGGTTGCTGAAAAACCTTCTATAGCACGTAGTATTGCTGAAGCTCTTGGTGGAGCAGGATTTACTACTCGTAAAGGAATATGCAAATTTTCTAATGTCTTTACCTTCTATGGCCATATTTTTGGAAAGGTAGTTTTTTAAAACCATTCAAAATATAAATAAAATAATATGTATTTTTTGTATTTAATAGAAAGCATTGATTAAAGTTACATCTGTTATTGGACACATTTATACTTCAGATTTTACTTAAGAATATCAAGATTGGAGAAGAGTTGATCCTTATAAGCTATTTAATGCCACAACTTTAAAAAAAGAAACAAATCCAAATAGGTAATTTAAAAATGAAAAGAAGTTATATTTTTATTTTTATTTAACAAAAAAGTTAAATCATACAGCATCTATAAAAAGAAGCTATGGGAGCTAGTTATCTTATTCTTTGGTTAGATAATGATAGAGAAGGTGAAAATATATGCTTTGAAGTACTAACTATTTGCAAACCTGAATTGATTAAAGAAGATTTCCAATAAATTTTCAGAGCTAAGTTTTCATCAATTACTCCAATTGATATTCGCAAGGCTTTTGATGAGCTTTCAATAGGTCCTAATTTCAATGAATCTCAAGCTGTAGATGCCCGTTAAATTATTGATTTAAAAGTTGGTGTTGCTTTCTCACGTTTCTAAACTAGATATTTAGTTAGAAAATACGAAGATTTAAATAATAAAAAAATTACATTTGGCCCTTGTTAAACTCCTACTTTATCTTTCTGTGTTCAAAGAGATGACGAAATAAAAGATTTTATTTCTAAACCTTTTTACAGAATTATTCCTAAAATCAGCTTAGTCCCAAATGAAGTAATATATATTTTTATTATTATTATTGATTATTATATTTCTTTTTTTTCAAATAAATTTAGTTGATAAACTTAGAATGGACTAAAGAAAGAACTTACGACCAATAAGAAGCTTTAGATGTAAAATAAGAGTTAGAAAGCATTGGATAAACTTCTGTTGTAAAAGTTGATAATAAAGAAACCTAAAAAATAAAACCAGTTGCATTGAACACTGTAAATTTCTTGAAAATGGCTTCAAAGCAATATGGTATTCATATTAATTATGAGTTTAAACTTTAATTAATTATTATGTATAAATAGGTCTCGGTCCTCAAAATGCTATGCAAGTAGCTGAAAAATTATATTTAGGAGGTTTTATCACATATCCCAGAACTGAAAGTACTAAATATCCTGATAAATTTGATTTTAATTCAGTATTACATGCTGTATGTTAATACCATTAAAATTAGAATATTAGCATTTATGCTTAAAAACTCTAGTAAAATGGTATTCACAAATCTAGATTAGGAAAAGATGTTGGTGATCATCCTCCTATTACTCCTACCAATAAAATTATGAGATAATAACTATCTAGAGACGAACAAAACATTTACGAACTTGTATGCAGACATTTCTTAGCCACTGTCTCTTCTGATTGCCGTCTCTATAAGAAAAAAGTAAATTTCTATTGTAAAATATATTTTTATTAAACTAAAAAAAATAACAAGGTTCTTTTCTAAACTGGTAACCAAACTTTTTCATTGATTGGCACTGCTGTCATAGATAAGGGATACCTTGAAGCTTTACCTTGGTAAAAGATTTATGAAAATGAAATACCTAACTTTTCAGAAGGAGATCAAATTTATCTTCACAGTGTAGATATTCATTCTGGAAAGACTCAACCACCTGACCATTTAACAGAGTCTGACTTAATTAGTTTGATGGAGCAAAATGGAATAGGTACTGATGCTTCTATGGCTCAACATATTTAAAATATATGCGACAGAGAGTATGTTCAAGTTGTTGGATAAGCTAGAAGATTAGTACCAACAGAACTCGGTTCATCATTGATTCATGCTTATGCTGAAATTGATCCTGAATTGGTAGCTCCAAATTTGAGAAGCTCTATAGAAAGATCAGTTGATCTTATTTCCTAAGGTGAATTAGACAAAGACTAAGTACTCTAAAGTGTGATAGAATTATTCAAGAATAAGTATTTGTATTTCGTAAGTAAAGTCGGTGTCCTCGATAAATATTTTGATCCAATTTACTAATCTATTGAAACAACCATAAGTAATTTAGCATTATTAATTTTTCAACAATATTTTTAAATATAATTTTTTTAATCTAATAGGCCAAGCTTAGTATTTTACTAAATGTGGAAGATGTAAATGCAATATGAAAATATTAGATAAAATTGGAAAAATCTTTTGTGAAAGATGCAAATTTATGTACGGATTACCTAGAGACTCAAAGTATTCCATAGCAGGAGAATGCTTTTGCCCTATTGATGGATTCTAACTGGTGCTAATTGAATCAACAGTTAAAGGTAATACCAAACGTTTTACCATCTGTCCTCTGTGCTTCTAAAAAACGCCTGAGTTAGAAAACTACAGTAGCGAAGAAAAGTATTAAAGGACATCTTGCAATTTATGCTCAAATCGAAGCTGTTAATTCTCTATGGTTAATAATGAAATAGGTCCTTGTCCCCACTGTAAATATGAGAAAGTAATATTTTAGCTAATTTATGTTATTTTTAAATAAATTCTCAAAATAATAAAATAATAATAATTAAATGTATTTTTTTTATTAATTAGGGTGGCAGACTTGTCCTTGACTGGCCTGACAATAATAATTATACGATGACTTGCAATGCATGCATGTATCAATATTTGATAGTAAAGAATGGTAAATTAATTAGATCATAAATGAAGTGTGCTAACTGTAACTGCTTCTAAGTTAAAGTAATCATTCTATTTAATTTTTTATTTTAAATCATTAAGTTGTTAGAATTTTGGTAATTTATAAATTTACATAAAAATTAGATTGAAACTAGTGACGGTTTTTCTGCATTAGGCTGTTTGTTCTGTGATATTTAAACAAAGAATAGGATGGAAGAAAGACCTCCAACTGAACCTTAAGGTGAGAGTAGCTTGAGAAACTAGCGTTATTTTAATGAAGATCTTGACAAATCAATTGAGGATTAACCTTTGAAACTTAAGCAACCATAAGCATTATAGATAAATAATAACCAAAAAGTGATAGGATTAAAGAACAATATTATGGAAATAGAAAACTAAATTACTGAAGCAGATCAGCCAATTAAAAAGAGAAGAGGAAGACCACCCAAAGCTGCTACAGTAAGTTTTATTTATTAAATTATTTTAACTTTAGTGACTTACTTTTAATAGTCTTCTAAAGAGTTTTTTTATTTAGGAATTTAACTTTTAGGAAAAGGAAAATATTTAGGATGAAGCAAACACTAAACCATAAACAAGAAAACCTAGAGCAACCAAGGCAATTAAGAAACTTTCTCAAGAAGAAGGAGAAGCTGATGAGGATGAGGAATAATTTAGTAAACCAACTCACCCAACTGTAGATTTTGTTAAAAAGGGTATTCAAAAGGCTCCTAAGAGTTATGGAAATACATTCAATTAATTCAAAGCTCAATAATAACAAAAAATTGATAATTAATTCCAAAACTCTAATTTTGAAGATATTTTAGAAGATTCACACAAATAAGATTTAGAGTTTTTCTCAAAGTTCCCTAGAAATAACATAATAAAAGAAAATCAAGAAACATACGAAATCTTGAAAGAATCTACTATGTTATTATCTGAAATCGATGGACATTCCACCTTTAAAAATTATAGTAGCCTTGAAAATTCATTCTAACAAAACAATAGAAAGCCAAGATAAATGAATAATTTCAAATAGAACCAGTTTAATAATTAATAATTCTAAGGCAACTCTTTTAAACAAAACATATCTACAAATTCATCAATATAATAAAACAATTTTTAATAACAACGCAAACCAAACTATGAAAAAGAAATGAATAACTCATTCCAAAATAAGAATAATAGCGCACTAGACTCATCATCAATATTGCTTAAACAACTTGACTTCTGATTAAATATTAAAACTTTTTAATTAAGTAAATTTAAAATTAATAAATTAATAATTTAATTAAAAATAATACAATCAATAAATATTTTTATGAAACAAACATAATTAATTTACTACTAACTTTCAAAATATATATTTAACTAATTAAAATAATATCTTTCTTTTAATTTGTATTTTCATTTTATATATTAATTTATTGTATCCTATTTCAATATTACTATAATGAAATACTTTATTTTAAAAATCTTCTAAAAAACTTACTCAATTCGTTTATTTCAATATTTAACTCAATCTATTTTCAAATAAAATAAGTAATTTTTCTTTAAAAAATACTTTTTATATAAAGTTTTTCTATACTTTATAATTCAATTTTACAAGTATGAAACTTTAAATTTTTTAAATACTTAACTCATATCTCATGTATTTTTATTGAATTAATTTCAAATTCTATCTTATCAATCAATAAAACATATATTTAAAAATATAAATATTATTACTTTTCACTTATCAATAAAAAAAATTTTTTTAATCTTTCTAATTAAATTATGCTTAAACTAAACATTTACTTTTATTTGATTATATTTTAAAATTAATGCTATTCAATAAGTTAACTTATATACTATATATTTCTTAATATTAATATAATTTTAATATTTATACTTCAAACTTTTTTTAAAAAACAACATAAATAAATAATAAATCTTCATTATTATTAAATGGAATATTAAAATATTATGAAAAAAGTAGAATGATTTATAAAAATAGAATTAGAAAATTAATTAGTAAAAATGAATAAATAAAAAAATATCCTATTTATCTTAATTGGATGGATGTTTTGATTTATTCTAAATTTTATATTAACTGATTAATTAATGTGAGTATTCAAAAATTAGGGTATTTTGTTTTTGTTATTTTTTTTTTAAGTTTAAAATCAATCAAGAATCATTTTTACCGACTAATTTATCTCTTAATTTTGAAATAATTAAATAACTAAAAATTCAAGAAGGCTTAATAAACATTATTTGCAAAGCACACAAATTTAGATAAGATAATAAGGATTTATTGTAGGTTTTCAAATTGCCAAATTTTAAGTGAATGATTAAATAAGAAGGCTACAGGAGTAATAGTTATAATGCGTTAGAAGAGCGCTAACGATCAAATTCGCAATAGGCTATATCAAAATCTAACAATACATATACCGGTAAGTTTATATTAACATTTAAATTCATATTTATAATACTTAGATTGCATTTTTTAAAAATAGAAATTTATGTTTGGGGAAGTAAATAAATTGAAAGACTATTATCATATTTAAAGTTTATAAAATTGCTAATTATTTAGATGATAAATATGGATAGTTAGGATTAGGTCATAAATATACTGGAAAGAATTATTTAGTTCCAAAAATATGTTCATATAATTTAGTTATTAAGCAAATATCATGTGGAGAAGAGCATACTGCATTTGTTACAAGTAAATACAAATATTAAACATAATGTTTGATTTTTATGTAGGCGAATGAGCTTCAATTCGATTTATATAAAAGTTAGGGGTCATATTTATACTATAGGCAGTAATTTAAAAGGTAGATTAGGTATTGATAATAAGCAAATAACTTAAAGCTCTTCTCCTTGTCTAGTAGAAGATTTATAAAAACTAGTTTGTTGTAAAATTGCATGTGGCTCTAACCACACTGTAGCTGTTATGGAAAATGGTGAAGCTTATTCATGGGGTAATGGTGATTTGGGTGTTTTAGGAATCGGTTCTTAAGAACATACGTAAGATATTATAAAAAGATATATATAGATTTATCTTAGTTAATAAAATATTAAATTTTTAATAGCTGGGCACCAGTTAAGGTTTTAGGATAAAAACAAAAATATATTGATGTAAGTTGTGGTGCTAGACATACGATGTTATTGAATTAATATGGAGAAGTATTTGCATGTGGTTCAAACGAAGAAGGCTAATTATGTTTGCCTAACTCATCAGGTGAGCTCTATCCTTCTAAGGTTAGAATTGAAAAAGCAATTGAAGCTGTTTGTGGACATTATTTTACTTTGATTTTAACCTAACTAGGAGAAATTTATTCTTGTGGAGCAAACAATTTTGGGTAGTTAGGAATAGGGCATAAAACTTCTACAAAGGAGCTCTAAAAAGTAATTAATTTATTGTTTTGTAAAAATATTTTTTGTTTAAATAATCTTTTTTTATAGGTGTAAAATTTAGAAGATTAAACTATAATTAAAGTTGCTGCAGGTCATCATTCTGCAGCTTTAAACAGAAGAGGAGAGCTATTTATTTGGGGTACAGGTGTATTTGGAGATTATCCTTTTCCAACTAAGTTTTGTAAGATAGATTCACCTTTTAATGACATATCCGTGGGTGGTTTCTCAGGTAAGGAAAAAAAAATAATAATTTTTTTTATGATTGAATTGATTTATGTCTAAATATAAATAGGAAGTTCTGTAGATGCAAACGGAGTAGTTTGGACATGGGGATCTAATTAGAATGGAGAATTGGGAGTTGGCGACCAAGAACCAAGATTAAACCCATTTCCTGTTGCTGCTTTAAAAGGAAGAAAAGTAATTAAAGTAGCTTGTGGAATAAATTACATGGTAGCACTGAGTGCTCCAAAATCAAAAGATTTACAAAAACAAAAGCACCAAAGTAGCGCACATCATTCCTCATAGGGCTTAGGTAAAAAATTATTTGTTTGAAAGCAATTAAATTCTAAATTATTTTTGTAGGGGAAGATGGAAAGAGAAAGGAGACTTTAGGTTTACATGTTGAAAGCACATTCATTGAAAATCCAGTTTCTAATCAATTGCAACAATAATAACCTATGAAGCAAAGTAGAGTAGAAGAAAGAATTTAAAGATAAAATCTCTCTCTAGATTATGAAAATAATTCCAGGTCTCCACTAAATCTGAGTAGATATGAGAAAAATATAGATAAAAATGAAGATAAACAATATTTCACAAATTCAAGGAACTAAATTATAAGCCCAGTGCCTGCATAACAGCACTAATAATCACATAATTCAAGTTAATACAATACAATTAACTAAAGTTAGATGAATAATAATCATCAAAGATCACATTCTGATTACGCTCCAATAGATAATGAAAAGAGATCACTCTCTCCTATTTCTACTACATCAAAACATATCAAAAGTGTCAATAATAATGATTAGCTTCGAGATATTATAAAAGGTGAACACTCATCTATCACAGAAAGCTACAAAGTAAATGATAATTTTAAATCTATTAATGAAAACTATAAATCTATAAATAATGATAACTACAATGATAATAACAGATCAATAAGTGATAAATATAAATCAATTAATGATAACTATAAACAATCAAATAATGATAATTATAAATAACCTTTAAATGATAATTATAAATCTTAGTAACCAAACAATTAATCTTATTATGCATCCAGTTAATATTCTACAATAAATCCTTCCTACTCAAGAATGTCAAAAGAAAATGAAAATAAAAATAACAGCTATATCAACTACAATAAACATGCTTCCAGTTAAGCTAATTTAAGCAGCCTAGATAATAATGTATAGTCAGGCCCATTAAAACTTTCAATGCCTCCTATTTCTAAATCACCTTCTCTTTCAGCTGATACTTTTAATTATGAATCTTAAAAGAGAGTATCAACAGAAGTAATTAATTAATTATAAACATATTTTTTATTTTGATTAACATTTATTTTATAAATAAGAATTATGGTTCCAGAAAAACGCCAACATATAATCACCCAAATAATTTTTCAAACAGGTAAAGCAAAATACCTCCTTTACCAGGATCATAGAATAATTATAATCCTGAAAAGTAATTGCATGATATTGAAAATAATATTTTGCAAAGTAAATATAATTATTTGGAAGAAACTCTAAGAAATGAAAGAAAAGAAAAGCTTAATTTAGAGTAAAATTTGATAGAGCTAAGAAGACAATTAAAAGAAATTTAGTATGGAAAAGGGGGATTAAATGATTTGTCAATTCTCTTAAATGAGGAAATGCTTAAATTTGACTAATTAAAAAAAAATCATGATGAGCTTTATAAAAGAAATATTGAAAATGAGTAGAAAATAATCGAGTTAAATAGCTAATTGGAATACTTTAACCAAATTAAAGAGAGCCAAGATAAAAATGTATAAATGGCTAAAGAAGATGTTAAGGAAAAAGTTAACTAACTGCAAATGTTTACTTCCTAAATTCAAAGTAAATAAATTTATGAATTTTATTTTTTTTATTATTTTCTTTAAAAAAATAATTTAATTTTTTTATAGAACTTGAAAAAATGATTACAGAAAAGCAAGATATTATTGATAAATTGCAAATTAATTTAGAGACTTAAAATGAGAAATTTAAGTTAGAATAAAAAAGAACAAATGAAGTTGTAAATTAGTTGAACTAGTAGTGCTAGGAGTTCAGAGACAATTACCAATTCTTAGAAGATCGCCTAACAAGTTATTAAGAGAACTTAAAAATATTAGAAGATGTGAAGTTTGATTTGGAAAAGAAGAATTAAATAAATCAGTAAGAAATAAAAGAAAAAGATAATTAATTGATATAAGAGATCTAACAAAAATAGAAATTTGAATAGTTTTACTATGCTGAGCTAAAATAAAATGAAGAAATAAATTTGGAAAACAAATCACTGAGAGAATAGTTGCAAAGTTACAAGATTAAACTTCAGTAATCTTAAGATAATGAACAAAGATTTATGAACTAGATCTAAGATTTATAAGAAGATAACAAATAATTGAAGGAAGAAATACCTAAAATAGATGAGCTCCATAGAGAAGTCAGAAATAAGGTAAAGAATTGTAAATAGAAAATGAAAAATAATTATTAACTAATTCATTTTAGGATGAGTATATAGAAGAATTGGAAAGTAAAAGCAATGCCTTGAAAGCTTAAGTGAAAGAATTAGAAGAAAAGAATATTAAGCTAGGAGAGTTACTGAATGCAGAGGTTGATAGATAGGCTGAATAGTATAAATAGAGGACCTTAAAAAATTTATATCACAATGCAGAATAACTTTATGAGTTATTCAATTAGAATAATTACAATGATGAAAATTACAATAATAACGTTTCAAATATAAATATCAAACATAATTAAGAAGAAGAAGATTTTGATAATAATCACATTATTCACAATCAAACTTTTGATTCTGTTGAAAATCCTACTGATAAAAAACCTTTAAATAAACCTTCCTTGAATACATCAGGATACCATCAAAAGCCAGCCAGAGTTTTATAAAATAATGCATAAGATAGTCTAGCTTAGAGCACAAATAGAAACATAGCCTTAACCCCAAATGAGTCTCCTAAAAGATTTAAATAAAATATTTCAGATAATTAATCCTTTACTTTAAATAATAAATCTGACATAGTAAGAAGTAAATTGAAATCGAAAATGTAATATTTTATAAATTTTTAATAAATATAATTTAATAAATAAAATTTATTTATTAATAATAGAGAAGAGTAAAAAAGAAAAATAAGCTCTTCTGCTAAGAAGTTGCTCGATATATTGGATAATTCTCATGACAACAATAGCAATATCTATAACAGCAATTTAGCAAATTCTTAAATTAATTAAAATAATGAAATAAAATAATAAGACGAATTATTAAAATAATATTACAACCAAAGGAGAGCACATGAAGAAGAAATTGATCAGCCATTAAAAAGAAGTGCTTATGGTTTCAATTCTAATATATAATAATAATAATAAAAATTAGATTAAGATAAATTAAATTTTAGTTAAAATAACAATAAATAATAACAAAAATAGTAAGAAAATAAAAATACACCAAACTAATCAAATAATGTTTCTTTAACATATTCTCCAGTGAGATCAAAAGTAAAACCAAATTTAGATAATAGTAGTATGTATTTATCTAACTTATAAAACCAACAAATCCAAGAAAAGTAAAATTTATATTATAAAAAGTAGTTATTTTAATTTTTTTTAGAAATAAATTAGAAAAAAGTAGAGTAGAATAAGATTAAAAAATGAAAGATTTAGCTGATGTTAAAGAAAGATTGGCTTACATGAAAAGAGCAAAGGATTAATTAGAATCTAAGCTAAACGAAGTGGATAATAAACTTAATAAATATTAAGATTATAATAAAAAGTGATCAAAATAAATAAATTAATTTTCATTTTTATTCAAATGTTTCTATTTATTTTAAAATAGATTATTAAAACATTTAAAAAACTTAAATTTTATTAATCAACAACAATAAATTATTTAAAATCGTTAATAAATCAAATAAAAATATTTATATTTGCTATTTAAATTATCTCTAAAAAAGTAATTTCTTAATATCAATTTAAAATTTAAAAATATAAAATTTTTTGATGAAAAGAATTTTAAGTTTAAAAATTAATTCATATTTGATTTAAATAAAATAAAATTATTTTATTATACTCATTAACTTAATATTAAATAAAAGACTTTTTATTAGAATTTTAATAGCTTAATAATGTCAATTTTTCAAATATTTTTTCAAGTTTTTAAATTAATTAATAGAAATTTAATGATGATAAGAATTTTTAGAATTGAAAAGGGATGCTTTTAGAATTATTTGAACTATTTTCTAATTGTTAAAAATTAAATTTAGAAAAGTAAGTTAAAATAATTGTTTATAATAATTTAAATTAAAATTTGTTTAACATTTTTAACAATCAAGAAATAGAATGTACTAAATTATCAAATTACTTAAATATCTTCTATATTTCTTATAATAAAAGTGACAAGGTTGGAATTTTTAGATTTTTTTTATAATTAATTAGTGTAAATATTTTCATACGATATAATTTAAGAATTTTTGTTACTTATTTTATAGTGATAAACCGACGGTAAGAAAATTTAGATTAATATAGATTATTTAAAAAATGATTATGTTATTTGTGGATGATTTTGATTATCTTGCTTGCATGTAGTTAGTTATCCTATACTTTAAAATTAACTATATTGGTAAAAAATTAACTTAATACTAATAACAATATCTATATAGAAAGAATAGATTGTATTAATTTATTATTTTAAAATGATCATAAATTCTTAGGATTTAGATATTGTTACGTCTGGGAATTCCCTCAGATAAAATCAAAATCGTATGAATAAACTGTTTGATGATGAAGACCATAAAAACTTGAAGAAATTTCATTTGAAAAATTAGATGGATAATGATATTCTAGTTAAAGATGAGCAAGATGATATGTTTGATATAACAAATATTATGAGTGATTAATAAAGATTATAAAGGTTAGGATATAACTAGAACGCATTACAGGTTCTTAAAAATTAAAATAATACAAATACAGGAATTGATGAATTTACTGCTAATTGGAAAAATCCTTCTGAAGTTAAGCAAGACGCTCAAAAGAGCATAACAATTTTAAATTTATAAAGCATGGACGAAACATCTAAAAACATGCTTCAGCAAAAAGATAATAATAATTTCTAAAAACTATTAATGTAAATGCAATCACCAATATCCTTCGATAATAAGTAAAGTTTAATGAATGCTATGAATGGAATAAATTCAAATAATGGTCGTATTCATACTGAATAATCATAGAAATAAGCACAAAAAACAACTTTTCAGTATAATGTCTACTAAACTGCCAATAGACTACGTCAAAAATTAATTAGTAAACTTGAAAGAGTGAAGCTTTTGAATTTAACTAATTTTCATTTAAGATTGATAGATGATTGGTCTAGTTTAATGAACAATAGGCAATTTTCGTGTTAAAATTTAGAATGCTAAATAAACTAAGATTTAGGGAATATCAAAAAAAGTAGTTGCTGCTTTCAAAGTACTTCTAAAAATATTTCAAATGTAAATAATAAAGATTAAAATAGTCTATTTATCAAGGAGACTTCTAAGTAGCTAGAATAAATATCAATAGGAAGCAATAGCAATTTTACATCAAAAAAGAAAATGATTAATTTATTTTAATCTGCTAGGAGCTTTAAAGATTAGCCTTTGCAAAGTACTGAAACAAGTTAGAAGCCAAAAACAGAGAGAAAGTCAATTATTCAGATTTATTCTAGCATTCTACTTTGGGTTACTTGCATAAAAACAGCGATTAATCCTACTGACCTAAAAAGATTAATTATTGATTTACTTCAAGTTTTGTTTTTGATAATTTTCTATTTTTTTATTACTCTCAGAGCAGTATTCGAAAATGAAATAGATAGGCTTTTGATAAGCAACGATACAGACATTAATTAAAATACAATAATTTTCTATTTTGCATGTGTTGGATTCCCTTTATAATTAATAGATTTATTTATGAGCTATATTACTGGATTTTATAACAAAGGAATTTTAATTACTGATGCAAATATAGCATCACTGAGGTACTTTAAAAGGTTTTTTATATTTGATCTTGTCAGCATTTTGTGTCTTCTATTTTTTATTATTGGTAGCTAAGATCCACCGATTGTTATAAAAGTGCTATATTTTTTAAAGATTCAATCTAGTTTTTAAAGCCTAAAAAGATTAAAATTAAAAGCTTCTATTAATTAGTTCCGAAAATTAGTGTTTAAAATTTTATATAATGGAGCTATTTTTGGTCTTGTTTTGCATTCCTTTACAGTTATTTGGATAGCCATAGGGAAAAATGAAAGCCGCTCTAATACGTAAAAAGCTATGATAAATACTTCTTGGATAGATTATAATTAACTGACTAATTAAAACTGGCACTATCTGTAAATATTTTAATTAATAAATATATATTTTTTTAATATTTAACATCTATATTGCTTGTTAAATAAAAGGTACACAGCATCTCTTTAATTTATGTGCAGTAGTTTGATATTCTAAGGAATGTAGACTAAGACTCAGTCGGAGCAATTATTCTTAGTTTTTACTTAAATCTTCTCAGTATTTTTTATATACAGATTTGTCTGTTCTTTTATCAAGATGGCTAAATTATACTCTTTCTCCGCTAGCTATTCTGATGTATAATTTCAAAATTTTTACTAAAAAAAGAATTTAAATAATTTAATAAATATAATTAGAAAGCTGTTTTTATCAGTAATTTCCTCCCCAAAAGAAATGTAAGAATATTAAACAAAGTATTTATTGCTAAATTGATTTTTTTTTTAATAAAGGTTCCTGAATAGATAATAGTTGATGCTAAATAAAATTTAAAGTACACACTTACAAAAAAATATAAATAAAATAGAGAGCACCAGTCAAAAAATTAACTTAAATTGTTAAATTCTTCTTTAAAAGATAAAATAATAGAGTCAATAAATAAAAAAATAATTGACAAAATGGAAATTATGAAAATTTTCACTGAAAAATTTAAAACTTAGATTTCAAAGCATCTTGATGAGATATAATTTGAAAAAGGTTAGATAGTCTATTACTAAGGAGAAGAGACTGATTGTAATTTGTATTTCGTTGCTCAGGGATAAGGTATTTTAAAGTTTAATTATTAATTCTTATGAAATTTTATAGCTTTTATGTTTTTTAAATTTAAAAAAATAATAAAAAAGTTGAATTATTCTATGTTACAGAAAAGAGATGCAAAGATGAAGAAAACTATCTTGTTTTTCAAACAATTTAAACTGGCCAGCATTTTGGCTAACTCAGTTTCTTTACTGGAATGCCAAGAGAATCATATGCTCGCTGCTCTGAGGAGTCAATTGTTTTTAAGGTATGTATTTTTTAAAGACTTAATTTTATTTTAAAAAATGTATTTATTTAATAAATTCAGGTTAATAGAGATTAATTTAGAAATATTATTTAAGAGAACTAAAAAGACTTAGAGATTTTTTGTGAAATAAAAGATGATTTGCTATTTTAAAATGAGCATAATTTGGTTTTCCAAGTATGCTCTGCTTGTAAAAAAGAAAAGCATTAAGTGATTGATTGCCCAGAGGTCCATTTTGTTGCAGATAAAGAGAAAATAATTCTTAGTTAAAATTGTCCTAAAGTATAATTAAGAAGTCCTGGATTTGCTAAAAGAAAAAAAAAAGATTTTAATGCACTCTCTGATTAAAACGGGATTAATCAAGCAGCTTAGAAAGTAGAATAAAATTCTTCTTTATATAATAAATGCATGTTTGATGCGATGAATACAAGTTGTGGATTTTATGATCAAAGATTAAATTAATCAAATTTGGAACTTGACTAATTCAATGACAATTTAAGTAAAGAGTCTGATGATGGTTTTAACAATGAAAATAATTAAAATACTAAGCATCAGCAAAGCTTAGAAGGCCTTCCTTCTAAAAATAATTTGGTTTATACTGACATAGACTAAGAGTAGTCAAATAGGAGAAAATCAGAACATCATCTCTAGAATTTAAACACTTTAAACACTACAAATAAGTAGAGATCTTTTACCAAGGAGGATGAATTTTTTTTTGAGCAAAAGTCAGGGTAATCTTTCTTGTATCCTATCAGAAAGGATACTTCTCATGCAATTACCAATGTGATTAATAATGGTGCAAGCAGCTAGGGTAATATTTTGATTCCTACCTAATAAGAACTAGCAGTTAGTCCAATTCCTTCACTCAACCAAGAATAGAGCTTTTTTTCAAACCAAATCAAATCGAAACCTTATTTATCAAAGAATAACAGCAACAACATTTAGTAAGATGAATCTATAAATAACTCATCACAATTTCTTAACTTTTAACACAACTAAAACAGTGAGTTTCCTTAAAGAAATCTCACTCCAGAAGATGTGTTTGATTAAAAAGTAAATCATGCTAAAGAAATGATTCACTCAGCTTCTCCAAATGTGCACAGGAACAAAAAGAAAAATCTTACTTGGAATATAGTTGATGAAGTCTAACAAATGCAAACAATTTGCAATACCCCGCAAAACTAAACTGCAAAAACAAGTAACCAAAGTAACATAAATGTTAATAATTAGAATGTTCATAGTAGCTTTGCAAATAGTAACTAAAATGCTTTAAACCATATTTCTAACAACTGCAATATAAATAATACAGTAACTACTCCACTTTCATATTCCTCCTCAAATATCATAAACACTGTGAACTAAATTCCTAACTAAAATATAAACAACAGTATCAATAACATAAATAACAACAATGAACAAAACTATCAGGGCTCACCTTCAATGACTCATCAGACAAGAAGAATATCTCAAACACCTAAAACTTTGTATTAAATACACAAAGAAGAGTTAGGTATACTATAAGGATACGATGAAGTAATTGGAAAACATGTTTAAAGATAGAAATCAATAATTTAGCATTAACTAGACAATAATATAAATCAAACACCAAAGTAAACAGATTCTAACTACTCCGAACAAGTTCAATACAACTAATCTCCACATATTGATATATAAAATGGGTATAGCTCTACAAAAGTTTTGGGTTCTTAGCCTTATATAAATAACAATCATGGAATTGCTATAAATTATAACAGCGGAACGAATATCAATAACATTATTCTTAACTCTAATTCTTTAGGAAATAATTATAATGATGCAATAACTGAATAATCAAAAGTTTAAAAGTAGACTTCAACTCGTAAGAGAACTTCTAGTAAATTTAATGATTCTTAATACAAAGCAGACTCAGACTCTTAAAACTCTGCTTCATAATTTAAAAAAGTAGCTAACAATAAAAAGAAGAAAATATTAACTATCATTTAAGAGTAGTCTCCACTAGTTAGAAGTGGTAACTAAATGAAAAAGCCTTCTTTAATAAATCCTCTCTAAGCATCATAAGTAATGATGCCATTTTCTATTTAATTCGATGAAAGTAATTCTAGCTAGCTAATACCAATGGCTACATCGATGTAATTCACAAATAACTACTTGGACTCCAAAAAGCAGTCGATTGTCAAAGGGAAATCTCAATTTAATAACTCCTAATTGCTTAGTAGCATAGATTTTTTATCTACACAACAGCAGTAACATCTTCAATAATTAAGCTAAATAAACTAATAACTAGGTATTTTGGGTGAATTCTTCCCTGATAAAGTGGAATAATCAATGTTATATTCAGTTTATAACGATAAATCTAAGCATTCAATTAAATCTAAGATTAATCTGCCAAAACTTAGCTAAGTAATACCTTAGCTGTAAACCAATTTACAAAGCTATAATAATCCAAATTAATAATTTTAGAATCAATAATCTATAAGTAAATTTTTTTAGAATATGAATGGAAGATTGCGCAAAAGCATAGCTTTAAAAAAAATATAAAATTACTAAGAATAATTATAAGATTAATTAAACTATTCTTAATACGGCGATAGCTTCTATTAAAACTTTGGAATGGATAGAAACTTGAGAAATAATGAAATAGATATAGGTTACTTTAACAAAAATTATAATGCTTAGTATGTACCATACATTCCTAAGCTTGATGAAAATTTAGAATCCATTAAAGAATTTTAGTTTTATAAGCCACACTATAATATCAAGGTAATTCTGAAGTAGCTTGAAAGTTCATTAAAAAATAAAAAACTAAAAACCAAATCTTTCCGATAACAAGGAAACTCTTTTTATGTATATAGCTTAAAAATTAAAAATAAAAACCAAAAATGACCAATTTTATTATTATTTTTTATTAAATTAATTGAGTATTTTATAAAATTTAGTTATTTATACTATAATTGTATGTTAATTTCTCTAATTAAAATAGATGTTTCCTCAGCTTTCCTTTAAATTTAACATAAATATAATTAATTAGCAATAATTTGACTATTTATAAGATTGAAAATTTAAATTTAGTTATAATAATAAGTGAAAAATAATTATTTTATCATTATATTTCATAAGAAAAACAAGATTCAAAAAAAATAAATTTAATAAAACTAAAAAATAAAACCTAATTTTTTAATTGAATAAAATTAATTAATTGTTAAGACATTTCATTTAAATAATAAGTTTTTTAGAGAAAATTCTTAAGAATTTATTTTTAATTTGTCATTTAATTGTGAAGTTGTTAAGATTTAAAGATTTATAAATTAATTTTTTTTAACAGAAAAGAAGTAATTTTTTATTAAATAAAAATGAATTTATTAATTTATCATTTGAATAAATAATTCCAGTTTATTAAAATTAAGAATTACTTTCCTATTTTTATAAATATTTTTGCTTTTTACTTTAATTAAATAAATATTTTTGTTAAAATTGTAAAATTGAAATTAGAATTTAACAATCTTTTACGGAATATTGAGTAAATATAATTGAAAGCAAATATTTGTAAAGGTATTGATTGAGTGATCGAAAAAATAGAGCTTACTAGGTGATTCAATTATTAAAGAATTATATTCGTTGAAAAATTATCAAAAAAGAAATATTTTGATATTTAAATGTTATTATTAAAATTATTGATCTAAGAGCTGATTAACAAATTAATTATTTAATAACAAAAAACATAGAAAAGATTTTACTATTTTTCTTGCAAACATTTTAATTAATGGGTCAAGTAAATTGCTTATAAAATAATGATAAGAATAAGAATTAAAAACAAAATCAATAACTGTCGCCTTAGGATTTTCAAGAAGAAAGTGATTTAAAAAATGCAAAATTAGTTTTTGAAATATATAAAAAATTATGCCTGGATCTATTGAAGCCATTAGAAAAGTTATTATATAAGTTATAGTACTACTTGTTTAATAATGAAATGTTTTAGAACAATCAATCAAATATTTAGATATAGAATAATAATCCAATAGATTAGTCTCTAATCTTTAACCTCAAAAAGTAAGAAGAAGAATGGTATTCAGAGGTATTGGCTCATAAAGTAATTAAGGAAAGCTAATCGAAGCAAAATATGTTAGATAACTAGAATATATCAAATGAATAATTTTTTAAGTTGGCAATTGCAGATATGATCAGTTAGATTATTTAGATAATAAATATAGAAGGTCAATCAGATTACTAACGCAGATAAAAGCTAAATCAAATAACAAAAGTAGAAGATTAGTCAGATATCATATCTAGATAAAAGATTAATCAGATTAAAAATGTAGAAGATTAGTTAGATAATGAATGCAAATAAAAATAATTAAATATTTGGTAGATTCGTAGTTTAGTAAAAGATATGGAAGATGTTTTGCAGTAATTTTTGTAGATTCAACATAAACCAAAAAGTGATCATGTCTACAGAAACTGTAATGAAGATGAGGATGAAACAAGTTAAAATTATAGTTAAAATATGCTAAATCACTAAGAAAGTTTAGATGAAACGTGTGATGAAAGTTAAGAAACAAAATATAAATAAAGATAAATTGATAAAAAATTTTTGTCAAAATATTTAAGTCATGAAGATTAATAAGAATGGTTTATTATTACCCAAAAAATAGAAAATATTCTGCCAAACAAGAAGAATGTAGACCTAAAATTAAAATAAGTAAATTCTTAGGTAAAAAAGGAATCATTTATTTTGAAATCAGAGGCTTAGCAAAGTATGTTTTCTAATGCAAGTAGGAAGCTTATGATTATAAATGCTATTACAAAATAAGAAAAAAAAGTAGAAATAGAGATATAAAATTTCCCCTATTCTCATAATGAAATTATTAATGTGCATCAAAATAGGAAACAAATTTTATTTTATAACAAAGATAAAAAGACAGAAAAAGATAATTTGCTTTTTTATATAAATTACAAAAAAATCAAAGGTGATACTAATCTTCGAGAAAAAATCAGACAGTTTAAGTTACATTTAAAGTTGCTGCATCCACATGAGTTAAACAGCTAGAATAATTTAAATCATTAAAATTCAGCTGATCAAAGCTTATAACCAACTTTTGTTTTTAATCTTTATGAACCATTGTACGTTATTAAGATAAAAAACCATTAACATGTAAGTATAAATTATTTTTAATTTAAAAAAAATTATTTCATTTGGAAGTTTGTTTTTAAATATTTCTGAAATTTATATTTTTTTAATTTAAAAAAAATTATTTATTTATGACAGGAAAAAAATGATAAGCAAGAGTATTTTTTGGCTTATAAATCAGATGTTTCCTACTTTACAATGTAGTAATTTATTGGAGAAAGCTCAAAGTTGAAATTGTCTGAATTAGAATTTTTAATTGTAATAAAAGATATGATAAAAATTTTAAAGCAGTTAGAAAAGAATAAAATAGGACATAGGAATATTTCCACAGAGACCCTGTTATATTATTTTAAAAATGAATAAAAATAATGGGTGCTTAAGGATTTGTTTAAATCACAAATTATTGAAGACATTTATAAAAAATAAGAAATAACAACAATTTATGGAAAGATTGAATACGTTAGTCCAGAAATATCTAAAGAAATTTAGGCAAATACTAGTTATTTTTCAAAATTTTCTCTCAAAGCATAAGATGTTTATGCTATGGGTATTGTTCTTGCAAAATTAAAACTCTGCCTTAATTAGCCTATTTCTGGTGAACAAATAGATTAGTTTTTGATAAACGACAAAGTTCTAAGAAATGTAATTCTAAATATATTCTTATTACTTTAATCAATTAAATAAATTAATATATTTCTTATAAAAATATTATTAAATTACTATTAATTAGTCATACAAAATTGTTTGGAGAAATATCAATTTATAGTTTTTAAATTTCAATAATAAATGATACTATTCAATTAATTATTCAAAAAATTATATTATATTATATTATAGAAGGATCTCAAGGTTTCGGATTACATAATAGGCCTTATGCTCTCCCCAAAAGAGAAAGATAGAATGGATTTTAATTATGATGATATTATTACTTTGATAGAAGAAGAATTTTTTTCTCTTTATAAAGTTTATAAAATAGAAACTGAGCAAAATCCTTAAAAAGCAGAAAACAAAAACATTCTTTAAAATCATGATAAAATCATAAACTTTTTATAGAATGAAGTGACTGATAATTAATTAAAGTAATACAATGACTTTTGGGAGGTTTAGAACCTACCAAACTATGAAGAAATAGAAAGCTAGTAAAAATAAGCCAACGATATGGAAAGCTCTCAAATTACAGATATTTATTAAAAGTATTAATATGATAAAAGTTTCCAATCAAATAAAGAAAACGAAGCGTAAGAAAAAGAGAGAATTGAAAGAGAGAGAAAAGAAAAAATCGAAAATGAAAAGAAAGAGTAAAAAATTGAATAAAAAAGGGAAAATAGATTAAAGAAATTATTAGAATTTTTAAAATTTATCAAGAATTTTAAAAATAGAGACTAGTATTAAAAGCTAGCTGAAGAAATTCTGTTATTTATTTAAAATAAAATGAAACCCAGCTAATAAAACTTACATGAAGAATTTGATATAATTTAGTAACTTATTCAGTTACATGATGAAAGTTTGGAATAAATTGAGAATAATTCTATAATTGAAGATTAGCAAAAAATAGGAGAGGCTATGTTAAAGAAATAAAAACCAAAGCTCAAGATAACTTAGTTCAGATACTAAACTGTAGATGAAGATGAATACAATTTAGAATAATAGTAAAATGAAGAGATAAAAGCTAAAAATTTAGTGAATTTGAGAGAAAAAGAGTGCAAATTAATAGCAAAACTAAGATTTAACATTATTGAACGTACGTTTAAGTACTAAAATTTTTTCTAAAAATTAAAATAAAAACAAAAAGACAATGATTAAGATGAAAACCATTATAATAAACATGAAAAATTATTCAAAAAAATTATTAATAATGACTAAATAGCTGAAGATTAAGACCAAAACATTAATGTTAAAGAAAATAAAGTTAGGAAAGTATTAAATTATGAATTCAAATTTAAAGATTTTGAGTAAAATAAAAGTCAAAAAGATGCTAAAGATAAAAAACTCTTAAGTTCTGAGTATAGAGAGAGTAAAATCGATATTTTTGATCATTTACCTCTTAATTAGAGTAATTTTTAAATAGAATTAATAAAAATTTATTTTAAGTTGTTTATTTAATGAAGTAGAATTAACATTTTATAATTTATTTTTTTTATTTGAAAGATATACAACTATTGATAAAATGCTATGACAATCTTGTAATACATAGAATTTCTATGGAAGATTTTTTAGATGATATTATAAAATTGAAGGAGTTGCTCAAATAAAATGAAAGATAAATTGATAATTTAGATTAAATAAATACCCAAATTTAAGGATACATGTGCAAATGCTATTATGAATTGAATGAAAAATAAAAATCTAAAGAGATATTTTATTAGATTGAAAATAAAATTGAAAAATAATTTTGTAATTTTTTAACATTTTAAGCGAATTTTATTTAACAAATTTATAATTAATTAATTAAAGGTCGCATTTTGAGAAGTTAGTATATCGAAGATATAAGGTACCATGAGTTTGATCCGTCTCAATGGGATTAAGAAACTGCAATAGATGTTTTAAAATAGATATAAAAAAGAGATAAAAAAAATTTACAATAATGTAAAATTTAGATTTTATAAATATCCATTGACTATAAATTATTAATTAGATGTAGAAATAGAAATAAGAATTGCTGAAATGTATTTAGAGCTAAATCCTCCAAACTACCTTGAAGCTGCCTATAAATACTAAAATGCTCTTGCTCTATTCTAATAATTTTCATAAGAGATTGAAATTAAATAATTAGGTAAAACCAAATATATATTTTTATAATTTAGATATTAATAATATTTTTTTTAAAGATATATTAGAAAATGTTTCTGATATTTACCAAATTTTGCTTGAAGAAAAAAAGGATAAAATTGATCGTTATAGAGATTTAAAAGATAAATAACTTGAGTCAGCAAATGAAATTAAGAATTAGGATTTAAAAAATGAAAATAAATTCTCAAAAAAAGTAGACATTTTTAAAAAGTAAGAAAAAAACATAGATTATGTAAGTAAAATTAAATAAGAATTATATTTTACAGATCAATATGATAAAGAGAGAGAGAAATATATGAAATTGGCAATTGAAAGAGCTAAAGAATAAAATCTAAATTAAAAAGATATTAATTATTTAAAGAATAAGCTAAAAACTGGAAAACCAAATTTAATTAAAAAATAGTTAAAAAAAAATATTAAAAATGAATGAAATTAATTAATTAGTAAATAAATAATAAATTTATTTGTTAAATTTTATTAAAATATATTTTTACTTTTTTATTCTTTTCTCAATTATCTCATTATAAAAATATTTATTTTCAAAAAAATTATATTGTTATAAATATTTTAAATCAGATATGTTTTGAGTAGTCTGTTGTGCAAATGTAAGATTATAATTTTCAGAACATTTTTTTTTCATAAGTCGAGTTTAGGTCGGAGCAGGACAAAAAAAAATATTGGAATAATAAATTGTTTTAATGCAAGTTCTAAGCTTAGATTGAAACATAAATTTAAATAATAATACTATTTGTTTATTTATAACGAGATAATAGATAGATTATTTTATATCTAAATATTTCAAAAGCTAATTAAAAAAAAATTTCTTTCATCAAATGATATTTTTAAAAAATCATAGAATATGGTAAAATTTGCCTATGAAATTTAAAAAGGTTTGGCCTATTATTATAGTTAATTTATTTAAAATCAAGCAAAGCTTTAAAATAAAAATAATTAGTATTGAACAAAGAATTTTTTTTGATATAACTCCAAAAATAGTATCGACTTAATTATAATTTCTCCATGACAAACATAAATATATTTATTTATTTATAATTTTATATATGATTTATTGTATTTGATAATAATCTTTATATTAAATTAATTTAACTAATTAATAAAGAAAAATTTTATTTTTTATTATAATTTTTTCAAAAATATTTTTCAATCGTTGAATACATGGCCAGAGATGATGTTATAACCATGATTAGAATGAATTCCAAAAGAGTCCTTGATAAAATTAGATTCTTATTGAATATTTTTATGCAGCAATTAAGCCCCATAAAAATTAACTTATGGATTTTGTAAAGATTTAGGATTGACTGTTCTAATTTAATTAAAATTATCAACATGATTTTAAATTTTATTTATGTATGACTAATTTAAGTGCACTTAAGACATTTAAGATTAGTTTTAAATAGGTTGATTATTAATTTAATCCATGCTTTATTCATTTGGAGACTACAGTCTATTAATAAGCTAAGATCCATTTCTGACTAAAGTTGACGATGGCTGACCATTATTGACTTGAGCAAGATTAACCTAACTTAAATTATTCATAGTTGGAATCCTACTTAAGTTAGGATTTGAATTAGGTGTTATTTATCTATTTAATGCTCTATCTACTTAGTTTAGTTATTTCTATCTTTCATATGAGTTATATTCTAAAGAGTAAATAGGATTGAGTTCAATACCGTTTTTATCTCTTGTCTATATATAATTTATTTCATTAAAATTTGTTATAAATAGATACCAAAATTAGCAATTAAATACAATGTTAATTAAGCAAATATAATTTTTCCTTGAATATAATTTTATTTAATAAAGAGTAGTTCATTAAAATTATTGAAGTTAGGTCTAACAAAATTAATAAAAATGTAATTTTTTCTTTTCTTGTATCTATGAATTCGAAAAATAATTTATTTTTATGTTATAAAAATTAAATTTCTTTTAACTTTTCTATTCAAATTTTATGCTAAACAATCTAATTAATTTACACAAAGAATTTATTTCAAGTCATAAAATATGTAAAACTATTTTTTACCTTTGACCTTTTAGAATTAATTGCAGTTTCTCTTGCATTCATTAAATTCTCTCTTATTTGAAGTTGTTTCTAAAATTAGCTCTTTTTATTTAAAATATATTTAGAAAATAAATTTAAAAAGAAGTAATTAATTAATTAATTAATAAACAAAATTCTTTATTAGAAATATTTTACCTAAACATTATTATCAGTGCAATATTACTAATAATACTATTTTTTTTATTCTTTCATTTACTTTTCTTGATCTTGCAAGAATTTAGCTTGCATTTCAACCAACTCTCTTTCCCTAAGTTTTTACTCTCTTTCCATAGCTTTTTAAGCTTCTTTTTACTTAATTTACTCGTATACTACATCATCGCACTTATCATGAAGATATTTTCTTTCTACATTTAATATATTATGGGATCCTCTTATTATATTTTAGTGCTATTTATTTTTATGGGTAGTAAGTAATTCAATTAATTTCTGTTATAAAAATCTATTCAAATTAATAAATAATTAAATTTTTTACTGGAAACAAAGGAGTTATTTTTTGAGGTTCAATTAGTTGCAAATTTTGCTAGTTCATTTGCTATATTTTTTAGTACTCTTTTTCCATCTTTTAGAAATTAAAAATTTAAGTTAAATTCACCTTTAATAAATTGCTTGTTTATTACCTTTTTTTAGTTATTTTAGTAAATCTATGCTTCCTTTAATCTAAATTAATTCATTCTTTCTTCCATAGTCTAGTATTATGGGTAGCTTTTAACCTAATCATATATCTAAAAAACCATTAATAATTCAAGTTAATAAAAAATAAATATCTACTTAATCTTATCTCTGTTGTGCCAGTATTAAATTTTCTTCGCAAAGCTTTTAATGATAAAGTTTTTAGGCATTTTTTTATTTATTAAGCATATCACTGATAACCTTTTTTAAAAAAATAAAACTTTTAACTTCATATAAATATTTTTAGCAAATATATACTTATTCATTATCATTCCAATACTTTTAATTATTAATATCTTCCTATTTTTCTATTGCCTTTTAATTTTGTTTGGCCTATACATCTTAATCTAATAGTTCCCTAATTTAAGATATCATTTTTAATATTGCACTACTAAATATAAAAATAATATAAACCTATATTTTTATTTTCTCATTTATTCATATTATTTTCTTTATTGATAGTTCTCCAACTACTTCTACTCTTACTGCTAAAAAAACTAACCCCATTCACCTGCATGTCCATTTGCTTATTGCTACGATGGAGGATACATTGGTTCTTTAAAGTTGGTAAATATAATAATAAGTAAGACAAGATAGTCAATAGTTAATACTTTAAATTACAGATTTAAAAAGGAGTTGAAGAAACTTAAATTTAAGGTTGAGAATAAGATCTCATTCTAAACGATCTTTGAATTTTATATTTGCTATTTACTAGTTAGAATGTAGCCTTCTTTATAATTTATTGGATATAATCAATTAAACAAAATTGATATTTGACAAGATTTGCTTTTGCTTAAAAATTAATTATTAATAATTTTAGAAGTCTATAAGTCAGAAGAAGAAGAAAATACAATATCACTCATTTAAAATTAATTGAGATTGGATTAAAAGAGATTGGCTGATATAATTTTATTATTAATTTCAATGATAATTCCAGTAAAAATCTGAATCTAAAATTTAAGGATTGAATAAAATTAAGTTATTAAAACAACTAAAATTTATATTGCTGATTTCAATTAATTCTTTTCTTATTTTTCAGATGGCAGAATCTTGCTATTAGAATTTGTAAATATATTGATTGTTTATTAATATTTGAAAAAATAAATTTATAAATTTATTTATATTGAAGTTATCTGTTATTTATCAATTTTTATAAATAAATATCACTCAAGTAGGTGTTAGAAAATAATTTGAACTAGATTTAAAACTGTTTATCTAAATATTTCTTCTAAATTTATTTCAAAATTTACATAAAAATTTGAATAAAATCCTCTTTTTATCATCAATTAATATCTTCAGTGATTCTTTTGTTAATTTATTGATTGAAATTGTTTCATTACTTTTAGATAACAAAGAAAAGATATCGATATAACGTATAAAGATAAGATTTATAAATAAAATATTTTATAAATTGGTAATACTATATTACTTAATATATAATCAATAATCATTTTTTTAACTCTACACCCATAAATATTTTGCTTGTTACTTAGTAAAAAATTCATTTTTAGTTTCTTCTGCTTAGTTTTCATAATCAATCTTATCCTTAATATAATTATTACAAATAATAATTAATTTCTTCAACATTTTACTTTTTAAGTTATTTTTTAACTATTTATAACTTATTTTTCTTGTTTTAATTATTTAATAATAAGAATTATATCTTTTTTAAATCATAACATAAATAATATTTTAATTCATATTTTAATTTTTTATTTAATTAAATCTATGTCTTCAATCTAAAAATTTTACTACATAAAAATCATTAATATTGTTGAATATAATCTATAAAATATATCTAAATATATAATAAAGTTTTTTTTGTTTTACTATTATTTTTAGGATTTAAAAAAATATGGGTTAAAATTTTCTTAGCCAAAAATTTTCTAAAATAGCCTTAATTAAAGGTTGCCTTAATTAATGAGTAATTACGGTATATTCTATAATTTAAATAAATACTTTTAAATTTATTTATATTATTTTCATCATATATTTATTATCAAAAATATATTTTTAAGGAAACTAATCTTTTTGATTTAAGACAATTACTGCTTACTTTAAATTCTTCTGATTCATTGATTTCGTTAAAACTTTTAATGTAAATTATTGTAAATTATTAATAAAAATTAACTTGACATATTGTTTAAATTCAAAATAATATTTTAAATCAATAAATAAAAAAACATTAGCAGAATAATAAATAAATAAAAAGCTAATATATAAATTTAAAGAGTCATTTTGTTTTTAATCATTTACATATTCGCAAACCAAAATAAATAAACTATTTTTACCTAAGAGTAAGGGTCAACTTAGAGAGTTTAGTGCATTTTGCTAAAGCAGAACCTAAGTCTTATGAACCTTTATCACCAATTTAATTTTCACTTTTTAAATATTGAAGAAAAAATATAAAATAATTTGTTAGTTAAAAGGAAAAAAGAAGAAAAAATATCAGAAAATTATAAATGAATTAATTATTATTGAAAGTAAAAAATGAAAATTAATAAATGAGTTAATTTAACAAAAAAATAAAAAAAACAGAAATAGAATAAAAATAAAAATAAATCAAATAAAAAGCTAATAAATAAATAAATTAAATGAGTCGTTTTTTTATTAATTAATTTTCATATTCACAAACCAATATAAAAAACTGTTTTTACCTAAGATTAAGTGTCAAATTATAGAGTTTAGTGCACTTTGATAAAGCAGGGCCTAAATCTGATGCTGCTTTATCACCAATTTAATTGCAGCTTTTTAAATATTAAAGAAAAAAATATTTTATTAACTAGTAAATAGGAAAAAGTGAAGATAAAATATGAAATGTATGAATTAATGATAAAATCAAAATATGAAAATTAAAAATTAAAGAGTTAAACAAATACAAAAAGAAAAGCATAAGCAAAATAAAAAATAAAAATAAATCTAATAAAAAGCTAATAAATAAATTAAAAGAGTTTTTAAATATGACAATCAAATACGAATACACTGTTTTTACCTAAGATTAAGTGTTAAATTTGATAAATTAGAGCAGTTTGATAAAGCAGAACCTAAGTCTGATATACATTTTTCACCAATTTAATTTCTACTTTTTGAATATTGAAGAAAAAAAATATAATTTACAAGTGAGTAAAAAGAAAAAATGATGAAAAAATATGAATGAAATGATGAGAAAATATGATTGAAATGAATTCATTAATAATGAAAGCAAAAGATGAAAATGAAAAATTTGAATGAGTTAAATTAACAAAGAAAGAAAGCAAAACATAAGTAAAATAAAAAGAAAACAAATCATATAAAAAGCTGATAAATAATAATAAGATTTTTTAATTTTTATATCACAATCTAACAAATAAACTATTTTTACCTAAGATCGAGTGTAAAATTTGAGAGATTAGTGCACTTTGCTAAAGCAAAACCTAAGCCTGATAGATCAATTACATCGATGAAATTTCCACTTTTAAAATATTGAAGAAAAAAATGAATAAAAAATATGAAAAAATAAGAATTAATAATCAAATTATAACTTAAAAATTAAAAAATGATTTAAATTAGCATCGAAAAAAAAAAACAGAAGCAGAGTAAAAAAGAAAAATAAATCAATAAATAAAAAGCAAATAAAAGATTAAGAGTTAGCTATATTATTTTAAATTCATTTTTATACTAAAAAATATCATAATCCTTAAAAAAAAAAACTATTTTTACCAAAGATCAAGTGTCAAATTTAAGATATTACAGCAATTTGATAAAGCAAAACCTAAGCCTGATACATTAATTGCACCAATTTTATTTCCACTTTTTTAATTTCGAAGAAAAAATATTAATTAATTTGTTAGTTAGTTAGAAGGAAAAAATGAAAACCAAATAAAATAATAAGAAATTAATTCATAATGAAAGCAAAGATTGAAGATGAAATAATGAGCTAAATTAAGCAAAGAAAGAAATAAAAAATACACAATTAGAATAATAAAAGAAAAATAAATCAAAAAAAAGCAAATATTTGAATTAAAACAGTTGATTTGTTTTAAATTCATTTTTGTATTAAAAATATCATAACCCAAAATAAATAAATTGATTTTACAGAAGATAAAGTGTCAAATTTTAGATATTAGAGCAGTTTAATAAAGCAGTACCTAAACTTGATATACCTTCACTACCAATTTCATTGTCACTTTTTAAATATTGAAGAAAAATATATGAAGAGAACATATGAAAATAATTAAAATAAAAGTAAAAATAATTAAAAAATAAGTTAATTTTACAAAGAAATAAAATAAACACTATTTAAATACATAAAAAAAGAAGAAAAAACAAATAAAAAGCTATTAAAAAAATTAAAAGAGTAGTTCTGTTTTTGAATTCATTTTATATTAAAAAATACTGCAATCCAAAACAAATAAATTTTTTACTTAAGATCAAGTTTCAAATTTGAGAGATTAGTGCACGTTGCTAAAGCAGAACCTAATCCAGATGCACCAACTGCACCAATTTAATTTCCACTTTTCAATTATTGAAAAAAAAATATTTCATTAATTAGTTAGCTGGAATTAAAAAATGAAGAAAAAATATGTAATAATTAGAAATAAATCAATTACTAATGAAAGCAAAATTTGAAATATAAAAATGAGGTATTTTTGCAAAGAAAAAAAAAAATAAATAAATTAAAAGAATTGGTTTGTGTTAAATTCATTTTTATATTAAAAAATATGATAATCTAAAACAAATAAAATATTTTACCAAAGATTAAGAGCTAAATTTTAGATATTAGTGCAGTTTGCTAAAGCAGAACCTAAGCCTGATGCACTTTAATCATCAATTTAATTTTAACTTTTTCAATATTGAATAAAATAATAATAATTATTAATTAATTAGTTAGTTAGAATTAAATAGGAAGAAAAAATATGAAAATATTAGAAATTAATTAATAACGAAAGTAAAAGATTTAAAAAAAAAATGAGCGAGTTTAATTAAAAAAGAAAAATAGAAAAACAGAAGCAGAGTTTAAAAGAAAAAAAAGAAATCAAATAAAAAGCTAACAAATAAAAAGAGTTATAATGTTAAATTCATTTTTTTAAAAAAAAATTATCATGATCCAAAACAAATAAACTGCTTTTACCTAAGATCAAGTATCAAATTTGAAAGATGAGTATAGTTTACTAACGCAGAACCAAAGCCTTATGTACCAATAGCACCAATCTTATTTCCACTTTTAAGACATTGAAGAAATATATACAATTAGTTAGTTAGTTAAAAGGAAAAAATATCACAATCCAAAACAAAAAACTTTTTTACCAAAGAATAAGTGTAAAATTAGAGAGATAAGTGCTGTTTGCTAAAGCAGAACCTAAGTTAGATATACCTTCATCCCCAATTTAATTGTAACTTTTTAAATATTGAAGAAAAAATAAAAAATAAATTAGTTAGAGAGTAAGTAAGTGAGTGAGTGAGTAAGAAGGAAAAAATATGAAATAATAAGATATAAGTTAACTGATAATGATGGCTAAAGTTGAAATTTAAAAAATTATTTAAATTAATAAACAAAGAATAAAAATAGAAGCAGAATAAATTAGAAAAATTAAAATAAATTAAATTAGTTATATTGTTTAAAATTTATTTTAACACTAAAAAATATCACAAAAAACCAAAAAACAAATAAACTGTTTTTACGTAATATTCAGTGTCAAATTTGAGATATTAGGGCAGTTTGCTAAAGCATTACCTAAGTCTGATGCACCAATTGCACAAATTGAATTTCCACTTTTTAAATTCATTAGTTAGTTAGAAGAAAAAATGAAGAAAAAATAAGTAATGATTAGAAATAAATTAGTTAATAATGAAAGCAAAAGTAGGAAAGGAAAAAATGAATTAGCTTAATTAACAAACAAATAAAACTAAACAGAAGCAGAATAAAAAAGAAAAATAATCAAATAACATAAGATTAAGTATCAAATTTGAGAGATTAGTGTATTTTACAAGAGCTAAACCTAAGCCTGATACGCTTTTATCACCAATCGAATTGTAACTTTTTAAATATTGAAGAAAAAATAAATAAATTAATTAGTTAGTTAAGGAAAAAATGAATAAAATATGAAATAAGAAGAAATCAGTATTGTTTAAAATAAATTCATTTTAGTGTTAAAAATATCGCAATCCAAAGCAAATAAACTGTTTTTACCTTAGATCAAGTGTCAAATTCGAGAGATTAGTGCAGTTTGCTTAAGCAAAACCTAAACCTGGTGCACCTACATCATCAATATAATTGTAACTTTTTAAATATTTAAGAAAAAATATATCATAAATAAATAATTTAGAAGAAAAAAATGAAATAATAAGAAGAAAGCAATAAATAAATAATGAAAGTAACAGTTATAATTTAATAATTTAAATTAAAAAAGAAAAAAAAAAAAACTGGAGTTGAATTAAAAAAAAAAATAATTCAAATAAAAAGAAAATAAATAAATTAAAAGAGCTTTTTTGTTTTAATTTAATTTTTATGTTAAAAAATATGACAATCCAAAATAAATACACTGTTTTTACCTAAGATCAAGTATTAAATATGAGATATTAGTGCAGTTTGCTAAAGCAGAACATAAACCTGATGCACCACTTGCTCCAATATAATTTCCACTATTTAAATATTGAAGAAAAATTATAATATTATTAATTAGTTTGTAGGAAAAGATGAAAAAAATATGAATTAATTAATTAACAACGATCAAAAGTTGAAAATGAAAAAGTGAATTAGTTCATTTAATAAAGAAAAAAAGCAAACAGAAGCAGAATTAAAAAGAAAAGAAATCAAAAAAAAAGCTAATAAATAAATTAAAAAAGAGTTGTTTTGTTTTAAATTCATTTTTTATTAAAAAATATCACAATCAAAAACAAATCAACTGTTTTTACCGAAGATTAAGCATTAAATATGAAAGATTTGTACAGTTTTTTAAAGCAGAACCTAAGCCTTATGCAGCAATTGCATGAATTTAATTGTAGCTTTTTAATTATTAAAGAAAAAATATTTAATTAATTATCTATATAGAAGAAAAAAATGAATGAAAATTTAAGAAATGATTATAAATAAATTAATTTATAATTAAATACAAAGTTAAATTAAAGAAAAAAATAAATAAAAACAAGCTGAATAAAAATGAAAAATGAATCAAATAAAAAGCTAATAAATAAATATATTAAAAGAATCATATTGTTTTAAATTCATTTTTATATTAAAAATATTTTAATCCAAAAAAAATAAACTATTTTTACCTAAGATCAAGTGTCAGATTTGAGAGATTATTGCACTTTGCTAAAGCATAACCTAAGTCTGGTGCACTATCATCAATTTAATTTACACTTTTCAAATATAGTTAATTATAAGGAAAAAATATGAAATCAATAATAATAAAGTAAAAATTCAAAATTAAGAAATTAGTTATTTAACAAATTGATAAAAGAAAACAGAGGCAGAATAAAAAAGAAAAAATAAATTCAAATCAAATAAAAAACTAATAAATAAATTAAAAGAATTAGTTAGTTATATTATTTTAAATTCATTTTTATATTAAAAAATTTCACTAACCAAAAAAAAAACCCTATTTTTACCAAAGATCAAGTCTCAATTTTGAGAGATTAGTGCACTTTGCTAAAGCAGAACATAAGCCTGATGCAAATTTATCTCCAATTAATTTGTAACTTTTTAAATATTGAAGAAAAAATATATTATTAATTAATTAGTTAGAAGGAAAAAATGAAGAAAAAATATCAAATAAAAAATTATTAATTAATTAAAATTCAAAATAAAAATAAAAATTTAAAATGAAAAATAAGTTAAAAAAAATATTTGAGAAAATAAAAATGAACGAAAGAATAAAGATGATAAATTATATAAGAAAAATAATTTTGCTAATAACTTTAAAATTAAATTTATAAAAAAATTAATAATAATATAAATATACTTCTGAAAAATATGGAGAATCTAGTGAGATTATAGCGAAGAGTTTAAAAACTTTTTTTATTAAAAAATATAAATTTAAAGAATATTCCTAAATAAATAAATAATTACTTCTTCTAGATCTTAAAAATATTTTTTCGATTATATCATTAATTTATTTTTTCAAAAATATTGAATATAATCAGTTAACGGATATTTAATTAATAAAAAATATATTAAAAAATAATTTAGTTTAATTTCAAATTAATATCGATAAAAAGATCAAGTAAATTATAATATGTATTAAATATGAATTTATAAAGTTTTAGTCTTACTTAGGAAGAGATTTGGCAGGTAAAAAAGTTAGATAGCAATCATTATTAAATCTAAGCATTTCTAAAATGGATAGCTAGTTAATAATATGTTGAAAAAATTGCAGTAAAAATACAGTGCAACTTGTCTATATTGGGCACCTCGGGACCAATTAAATTTGCCCAATATATAGAGGTGCCCAATATGATTTTTTTGATACAAAAATACCAAAATATATCTAAATATTTAAAATATTTTATATATTGTAATTTTTATTTAACCTTTACTTATGTTTATAAAATATTAATTTCCATTATTAATACATCTAATTTATATGTATGATATAAAAACTTTTCATATATGTAATAAGATAATAGCAATTATTAAAAGCTTTAATTAATTTTGGCGAAAACTAATGACTAACTTTAGAGGAATTAATTTATTTAAGCTAATTCAATTTTAAAATAAAAATTGTGATATTTATAAATGTAAAAATAATTATAAATAGATTCATATTTTTTTTTGGGTTAAATTATTCTATTTCAAAATATTTTCTTGATTTATTTTTATCAAAAATATAATTTAAAGGCAACTAATCTTTTTGATTTAAGATAATGGCTGTTTCCTTTCAATGCTTCTGGTTCAATTAATTCATTAAAACTTTTAATATAAATTAGTGTAAATTATTAATCAAAATTATCTTGAATAAATTATTTAAATAAATAAAAAAATATAATCAGAATAAATAAGAAAAATAAATCAAATAAAAAAATAAGTTAATTATAAGTAAAATATTGTTTTAAAATTCTCTTTTATATTAAAAAATATCACTATCTAAAACAAATAAACTGTTTTTACCTAAGATCAAGTGCCAAATTTTAGAGGATAGTGCATTTAGAAAAAGCAAAACCTAAGACAGATTCACCAATTGTACTAATTTAATTTCCACTTTTCAAGTATTGAAGAAAAAATATAAAATTAATAAGCTAGTTAGAAGCAAAAAATGAAGAAATAATAAGAGATGAATTATTTAATAATAAATTCAAAAGTTAAAAATAAAATTGTAGAGTTAAATTAACAAAAAAATAAAGAAAAACACAAGTAGAATAATAAAAAAAATAACTAAAATAAAAAGCTAATAAATAAATTAAAAGAGTTTTATTGTTTTAAATTCCCTTTTATATTAAAAATACTACAATCCAAAACAAATTAACTGTTTTTACCTAAGATCAAGTGTCAAATTTGAGAGATAAGGATAGTTTACTAAAGCAGAAGCTAAGCCTTATGCAGCTTCGTCACCAATTTAATTTTCACTTTTTAAATATTGAAGAAAAATAAAAAATAAATTAATTTGAAGGAAAAAAAAAAATAATAATAAATGAATTCAATATTAATGAAAGAAAAACTGAAAAATAAAAAAATGTGTTAAATTAATAAATAAAAAAACTCAAGCAGAATAAAAAAGAAAAAAAAAACAAATAAAAAGCAAATAAATAAATTAAAGGAATTATTTTTTTAATGATATTTATATTAAAAAATATCACAATCAAAAACAAACAAACTGTTTTACCTAAGATTAAGTGTCAAATTTGAGAGATTAGTGCAATTTGTCAAAGCAAAACCTAATTCTGATGCACCAATTTAACCAATTTAATTTCTACTGTATAAATATTAAAGAAAAAATATGTAATTATTTAATTAGTTAGTTAGAAACAAAAAATGAAGAAAAAATATCTGATAATAAAAATGAGCTTAAATAAAAATAAAATTGAAAATGAAAAAATGAATGAGTTAAATTAACAAACAATTAAAAAAATGCACAAGCAAATAAAAAGAAAAAGAAAGATGAACTAAATAAAAATTAGTAAATAAATAAAATAGTTTATTGGCTTTGAATTCATTTTTATATTATAAAATATTGCAATCAAAATAAATAAACCATTTTTACTAAAGATTAAGTGCCAGATTTGAGAGATTAGTGCACTTTCCTAAACCATGACCTAAAGCAGATGCACCGATTGAGCCAATTTAATTGTAACTTTTTAAATATTGAAGAAAAGATAAACAATATATTAGTTAAAAAAAAAGCAAAAAATGAAGAAAAATATGAAATTAAAATAATTCTAATTAATTATGAAAGTAAAACTTAAAATAAAATAATGAGTTTAATTAACAAACAAAGAAGAAGAAAAAATTTTAGCACAACAAAAAACGAAAATCAAAATAAATCTAATTAAATAGTAATACATAAATTAAAATAGCCACGTAGTTTTAAATTCTTTTTATATTAAAAAAATACCAAAAACAAATAAACTGTTTTTACCTAAGATTAAGTACCAAATTTGAGAGATTAGGGTAATTTGCTAAAACAGAACCTAAGAATTATGCACCAATTGCGCCAATTTAATTGTGACTTTTTAAATATTGAATAAGAAATAAAGAGTTACTTAGTTAGTTAGTTAGTTAGAAATAAAAATATGAAATTAAAGAAATTAATTTATAATGAAATGCAAAATCGAATTTAAATTAACAAAAAAAAAAACATACAAGTAAAAGAAAAAGAAAGTTATATTGTTCTATATTAATTTTTATGTTAAAAAATATTATAATCGAAAACAAATTAACTGTTTTTACCAAAGATTAATTGTCAAATTTGAGAGATTCCTGCATTTTGCTAAAGCAGAACCTAAGCCTGATGTACCTTCATCACCAATTTATTATTCACTTTTTAAATATTGAAGAAATAATGAAATAATAAGCTATGAATTAATTAATATTTAAGTGAAAATGAAAAAACACAAGTATAATAAAAAATAGAAAAGCTAAATAAATCAAATAAAAAGCAAATAAATATTATATGAGTTATTTTGCTTTAAATTCATTTTTATTTTAAAAAATATCACAATTCAAAACATATTAAACTGTTTTCACCTAAGATGAAGTGTCAAATTTGAGATTTTAGTGCACTTTGCTAAAGAAGAACCTAAGCCTAACACACCAATTACACCAATTTAATTTCCACTTTTTTAAATATTGAAGAAAAAATATGAAATAATAAGGAATGTATGAATTAATTATGAAAGTAAAAGTTGAAAATGAAAAAATGAATGAGAAGAATTAAATAGAAAAATAAATCAAATATTATATTATAAGAGTTATTATTTTGCTTAAAATTTGTTTTTTTTAAATATCACAATCTAAAACAAACAACCTATTTTTACCTAAGATCAAGTGTCAAATTTGAGAGATTAGTGAAATTTACTAAAGCAGAAGCTAAGTTTGATGCACCAATTGCGTCAATTTAATTTCCACTTTTTAAATATTGAAGAAAAAATATATTATTATTTAGTTAGTTATAAGAAAAAATATGAAATAGTAAGAAATGAATTAATTAATAATGAAAACGAACTTAAATATGAAAAAAAGAATTTTAACAAACAAACAAAAAAACAAAAAAAGCAAAAGCATAATAAAAGAAAAAAAATAAAAATAAATAAAATAAATAGCTAAAAAATAAATTAAAAAAGTTACATTAACTTAACTCTTTTTTATACTAAAAAATATCATAATCGAAAATAAACAAACTGCTTTTACTTAAGATGAAGAATCAAATTTGAGAGATTAATACAGTTAGCTAAAGCAGAACCTAAGGCTGAAGCTCCGATTGCACCAATTTTATTTACACTTTTTAAATATAGATCAAAAAATATACAAATAATTTTGTAGCAAGAAGTAAAAAAAATCAAGAAAAAATATGAAATAATAAGAAATTAATTAATAATATAAACAAAAATTAAAAATAAAAAAAATAAATAAGTTAAATTAACAAAAAAAAAAACACATAATCTAATAAAAGTCTGATCAATAAATTAAAAGAGTTTTTTTTAACGATTTAAATTCATTTTTATATTAAAAAAATATCACAATCCATAAAAAATAAACAGTTTTTACCAAAGATTAAGTTTCAAATTGGAGAGATTAGTACAGTTTGCAATAGCAGAGCCTAAACATGATGTGTATTTATCACCAATTTAATTTCCACTTTTTAAATATTGAAGAAAAAATATAGAATTATTTAGTTGGTTATAAAAAACAAAAGTTGAATAAGAAAAATTGAGTAAAATTAACAAAAAAAAATAATAATAAAGGCAAGCAGGATAAAAAAATAAAGAAATAAAATCAAATAAAATATTTTATAAAAATATTAAAAAATATCAATATCCAAAATAAATAAACTATTTTTACCCAAACTCAAGTGTCAAACTAAAGATATTAGTACATTTTGCTAAAGCAGAACTTAAATCTGAAGTATCTTCATCACCAACTTAATTATAACTTTTAAATATTCATGAATAAAATTTAATTAATAAGTTATTTAGTTATTTAGAAGCAAAAATGAAATATAAAAAATGAATTAGCAAAATTTAAAAATAAAATATGAGTTAAATTTACAATCAAATAAAAAAACACTAACGGCTTAAAAAAGAAAAAAAAAATAAATCAAATAGAAAGCTAATAAATTAAAAAAAAATAATTATTTTAAATTAATTTTTAAATTAAAATATTACAATCCAAAACAAAAAAACTGCTTTTTACCTAAGTTGAAGAGTCAAATTTGAGAGATTAATACAATTTGCTAAAATAGAACCTACTAATCCTGATGTACCAATTCCACTAATTTAATTTCCACTTTTTAAATATTGAAGAAAAAATTTATTAGTTACAGAAGGAAAAAATGAAGAAAAAATTAAAGAAATTAATCCATTATTAATTAAATCAAAAGTTGAAAATGAAAAAGCGAATTAGTTAATTTAACAAAGAAAGCAAACGCAAGTAGAATAAAAAAGAAAAATAAAAATAAATCAAATTAATATCTTATAAATAAATTAAAAGAGTTTTTCTGTTTTAAATTCCTTTTAATATTAAAAAATATCAAAACCAAAAACAAATAAACTAATTTTACCCAAAATTAACAGTTAAATTTGAGAGATTAGCGCATTTAGCTAAAGCAGAGCCTAAGCCTAATACTCCTTGATCACTTATTTAATTGTAACTTTTTAAATATTTAAGAAAAAATTAATAATTAATTTGTTAGCTTGTAAGAATAAATGTAGAAAAAATATGAAAAAATAAAAAATGAATTAATTTATTATGATAAAAGCAAAAGTTGAAAATCAAAAAATGAATGAGTTAAACTTAAGAAGAAAGAAAAAAAGCAATCAGAATAAAAAAGAAAAAAACAAATCAAATAAAAATCTAATAAATAAATATATTTAATAAGCTAAATTGTTTTAAATTCATTTTTATTTTAAAAATATCGAAATCCAAAATAAATCAATAAATTGTTTTTACCTAAGATGGAGTGTCAAATTTGAGAGATTAATACAGTTTGCTAAAGCAGAACTTAAGCCTAATAAACCTTCATCAGTAATTTAATTTACACTTATTAAATAAAAAATAAGAAACCAATTAATTATGAAAACAAAAATTGAAAACGAAAAATTGAGAGTTAAGTTAACAAATAAGGAAAACTAAGTCAGAGTAAAAAAAAAAAACAAATCAATAAAATGCTAATAAATAAATAAATTAATTAAAAAGTTATTTATTTTTTTAAAATTCGTTTTTATATTAAAAATATTACAGTCAAAAACAAATAAACTGTTCTTACCAAAGGTTAAGAGTCAAATTTGAGAGATTAGTGCACTTTGCTAAAGCAGAACTTAATCCTAATGCCCCTATTGTACCAATTTAATTGTAACTTTTAAAATATTGATGAAAATATGTATAGTTAATTAATTAGTTAGATGAAAAAAACATATCAAATAATAAAATTAAATAATTAATAATCAAAATAAAAAATGAAAAATAAGTTAAAATAATTAAAAAAATATATTTATAAATAAAAATGAATGAATATAGAAGAAAGTTTTTATAAGAAACATAATATTCTAAACAACTTGAAAATTAAAAAAAAACATAATAACAATTATGTAAATAAATTTAATTTACTATTGATTAATATAGAGAACCTAATGAGATTAAAGTGAAGAGTTTAAAAACTTTTTTATAAATAAAAATAAATTTAAAGATTATTCATACAAAAATAAATAAATACTTATTATAGGTCGTCGAAATATTTATTGTTTTAAGTCATTTATTTTTTTTTCCGTAAAATATTGAATAGATATTAATAGAAATTTAATTAATTTTGAAATTATTAAAAAATTAATTTAATTTTATTCAAAAAAGATATGACAAAAAAGTTATTGTAACATTGATTATAAAATCTTAATATATTTATTTAAAATATATCCTTAAAAATATATAGGATTTAGAGATGAGTATTCAATCATATATTAAAAAACTTAGAGTAAATACAGTATTTAAATAAGAAGAATAAATCTTAAATAATAAAAATATATTTTTGTTGGAGATATTTCATTATAGAATATAATATATTTATTAGTACAGATAAAATTTCTAATTATCTAACTTTAAAATTGATCAAAATTTTTTGTTAAGGAAAGAAAGTTTATTTATATCCATTCAATAATGAATGAAGCTTCAAAATCTACATATATAAAATAGATAGCTTTGAACATGATTAAAAATTAATAATATAATGTGGTCATTTTAATAGAGTTAGCATTAATACAAATTGAAACAAATATTGAAACATAAATGCCAAAATAGAGAAATTAAATTTTTTGTTGTAATTTAATAAAATTATTCAAATTATGAAAAATTCAAATATAATATGAATGTATATATATATGTACATAAATGGTTTAACATTTGTTATACTTATTATTAATTAAATAATTTGCTTTAAGTTTTAAGAGAGTAATTATATGAAAATTAAAGTAAAGTCAGCATATATTATTAACATTTATTAATTGTTAATATGACTGACTGATAAATGTAGGTTTAAAATCCTGGAACATTTACTATTTAATTGAAATTAATTTTAAAGAATCATATTTACAAATTGAAAATTTAAATAATTCTAATTATCTCTTTATTATAAGTAAGTAAGTAATTAAGTAGTACATTATTTTTCACCAATCATCATCCACTTCAGATATATCGAATCCAACCTATAGAAAATAATTTTTAACTATAAAATTTTTAAATATTAAAATTTACCTGTTTTGACATGTTAAATACAGTATTCTTAGTGTCTATTTTAGGAATCAGCAATTCCTGAGTTAGTTATTTGTTAATGAATATCTGTTCATATGTTGAAAGCGACTTTTTTAAACTAATAGGTAGCTACATTGCTATACTCTCAGATAATCCTATTGATATAGTTAAATATTAAGGATAGTAAAATTATTTGATTAATTTATACCTGGTATAATCTTTGTTAATTCTTGCATTTAATCTTCTTGAACTTTTTTTTGATACTGATGTGCGATGAATCTCTTAAATTGACTCTTAATATTAATAAGGATTTTAATGAATGATTTTTGAATGTATTAATTACAATTTGCGATATAATTATGAGAGACCCTATTTCCTCTTTACTACTCATCAAAATTTTCTAAGATATGTCATCAAACATATGGTTGTTATTGATAGAAGGTTATTTCATGTAAGTTTATAAATTTTTGATATCATTTTATATATTCTATATGGAGTGATTGACGATTTTATCTTTGTTAAACTCATTAAAACTTCCAAGACTGCCAATTTATATTTTTTGATTTTTAAAACTGTTTGCGTTATTAGTGGAATTCTTATCAATGTTTGGAAGCTTTCTAAATTGTAGCTGTTATCCATTGTTCATCAAGCCACCATTAAAACAATCTAAAAGATTATTACTATCTATTGGAGTTGTTTACTTCTTAAAGTAGGTGTGAGCTAGATTGCTACCAAAGTTATTATCTGAATATTAATCTTGTCTTTCAGATAAATTTTAGTCAAGGTTATCTATTTATTTAAAAAAAAACAAAAATATAACTTGCTGATTTATAATAAAATAAATAAGAGTTCGAATTTAATTATGTTTCTTTTTTAGTAGAATTAAAAAAGACAAAATATCTATTTACAATCAGATTGTTACTAATCTAATTCGAGGTGATTATTAGAATTTGATGAATTTTGAGCTTATTTTTGTTCTTAATTTTATCCATTTAGTTTCTTATTATTTGACAAGGCACTCGCATTATTTAGCAATATCTGCAAAAATTAATCACCATTTTTTTATATATCGTTTCTTGTGCTTCCTTTTGGTAATTAAACAATATTTGGGGAAAGGGTTTGAGCAATTAGCATATTCCTGAAATCATTATTCGTTTTAGCCATTTAATTTTTAGGTAAACTACCATGATTAGAAAATCCTAAACTATTAGTTTAGAATTTCAAATAATTGCTTTTATTGTTACTTGAATTAAATTAAAATTTTTATTGAGTTTTTCTAAAATTTTTGTGTCCATTTCCTAAATTTCCACTGCCTCGATCAGATAATAGATTCACATTATGAAATTAAAATATTGGTTGGTCTTCCAATTCTTTTTTATACTGTTTGAAGATCTCTTTGTCTTAAGCCTTTACTAACTCTATTTTTTTATAGCTATTTAGTGAATCTACCTAATTTTATAATGAAGGGAGTCTCTTTTACTCTTATTGATGAAAACTAGATTTGAATCTTTCTCGTTAAGATGTATACTGATCTTTGTCTTTCTTAACTTGAATTCTACTTTAAGCAGAATTTCCTATTTTGGGTCTAATAGACTACAAAGAACTTGCGCTTCTTTCTTACTTTGATATATTTACAATATTTATTTACTTATTCAACTAATCTAGATTATCGAGCAGGTCAAAGTCCTTCTTAGTTTCCTACACAAAGTCATCCTTTTCTTTAATAAAATCAAATTTAATGAGAGAGAAATTGCTAACATTCGTTTAAAGGCGATATTTTTTAAAAATAATGAAACTAACAAAACTAAATAAATGCTTTTTGTCTATATCATAAAGGATAATTTAATAAATTACAAAAGTTATATTCACCACAATTAACTATTCGAGCTTCAAACGCAGGAGTGTATGAAGATCTATCAGTAATCTTATTAAGTTTTCTAAGATATTTCATCCCATAAACTACTAAACCAAAGGCTACATATTTCTAGTCTTTGTCAGGTTAAGCTCCAAGAGTAATATAGAATTAAGACGCATTAGTGTGAGGTACACCTTAATTAGCCATTCCAACAATTCCAGGTTAATCATGTTTTATTGCATAATTTTCGTCTTCAAATGTTGGACCAAATATGCTTTCATCCTTTTCGAATTCAGAGAAAGCTCCACCTTAAATGAAAGCATTTTTTTAAATGGCATGAAATAAAGTGTTTTTATATGTAAGACGCTAGCCTTTGGAGTTTTTAAAATTTCCTTAGCAAAGTTGGTAGAAGTTTAAACAGGTTTTAGGCATAATCTTTGAATTGAGTTAAATAATAATACGAAACTAATTGATTTTTTACACTTCTTAGATATTTATGTTGATGCTGTGCATAGACTTTACTTTTTTATTGCACTCAATAAATCCATTCTTAAGCTTAATGTCGAAGAAGACATATGTAAATGTCTCACTAAAATTAAAATATTGCAGAAGCTTGCTGTGAGTCATTTAGGTGAGTTATAGCAAATATTCGTTTTGCTAATTGAATGAATAAGGTATACTTCTAATAAAAATTTCTTATGGGAGACCAAGCTCAGTGACAAATACAGTAATAAGATGCAATAAGCTTTCAACATATCTGCTTGAATTAATTAATATAATAGGTGAGTTATAACTATGATTAAGTATATCATGAGATTTCCTTTTCAATTCCTTTAAAATGTAATCAAAATGAGTTTGATGTAGTGTTACTATTTCAATATCTACACAGTCACTAAAGTAGAGCAAATCTTCATTTGAATCAGTATCATTATTAATCCAAAGCTCGCTTTACTAAATAATAAATTCAAGCTCTGGATCGCTATTTTTTCCTATAATAAGGACTTCCATTTTGCGAGAATTTTGACTTTAAAAGGTCTATCTTAGATACGAAGACCCTGTTGATGGAGTTGCAGCTCTTTATTACCTACTCGTAATATTTGAAGCAAAATTTATCATGAATCAATAAAATTTTTTAGTTTTTGGAGCTGAAAAATCTTAAGAAAAGCTAATATAATTGAAATATTTTATGCTGGAGTCTAGTATTATATTTTATAAGATTATAGTAGTATTTTTGTTGGCAGACAATCTGAATAATATTTTTCTTTTTTAATTCTTTATTAAAACTATTGATTCATCAAATTAAAGAAATACAAACAAAATATAAATAAATCCAAGAAGTTATCAAATTTTTCTTTTTGCGCTAATTAGAAGTGTAATTAATTCATTTTTACATAGATAAGAAAAATAAATCAATCCAATAATAGATAAATATCAAAAAAATAGTATATAAAATTCAAGGAAGAATCAGCTTATTTTTTATTATAAGCATATATTTAGTAAGATCAGTATGCGAATAGTAAAACCAATATTTTGCAAAATAAATATATCAAAGCAGTAAAAATATTGGTAAAAATTGAATAATATAAATAGTAATTATTTACAATTTAGGGCTAATAAAGAAAGATCTTTATTTTTTGTGATAAAAACCCAAAAATCAAAATTAAAACTTACTTTCATTAATATTTTTCTATTATTTCAAAATTTATAAGACCTGAAAACTAATACTCTTAAAATTTTGCCTCTATTAAATTGAATATTCATTCATTTTTTCATGTAACAACATAAAATAAACTTATTATACTACTATCTAATCCAAATAAAATTTATGTATATTTAAATAAGTTGAAAGTAATGCATTCTACAGCTTCAAAAGTTTATCGACTAATTTTTGTAAAGTTAGATAAATGAGTTCTATCTTTAAGTATGAGATTACTAGAACTGTTAAAAATTTCTTTTAGAAATGATATATTAAAGCTTACATTACAAAGAACAAATAAAAGTGGCAATTATTTTCAGTTAAAAAATATAAATTGATAATTTTTTGATTTTAAAAAAATAAAAATATAAACAGAGCAAGACTGATTAAAAACAAACACTTCAAATAAATTAAACTTATTACAATAAAAACATAAAATAAATTTTAATGAAATTTTAAATAAAATCTTCTTAAATACAAAATTTACTTTGATGAAAAGTAAAATTTATGTATTTAAACAATTCAAGGACTATAACAGAAAAATTATGAAGAAAAAAAGATAAATATAATTAATTTAAGTTTGATTTAAATTAAATTCAAGTAGAGATGGACTAATAAAATGAACTAAAATTATTTAAAAAAATATTTCATATTAGTGAAAAGATAAATTTAATTATTTAAATGACACGAATTGTAAAATATTTTAATATGAAATGAAAAAATCTTTGTTTATATATAAACTTCTAACAATTAATTTTGTAATTTTAATTGGTATTTGAAATAATTAAGAATATTTTTTATTTTTTTTTACATGCAAATACAATAATTGATTAATTAATAATTAGTTTTTTACATTCTGATTAAAAAAATAGAAATTTGCCAGCAATTAATTTAGCAGCCAAACGATTATCCTACATTATATATAATCAGTAAACTAAAAAAACAAACAAATAACTTCAAAATGAATGCAGATAAAATTAAAAAATGGCTCTTTTTATAAGATAATAATCCTAACACCTAAAAGTATTTAACAGAAATGCATTTTTAAGTAACTTTTTAGCCAAGAATTTAAAAATTGCTACATAAATTATAGCTAATGTCATAAATCATTGGTTTATTGCTACTAAATTATAATACAATATATAAAAACCTATATTAATATTTATTTATTATAATTGAAATAGAGACTGAAATGGATGAGGTACTGTTGTATTATTCTGATTATTTGCTTTGTTTTATTTTATATGGAGTATATCCTAGAAGAGAAGAAGTATATTTCTATTTATTTTATAGTCAGCATTACCTCTCTCTTTGGTCTTTTAGGAATACATTTTTTCACCAAACTAAAATAGCACTACTCTTACTTTCTATCTGCTTGCAGATTAACTATTTCTTTAACATTTTTGCTGGTTGGAAAGGAAGAAATTTAAGAAATATGCTCATCTATCTAATACTTCAATATTTTAGTAAATACATTATAAAAAGTTTAGAAATTATTCTTTTGCTACTATTAAAATAAAGCTAAAGTTAAATTATTTCAATAATAAGCAATTGCTCTTGATAAATCAACTACTTTAAGCTTAAATTCTAAATTTTGCTATCGAAAGAATAAAATTATTTATATCAAATTCTATTTGATCTTTGAATTACTAAATATTAAATTTTATAAAAATGCAAAATTTAAATTGATAAACATTGAAAAAAAAGCAATATTTTTTTATTTTATTAATTAGGTAAATATTTATTTAGCCCTAGCTCTTTAAGCTCCTAACTTTATTATAGATTCTACTTCTATTTTAGTGCAAATAGGAGTACTGACCTTCTCGTTTGGTATTTCTTTTTTCAGTATATTGAGCCTAATTTTAAGTTACATATTGATATTTATATACAAATATAATTCTACCAAGTAGCTTGTTGAAAATTATGAAAAGTATTAAAATCAAAATTATTGGTCTGCTTTTGTTTTGAATAAATATCCAATATCTTTTTTTGTAACTAAATATTAAAATCAGTTACAATCTTTTGTCTTAAAAAGTAATTTATTGTTGTTTACTTTACAAATATATTGAATATTTTTATTAAATAGACTATAATAAAGAAGCTTAAATAAAGTACAATTATCTTAGTAATGAATAAAATTTCTTAAAATTCCTCCAAAGCATCAAAGTTAACTTAACTATGTCCTAATTTTCTATTGCTGATGAATTTAAATTGTCAGGGAAAGATACTGACTTTTTAACATTTTTGAAATAAAAACAGAAGTCTAATTCTCTGCTAAACCAATAAAAATAAAACTAAAAAGTATATTCTCAAGTTGCATCTGTTAACAAAGATGATTTAGATAAGCATAAGCATCAAAAGTTAGCAGTTAAAAAGTTAATTTCAACTAACACCCTATCTTTTAACAAAAGCAATACATAAAGTTAATTAAAAAAAGCTTATTTAGAAACCGCATCTAAAACTATAAACGAAAACACATTATCTGATATATTAATAGCCCAGAGATTATGGTAAAGCTTATAAATATTAATTTATATATACAAATGAGCTAAATTAGTTACTTTTAAAAACAAACCTTCCAAATTTATAAAAAATTGATAGATAACTCACATTTCTTTCTTCTTTTGAAACATTTTATTTAGAAATCAAGGCAATATAATATTTAAAATATTTGATAGTGAGTTAAATTTTAATATAAAAAATTAGCTTTTTGATTTATGAATTAATAAATTGATAATTATTATTAAAAAATATTTCATTTTGAAAATTTTAATTTGACTCATTATATAATTTAATTTTTAAAAAGTTGATTTAAATTTTTTTAAAATTATTGAAAAAGGCAAGATATAGAAGCTGAACATGTAATAATTAGGGTATTTGAAGGAGAAAATATGGATGAATTTATGTTTTCAATTGAAGAATATCCTGTATAAAATTAGTCTTATCAAGGCGTTAAAAAACTTAACAAAAAGCTTACTAAAGTTGCTATTTCAGGGCTAAATTCTTTTAATCAAAAGTTTAATATTTTTTAAAATTCATTAAAATACCTTAAAGAATTGGCAAAAGAAATTGATTAAAGTATTTAAGGCAGAATTAGAAATACTCATATTGTTGATACATTGAAGTTTTAGATAAATGGTATGCTTTAAGAAGCTGTAATATTAAAAAATAGGATATTTTGTATTGAAAATTACATGAATATTTTTGTTAAAAAGAATCAAGTTAAGCTTAAAAGCGATTAAATAAACTTAGATCAAATGCTTTCACTGCTCAATAATTTCTTCCCTTAGGTTGATATCAAAAGAAATTATTTGGATAAGATTATCCAAAATGATTAAGAAAAAATTATGTATATTTTGATTTCTTACATTTCGAATGCAGCTACATGTGCTAAGGTTATGCCAATAAAAATGGAAGTTAGCAGTGTAAGCAACGATCCTAACATAAATTTAGTTAAAATGCCAATTGAGAGAATAACGAATGAAAATATATAAGATAACAACTCTTCTAATTAATATAATAGTGGGATAGCAGGAGGTGGTGTTATTATAACTCTGAATAATAATCAACATCATGCAACTGAAGACGATAAACCTTCTCCTCAATAATTAGATAATCTATCACATATATAAAAAGCTAATAATAATAATAACAATAATTTGTAAATAAATTAAAATAAAACATTTCTTTCAACTGCAAACCCTTAATCATAATTAAATCAAAATCTGCCTGCTGCTTCTCCTACTTAAATTTAGTCACAATACCCAAGCACAAACTTTTTATTAACAGGAAACAACAATCTTAATCTTCATTATAATACTGGATCACAAGCAGCGAATAATTCTAGAGAAGGAATCAATTTATATAATAACTAATATAACTAACAATAGCAGAATCCTTCTAATTAATTCATTTAAGTTAGATAAAATTCGTTTGCTAATGATAGCAATTCTTACTTGGATGGAATCATTTTTAAGATAAGTTTTTACCACGAAAAAGGCGAAGGTTTGATGGACCATTTCAACTGCTCGGAAGACAAAGACTCTTCCAAAGTTGAACAAAAAATTTTACAGAAATTTGTTAAAGCTGTTGGTCCTTAGCAAAATATTATTTGCAAGTCTCAAATGTAGATAAAGAGTAGCGAAGAAGAAGATGCAGATGATGTAGATGATGCTTTAAATATTCATGATTTTGAATAATTTGCTTTTTATTAAAATCATTTCAAATAGTTTTATCAGAGTAAATAGAATCAGTTTAAAAAAATATCCTCAAAAACAAGCTTTTCAAACAACAGACCGTATTAAAAGTCAAATTATTTCAATCATCAAAATGAAGAAGACGAAGAAAATAACATTAGTAATAACTAGACCCAAGATTAGTACACTCTATCAACTTTTGAATTGATAGTTTTTAGGAATAGTGAGATTTCTAACAACACATTTTTTAAAACTAGAAATTCAATCGCAAGTGTTAAGACTCACTTCTAATTAAATAGGATTAATACAGATGACATGATAACAAGGATAAAGGCATCATCTTCTAACTTTTAAATAGCTAATTTAAATAATCCCAAAATGAATATAAACAATATTTCTAATACTTATCACTATTAAGCTGATGGAAACTAAAATTTAAAAAACACATCAAACTAATTACCTACCTTCAACTTTTAAAAAAATCTAATAATTGGAAACACAGAGGCCATTTAAAACATAATAAGGTAAATACCAGATTAAGAGGAAATGAGTGAAGGAATACAAGATATTTCTGATGAATTGAAACATGGCGAACAGCATTCAGTACCACCTTCTATCTTTTAGAGAACTCTTCAATTCCAAACAGACCACATACACGATAATTAATCTCATATTTAATCATTCGAGGCAATACCTACTCAAATAAATAAAGAAAATAAGCATGAACAGCTAAAATAAGACTCTTAACAAAATATTTTAAATTGCGATATGATCGAACTGATGATTAAGAATAAAGAAAATAACGAGATAATAAATAGTAATTAAATTTCAAGCTTTAGTAGCCCACTTAAGACTAAATCTTTTTAAAATATTATAACCATATCTTAGAGTGTTAAAAATTGAGTGGCAATTTAATAAAGAAATATAGTGTCAAAAAAATACGCAATATTTGCCTATTATCTATTGCAGATTGAATATATACTATAATCTATAAATTAATTAGGTCATCAATAATTACAACTAAAATTCAATAAATATAAAATTTATGATTCAATTAGAGGTTTCCAAAAGGAATATCTTAATTATTGAGAGATTAGAGAGATGTCAATGAATTAATTTTAAAAAATGCAATATATTTCATCATAAACCATAAATAAATAATTCAATTAAATATCTTATAATCCAAACAAACAAGTAATTCTTGATTAAGTGTATGGATAGATAGTTAGAACTATTCTTAGATGTTTTTTAACTTAAAAAATATTACAACTTTCTAAAAAGATCTTTAAAAATAATTTTCTAATTGTATATTAATTGGGTTTGTTAGCTTGTAAATATATTTATTTCAATTATTTTTATCTTACCTGTAATTACTTTTGTTTCTTCTTATTATTTTAGAAGCCGTAAGTTGTTTTGGAAGTAAAAAGTATTCGATTATTTATCTATCCTATTTATTTTTATAGAAATATATTTTTATTTTTTGTGTTTGTAAATTTCATTTTATTTTTTATTTATCTTATTTAACTGCTAAGTAAAGCAATAGGTAAACAAAAATATTCTTAGCACAGGAATCGAACTTGAAAGGTTTTATAAAATACATATTTTTGGTGAGCACATTATAATTAAATGAAGAAATATATTTTTCTTATTTCAAATTAGTGAATGAGAGGGAAAAGGGGTTGAAATTTAAATAAATAATTTTTGATTAAAAATGGATACATTGAACAAAATAAGATACTTTAATGCTTCTAAATTGAAAATAAAATCAGTCAAAAATGAAAATACATTTGAAATAATGATTTTCAGATTAATTTGTATAAATGCAGATTATTTACAAAACTCAAAAGATCAAACTAATAAATAAGAAGAAAACCAATAAAAATGAGCAAAATTAATTTTTTCAAATGAAAAAATTTAATTAATAAAAATGAGCAAAATCATTAAATAAAAACGAAGAAAATCATCTAATAAAAATGAAGAAAATCAATAAATAAATTGTTTAGAATGAAGATCGTCAATTAATAAAAATGAAGATATTAATGAAAGAAAGAATAGCAACAATAGTGTATCATATAAAGAAATATAAATATAGATTGGGGTGTATTTGAAGATAATAATGTAATTAAATAAGGCGGGAAAAAAAAAAAAAGGGCGTCGGAGGGAATTGTTAATTAATTATATGTAAAAAAGAAGAGGAAAGCAAAAATGATAGAGATAGCGAAATTTTAATTGAAAATGAGCTACGATTTTACATGTAATCCTTAAGAAGGAATAAAAGTACAATTTTGAAGAAAAAATGAGAGTTAGTCAATTATGAATAATGAATATACGAGTCTATGAATATATACATAATGGATGCGTATATTTGGAAAGAAATACATAAATGGAGCAAAGGCGACAGCAAATGAAGTAGGAATGAAAATAAATGAAAGAGGAGAGTGAGCAATAATAAAAAGAAAAAAATATTAATAGGAAGGACTTAAAAAGGAACAAGAAAAATTTAAATATTGACAATCTTAATATTTTTCTGAGCTCCGCAATTTTCTTAATAAATTTGTGAATGAAAAAAAAATAAATAAAAAAAATATATAACTAAGTAAAAAGAAAAAGAAATTTGAAGGCTACTAGTCGTTAAGATATTAAGTAAAGGATGGGGCCTGATAACAAAAAGAGAGTTCACGGTACTCGCGGAGCTACTAAAGCAGGCAGCGCAAACAAGAATGGTGCTGATGAACAACAAGAATGTACATAAGTCTAAATTTTTTTGAAAAAATCAGACAAAAATTTTTAAATATTTTTCAAAAAAGGGATAAATAGTCTCTTGCTTAATCAAAATAAAATGCATTAAGTTTTTTGTTATGTTTTTTTTTTCTTCTTCTTTGCAATTCTTCTGATAATCATTTTCTTTATTGATTTTTCACAAGATTTGTTAATAGAAATTTTTATCGGGCTTTAATTTTTTATAAGTTAATATAAAGCCCCGCCTTTGGTTTTAAAACAATCCCTTTGAAATCAAAAATTTTCAAAAAGAAAGCATCGTCTTTAAAAACAAAGAATGAATGAAAACAAAGTATCTTTGATGTGAATTGATTGTATCTTAGTTCTTAATTAAAAATTGTTTGTTTATTTTTTTGAGCAGTCAAACAAATTAAAACAAAAGGAAACAAAAAAAAGCGCAATAATTTATTAATTAATTAATTTATCAATCAAGCAAGCAAACATTTAATATCTTTCCTTGCTAACAATTAAATGATCACTATAGTGGTAAATAATTGCTTAATTGATAAAAAAAAATATTGGATTGTACACAATATAATAAAATCAAAACAAAAAAAAACACATTGTTTTTTGAAATAAAAAAAAGAAGATAGATTAAACTACTAAGCAACAAGTTAATTAATCAATCAATCAATCAATAATATATTAAAGACTAAACAAAAATTCAAGAAGAAGAGAAGAAGAACTTAGCGATTAACCCTACTTATTATTTTGCATACACTTTATTATAATATCTTAATATATAAAACGATAAAACAGCCGATCTAGCTAACTAAAGTAGAAACATGAAAATAAAAGCTTCGGGCGAAACAGGCATCAACAAAGATGGCAAGAAAACAACTTAGATGAAAAATAAGGGCAATCTTAGGTCCTAATAAGGAACTGGATCATCTAGCTTGTAACAGTAATAATAATCGGGGTAGAAGAGGAAGCAAGGATTGGGAGGAAGTAATATTAAGTAGAGCTACACTTCTACTATTAACGATGATGAGTAAATCGATGAGGTAGAAGATGATATAGAGAACATAGATCATTAATATGATGTTATTCATAGTAATTACATCAACCATAATAATAACAACATGAATTCAGTGCAGTCATAATAATCAAAAACAAATCATCTGAATTCATAGTAAGCAAAGGATCTCAATCATAATACTTTCTAATCACCCTAGAGTCTTTTGGAAGAGAGCAAGGAGAACACTTCTGAGTGCAATTCAGCTCAGACAAAACTCCGTAGAAGCGCCAGGAATACCACAGAATCAAAATGTCTTTCATCCAATAAGACAACTCCTATACTTATTTCTCCTACTAAAAATGCAAGGACCAAGTAATTTTATTAACAATTAGTATTCTCATTCAAATCGCTTACTATATTTTTATAGAAAATTATTATTTTCTTAACTCAGTAATACAATAAACACGCTCATTCTAATTGTCAAATTCCTCTTTTTATCTTTAATCCATTTATAACATGCTTCCTTAATTAGCAAACAAATTTTATATAGATAAGCAGAGATTAAAATCACCTTTAAACCGCGAAAAAACTATAATTCCTATTGAAAATTTTTTTTCAAAATCTCAAACTAAAAAAATATAATCTTCTTTTATCAAATGTATCTTAAAGGATCACTTCATTTTTAAAACTATAATTTCATTCCAAATTTAAATTTTTTACAAAGATTTTGTGAATCATTAATGTTTAATACCTACCTACCTGACTGACTGAACATTTCTTGTTTCAGATAAAGATATTATAAAATAAAGAAAATAAAAATATTCCTTTCGGAGGATTGGATCTCCCCACCAAGGATTTTACCAAAATATGTAAAATAAAATGGGTAGGACCCCTTTAAAATTTATTTGCTTAAGCTAGAAAAAACATTATTATAATATTTTCTACGCAATGGTCAAAATCAAAGCTAAAAAATAAATTTTTGTTGTTAATCCAAATTTTAAACTAAATTTTCTAATAAATAAATTTTATATGCAATTCAGCGATTTTATCGTGATTCTTAAATAATTTTAGCATCCTTACAAAAATAATTTATTCCTTTCTTGGTATTATATGAATTCTTAATTAATTCAATTTTTTATGCTTTGACATTAAATGTCCTCAAACAATGAGAAATTCAGAACTAATCTAATCTAATTCTCGTTATATTTTAATACGATTTTGGATGGCAAAACTCAAAGTCTTTATTATATTTAATATGATTTCCCTCCTTTGCTCATTCAATCAAATTTTAAAAAAACTTTTTCGCAAAGGAAAATTCATTATAATTAATTAATTTAATAAAGAAATTTAAAAGCAATTAAATTTTAATAAATAGTTGATAAAATTTAAAATATTTTGATTTAGAGGGTAAGAAATTTTATATTTCGAATTTGAAATCTTCAAAATGTCTCTACTTTTTTACTGTTTTATTTATTTAAGCTTCTTTTTTCAAAAATATTTGCTTTTATTCGCTATGAATATTTAATTCAACTATTAAAAGCAGGCCCTCTATAATTGTTATTCCCTTACTTTATTTAATCTCGATTTGGGCGCTTTTTTTTTACAATTCATATGAAATCTTTCTTTTTTATGTTCTATCAGAAATTTAAAAAACAATTAGAAGAAACATAGCGATTTAAAATACTGAGAGAAATAACAAATAAGCAAAGAGAGAGAGTAAAGCAAAAAAAAATTTTAATAATTTAAACAACTCAGCATCTCTCCTCTTCCAATTTTTCTAATAAACAAGCAACATGAGTGTAGTATTGTAAACAAATTTTTATAAATTCAACAGCAAAAGAACCCACGCAGATGACTAAAGTCAAGATGAGCTTGAACCAGCTCTGCGTAAATAAATTCAAAAAAGTTTCATGGAGAATAGCCAAAAAATTGAAGAACCAGAAAGCGATAACGAACAACAATAAATCTAAACAAATTAATACCATAATAGAAATACTTTAGATAGTCTTTGCAATAGTTAAATTGAGGTAGAAGATGAAAATTAACTTTTTTCTAAGAAAGAAAACAAAGGTAGAAACTCTCGCTAAAATTACAGATAGCCTATAAGTAAAAAAGCTGATCTTAAAGTTGAAGCTAACCTAGACAACAATAATAACCAAGATGAGACAAAGGAGAATCATTTAATCACCTTTTCTTAAGAGAGAGACTCAACATATCAAAATAACATGGATCCTTCTCACAATAATGAAAGAAACTATAAAAATTAAGTTGATTTTGCTTAGGATGGAGATTCTGATTATAATCTAAAAAATATACGCTTACAAAGAATTAATTTTGAGTATTCAGAATCTGAAGATACAGGTGACTCTAATAGTTAAAACATCAAAAAAGCCAATAAATCAAGAACTTTAACATTTTAGCGTATCAGTAAAAAAAATTAAATAGGCAGCATAAAAGATGAACTCGATGGATAATCTCAGAGTTTCTAAAGCGGCAGTCTCTTGATCCAGGTTTGTCAAACTGATGAGCACTATCCTCCCTTATTCAACCAATAATATCTAGATGATAACTTTAACTTAATTTAAAAGAAGCAATGCCACATTCGCTAAAAGAGAAGATTCCTCTAACTTAACTCAATAAACAGCATCTCAGTTGATAAAAATAACTTGATCTATAATCTACTCGACATGAAGGTCATAAGAGAAAGAGAAGAAGGTAATTTGAAGGACTTGGATGGCATCGTTGAGTACGAACAAACTCTTAGACCTCAGACTACTTCTAAATAAAAAGTCAAATGCAACTGCAAGAAGAGCAAGTGCTTGAAGTTATACTGCGACTGTTTCAACTAGGGTCAATTTTGCAATTCTGAGTGCAATTGCACCGAGTGCTCAAATACAGAAAACAACAAAGCAGAAAGAGAAAGTGCAATTAAGCAACTATAAGAACGTAATCCTGACGCGTTCAAGCCTAAAATTCAAACAAAGGAGGTAATTAAATGCTTATTTTTTCTTTATATCTAAAGTACTAACTCAAGCCAAAAGCTTGATAGATAGATTTTTCATTCAATTTTCTCTTTTTTATAAGTTTTAAATCTATTTTTATTACGATTTTAATTTTCTTGTGGTTGAGTGTTTCTCATCAGCGCAAGCAAACAAATAAGCAAAGAGGAAGAAAGAAAGTTTAATTTGAATTGCATTTTTTAAAGTAATCCTTAATGCAAATTTTCTTAATAGTAAATAATTTAATAATATCTTTCTAAATTGTAAATTTTTATGCTAATAATTTCTTCCCTCCTTTCTAAAAATCAAATCCAATATCTAATACCTAAAATAGTAATCATACAATAAATAAATTAATCAACCTTCTTTTTTCAACTCAATAAATAAATAAATAAATAAATAGACTTGGCTTTCTCTAATTTTTTTGTATAAATAGCAATTCAAATTATGAGGATTTTACCCATACCATAATCACCCATATAATTTATCATAAATAAAGAGTCATAGATGCAGCTAAGCATTAACTATTTCGCTCTCTTTATTTTTAACATAAATTTTTTTTATTTAATTTCCCAGTTTAATCCCAAATTAACATTTGTTAAAAATTAATTTTACATTTAGTTCTATATTTTATTATTTACTTTTATCACTTAAGAGATAATTTAAAATTTTATTTTAGAACTAATTCATTTATTTTATTACATTTTAAGAATCTCTAGAAAAATTACCATGCAAAAAAATACAATAACAAATATAAATATATTTAAAATAGATAAAAGACGATGAAGAAATACTGATTCACAACAAAGGATGCAATTGTAAAAAATCTGGATGTGAAAAGAAATACTGTGAGTGCTATAATACAGGGGTAAAATGCAGTGACTAGTGTAAATGCGAAGGATGTAGAAACAGAGATCCTTCTGAGATAGTCAAAATAAATAATGCACAAAATAATCCGAGTAATGGAAATTCGTCATTCAGTAACTAATACAGTGGAAACAATAAATAAGTGGATCAATATCTAAACAACGAAGAGCTATACTAGCACAATAGTTAGAGTATGTTACACCATAACAGTAATTTAATAGGAAACTCCTTACTTAGATAGTCATAAGAGGATTCCATACCTAACTATTCGTAAAGCATGAAGAGGTTTAACATGGGAGAGTACAATCCGAATATACCAGCGAGACTTGGATCAATTGGAATCGATTCATAAAATATGTTCAATTCATAAAATAAATTTTATTTCTCTTAAGATGATAATCTTCCAATAAGATTCTCTCAGAACTCATAAAACAACATAAATCCCTTGAAACACTTCCAAAGCAGCATAGCAGGCTTCTCATCTTCATAATACAGAGGAGGAATGTTTGATGACAATAGCTAAAAATCAGAGAACCAAGTATTTGAGCTACAACTTACTGATGGATAGGTTAAAAATATAATAACGAAAAAGGAATGAAAACGATGAAAGAATTTATATAACCGACATTACCACCAACCAAACCATTTCAATAAATAAAAAACTATAATAACTATATTACATCTATAATAACTAATTGATTACAAACTTTTATAAAAGTAATTAACCATAAAACAAACAAAAAAATATAATAAAACTAATCCACCATAAATACTCTTTTAATTACCTATTTCAATCTTCTTAACTACTCCTTCATCCTCCCTTACTTCTTCCTATCGTATTTATTTAGAAATAAACACCTTTATACTATCCTAGCATAAAAATAGATGTCTCATATCTAAAAATGAAAAATAGATAATCTAATTATCTATCTATGTACCTATCCTATCCATCAACTTCTGTATCTAAGCATTCCATAAATAAATGCACTATCCTTCCTTCCAAATATTCCACTTAATCAATAAATATAATTGATAAATCCTAACAATTAAGCAATTTATTATAATAAAAATAATCCTTATTTTAAAATGATAATTACTATTCTATATAATTATAATAATGTTAGCTATTCATAATAGATATAAATAAATATAAATATTAATATAAATATATTATTTTCTATGCATTCTACATGTTTTAATTATGATTATTCCCTTTATCGGTTTACTTTTCAGTCACTAAAAAAATACACACCTATTAAAAAATTTATTGCTTATTATAATAACATTTTATTTTAGTGTTTTTAAGAGTTAATTATTATCAATAATCTAACTTTAAAGTTAAAGCTTAAAATCATAATGTTTTATTAAGTATTTAAAAATTAATTTCAATATTAAGAAATTATTAATTATAAAAAACAATAATTTTATTAGATTTAATAACTTAGCATTTATATGAATAATATGGACTAAATTACTATTAATTATATATAATTTATTCGAGTTAAAATCTAATTTTATATTTAATTATAAATATCTGGTTACAGTTTTTGAGATAATTAAGAAATAAATTATCATAATAAAAACATTTTTACTTTAGTTTTAAAAAAAACTTTTTTAAATTATAAATTTTGCTAAAATGTTAACTAAAATTTGATTTCATTTTCTGTAATTATCTATTACCTTTAACACTTTATTTTAATTTTACCCAAAGTTAGGTTTTAATTTTTTATCACTACTATATGACATTATACTGTCAAAATTATTATCAAAATCCTCAGCAATTTATTAGTTAATATCAAAGTTTTCTTTATCAACTAAGCTTATTGTACTCTTTTTCTATGACATTAAAAATGGATTATCAAAGTATTCATCTACTTTTTTATATCTTTATTCAAAAAGCTCTACTGAATATTACTTCCATCCAAAGAAACCCTTTCTCATTAACTAAATTAAAAATGAAAGTCAAAATTTTTTTAATTTAAAAAATATTTACATTAAAAGCAAAGTGTTTTGTTGCTATAAATTTAAGTTTCTTTAATTCTATAGATTTATAGAAAATATTTCTAAATTTATAGAAGAGCTGTCTTTTATAGAACTGGATGGATTTTATATTTTATATTTTATCAGCTTAAATTTATTGGTGATGCTAAATAAAGCTCACAAAAAATCTTTTTTTGAGAAGAGTTTACTGTAAGAAAGCACCCTTATCGTGTATCTCTATTTCTTCATTTTAAATATCAATTGATTTCTTCCACAATCTGATTGCTGATTTTAAATTCTTTTTTTTCTAAAGTCTATTTATAAATTGATTTGTTTAAATAAAAATACATCAAATTTACTAAATAAGTTTACTCTAATCTGTCAAAAATCTTTCTTGTAAAAATCTTTTTGTTGGCCAAATTTTACATCAATTTAATAAAATATATTTTTGTCAACTCTAAGTTTTTTATTTATTTCATAAGTATTATTTTTTTTGTGTAGCCTTTGTTTTTTTGAGAGTATTTTTTCATTTCTTAGAAAATTCTTGCCTTACAATTCTTTTGTTGAAAATAATAAATTCAAATTAGCTTTAAAAAAATCAAATACTATTTAATTACCTTCTCAATTATCTCTCTAGCATTATTCACGGCTTACTTTTTGAAAAAAGCTTTTTCTTTATTAATTTTCAAAAACTCGATAAAATATTAAGCTTTCTTAAAAAGACTCATATACATAAAGTAATCAGCCTTTTATATTTTTTCATTCATTTATTTCTTATTATTTAAATTGATTATCATTGATTTCATTCCTAATGTCATCAATCTCATATTGTCATGATTTATAACTATTTTATCAATAAACTTTTATCTCCATCTTTTCCAAAGACTATTTTTATAGTATATAAGAGCCAAATCCTAAATTTTAATTAAAAAATTAAATTATTAATTTTATTTTTAAAATGTTCATACTTTATTTTGCTTTTTTGATTTTTACTATTAAGCATGGTCTTAAAGAGTTTTTATTATCAAAGTAAAGAGTTTCTTAATGTAAAAATTCAAAGCCAATTTATCTTTTTTTCTTGACTCGCTATTTTGAATTGCTCTTTATTTCCAAGTCTCAAAGATGTTGAACTATAGTTGATGTGCTTTTTTATCTTTATTTAAAATTTACTTATTTAAAATATTCCTTTTTTAAGAAATTACTTAAATATTCAAAGACATTTGAGTATTTTTGCATTTTAATCTCTCTGTTTACTCTTAATATGTTAAAAGCTTTACTTATAAGAGTATTGTAGTGAAAAGAAAAAGCATCTCTGAAATACTCAGAGCTTAAATTAGTATTTTATTATAAAACTGCAAAGGCTTTTTGCACTTTTCTTTAAACTTATTATTTCTAAAATTGTTACACCTTTTATTCATATTCCTTTGATATTTGTTTTTCCTATTCAAAAGCAAATATTAACTTCTAAAAAACATTGTTTAATCTAAATTAGAAAGTGATTTTATTGTAAAATCTTTCAAGTCTCCATAGATTTAAATATTATTTTAAATTTATCAGATTCTTTTTATCTTCTATTTGTCTCAACTTTATTCTTTCTATCTTAGATCTCTCATAGAAAACTGTTACAACATCAAAAAAGAACCTTAAGGTTTTCTACAATTTAAAAGTATAATATTTTATTAAAATTAAAGCCATTTTTTTTTTTACATCATTGGAATGCTTTATTGCCATTTAATTCATTAATCTTTTTGACTTCTTTTTTAAAGAGTTCTTTTTCATTTCGAAAAGAACTTTACTGCATACAGTTTAGAAAAAAAAAGTATTTGATTTTAGTATTTTTTATTTGTCTTCTTGCTTTTAAAAATTTTAAAATAAAAATTATTTTAAATAATTATTAACGAAAGTCATTTACTTAATTATTAAAATTTTCAATCCACTTTGATATGTATTTCTTAGTCATTTTTTATCTATATTTATCAAAAACAATACTTCCTTTTCTTTGTAGCAATGAGTTTTCAACAGTGAATTACTTCCAAGAATAAATAACTTCCTATAATTTATTGCATCTTTTTTTATTTACAATAAAATTTACAATCAATAAGAAGAATTTAAAAATATTTACAATCTTTTTGAAATAAACTGCTCAAGTCCATCTTTAAGTTGCATTCTTTTACAAGAATAATTTTTGAAAACATTAAAAACTTTCTACATAACCTTGTAATTATATAGATTTGAAGCTTAAAAGTTTCTTTCGTATAAAGATTTTAAAACTGAAAAGTATGTGTGCTTTTTATTTAGAATAATATTTTCATTCTGCCTCAATAAAAGTTTGGAATTTTTTTAAGTAATCAAAGCATTTTTTATTAAAGATGTCACCAAAGGTTTATAATTATAATGAGCAGAACAATCTTAAAACAATTAGTAAATACTTTATAATTGAAGAGATTCATTCTATCTTAAAATGTTAGATAAATAAAGATTAATTATAAAATCTACTGAAATTGTTGAGGTAAAAATTAAAGAATTTGCTGCCATCCTTTTTTAATACTATTTTTCATGGTAATCCTTCATTGAGTAAAATGCTTTTTAAATGAGATTTTATGAAATATTCTTTTAAAGATATTCTATTTAAGTCTTCTCAAGAACTTTTTCATGGTATTTTTCAACAAATTTATACAAATATTATCTTTTTATCTTCATCTCGTTATTTCTCTTCACTTTATTGTATCTCTCCTGAGTTTCACTACTAACTATCCCAAATGCTTTCAGTAAGCAAAAAACTTTATCTTTTAACTTTCTTATAAAATAGCTATCAGCTTCTTTCTCTAGATTTAAAATTTACTACTAAATTTACCTTTTAAATAAAAATTAGTCAAAATTTTAATGTTAAACAATTTATTTACTTTTTCTTTTTTTACTAGTTTTTGTATATTTATAGTTTAATAAAATAAGAACTCAAAATTTTAATATTTTCTTGTATTGTACAAAAATCCAAATCAAAAAGTTATCTGTCTGTGCTTTTACTTAAAATTTTTGGTGTTTAGGCTTCATTACATTTTTTTTCTATGAATTTAACGAATAAGCTTTCTTTAGTGGTATTCTAAGGCAGATTGTAGCTTTAGTCTGTTTATTAGAAACTCATTTCATCTAGACTTTGCTCGTGTCCTGTCTAAAACAGATTATTAGCTGTATTTACTTGATGAAAAGAGTAGCTTTCATCTAAAAATTTTGTGTTATTTTTAACTCTGCAAATTGAAGAAGCATCAAAATCAGCAGACATCCTAGTCATATTTATTGCATTTTCGCCTAATTCATCCATATTAGTTTCAATCATATCAAGATTATCATACATACAGTTTATAAGGGATTTTGTATATTTAGTATTAGCATTATCTTTGGTAAATTTGATTGTCTTTGTTCTAAAAGTGTTGGTATTAGATGACATAGTGGCTAAATTATCAGTATTAGAAGCTGTAGCAACAGTTTCTAGCTCTTAAAATCCTTTTGTGTTTTCTAGCAGATATATATTTTTTTATTTCTTTTAAAAATTCGGAAGTTTATTTGGAGATGCCATCTATAGATTGTTATATGTAGAAGGCGAGTTATTTGTTTAAAGAGGTAGCTGAGATGGAGATGTCACTTAATTCAACTAGCTAAAGCTATTATTTGATTTAATCTATCTGTTACTTTAATTTTAATATTCTAATGATTCTTTCGCTGTCAATTATCTTATACTGTCATTATGAGATTCTTTTACTTTAGGCTTTTGAATAAAATTTAATTCAGAGCATTGTTTCACTTATTTGTTTTGCTCATCAATTTAAATTTCTCTTTGCATTTTATTGTTGCTACTTTTGTATAATAAGCTTAACTCCTAAGTAGGAGGGGACATCATCATATTAGAGCTTTTATTTTGGTTTTAATGACTATCTATACTAATATGAGGAGAATTTTTTATCTAAGACTGAGATGACTATTTTTATAAATTTTTCTAAGATACTTGATTTCTTTTGTACTTTATAAAACTATCAGATTCTGCTATGAAATTATCTTAATTCATTATAGGAGAACTGCTCTCTTATTGCTATTTTTTAAACTGATCTTTCTTTTTTTGTCTTTTGTAGAGACAGTTTTTAAGTAAAACAATAAAGGCCTTCATCATCAATTTATTTATATAGTCTTTATTTGCATACATGCTCAAATTCTTATTTGATTCAGCGCTCTCCTCAGATTTTTGATACTAAGACTTAACAGGCGATTTGAAAATTTATTTGCAAAAAGAAAGCCAATCATCCTTTGAACTGCCTTTAGGGATTTATTTGCCAATTTAATGAATGAAATTGTAATAAAGCTAATCCTTCTCTGAATTGATATCTTTTTTATTAAATTAATAAAATAGAATAAATATTATAATTATGCAGTTTTACTTCTCTAATAGAGTATTTCATTATAAGAACTTAACACTTTGATTGAATTAAATTCTGAAGTTGGATTATATCTCTTCTCTTTCTACCACTTTTGGAATGCTAGTTCTAAAATGTCTTCAAGGATATCTAAACCTTTATTGAATACAAATGAATAAATTCTCAATATTTGCTAAAAAATTAAATAAATATTTTTACTTATTCCAGAAGTGTTTATTTTTTCGCCATCCATTTTAATATCTTTAAAATAATCTTAAATGTTAATTAAAGTGAAAACTAATTTTTTACTAATTATTTGCTTGCACTTAATTTTGAAATTTGAATATAATAAAAATTTTTTAACATTCAAATTTGTTTATTATCCAACCAATAATATCAAATTATTATTCTACACAAATCTTAATTCGTTTGAAAATATTTTAAATAAATAATTTTTCTTTCTATTAATCAACCTTTTTAAATTACCAAATATTCAGAAACATCATTAAAAGAAAATTTAAATTATGAAATTAAAAATAAATCAATAAATATTTTGATAATAAATAAAAAAACTCATTAAAGTTTTTTGGGATAACATTAAAAATATTTTTATATTTTATATGCCAAAAAAAGTTTATAGGAATTATAAGAGATTTCATTTTATCATTTCTTTGTAGGCAAACTAAGTTAAAAAAATATTTAAATCTAAACAATATAATCACAATTAAAAACTAAAATTAGAGCAATTTATTTTGAAAATATTTTTTAAAAATTATCTAAAATTCTTTATTAGCTTAAATTCATTCCAAATTCAAATTGAATAAATTCACTAACAAAAAAAATATTTTTTTATTTTCATTTATGATATTTTAGTATCATTATTATCTAAAACAAGCAAGACTAAGTTATTAAAATGTTTATATTAATTAAACATTCATTATTAATTTAATTTTTTATTTTATTTTCAAATATGATAGAATCTGTTCATTTATTTTTAGAATTCGTAGAGTTTTCATAATTTAAACTATCAATTTTTAAAAAAATTTTCTTAACTACTTTTGTTAAAACAAATTTATTTAATTAATTAATTGTAAATTAGATCATTTTTTGTTAAAACATGTAATTTAAAATATGAAGGTAATACCTACTCTCTTGACTCATGCCAACTAAGTAAATGCTTCTTGTAATCCGAAAATTAATTGAGTTGCCCGCCTAGCTCAGTCGGTAGAGCGCAAGACTCTTAATCTTGTGGTCGTGGGTTCGAGCCCCACGGCGGGCTATCTTTTTTTAAATGAACAATATAATAATTATATAAGTAAATATTTTTTTGAGTTAAAAAAAAATTTCTTACTTAGGGAATAAAATAGAGACTTTTATTAAAATATGATTTCTAAGCCAAAAGAAAATTATTAAAAATTATTATTTATTTTATAAAAATAAATAATTTATGATATGAAATAAATCTTACATTGACTTGCTCACAAAGCAAATGCTTTTTATAATCCGAAAATTGACTGAATTGCCCGCCTAGCTCAGTCGGTAGAGCGCAAGACTCTTAATCTTGTGGTCGTGGGTTCGAGCCCCACGGCGGGCTATCTACTTTTTTTTAAATTAATGATAAAAGAATTTTATATAGTTAAACCTTATATTTTTTATGATTAAAAGACTTCCTTTACATATAAAAAATTTTATTCTAAACAAATTTATTAAATTAATAAAAAATTATTTACAAAATATTTTATCTTTTTATAATAAGATAATTTAATAGTTCAAATAAATATGCTCTAGCTCACAAAGTAAATGATTTTTGTAATCCGAAAACTGACTGAATTGCCCGCCTAGCTCAGTCGGTAGAGCGCAAGACTCTTAATCTTGTGGTCGTGGGTTCGAGCCCCACGGCGGGCTATCTTCTTTTTTGTTTTAAAATTCTACAAAAAATAAATAATAATAAAAAATATTTTGCAATTTCAAAATTCTTTTTATAATATTAAAATGTAATAATTTATTTAATTCCCTAAATTTGCTTTTAATAAATTAGATAAATAAAATAAAATCCTTTTTTTTATGATTTTTAAATTTGGATATGTAGTTTCTAACTTATTTTATAAAATATATTTTAATATAATATTTATTATATATCTTATGATTTTCTAAGAAAGTAAAATTTAATTATCTAAAATAGAAACAATTCAATTAAGGAATAGTAAAATAATAAAACAAATAAATAAGTTAAAGTATACCACTCGCCACGAGAAATTACAGTAAATATATTCCTTTTATTCTGGAGTAAAACAGAAAAATTTACTTAATAAAAATTATTTTATTAAAATATAAGTACTTTAATTACTAGAATTTTATCAACATATGACTACCCAATTTTATTCTTGCTATATTTTTAAGTATATGTTTTTGATAGAAATATTAAGATTTCATAATAAATTTTACACTAAATTTTTTGTGATATCTCTTCCTAAAAGCCAATTTATAAATTTATATTTGATAATTATAATTTAATTTATTAAAAAACTTATTATTAATTAAATTTCCATAAATTGCTATTCAATAATATTTGTGAAAATAGTAAATAAATGATATAATAGAAATAATTTTTTAGCAATCTAGAAGAAGTAAATATTTATTTTTGTATTAATATTGTTTAAATATATTTTTATTAATAAAAAAAGTTTTTAAATTCTTCGCTTTAGTCGCATTAGGTTCTTCATATTCATTTTGAGAGGTATATTTAATTTATTAATATTATTAAAATTAAATATTTTTTTACATTTAATTTTCAAGTTATTTACAATATTATGTTTCTAATAGAAATTCTTATCTATATTCATTCATTTTTATTTACACTATTATTTGTTTAATTATTTTAATTCAATTTTTATGTTGATTATTAATTCTTCATTTTTTTATATTTGATATTTTTTTATCATTTTTTCCTTCTAACTAACTAATTAACTCTACATTTTTTCTTCAATATTTAAATATTAACAGTTAAATTGGTTATGAAAGCGCATCAGTCTTAGGTTCGAGTATAGAAAAATGCACTCATCTCTCAAATCTGACACTTTATCTTCGGTAAAAACAGTTTATTTATTTTGGATACTTATATTATTTGATATAAAAATAAATTTAAAACAAAAAAACTAACTCATTAAATTTATTTATTAACTTTTTTATATTTTATATTTTTCTTTTTTTTAAATCTTCTTGTGTTTTTTGATTGTTTCTTTCTTTCTTTCTTTCTTTCTTTATTTATTTATTTATTTATTAATTTAAATCATTTTCATTTTTGAATTTTGCTTTTATTATTAATTAATTAATCCATTTGTTATTATTTCATATTTTTTCTTCAAAACTAACTAATAAACTCTTTATTTTTTCTTCAATATTTAAAAAGTGGAAGCAAAATTGATGCAAAAGGTGCATCAGGCTTAGTTTCTGGTTTAGGAAAATGCACTAATCTCACAAAATTGACACTTATTCTTGAGTAAATACAATTTATTTGTTTTAGATTGCGTAATTTTTAATATATAAATGAACTTAAAACAATATAATTAACTCTTTTAATTTATTTATTAGCTTATTTTGGTAAGTCAGATAGTCTTATTTTTTAATATTTTTTCTTCATTTTTTATTTATAACTATCTAGCTAATTTACTTTATATATTTTTTTCAATATTTAAAAAGTGGAAATTAAATTAGTGAAAAAGGTGCATCAGACTTAGGTATTAGTTTAGTGGGGTGTACTAATCTCTCAAATTTGACACTTGATCTTACGTAAAAATAGTTTATTTATTTTGGATTGTGATATTTTTTTTTAAAAAAAATGAATTTTAAAACTTGATTTATTTTTCTTTTTTTTTATTCTGCTTGTGCTTTTTTTCTTTGTTTCTTTCTTTGTTAATTTAAATAACTTTTAATTTTCAACTTTTTCTTTTATTATTAATTTCTTATTATTTAATATTTTTTCTACATTTTTTCCTTCTTACTAACTAATAAACTATAAATATTTTCTTCAATATTTAAAAAGGAATAATTAAATTAATGAAAAAGGTGCATTAGTCTTAGGTTCTGGCTTAGGTAACTGTACTAAACTCTCAAATTTGACACTTGATCTTCGGTAAAAATAGTTTATTTGTTTTAGATTATGATATTTTTTAATATAAAAACCTTTTTTAAAACAGTATAACTAACTAACTCTTAGAATTATTTGCTAGTTTTTTACTTTATTTCTTTTTTTTATTTATTCTCATTATGTTTTTTCATTCTTTCTTTATTAATTTATAATTTTCTAAGTTTTTTCTTTCTAATTAATTAATTTGTTATATATTTATCCTTCAATATTTAAAAAGGTATAATTTAATTGGTAAAAAAGGTGCTTCAGACTTAGGTTCAGGTTTAGGAAAATGCACTAATCTCTCAAATTTGAAACTTTATCTTCGGTAAAAGCAGTTTATTTATTTTGGATTGTGTTTTATGAAAATGAATTTAAAACAAAATAACTAACTCTTTTAATTTATTTATTAGCTTTATATTTTATTTATTTTTAATTTTTTTTATTTTTCCTGCTTGCATTTTTTTCTTTTTTTTTGTTAATTTATTTAATATATTTTTTCCTTTACAAATTTCTTATTATAATATATTTTTTCTTATTTTTTTTCTTCTAACTTATTAATTTACTTAATAATTTTTCTTCAATATTTAAAAAGTAAAAATTAAATTGATACAGAAGGTGCATTAGGCTTAGATTTTGGCTTAGGAAATTGCACTAATCTCTCAAATTTGACACTTGATCTTAGGTAAAAACAGTTTATTTGTTTTGGAAAGTGATATTTTTTAAAATATAAATGAATTTAAAACAATATAACTTTCTCTTTTAATTTATTTATTTATTAGCTTTTTATTCGATTTACTTTTTCATTTTCAACTTTTGATTTTATTATTAACTAATTAATTTATTAATTCATTTCTTATTATTTCATATGTTTTCTTCATTTTTTCCTTCTAACTAACTAATTAATTTTTTATTTTATATTTTGTATTTAACAAGTTACAATTAAATTGATGCAAAAGTTGGATCAGGCTTAGGTTCTAGTTTATCAAAGTGCACTAATCTATCAAATTTGATACTTGATCTTAGGTAAAAAATTTTATTTGTTTTTGATTGTGATATTTTTAAATTAAAAAAATATTTAAAACAATTTAACTGACTAAATCTTTTAATTTATTTATTAGCTTTTTATTGATTAATTTTTCTATTTTCTTTTATTTTGTTTGCGTTTATTTCTTTATTTGTTAATTTAAATCATTTTTTCATTTTCAACTTTTGCTTTTATTATTTATTAACTAATTTATTTCTTATTATTTCTTATTTTTATTTGATTTTTTTCTTCAATAAACAAATTAACTAAATATTTTTTCTTCAACAATGAAAAAGGGGTAATAATTAAATTGATGATATTTTTGTATCAAGCTTAGGTTCTGCTTTTGGAAAGTGCTCTAAAATCTCAAATTTGACACTTTATGTTACGTAAAAACAATTAATTTATTTTAGATTTGTGATATTTTTTAATATAAAAATGAATTTAAAACAATGTAAAATAATTCTTTTAATTTATTTATTAGCTTTTTATATTTGATTAATTTTTCATTCAAATTTTTATTTTGTTAAGGTTTTCTTAATTTATTCAATTAAATAATAATATCTTTTTTTTACACTAATTTATATTAAAAGTTAAAACGAATCATAACAAAAGAAATTTAAAAGCAAGTGTCTCAAATCAAAAAGATTAGTTGCCTTAAAATTAAATTATTGATGATAAAAATTTGTGAAAAAAGGACTAATAAATATAAAAATATTAGAAAAATATAATATAATACGTTTTTATTTTATAATATTTTGCAATCGGATAATTAAATTTAAAATATAGATAGATTTATTTTTATATTTATAAAAACCGTCAATTCTATAATATAAGGATATTTTATTTGAGAGATTATTTTATAATGATTAAAATTTACTAAAATAATTATTTTTAATTGGTTCTTAAATTAAAAAATTTTTAATAATAAAATTATGTAAAATTAATCTTTTTTTTCAGGAATCTCCTAATTTCTTTATTTAATTTTTCAATATTTTATATTCATTTTCTCTTTTTATCTTTTAATAAACTCTTAAAAATTTTCTATATGAATTAAATCTGGGGAATTAGAAGAGTATTGTTTTTTCAAAAAAATTTTTTTGGTATTTTATTGATCTAAATAAAAATTTTTAATGAGATTATTTTCAAATTCTTTTCAAGCATCGAATGAGATATATTTCAGATTGTCTTTTTGTTTTTCATAGAGTTATTTCAAACATTAAAATATTTATTCTGCTTTTTATGTCTTTAAAAGGATAAATAAATTCTAAAAGAGTATTAATTCTCAAACAAAATATTTAAAAATTTTGAAAACAACTACTACTTGTGAGAATTAAAAGATATTTTAATTTGATAAAATATTAATTATATTTTATTAAAATGCAGAATATAATTAAATTGATTAATATTTTAGTTTATATTAAAATTCTACTTTCTTCTATAATTTTGAACTATTTTATTTCTATTTCTAATTTTCTGAAAAAAGTCTTAGTTTCTCTAATAATATTATTCTATTCGTTATTTTGTTAATTACTTGAGTCTTCATCATAATTATCTATTTTTGCTAAATAATTTGCAAGCTGTTCATACTTAGCTAAACTCCATTAATTTTCTTATTTAAAATTATTTTTAATAAAATCTTTAATCTTTTCACAAGCTGTACAAATTAATACTTAATCCTCAATTAAATTTTCTAATAAATTATGTGTTGAATATCACTTATTGATTACTATTGATATTGTTTAGAAAAGTATTCAGTCAGTCTCCTATTATAATTTTTAAATTGTATAAGGTAGTCAAAATTTCTTGTTTATTACTCTCAAAGTTAGCATATTTAATATTAAATTCATTAGAAATTGTTAATATGATATAAATTTTTACCTTCTGTTGTAGCCTTTTCAAATATTGTTTGCATCGATATAATTTTCGTTTTCTTCAAATTTAAGAATATTATAATCAGCAAGTAATCCAAATTTACTTTTCTTCTTAATAATTTTCTTCAAAATAATCTGTTAACTTTTTAAATGGTAATTTAATTATATTTTTTCTTATTTCCATATTTAAAATCTAATAGAAATGGAGATATGTAGAAAACATTTTGTGGAATTTATTAATGATTTAGTTTATTTTATGTAATACAATTACTTAAGAACTAACTTTTTAGCATCCTACCAAAAATTTTTTAAAGTATGAAAGTAGCTATTTTTAAAATTTATTTTTAGCTCTTAAATTTGATAAAATTCAATTGTTAATGAATTGTGGTATTTATATGTTCTTTTTAATTATTATATCCTTATTTAAAAGATAAATTAATTTGATCAAAAGTTAAACAATAAATATTTCCGAAATTAACAAGAAAAGAATAAAAAGAAAATGATGATGTAATAAAATATAAAATATTTTAAAAATCTAGACAATGTAATATTTTATTTTCTTATTTAATTTAATTATGTAATTTTATCAAATCAAAGTTTCTTAACTGTGATCCTTTATCTCACATGAATATAGAATTTTTAAAAGATTGGTAAATACATATTTATTTTTTATTATATTGTTTGACAAAATTATTTAATATTTCTATTATTTTTAATGCTACTCTTTTATTCATTTGTTGCTCAAATATTTTTATTTAGATTTATATTTCGTAATCTTCATGATATTTAATTCAGAATTTAATTTACAAAAAACGCTCATTTATAAATATATTTTAATTTTTTATTTATTTATTTAAAAAAATATAATAAGTTTCACTAGAGAAAATTATGTTTAGGAAATTTGCTAATTAAGTTCTACTTTAGAAAGATGTTGTAATCTGTCTACTATATTTCTTAATCTATAGTAAATATTTTTAAATGCTTTATTATTTTTTTAAAAGAAAAATACAATCTAATTTTATTATGTTTATTATTTATAATAATATTCTCTGCACATTTCGTATATTTTCTATATGTTAAATTTTTTTAATTTATTTATTAAACTATAAATTTTCATATTAAATTTCATATTATTCACTTTATTATTTATAAAATTTTTCCAATAATATAAAGATACAGAAAGTTCTATGGTGAGACTTTCTCAAAATTATGCTCTGGCTTATCTAAATGTGCTAATATCTAAAATTTTAAAGTTGACTTATGGTAAAAATAATTTATTTGTTTTATCATATAAAATAATTATATTTATGTTATATGTTTGCAAAAAAAAAAAATGAATAAATTTATTTATTTGCTCCTGTTTTATTTTTTTTAAATTAAAATTACTTTTGAATTTTCAAATTTAATTTCATACTTACTTTAGTATTTTTTCTAAAGTTTATAATTTTTTAAATAAAAAGTCGTAATTACATTAAAGATTTAGGTGCATAAGAATTAAGTTTCGTAATATCAAATTGGGTTTATCTCTCTATTTTGACACTTAATCTAGAGTAAAATAGTTAAATCAATTTTTAAAAATATTTTTTATTACTTTTTTACTTATGATAGATAGTAAAAAAACAGCAAATTAAATAAATAAATAACTAATTACTTAATTAACCAACAGACTTACTCTATCAAGATCAATCTAGCTTATTTAAAATATCTTTTACTTTATCAGCTTTTAATTTTAAATTTCAATATATATGTACATCATATTCTTATTTTATCTTAACGATTTCTAAATTTTTTCATTTGAATTAACAAATTTTTCAAAAAATTTATAAAAAGTGATAATAAAATAAGTGATAAGGGAATATCAGAGTTAGCTTCTGCATTAGGAAAGTGTGTTAGTCTCTCAAATTTGTTCTTAAATATAGCGTAAGAATACTTAATTTGTTTATTTAACAATTAATCTATTAATCATTTTAGATAATGAAAGAATAAAAAAATTCCCTCAATCATTTTTTCACATAAATTATTGGCAAATTAGCTAAATTATTTACTACCTATCAAGATCAATCTAACTTATTAAAATTATCTTTTATTTTTCAGCTTTTTAGCTTTAAATGTCAATATATATGTACATCAAATTCTTATTTTTTCTTAAAGATTTCTATATTTTTTCTTTCGAATTAACAAATTTTCCAAAATTTATAAAAGTTCTAATGATATAAGCGATGAGGGAATATCAGAGTTAGCTTCAGCATTAGGAAAGTGTGTTAGTCTCTCAAATTTGTTCTTGAATATAGCGTGAGAATACTTAATTTGTTTATTTGATAATCTATATTACATATTAGATAATTGAAGAATAAAAAATTCCCTCAATCAATCATTTTTTCACATAAATTATTGGCAAATTCGCTAAAATTTTTACTTTTGCAATTAATTTCTAATTTAAATTTAAGTTTTTATTGTTTTTCATATTAATTTGTACTAACTTTTTTAACTAAAAAAAACTTATAAACATATAAAAAGGGGTAATGATAGAAGAAGTGTTAACTCTAAATATAACCTTGGTTCTAATTTAGCATAGTGCAAAAATCTATCAAATTTGAATCTCTAACTCTAGTAATCTCTTTATTTATTTATATTTAATTGATTGTGTTTAATCTATCTTTATTTTATTGCATACTATCTTTCTAAACTATTATAAATTTCTTTTTACCATTATTTAATTAGCCGTATTTAACTTATTAGTTTTTTTATTTTTTAAAAATAAATTTACATAAAAAATTATTTTAATTATTATTCCATTTAATAAATTAAATAGTCATTTATATTTTTAATTAATTTTAAAAGTAGCACCGAACTTGGCAATGATAATATATCAGAGTTAGTTTCTGGTTTAATAAAGTGTAAAAATCTCTAAGCTTTGGTGCTGAATCTAGGGTAAAAAAACTTTATGTCTTTTTATTTATTGTAAAGCTGCTTATTTGAATAAGAAAACAAAATAAAGAAATTTTACATCTTACTTAATTTTTATTGATATTATGGTTATCTTATGTACTTGTTTTTAAATTTATTATTTATTTTTAAAATTAATTTTTTTATCATTTAATTTTAGATTTAGCATTAATAATTAATAAAAACTCAAAAATATAAATAGTGATAATAATATTGGTTAGTAAGTTTATGAAAATTTAGGTTCTGATTTAGCATATTTTACTCATCTCTCAAAGCTTTCACTTTAACTTTAGTAAAAATAATTTCTTTCGTTTTATTCATTTTTTATATAATTTTAGATAAAAATAAAAGTAAAACTAAAATTTTTTAATTCCTTCTTAATTGATTTTAAGTTAAGTTGAAATCTATCTATTAATTCTTTTGTTTATAGATTGTTTAGAAGAGTTTTAAATTTATAATTTAATTCAAAAATTTTTATCGTTTTTATTTATCAAAAAATTATTCTTAAAATGTAAAAAGTCAAACTGAAATTAGTAATAATGTCGTGTATTATATATGCTCTGGTATAAAATATTGTACTAATCTTTCAATTTTGAATCTCAACCTTGGGTAAAAATAATTTATTAGATTTAATTCATATGTTTTGTTATATATTCGGAGTAATAGTAAAGACTGTATTTTACTTAATTACTGCTTATTTATGCTTGCTTCTTTATTCTATATTAACTACATCTATTATATTCAATTTTTATTTCATTTTTTCTTCAAATAAATAATTTTTTAATTATCAAATTATTATCTTTTTTATATATAATTCAAATAACATTTCTATCTGAACATACTCGTATTATAAAAATGTAAAGAGGATATTCATTGAATGAATTAGCTGCATCGCACATATCTTCTGCTTTAGCAAAATTAACGAATCTCTCAAATTTGACTATTTCATTTTCGTAAAAATATTTTATTTATTTATTTACTTTAAAATATATTAGCAAATGTTTTAAAATACTGAAAAATGTTGTTAGATTATATATTATTATTTTTTTAGTTAAATTCCTATTTTTACTTCCAAAGAATTTTACAAATATATTTTTAAAATTTAGACTTATATTTTTTCAACTTTAAACTTTAATTTTCAATTAATATTTTACCTCAAAATTTTCGACATCTTTATTTATTCTAAATAACAAATTATCTTTGAAATAATAAAAAGAGGACACAAAATTACAGCCTAGGGTGCATCATACATAGGTTCTGCTTTGTCAAAATGTACTAATCTCTAAGCTTTATCACTTTAACTTTGGTAAAATTTTTTTGTATTTTATTAGTTTTTTTGTGATTTGCATGGGTTAGTGAAAATAAGAAAGTATAAATTTTGATTTAAATCATGGTTTTTAAATTAAATTAAGCTAGTATTTTAATAATTTTTTGTTAATGATCTATTTTAGACATTTTTTTTCTTTATTTTTACAAATTAAATTCAAATAACATTTTCAAAAAAATTTAAATATTCTCAATTTTTTATTAGTAATAATAATATTGGTATAACTGGTTTTAAAGACTTAACTTCTGGTTTAGTTAATTGCTCTAATCTCTCAAGTTTAACTCTAGACCTCAGGTAAAAATAGTTTATTTGAATTTATTGTTTAATTGATTTAAAAGTTTGAATTAGCTAAAAGAAAGTAAATGGTGTCATAATTTTTACTAGATTTCAAAATTATTATTTTTATAACTCTTTTATTCATTTGTTAATTATTTATTTTAAATTTATACTTCATATTAAAATTTCTACTCTTAAGATTTTTCAAAGAACCAACAAATTTTCTTAAAATATTTGAAGGTAAAATTAAATTGATGACTAAAGTGTATTATATTTAGGTTAAGCTATAGCAAAATGTATTAAAATTTTTAATTTAAAACTCTATCTGAGGTAAAATATTTACTTGATTGATAAATATTTCTTTGTAAATATGTTTTAAATTTTGAAAAGTGACTTTATATTTTTTATTTAATTTCTTTAAAATTTAATTTTTTATTTGTATTTTTATTCATTTTATTTATTATTTTAAAATATTAAATTAATATTCTATCAATTAATTTTTTCATTTAAATTTATAATATTAATTCAAAAATTAAGATATGGTAATAGGTTAAGTAATTAATGTTTATCAGATTTCATTTCTGTAATAGTAAGCCACTAAAGTATCTAAATATTAGAACTTGAATGTGAGTAAAAATAGTTTATTTTCTTTTATTAATTTTTTAATCATTTGGATAAATAAATAGAAAAATTGAATTAATTTTTATTTGTAATTCGTTTATTACTTTTTAATAATATTTTTATTGAAGCTTTTAAATAAATATATATTTTCTATTAAAAGTTTCATAAAAAACTAAATTTTAAAAATGAAAAGACTTGTCAGAATGATATTTATGTATTAGGATTATCATATATGATATAAAATAATAATTAATTAAATATAGTTTAATTTAAATAGTAATTGATAAATATAATTTATGTTATAAAACCATACATTGTATACATAACTAACTGACTAATGTTATTTAATTTTTAATTTGAAAAATTTTTTTTTTTTCTATTTTTAAAATTTATTTTTAGCTCTTAAATTTGATAAAATTCAATTATTAATGAACTGTGGTATTTATAAATTCTTTTTAATTATTAAATCCTTATTTCAAAGATAAATTAATTTGATCAAAAGTTAATCAATAAATATTTTTTAAATTAACAAGTAAAGAATAAAAAGAAAATGTTAATGTAATACAATATAAAATAATTTAAAAATCTAGAAGATGTAATATTTTATTTTCTTATTTAATTTATTTATTTAGTTTTATAAAATCAAAGTTTCTTAACTGTGATCCTTTATCTCACATCAATATAGAATTTTTAAAATATTGGTAAATACATATTTATTTTTTATTATATTGTTTGATAAAAAATATTTAATATTTTTATTACTTTTAATGCTACTCTTTTATTCATTAATTTTTTGCTCAAAGATTTTTATTTAAATTTATATTTCTTAATCACCGCAATTTTTAATTTACAAAAAAAGCTCATTTATAAATATATTTTAATTTAGTATTTAATTATTTAAATAAAAATAATAAGTTTCAGTCGAGAAAACTATGTTTAGGAAATTTGCAAATTAAGTTCTACTTTAGAAAGATGTATTAATCTATCTACTATATCTCTTAATCTATAGTAAAATTTTTTAATTCTTTATTATTTTTTTAAAAGAAAAGTACAATCTAATTTTATTATGTCTATTATTTATAACAATCTCCTCTGCTCATTTTGTATATTTTCTATATGTTAAATTTTTTTTATTTATTTATTAGAATACAGATTTTTATATTAAATTTTGCATTATTCACTTTATTTTTTTAATTCAATTAAATTATTGAATAAAAATTGATTTATAAAATTTTTCCAATAATATAAAGATACAGAAAGTTCTATGGTGAGACTTTCTCAAAATTATGCTCTGGCTTATCTAAATGTGCTAATATCTAAAATTTTAAAGTTGACTTATGGTAGAAATAATTTATTTGTTTTATCATTTATAATAATTATAAATATTTATGTTTTTTGTTAGCAAAAAAAAAATGAATTAATTAATTTATTTATTTTTTACTGTTTTATTTTTTTAAATTAAAATTACTTTTGAATTTTCAAATTTAATTTCATACTTTAGTATTTTTTATAAAGTTTTAATAATTAAATTTTTAAATAAAAAGTCATAATTACATTAAAGATTAAGGTGCATAAGAATTAAGTTCCGTAATATTAAATTGGGTTAATCTCTCTATTTTGACACTTAATTTAAAGTAAAACAGTTATATCAATTTTAAAAAATATTTTGTATTACTTTTTTACTTATGATAGATAGTAAAAAAACAACAAATTAAATAAATAACTAATTACTCAATTAACCAATACACTCACTCTATCAAGATCAATCTAACTTATTTAAAATATCTTTTATTTTATCAGCTTTTTCATTTCAAATTTCAATATATATGTACATCATATTCTTATTCTTTCTTAACGATTTCTTAATTTTTTCATTCAAATTAACAAATTATTCAAAAAATTTATAAAAAGTAATAATAAAATAAGCGAAAAGGGAATATCAGAGTTAGCTTCTGCATTAGGAAAATGTGTTAGTCTCTCAAATTTGTTCTTGAATATAGCGTGAGAATACTTAATTTGTTTATTTGATAATCTATAAAATCAATCAATTATTTTTTCACATAAATTATTGGAAAATTCGCTAAATTATTTACTTTTGCAATTAGTTTCTAATTTAAATTTAAATTTTTATTATTTTTCATATTAATTTTTACTAACTTTTTTAAGTAATAAAAATTGATAAACATATAAAAAGGGGTAATAATAAAAGAAGTGTCAACTTTATGTTTAACCTTGGTTCTAATTTAACAAAGTGCAAAAATCTATCAAGTTTGAATCTCTAACTCTAGTAATTTCTTTATTTATTTATATTTAATTGATTTTGTTTAATCAATATTTTATTGCATACTAGCTTTTTAAACTATTATAATTTCTTATAACTATTATTTAATTAGCTGTATTTAATTAGTTAGTTTTTTATTTTTTTAAAAATAAATTTACATAAATAATTTTTTAATTATTTTTCTCTTTAATAAATTACATAGTTGCTTATTTTTTTAATTAATTTTAAAAGTAGCACCGAATTTGGCAATGATAATATATCAGAGTTAGTTTCTGGTTTAATAAATTGTAAAAATCTCTTAGATTTGGAACTGAATCTTGGGTAAAAAAACTTTATGTCTTATTATTTATTGTAATGCTTGTCGAAATAATAAAAAGAGGTCAAAAAATTTAAGCCTAGGGTGCATCATACATAGGTTCTGCTTTGGCAAAATGCACTAATCTCTCAACTTTATCACTTTAACTTAGGTATAAATTTATTGTATTTTATTAGTTAGTGATTTGCAAAGTTTAGTGAAAATAAAAAAAGAAAAATTTTGATTTAAATTATGGTTTTTAAATTAAATTAAGCTAGTATTTTAATAATTTTTGTTAATAATCTATTTTAAACATTTTTTTTTCTTTATTTTTACAAATTAAATTCAAATAAAATTTTCAAAAAAATTGAAATATTCTCAATTTTTTGTTAGTTACAATAATATTGGTATTACTGGTTTTAAAAATTTAACTTCTGGTTTAGTTAACTGTTCTAATCTCTCAAGTTTAACTCTCGACCTCAAGTAAAAATAGTTTATTTGAATTTATTGTTTAATTGATTTAAAAGTTTGAATTAGCTAAAAGAAAGTAAGTTAGTTGTGTCATAATTTTTACTTTATTTCAAAATTATTATTTTATTACTCTTTTATTCATTTGTTAATTATTTATTTTTTAAACTTTCAATTTATATTTCATAATAAAATTTCTACTCTTAAGATTTTTCAAAGAACCAACAAATTTTCTTAAAATATTTGAAGGTATAATAAAATTGATGACTAGAGTGTATTATATTTAGGTTAAGCTATAGTAAAATGTACTAAAATTTTTAATTTGAAACTCTAACTGAGGTAAAATATTTTATTTGATTGATAAATATTTTTTAATTTTTGAAATGGGACTTTATATTTCTTATTTAATTTCTTTAAATTTTAATATTTAAATAATTATTTATTTAATTATTTTTATCCATTTCATTTATTATTTTAAAATATTAAATTAATGTTCTATCAATTAATTTTTTCATACAAATTTATAATATTAATTCAAAATTAAGAAATGGTAATGGTTTAAGTGAATAAAGTTTATCAGATTTCATTTCTGTAATAGTAAGCCATTAAATTATCTAAACATTAGAACTTGAATATGAGTAAAAATAGTTTATTTTCTTTTATTAATTTTTTAATCATTAGGATAAATAAATAAATAAAACAATTGAATTAATTTTTATTTGTAAATTGGTTTAATACTTTTTTATAATGTTTTTATTTAAGTTTTTTATATAAATAAATTATACTATTAAAAGTTTCATAAAATTCGAAAACTAAATATTTAAAATGAAGAGACTAAAAATTTATTTTGAGTTCTTAAATTTGATTAAATTGAATAATTATTGAACTGGGGTATTTACATTTTATTTTTTAATTAATTAATTTGATCACAATTTAATAAATAAATATTTCCAAAATTAACAAGTAAAGAAAATAATGATGTAATAAAAAATAAAATAATTTAAAAATCTAGAAGATGTAATATTTTATATTTGTTATTTAATGTATTTATTTAATTTTATCAAATCAAAGTTTCGTAACTGCGATCCTTCATCACACACAAATATTGAATTTTTAAATTGGTAAAATACATTTTTATATTATAATATTTCCTAACAAAAATTATTTAATATTTTTATTACTTATAATGAATGCTACTCTAATTTATTCACTTTTTGCTCAAAGATTGTTATTTAAATTTTTATCACAATATTTAATTAAGAATTTAATTTATAAAAAAATAGTTTTTAAATATATTTTAATTTTGTATTTATTTTATTAAAATATAAAAAGTTTCAACGGAAAAAACTATGCCTAAGAGATTTGCAAATTCAGTTCTGTTTTAGAAAGTTGTAGCAATCTGACTACTATATCTCTAAATCTAGGGTAATTTTTTTAATGGTTTATTAATTTTTTCAAAAAAAAGTACAATCTAATTTTATTATGTTTCTAATTTTTTATAATATACTCTGTGCAGTTCTTATATTTTCTACATTTTAAAATACAAATTTTCATATTAAATTTCGTATTATTAACTATATTATTTTAATTCAATTAAATATTTGAATAAAAGTAAATGAAATTTTTCCAACAATATAAAGATTCAGAGATCTCTATGGTGAAACTTTCTCAAAATTATGTTCTGGATTATCTAAATGTACTAATATCTCAAATTTTAAAGTTGAATTATGGTAAAAATAATTTATTTTTTTATAATATTAAATAATTATTTTAATGTAAAATGTCAGCGAAAAAAAATAGACTAATTTTTAAATTTACTTAGATAATTATTACCTATGTGTTTGAATTCATTCATTTATTTATTTATTTATGTATTTTTATTTACTGTTTTAATTTTTTAAAATTAAAATTATTTTTGAATTTTCAATTTAAACTTCATAATTAAGTATTTCATTTTAAAATTTTAATATTTAAATTTTTTTTAAATAAAAAGTAAGAGTTAAATTAAAGATGAAGGTGCATAATAATTAAGTTTCCTAATTGAAAATTGGAAAAATCTTTCAAATTTGACACTTAATCTAAAGTATAACAGTTAAATTAATTTTATAAATATTTTATATTACTTTTTTACTTGAGATGGATAGTAAAAAAACAACAAATTAAATAAATTACTAATTATTTAATTAACCTATGCATTCACTCACTCACTCTATTAATATCAATCTAACTTATTTAAAATATATTTTATTTTATCAAATTTTTAACTTTAAATATAAATATATAGATATTTTATTAATTATCTTAATTATTACCAAATTTTTACATTTGAATTAACCAATTTTCCAAAAATTTATAAAAAGTTCTAATGATATAAGCGATAAGGGAATATCAGAGTTAGCTAATGCATTAGGAAATTGTGTTAATCTCTCAAATTTGTCCTTCGATATTTCGTGAGCATTCTTAATTTGTTTATTTAATAATCTTTATAATATATTAAACAATTAAAGAATAAAAAAATTCCTTCAATCTATCATTTTTTTCTCATTAATTATTGGTAAATTCAGCAAAATTATTTACTTTTGCTATTATCTTTTATTTTAAATTTAAGTTTTAACTTTTACTAACATTTTTAACTAAACAAATACTTATAAACATATAAAAAGGGGTAATAATAGTATAATAGTCAACTCTACATTTAACCTTAGTTCTAATTTAACAAAGTGCAAAAAACTATCAAATTTGAATCTCTAACTCTAGTAATTTATTTATTTATTAATATTTAATTAATCTTCTTTAATATTTAATTTTTGCATAATGGCTTTCTAAACTATTTATTTCTTATAACAATTATTTAATTAATCATATTTAATTTAAAACATAAATTTACAGAAATATTTTTTAAAATTATTATTCTCTCTCTGAAATAAATTAGCTCGTCATTTATTATTTTTTTAATATAAAAAGCAACACCGTACTTGTCGACTATAATATATCAGAGTTAGTTTCTGATTTAGCAAAGTGTAAAAATCTTTCAGCTTTGGAATTGAATATAGGGTAATAAAATTTTATGTCTTTTTATTAATTTTTAAAGTTGAAATAAGATAACAAAATAAAGAAAGTTTATATTTTGTTTAATTTTTATTGGTTTTATGCTTATTTGATGAACTTGATTTTAAATTTATTAATTAGTTTTTTAGATTTAGTATTACATTTTTAAGTAATAATTTAATTTATCATATCTAATAATTCATAAAAACTCAAAAATATAAACAGTTTTAATGGTTTTGATTCGTTAGTTTTAGAAAATTTAGGTTCTGAGTTAGCACATTTTACTCATCTCTCAAAGCTTTCACTAAATATCCGGTAAAATAATTTCTTTCCTTTTATTAATTTTAGATAAAAAGAAAAGTAACACTAAAATTTTTTAATTTCTTCTAAATTGATTTTAAGTTAAATCTAAATCTATTAATTCTCTTAAAATATAAAAAGTAATAATGAAATTAGTGATTAAGTTGTCTATAATATATGCTCCGGTTTAAAATATTGTACTAACCTTTCAATTTTAGATCTCAACCTTGGGTAAAAATAATTTATTAGATATTATTTATTGTTTTATTATATATTCAGAGGAATATTAAAGGTTGTATTTTATTTAATTACTTGCTTATTAATGCTTTTTTCTTTATTATATACATACTACATACACCTTATTTATCATTTTAATTGCATTTTTTCTTCATTTAAATTGTTTTTTAATTTTAGAAATATTTTATTTATTTATTTATTTCCAATATCATTTTTATCTAAACTTACTCATATTATAAAAATGTAAAGAGGAGATTAATTGAATGAATTAGCTGCATCTCACATATCATCTACTTTAGTTCAATTACCGAATCTCTCAAACTTGGCTATTATGCTTTCGTAAAAAAATTTTATTTATTTATTTACTTAATATAGATTAGCAAATGTTTTAAAATACTGAAAAATATTGTTAGATTATTATTTTTTTTTTAATTTAATTCCTATTTTTACTCCCCAAGCATTTTATAATAAGATTCTTAAAATTTAAACTAATTTATTTATTTTTTCAACTTTAAACTTTAATTTTAAATTTCAATTAATGTATTACCTCGATATTTTCAACAAATTTATTTATTCTAAATAACAAATTATCTTGTAAATAATAAAAAGAGGTCAAGAAATTAAAGCCGAGGGTGCATCATACATAGGTTCTGCTTTGTCAAAATGCAATAATCTCTCAGCTTTATCACTTTAACTAAGGTAAAATTTTTTTTTATTAGTATTTTTTGTGAATTTCAAGGTTAAGATAAAATATAAAAATAAATCTTGATTTAAATTATTATTTTAAAATTATTTATTTTTAAAATTCAAATTTTCTCAATTTTTTTTTTAGATCTAATAATATCGGTACTACTGGTTTTAAAGACTTAACTTCTGGTTTATTTAATTGCTCTAATCTCTCAAGTTTAACGCTCGATCTCTAGTAAAAATAGTTGACTTGATAATATTGTTTAATTGATTTAAAAGTTTGAATTAGCTAAAAAAAAGAAAGTAAAAGTTGTGTCAAAATTTTTACATGGTTTCAAAATGATTATTTTTATAACTCTTTTATTCATTTGTTAATTATTTATTTTTTAAAATTTAAATTTATATTTCATACTAAAATTTCTATATAAGATTTTTCAAACAACCAAAAAAAAATTTTCTTAAAATATTCAAAGTAATAATAGTATTGATGAAGAGAGTATATTAGATTTAGGTTAAGCTATAGTAAAATGTACTAAAATCTTTAATTTATATCTCTGTCTGATGTAAAATATTTTGTTTGATTGATAAATATTTTAGTCAATATTTTTTAATTATATTTCTTGTTTAATTTCTTTAAATTTTAATTAATTATTTATTTAGTTAGTTTTATTTTATGCATTTTATTTACTATTTTTATTTAATATTTTAATTTTGAAATAATAAATTTTTCATGCTCTTTTAAATATTTTTTTATAATAATTTTATAATATTAATTAAAAATTAAGATATGATAATTATTTTAGTGAAGAAGGTTATTCAGATTTCATTTCTGCAATAGTAAGTCACTAAAGTATCTAAACGTTATAACTTGATGATAAGTAAAAATAGTTTATTTTCTTTTATTAACTTTTTAATTATTTGGAGAATGAAAAAGAATTGAATTAATTTTTAATTTTAAAATTGGTTTATTACTTTATTAAAAATTTTTTTATTTAAACTTTCATATAAATAAAAATTATTAAAAGCTTCAGAATATTCTCAAACTAAATTTTTAAAATGAAGAAACTGGTCAGAATGATTTTTAATTAAGAGGATTATTATTGACATTAAATACAGCTTTGTTTACATAATTATTTTCAGTAATTGATAAATATAATTTATGTTATAAAACCATACTTAGTATAAATAACTAACTAATGTTATTTAAAATTTATAATTTGAATAAAAAATATTTTTTTAATTTAGTTTTTAATTCAGAATTGTACTTTGTTAATTTAATTTATTTATAATATTTATTTTTATTAATTATTTTAATGAATATTTAATTCATTGAAATTATTCATTATAAATTGCTTATTAAACAAAAAATATTTTACTCACAGAATTAGTAAGTAAGCAAAATTATTTGGAGAATTTTACTAATTTAATAGAAAATAAATATTTATTTGTAATAATAATAAATACTCTTAAATATAGTTAAATGAAATTTTAAAAAGATTAAAAAATGGTTTCTAAAAAAATTTCAAAATAGTATCCAACCAAAAATTAATTAAATTTGATACAAAAAAAACATAAAGAAATCACAATCTTTAAATTATATTTATTATAACATTAATTTAATTAATTTTGTATTTAGAATTTCTTTACATAAAAATCATTTTTTTTAGGATTAATTTTAGCTAACCAATTATGAATTAAAAGAAGATAATTTAATTTTATTCATTTTGTCATTTTCTACATTAATTTTCTAAGGATTGTAAGTGGGATAACGTTTAAAATTAACTATGAATTTATAAAGAGAAAATAAATGTTAAGAACGTTAAGGAATTTTTCGATCTGTTTATTTATATAATAAATAAATATACTGAATGTGTCTTAATGAAAAAAAAAATTATTAAAGCTTTTCTTTGTAAGTTATTAAGTTTTACTATTTAAAAGAAAATGTTTTTTTTTTAAATGTTTGCTTTTTTAAATTTTAATACATTATTATTATTACATTATAAAAATTGTTTAATTTATTTTTAATGTCAATTTTAAACTGATTAACTTAAAAAAAAATATATTAATAAATATTTAATAAAACTACTTTTACCTATTAAAGATAATTCAGTATTTTTGGGTGAATAAAAGCTTTTCTCACTATTACAAATAGAACTTGATTTTATTGATGATCTTTCTTAGCAATTCTTCTAAACTTCTAATCTGTCTGAAGATTCTTATTTACAGCTTAATTACTGGTCAGTTATTTCATAAATATTTCCTAAGCATAGAGTTTATTCGCATCCTTCTGTTTCAATATGATTTTTGTTTTACGATTGACTTTAAATAAAGTTATGATCAAATACATCATCTATTAATTATATTTATTCAAAAATTAATATATAATGATTAATTTTTTATTTATTTTGTTATTTGAAAGTATAAAATATTACGATTTTGTTTAGTTTAAGACTCCTAAAAGCTAAAAACTCTATTACTAATTTACTCCCAACATACATCACTAGTCATGTTTTCATAACTTGATACATAGTATTTGTATACAAAGTCTATATTAGTAGATAATGAAACTACACACCACCATAAATTACCCTAAAAATAAAAATTTATAATTTGAATAAACTTATACCTAGAAATGAGATTATAAATAAATATTATTGTTATAAATTATTTATTACTTCAGACCAATTCATACGGATAGCTAATTCAGGGTTCCAGTTTCCTAATTCTTCGCAGCTTCCTGAGATATATACAGCTTAACCAAAATAAGCAGTACAACTAACAGTGAATCTAACTTCAGTTTCAAGTTTTTGATGATTCATTTTTCAATTTAAGAGTTTTTTTTTTTATTTTTTTGATTACTTTTTAATTTAATTTTTATAATTTGTTTGCAGAAATCTATTAAGATTCAAGATATAAACCAAATAAGCATAAAATAAAATCAAATTAGAATATATAAATTTTGATTACTAAAACAAAATTAAATTAATTTAGAATATTAATATTTTTGTTAATAATATCACTTTTTTTAAAAAATTTTTTAAAGAATAATGCTGTTAGAATTTTAAATAAATCCTTAAAATACTAATTAATTAATAAATATAATTTATATTATTATATCATTTTTTTATTAATTTCAATATATTCAATTCAAATATTGAAATAAAAAATAATTTTTTCTTAATAAATTATAAAAGTATAAAAATATTACTTTTAAAAATGTGAAATATTTAGAATATTTAATTAATATATTGCTCAATCAAAATCCTTATAAAAAGTAATTCTAATTTATTTTGAACAATTTAAGTATTAAAATTTATAATTATTTATATTTTATATCTAAACATTCTAAATTTAGATTAAATTAAATAAGAATATTTTAATTTTTCAATTTACTATTTTATTTTATTGTTTAATAAAGCTTATAATGTATAAATCAATCATATTATTTACTAAAAAATAAAGAAGAGTTAAATTAAATAAATCAGCTAACTATAAAAAAGAATTGAATTTATTTTTAACCTTATCTTCTTTTTAAATGCTGTCTTTGTTTTTGAATAAGACCAGTAAAAAAAATTTATTTAAGAATCCTTTTATTAGATGATAACTTATAATATTTGTTAAGTTGATTATTTAATTTATTAATTGATTTAAATTTTTATTATAGAATGTAGCTTTAATTATTTTAAATATCTATTAGAATAATAATTTATTAAAAATAATTTACATTTTTTTAATAAATCTTGAATAAATCTGATGAAAAAGCAAATTTGTGCATAATAATTAAATTAAAAAAATGCTTTTATTCTACTAATAATCAATAATTAGATCTATCATATTTGTTAAATTTAAAATGTATTTTACAAGATTTTTGTCTAATTATTTTATTAAAATTAATAAAAAAAAAATTATTAGAGGAACAAAAATATTGAAAATTAAAATAATTTTTATCTTTAGTTATACTTTAATTTCTCTTTACTATTATACTGAAAATATTATGATGAAATTTCTTTATTTATACTATTTTATATCCTCAACACAGGAGATTCTTATTACTATTAATATATTACCATGATTTTATAATTCTGGCAAATTTTAGTTGTGTCTACTACAATTAAAATTTTCTTTATATAACATATTCTTTTACTAAAATAAGTTAGAGAGATAAAAGTGATTTATCTCAATTTTTAAAAAATATGAAGAATATTTATAAATTTTTTATAAATGGCAGTTATTTTTATATAGTAATATAAAAGTATTTAAAAAGATTTATGATTTAAACTACCTTAAAAAAATGTTTAAAAGTATGTTAGTCAATTTTTATTTTGTTGAGAAATAAAAGTTTCCACATTAGTTGAGTTTCCTCTATTACAAAAAATTCTTTTATAACTTAATATTAAAAGATTATATTAATTCAAAGTTGAGTTAAAAATTCTAATTTCTTTTTTTTTTAAATTTATTAGTTAAATACTACCAATTTTGACTCTTAATCTTATAAATAAATTAAAAGAAAAAAAATAATTTGTCAAACACAACAAATAAAATGGACACAGCTCCTAATTAAGATTAAAATCTATCTTCTCATCAAATTAAATAAAAACTTTTAGATCTATTTGATTTAAATGAAAATATTGAATAATCAAGATCTGAGATCAATTAATGGAACGAACTTCTTTTGATAGAGCAAAACATATCTTTGAGAAACTAGATAATAGCTAATATTTAATCTTAGCAATCATCTTTCATGTAAGAATCTCTACAAAACGAGAGAAACGAAATCTAAAAACAAACCCAGTATTTCAAATAAGCTAAACTGAATATAATCAAAAAAACAGAAAAATTGCTAGATGATCTTATTGCTAATCTTTATTCAAAAAAAGCTAGAATATACTAAGCAATTTGTTTTTATGATGAAATTCCTATTTCCTTTGAAGAAGATGCTAATCTAATTAAAGTGTACAATAGCTAAGGTGTGTGTGAATATAGAGTCCAAGGATGTAAAGACATATTTTCCATCTAAAGGATTCCTATAAATCCTCAAAAAAAATATAAACTAGAAATAGAAATTAAAAATTGCTCAAATTAGACATCATTTATTGGATATAAGTCCTATAACTAAAATTATCCAATTTATGACCGTTAAAGCATAGTCTTTTAAAGAACTGAAGTTTTGCTAATAGGATTAGATATGGAGAATAAGGCATTTATAGTTAATAATATAGATAATAATTTATCCAGATGGAATAATCCCAATGCAGAATACTATGAAAAATACATTGGTTTTTATAAGTCAGGTAATATTAACGAGTTCATCAAAGCCGAAGAAGTAATCATTTATAATGAGGACTTAAAAACAGCCTACAGAGAAATAGATGTTTTAAATAATAAAATTTATTTGAATGACTGGGCTTGGACTTATTACATGAATACTCTTCACTCATAAACCTATCTAAATTAAACAATCTTAATGAATCATGGTGGTGGGGGTACTTATAACTATTGTGAAGAGATTAAAACACATCACTCTGACTGGACTAAGAAATTCTATGATCTTAGTACTTTCAGAAAATTTACAGATACTATTGAAATCTGCATTTTAGCAAACTACTAAGGCATTCAAAGCAAAGTTTTTGAATTTAGAAATGTTAATTTTTTTGTTTGCGAAGATGACAATGAATGAAAATTATTTTTCCATTTAAATTCATATGATAAAAATTTAAGTGCTATTTTTTTAAAATCATCAAAATTTAAGTCAAGCAGTTACAAATATAAAAATAATATTTGTATAATTAATTTTTTATATTTTATCATTTCTTATTGAATAAATTGAATGAACTTTTTTTCTTACATTTTTGTTAAGTTGATATTTTCCATAACATATTGATTTATTTAATAAAATTAAGGAGTAAAAGTATTATTCATGTAATGAATAAAATTATTGTGAAGAAATTGAATTAGAAAGATAAAAAAAATATATATATATTTTGGATAATATTTTAATTATATCATTATTAAAATACCAAAAATATTATGTAGTAATGACAAATTTTAACTATTTTATAAAAAAAATTACCTCATTTAAATTACTAATTTATTAAAAAATTGTTTTTTAATAATTAATGAAAAATTTCATCGTTAGTTAAGGTTATTAAAAAAAGAACTAAATATTTCTCAAATAAAAAATTTGAAAAATTTACTAACCTAATTAATTTTTAAAAGTTCAATCCCAATTATTTACGTTACCTATTAGATTTCCTCCAACATATTATATTATGAAATTGCTTATTATAAAATAATTTAGTATTTTTTTGTAAGTTTAAATATAGTATTATTTATTAAATAATAAAAATATATTGTTTAATATATCTATTATATATTTTATATGCATTTAAGTAGTAAATTAATTTAGAATATTTATAGTATCAAATTTAAATTGTTTAAAATGTTTTTAATTGTTAAATTTTTGATCTAATTAAAATATTAGAATCTTAACTAAGAAATATATAAAACAAAATAATATATATTTTTTAATAACTAAATAGTATTTTATCTACAAAAATTAATAATTATAAACATTTTTATTTTTTTTACAAAATAATTAATTTTATCTTTTCAGAAATAATAACAAATTCATTGATTTAGCTATTTAATTTCTTTGTACTTTTGAAAATAATCCACAACTAATTTCAAAAAATCATCTGCAAAGAGCCTTGTTTCATTTTCTACAGATGAATTTTCTATGTAGTTGTAAATATTTTTTTTTATATCTTCAATTTAATATGATTTCTCTAATTTTTTTTACATACTCTACTTGTATATCTAGTTGTCCAAATTCAAACGTTAAGAGAAATCAATTAAATTGAAGTTATAATTATTATATTTATTTTATAAAAAGAAGTCTTCATTTTTAGTTTAGAAATACAATTCAAATTATTTATTTATTTTGAGTTATTTTTTATCAAAGTTGATACAATTAAATTCATCATTTTCAGAGTCATAAATTTTTTTAATTAGATTATAATATTTCTTTTCAAAATTTGTATCAACATTTTTAACTAAAATTTTTACTTTTTAGCTAGAATATTCCTGTAAGTGCTCCTACAATATTTTTTAATCTTAATGTTAACACTCTAAATCAATTTTCTATAATTTTAATAAAAATAAATATAATAATTCCATTTACTTTAAGCATATTAAAATTAATAAAATATTTGCTTATTACCAAAATTTATTTTAGCTGGTCTAAAATATTCAAGGGATCATAAGAGAAAGTCCATAAGCATACTGAATTTGTTATGATAAAATAGTTTTCAATAAAAAAAGTATCAAAATTAAAGTTTTGCAAAAATAGGTTGTCAATTTCAATCTACTTTTCTTCAAATTAAAACTTTAACAAATTATGTAAATCTTCATCTTCCAGCTAGCTAAACTCATTCACAGAAGACCTAAGATGGAGTTTAAAATCTTTTCTATCTGAATTATTAAATCTACCAAAGTAATTTAATATAATAGCTGAATAGCAACAATCTCTTAATAGGTTTTTTTACATTTATTCCAGTTCAATTTTTTCTATGTCTTTTAAAATTTTTATAAAAAATATCATTTTTTTTCTTCAGACTCATTCATTTAAGATTATTTTGTTTGCAATGTAAAATTTTGTAAAATATTTTATTTAAAATGAATTTAAAAAAAGTTATTAATTATTTTCAGAAATTCTTATTAATTTTACTTAAAAATGCCAAATAAAATCTAAAATTTTTAAAAAAGATTTACCTAAAATATTAAAGAACTGCATAGCTTCATTTATAAATGTGTTCAAAATTTATTCTTTTTAGCTTAAAACATCAAACTTTTATTGAATTTCTTTTTTTCTATTTATCAAGTCATTTTGAGTGTTTTTTAGGATGCTTAAAGAACCTTATTCAATTTCAAGTTTGCTTGCAATTTCTTAGCATTCCAAGTTTAGAATATCTTACTCATTAAGTGCGTTCTATTTTCAAAATAATTTTTGTAAAAATCAAAAATGAAATATGTAAGGAAATTACATCATATTCATTCTTTAATGGTTCAAGCTCAATTTCTAGTTTACGATAATCGATGAAAGAAGTCATCCATTAAAAAATGACTTTTAATCCTTTTTATTAGTTTTCAATGACTTTTGAATTTATAAATTTTTAATTATCTTCAAAAAGCGCTTCGACTTTATTGATTTGGTCTTTTCCTACAGTTTGCTTATCTAAATGCACTAAATCTTCTAGGAATTTCGGATTATTTAGGATCTATTTTTAAATTAGTTGCTTGCTTGCTTGAAAAAATTAAAATAATTTATCTAACCTTAACAGATGCTGCCCACCAATCAATTTCTATTTAACCATTTTATTGGTTTTTTCTTTTTTCTAGTGGGTTTGGATAAATTAAAAAACAAAGACCTTAGAGAATTAATTTCATAGTATTACTAGGAAGCTTCATCTATTTAAGAATATATAATTCGTTTTTATCAGTATTTATAACTTACTTTTCTATGTTTTCAAGATTTTATTTTGACTTTTAAAAATTAAAAAAATATAAAACAATCAATCAATCAAGGATTATTATTTTTTAATAAATTTACATGTAAAATTTTGATGTTTATTTCTTCTTAAATTTAGTTTGAAACTTTTATTTTTTCTTGTAAGACTTAATTTTTTTAATCATATTCTTGTTTGATCTAATCAATTAAAGTTTGAGATTCATCAATTTTGTTTGATATTAAATCAATGCTTGCCTACTCTTTTTCAATAGAAGGAATCATATCTTATAATCTCCTCTAGATTATTTTTTAACTCTTTATAATTACTTTAATTTTTTAACATATTTCTGACATTTTATCGAGTTTTTTCTGCAAATAAATACTTCTTTACAAAAAAATGCTATTCAATATCTATAAATAGCTCTAGAAAATTTTGTAGTTTGAAATAATGTCTTTCCTGTTTTTAAATAATCAGCAATTAAAATACTTGAAATTTATATAACTTTAAACTAAAGAATTAATTCAAAGTTATTTTTTACTTTAAATTTTTAAATGAAATATTTTTCCACTTGAATCATTAAAATAAATTAAATATAAATTTTTGGTTTTAATGAAACATTTCATAGTTATATATATTAGAAATTTAAAAACCAAAGTAGAAAAATAAATAAAATAAAAAATTACATTGCAGAAATCTAAATCATACTAGTAAATATAGAGTTGAGCAAGGGATAAAGTTAAGAACTTTAAGAAACTATTAAATTATCAAAACTCTCAATATATTGTTGAGTATACTCGAGTAACTAGTTTACAGTCATTTATGGTAAGAACAGTTATTGGAATTGATCTTTAAAAAATGGATAAATTTCTTCATTTTATTATTTTTATTTAATATCTGTATGCTAAAAGCTAATACTGTATTAAATATTCTAAACCATTTTATAATACATTAGCTCTTACATTTCAAAATCAGAAAATTTTTTTAACTTTTCATTAGCCTTCTTCATTTATTATGATATTGATCTTATTTCTAAGTTAAATATTTTAAGATTAGAATGATAAATTTTATAAAAATTTACTTACCTTCTGATGAAAAGAAATTTTCGAAAGAGTGACAAGAAATAATTTGGCTAATTGCATCATAAATTTGCTTAGAGGTGTAAGGCGTATCATCGATATGTACTAAGTACTATAAATTTAATATAAATTTTAAAAAATATTTTCAAACAAAAAACAGTAAATGATGATTACTCTCTCATCTGTAATTGCAGTTTATCTTAAATATTTTTTTAATTTGTTTGTAATTTAAATCAAATCAGATATATGGTCAGTTTTGATGTACTTGAATTATATTTTGTTGATGAAGCAAATCAAACTTAAGATATAAATAATAATTAACTAAAAATTAAATATTGAAATTAGTTACCTCAGAATCTTTTTTCGGTTGCTAAAAGGTTAAGAATAAATAAGGATATTTTATTTAGAATTGATTAAAATGTGATTTATCCTGATTAATGAATAGATGAATTGAGAAGTTATTATTTTTTATATTTTTAAAGTATTTTGTTGATTATAATTTTCTATTTAATCTTTGATAGTTTAAAAAAAAGTTTACTTACGAAAGTAGTAAGGGAAAATACTTTGTTAATTTTAAACTATGTCAGTTGTCCATATTATTTACTTCTCAAATTCGTTTATTTAAGTTTCTCCTTACTTTCCACTTTACTAAATAAAAGGTTCAAAATTTTATTCTTCGCTATCTATGCTTTAAATAGAATTTTTAAAGATGAAGCCTTCAAGGAATTTATCACTTGAAAATTCATTTTATTGTTCAGATTTGACATTTTCTTCCTCAATACCGAGATTTAATGTTTATCTATTTAATTACTTAGAACTATTTTAATTATTTTCTTGATTAACGATAGCATTCTACTTTTATGTGTTAATTTAAGATTATGCCATTTAAATCTCAGTAAAAAACTCTTTTAAATTATATGAAAATTACGAACCAGCAATTTATGATATCTAATTAAATAAATTATTTATTTTTTCTGTAAATTCAGATTGTTTTTACAATAATTGACTGTATTCTATCCAATTTAAATAAATAGTTATTTAAGCTAAAGATTTTTTATCAATAATATAGCTTTATTGCAGCAAACCCATAATACTTTAGAATATATGACATAATTACTATTAATTGTAAAGTTTAGGAAATAACTCACAGCATTTTTTGTGATATTGTAAAGTGGCTCTAACAATTTTTAACGAATAGCTATTGATCATAGTACTTATACCCTAAATTGTTCTTTCAGTTATTCCATGCAAGTTTTTTTGCTGATGCTCTATTTACACTAAATATTGTTGGTAGCAATCTAAGAGTTTATCTTTAATAGTTTTTAAATAAATTGTTTCTAAATTTTCTTCATTGAGCTGATCTATTCCGTAGACGTGAAAAGATTTCGTTAAGCTACAATAAAATAATTAAATAAAAATTCATTAATAAATGTAATTTTTTTTTTTAAAATAAATAAATATTTTATTCAAAAAAAGATTAAAATTAAAAAAAATAATAATAAAAATATATTTTTGTTTTTTTACCTTCTTTATATTTAATAAGGATGATTTGGATTAAATGATAAGAGAAAGTTTATATTTTTGACCTAGTTGATAAACTAAACGTTATAATTAATATCATTTGGAATTGTATAAAATTATTGCTTGTATTTAATTTATCTTATTGTTTCCAAAATAGGAGCACTGGGACTTGGAGGATTATTATCACTCTATAAAGGTGAAAAATTAATATCATCTATAACAATAATTAATTGATCACACAGTTATGGAGGAACATAAGTTGAATTTTCTGTTAATTTTAAGTTTCCAGTTAAAAACTTCATAAAAACAGAATAATTTGTGACTGTGTTAATCCTATAAAATATTCCTTATTATTTTAATTGGCATTCTTCTCCTGTTATTCTATCTAGTAATTTTTCTTGCTCTCCCTTCATCATAGGATAATCTAAAGTAAAAAATAATAATAATTTAAAAAATGCAATCAATAAATATTCATAAATAATTAAAAAAATAAATATTACATGATAATGTATCGGCTTGATCCAAAATAGATCTGCGGTTAGCACTCAGTTATGTATATTTAAGCATGGTCTCTTCCTTATGTTTTTTCATACTATTATTAAAGTCTAACTTTTTAGAAAGAACAAATTGCTTAAGATATGTTGTCCTACCATAGCAATTTTAAGAGCAGGCTATTAGTACATCTATTTTATTGCTAATTAAAAGATTTAACATAGATATTGTCTTAACCAGTTGAGGAGTTGGAATAATTATAGTATTGCCAAAAAATAACTTTTGAATATCAATATTAACTCCTTTACTTTATAACTTTACAGTGTTACTTTTATCTAAAATATCTTAACTAGCTGATTCAGAATAGGATTTCCATTCATATAAAGGGAAAACATCAATTTAACTGTCATCTTTTTTAGGTTTTTGTGAGTTGAAAATGAACTAAAATTTGCTTGATTCATTTTATTTGTTTTTTTATTTGACTAATTTGTAAAGAAATGTGTCTAAGTAAAAATCAAAGAGTGTTGCTTCTTATGGCAGAGTTATATTGTTGACTAATTTGTTGAATTAAACTACATCCTTGAGTAGAATGTCTTTTAAATATTAGTCGAAGAGCTTCCTGTGTTCAATCTAAATGAGTTATCCAACAGATGAAACCAAGGAAAATACAAACATTTAAATGATCAAAATAGAACGATTTTTCATATTATTCTAAAATATTCTATGATTGTATATTTATTCATCTTACAAAGGTTTTAAAAATAGAGAGAAAACTCTAGTCAAACAAAAGTACATTTCTTTGTCAGATATTTAAAAGATAAGGATGCCTCTATTCTAAATTAAAAGGGCTTGCTCTTCATTTTATTTACTCTAATTCAAAGCACTCTACAAACTCTCTTCGATTTTAGAATTCCTAATGCTACTTTCTGAAACTGTATCAATTATTTTTTTAGAGTTGATGTAAAAGTTAGTATTCTGACTTTCACTAATATTATAATCTGAATAAACTTTCTATTTATTTTGAAAAAGAGGAGAAGTAATTGAGTTTTTTTTGTTGTTTGAAAACTAGTTTTCATTTGTTAAAAAAATGCTCTTTTTGGTAGTATTAAATTTAAAGTCATCGAATTTAGTTTTAAACTTTGAAGATATCTGTCTCATTTAATTTTCTTAAGAGGATTCTCCACTGTAACTACAAATCCATTTTACAAGTGGCTAAAATATTTAATTGAATAAAAAATCAATCAGCTCAACATCATAATTTTCAAAAAACTATGGAATTTAAGAGCTTTTAAAGTACGAATGCTCATACTAAAAACAGACATCCCAAGATTAATCAACATTAACAAGACCATAGTTATTAATCATATCAACATCTATCCTTGAAAGATTTTCACAAGAAATGACAAGGAAAATATTATTTTTTATTAAGTTTACTTGTTGTTTACTTTCTTGAACAATTTTTTCAGGCGTTTTAAACATAGTGCACAACTACTAATCTAAAACAGCATCAATTAACACAATTCTTTTAATTACCTTTTTCTATCTTTTTTATGAGTAATCCTTTTCACTATAAATCTAATTGCATTTTATAGTTTATTATTTTTGCATTTTTATCACTTTACTATTATAACTGCTATAAGAATTTATAGAAGCTTCTAAGTTATCTTCAATCTTTTAAGAGCTTAAAATTGAATCTACATTTGAATTTTCTAAACTTTCATTTTCTGAATCTGTTTTACTTTATGCACTTTGATCACTTTCTGAGCTTTCTGAAGGTGTTTAACTAACTGAAGATATATCCTATTCTTCTGATTAAGAACTATTACTACTAGAGCTTTAATTGCTTTACTCAGTATTATTTGATTTTTAAAGTTACAATTATTTTTTTTGAAGCTATCTCTTTTTATTTCTAATATCAAATAAATTTTTTGAATTCTTATCTGACTCATCATCAGATTCCTCTTCCTCTGATGAAGAAGATTAATATTCCTTTTGTTTTGCTTTATAAACTTGATAAGAAGTTGTCATATTAGATTCAGAATCAGAGCTTTGCTATTCATCATAATCATCTAAGTCAATAAGTTTCTCTCCTCTTGCATATTATTCCTACTAATATTTTGCTTGCTATTTAATTATTTATTTAACCTCTAACGATGTTCTTTTCTATATTTTCCTTTTAAGATCTTTGACAAACGTGTTCTCATTATTCTATTTCTTATTTTTCTTTAAAATTTCTTATATAATTCTAAAAAATGTCCCAGGTTAGCTTTAAACTATTTTTATAAATAATCATTTTTTACATCTATTTTAAATCAAAAATTTTAAAAATCAAATAGGACTTAATTTAAAATTTTAATAAACTACATTTAAGCATTTTTTTTTCTAAATGAAATTTTTCTCATCAAAATGAATTAATTTGTTTATTTAAATTTTTTGAAGGCATTTCATTATCAATTTTTTGTTTAAATTATATCAATCTGTCATAAATAACATTACTAATTTGTTTAATTTTTTTAATTAAATCTTATTTTTATTAAATTTTTGCTTAAAAATCCAAATTGTGAAATTAAATATTGAGAAAAAAAAATTTGCAATTTTATTTTTTTATTTATTTAGAATAAATGTAAAATTTAAGGATTGATATTTTATTATTTTGATTATTGATTAATAATATAACCTTAGTGTTTGAGTTTTTAACTTAGTTTTAAAAGCAAATTAAAAAATTTTAATTAAAATAAATATGATTTTAATAGAGAAAATGAATTAATTTACCTCTTTGAGGATCATTGAATCCAAACATTAAATATTTAGGTTATGCATTAATGAAAATATTTTGATAATCTTCATTTTTTAAGTATGTGGGATAGGCATAAACTTCAAAGTATATCATAACAATTTTGATGACTAAATTTTTGTAGTTAACTTTTAAGCCTGAGAGCAACACACCTTTATTTTGCATAATGTTTTAAATTACAGAAACACATTTTTCTATTAAGTAAAAGTTTGGATTTTAATATCCAATTTATCTAAAAATGATAATTATAGCTTTTTTAATTAGTGATTCATCTTAGATGTCTCTAAGATTTTTTTAAACATTTTCTATTTTATCTTCAGCTTTTTCATTATTAATATGTTTCGTCAGCTCAAAGATTTAAAGGTTAGTTATATTTTTTTTGTATGGATTTATGGCATTTTTGAGAATTTTCAAAATTAAAATTTTGCTTTCTTCCTCTAATTACGAAAGATAGAAACTTTGCACACTCTCTTTTATACACTGAAGACAATTTTAAAAGTATATTTTTTTATGATTTTTTAACTTTTAGTCTAACTTATCAACTGATAGTCTAAACTAAGTTATAATTGCTGTCACTGAACAAAGGTTTGTAAATGAAATTTTTTATACCTTTATATACTTCGAAATGCAAAAAATAATTTTGGATAAAATTTATCCTAGAATTTCAGATTTTGGAATATCAATTGACTATACAAGAGCATTAATAATTTAAAATACATCTTGTTTTTGAATATCTAATATCCTAAATTTTTCTTTTACTTAGTTATCCAACTCTAAAGTTTAGAATTTAGATTTTTTATCATAAGAGCATATGATTTAATTTGAATAAGTGCATTTTATATTATGTAAACCGAATTGTATAATATCATTATTCAAAATTCTGTTCCTAATCAGATTATCTGAAAATGTTCTTAAAAAGCTCCAATATTAATTACTCATTTCTTCAAATCCGTCTAAATAAAGCCAATCTCCACAGGCGCAAATTCCTTTAATTAATACAAAATTGTTAATAAAATTTCATTTTTATTTACTTATTTGTTTGTTTACCTTATAAAATATTTTAAAAGTAATTCAAACTGAAAATTCTTTAAACATGAAGTTCAAACACTAAATTTCCAAACATAATTGAAGATTCTTAAATGATAGATCTCTTTCCATCTTTTTTGTATCTATTATGAGTGAGAATAGAAAACTTAAAGTCAAGCAGATTTTAGCACAAAAATACGAAAACTTTGTCAGATTGAGGATTCCTGAATATTCTTTTGGTTGGAGAGAAATAGTTATATCCGTACTAAAAGACTTTATTCAAGATTTAAAGAGTCAGAATTCCAGTTCGTTCATTGAGATTATACTTGAAGCGCTTTATGCTATCGAAAGATTCTAAAGATGAGCTAAAATCTTTATTTTTAGATTCTCTTTAAAGCCATTCTATGTAGTAAATTAATTGTAGTATTTTTACTTCTTTCATTAGTTTAATCTTTGAGTTGTTTCTTTCATAATTGCAAATAGCCTTTTAATATCCGATATAGTACTTCAAAATATCACCAATAGACTAAGTAATATTTTCTCCCTAAATAATTCAATAGAAAAAATTAAAATATTCAAAATAAAAAATTTTGAAACAGAAATGAAATAAGAAGAATGCTTTTTAGAAGATAACAAACACTCTTAAAGAATAAATATTTTTCAATCTAGTTTTAAGTATTGTTCATTCTTTTGGCAAATAACTTGCAAAATTTTTACATTTTTCTATTGGTTAATAGACAAAAAAGATATTTTATTCCAAAAATAATAGTCCTCTGCAACTTGAGTGGCACTGAAAATAAAGTCGTTAAAAATTGTTTTTAAAAAGAAATCAGTTATTTCGTTAGTGTCCTGCGAGAGCCTGAATTGTATGACCTAGTGAATCTCTTATTACATCTTTATCTATGATTATGTTTAAATGAAATTCAGGATTTCGTAACTATTTCCATATAGGAGGTTTATATCTAAATGAAGGTTGAATAGAATAGAGTTATTGTTAATTCCAACAACTCCAATTAAGTATCTTTATTCTTTTTACTAACTGTAATACTCTTCTTCTCTCTTCTCTTCTTCAAACTTTTATTTGCGAATTTCTTCAATTTCTTATTCTCTAATAGTCTTGATAAGCTCTTCTCTCTCGATGTCATCCTCATCAAGTAGTACATTTTCTTAAGATTCCATAGTTACCTTTTTTAAATCCTACTCCATCAGTAAGTCTTTATCAACATTTTCCTGATCAGCATCTTCTCCATTTATAATACTGTGGCTTTGTATATTCTTTGAACTCTAATCTGCAATTTGAATGTTACTGTCTTATTTGCTAATTATTTTTTAGGCATTTTTTAGTATTCCTTTTTATTTCTTTTTTTAATTATCAAATTTAGAGATATTCTTTTTTGAAACTAATTTTTCAGCTTAAATTTATCTTTTATAACTTAAAAATGATATTCCATCCAAAATTATTAGTTAATCGAAATTATCAAATATATTGCAAACTATTTCTGTAATCTTTTCTATATTCTTAGGTTCTTGCACAAGCTCAAAAATCTGTTCATCTGACACATAAAAGAGCTTTCCACATTACGATCTGACTGAATTAATATATCTTTAAACTCCAAACTCAATCTATTTTTAATGAAAAGAATTATTATTTAATTTCAAATATCCAATTATCTAAAAAAAAGAATTAATTAATTAATTACATTGTTAAAAATAAAATCAAACTTTTTGAGTTGTTCGATAAATTAAACTTCTGCCACAAACTAATAAATAGAAGGAACTTTTTTCATAAATTTATTCATAATTTTCCACATTTTGTCAATCCCGCTGTAGTAGCTAGCCTCTAATGGCATTTTCTTTTAATTATCAGGATTTTAATCAAAAAACATGAAATATCTTTTCCACAAATCCTGTACTTTCATAAGAAGAGTACCTAGAATCTCAGCTGATTTCATTTTATCTTAAAGTTGGTGTATTTTATCTTCAAACTCTTTCTTTTCGTATGACCTTTCAATAAAAAATATTTCAATAAATAAAGTTGAAAAAATAAACCAAAGATTAAAAAAATTACTCAACTAAAAATAGCTCTACTTAATGTTCTTAAGCTTTTTAAACAATCTGGAGAAGCTACTGTTGCTCAATGTATTCCAGACCATTCTCATCAAACACAAATTAAACTATTTGAAATTTTATAATATTAATTTTAAGTAGTCTTGTTTAATGTTACTTTTAGTTGAGCTCCAGTCTTTAATAATTCTTTCTAATGTAGACTCGATGTTAAAAAGCTCTAGCTTTCTTGAAAGGATTCGATCTATTTCAGGTAAATATTTTCTAACATTTGTGTCAATCACTCTTTTTAAAGCAATATGATCTCTATCTTTATACAGATTAACTTAAACAATATTTTGAATTTCTTCTTAATCCTCTTGCTTTAAAGCTGGATGAGTGATATAACTTAATTGTTCAAAATGAAATTCAAATAAACTTAAATCTTTTTCAATATTCTTGAGAATCTTCACAGGTCCTTCAAATTTCTACTAATTTCCTAAATATATAATAAAATTAATATCTATTATGTAATAAATAAATTAACACTCCCTCTAAATATTTTAATCAATTATTTTATCAAAAATTTTATAGCAAAAAATGAAATTTATGAACAAATTGTAAGGATTAAGTAACAAGAATTTCAAGGGTATTTATTTAAATGACATATCTTAAAGAATATGTATAAATTGATAAATAATAATAAAATTATAATAGTTTTTGATATAAAAAATTAATTACCTTTGTTTTAAATATTCTGATTTTAGTTTTGTTTAGAAAGTAATAACTTTTAAATTGAAGGGTCTTGAAGTACTTATTAGAACAGTTTTTCAAAAGGAAAATTGTTAAGGTAGTCTATTTCTTCTTTCATGTATTTTATTTTCTAAAAAGAAATATTAACAAAATAAAAAAACTTAAATAAAAACTTACGTTTTAAATATCTTTAATATCTAACTTAAACATAGGAGTATCTTTAATCCACAAAACTTAGTTTTTTTCCCACAGAGCTTATAAATTCCAAAGTCTTTCAAAAGCAATAATTTATTGTATGAAAGTGTCTATTTATTCCATAGGTGTCACATCAAAGCCTACCAACAATTAATTCTTTTAAATTTACTGTTTCCAATCATTAGCTTTAAATATTTGTTTTTTAACTTCAGTAATTTCTTGAATAACCTGCATTGACTAAGAGTTATCTCCTTTTAATATTAGCTTTAAATAATTTATGTTAATTTATAGATAAGTCGTGATTATTTTATTACCTCAGATAACTATTATCTAATTTTTGCAGTTTAACCTTCAAGCATCCTAACTTCTTTCTGAAGCTCCTTTTCAACAAGAATTCTTTCATTTTTAACTCTTACTTCTTCCTTTTCAGCTATGATGATAATTGAAAAAATCAATTTTGTGAGATGATAAAACTTATTGAACTCATTTTAAGATAGTTAACTATAAGGATAATCCAGAAGGTAGAAAATCCATTTTTTGAGTTCTTACTATTAAAGAACAATTTCATTATACTCAAATATTTTAATTTCATGTATTTTCTTTTCTAAGTTGATTAAATGCTAGTAATTTGAAGGTTCAATTGGTTTTTTGATTTCCTCGATAACATCTAAAACTTTTTGTTAAACCTTATTTACTTTTTAAAGAAAATACTCTTTAGCATCTTTAAGAATTATCATCTATAAATTAAAGCACTCTTTAAGCAGTGTTTATCTCATTTAGTAACACTAAACTTCAATCATATTCATCCTTATAAATGGAGAAAAATCTTCTTAAATTTGTTCACTATAGACCTATATTTTTTTTATTCTTTTTCGAATGTATTCTCTAGTAATATCTTTCTTTTCAAGCTTCACATTGTCAATTTCAATTTTCTTAATTATCTTAATACAAATATAAAATATTTTATTTTCTCTAAAATACATTAGGTAAGTAAGTAAGTAAGAATAAATAAATACCATTTTTTTATGATTAAAAATTTAGCAATACATCTTCTGTATTTTTAATATTTTAGCAACTTCAACAAAATTAGAATCAATAATCCTTTCTATGTAACTATAAACATTCTTGAAGATTTCACTATCTTAATCTATAATGTTTATATACTGCTTTTACTCTAATATTTATCAAAATAATAAATTAATAAAATTAGTATAAATAATTAAATTTAATTTTTGATAATTAAAATTTTAATAAATATTTCAAAGTTAAATTTGAAAAAACTAAGTATTGATTTTAATTAATAAAATAAAATATTAAATTACTTTCAAAAAATTATGAATATTCATTGAAGATATCTAGAGACTTAAATATAGTATATTCTGGCCTTTCAATTTATTGTACACATTTCAAAATAGAATTCAAATAATTGAGGATTTCTTCTTTAATTTTTGGCAAAGTAGTCTTTTGTAGAAGATAGTATATTTGATTAAATTGTTTAATAAATACTAATTTTACATCGAATTGTAATTCATCTTTCTCTTCATCAAATCGAAGATTTATTTTTAAGAATCTTTTTTCATAGTGCTGCTGCAAAATATCTTCATCGTCTTGCATAAATATAATTTCTTCTGCTTCTCTTATATGAGCTTTATCGAATTTTTTAAACAACCTTTTATAGTCTTCCAAATTTTCATAAATCTTTTATTGAAGCAATGTTTGTATCAGAAGAGCTGAAGAAGTGTAGAATTATTGCTAAAATTAATTTGTAAAAGTGTTTATAAAATTTTCTTCAAAATTATCTCGATTCTCATCCAATAAGTTTTTTGAATCTCCATGAATAACCTTGCTATAAATATCAATCAAGCAAGCATTAAGTTCTTAGCTTAAAAATCTACTAAACTTTTAAAAAAATGTATTTAAAATATTAAATAATACTATAAAAAACAGTTTTAATCCTAATTAATAAGGTAATAAATTTACTTATTATAGACCTTTTTAGTAAAGATCAGTAAATTCTTTAATACTGAATAGCTTAGAGTCTAAATCAGCTACATCAATAATTTTAAACTTGTTTTCTATAAAATAAAAATTATTAAAACAAAATAGTTGAATTTTTGCATACATTTTTCACATCTTAAAAATAAATTAAATATTTCAATTGTAGCTGGATTGTAGAAAACTATTTTAGAAATAAGTTGTCTTTTCTGATCTGATATTATTGCTTGATATCCTTATTACTCTATGAAATATTAACTGCTTTTACTTAAATAAATGTTTTCTATTCCGTTTTCTCCATATGGTTTAGGAATATTGATTCCTTCAGTTAGATCTTTTGATAAATTAAATAATTTATTAAGTTTTGTAGAAACATAATAATTTGGAAAATAATAAAAACTTACTTAACTTAACTGCTATTTCATCTGATAAAAGCATGTAATCCAATATAGATTTTTGCAAAGAATGATAATAGTTAATCGTAACTTCAGCAAACAGATCTTCTGTTAATTTAGCAAAATACTTAATGATGTACTCATTATTTTCATTTAAATTTATTAAATTTAGAATATTGTTCATTAATTAAGTGCTGAATGGAGCAAGAATTTCTTTAGGAACCTATTCAATCATCACTTATTAATACCTTAATTCATATTTTATATCTTTTAAATGCAATAAAAAAAAAATAAATACTTTTTCATGTTTATAATTTTCTTTCGAATTTTCATTTCTAATTCTTTTTGAATCATGTTATTCTTAAAAAATTCATATTCATCTTGAAATGTTGCCTCTTCCTTTCTAAGTTAATTTCTTATTTCTTTAAATTTTAAGTTATTTTCGATTTCTTCATCATTTTTCTTCCTATGTGGCATTAACATAAAGTTTTTTAAGATAAGAAGAATAAAACTTTAAATTGTAAATGAAGCGAAATTAAAAATATTTACATAGTAGCAATATTAAATGAATGAGTATCTAAGTATAAGTAGAGGCAATGCATAGAATAAAATGTTCCTATTCTATGTGAAGGTGGGAGCATTGTTTAAACAAAAAATTAAAGAGCACCTAAAGTATTTAGTTAATTTGTTAAAAGAGTTTCTTTATTTTTTTAATCCTAAGCATGTCTCACAAATGTTCCCTTAACTAAAGTAACCCCATCTTTAGCTAAAGCAGAAAATGAGTTGTCCTATTCATCAGTTTTTAATTAAGATAAAATAATTTTAAGTGAATAAATAAATTTAAATTTAACAAATTCAAAAGAAAAAAATAAATATTTAGGTAAATAATGAAAGAAATATGATTTAAATTATTAAATTTACATGTTGTTGCTAAAGAACGTTTGAACAAAATTTTTTATCTTAGAATTGCCTCTGCAAGGGAGAAGTGCTGTTTATTTTAAAGTTTAATCAATGTGGATAAATAAAATAAAGTTAAAAAAAGATTTATAAACTCAATAAATAAATATTAACCTTCTCAATCTAAATTAAGCTCCTCCACTGATATTGAGTTTGATCATGTTTTTGCTTCTTTGTAAATCAGACGTATTTAAAATTTTGTTAGAAGGGCTATTGGGTAGTTTACTATTATCTTAACTGGTGTTTTCACCTTCATCTACAAGCAGTTGCTGAGATTAGTTTAAAATTTGGGAATAGTCTAATGAAAATAAATTATTATCCTTATTATTTCCTTTATTTCTAAAAACAGGAGAACCGTTTTATATTTTAATGCTTCTCTGTGAATTGTTTTTGTTCATCTAAATGTTAATATTTTGTTGAGTTAATTTGTTAGAATCTTAGATCAATTCTTATTTAGGAGATTGAGATCTATTTAGTTTTGAAAAATCTGATTTTATGCTATCCCGCTTGATCACTTTAACGACTTTGATATTGTTAGAATTCTGCAGCTATTGCTATTACTATTCAATTTTTTTGAGATTATTTTATGAGTTGCTTTTTTTCAATTAGAGATTTTAGTTATTGAAATATAAAATTTATGAAGAATCACCATTTTAGGTAACTTATTTAGAGTAAATCTCTTTTTTAATATCTAGCAAAGGTAGAGTTTTCGGAGATATGCTTCTGTTAGCAGGATTCGCTATTTATTTCACAGTGACAACTTTCCTTAATATATTAGATTCTTATTATATTTTTTGATAATAAACCATCTTTTAGTATAACTTTATATATCCCAGCTCATCCAAATCTAGTTCAATAAATTCGTTCTGTTAAATGTTCTGTTTAAATATTTTAAAATGTATTTACATAATAAATCATTTAATTTTTTTAAATAAAAAATCTAATTAATAACCTTTTCTATTTGTTTATGAGTTAGATTTATTACAAGATCACAAAATTGCAGATCTACTTTTGCATTAGTAGAAATACTTTATAAGTTTATTTTACAATTTTAAAAGGCGCTTTCGTTAAATAAAAACTATTTTAAAAACATAATAAGTATTAAGCAATCATTGATTTATGTGAATAAAATCTATACTTAAGTCCTTAAGCCCTACTAATTCATGAAACTATTTTTCAAAATCAAAATGATATTTGTTGAATAATTAAGACTCTACTACTAATTCAAATGGAGTGGCTAAATTAAAAAGGAATCCCCTAAATTAATTTATCTTTGAAACTCAACTTAAATCTTGCACCATCTAATAAAATTAAAATATTGATTTGACTTTTAAATTTTATAATTTGCTTCATTACTTTAGTAATATTTTCCATATTTAATGAAATTTTATTTTATTATCTTCACTTTGTTTTAAAACGCCTTCTTATGTTCCCCTGAATTTGAAGATAAATAAATATTATGAGAAGTGAAGTGAAGTTAATAATTAATTTACTAGTTAATGGCTTCAGCAAAAATATCATTTATATCTTTGTGAATTATGCTCATATTATCAAACTCCTACTTTTAAAAATTTAAAAAAAACTAAAATCAATCAATATTTAAATCTTAATTAGAGATTCAATTTATAGTCACTAAAATCTAATATTACAAATAGATTAATTAGATTATTTAGTTAATTAAAATATTAACAAAAATAAATAAGTAAATCAATACATATCAAATTTATTAATTGAGTAATTATTTTACAAATTAAAATCTAGAATGAACAATAAAACTATTATATATATATGTATAGTACCGCCCTAGGGTACTGCCTTTTTCAAGGCTATACACTGAAATTTTAGATATTAAGGTAACGAAATCCAAAATTTTTATAATCTTAGTTTTGATTGGATAATCTTTTCCCCATAATAAAATAAAAAGTATTAAAGTAAGGGAGATTGAAAGGCCTATTAAACAAAGCTCTTTTAAGCTTTACTCAATAAATTATACTGATCAAATTTTGAAATTAAATCTATGTTACTCCAAAAAATGTCGAAAATGTCGACACTAATTTCAAAGCTGATTTTTTGATTAAGTAAGTTTGAGATGATTTGGTGAAAATTAATTTTTAAATGAAATATATTATATTTTCAGTATCAATTCCTTCTATTGCATTTAATTAAAATTAACCAAATAAAATTAATTGCAAAATTAAAAAACTAAGAGATGTTATTGAAGCTAATATAAATTAAGATGAAAATCAGAGTATAAATAAACTCATCTAATTTCATATTTTTTTGTTATGGATACCTTTTTTAAATTTCTTTTTAATCTTTAAACTTTTTAATTATATTTTTAAAATATTAATACCTTCAATCTCTGATAACACAATTTTTAAGATGTAAATATTCTTATTTTGTTTCGGATGATACTTTATATTATAATTTATATTTATTTGTCTTACACATAAAATGAATAACTTGTTTTGAGTTTTAATGTAAGAAAATTGTTTATTTAAATTAAAAAAAACTGAGATGTAATTTAAGTTATTTCTTATTTCATTCAAATATTTTTAGATTAATATGACTATTGTGTTTATTTAATTTATTTTATTTTAAATAGATTGAATATTAGCATAACAAGTAAACACTTGTTTATAATAGGATAGGGAATTAATTTCGTTTAAATAAATATTTCACTTACCATAACTCAAAAACAATAGATATTTGAGTTTATAAAATTGAAAAATATTTCTTATTGAGCTTTTAGAATAAGCATCAAAAAAATTGACTTTTTAAATATTTTTGAATTCATTTAATTATGTAATTTTATTGAAGTTTGTTTTGCTACTAACATTTAATTTCTGTACTGTCTTAAAAATATCTAAACTCAAGAAATCAAGATCCCAATCAGCAATAATTTCCATTGTGATTACAGTAAATTTTAATTATTGACCAATTATGATAAGCTCATTAATTAAGTCATCCTCACAGATTTCCATCTCAAATTCTTTTGAATGATATTAATTATGATTTAATATCTTATTTAGCTTCTTAAAAGATAAAATGTTATTTGAATCTATAATTAGCTATATAGAATTTTTTTATTCATCAACAACTTTAAGATTATAATGCTAACTAGAAAATATAACCAATTCTAATACTTTCAAACATTATTATATCAAAAGATATAATGAACAAACCTTTTCTGTAGAATTTTGAGAGATGGCCCTAAAATACTCATAAATTAGATTGTAGCTAAGTATTTATGAAAAAGGTTCAATATATGATTCAATATATTTATCAGAAGAAATGTACTCTCTACGTGTCATTTTATTAAATTTATCAGCAGCAATAAATTTTATTTTTAAAACTTCATAAACTTATTTCACTTTATTTTAATAAGCTAATTCGAAATCTTCAAAAAATATGCATTAATCAATAGTATATTAAAATACTTTGCTATTTGAAACATCTTATTTATCAACTAAAATATTGCTAGGGTTGATTTTAGTTATTTAGACATTCTTTTCTATTAAAAGATCTTGACTTAAATTGATTAAATTTTGTAGGAAAATAAATGCTTTTTTTAATTTTTCATTTTCGGCATTAAAAGAGTTGAATATACTAATAATTTTTTCGTTAATATTTATTTCTTAAATAGATATGCAATTTTAAATATTTTAAATTTTAGATTTTTCTACCAAAACATAGCATTCATTTTGACATGGTATTACATTAACACTATTTATATTAAATGTAGAGCAGCTTTTACTTAACGCACAGCGATCCAATTTATTTTACAATAATAAGGCTTCTTAAAAAGTTTTAATTTTATAAATTTATAAGTTTACTGTAACTCCTTGGACATTCTCAACCTGAGGAGTGGAGGACATCTTTGATTCTTCAATTATTAAAGGTACTCTCTATTGGCTTGGGCTTTATGCTAATTTAGAGGAGCAGCCAAGTATTTACGGTATTTATTTATCTTATTTATAAATAGCAGTCAAGTTTAAACAACCATCTATATCCGCTTTTACCTAGTAACTTTAATATTAAGGGTGCTAAGAAATATTTTCAAAAATATCTATAGAGTATTTCTCTAAAAGATAAGAATAGGATTCTTTTATTTCCTTAACAAGGTCTTATTTTTGTATTTCTTTACTGATCAAATTTAAAAAGTTCTAAATCTAATCTTCCGAAATTTTAATTTCATTCTCCATATTTTAAGTTTCAATTATAATTTGTTTAGTTTTACTATTTTCTTCATAAGCCTAATACTTTTAAACATAACTTTTTAAGCTTAATAAATTAAGTTTAACACAAATCTGATTTTCACTTAGAATTTTAATAAAAAACTCTAAATCTCCTAATCTCAAATCATATTAATCGATTTCGATTGTGTACTTACCTTAAAAGTATGATTAAAAAGTAGAAATCAATTAATTTATTATTTAGTCAAAAAAATCGCTATGTTATTTTTTAAAGCTTACTAAAGGCAGATCACAAAATTCTAATTCAACAACAAAATAACTCTTATTGTCTTAAAAATCAGGTAAGTAATAGGAATCGTAACATTGTAAAATGAGTTGATCAGTTTAATACATATTATTTATCCCAGATTTTATGAGACTTAATTCATTTTCTTTCATAAAGTCAACTATATAAATTTATAACATTTTTTTCATTTACTTCGTTTTATCAAAGACATTCAAATATATTGATTTATAATATTATTAGAATTCTTTGCATACCTATTCATCTTGACTATATTCATACATATAATCTTCCTCTTTAGAATTCAGAAAGTTCTCAATTTAAAAATGAGGAAAGTGTTTTTATAACGATGCTTAGATTATCTATTTGTGGAGTCTGAGTATTTCACAGAAAAGATAGTAACTATATTCTTTTAGCATAATAAACTTTATTGATTAAGTTTTAAGTTTTTTATTTATTTAATTTTCTTTTATTTTTGTTATTATTTAATTATTATTTTTTCAAATATTTTAAATGACAATTATTGTTTTTTCGCGCTAAAATTGATCAGATTATTTTACATTTATATCAGATAAATGGGTGAAGAAATTAGTTTTTACTCTATTTTATTTAATTTTCTTAATTTGATCTCAAATACTAATTACAATAGGAAACTTACATTCTAAATAAAAATTATAAATATAAGATAGTTTTTACAATAAGTTTAGGTTACAACAATATTCAAAGTATAATTTTAAACAAATTTTAAAGAAAGCTATTAATAATTTTTTTGATAAAGTTTATTTTAAATAAAAAATGAGAATAATAATTCAAATCATTTAAAATTATCTTATGGGTGGTAGAATTAGTAGAGAATTTACAATCGGAGCATTTTTAGATCAAAATTTTAGAAATTTTTGAAATGGGTATTTTTAATCAATTAAAAAGAACTTCCTTTAAAAAAATCACATAAGCATATTAAAATATGATAATAATAACTTTTAATTTTGATAAAAATTAGTAAAAGTAAGTAAGTAAGTCTATTATTTAATTAACTTTTTGTTATGAAAATTATAATTAAAATGAATGCATGAACAAACTATAATATATAAGAGTATAGAAAGTGCATAATTAAATAAAATATTTTTTTTTATTTTTGAATGTTAAATTAAAATATTGATTTAAAGTTAATATGAATTTAACTTGATTTTTTTATTTTTTTAAATATTTTAAGCTCTTTATTTACAATTTGAAATGTTTTTCATCATAAAAATTAATGCATCGTAAATATCTTTTTCACAGACTAATTTTTTCAGGAATTGTTAAAGTACTGTCTTATTTTAATTTTACTGCTTCTAGAGTTTGCTGTAGATGATCTTCTTCTTTGACCTAAGTAAGTGGAACTAATTTTTCTCTTTATATTTTAGGATATATTTTTTAAGTTGCTTAATCATTTTTTCTATCAGCGTGATGTACTGTTTGTATCCTGCGTCTTACTATAAAAAAAATATTAAGTAAATTATTTTATTTCATAATTAAAAGATATTTATCTATTTACATTATTAATTTTGTATAGAGTAAGGTGAAATTTATTCAAAACTGACTTTGTACTATTTATATATTTCTTTAGATTACTTTTTATATTCGTCCATAATCCTGCTTTCTTCTATTCCTTAAACAGGAGTATATGGATATAATTTTTGAGGTGACTTGTCTTTTTCTTGGATAGTACTTTTAGACAAATTACTTTTGTTTTACACTATAAAATTGTTTTTTTGATACTAATTTTATTTATAATCAGTATTAAACGAGTTATTATTAGTTGAACTATGGTTTAGATGACTGTTATTGAGTGAATTATTTTAATTAACAAAGTTATTGTTTCTATGATTTTGAGAGTACTGGTTTTTTCTAAAACCATTGTAATAATATTATTAGTTGTTATTTGCATTACGAGTAGATGTAGGATTATTTGATTTTATTTATTAGTAAGCTTAGATATTGACTTGAGGTTAATTAATCTAAATATTCTTTTTGCTTTTTTATTGGTTATTATTTAATCCAATATTTTATGTCATCGGGAATTAGTTCTTTTTCAGTGAAACACTTCTTGCACTTGTGCTAAAAAAATTTTTAAACTAATTTTCCATTCTTTGAGTTTATTAAACAGTTGGCTTATTAGATGCAAACAAAATAGAGTTATCTCCATATTAGTTTTTTAAATCTTGCATACTTTTATCTCTAAATCTATTATTATTTGAATATCCTAGTGTGTCATGTTGATCTGAATTGCTACTTGTGTGAGCTCTTTGATATTAATTAGAGTATGGCATATTTCTTTCATTTCCACTGACTGTGTAATTAGTTTTAGGACGAGCATTTCTTAAATATGACTGAACCCCTATTTCTATTTAGCTTGGATGTTTCTTTTTGTTTTCTATTTTTACTTGAGAATCAAATAATTATCTATTAGCTGTTTTAGACAGCGATTGATCTCTAGTCTTAGATCTAATTTAGCCTTTTACCTTTAAACTATTTAATTTGGATGAAGATTCATTGTAATCCTAATTATTTCAAACAAAAATTTTAATCTACTCATTTATTAAAATATTTACTATTTCAGTGAAAAAAGATTTAGGGTAAGTCGTTAATTTATTTTAACTAGAATTGTTATTTTATTTTTGCTCAATAATCTCATCTTTCTCTTTTTCTAATTTCGGCTGTGAGTCTTATTCATATTTTGAAGAAGAAGACTGTCTCCCATCTTTTTTCTTTGAAAGATCCTCCCTGCTTTTCTATTTAAATAAATGATGTCGTCAAAATTAATAAATTCATCAAAATAAATAATAAAACAAATTACATTTAAAGAAGAGTTGGTGGCGAATCTATCGATGTATGTACTACATCTAAAGTAAACAAATAATTTGTAACAAAAATGTCCAGAATGCAAAAAAAAAAAAAATTTACTTCATTTTAACTCTATTTGTTGATTGATCTACTTAAAACTTAGATAATCTACTTTTATATTCTTATTATTTGTTGTGGAACTTATCAAAATTCTTTTTGTTCAAAACGGAATCCCTTTAAAATATTTTGTTTTTTTATACAGTTGTCTAACTAACAATAATATAAAAGTTTAAAAAATGAATTGATGGTTACATTTCTAATAACCTCTAGTGCAATTAAAGATTCTCTTTATAAATTTTATCCAAAAAATCAGTTTGCTTTGTTGATATTTGTATTTAGCCTTGATTTGATTATATCACTGAGCTTGAAGTATGAGTTGCATTTGTAGGGCTTGCTGAATTTCTCTAAAATAATAAAAATATTTTCAATGAATAAAATCACATTAAAATAATAAAAATTAATTTTATCATTTTTAAACGAGTAAATTAATTTATCTCCTATTGAATCGATGCAAATCAACAAAAAAATCAAATATTTAGTTTAAATTTTTTTTACTTTCTTGTGCTGAGTAGTCAATGATTATCTTTGAGGTCCTGGTACAGTTACACTTGCATGCTCAGTTGAGTTAGCTCTGCTATTTGTTTAAACTTCTACAACTTATTGCAATTAACTGTTTTTTTCAAAGTTTTGTAAATCAACTAATATTTCGCTATTTAATGAAAAGTCTTTCGTGTTAATTTTTTATTAGGATTTATTTTGAGCTGAAAGCTATCCCCCATTTCCTACTACTGGAGGGATTGTGCTAAAGTTGCTATTTGTGCTAATATTTAACAACTTAAAGAACATTTTTGTGTTCTCTTTGTATAGATTCAATTGTTACTCCTGCTGTCTATAATAGAAGCTATTCTTCTTTATTTTCTAATTTTATTTTACATCCTCTGACTAAAAGAAGCTGATGTTCTTTCTTGCCTTACCAACTTTAATCTCATCAAGCTTTTTTTGGTGTCTGAAATAATCTCTGTTTTATTTAAAGGTTTTATTTGTTAGTTTGGAGTTAAAACTTGAATGACTATTGATTGAGAAATTAAGTTGATGGATGATACTATTCCAATAAGCAAATTGATTAAAATTAATTACTTCTTCCTTTCCAAAATGGTAGTTGGAATTAAATAATCGTATATAAACTCTTGTTTCATAATCCTTTTTAATTTCAATGCTACTTTTTTAAAGCTTATTGATCTTATCCTAAATATGATTATAGTTAGTTTGTACTAATAGTATCTATCTATCTTGATTACTAAATGAAAGAAGAATAATGCAATTTTAATTTTTTCTTCTTTCTTATATGCAAATATATATATATTTTCAATGGTTGTGGAAGAAATAATTTACCGTTTATAACTAATAAATAATAATTATCAAAATTTTTATTTAATTAAATACCTTCAGTTGATAGCTTTAAATATCTCCATATAAATATATTAGCATTACAGCCTACTTAATACTAGTTTCTTACTTAACTAAATCTTATTAAATTTAACCAATAAGCAGACTGTAAAAATTTAAATTTGTTCATTTTATAATTTTATTCGTTAAATTTACTACTTTTATAATTTTATTTTATATATCATCTATCTAAAATATATTTTACTATACAAATCAAATCAATTTAGAATAATTTTATATTACAGCTATATGTTTAAGCTTAGATAAGATTATTTGGAATATCTTAGTCACTAACCAAATATTTTGCTATTGAAAAAATTAAGAGTTATTTAAAAATATTAATTTATGAAAATGAAATTGTTAAATTTAAAATAAAATTAAAGTGTTTTGAGTAGCAAATAATTTTATTTAAATAACTTTTCATGTGAAATATTTAAGTCGAACTAAGATTATTACTTATTGTTTATATTTTTAATAAAAATAGCGTTCTAGATATTTTGCATAAATTAAAATATTGCAATAAAATTAACTTAATATGAAATAAATTGTTTAATAATTTTATATGAACATAATAATAATAATCAAAATAAATACTTCACATTTACTAAATAAAAATACAATTTTAAGGTAAGTTAGTGTTGAAAAAAAAATAATTAATTAGTATAATAATTTATATATAATTATATAATGATTATGTAGATTCTTTCTTTCTTTTTTTGTTTGTTTATTGTTTTTACATTTATCTGCTGCATTACAACAACTTATTGCCTTTTCAATAAGAGAAAAATAAAAAACCAATATTTCTTTTTTTGAGCTACTTCAAACAGTAAGCAAGGTAGATATGAAAATTATTTAATAAACTAAAAATGTCAAGAATAATAAAACAATTACTATTTCATTCTTAATCGACAAAAGAATGAATGGTCCATTATTGTTAAATGAATGTATTAATGAATTCAATAAATATAAGCTATTGGTTATGGCTTAATTAAGAAATATAGATTAGTAAGTTTTTATATTTTAAATTATTAATTTAAAATAATATATTAGAATTTTATTTCAAGTAAACTATTTTTTAATGTAGATCATGTTTATTTATCACTAATACTAATTCTGTTTAATAGTGTGAATGGCATTGATATTATTATTATTATTATTATTTTTTAATATAAATAAGTATATGTTATTTTAAATTAGGTTTTATTATTATATGTCCTCAATTTTTTTTGAGAAACAGAAAAATTATATTTGAAGAATGATATTAATAAGTGAGTGAGTGATTAGGTGATTAATCTATCAGCTAATCAAATAAATAAAATTAATTAGGCTCTAATTACAAGTTAGGCTTTTTAACAATCTTTTACTAAATCAGTTATGTTAAGTTATGGGACTATTTGTATTTCCTAGTTTATTATGATCACTATTTAAATTCTTTCTTTTGACTGGAGTGAGATTTATAAATTCAGTGATACCCTTTAATTATTGAGGAGAAGATTTCATGTGCATCGAATCATATTAAGAACTTGATGAGAAATTAGCCTAAGATTCTTCAATATGAGAATTTAATTGTGAAGATTAATTATCTTCACTTGTTAATTTCTTTCCTTCAACAATCAAACTTCTTAATATTTATAAATCTTCATTAATATCTTCCTAAGCAAGTGTCATAGATATACCTTTGTTTTACAAAATAAAAATATTAACAATTCAGTCAAGTTTAACTTTTAAAATAAAAATATTTTTAATCAATAAAATTTTATAGTTTAGTTAGAACTATTAAAATTAACATCTTAAATTAGTAAATCCATGTCACTAATAAAAGTAGATTCATTTTACTTTATATATTGTAAGTAACTTAGAAAAAAAATGTGTTGACGCTTGTTAAAAATAAATAATGTTGAAATCAAATTTGCCATTTTAAAAAAAAATCTATTATTTCTTAACATATTTTTTATCTTAAGAGTAAAAGGGTTTAGAATAAATTAAATATAAGTAAATTTAAATATCTATTTACTAAGGGGAGTAAGCAATTCTTAGAGAACTGAATAATGGTAGTAGAACCTCTTGGTTGTATTTTCTTTAGCTGTTTATTTTTTATAGGGTAATTCTACATAATTCATTTAGTCTTCTTTACGTTGTCTCTAATGATGTGAATATGGATTATTATTTTGTATATTGTTAGCATCGTGGCTGTTATGTGTTTCTAGAGGTCCAATTGAAACCTCATTAAAAAGAGTGTTACTATAATCAGTTTTGTACAAAGAAAAAGGAGATAAAGCATTTTAATGTTAAGTAGACTATTAAGTTTGCTAGAGCTACTTTTTAGCTTTTAAAAACAATGATGCACTATAGAAATCAGATGAATTTGTGGAGCTTTAATTGTTGGTAGTATTTTATACTTAAGGAGATGCTTTGTTATTAAGTTATATTTAGGTTTGCACACTATGTTTTGAATCTTCAGTGCATATTTTTTTATATTTTTTTGGTTCTCCTGCATTTTGCTCATTTAAGGAGCTGTGAGTAATACTAATATTGATAGAATTTTAATTCTGAATTTTTTAATTTTCAGATTAATCTGGTTTAGGAGCAAAAATTGGCTTGTTGAGCTACTTTTAAAGAGAGGCTAGAGAAACTTTTCCTTTGCTTTTTTAGATATTTGTTGAGGGTTTTTCTTTTTGTTAGTACTTTTTATACTGTCTTTTCCCTTATTTTTACAAAGAAGGGCTGCTAGGAGTATTAGATAAATTATTCAAATTGTTAGATTCTAGAAGTCCTCCATTCTAGGCTTGAAATGTTTTTGCTATTTATTGCTTTGCCTTTAGAATATTTAATTATAGTTTATCCTACTATGGTTTATTTTTGTCTCTGCATCTCATGCAATAAAATTTATAAGAATCATCTTCTATCAAGTTATCAATGTCATGAAGACCATTCTCTTTTTCACATTCTTGATGCAACTGTATAAAAAATATAAATTTAATTTGATGAAATTAAAACATGAAATTTTAATTAAAAAATAAACTCTCAAATAAATGAAGTGCAAATTAAAACGAATTAATTAATTAATTCCTTTCATTCTAAAATTTAAATTTTTGAAATTGATATGTTGATAAAAATATAAAAATTTGCTAATTGCAAGTATGAGCTGGATATAAATAAAGAATATTTTTATTATTTTTGATTTATGCAAAAAAGTTATTATTTACTTAGTTAATTAATCAAATAAACAAACAAATTTGCCTAAATCAAAAAATAATAAAAAAATAAATAAGTGGGGAGATATTTCTTTGATTTTTTTGTAAAAAAAAACAGAATTTGATTAATCTTTTATGTTCTATTTAATTTTTGAAAAAGGATTTATTTATTTACAAGCAAGAGTATTTTTTACTTATTTATTTATTTGGTTAGTTTGTTTATTGTTTATTAATAAATTAGTACACTGAATTCATTTAAAATTCATTTGTTTGTTTGATTTTGTTCAAGGGTTTTAAAATTCTTGCCTTGATTATTCAAAGAAAGGAAGGAAAACTTAAAAGTTATTATTTAGTATAAAGTTGATTGATAATAACCAAACTTGCAAGCTCTCTAGCTCATTTAAATATGAAAAATGCATTTATTTACCCAATATTAGCAATCCTCACATTGAATCCATACTTTCCCATCTCCTTCATTTGAGTCATAGTAGACTTGGCCGCAATAAAGGCAAAAACACTTAAGTTTGAATCTTTCTGTACATTTTTAGCAAAGATGAACATATTCACTTGTGAATTTTATTTTTACTCTTTTTAGGTCTCCTTTGAAAGGAAATTTGCAAAATTAATTGTAACATCTTTTACCGCAGTGAGCTAATCCTGCTTGAGTTAAATTTTAATTTCTTGATTCACTATGCTTGCCTCTTCCTTGATGGCCTTTTCTGCCTATTTATTAAATTTTTTTATTTTTGATTGTATTTTATAAAATAAGGACAATTTTTAAATAAACAAAGAAAAAGTGGAATTATTTTTTGTATTTTTTAATAGCTATTTTCTATTATTCTTACCTGGCTTTTTGCTATGCTTGCGAGAACTCTTAGAGGCTTTCGCTGGGGTTGATTTGGCATTGTTGGTCTATTTTGCATAAAAATAAAAATGGATATAGAAAAAATCTGATTGGTTGTTAAGTTATTAGCATATAAAAAGATTTGTCTGAATGAAAGAGATTTTGTATATTAAGCAAAATATAATAAGATTTTTTTGAAGTTATATAGCTTATATATCAATAAATTAATATTATAGTGAATTGCATTGCAAAAGCACATAGAGAACACGCATGCAAATGAAAACCAAGAAATAAATTACACTGGTATTTTATCCTTTTTTTTTAGAAATCGATTCGTCATGAGACTAATCTTCTTAATCAGAAAATTCATCAATTGCCTCATCCGAGAGAGCTTCATCCTCCTCTTCCTAATTTTCCTTTTCAATATCATCATCTTCTTCTTCATCATCCTCTTCTTACTCTTCTTAATCATTATCATCATCTTCCTCTTAAAGCTCTTCATCTTCTACATCTTGCAATTCTCGTTGATCTTGCATATCAATATCCTCCATCATTTCATTATCAAACTCATCCAACTCCTAATCTTAAGCATCACCTCCAATAGCAGGAGTTGATTCACTTTAAATGCTGATTCTTTTATTCATTTCTTTAGCTCTGAGCTGATTAATTTAGTTTAAACGGTTTTAGTGATGCTGGTTATTCATTCTATAGATATCGTTTTGGCGAGCATTTGCTTTTATATCATCTTCTTCGATTTCTTCTTGAAATAAATGCTCTTCTACATTTATTTGATTCGCGTTACTATGCTAATCGCTTGCTTTACTAATTAGTGCTGATTGTGATGAGCTAGTTATTGATTTTTTGCCCTTTTTCAAATTATTGCTAATGTATTCCTATGTCTGATTCAGATTCTTACATTTTTTATCTGCTGTCTGCTTGAGATTTTTTAAGTTTTGATCTATGATGAGGTTTTCTTCTTAGCTCTCGTCACCACCTGAAGGAGAACTTAATATTTCTGCTTTTGTAATATTTAAAAAAAATAAGATAAATGACCAATTAGAGATATCTCACAGAATGTCACATAAAAATATCAGGATTGATATCAATGAATAATAATCACACACACGATGATTATATAAAACTTGGTAAATTGAGTCAGTTCAAAATATGACTAAATAAATCTATCATATTCTACCATTCATTCCATCGCCTTCTTCATGCTGTGCTTATCTTGGTGCCTTAAACTTGAATAGATTATTACTATCCAATGCTATTCTTTTTGTATACTCGCTCGAAGTACTTATCATCCCTTTGGAGTTAATATTTTCTCTATTTTTCTATTAAGAAATTTGTTATGTATTTTGTTGATTTAATCTAATTCTATATATTTTTCTTTCTAATCCTCCCCAAGACTATTTTTTTTTCTTCATTCTAATCAAAACAAACTTTGATTTCTCTATCAAATAATCTTATCATTAATTAACTCTTCTCCGCCCTATCTATCATTTCCAAATATATTTTAAATATTGATATTGATCTTTTATCTCAAAACATTGGCTATTTCTTAATCAAAAAATTATAATAAATATCAGACATAATATTTACAAACAAGTTATCTTGTGACTTTATTGAACCTTCATCTTAAATAAAAGCCTTTTATTCCCGTTTATTAAGTAAGTAAACATATCACCTTTCAAAAAAAAAATTAGAAAAATTTTATCTTTCCATAAAAATAAATTGAAATAAATTTTTCTATTATTAATCTATTCAAAAATATGCTAATGCAATTAACCCAAAATAAAATTATGTATTAATTTAATTTATACAAGCAATCATAGTTAACATATTTTACATTTTTAATTCATTTTTTAGTAAACTTTTACTTTTAACATTACTGAAAAAGATAAATTAATTTTAAATAGTTAAATTTTTTATTAAAAATGAAGCTAAACAAGCAGTAAATATTTAAAATTTAAAAAATATATTAAATTTTAATAAGTAATTTTACTTTTTGAAATATCTTTTAAAGAAAGTATTCAAATATAAAAACAAATTTTTAATTTAAAAAATTTAATAAATAAATTAAAAATATTTATCAGTAAAAAAAAATACTAAATAAATAAAATTTAAAAAGATAAGTTGAAATTCTTCCTTACTTATTTTTATCAAAAAATCTTTGGATTTTTTTTAAAGTAAAGCTAAATTATAAATTTTATTGTATCTATTTACTTGATACAGATTTTAACAGTTTACCCAAAATTCATAAAATATTTTAATATTATTCTTATTCATATTCTTATTTTTATTATTATATGATTTAAATATGTTTAAGTTAGTAAAATATTATTCTTTAGTTATCTTTAAAGAATTTATAGCTCTTCTAAATTTAAGAAAATGTTTTTAGGATATTTATTATCTAGAAGATACTTTACCTTCATTTAATTAGATTGATATATAAGCTAGGCAAATAGCCATGATAATCTTCCTGATGACTGAGAATCTAGATTCATAAACTCTTTGCTGCATCTCTGACAGTACCTTATTAATTTGGCCAGGGTCAATTGGAGTGTCTTGTAAGATTGAAAGGAATCTTTTCATTAAACCAGGCGAGAAATCGATTGCCATAATCATCATTATAAAATGAGTCAAAATGTTCATTATTAATGTATTCAACAATAACAGCAACTTGAAGGAATTTATTGAAGAGATATTAGTGTTTTTAGATGAAAGTAACATGTTAGAAAGTATTAATTTTCATAATTAAATGAAAGATATTTTGCTTTTAGCTTAGTAATATAAATATTTTATAGAGTTTAATTATTATATATACTGAGTAGGCAACCATTTCTTTTTATATGGAAGAAATGTATATGATCTATATGGATGATATTTATATAAGTGTTTCTATTTCCTTGCCTATTTTAATTAATCTTTGAGCAGAAAATTTTCTGATTGATTCTTTATCAAAAAGAAAAACCAAAAATCAAAATTTACCATAGTTTGGTAAATTTAATCAGTTTCAAATTATAGCAAAGGAAAATTAAAGAAATTTTAATAGTCTTAGGAACATTTTAATACCTTAGGCCTTTGTATTAAATCAACTTAGGAGATACTAAATATCAAATCTTGTAAGCAATATGAAACCTCCACAATAATTTAACGATTAAATAAAAATAAACATTTATTACATTATAATGATCATCCTCTAAAAATTTTTCAACTGGATTTATTATTCAAAAAAAAGCTCAAATTATATATACCTTACAAGATAAATGAACCAATAGGACAAGAAGAAATGGAAAAAATCCTTTTTAAATTTAAAGTTAGGAACTTTAAATGAATTAATAAGAGTAACGAGACTAAAGGAAGAAAATGAGTTTATAAGAAAATTACAGCAAGAGGTAGAAGGGCTAAGTTAAAGATTTTAGATTTTTTTCTTGTTTTACTTTTTTTTTAGTTTTTGATTGAAAAAGAATCTTTTTTTATTTTTAAATTTACTAAATTAGATTATCAATAATGAATTTTTTTACAATAATAAATATTTAATATCACAGGTTTTTAATAGTAAAGCTTAGATAAATAACTACTGCCCCACATATTTTGAAAGTTACTTGATTTACAATTAAAATTTTTTTTTTTTTCATCTTTCGAATTGGATTCAATTAATTTAAGGCAAGTCAAGGTAGATAATGTTTAGATAAAAATTGACTGTAATTTTTATAATTTATGTTCATTTTTATTTTTTGTTATTAATTAGTACATTCATTTTTATTTTTTTAAGATTTTTTAACCCATTAACATCAATAGATTTTTTTATGGCTATTCTTCAAAATTTATTTTAATTTATTATCTTAATAATTTAATATTTGTTTTCTTACTCGAAGAGTTTTGATATTTTAATTATCTTTGATATGAAATTTTTTACTCTTAAGCAGAAATAAATTAATTTAAAAGTAAAAAGTTAACTTTTGAATAGTTTAATACCTTTTAAATGTTTAAAACTAATTATATAAAAATATTTACATAAAAATAAAATATAAAAAGATAAAAAATCATACATAAATAAATATAATAAATATTAAATTCAATAAAAATAAATAAATTATTTTTAAGCTGATGAGATAGTTAATTATTTTAAATCCTTAAAAATATTTAATCAATCTGATAAGTTTGGAGTATCTTCTTTAAATTATGGGGAATAGAAAAACTAGTTTTTAGTTGTTAAGTTTTAATTTTATGAATTAATTGAATCTGCAAAATTTTGTTCTTATTTTTAGAAAGGAGAAGAAAAATACTTTTGTTGTTAGCTTTCATTTAGTTAAATTTAAGTTACTGATATATTTCTATCAAAAGAATCTCCAATTAATCCTTATTAATTATTATTTTTGGCTAATTTTTCCATATTTTAAGATTCTTTCTATTATCTATTATCTTAAGAATACTTAGAAGCAATACCTACAATACTTTGTGATTAGCTATCATGGTCTGATTCTTAGTATTGCATTGAGAGCATGCAATTATAACTTTGCTCAACATCATTTTTCTCGATAGTTTCAGACATTTAAAGAGAATAATTAGCTTGTTAACTGTTATTCAATTCATTTTTATCAAGCATTTATTTGTTTAAATAATTATAATTTTGAATATCATTCTAATTCTATTCAAATTGCTAATTTTATTATTTCTGTTGTTGGGTCATTTAATTGTTGAGCTATAATTATTGGTTCTAAACTTTATTCATTAAATTAACCAAATCATTTTAATCTAATTGATTTAGTTAGTTTTAGAATTGATTTTATTCTTTTTATTTTTAGGAAGAATTTTTATGTTTGAAGTTTTCACTAAAACTATTTTCATAATTAATTTGTTAAATTTCATTTTCAATTTCATTGCCAAAGTCATTTTCAAATCCAACACATTCATTTTCAACAAAACTTTGGTTTTTATTCATGGCTGACAGATTTAAATGCAGGTCATAGTACTTTTTCTTTTTTCCTGTAGAAAACTCTGAAGAATTTTTATGGTATTTACTTTCAAAATTTTATTCATTATCTTTTGATTTACTCTATTGCAGTTAATCAAATGAGGCAACAATAGATGGAGATGCTTATTTGTTCATTTTATAAGAAGGAGAAGGTGCTGGAGGTCTCTTAGAGCTACCTTGCGAATTTTGTTGATACTGTGTCTTCTTTGTGGAGCTGATAGGAGATTTTTTATAATCTTAGTTCTCTGCTTAATAGGGTTCAACTCTTATAAAATTTTCTTAATTGTTATCTAATTAGTCAATATACTTAATTGACCTTTGGTTATTAGAATTATCACCTTATTTATTATTTGAATAACTTCTAAAAGAGTCTTTATTTCTGTCATTTGAGGATATCTCTGCCCTATTAGAATCTTAATATCTATTTGAATCATAATCTTCATTAACAAAGCTAGGTAGCAAAGTTAATGGCTTAAAGTTACTTAGATTTTTAACAGGTCTTTATTAGTCATAAAACTGCTTATCATGTTTAGAATTAGAAGAATTTTGTAAAGGAATTTCTTGTTTGGAATTTTAAAAGGTGTTTGAAGAATTCATATAACATTGAGTATTCTATTAAGTCTATAATTTATTAAGATGCTATGAGTTGTCTTAGCCATTTGTGCAAGTAGATTGACCTGTAAAAAAGTTAGATGCTGATGGATGCTAAGAATATGAAGAGTTATTATTTGCTGATCTGAACTCTTCTGTTACTAAATTGTAATTATCTATGAAAGAATTTATATTGACAGTATCTCGATTAGAGAGGTAATATTAAGGTTCTATTTTATTATTTTCTTAAATTTAATCATTTTACTTTTTTGAAGTAGAAATATAAGTGCTTCCAGAAGTAACGTTGCTGTTAGCATTATATTTAGGGTTTTTCTAGGCACTATTGAATTATATATGTTAGCTATCTTCGTCTATTTGTTATAAAGGCTACTGTTTATACTTTTTATCAGTTGTTTAATGATTAGGAATTTATTATTCTTACTAGTTTTAGTATCTCACTAAATTAAGAATATTTCCACTACTTTAAGATACTTTATGACCAATGTTTTTATTGCTTTGTTGATTACTAAATATTTCTTGTATATTTGCTTAATTTTTTCCTGAGTACTTATCAGATGTATTTAATTAGTTGGAATTTGACTGTAAATTTTGCTCGATATGTTTATTTAAAAAATCTACTTAAATTTAATTGAGTCTCGCTTCAGATAAAGATTAAAAGTTATTTTTATTCATCAATTTTTGATTCATGAATTAATTTCTGGTTTACTATAGCTATTCATTTTATAATATTGTTCTACCATCATATAACTAAGCAGGATGCTATTATTCTCTATTTCCAAAAGTGGGGTTAGGAGTTTAATCAAAATCAAAATTGTTTTCTTAATTAATATTAAAATTATTTTAATTTTGGATATTTTGTTAGCTTTTAAATTAGTTTTCATTGAATTAATTTTAGTTTTATTGCCAAAGTTAGTTAAGTTAGTTTTAATAAGAAGAATTATTTTCATTATTTTCGAACTGTTAATTGTTGGAATTTTAAAAACCAGTTTTAGATTAGTCATAAAAAATATTAGATTCTTGATTTTGTTAGTTTATTTATAATTCATCGTCATTTTAATTTGATTTCTTAGCACTTGCTATTTTTGCAGCCTGGAAGAAAAGATCTCTATTGTCAAAAGAAACGTAGAGCTGATTCTTTAATTTAGAAGAATCCTACTTTTTGATAGACTTTGAAGCACTGTCTGTGATAAATTGATCATTTTTTTATATTGTTTCACTTTAGAATGATTATAAATTTTCAATAAAATTTGACTGTTCATAAAAGTAAGTTTTTCTAAATGTCTGAAATAGATTTTATAATGATTGAATATTTTATTAGCTATTATCAATGTTGTATTTTAAGAAGTTAATTTGTATTTGATTAGTTTATTCGCAATAGTTTATGAATTCATTACATTTATCTTAATATTAATTAATGATTTCTTTGAAAGGACCAAGCTTTATATTATGGATGATTTGATCTATATTTGAAGATATATCTTTGTTCATATTCTCTACATCGATAATATGAGAGCGAATGATATTCCTTCTCTCATTGTATATTTCTTATATTTAATTTTATGAATCAACTAATTTCTGAATATCTTCTGACCTGAGTTGATTGCAAAGATTTATACATTCATCATAAAAATTATTTAATTTATTTAATTATTTTTAATAGTGTTGATGCAGAGTGTTATCTTTTTCGTCAACAAGCTTTAAAGTATTATTTAACAAATCATTTACACCACTTCTTAAATTGATTAAAAAGGAATCAATCACATTTTTTTTTGTTACAGATTCATTTTCTATGACCTTTATTCCTTAGCTAACTAATTCTATTGCACATTTTGAGCAGTAAGATTTTAAGTTTTAGTTATTTGTACTCAAACTCTCTAACTCTATGTGGTATTTTCCCTTTAAGTAAATGAGAAAATAAAATACTTAAAATTATTAAATAACAAATAAATTACCTTTTTAGATTGGTGATTGAAGCAATTATCATTTCTACAAATAATTTAATTATCTAATTGATTTAGATTAAAATTATTATCCAAGTTATTTCTTCTTGTGTCTTAAGATGACTATAAACTCTCTGTGAAAGACTAAAGTAGAAGTTAGTTCTCTCTTTTTTTTGGTTATGAATTTGCTTTTGCTTTATTTTCTATGTAATTGTTGAATTCAAATTCTTCGTTGCATTCTAAATTTGTTTCTTACTACTCTGGTTTGATTGACCCCAACTAAATCCTTAAACTTTCTTAAGATTTTTAAATTTATTCACTAGATTCAGATTTGTTGTTATATTATCTGCTAGATTTAAATTCTTAACTTTGTGATTTCTTCTTATCTTCAAAAGATTTTTTCATATTTTTTTATTCATTTATTATCAAAGAATGCTTAAGGTTGTTATTTAAATTGGTATTTAAGACATTACCAAGTTTTTTTAAGCTCTTTTGTTAATTGGGAGTAAATTACTCTTCTTTTAACTCCTGTGTTTGTAGAGTAATCAAATCAGTGTAATGAGCAATCGCATCAGAGTCTAAAGTATCTAAATCAGGTTAAGACAAGTTTATTTAATTTTTATTTTCTACATCCTGCGTTTAGCTGTTGTTATTAATAAACATAGATTAGCATTAAAATTTTTATTATCTCTGACTTTCATAAAGATTTTATGATGTATTAACTTTAGATTATCTCATTTACTAAATTAATTTTTAATTTTATGCAGTTTAACTAGAATCTTAGCTCTTTGTTTTCACTTAGATCTTATAAGCATTTGAAATATTTGATGGAGATATTATACTATTAAGATTTTTCTTTGCGTTTTTTTAGCTAAGAAGACCTTATGCAGATATCTGGTTAGATTAATCATTCGTATTTTATTGATGTGCATTTAGTATACTGTTGCTGTTTTATTCATTTGTGTCAATAAATATTTGGTATTTTTATTAGTTTACATTACCAGTTGTGTTTAGCTTTGCACTTCCCAAAGATTTTTTATTTATAGATGATAAAATACCATATTAGAGAGGATTTTATTTTTTTAATCCTTATGGTGATTTTGACTTATTTTAAGAGTTTGCAGTTTGGCATTAATTACTGCTTTTAGATGTGTTTATTACTTATTAAGTTTACAATGTTTTTAGCTGACTAGAGTTACTATTATTGATATTCTTTTGTTTATTTATACCTTCAATAAATTCCTTCAAAACAGTAGTTGAAGGGATATTTTGTAGTTTAGTTACTTAGACATTTTTGCAAGGTTCTGATGAATTTGAGTTATTTTTTTGATTTTAAGAGTCAACAACTTATTAAACTTAATGATCGCATTTTTAATTTTTAGCTTGATCTTGCTAATGATACATTAATAAACTTTGTGAATGAGAAAATTCATTTTATTTTAACTTTTAATTTATATTTTTAGAGCTTGTTTTTTATCTTTCATCTAAAAGTTTTTAGGGAGGAGAAGCTACTTAGAGAGGAGATTGTGAAAGATTATTCTATAGGGTATTCTAAGAATTTGAAGATTTTTATTTACTTGTGCAGACGCCTAAAAAATTCTAATTTTTAGGTGAAGGGATAGTTTTTAAATTGTGGTTATTTCTGGTTGGAGTGAGTTTATTATTTTGATTTGCTAGTAAGACTGACTACTACTATAATTATGTGCGATCTCTGTAAGATTAAATAGAATTTATATCATTTTGAGCATTAAGTAAATTAGTTTTGTTGTTTCCAGGCGATTGCTAGCAAATTGACATATTTTTTTATAATTTTTTGGAATTATCTATTGATAATTAAGTTTCATTGGTTTTATAATTATCTTCAATAGCTGATTTGTTAGTCTAATTAACTTTTTAAGAAGTCTCTTGCTATGAGCTTTGTTGCAACTAATTAATCTGAGTTTATTTTTGCATCTAAAGAAGAAAATTATTTAATTTCATTTACTTTTTTAAGCTTTAGAGTAAGAAATGTATTATTTATATGCCTTTTTTATAGACCTGAAAAGAATCTACCTAATGAGCTAGTTGTGAAATTAAATTATTGGCTTTATAATTATTAATCTTTATGAAGACAGCTAATTAACAAGCTATTTGATGCTATTTTCAATTAATTATTTATAAAATTTGAATTTTATATAAGATATACCAAAAATTTTAATTTTATTAATTTATTTTTGATTTTTAATTATTAATTTATAATGAATATATTTTCCCTCCTTTTTTCATATTAAAAAATAGTAATAACTATCTTATTACAATTATTATTACTATTGTTAAACTAAAAAAGTAGATATTTATCCTGATTTAACTTAGCAATTAAAGGAAAAAGAAAAAATATATCATTTAATTTCAATTATAAAATCATATTTTATCAAAGAAGAACTCAAGAAATTATTTTAATTTTTTTAATTTAGAAGGATTTTTAACAATTTTAATAGAAAAACATAAATGAAAAGATAAACAGTAGAAGATTGACTATGATTATACCATATTTATTTATTTATTAATTTATTTATTAGAAAATTAATTTATTGAAATATAAGCTTTTTTCATATATATTAATATAGAGAGAGAGTCCAATCACATAGTTAGTTAGTTCTTTGGTTTGTTGGTTTTTTGACTGAAATTTGACCATTTCATTCAAAAAGATAATTAAATGTAAAAATCAAGTAAAGTGTGTATTGATGTAAGTGATATGTGAATGTGTGTGTGTGTTTTTTTTTGGGTGAAGAAGTAGTTGTTGTTGTTATATATTAAATTTAAATTAAAATCTATTTTTTCAGTACTATTTTATTTTCATTATTATAATGCTTCTTTAATTTTTTACTTTAATTTTGGGTTAATTAACTTATTTATTTATTAATTTAACATTTATACTTTATAAATCAATAAAGTTTGTTTATTAATTCAGCTCAACATTTGATAGATAGATAGAAATAACCTTTATTTTTGAATTCATTTAAGCAGATCAAAGATATGAGCATCGATATTTAAAAATATAGCTTAAGAAAAAGTTTAAATAAGTTGTTTTTAGCTAAGAGGTGCTAGCTGTTAATTGATGAAAATTTAAGGTTACTTTATTTTTATTTATTTGTTTGTTTGTTTGATTTGATTTGAGGAAGTTTTATTTGTTTATAGCTCTGATGACATTTAACAAAAATAAATGATTAAGTTGTTTGAATATGTTTACTAGTAAATTAAAATTGTCTATAATATTTTTTTTATTCTATTTTAACTAAATAACTGAAAATTTAAAGCAATAAATCAATCTAAGTAATTAATTATATTCATGGCTAATTTTCTATTTATTTATTTGATTGATTTCTTGCTTGCTTGCTTTTTTGTTGATTCAATTAATTAACTATATTGACTTAGTTTTAGTTAGACAGAGTTTGGTATGATGGTATAATATATTCATTAATGCTTCTTCTTTTATTTCATTAATAAATAATTCGTTTAGTTGCTTGGCTAATTCTTCTTTTATAATATGTTTCTTTGATATTACTTAGTCTCATTAATGCTTCATATTATTTACAAAAATTTTATCACCTTAGAATGGCTTTTGAGGGGCAGGATCATCTGAGTCATTGTGTAAGTCATCAAATGAATCTTTATCGAACAGCAATAAATTGGAAGTTTGCTTATATCCCTTTGAAAATTAGCTGAAGTTTTAAGAGTTTTTAGGGATATTAGGATGAGAGTCTTCATAGGGCGAATCAATATCTGTATCATTTTCATTTTTATTTGCATAAGAATTTTTAGGGCTTAAAGGAGATGGAGGTCCTTCAGGAATGTCATTAATTTCATCGTTATCATAGTCATCATTATCTTCGTTGTTGTCTTGCTAATTATCGATCTCTAATTCATTTTAGTTAGCAACCTATTAATTGATTTACATTTATCCTTGCGATCCATTTAATAATTTAGTGTTGCTTTAAGTATTTACATTTTCTTTATTATTAGTTGCACTCTATGATGTATTGATTCTTATTTAATTCTTCTAAATCTTTTTACTTGATAAGGCTTAGTCTTCTGAATAAAAATTATGTCTCACATCTGACCTTTTTCTTATCTTTATAGGCGAAACTATTTCATCTTCACCGTTGTTATTACATTAGTCAAATTAGAAGTTTTTGTCAAGCTGTTTAGTAGGAGAGCAATTTTCTTTCACTTCTTCTATATCAGAGTTCATTTTGCCATTTTCTTTCTTTTAAACATCACTCTCTTAAATAAACTTATCTTATTGAGTATCAAACTTGAAAGTATTATTTTAGTCTAAATATAAATAAAATATTTTTCATAAGATATAAATTGTTTGTTTTAATTTAAATTTACATTATTTTTCTACTGATTTATTTTGCAATACTTGTTAAATATCATCAGAATTTGGATTCCCAAAGAGTAAATTTCTTTATTCTTATTTATCAAGGGGATAATAATTTTTTAAAATTCGATGCATTATTTCCCAGTACTCCTTTTCTTTTTATATTTAAGGACTGCATATCTTACATTTGTCTTTAAATGAAGTAAATCTAGTGCAGTTGCAGAATTGTCCAAAATGAATCTTTATTAAGAAAATAAAGTCTTACTTCTCAAATTTAAAAATAAAAATTAAGTAATTAATACTTCAATAGTAAATGTTTTTGGAAATCTGGAATCTTTTAATAAATTGCTTGGAGATAATTCTTCAAGTTTAAATCTCAATACCCTATTATTTTTGTTATTACTTTGTAAAATAGTGATTTATAATTTTATTTTTGGTTAAGTTAAACATGTAAAAGGCATTTATTCTAGAAGCAAGCATGAAAGTTATCAAATATTTGTTTCAATTAACTCTGAATTTATTTTATTTATTTATTTCATACCCTTTTATGCAATTTTTTATATGGGAAATTTCCTCTTTTATTTACACAAAAATAATTAATTGTTTGTTTGCTTAGCTATTATTGCAAGTAATTTCTTTTCTGAATTTCACAAAATTTAGGCTGTAATCTAAATTAAGAATATTTTGTTACATTTGTTTGTAGATTCAATGGTAAATTTCTAAATTTTTCGTTGATTAATCTTTTAAGGTTAGAATTACTTATTTATTTATCTTTGAATATTTAATGATATATTTGATTCGAACTGTGTTACTTTATTTCAAGTAAAGGTTTTTAATTAAATTCTACCAATTAAAAAGTAAACTAATTAATCAAAATTATTGCAATTTTTACTTGCTAAAAAATAAGTAAATGCTATGAACTATTTTGTTTTCTCTATTTATTTTTAGAATTTTAAAGATTGCATAATTTCCACAAAAATTTACTTAAATCTAAATAAAATCACTTAGATATTCATTTTTGCAAATTAGCACTTCTTATTTTTCTACATATTAATTAACTTAATCTAAAATTAAATTAACATATTTTATTCATTAAATAATTGCTAGATTTGCTGAAGGTACGCTTGCTATATAACAAAATTTTAGCTATTTAAAGAATTTTAAAAGCCTTTTTACAGGTTTTTTAAATTAAAATGATTTTTTTTGAGCATTTTTTGCAATTTTTCAAGTCAATTATACTTTTTAACTTTTTGCTAGTGAAATTGCCTAAAAATTAATTAATTAATTAATATTTTACTTGACGTTTTCATCAGGAACAAAGCTTGTATTGAGTGATATTCTAGCAATTTTTTGATTTTTATAGTATCCATTATGTTTAATTCTTATAAGAAGATCTCCACACAACGCTACTTATTACTCAAATTCAAATTCATAACTATCACCTTCTAAAAATTTTGGTGCTTCTTAATAAGTTTTTTTGGTCGAAAAAATAAGCTATTTTGTTCTAACATAAACAATATCAAAATATGGTCTACATCCTTTTTATGTATTAAAGTTAGGCCTTCCATAAAAGACTATTTTTTTTATATAAACTAATTTGGGATAAATTGGGCTGGTTTCTCTATTTTTAAGTATTTCATGAAAGTAATCTAAATATCTAATCTAGCAAGGCTGATTGACACCAAAGCCTTCTTAAATAAATCTAAATTAAACAAAAATAAATCAACTAAATTGTATAAAATGGTTAAATAATAACTGATAAAATTGACGCGATCAATTGCTAAGTTTCATTTGTAAATAACTTGAGCAACTTTAAATCGCTTTAGAGATAGCTTGAAAAATACACTATAATTTTTACCTTTTTTTGGAGTAATAGTTTAATGCATCTTCAGTTGTATCAATTATACCGCTATAAATTAGAAAACAACATATAATTGTTCCTGTTCTGCCTTTGCCTGCTAAGCAATGAATAATGCAAACGTTTTCTTTTTTTGCTTTTTTATTAGTAAAATAATTTTTAAAATGTTCTGTCTCTTGCTATTAAATCTAGGATATCATAATGCTGCTTTTAGCTAAAAGATTGAAATTAATATGACCAATAATTAGTAAGCCAGCATAAAAATTTTATATTTTATGAGTAAATTACCTTTTAAAAACATTTGCATTTTTTAGCATATTAAAAAGAGAGTGTGTATTGGCGGTGAATGATGATCTTCCCACTAGAAATCTAATACCTAATTTATTAAAAGAAATAAATAACTTCATTATTATTTTAGATAAATTCTTTCAGTAAGAAAGTAAGCAATCAAACAAGTTTATTCCAAACTGAGAGAATTAATAGTAAAAAATAATATTCATATAAAAATATATATATATTTGCTTGCTTATCTATGGGTTGCTTGCTTAATCTTGTTTATAAATTGCTGTGTAGATATATAAAAAAAAATATATATTGCTTATTGTTGGCAATAGTGATTGATTATATATTAAATCAAACGAGTGAGTGAGTGAGTGAATGATTGACTGAATTAATTTCTGATACTATACAATAAATTCAAAGTTACCTAGTCTTCAAATTTAGCGTAGTTGTACATTCTACCACTTAAGTTGAAAACTAAAAAGTTGTTTTAGTGCTTGGACTTGATAAATTTAGTCACCTATTGAATATAAAAAACATTGTAAAACTATTTTTCACCAGTTCTAGGTTAAGTGTAGATCTTAAATTTGTTAATAAGCAGAATGCTGGATGTGCTTTTTAATATTATTTATTTGCCCAATAGATTACTTTGTCAATAGGATTCCTGTAAACGCTCTCCACTCCGGAGGCTGGATAACTCATGGCAATAACTCTTGGACAGACATAGGTCAAATCTAAATTATAACCATCCTCCTTCATCCTATTTTTAGGACCAGAAACGATTTCTCTTAAGAAATTCATTACGCTTTGCTTTTTATATTTAAGCACACTTTCTTTTTTTTAAGAACGAACTTTAGAGTGAAACCAATGGGCTTCTTTTATCTCTTCTTGTTTATTCTTTTTCTTCTTCTATTTACTTATTAATTAATAATTATTATCAATCTTTGGCTTTTGTTTTCTTTATTATTTTTTATTAATTTTTAATATTCAAATTTAATGTTTGATAAAGCTTCAATACTTTTCCCCTGGTTAAAGCATAATCATTACTTAAATAATAAACTAATTATTAGGCATTCATCTCTGCTATCTATCTATTTAGCTTGCCTGCTTGCTTGTTGCAAAAAGCATTGATAAGTAAAGAAGCAAATCAAAAAAATTAGTGATTTTAATTATTTATGAAAAAGGAATAAAAATAGTAAATTTTTTTGTTTGAGTACACATTTGATTCATTCATTCATTGATTCCATCTTCTACTTTTTTGTATATTATTTTAATAGGATTTTAAAAAAATAATTCAAGTCTTAAAATTAAGTGGTAAACTCAAAATTAGAGTTCCAGTAAAGACTAATTTTATTTATTTATTTATTTAACTATTGAATAAGTGCTGATCAATATTATACCTTTTTTGATTTAATAGCTTTAATATTTACGTTACTCATTCTGATACATCAACTGATAAAATAAATAAAATCCAATCTAAAAATAATTCAAATAATATTTGCTATTTAATTGTACTATTTATTTTTAGAAATCTACTTAATGATTTAATTATTTTTATTAATTAACGTTCCGAAATTAATCGAAAAAAGAAAAAATTGCACAGAATTCTTAATCTGTTTGTTTCTACGTTTACAATTTATTTCATTCCAAAAAAAAAAAAAATTTGGGTCAATTATTACAAAAATAAATATGCAATTTACTTTATGAAAAATGTTTACGAAGTTTTTTCAAAAATATTTCCTTAAATATAAATTTTGTTTAAAAATAAAATTTTTTAAAATAAAATTGGAAGTATTGATAAAATATTTTAATATAATTATTCATTTTAGTTATTTTAGTTGATTTTTTACTCTAATTTTTATGTTTAGTAATTTAAATACATTTAATATCTTCATAATAATAGATATATAAGATAATAACAAAGTTATTACACGCATCAAAGAATTGTTATCTCATCTATGCTTTAAATCTCTTGAAAATTAAAATAAATAATCTACTTTACATAATAAATTTTACTAGGAATTAATTTATTGCAAGAAAATTTGCTTTAAAAAAAAATAAATTTTTCAATGTTTACAACAAAGCAACCAACTAAAATACTGGCCCAAAATTAATAAGACAAAAAAATATCTTATGAACATTGATTATTTCAAACAAGTTTAAAGTTTTATTCTGTTATCCATTTATTTTTATTTTATATTCTGAATTAATGTCTAAAATAGCTGGAAGGAGGACATCCAGAATTAAAGTCTGATTAACTTTTATAAATTGAGTTGTGATCATAATGTGCAGCTCCAACTCTAAAATCTTTATCACCTATTATTTTTTCATTCTTTTCCTAATAAAAAAAAATTCATTTGTTTTTGAATTTAGTCAACATACTTTAATTTACTTTTATATCTTTTTTGTAGATTTCGTCAGGAGATATGTATGGAGAATCAACAAAAAGTGATTTCTAATCATATTATTTTATTAAATTCGTTAATAAATTAAAACATCTTTAAAAATTTTTTAATATTTTTAAATTTAAAAAATATTTTTTAAATAAATGTATTGCCTCTGTTTAAAAATATAATTTTCCTTCAAAAATAATAATTGTCTACAAATTAATTTGTTTTGTATACAATTGATTGATGAATAATATTATTTTTACTAGTTTCGTTCTATAAAAATTAATCGAATTTATTATTCTGTAATATCCTAAACATCACTCTAATTTCTTTAATAGCTTACACACAAATATTTGAAAAAAACTTGAATTAAAGTAGATGATTGATTGCTCTAATCTAAACCAATAAATTATAAAATTCTATCTCTTTTTTGCATAAACACTTTATAAAATATTAAATAGTAAATAAATGTATTATACAAATTCTCCGAAATCTTTGCCTCTCTGAGTCCTACTTTTTACTAGAGTTGTAGAAGAATCAGTAGTCTATAGCCTTGATTAGTTTGTTTTCCTTGTTTTGTTTGACATAAAAGAAACTCCTGTTTGATTGGGCACAAATAAACCTCTTTTTAAATTATTTTCAGGATTCGACAAATTTCCTGGAACCTATTTTAAAAAAATAGTTTTAATCTTAGCTAATTTAAGGTAACTCATTATGGCAGTTGGAGTTTGTTTTTTCAAGAATTTATATTGCATGTACCATATTGATATAAACAATAATCTCTCAAAGTATTTTTAACATTTTCAAAGAAATTAGAATTAAAATTTTGAGTTTATTCAATATCAAAAGGTATTTTTAAATTTTTATTAATCTTTTCCTTAAATTTACATTAAATTTTTCTTTGATTTAATTTAAAAGTAGAATACTTTTTGATAAAAAAGCAATTCATGCTTTAAAAAAATTTTATTCAAAATATTTAAATAGTTAATTGATTGATGTCCACAATTTAAATTTCATTCTAGCTTTTATGTTTTTAATTTTCCATCTAAATAAAAAAAATAAATAAAAATTGATAGTGTCTGTCATAAATAAATAGTTATATTCTTAAGTTACTATAATTTAATTTTAAATATTTGCTTTAGTCCATTAAATTATGCAAATTAAAATATCAATTTAAAAATCAATTTTACCCACAACTTGTTAAAATCGAGTAATTCATTTGAAATTGTAGGATGCAAAAATTTTCGTATTCCTCCTGATGTGTACAAATTCTCTTGTTTTTTAAGTGATATTTTAAATTGCATTGATTTTCTTTAGCTCTAAGAAGGTTTTGTGTTGCTATCAGTAATTGTTTCATTTGGTTTTGTATGAAAATCAGTAAAAGTCTAAGTATTCTTAAGAATTGTACTTTGATTTTCATCAATTATGTCAAAATCTTCATTGTCAAAGTACCTATTGTTGGCAGGATCATTTTGTGATACTTTTAACTAACCTTCCTTGATCTTCAACTATTATTAAATATAAGTTAAAGGTTATTGCATTTTATCTTTTTTGTAAGTAAGTTAAATGCTTGAAAGTAAATTAACCTTATAAAAATAAGAAAAATAAAATTTTTATTGTTATTTAAATTCGATTTTCTCTAGAAATCTCGTTCATGCTTTAAATAAATAGATGATAGTAAGCTATAAATTAATTATTTTTTGGTATCTAATCATAATAATATAAATAAATATTAAATTTGAGAATAAAATTAATTTATAATATTTTTTCACTATTCAATTATTCTTAATTTTTCATTCCATTTTTAGATATTAAATTTTTCCATATTTCAATTTTTTTGGTAAAAATCAATTGAATAGATTTTTAAATTTATGTTTTTAATAAAAATGTTACTTTTTTATCATTAACCATGTTGTGGAAGACGAACTGAGGCACATGAGACTTTTTTGCAGAATATCCAACATGTAAAAATACGTCACTTTTTGTGTATGTTTTATTGTCATCTTTATTAAATTGAGATTTGATAAGTTTTAAAAAGTTAAAAAATTCTTTTATTACCAGATTCAACTTAATGAAATCCCATTTAAGATGCTCTTTTATTCAGCAAAACAAGAGCCATTCTTTTTCCCTTCTCTTTTTACTTTCTAAGTGTTTCTTCTATAGTTGACTCTTTCTAAATAAACTAAAAAGAGGAAATACTTGGAGCATTTTACCCTTGATGAGACTTTATTTTTTTCAAAGTATTCCAGATAAAATTTCTGAGAATTTATATTGTGTTTGGATATTTAGTGTTAGTTGCAAACAGTACTGCAAGTATGTTTTCCATTTCTACAACCTTGTTTGATATTGTTAATTTTATCAATCTAATAATCAAATTATTCTTTTATTTAATTATTTTACTATAGCTCCTCTTTCGGAATCTGCAAGAACGTTGAAATGTTTAGATGGATTTACGAAAGCAAATGTATGAATATCCCAGTTATTCTTTAATGGAATTATAAATTCGTCATCCAAATCTTAGAAAGCCCAGTGATGCATGTGCATCTTTTTAATTCCTAAATAATTCTAGTTAAGCCTTACAAAGTATTTTTTAAAAAATTACTGCATGTTTCCTCATATTTTCTTGACTTATAAAGCTTGTATTTCTCTTTATGTTCTGTGTTTGGTTTATAAACAGGAGCCTATAATCATGAAATAAACATAAGCTAATTATTTATAAAAACATGTAAATACTTTTAATATAAATTTGCCTAGGGATTGAAATTCTTAAGCAGATCTCCTCGAATGAAGACCACAGTTCCCTTTTGGAATCCACTCATTAGTTTCATAATTGAATCCGTACAAATCACCAGTAGTGTTGTCTAAAAAATAGTCTGAAGGTTTTATGCTCTTCAAATTCTAGTTATCAAAAATTAATAATTAATTAATTAATAAAAAAGTTGGATAAAATCTTTAGATATTAATATTTAAGTTAGATAAAAGTTTTTAAAGTTTTTTTTTACAGAACTGGTAGTTTGAATGTCGCTTAGCTTTCCTCCATCTCCATTTCCATTAATGATATTAATATTCTATTTTATATTTTAATTGAGAAGATATTCAGCTCTTCCATCCATAAATCTATCATCTTTATATATTCAAAATATTAATTTACTTTCTCCATATTTGAAGCACTTAAAAAAACTAAAGCTTGCATGCCCCAAGCAGAAGCAAATAGATATTTTTTTACTCTTAAACACATCCTCATCAAGGTTAAAATCTTTTTAAATTAGAAAATACTTTTATTTGGAAAGACATATATATGCCTTTATTTACTTTTCTCATTGAAGGAGACCAAGGTCTCACATTAGTATCTCCAATTACAAAAACCATATCTAATTAATCAAAATTATTTGCAGCTTCTTTTTTTAAATGAGAGCTTTCTATTTCGTATAAATAGTCATCTAAATTGTTTTTATCACGAATAAAAAACTCTGTTTCAGTATCAACTAACTCCTTTTATTCAGTCATAATCTTTTATTTACAAAATTTTATATTAGTGTGCAAATATAATTAACTAACTAGTAAATATAAATGCCTCTATTTAATTCAAGTATTTGTAAGTAATCTTAAATACTCTACCTTCATAATTAAATAATGAAAATCTGCAAATTTCTTAATCCCTGACTTATTCTTGGAGTAGCCATTTACAATTAAAATTCTCATTCAATTAATTCTATCCTAAATAAAATAAATAGCTTTCCTATTTAAATAATTATTCTATTAAATCTAAAAAAATCAATTATCTTTGTTTGCTTTAGCTATCTATTACTGTTTTGTAAATTTATAAAAATTTGCTTTATAACTAAATTTAGATGAACTAAACACGATAATTTATTATTTAGTGATTCAGTAAATTTTTAATATGGCAATTATTCAAAAAATTTTAATATCATTTTTATAAAATATTATCTTTAAAATATCATTTTTTGTTTATACTGCATTTTTAAGTTAATTCAGTAATAGATATAATATTTATATTTAAAAATATTAAACAAATCAAAGCGAATTTAAATGCTTATTATTATATAACAACAATTTCAGTATTTAAAAATTTCTAATTGATATTTATGCACATTATTTTACAATTGTTAATAATAACTATTTACATTTAATTTATATTGTGTATGTCAAATAAAATTTTGTATTTATCTATTATTATTTTTTTTATTTTTGAGAATTGGAATATATTTATTAAAAATTAAATGATTTCATATTTAAGAAACAAAGATAATGAGTAATATATAACTGCAAATTACTATTTTTAATTATAATATTTAGTTTAAAAATAAAAAAATAAATATAATTTAATTATCATTAAGCTTTAGCTCATTCAGTAAAATAAAATTATGAATGCTATCAGACTCAAAATCCTACAGTTTAATACAGTCAATGATGAAGATTCGAAAAAAAAAGGCTAAGCTTAAAACAATCTTAATAATAAAATCTATAACCAATATTTTTTTAAAGATGATAAAAAGTACGGATTTATGATAATTTGTATAATTAATTATTATAAATATAATATAAATAGTTAAAAGTTCAATATTTATTTAATAAAAAATTAATTATTGATGTAAATTTAAAAAATTGAATTAAACCGAAATTACTATTTTGAACAAATCATTTTTTATTTTAAATAGATCAAAGTATATAAAAATTAAATAAGGTAAATTTTTAATAAACAAACTTAATGAAACCAAACAAATTTTTATTTTTTCTATTTTAAAATAACAAATGTAATAAAACTACTAAAATAAATCCTCAAAAAAATAAATTAATTAAAATAAATAACAAAATTATTTTGTCTAATAGTTATTTTTTATTAGAGCTAAAAGTATTAGTTAATCCATAACCACATTATTCTATTTATGATTGTAATGATTGATATTTTAATATCCATGTATAAGATTTATCCATTTAACTTTTGCATATATTTTACCAGTCTTTTGTTTAGCTTGGATACAAATCACGATATGAAATACCAAAAGCTGCTTTATTTTGAGATACAAATTTATCTAAATAACTGCATTCATTTAATTCGTTGCATGATTCATTAACAGCAACATCAAAATAATTAATCAAATCATTTATTTGATCTCCATCATTTTTTAATGCAATAGCTAAATTTTTAGAATGAGCATAATTTGCAAGAAACAGGTTATAGTCAAGCTACTACTGGTAAGTTATTTTCAACTTTGAATCATTGGGGTTTTAATAGACATTCACATTGTCAGGGTCAACTCCATCACAACCGTTTTGAGCAGCTAAATCCATTCTGCTTTACATTATTTAAGCAAGCCCACTTGTTTAAAAGTTTCTTATATCAAGCCACCACTCATTTGGGTAACCATTATATTATCCAGCAATTATTGATTTTGGAAAATTACTTGCATCTGGTCTAAAATCTTCATATGAGCCAGCAGAGTAGTAACAAAAGACAACTTTTCCAAGGTTTTTTAATTTCTAAATTGCTCCTTATTTTATACCTTCAAATAAATCGATAAAGTAAACTTAAGCATTTACACTGATATCAATAGTTCCTTGGAGTTGGTATTAAAAAGTAGTTTTAGGAACAACTTTAACATAACCATTTGCATCTACAAATAAAAAAGTTAACACCAATATGAAGAAAGTATTTTTGAGCATTTTTATTCAATTTTATTTTATTTAATTATGAATATGAAAGATATTTTATTTTAAAGCATAAAAAAATATTCACTATTTCATTCCATTCATAACCTAAGTCTATAAAAATAAAATTTAGCAAATTAAAATTGAAAGATTTGAATAATTTATATCAGAAATAATCATATTTATAATTTTAGATTTAAAATAAAAATTTTTTAAATTAATAAAAATAATAAGTAATAAATAATTCAATTGAGTTTAATTTATAGTCTTATTAATTAATTTATTTATTAAATATTATCTCTAAAATAATAATTTCTATATGTATGTGATGATAGCATACATCTTTCAATATTTTTAAAGCTTATTTTGTTCCATTCATAGTATTTTATTAGTTAATATTAATATAAAAATATTTATTATTAATCTATTATATCTTATTGAATAAAATTTATTTCAAATATCTATTCATTATTATCATTTACTTTTTAACATTTTTTTATAACAGTTGATCAAATATCCTTTTTAAAAATTTAAATCAAATTAATAATATTGATAAATGTGCATAATAATCTTCAATAATAATACTATCTATCTCAATAAAAATAAAATAAGTTTTAAAAGGGTTTTTAATTTGATAAATAACAAAAATTCATTTATTTAAAAAAGTAATAATCTAAAAGACTCATAAAATGTTTAAAATTGATAAATAAATTCTTCATTAATAAAAGATTACCATTTTAGAATATAAAAAAATCAACATATTGAAGATAAATATTTAAATAACAATTATATAATATTAAGTATAATATATTATTATTTCTTAGATGATTATCAAAATTATATTAAATTTAATCAAGTTTATGTTTTATCTATTTAAGTATATTAATCAATTGAACAAAATTAAAATTTTTTTTATCTACATACATATCCTTATATGAATTTGAAAATTTTGGTAATATTAATAAAAATATTAAAATGTCATTAACAAATATAATATCCTCTCAATAAAATTATTACTGTGTAAAATAAAATTTTTGAAAAACCATTAAAAAAATATTAATGAGTCACACTTAAGTCTTTTTTTTTAATTTTTAATAGAGTAATTTAAAAATTAATACTGCGATTATTGAAAAGCTTACAGTTTATATTTATTAAAATTTATATTTGATATTAGTTTATGATTGATAAATGTGCATAAATATAAAAGTAGATCTGAATTTTCTCAATTAATATATAAATTTTAAATAATAATTCTTTTTATAGTAGTGAATAAATATTTTTATTTAAACAACTTAGGATTATTAATTATAATATTTGAAATATTAAAAATTCAAGCTATAATTTCAGAAAATTTGTATTTTTTTAAAGTAAGCTAAATAATTATTTGAAATTTTGTATGGCTAGAAAGAAATCTTCTTATTTAATTTAAATGGTCTTTTCCTCATTTCAGTTCATCACAATTTTAAGGTATATTAGACAAATATAAAAGTAGTAGTACTAATCTAATTTATTTAGATTAAATTTAGAGACTAACATAAATTGATGATTACATACTTTTCAAAAGTTGAATGCAATTAGAAATAATCTGAGCAGAATTGTGTAATATTTTTATGAATTTTTATTATTTTATAGGAAGAATACTTTGTTTATTTCAGCTGCTTGAGGTCAGTTCTATAAAAGAATATATTATGTATAAAAAGAATATATTATTTACAAAGAATAAGACAATATCTTACATTCAGAGAAAAATTTGTGATGGCATAATTTACAAGTTTAGATAATACTTTATTTTTATATGGAAAATTAAGGTAATGGTGAGGGATTATGAATTATAATTTAATATAAAAGAAAAATTTCTTGCTTTGTTTATATCTGTCATTTCAAACTATAATAATTATATTAAAAAAGTGTAAAATTTCTATAAAAAAATAAGGAACAAAATAGTGTTAATTATTTTTAGATTCTTCAATATTCATTTAATCAGCCAGCAGCTCACTCATTTTACTCAACAAAGCTATTAAACACAATCAACTGATCAATTCACAACCATGTAATAAGGACATACTGTTAGTTGGAGTTCAAAGAAATTAAAATCACTAAGCGAAGAATTCGTCACTGATCCTAAAGCAATTAAGCATTTAGATGTTTCAAATAACTTATTAAGGACAGGCAGATCTCTTGAGAGATTTATCAATTTAGTGACTTTAATTATTGATGAAAACCAAATTAGCAACTTGTAAGAATTCCCTCAACTTCAATCACTTGAGTGCCTGAGCTTAATCAAGGTAGAAGCTATTTTTTTATTTGATTATTCATATATCTCATTTATAATTTTAATATCATAGAATTAAATCTAAGACTTAGATGAATTCATAATGTTGTGCAAGTCCAAATTCCCTAAATTAAGCAATTTAAATTTAATGAAGAATCCCTGTTGTCCTACTTTCTTCTTACAAGAAGAAGACTATCACAATTATAGGTAGCAACTAGTTAAAAGTATTTCAACATTGACTATTATTGATGGCTTCCCCGTTACTGAAAAAGACTTTTAGCCATTTGTTTCAGAAATCTAACCCATAGAAGAAGGCAACTAAAGCAATGGGTATGGTAAATAAGTTATAAGATAGTAATATGTTGAAAATGATTAAGCAAGAGGTGTAGTAGAGCACAATCCTAAATATGCTAAAGTAAATCAAAACAGAAATATCCTTAAAGGAACCAGCTAAGGTAATAAACACATTCCCAATGAAAAATTGTGATAAAATTTAGCAAAAATGATACAATAGTTAAAAAAATTTGAAGAAAATGAACAAAATATCTAGCTTTTCCATAAAAAATATATATAATATTATTTGATTTGTTTGAATGATTAATAATTGATAAATTTATTCTCGTAATTTATATTTGTAGTAATGCAGAGTATTAGTTATAATTAATTAATCAATAATAATCAATTTCCTTTCTTATTTCTAAATAAAAACAATTATTGAAAAATTGCCATGATCAATTCCAAAATTTATCATTTAAAATAAAAATTCTCATTTTATCATTAACAATTTAATTTGGGTTCTAGTCAATGCTATGCATTTTAATTTTAGACACAATTAATTTGTTGTTATTTGTTGTTTGTAATAAAAAATTCTTTCATTTGAAAGATATTTTATAAACTAATATTTGTTTATTAATTATTCATTCATTTGATCACTTTATTATTAATTATTTCTAATGATTTTAATTTAATAATTATTTTGAAATATTTAAAAATTTTAATTTGAAATAAGTGTAATTAAAATAAGATATCTACATAGCGATAAAGAAAAATGGAAAGTGAATAGGGTTAACAAATCATTACATTAAAGGAATTGTTTGAAGGCTGGAGAACGGTCAAAGATTAAATATAAAAGGAAAGGTAAAAAATTTAAATGACGATGAAAAGAAATACATGGATTCAATATATTTCTTATAAACAAGTTTAGGGAACTAGCAATATAGATTCATATTCTCTAAAACCAAACTTTGAGAAAGCAGTCAATCAGAGTATGGAAACAGAAATACAGAGTAATTGAAATATTTAAAATGGATTTCTGTTAAAATTTCATTTGATTGATCATCATATTTTTAACAATTATGTTTGTTTTCATTCATTTTTTAAATTCTAAAAAAAATAAATATTTTCATTTATGAAGTAAGTTACTTCAAAATAAGTTTATTTTTTATTTATTAAATCTATTTTATGATTTAAAATAGCATAAAAAGTTACAGAAGCTGTTCTATTTGAAGATAGTTTATATAAATTATAAATATGTCATACAGAAATATTTTCATCTACTAAAAGACATAAAAAATTAGAGGATTAGATAAAATACAATAACATAAACAATAAGCTAGAAAATAGATAAAATGTGTTAAAGAATAAAAGATAGTGTTTTTAAATAGTGGAAAATATATTTTTAGACAGTTAAAAATGGAAAAAGTTTTAAATTTTAGAGATAGTAAGCTTAGTTGAAGAATTTATTTGAATTTTGGAGATTAAAGTTAGAAACAAGGCAAAAATAAAAGAACCTTCTTTACTAAATTCTAGTATCAAAAAAGGATAATCTTATTAAGTATGCAATTTAGTAATGGAAAAAGAATTAATCTTATAATAAAATTGCCTAAAAAGAAAGTTAAATTTTAAATTGGTTTTCTGAGCAGCAATAAAAACAAAAACTCGTCCCTATAAGATTAGAAAATAATTCATCTACTTCTACCAGTTTTATGTCGACCACTTAAAGAAATGGAAACATTTAAAATAATTAAACTTAAAGACCTCCTTTATATTCAGATAAGAAATATTCATTTGCTAATAATAATGAATAAGCTACCCACAGAAGTATTAAAAGTATAGACATCAGTTCAATCTAAATGTAAGGAGCCAACTCTAACAAAAATAATAATTTGCAAGCAAACTCTTTCAATAATGTAAAAAATTAAATATAATAATATTCTAAATAATAAAAAATGTTTAAATTTAATTTAATTGAAATAAAGTAGCTATTTATTTTAAATAAATTGAATATCTTAAATTATTTTATCTTATTTAATCTATACTAAGAAATAAATATTTACTAATATATTTAGATAAAAATTTTTTATATACACTGTAATTTCTAATATATTTAGGCCAACTAGGAAAAATAAATACTTTTTCATTCAAATTTAGTATTAATTTTTAAATTTCATGCTTTGTTTTAAGTGATTAGGTCTTAAGAAATGAGATTTTACAGTTTATTAATTTTTCATTTTGTTTCTAGCTGAGATATACCAAATCTTAGCATTTTTTAGATATTTTTGAAATATTTTGCAAATTCAAAGATTAATAAGAATATTTTAGCAATTAAATAGACATACTAATTTGGTAGTTCAATTTTTAGAATTTAGATTTAAAATTGCTACTTTGATGTTAAAAAAATGAAAAAAGATGTTTATTTATAATTATAATAGGATTACAATTAAAGAGAACTATAGAATGGAGACATGTTAGAAAGAGTTTAAAATTAATCTCAATTCATTTAACAATAGCAACAATAGTTTTTTATGAATAATAGTTTTAATAGCAACAATACAAGGATTTAAGATATTTAAGGCTAAAAAAGCTAGAATTATTAAGGTTTTAGGAGAACTGATAATGGTCAGTTGGAGAGCAGCTATAAAAATCTTGAAATCATTAGAGAAAATTAATAGCATGAGATTAGCTATTAACAGTAGTTAAGTGAAAGGAAATAATAAAATTGGAAATAAAATGATGAATAATTGATAGATCAAGAAAGTAATAATTAATTAAGTAAATAATACAAAGTTTAAGAGTTAAGAATAAAAATATAAAATTATAATCTGGAGTTGCAGGAAAAGATATAAGAATACAATGATTTAAAAACATTAAAGCTTGAAAATGACAAAGATTTAGTGGCATACATGAAAATTTTGAAAGAAGATATTAAATCATTAATTGATAACAGTAAAGAGCTTAAGCAGTAGTTGATTAATTTGTAGTGAATAAATTCTTTTATTAAATGCGTGTTTGATTATTTGAGAGTAAATAATTTACAAAATTAAGAAAAAGTAATAATTGGGGTTGCTACAAATTTGTGATCTAAGTAAGGCTTACCTCTTTTAATTACAATTAAATTTATAAAAGAAATAACAATAATTCAAAATGATAACTCGTAAATAAATTTATTTCCTTTATAATGAAGTCTTCACTAATTTCCCTATTTTAAAAATACATCAAAACAATTCTTTTATCATCGTGACTAGCTATCTATTTCATATACAAATTTAATTTTACCATATTATTATACTTTATTCCTTTATATATATCTTTCTCTGTAAATCACTAAATACTTCACTTAAACTTAAAAAAATCTTCTATCAAACTAAAGCAGATAATAAACTTCTAAGATATTCAATAAGAAATAACATTCAATTGCATCTTTTGAATTCATTTATTTTTTCTCACTTTAAATACACATCATTAATTTTTTGCCTTTTTGTAATTTTAATATTTTATAAAAAATCACTCTAATTTAAAATTTAATAACTATAAAAACACAAAAAACGCATGTAATAATAGAAATTTGTAGTAAAATAAATCTTAAAATAAAGAATTTAAAATTTTCAGGGAATTTTAAATAATGTATAAATACTTAATTGTTTAAGAAAAGGAAATAAAGATTCTAAATAATTGTAACTTTAAATTATTATTGGAAATTAACCAAACAAAAAAAATTTATAGATTTTTTGATCTAATTATGGTAAAAATTTAGAAGTCAAAGAGTAAAGCTCAAAAAAGCTAAAAAAGGAAGTTTGAAGGAACTATTGTAACACTTCCTAAGTTAAGAAGGAATACAGATAAATTAGTAAATAAAAATTAATAATAAATTATAAATAAAATATTTTGGTAGAAATTACCCCTCAGAATAAAAGTTGGTTAAAACTATTTGCAGATATAAAAACGTATGCATTTTTTATTACTTATTTTATAATATAATATTTTGTTATAATTTTATTTTATTCACTTAAATCTTTAAAAATCAATATTTTTGCAACTAAAATATCAATGATAAGTTTCCTTCAGAATTTTATTGTGTATTCATGCATGAATGAACATATGCTTATATTTTTATTTGTTTATTTTTTCCTTCAAAAGTTTATTTATTTTTTTGCTTATCATTGTGAAGGGATTTATTTATGAGATATATTAGTTTGTTTTTAAGTATGAATGTATTTATGTATGTATTTATGGTATATGAATAAACGATGAATTGATGAATGGAATTTATGTTCATAATGTAACCAAAACGAACATTAATAGATTGATGTATGTATGTATTCCTTCTTTTATATAGCTTTTAATATCACTTTAATAAACTTATTTATTTATATCAATCAAAGTCTAATAATAATAAATTAATTAATTTATTTATTGATAGAATTAATTAATTAATATTTCTAATATCCTGAACAAATTAAGCTCTTAAATTAAGTATGGTAGGCTGATAGATATACACTAATAATTTTATATAATAGTAATATTAATTATAAAACGAGGGAACAACTGTTTTTATCTTCATCATTCAAAGTAATATGTATTATTTTCGTTTTCCTTTCCAGTAGAATCAATTATAGGAGCAGGGATGTTGTGACTATCTCCATCTTCACCAGCACCACCGCTTCCAGCTGAGAGGACATCGCAAAGAGAGTTATCTGACAATAGCTCATCATCAGAGTGCTCGCTAAGCTTGAATTTATCTTCTTAGCTCTCTCCTACTTGGCTTTCTCCTTTTTCGCTATCTCTATTTTACTGTTGTTAGTTCATAGAATTGGCGTTAAATGTAGTGTTATTTATTCCATTACTATCAGAAGTATTTATCTTGTTTGATACATGCTTTGTTTGTCTTTGATCTAATAGAGTCTATCTTTTGATAATAGCTTATTCGTTGTTTTGAGACTTCTTTTTCTGGCAGAGTTTAAGCTTCTTAGCAGTTGAAACCAAGCCAAGATAACCTTTACCAAAAATGATATATAAAACCATGATAAGAAAAACTAGTCCAACAAAAATTCTTGATTCATCCCTAAAGGCTACAGCATCATCATGATCTGAATTGCCACCACCACCAAAGACATCATAAAGGAGAGAACCTCCAAAAGGACCAATGAAAGTTCCAAGAGCATAACCACCAACAAAAATACTGGAACCCATATCACTGCAAGCTCTTATCATTTTGAGATCAGGTTAGGCAACTTTACGAATCTTCATTTCGTTAACAACAATAAGTTCTATCAATTCTGGGATCATAGGAAGGATAACCATTGCAGAGGCTATACCATTAATTGACTAACCAACTGTAACTAAATACCAGTGATCACCCCCAAGAGGAAGTCCTAAGTAGGTTTCGGGAGATTAAACCAAGATACCAAGTAACGATATGAAAGTACCGAGAGTGATAATGAACTTTTTATCAAGTCTTTTGGAAATGTGTGGCATCAAGTGTAAGAAGACCATGTAAAAGAAGGCACCAACTGAAATAACATATCCAGCTTTACCTTCATCTAATCCAAGAGAGACCATATGTCTAGTGTATTATGGATTGATATAAGTGTTAGCAATTGCACTTCCAGTCATAAGAGAAAAAGTCCAAAAAATAGGACCTGTTTTCATGCAATCTATTGCCTTTACTTTATCGATTTCAACTTTATTTTTAACATCAGGAGGTAACCATTTTACAGTGAATATGCAGAGTGTGAAAATTCCACTCAAAACATAGAATGGTAATTAGTAAGCCAAAGCAGCGTTACCACCAGCGAGATTATTCAAAGCTTAACCAATCATAGGACCAAGCAATAAACCAATAGCTGTCATTGTTTCCATGATACCAATTTTCTTTTGGATTCTGTTGATTATTTATAAAAAATATAATTTTATTAATAAAACCATCACATTAATTAAGTAAGTAATATGATATTAACTAAAAGAAATTTTGTTTTTGCAAATATTTTTTTCATTTAAAAAAGCATAATTTTTATAACTGAAAGATGTTTAATCATTTGGGTTCAATATTCTTTTCGAGCATTTTATTTTGCTTTTTAATTTAATTCTTTTTTCAAATTTGTTAAGCAAGCAAGATAACAAAATTACAGATTTTCACTTTAAAAATAATTCAAGTGTTTCCTTAATTAATATCTATTAAAAATAATTGATTCTTTCTTTGCTTTTTTGTTTTAATATCTTTAGTATCAAGTGTATATATGTATGCTATTTATTTATTGATTAATTTATCTATTTTTTTTGGCTTTTATATTAAATTATTTTTTTTTGATGTACATTTAACAATAACCTTGCCTAAATAAATTAATTAATATTTACTATTAAAATAATTGCTTGCTTGATAGCTTGATACTAGCTAACTAATTAAAATTTAAAATTGATTATTCTCTCATCAATTAATTAGTTAGTGATGAAATAATTAACAGATTTTATGGCTGAAGTACCATTCATTATTAATTAATTTATGAGAATTTCTTGAAGTATTGTTTTTTTAAAGATATTATCTGAAATTAGTGTATTTTAATTTTTGATTGATATATTAATTGCTTGCTTGTAAAATTAAGTAAAATTATTAACTTTATTTAATAACAACTAAAATTTATAAATGAAATTACGAGTCAGGCCATAATTATGGGACGTAACCAAAAGTAGCAGCACCATAGCAGGAACGAGAAGCTCCTTGGAAAAAACGAGCAATCATAGAAACAGCTATAAAAGCTCCCTAATTATCAATATAATATACAACACCAAATGTCACAATTGTGAGAACTTAGATTAACAAGCCATAAAACATCAAATTTTTTTTACCCAAAAAACCCATCATTTAACCAATAGACAAAGAAACGGAAAAACTTCCGATAGGATTGAGTGCGAAAATTAAACCAATAAGTGTTTAATTAACTCCTTTATCTGCTGCAATACCTGGATAAAAAGGAGTAATTACTGAGACAGCAGCATTCAAAAAGAAGTTCATAACTGACAACGCTATCAAGTTACCATCAGCACCAAAGATTGTTTTTGGTACATACTATTTTGCTTTAGCTTCTCCTGTATCTGTCTTTGAAAGTAATGACTCTTTCAAATTATTCTAAGACTTAATCTTTTCGTCTTCAGCCATTATTTTCAATATCTGATATACTTTCTTTTATAATTAATTAATTTATTTATTTTTTTCTTTTTATTAATAATTTTCCTTAACTATTTTTGTTTTCCTTTTGTTTATTTACCTTTACTTTGATAAGTTAAGTAGTATTTCATATTAAAGTTAGTGTTTCCATAAATCCTTCGCGATTTAATGAATATTGATTGATTGATCATCAAAGTCATTTTTACACATTTCCTAAACAAAAGAGATTGATTAAGCAATAAAAGCCATGCATGAACTTAATTCAATTCAAAGAAATACATACATACGAACATATTACTTTTGATAAAAATAGATAGATACATACAAATATGCAATCTCTAAAAAAAAATTTGCATTCAAAAGATTAATAAACAAATATTATATATATTAAACAGAAAAAATACATGCATATAACCTTAATTACCTAATTGAGTAGATTGGTTATCTTAAATTACGAAGTTTTGATTTGTTTATTTAACTAATTTATTTGCAATTTATCTCTCATAGATAAAAATTTCTGATTTTCTTTTATAAAAAATTAAAAGCATATAAATACATTCAAACAAAATGTTTCTTTCTGTATTACCTTACACATTTTTCATTAATCCAATAAAATCACTGATGATCAATAAATATAAGTTTTCTTTAACATTTACACTGTTGAATGGTTTATCACAAAATAAAAATAACATTTGATAAAATAATAAATTTATCATAAAGAAAAAAAAATTTATTTTTTATCAATTTAATTTTCTTAAACAGAAGTAAAAATCATAAAATCTACCTCATAGTTTTATTTATTAAAAATATTAATGAGATAGTATTTAATAATTTCATTTTTTTATTTTGATATTTTTAAATTAAATCTTTGTAATTATTGATTCTTTAGCTTAACTTTAGTTTATTTAAATACATCATATTTTTGATTAAAATTTCTTTCCCTTTCTTTTTTAAATCCAAAGTCCTTAATGTATTAAAGTGAACATCAATTTATATTTAGGTCATTTAAATAGAACATAAAATTTTGATCAATCAATCAGATTTGATAATTACTCACAAAAAAACAAGAGTAAATCAATAAAAATATCTTTAATTTACATCTTAAAATTAAAATTTAAAATCACATTTAATATATATTTTCTCAAAAAATACTTATAAATATAACGTGTTTTAATGTAGTTACTTAGTAAATTTTAAATTAATTATTATTAACCTATTCGTTCAAACAAATATCAAATAACTTTCAAATAAAATAATACGTCAGTTTAAAAATGACTTATTAACTTTATGTTATTTCAAAAATATAAAATTGGATTGAAATCTCTAATTATTTATAATTTATGAAGCAGCTAAATAAAATATATGATGTCTAACAAATTATTTCTAAGACAGGTTTTAATAAAATTAAATTTTAAGCTTAAAGTAATACTTACCAACTATCAATTTTATTTTAGATTTATTCAGTAAAATAGAAATCCCTTTTTATTAACTCAAGCTAATTAATTATCTACTTTAATGAGTTTCTTCTACTATTTAATTAATGATAAGTTAATTTTGTATTTTGAAATTATACTAATAATAAATTATACATTAATTTATTTTTTTAATAAATAAAACAAATGCCTATTGTAAATATATTTTTAAATTGATTTTTATTCAGAATATAAATAAAACTATTACATAAATTAAAATTATTGTCAAAAAATAGGCAAAAATAATAATTAGGAAGTTTATAGTTTCATTAAAATCTAAAAAAATTAGCAAATATATATTTAATCTTAGTTTATAATTTAAAAATTATATTTATGTTAAAAGATCTATCTCTCATATCTTTAACTTATAACCCTTAAGTCAACTCAACAATAAAAAAATATGTTTTAATTCCTATTAATCTCTCAATAATTACTGCATATAATAGTCCACTTTATTCGGACTAAAAATAAAATATCTCTTACAAACTAATATTTTTAACTTTAAATTAATAAATTAAAAAGTTTTATCTTTAACATCAAACTCCAAATAAGATCAATTACAATAAATAAAAATTTGTAAATTAACTAATAAATTGAAAGTAAGCAAAAGTAAGTAAGTAAGTAAGTAAGTTAAAAATAGGGAGAGAGATTTTATACTTATTAAAAAGTTGATATTTTGCAAAGTTTTTAAAAATTTTTAGTAATAGCAAAAGTTTAAAACCTTTGAAAAATTAAATTTAAAGATAGAGAGATGAAAAAATCAAAGATTTAACTCTTATGACTGTATATTACAAAAATTAATACTCAAACAATATCTTTGGAAACACCTCAATTTTGGATTCTCCTCTTAATCCTCTTGAGGGTATTTAATGGTGTGGTGAAAATTCAAAAAACTATAATTTTGTTATCCCCTTAACTTAAAAGAGTAGCTTAATACTTCCCAAAATTTCTTAATCTGTGAGTAGAAGATGGTTTTAATACTTAAGATATAACTATCCTTCTTGATTTTACTTCTCTTTATTCTCATAATTGCTATGATTATGAAAACTCTGACACTTCTGATTCCGGTTATGAATAATGAATCTTTAACAATCATAGAGAATTCTGTTTATTAGGTAAATTTATATTATTAATATAAAGCTATTTAAAGGGAGTGTTATGAGAATCTGAATTTATTTTTACTCTATTTAAAAAATATATAGAAATAATTTAATTTCTTCTAATTTTTTCTTTTAATTAAAATAATTTTTTTTATTGGTGTTAAATATGATATAAGAAAATTAGGTGCTGCTTGATTTAACCCCCGAAACTTTTTAAAGATCTTATGTTGTTAAAAATGTGAATATACTGAACTTGATTGGGAATGTGATGTCGATATAGACAAAGGTAATGAAAGAACTGATCTATAAGGTTACAGAAGTATAGTTGGTAATTAATATATATATATATAGATGGTATTGATCATACTGCAATTTAATATCCTTATCCCATTTATTATATTTATTATGGCGTCTTGAGCTATTATAAACTTTTCACATTTATTCTTATTCTAGGAGTTATGGCAAGTATTATCTACATGGTTATATAAATTAAATAAGTAGTCGGTGTTAACTTTTGAAGCTAAAAGAAATCTTGAATATTTAAAATGATAAATAAAATTATGTATTAAATATAATTAATATTCTTTGGTTAATAAATATATTTACTGTATTTTTAACTTTAAATTGTCTTTTAATATGTTTTTAATTTTAAAAAAACGCTTACATTTTCTTAAATGATAATATTATTATGTTTTAAATAATATTAAAATCAAGAGTAAAGTTAGAATTATAGGCAAATATTATTTACCTTACTTATCAAAGTATTTAGAGTTTAATTTACTATTTATGAAGATTTTTCAAATATATAAACGTTAGTGGATTTAGATTAATTATTCAAAAATTTAATAAAAATATTAATACATAATCAACAATTTTTAGAAACTAAAAAGTAATTAGTCTTATTAAGAGTATAAAACAAGCAGCCATTACGAAACTTAAATAACAATAAATTATTTGAGCTACTAATAAAGTTAAATATCAGTAGATATTTAAGTTAATTAAAATATTATTTATAGTACTAAAATTATCATAAATTTTTATGAGGTAGAATTTGCACAATATTAACGGTTTTAATCTATCTAGAAATAGCTTAAACTCTAGTTTTTAAGGTAGTAATGGAGCTTTTAACTTCATTAACTTACCAAAGCTAAGAGAGAGTAACTAATAAATACAAAATAGTTAATACTTCCTCAATTTAAACTCCTAGAATTCTTAATTTAGCACATAAAATATTCAAACATCTAATATAATTAGCTGCATTCATGATGGGCATGAAGGCAACCCTCTAAATTTAGTTTGCATAGATGAAAAATGTTTGAAGAAGGGAGTTATTTGTACATTGTGTATGCATTTTGAGCATCAAAAACATGAGACTGTGCCTCTTTAGATTTTTCTATCTCAATTTAAGGAATAGCTCAGATTATTAATATTACAAAATTAAGTTGACGAAAATGGAAATAACTAAATAGATATTATGCTTGAGCAAGTTATGTAAGTGTAGAATGATATAATTGAATCGTTAAAGATTTTTAGCTAAAAAACATATGAAGCGATTTAAAAGACGAAAGATTATTTATACTAAATATTCTTGCAAGAAATACATGGTTATTAAACATTTGATATGAAAGTTGCTGATCTCACAGAAACAATAAAAATGTATGAAAATAATAATATCAAAAATGCAAATCATCACACTGAATTAATTTATAAAATGGTACAAAAAATAATTTCTGTTTAAAATACAGATGATATCAACTACAAAAACTAATTTAATTTCAAATTACAATTATTTCCATAATAATATGGTATCCATTTGTAAGAAATGTAAAATCAGATTATAACAGTATAAGAAAATATAGAAAATGAAATACAGGAAATGCATCATCAGATTCAGCAATCTTTATAAAATATTTTGGATTACTCTACATTGCCAAAACAAAATATGTAGAGTTTTACCTTAAATAGTTCAAATAACCAACCTCTTTCAGCTCATTTCGCTATGCAGCAAGAAGAAACTTTCAATAATAATTCTAAAGAATAGAATGTTAATTTAAACTTATAAAATAAATAATAGTCATCATCTTCATCCAGATAATTATAGCCAACATAACAAGTTGCATATAATAGATCTGTATCTCAGGGATTACCACCTCCCTCGCATAGTAGTAGCAGTAAATAATAAACAAAGAGCTAATCAAATAGGATTTCATAATAATTAAACAGCTCATTTTAAAGTGAAACAACATATAAAAATTTAGCAGAATATTAACCAAATATTATGAATACTTAGCAGTCTCGTAGAAAGGAAACTCATTTATTATCTAGGAGCTATGCTTCGTCGTCATCTCCTAAAGAGCATTCGCCATATAAGAGTGATTCAAGATAAAATACAAGTCATAGCTTACAAAACAAATAAGGTTAAAATGAGCAGTCTAATTAAAATTTAAAAGGAACAGTTAGTTATACACCAAACTTTTCAGTTGACACAGATAACTTTTCTATAAACCCCATAAGCAATATATTAGCTCATAATAATGTAATTAGAGATATGGTAAGTGTGGGCAACAATAAAATAGCAACATGTTCTTATGATAGCATAATTAAAATTTGGAAAAAGAATAATTCTTCTTTGATCCAAGAGCTAAAAGGCCATACAGATGAGGTTTATTAATTGTCATACTCAAATAAACATAATCTTCTTGCTTCTTCTTCATACGATAAAACGATTCGTATATGGAAAGTAAAGACTAAAATATTATAAAGATTTTTTTCAAATAATTTATTAATTTAATTTAGGAATATTCAGAATGGAAGCAACTCGTCACATTAAGAGGACACACTGGCAAAACTTGGGCTGTCAAATTTATTGATGTTACTAATAAATTAGCAACAGGAGGTAATGATAGGATAATAAGAATATGGAACATTTTTAATGGTGAATGTGAGAGCCTTTTAGAAGGTAGCTAAGATACGATATGGAGCTTGCATGTTTTAAATGACGGAATCAGATTAGTCAGTGGTGATAATAAATATATTAAATTTTGGGATCACAAAGCTGGAAAAGTTTTAAAAAGTTTATAAGCTCATGAAGACAGGATTTATTAATTGAAAGAATTATGTTGGCAGAAGAACTCTAAGTAATCATTCTTAATTTCAAGTGGCATGGATAAAAAAGTGAAAGTATGGAATATTAAAAACTATGCTCTCCTTTACAGTTTTGCAGAATAAATGATAGTGACTAGTATAGAGACTATTATAGATAGAAATATTATTGTGTTAGGATTATGGGGAGATAAAAAGGAAGGCGGAATAGCCTTCTGGTATGTTCCTTTGGAATAGTCAGTTAAAGAAAACTAAAATTATGGTTAGTAGCCTTTAAAAATTAAAGATTATATGGGTACTTATTCTGGAGTCAGCTAACTTATTTATGACTCTGATCTTTAAAATTTATATACTTCTCACTCTAATGGTTAAATATAAATTTTAGGTTTGAAATGGAGGTGACTTATATAAAATTCATAAAATAACTATAAACTGTTTATTTATTATCATAATATATATAAATTAAACTTAATTCTAACTTTTTTGTTTCTATGTCTTTTTTATAATTAAAATTTGTTTTTGAGTATTTTATTAATAAAATAATTGGTTGAAATAAAAATTTAAATTATTTAGTTTGAAAAAAGAAATTATTAAAGATTTTAATAAAAATATATTTTACTTAAATCGGATACATTTTATTTAACAATTTAGATTTTTTGAAATATCTAAATTTTATTCTAAAGTTCAAATTCAAATATTTTTGATAAATTGAAGATAAAATTTCAAGGAAAATAATAAACCACATTTAATATTAAATGTAATATCTTTTTATTTATTTAATTTTTTATTTGTTTAAGAATTTAGTTTTATAATATTTTAAAAAGGATTAATTAATAAAAATAAAACTTTATTATTTATATAAAGTAAATATCAAAAATAGGAAAAATAAATCAAAATTTGACTAATTAAAATAACAAATTTCTAATAAATCAATTTGTTATTAGAAATTTATTTAACAAATGATTATTAATATTCATAAATTAATAAAATAGTTAGTAATTGAATATTCATCAAATTGATTGGAAGATATTTTTTGAATTTAAACTTATTATTAGTGAATATTAATAACTAATAAATTACATATATTTGAATCGACATTCTTTTTAATTGAAAATTTAATTAATTATTTTTTAAAAAAGATATTTATTTTTGTAAATAATATATGGAAGGAGATTACATAAGCTAAACTTTACTGCATAAAAAGCAATAAAGGTAATAAGAATTGTTAGAGTTTTAAAAGAATGCAGAACAAGCAGAAGAAGAGGTTAGAAAGTGGAATTTACAAAGGGAATCTAACTTAAATCAAGATGATAATTAAAATGATGAAGATAATATTCAATATAAAGAAAATATTGTAGCATATTCTAATCAGACCAAAAATACTAATGAGGGATTGTCAATTAAAAATAAATTGGTTCAACAATAAAGCGAATTAGAGTTTCCTGAAGAATAAATTCATTAAAAATTATAAAAGATTAGAGATCTTCTTGGGTTAAACAATACAAATGAGAATCAAAATGAAAGTTCTCCTATCATCACTAAATAGAAAAAGCTATAATAAAAGCAGTAAATTATTTAGTTGGAGCAAGAAAGAATATCTTAAGATGATAATTATATGGAATTTGCTAATACTTTTGGTAAAAATGATAGAATTAATACTGATATCAATCTGTTAGCTGGAGATTCTTAAATGGAGCAATTAGATTTCATCAAAAGTAATTAGGAAAACGATGATCCAATTAGCTACTCAACATCTACTTTTAATAGAAACTTAAAACAGAAATAACAAAACGAGCCTTCGAACGTTTAAATAGGAAACATGTTCACAAACTAATTTAGGGAAAATCTAAAAAATCTTAATTAGCAACAACAATAAGAAGATAATCAAAGTGAATAAAACATTGACACAAGGCGCTTTTTAAATGAATACATAAACAATTTTGATAACAACTTTGAAATTAACCAATAAATACCAAATGAGGATGTAAATAATCAAATCAATTATTCCTCAAAACCTAACTGCTAAATTACAGGCAATCAACAAAAGTACTAAAGTGTAGACGTACGTGCGCTCTTGGAAGGAAAGTAATTACTTAAAAATGAAAACTCATTTAGGAATAATTAAAGTGATTACGATAAGTTTAATGTTAGAGAGTCTTCATTAAAAAAGGTCGAAACAGACAACTTCTCAAATAATTAAAGAGTAAACCCTTTTAATAAATAAAGAGAGAGATCAAGTTCTGTAAATAAATCTAATAATTAAAGCCATAATGCTTCTCAATCTTTCATAGATAGTGGTAAAAAAGATTTTAAAAACCTTTGTAATGATGAATATGAAAGTAAAATACCAACAACCTAAGTGACTTAAGCTACCTCAGCTAAATAAAACAATACTGTGAGATCATTAAATTAAAATATCCCTAATAAGTTTGAGTTAACTAGTATGAGTTACACAAAGACTGAACCTTCTAACAGATTTAACGAATATGTAAGTAACAACACACAACTTTATAAAAAACCTTTCACTTAAAATATAACTCCATCATCAAGAGCTTAAAATAAATATGAAGACAGATAGAATTAATCTATGTAATAAATCAAAAATTAAAGTCCCTTTCGAGCTACTTTTTAAGATAAATCAACTATCTCCCATATAGGAATTGCAGACAAATAAAATACCTCTCTTTTAAATCAAAGCTAAATCTAATTATTGGAAAATAGCAACTTAAATTTATAAAATGCAACTATGATCAATCAATCTTCAAACATAATAAACAACTAAAGAAATAAAACATCTTTCACATAATAATATTCGCCTCCTTAAAAATGTAAGAAACTATTCTTTATTTTTAACTTTGAAAATTATTTAAAATTTATTATAATAAGTATTCATTAATTCAAAAAAATTATAATTTAATTGTTAATAATGTTACATAATTATATTTGAATCTATCTACTATTTACTTTATCTTTATTATGATTTGTTCAATTTTTTATTTATCTGGTCATATTTTAATAATAGTAATATCTGAAGACATAGGGTACTTGGAAAGTGATGCCAAAGATGTTTAAATGATAAAGCATGAAGAAGATGAAATCAGAGAAAGTAATAATAATACAGAGAGAATAAACAATCTATTTTAGTAATAAGTTGGTAAAAGAATAGATCAAGATGAGCAAAACAGTTTCTTTTAGTATGAATAGTAAATTCTAGAACTAACAAATAAGAATAAAAGCTTAATGAGTGATAATATCAAAATACTGCATTAAAAAGAGTAGTTACATAAAACTTTGATGAAAAAAGAATCAGAAATTACTTAGCTATAATTGCGTGTTTCTGATTTAGAGAAAAAATTAGAAGAAAAGCAAGATGAAGCTAAGCTGAAAAGAAAGTTAGAATTAGCAATTTAGGAGAATACCAAAGAACTGCAATAATAAATCGAAGAATTGTAAAAAACAATTAGCGAATAGAATTTTGAGATTTAAAATAGGACTAATCAGGAAAGATTTTAAAGACATAAAGTATCACAATAATAAAACTAATTCTACTTAAAAGAAGAGGAGTTGAAAAACTAAGTTTAATTTTTGAAGAAAGAAATAGAAAATATGAAATACAATAGAGAAATCTTAAAGAATAGAGGGGAAAATGAGATTAAGAGTAGACTTTTGGAAATGGAAACAGACCTTCATATTACAAGAAATTAATATCACACTTTGTCTTAAGAAAAGTCTCTTTTAGAGCAACAATTAGAGGAAAATTAATAAATTTCTTAACAATCTTTGTAAAAACTAGAAGCTGAAATGTAATCAGCTCATTAATAAGAAATATAAGAACTTCAATATTTTGTTATATCAATTAAACAAGAGTATGAAAAGTTAATGCTTTAAATAAAAAACGTGAAAAAACCTTCAAAGAAAAAAGATTCTTCTTAGTAATAGCAAACAAAAAAGAATTTATACAACTAATAAGATAAAAAACAAAAGGTAGAAGATGAAGAGGAGGAAGAAGAAAATCAGGAAGATTTGCAAACTAAAATTAAATAACTTATTGAAGAAAAAAATATTTTACATGACGAAAAATTTAAATTAACTCAGTAAGTAAACTGGTTATCAATAAAGCAAAAGTCCTAATCTTACATGGAATAAAAAGTTGAAACTCTAATGTACGAAAGGAGATTCAATTAGCTAACTGAAATGCTTTCTTACTGGAAAAAAAACTGTTCTATGGTATGCTAAGATTATCTTTCTTAACTAGCAAAGCTAAAAAAGGAAAATGAAAAACTAAAGTCTACAATACAAGTAACTTAAAAAAGATTTTTAACAGAGTATGAAAGTATAGTCAAAGAAATAGCCAAAAAATATTAATTAGAAAGCGAATAACTTCATTTAAATCTTAAAGAGATGCAGCAAAAATACATTTAATCTCAATCAAAACTTGCAGAAACAAGATCAAAGTTAAAAGATGTGTCTCAAATATCTTTAACTAATAACACTTAAGTCAACTCAACGATAGCAAATTAAGTTTTTACTCCTATTGATTTCTCAAAAATTACAACCGAGAAGAAGCCACCTGTTTATTCACGCTAAAAATAAAATAATTCCCAAGATTACTCCATTAATTTTAAATAAATTAACTAAAAAATATTATCTTAAACATAAAACTAAGACCAAGAAAAAATAAAGAAAAAGAAAAAAACAGTTTACTGATTTATTAATTAATAAATTAATTATTTTTAAATAAATTGAAATAACTAATTAGTTTTATATAATATTATTAAATGTATATATCTATAATAAATATAATGTATAGCAATTCTTTATGGTAGCCATAAAATTTTACAAAACATTTTAATTTAAATTTTATTATTTTACTTAAAAATTTTTATTCCACTTTTATGATTGGATAATTGTATAGAAGAATTATGATATATAAAATTAATAACTATTTGAGAATATATTTATGAGTTTAATTTGTCCTTATTATATAGTTTTAAGGAATTTGAATGAAGAAATTAAAAGATATCATTTACTGAAACAAAATAAAAAATTAACAAATGAAAAACAAAGAATTAATTTATATAATTTATCACATCTAATAAATTGAATATAAAAATAGTTAACTGATTGAAAAATTTTATTTGAAGCATAAATTTAAGAAATATTTATTATTTAGTTTTTACTATTTTTAAATATATTTGAATATGGTTTGTTAGTTTATTTAATATTTAAAATCTTTTAAACTTTTTTATTTTTTACGGTGTTAAAATAATAATTAGTTACAACTTTAGTTCAAAAAATATTTTGAAAGTATTTTTACTAAAATAATATATTAATAAAACAATTCAGTACTTGATTTTATGTTTTGTTTTACTAATATATTAATCTTATGATTTACATTATTGTATTAATCATATTTTTGTATTAGCTATGTAATGCCAAAATATTATTAAGTTAAAAAATGTATCTTTTTATATTAAAGAATTTTCTAAAATTATGAATCAGTTTTAGAAATATCTCATTTTATTTTGATGAATGAAATTATAATTGACTGAAATATATTTTTGATTAAAAAATGATTGAATCACTTCAGTATAATTGAAACTATTTAGAAAGATTTTTTTAAAGATTTTAATGAGCTTGAATTACTGATGAAACTTGATAAACAAGAATATGACTTAATTTTAAAAACATAATTGAAATCAATAGGAAAAAATTACAAATCAAAAAACGTATTTTTTTTGATAGAAGCATTCATCTTGCCTTAATTAATAGAATAACCAACAAAAAAAAAACAAATCCTTGAAAAGAAAATAATTGAGAGAAAAAATAGATACTTTTTCAAAAAAAAATTAATTTTTACACTCGCTTCACAAATTTTTGTTATAATTAAAAATATTAAAAATTTTTGTAAAACAAAAGAAAAATTAAATTTGTAAATAGATAGATGAAAAAAGAAATAAGAATAGCTCTTATAGCTTTATTTTGCTGCATTTTGACAGTAAATTGTAGAAATGAATACTCAAGCAGTGTCATTGGAAACCCCTCAAGTTTGGATTCACCTCTTTAGGACATTTAATGGTGTGGTGAAAATTCATCAAATGATAATTTGGTTGTCCTCTTAACTTAAAAGGGTAGCGTTTACAGATCAGAAGATAGAGGAGCATCTTGGATAAAGATGGTTGACTCTTTTGCGAGAGTTGGTGTAAATGTAAAGATGGATCTGAGCTCAAACGTAATTACTTTTTTTCAATTGCAAAATACTTCAATTTTTTCCATTTTCATTCTGTTTTATTAATAACTTAAATTTTATAAACAGGTAGGTATTGTTACTTAAATGATTGCAAGTCCTATTGATTCTAATGAAATAGTCTTTATGGGCTCTGATGGTATTAACTGGATCACTACTGATTGTGGTGTTACCATTTAAGCCCTTGGAATCAACTTAAATTTGAGAGAATTTATGTATCACCCAACTGAAAAGAATTGGATGCTTGCTTCTTCCTTTAACAACTGTGAAAAGCAAAACAACCAAAAAGATAAGAGAAAAAAGGACACTGAATGCTTTAAGACTAAAGATTTGTTTTTCTCTGAAAATAAGGGTAAAAGCTGGAGAGTTTTACTTAAATATGTTGTACAATTCGGATGGTATACCATTTATTTATTCTATAAAGCAAACAGTTTATTAAAACATTATATAATAATATCAAAAAGGGCTCACAAAGTTAATTCTAAGCTAACAAATGTCCCAACTTCAAGAATTATATACTCTAAGGAAGTCGGAAGTAATTCGTTTTTCTTTAATGAAGCATCTCAATAAACTAATATAATAATAAAAGATAGTGGTCACCAAGTGATGAAGGGTTGGAGCATGAAAACTCATTTATTCTATACTGATGATTTCATGAAAAACTAGAATATGATTGTTAACTAAGGAAATAAGGTAAAACAAATTATTAAAATTTGAAGCTTTTGTTAATATTGAATATTTCTTAACCAAATAGTTTTTGATTACTGAAAACTACTTGTTCGCTGCATAAGTTCACAGTAGTGATAATTAACTAGTCAAGTTAATGGTTTCTTAATCTAATTAAAAAGAATACTCTTTCACTTATGCTGAAATTCCTGAAGATATACACTAGCACTCATTCACTATTTTAGATACTAAGGAAGTATGATTTTACTATTTTTTTTTAATTAATTTAAATAGATAGGCAAATAATTTACAGCAAATTATGCAATTAAAAAAGATTATAAAAAAATATAATAAAAAGCAAGTGTTTAAAAATTAAGAATAATTTAGTTTATAAAAATAGAGAAAAATTATAAAAGCAATTAATTAATAAATTTATGATTAATTGAATAGTCAAGCTATTAAATTACATTTTAAAGAGATTTTTCTCAAATTTTTAAAGATTAGGTTTATTAATTAAAATAAATTTAAAAATAGGGTTAGGTATTCTTAAATATTAATCACTTGGGCAGTAACTCTCCTATGGGTAATATTTACTAATCTGACTCAACTGGTACTCGTTTCTCTCTTTCTCTTGAAGATAATGTAAGAGGAAGAGATGGTTAATGCGATTTTGAATCAGTTAATGGTGTTGAAGGTATTTTTATCTCAAATATATTCGCTCCTAGCAAAAAGTTAAAGGGTATCAAGCAAATGTTGAAATCCAAAAATCCTGATACAAGCGATGAAGATATTCCAACTGAAAACACAAGAAAGAAAGGTCAAGCATAAAATTCTGAAGATGTCTTAAAAGAATCCTTAAAAAGTCTTAGAGATAACATGGTAACTCGTATCACTTTCGACAAGGGTGGTATGTGGAGTTTGCTTAGGGCTCCTGCTAAAGATTCTAATGGAAAATAAATTAATTGTGATATTAATAAAAAGTGTTCTCTTCACCTTCACTCAGTTTCTTCATAACTAAGTTTTGGACCTGCTTACTCAAGTGAAAATTCATTAGGTTTAATTATTGCTACTGGTAACACAGGATAATTCTTAAGTCATAAAGCAGGTAGCGTCAACACTTATCTTTCTCGTGATGGTGGTCTTGTTTGGGAAGAAATCCGTAAGGGGTCTCACATATATGAAGTTGCTGATCATGGCTCTATCATAGTTATGGCTACTGATTAAGAACCTACTAAGAACATTATTTTCTCTTGGGATGAAGGCCGCACATGGAACACCAAGTAAATTAGCGATACTCCTGTCATGATTTCAAATATTATCACTGAACCTGGCAATACTTCTGACAAGTTCTTAGTTTATGGATCTATTGAAGGTGAATCTGATATTTCAGGAATAATTGTCCTTCTTGACTTTGCTTCTCTTCATCCTCGCGATTGCTAAGGTTATGAAAACCCTGACACTTCTGATTCTGATTATGAATACTGGACTCCTCATAATCCCAGTGAATTCTGTTTATTAGGTAAATTTATTTTATTAATATCAAGCCATTTTAAGGAAATATCTTGAAAAGCTTAATTGATTAATATTCTTTTTAAAAAATATAAAAACGCACTTTTAATATTTGATTATTTATTTCAATTAAAATAATTATTCTTGCTTAAATTAAAAAGGACGTGAAATTAAATATGTCAGAAGAAAAAGAGATGCTGCTTGCTTTAATCCCGAAACTTTTGAAAGATCTTATGTTGTTAGAAAATGTGAATGTACTGAACTTGATTGGGAATGTGATGTCGGATTTGCTCGTGCTAAAGACGATAGCAAAGAAAGAACTGGCCCTTGCGTTCCTTTAAAAGACTTCAAAGTGGATTACAATCCTCCATAAACTTGCAGTGGCTCTTACCAAGTTACATAAGGTTACAGAAGAGTAGCTGGTAATTAATGTATAGGCGGTATTGATCATGCTCCAATTTAATACCCTTGTCCTATGTTTGGCTTCTTGAGCTATAACAACCTTTTCACCAATGTTCTTATTTTAGGAGCTATGGCTGGTGTTTTCTACTTAATTATATAAAATAAAGAAGTAGTAATAACATTTGTAGCTACATCAAATCTTGATGCCTACATTAACTTAGGTAAAACTTACCTAAAGAAGGGTTATACTTTTGTTACATCAATTGTCCTTCCACAAGCTTCAAATTAATAATAAGGATATTTCCAAGCTAACCAAGATGAGGAAAATAGAAAATCTCATTCCTTAAAGGATCAACATCATTAATTCCATGATAATTTAATTGAAAGCCATGATCATGATGATGAGGAAGAGTAAAGTGATGCAGTATAATAATAATTAACTTCTTCTTAAGTCCCTTAAAATAATAGTAACAAAAACAATAATAATAGTAATACACCAAACTAAGCTCAGCACAAAGATCTTCTTGATGAACATGATGGTGAAGAAGATCCTTTTGATCCTAGAAATTGAAAAATAATTGACTGAATAATATTGCTAATTTATTTTTTTACTTAAATAATAAATAAATAAAAATAAATAAATTAATTTTTGTCTTTCATTAATATTATTTAGAAAGTTTTTCTAAGTAATTTAATATAGTGTGTCAAGTATCTTTTTCTCTTAACTTATGTATTTTATCAAATCCTTTTTTACTTTATTATTCCTAGTTTGAAAATATTCTAACAAACCTTCTAATAATTTACTTCCAAATTTAAGTTAAATGTTTTTAAAGGAATTTGTTTTAATTAAAAAATTTTTGATAAGAAATTTTGAAAAAAAAAAATTATAAAAATATGGATTAAGGGTTTTCAACAAATGTATAAAATGATATTTTAAATGAAAAATAAATAGCTTAAATAATAGACTAGCTTTTATAAAATAAAAATGAATACTTTTAGGTGATAAAAAACGAAAAATATGGGAAATATTATGCAGTTAATAATAGAAAAGAATCTTATCTAATATATCTTATATCAATAGATGATGGGAATAACTCTTACTGCTTTGATAAGCTGTAACAGGCCTAAAATTATGTTGATCTCGTTAGAGGATGTGATAATTTATATATATCAAAAATCTATGATGCCTTTAAAATTAATAAATTTTTTGTTATTTTATTTAAAGACTGTGATTTTTCTCTGTCTTCCTACAAATGCTTTGATAGAAATTAGCTAATATAATTAGCTGAGCAAATGATTGAAGCAATAATTTATCTTCATTCTAAAAATATCTTTTTGAAGACTTTTTAAATTTAAAAAATTTTTGTTGATAATAATTTTAACTTGAAAATAACAGAAATTTCTTTTCCAAAGCTAATTAATTGTTAGACTGAATACGGAAAATACTAATAATATGGATAACCTGGAATATATTTGCCTCCTGAGATTTTAAATTAATTCAGATCAAATTAGTTTTAAAAGTTAATTTACAAAACAATAGAGTAAGATATTTGGTCTTTCGGTGTTTGGTTGCTTATTTTATCTGGTTCAAGTGAAAGCTCAATAAAAAATTTAACGGAAGGTTTAGAAATGTATCCTTTAAATATAGATATTGATTTTGATATAAACTATTTAATTTCATTAATTTTACAAAAAGAAGCTGATCAACGACCTTCATTAAAATAGATAAAAGATTATTTTTAATGCTTAAAACTAAATTATAATAAATAAAATAAATAAATAATTTTAAATTAGAATAGCTAATTTTTGATTGCTCAAAGTAAATTTGTTGAAAAGGAATTTCAAAAATCATTTGAGATAATTTAGGAATTAGTTTATAAAAACCCATATAACGATGAATATTTAGCTTGGATGGGAAGAATATGCTATGCTTTAGAAAAATACGAAATATCAGAATATTTTTGTTACTAGACACTTAAATTAAACAAAGAAAATGATTTGGCATATTTTATTTTAGGGATCAACAATACTCATTATGAATTTCTTGAGCTAGCTAAAGTTTACTACCAAAAAGCAATACAAATAAATCCAAATAATATTTTGGCATTAAATAATCTAGGATTAGCTTTTCAGCATTCAAACTAATTTGAATTTTCCTTATAAACATATTAGAATGCATTAAAAATTAGCCCAAATGACATAGACATTTTAAATAATTAAGGCACTCTATTTTATAAGTTAGGCTAATATGAAAAAGCAATAGCCTCTTTTAAGAAAGCTCTTAGAATAAATAGTGAACATAATTCATCTTATTTTAACTTAGGAATGTTATACCTAAAAATGCAAAAATATAATAAGTCTATAAAATACTTTGAAAGTCTAGTAAAAATGACACCTTTAGATAACGAAGCCCTTTTTCATTTAGGTTTTTCATACAAGTAAGTTTAAAATCATTAGAAATCTTTAAAATATTTCTACCAAGCTTTAAAAATTGCTCCTTAAAAAGCTAAATACCTTTTCAATATTGGATAAGTTTATATGGAAAAACTTTTAAAATAAAAATCTTACACATATCTATAAAGGTCTTTATAATTGAAACCATTATCTGAAAAGTATGTCATAAATCTAGGTGTTTTCTACTTATAATTTGAGCCTGAAAGAGCCTTATAGCATTTTATTTCTTCATTTTAAAGATTTCAATAAAATGAAAAAATATGTAATTACTTAGGAATATGCTACAGTAATTAAAATTAATTGGAATCTGCTTTTGAATGTTATAAAAAAGCTTACAGTTTAGATTAAAAAAATAGCTTTGCAGTGATGAACATGAATATTGTCAAAAATTAGATTTAAAAATAAAAGCAAGTAAAAAATCCTTTAAAAATATTTTTAATAATTAATAATTGAAGAAAAAAAAGTTATTTTTCATTAAAAATAAAATAAATATTTTTTGTAATACTGCCTAAAATCTAAGAACTAATTTAATGACTTACTTTTAGAAGTTAGTATACTAATAAAATTTAATAATTGTATAAAACTCAATATAAATTAATTAAAATAATAAAAATTGTTAAAATATTAATTGTTAAATTTAATTTAAAAAAAATTACATATTAAAATTTTCATTTTCTTATTTATTTTTGGAAATTAAAATATTAGGATTAAAATAAAAATTAAATTAAAATAATTTTCTTTTTAATATTAAAAAGTTGAGTATTTAATAATAAGTATAGTTTTACTTGAGAAAAAATACTTAATTTTAAAATTACTAAAATTTTAATAGAAAAAAATTAAACATATAATAATTTAAAAATTTTTTCCCAGTTTTATCTTTACTTTTTTATAACTTTTATTAATTGAAATGTTAAAAATACTAAGTATATTTAAATGTGTAATCTATTAAGAATTAACACTCAATTAATATTTCAGAAAAACAATTTTTTTGAGTTTTAAATTAATTAGATAGCATTTTGATTATATTTACTAAATAGATTTTTAATTTTTTAATTAATTAAACTGATAAATATTTATTTATATTTTTCATCTAAAAATTAAATTCTGAAAGAAATTAATAATAAATTAAATAAAAATGTTTACTCTTATTAAAATTAAAAATTGAATTTAATAAATATCATCACTTTAATTAAAATATTATGATTAATTAAACCTAATTGAGAAAATTTCTAAATTATTTTCAACCAAACAAAATAGTAATAATTTAAAAATATTTTGATACTATTGCTAACATTTTCTTAATATATTTTTTTATTTGCTGATTTAAGATAATACTTATTATAAACTCTAGGAATATTACAATCTTAATATCAATTTTAATATAAAATATAAATTTATTTTAAAAATTATAAAATAAAACAATATAGTTGCTATTAATCATTTGCTATTTTTAGATTTATTTTCCAACCTTAATTTTAAAGGCTTTTATTTAAGATTTAGAAAATATATTTCAAATGATATTTGAAATAAAAATTAGAAGAAAATATTATATATATTTTTTTTAATGGAAAATCAATTCTAACTAATAGTGAATATTTCCTAGGTTGCATACTTTACTATTCTTTCATAATATATATCAGGCTCTACGCAGGATATTTGATTTGGGTTTGAGCAGAAAAATGATTTAAATGTACTTTCTAGGCTCTTTCTAAAATTAAATTAACACAAATAATCTATAACAGCTAATGAGACTACATATTCATTAATTTGTATATTTCTAAATTTATTTTGTGTTTCATATTAGCTTTTTTTATCAGATTATTTTTAAATATTTTATCCTATAACTACCATTAAGCTATAATCCATTAAATTCAAAGATTCGTAATGATGACATTCTTCTTTTAGTTATTAAATTATTTCCTGCTTAAGCTATTAAGGAAGAGATTTCAATATATTTCTATCGCTTTCTTTGTTTTTGAAATCATTATCCTTCCCAAAGAACACATGAAATTTCTAATCTTTATTGCCTTTAGGTGAGTCGTTTTAGCTTTTTGGTTCTATTAGTTTTGTTAAAATGTTAATTCTGGTTTTTATTTTTAATTAATTTACACTCTTAAATATCTTCGTTATCTGAACTTTCTATATGCTCATACTATCTTCCAACACTTGATCCTTTGAGGTCATAAATAGATTTAATTTAGTTTTATTCAAAATCCCAATCATATAAAATATTTTCCATTAAAATAAAATAGTTATATGGAAGTTCTAAGCTTTAATCCCTTATTTCTTCGCTCTCAATCTAAAACAATCCAAATATCCTTACACTTAACAAATGCTATTTAGTATAAATGCTGCTTAAACAGACTTCATTAACTTCTCGTAAGAAGGTATTAAACTAAGATTATGGAATTCCTTTTAAAACGAATCTGCTATCTTTACTAAAGTGGATACTTGCATCATTTGAACCTAAATAAACCATTTAATTATAAAGTTGCTCCTAAATACTAATTTTTTTGTCTTAAGTTGATGCTTCATTATCTTTGACTTCATCTGATTATTCAGAAAATGATTTTAAAATTTGTTCATTTAAATTAAATCCTAACTGTTAAGCTAACTTTTGAAAGTTGTCCTTCAAGTATGAATTGACATTATAATAATCTTTGACATTTTTTGGAGATTTATCTTTAGCAAAAATTGATAAATTTTCAACCTAATACTCAATATATGAGTTCAATTCGCTTTTATTTTATTCACAAATCTACAAAATTAACTTTTTTATAATTTGCCATATTTTAAGTTAATTTTCCTTTTATCTTTTATAGAATGAATCAGATCTCTTCTTATTCTCCATATTACTAATCTTGATAAAAAATTTATTTTACGCCAAACTTTTATTAACTTAAAAAAAGTTATTTGATATAAAAATTATCAGAAAAATATCAAACAAACACTAAAGTCAACAATTAAATCATTGAGGGATATTAATGAATGCCTGAAATTTGATTGAACAAGATAATAATGAGAAATCCTTCTATAATAACTTAAAAATACATAATTATTTTTTTTTATATGAAATAACCTAAAATAACCTTCATATTTATTTTGACTTTTTTACAACATTTATAAGTTGTTACTTTTAATAATAAAAAGTACGATATATATTAAATCCTTGATGTAGAATCGCTTTTTCAGAAATTATTAGGTTAATTATTATAAAAATGATTATGAACAATAATTTAAAAATATAATAGACGCTTGACGAAGCTGATATTTGAAAAATTTTTAATTTATTTTAATAATTTTTTTAAAAATAGAAAATCAATAAAATATAAATAAAAAAAGAAAATTTAAATTAGTGTATGATGTGTCCCTGTTGCTTTAACAGATTCAAAAAATGCAAAATTCATAAAAAAAGCTAATCTTCACTAGATCTAATATAATATAGATTCTAGGGGTATAATGACAAAGATGATTTTTCATCTGAGTTAGTCATTGACTAAAACACATATTTATTAGGCTTACCCACAAACAATTAAGTATTAAGTTAAGAATTTTAAAATGCTCTAAAAAGTTCAATTTATTATTAACTGGGTGATTATTTTTCTGCTGCATCTACTGCATTTTAATCTGTATAAACTTATCTCAGCTCATCTGATTCCTTATTAGATTAAACTAATTTCTGTATATTTATTTCTCTTGATTTTATTTTTTGTTTACCTTATTTTAATTATAATAAAGAGAAAAAAAAAGTATTTAGTTTTTTGCTTATTGGTAAAGATAGGATATAAACCTATTCAAATATTCCCACTTATGGTATTGTGATGAAAGATGATATTATTGAAGCTTTTTCTCATCAAACAGGTATTGAATTATTGTATTAATTTTCTTTTTTGTAATCTAAATATATTTTTTTAAAAAAGATGATTAGTCAAGTTAATCCTACTTTTAATCTTATAACCTTACTGATAATAGAAATAGAAGTAAAAGTAATATTATAATATTTGGAAGTAAAATAGAAAAATTTAAAGATAAACTTCTTCTTTCAGAATTAACATCAAATGATTCTATATAAAAAAATTAAGATTAGCAATAATAACAAAAGTAATAATATGAAATATCATATAGCTCAATACATGATGACACAGAAAACTATTTATCTACTTATTTCACATAATTTAATGGCATGATTTAAGAAAGCTACAACCCTTCTGGATATGTATTAAAACTTTAAAAATGAACAAATTGCTATTATATTTTTGAAAGACATATGTTTATTAAGATTTTTACTTCATAAATTATCAAATATTTTAATTAAATTTAAAAATAGAGTAAAGAAATAAAAATCTTTACTTAATGAATTCAAATAAATGATGTAATAAAATCTACTAATTAATTAATTTCAAGTACTTACTTAAAATAATAATTTTAATTCAATTTTTATTTGTTTGCCTATCTATCGATTAAATTAATTATTAATCCGCAATAAATATTTTAATAGACATCATATTTTTATATTAATAATTTATGTTTAATATATCAAAGTTTATTCAAAAAAAAATCATAAATATTAATAAAAATAAATCAATAAATATTTTATATTTATCGGAATCTTTAAAACAAACAGATAAAAATCATAAATAAATACATTTGGAAGAGAAAAAAAACAAAAAAATTTTATTTTTTTAAAATAATCAAAGGGTGAATTTATTATAATAATTAAATAATATATTTGTCGAATACAATAAATCGGTAGAGAATAATCTCATTCATACATATTCATTAAAAAAATCAACAAATTTAATTTTATAAAATGTTCTAATGATAATAATTAACTAACATTCTAATTAACTAACTAAAAACAAATAGCATGCTCTATAAGAATTCATTAGATAACACGAGAAATTTAGAATAAATAAATGTTTATTTGAAAAAAATAACAATATTTTATTTAAGTGTTAATTTGATTTGTATAAATAAATTTTAATTATGATAGCTTTAACAAGCTAAATAAAATAAATTACTACTAAATGTAAAATATAAATTACAATTTCAAGAAATAAAGAGAACAAGAATGGATCCTATCAAACCGAAAAAGGAACCTTAAAAAAGACTGAATTATATATCATCTATGAATTCTTAGAACAAAAGAAATATAGCTGGCATAATGAACCAGAACAATATTTAACAAAAGAAGTAGCTCAAATCTAATAGCTCACTACTTACTTTATTACTTATTTTATAGTGAAATTCTAAATGAGAGCAGATTTTAGACGGTATATAGTCAAAAGAGGCTTAAGCTACTCCCCAAAGGAGTAAACTTATGCAAGAAGAATAGAAACTACCAGTAAAATAAGTATATATAAAAGAAAGGTTCAGAGCAAAGTTACTGAAAAATAAAAATTGTTTTTATCTTTTTGCTGATTGCAACTACTAAACATATCTGCTACTGATATAATATAAGAAAGCAGCTGCACATAATACTAAAGCTCCCCAGCTGATTCCCAAATCAAATAAATAATCTCTAACTTTGTTAGAATCAACATTGTACTTGCTGTTGCTTTGCTGCAAAGTTACACCCATCCATAAAGTAGCATAAATATTTATTAAAAGAAGATTACCACACATCAAAAAGTGTGAAAACACCAAACACTTTTATTAAGGTTGCATATTTCTAATCAATAAAAGTTGGTTTAAATAAATTAATTAATTGTTAACATTAAAAAGTAAATTTTTACTTTATTTCATAAATCGATGGCAATATATTTTAAATAGAATAAATAGGTTGCAAAGACTCCATTTGATGATTTTAAGAAATTCTCATTTGATTTGTTCTCAATCCTTAAAATGAATACAAAAAACCAAAAAACATAAGAATTCCTCCTACTGAGTAAGAAAAAGTTAGATTTTCCATGAAATTCTATTTAATTTAAAATATCTATATCAAAAATATTCAATAAGGTTTAATAAAATACTTACTTGAACATCCCAAACATCGATGTTGAACGCTAATACACTGCTAATCAAAAATGCAGCTATTTTTCCTGCGGAGCTTGCAAATGCAAATTAAAATTCACAGTAATCTTAATCCTCATCTTTAATGCAGTCATTTTAATATTAATTAATAATTGCCTAAAATTTTATTTTTAAAGTAAATTATGGATTAAACAAAAAAATATTATTTTAATTAAAAAATTTATTAAATAAAAAAAACATTTTTTATTTTAATTTCTAAAATTTTATTTAGAAATTTGAAATTGTATTTTTTTATTTATTTTATTTTTATCTTTTAAAAAATGAGCAAATTATTTCAATCAAAATTTATTTACTATGATTATATCATGACCTATGTCTTAAAACATGAAGCCAAACACTCCGAGAAGCATAATCGATGTTTTGGCATTATCAAAAAGAGTTATCCAATTAGCTGTGATGTATCTAGAGAAACCCATGAGCAGTAAACCGATTATACTTAAAGCACTAAAAAGTAATATAAATAGCTTTCTATATTTTAGCATATTAACAGTCTTCTTTTTTAATGGAACTGAAATTACAGGAAATAGTAATTTTTCTATTAATGGTGGAATAAGCCAAATGACTGTATCAAGAATATCAGGAGTGTTAACTTTGAAAAAGAAAGGAGAAATAAATACCATTTCAATAGAAAACCCTTTATTTAATAAATAAAAATATCATTTATATGAAGTTATTTCTTTAATTTGTTAATTAATTTCTTTACCATAATTAACACAAAACACTAGGAATGACAACAATTTTATATCTTTCAAGCTCAAATATTAATCTTTTTAGGATGAGTACGGCACTTATAATGCAGCCTTCTAAATATTAGCCTCTAAGTCCTCAGAATATAACTCTCCCTACTAGGACAAATTGAGTTTGTTTATATTTTAAGCATCAATAGTTGTTCTATCTCCGTTTTCTTCTATCAATTAATCATGATCACCTTTCGATATATCACTTTCAAATGAGTTTTATTAAACTTAATCAAATTCGTTTCTTTAGTTCTATTCAACAACCATATCATACCCATTTCCATTACTTAGTTTATGATTGCTGTTATTTTAATAATAGTCATTTTAGTTTTTCAAATTGCTATGATAAATATTATGATGATTCCCATTTATTTAATCTTTTCTCTTTTTGTCACTCCTTTCAGGAGAAGAACTCGTCTCTCGCTTCTCTCCTATGTATTCATCCTCAATTTATTGATGGATCATTTTAATTTAAATTATGCTTGAAAATACCAGAGCTAATTCTAGGATATTTAAAATATTTTAGTATTGAAATAAACTTTTATATAATTAAAAGTAGAAAACTATTAAATTTTTGAATATTTTGATGCCAATAGAGTTGTTTGCTTATATATTTTAATATCTTTGATTTTAATTAATAATTAATTAGTACGTACACACATTTCCTTACGTTTTTATTTGATGATCAAATACCCATTTAGTAAGTAATATATATATTTTTTTGTAATCCAGTTAACTTTATTACTATTCTTACTTATTCAATATATTCGTTTTTAAATGTAAATAAATTATATTGTTTTCACTCTTTTCATTAATTATTTTTTATTTTAGATTTAATATCAAATATTTTTTATTTATAATATATTTTATTATTCTATTCTAATTATTTTATTTTGAAAAAAACTTTATAAATGATTCCTAGTTTCTAAGTTAAAATTTAAAGGATTATTTGAGAATTTTATTAACTTTTATTTTTGATAATAAAATTATTTTTTAAGAAAAAATTTTACCAAAATTCAATAAATTTTAAAGTAAAATGCTATAATTTTTGAAAAATTTAGTAGAAATAATTTAAAATTAACAGCATATTCTAGATTATTTATTACTTTTTATTAAATTTAATTCTATGTATTTTATCAGAAAATATAGTGCGATAAGATATTTTTATTAAAAAATATCTAAAAGTTAATAAAAATTTATTTAATACATTTATTAGTTAACATATTAATATTAAAATGATAAGCATTTCTTAGCGTTTGACTTAATTATTACAAATTTCTAGCTAAAGGGCATTCAATTTTCCATAAATTCCATTTAGCGTTAATCCAACACCTGTTGATTCAGAATATGACTATATTTCTAGCATTTCGAAAGATTTATTTGAAAAACATAGATAGGAGATGAGCAAATATTGGAAATAAGATTAATTATTTGCTACAGGAATTGCATAAGAATTATGTGTACAACTTCCTATGAATGATTTCGTAGCTGGGGCTAATATAGACAGTTTAGGCCAATTAAATTTTAAAATTAAGGATTAAAACTATATAAATGGTATTAAAGCAATTTCAAAAGCTTAGTCTGCATCTACTTTGGAAGTTGATTATTATGGCGATAAACAAAAGCACTGCATTTTATTTCCTTTTAGTTAAATAGCTGAAAAACCTCTTTTGAATGCATTTAGAGGAGCTAACATATCTGAAACTATGGCAAGAATATAAAAAACTCTCGGAATTGAGGTTTTGAGAGTTGGAGTTATTTAAAATAGCTAGCCTTTTCATGGGATAATATACGCTTACTTGAAAGAAATGCAAAATAAAACAGGCAAGATAGATGAAGGTGCCATAAACTTCTAAAAGCTAACTGAATTTATTGTTTCAAAGGAACTATTTTCACATGAAGAGGTAGCTTAATTTGGAAATAAATAAATTTAAGAAATGGAATCTATAGATCCAGCTTTAAAAGAAATAATGGAAAAGCTAACAAATGCTTCAATCGGAAATTTCTAAGAAAGTTTTTCAAAATTCACTCCTGAAAATATAAAATTAATTAGAGGTGATAAACTAGAAAGCTCTACTTAGCAATATTTAGAAGCTTTAAGAGCAAGAGGAGTGTTAAAAAATGAAGGTAAGCATTTATTGAACTATGTTCATAACAAAAATATAGCATTTGTTGATCCTATTGGTTCTCTTACTCGTGAAGGTTTTTTGGTAGGACTTTTAAGAAGTTTACACATTGAAGATTTGGTGAAAGAATTTCATATTGCAAGTGATATTCAAGATGAGTTACTTTACAAAAATATTTAGTCTATTTTAAATGAATGTGGAATAGATGCAAAATTGAATTACTACACTCACAATAATCTTTTTTCAGAATAAAATGATAAGGCTTAAATAAACACCCTTGTAAAATTATATTTACTTGTTATTTGTCATATAATTTTTATTTATAATAAACAGCAAGACCTCTTTACATAAATGAAGCAACTAAATATTGTAAAATACAAGTAAAAATATCCAGATATTATGCCTAATTTGATTGAAGAATAAGGAGAAATATTTTTGGATTAATGTATTAATTAATTAATTTTATATTATGAATTGTTTCATTTAAATTTTATTTTTAAAGGTTTGGGTTGGACTAGATACTTAGATCATAGAAAAAGCAGAAAAACTCCTTACTTGATGTCTGTTGAAAATGTTTTAGAATTCATTCACTCAAATGAAGAGCTTACAAATACAAGACAAATTCTGCTTGAAATGTTCGATTCTTATAGAATTAGAAGAGAAGGAGTAGCTCCAATTTCTGATTTATTTATTTTTGAAAATTAAAATGAAAGATTCTTAGCTAAAGTCTTAATGTATTTCCCAGATAGTCTCCATAAAAGTTTGCTAACAAATGAATTCAAGCCACTTATAGAATACTCAGAGCTTCTCATTAGCACTATCCACCACATGTAAAAATAAAATGTATTCAAATCTTTTGATCCTGAAGATAAGCTCACTGAAAGATAGATAGCTAACAGAGTTGTACTTTTAGATGCTACAAATAAAATTCTACATAAACTATTTTACATAATAGGAATCCTCAATGGCTGAAAAATCTAGAAATTTATATAAATATTTAAATAACTAATCAATTTTAAAAGTTAAATTATTCATATTACAATTTTTAAAGAGTAAATAAATGTTCGTCCATAAAAATAGAATTAAATAAAATTAAATCAATAAGTTAATGAGATGGCAAAAATACATTTTTGAATTTCGTAATATTCATATTTTATATTTCCTTATTTCATTAAAATATGCTCTATTCAGATCAGATATAATTGACTATCTTGATAATTTGTATGTTCAATATTAAAAAACATTCGAGATATTTGAGATTGTTGATTGATTAATAAAATCAGATCAAATATTTTTGTAAGTATTTTTAAATTCATGTTTCTAATTTAATTGACACTAATATCTAAAAAACTAAAAAGATTTTACATTATAGTTGAATGTAAGGATAAATAAAAACCATTAATTTACACTGCTTAGAAAGTTGACAATATTTATTTTTTAAGAGTTAATAAGTTTATATTATTTTTAATATTATTAAATGTATTAGTGATAGTTAATTTAATTGAAAATTTTACTTTTTATTAAAAATTCTCCATTAAACTCTTAGCTTTAATGTTAAAATGCAATATATATGATTGATAAAGTATCTCCTCACATATTTACATATGTTGATGTCTGATTAATAATTTATTATAACTAATTAATATTTTTGATATTAAAAAACATTGAGAAATTAGACTGTTGATTGATTAATAAAAGCAGATCAAATATTTTTGTAAGTATTTTTATAATAGATGTTTATAATTTAATTGACACTAATAACTAAAAAACTAAAAAGATTTTATATTATAGTTGAATGTAAGGATAAATAAAAATCATTAATTTACACTGCTTAGAAAGTTGACAATATTTATTTTTTAAGAGTTAATAAATTTATATTATCTTTAATATTATTAAATGTATTAGTGATAGTTAATATAATGAAAATTTTACTTATTATTAAAAATTCTCCATTACACTCTTAGCTTTAATGTTAAAATCTAATATAATGAATTGCATGATTGGTAAAATATCTTTTTATATGTTGATGTCTGATTAATAATTTATTATAATTAATTAATATGTTTGTATTAAATTGGTTTGTGGAATATATCAAAAATTCGTTTGGCTATTAATCAATTTTCTCTTAATAAGGTCTATTTTCCTAATTAATTAATTTATTGAAATTTTATTTTGTATTTTGTATTCCCACCACAGAAAATATAGTTTTTAGTGCAATCATTATAATTATCTTAAAAAAGAAATTTCAACTTTGTAGCTTATATTGCAAATAAATGTAGGGTTACATAGGTAGGGTTTATTTTTTTTGACCTAAAAAATGAAATTGTAAATACTAAATCAATTTAATTTTTGTATAGTTATTAGTTAGACCATTTCTTTATCGAACTAAAGATCAGACATTATTGATTATCCTTTTTGGAATTATTAAATAATTTGAAAATTAATATTACAAAACTGTGTACCTAAATGTTTCTAAATATATTGACTAATCATAACTTTGTATTAATTTTTTACACTTATAATTATTATATTTACATCATCTATTATGATTAAAAATTTAAATAATTTCTATCCACTAATTTTCCCTCAAAGATTTAAATTATTTTTTATAGTATTTAGATATTATAAAGCTTCTGCTATAATTATTTTTGCTTTTCATTTGTGTAGAAAAGTAAAAAAATTTTAATTTCCAAAATACTGAGTAGCATTTTTTAGATTTTAAAAAATTAATAGATAAACATAGATTTTTGTGTTATGAGAAGAATGAAGTATTTAAAATAAATAAAAAACAAATACTAATTTTAGTTTTTTTAATTAATATTTGCTTTGCTTTCCACATAAAAATATAAATAATCAATGGTTAATAAAATTCTATTGAATATAATCAAAATTTAATTCTTAAGGTAGGTAATTAATTGTTGATTGGGTTATAAATAAAAACACAATTCTTCAAAAAATAATAATAAATTTATTCTTAAATAATAAATTAGTAAAAAAAATAAAAAATGGACATTGACGAAGAATCAAACTTAAAATAATTTGAATAACGTGATGAACCTGAAAACTCTTATGAGAATGAACATACTTGTTATTAAGATTAAAATTATTCATTTTTTAGAGAACATTAATACAAATAAATATCAGACAACAATAACACCACTTCTTCAAGATAATATCATACTTATAATCCTAATCCTAACAAAAATAATTATTAAATTAATGACAAGTATAATACAGAGCCATTGAAGCAAAAAAATTATGAAAAAAATAATGATCATAGTATGGATATTGAATAAAGTGATGTTCCAGATTTTTTAGAAAAAAATAATAACGATCCCTTATAATTAAAATATCATTTTAAATCTACCATTTACGACATTGATTAAAAAATCAAAAATAATTTTGAATAATTTAATTAAAATTAAAATGATTAAGATAATTAATTATTAAATTTACATAATAAAGATTGTAGAGGTTATAAAGTAAATTTTTTAATAATTCCACTTAAAAGTGCAAAGGAATCGTAAGAAAATGATTAGAAATAGCTATTTGATAAATGGAAAGAAAAATTTATTAATAAATTTTAAAGATATTCATCTCTTTAGAAAAAAAGTATACTTAAATATCTTATTGATGAAATAGATGACGATTAAAAAATGAATTATATATTAAAAAAAATATTGAAATGAACAATAAATCATAAAATAAATCTATAACTCTTTTTATTCTTGCATTAATTTTTTTTACTTTTTTAATGTATTTTTAACTTACTTTATTAAAAAAATTCTAATATAAGAAATAAGAAATTAATTGGTTTTAAAATTTTATTTAATTTCTATTTTGGTTTTATATTTAAAATATTGTTTTTATTTACAAAAAATATACTAATTTACATGTGACCATAAATAAGAAAAAAACAGTAGCTAGTTTTGAACATATTATTTCTATCATATTTATAGCAACAAAAACTTTTTTTGTATACTCAATATTTATATTGATTAAGATTTTTTAATAATTAAAAATTCAAAAAAAAATAATTTACAAATTTTTTTTGCAAAATTCATTAATAAAAGTTTACAATTTAACTTTTATTAAATAAATTATTATTTTTTAATGTTATATTCAGAAAAAGCAGAGAAAATGAATGATTTTTGTATATAATTGATGCCTCCACCAATAAGTTAAAGGGTAGATTTTTCATTAGATACTGTAAAAAGCAAGTAAAATTCAATAAAATTTCTGAGAAAATGAAATATTTTAAATAGTCCTTTGTAAAATTAATTGAAAATAAGTATAATTGCTTTCTAATAAACGTTTAGATTGTTACATTTTAAATTATCTATGCAAAAATTAATTTTTCTAAATAAACACATCTTTCACATTTCATTTAATTAATTTTATTTTGAATACACTATATAAACTTAATAATGAAAGAGACCGAAAACCGAAGGTATAGTAAGTAGTTTTATGAATTTATTTTTTTAAAAAACACTTATTCCTTTAACTTAGTTTTCTTATTTTTAATTATTTATTTACATTAAAATATCTTCAAAACTAAATATAAAGAAAAGTGGAATTTAAACTTTTTACATAATAAAAATATTTTATAAATACATTAAAGTGTTTTGTTGAAATTTTAGTTTACTTATAATTTGTTTCTTATTAACTTCTCAAAAAAAAAAAAGCATTAACTTATTAATAAAGAGACATTAATTATTCCTTTAATTTTTATATTCTTCAAATTCTATTTCAGGAATGTTAATGTTTATTTTTAAAGTGTATTTAAACTTTTATTTATTTTGATAATCTAGATTAAAATGTACACATTTTTGATAGATAAGTTATAGCTTCTATTAAATATTAAATTTGTGAATCAAACATTTAAGATTATGCTTAAAAAATTTTATTTGATTGTATTTTGAAAACAATAATTTAATCCTTTCAAGAGGTATTAATGAACAAAATAACATTTTTAGTAATTTAAAAAATTTATGTATTAAATATTTAGTTTTTAAAATTTTTTAATAATTTGTTTACAGTTTTATAATATTCGTATTAAATTCTAATTTCAATAAAAAAAATGATACAAATAAATCCATATAATTTGCTGATAAAAAATCATACATGTTTTAATAATGAAGAAAAAATTCTTTAATTAACTTTACTTTATTATTTTTATTTGAATTTATCTATAAAAAATTTATTCATGTAATATTCTTATATTCCTTTAGATTTTTATATACAGAACTGCTTTTCAAAGTAGCTCAGCTGTGATTTCTATTCTAAATATTAAAAATACTAATAAGAATTATTAATTTATAATAATTTACTTTTAAATTGTTCAAAAGAGTTTAGATGATTGATATCTAGATTTAAAAAATCATCTGAGAAACCTATACATTAAATAGTAGCTAATTACTATGAGCTTAGCAGAATCATAACTGCTTTTTTCAAAAAAATAATATCTTTATAAATATCATAGATATTGAGAGTTTTGTTAACATCTTAGCAAATAGTGTTTTTCAGTTTTAAATCCATTCCTTAAGATTTGAAAAAGTTTTTTGAACCCCAAATTCTATTTGATATAATTAAATGAATGTATAAATATTTCTTTTTAAAAAATATGTTTTATTTTACTTACTAAATTTAGATAAATGATTCTTAATTTTTTCTTTAATATAATTATAGAAAATTAAATTGGACCTCTTAGAATTAGTTGTTTTCAAAATTTTTTTATTTTAATTTTCTATGGAAATTGTTTAATTTTTTAAATCATTATTAATTTCTATTTCATTTTTGACCAAATATTTTACTTATTTTTCACAATTTTTTTCCTAATTGCTTTATATTTAATCTTCTTATTAATTTTTAAGTTAATTTTTTAAAGTATTTTCAATTTTTTCAGATTTATTTTCACTAAAGGAAATATCATTTTACTATTTTAGATTATTATTTTCGCAATTAAAACTTGTTTCGGCCAATCTATTTATCACAAATATTTAACCATTTTTTTATGTTATCTCATCTTATTTAGCATTTATAATTTAATTTTTAGCTAACTAAGTTATATTGCTTGAAATGCCTTGATAATTAGTATCATTAATTAAAGTTTTGTTCAGGATATTACATTCAGTTTAACATCTTTGAGTAGCTAATTTATCTAAATTAAATTATTAATCAATCAATTAATTTTCTTCAATTATGTAATCTCTCTCAGTAAATAATTCATTTTATTATAATTGCAATTATTAATGCTTTTTGGATGAATTAAAGTTCTCATTATTAAATTTAGTTATTAATTATAATTATTTTTCAACCTAATCACTACTATTTGAGTTAGTATATTAACTATTTTCGATCTAACTCTTTGATTTGATTTCAAAACTAGGTACTAAAACTGAACATTGAGGTGATTTTTCTAAAATTTACTCTTCAAAATTATTATCTGTTTTCTAAATTTAGTTTAGAATGTTTACATTTTATTTTATTAATTTGTTTTTTAGAAGTATTTTTTCATATTATTTTTAATACATGTTTTAAAGCAACAGCATGAAGAAGTCTTACTTAATGATTTTTTAAGAGTAAAGTCTACCTATAATCCTTGAAGCAACTACTATAACAGCTGCTCCGTTTACAAGTGCCAAAATTTCAGTAATTGTAGGATAATCAATTTAGATTTATTGCACAACTTCATCTATTTTTATTAACTGTTAGCTATAAGGACCTAGACCTTATTTTAAAGAAAATTATCGATCATAGCTTTAAAAGTTCTGATTATATTAAATAGGAGAACTATATTTTTCTTAGCTCTATATAAATAACCCTTTGTTCACTGTTGTTTCTTATAATTATGTGTTAAGGGTTTAAACTACAAATTAATTAGAGTAGTAGTTAGAAAACAAATTCCTATAGTTTGTTTAAATTTCTTGAGAACTTGTATTATATTACTAAGTTTTCATTTTTAAGTAGTAATACGCACCCACATTATTAAATGCATTATCTATTATAGTTTAATTTTTTTCGCAATTCTAAGGAATAGTTGTTTTTCTTTTATCTAAATCTAAGCAGCTGTACATATGAATTAACAACTTGGTTTAAATACGGTTATTATTGCTGTTATCAAGTATTAAAGTATAGTTTCTTACTTTAGAAAAATCAAGGCAATTAAACCCTAATAATTAAGGATCTGTACATTTGATAACATCAAGTTGTATTGATTTGAAAATATTATTTTAAGTATCTGAATATGTAAAAAGAGGAAGATAAACAAAATATGTTTTATTCATGTGTTCTTAGTATTCATCTATTGTCATAGATTAATTATAATAATACTAAAAACCTACAAGATCTTCAGTTAATAGTGCTTCTTTCTTATAACTAGTTATGAAACTTTGAGATTTAAACTTAGGATTTATAAGGTTATTTGCATACATAAACATTAAGTATCCAATATAAATAAGCAAAGTACAACTAGCTATTACTGATAATATTAATCCCAAATAAGTACCTCTTCTGGATGATTAAGTTCCAATGTTAAAGAAAAATTCAGAGCTAAACAAATCGTATTTGAGAAAGTACATTGATGTAAATTTTGTTGTGTTTTATTTTATTTTTCTAATTTCTCTTTTTTTATTGAGTTTTTATTATTTTATTTCAAATTAAATTATTACTTATTTGATCTTTCAATTTTTCGCTTTATAAATTTAAAGCAATGTTGACTAATAAATTAATGATAAATTTTATAAATTACATATTATAATGTTCGCTCAAATTATTAAAAAAACTGATGGTAAATTAAGCATTTTTTAATTTTTATAATAGTTATTGACATAATTGTTTAAGAAAGTAAACTCAAAAATAAATTAATAATCTTTTTTCTAAATAAGCCCCCAAAAATTTTTTGACTTTTAGAAACTAGCTTACTTGGATAAGTTAATAATTTAGAAATAAAAATACTACAGATATTTTAAATAAAGTAACTTTCAAAAGTATATTAGCTTTATATTGTAAATAGATTGCAAAATTTCAAGTTATATCTCAAAATAATGACTGTAATACCTCCTAAATTCACAAATACTATTTATATCTTATTCATTCTTCATTTTGTTATTAAAAATTTTATTATAATTTTTTTAAAATTTCATTTTATCATATGAAACAAATAGTATATACTAATATTTCAACTACATATTGATTTTCTACTAAATAAATAATTTTCTGCAAATAGCAATATAAAAATTAACAATTTTTATTTATTCAATTAAAATAAATTGGATGTATTTTTAAACTTTTACATTTTCATATTTACAGATATTTATCGAGTTATTTTATAAATACAATGTATCAATAGGAAAAAAATTTTTATAAATAATATATTCCTGTAATCATTTTAAATACAATTTTTTATTTGTTTTAAAATATAAGTAATTTTAGTTAAACTTCTATATATAAAATTCACTGTTTCTTCTAAAGTTTTAAAAATACATAAGAACTGTCAGTAGAAAGATCTCTATTGGGTTTATTTTCTACTAATATGATGCTTTCATTTTAAAATTGAGTTTGTTAATTTTAGAAGATACGTTAAATACTATTTTGCCTTGATTATTATAATTTTGAATTACTAGATCTTTTGGTACTTTTTGGCATTTGTATAGAATCAAAGCTATTCTGCTTAAAGGTTTTTCTGATATTCTTAGGATATTAATTATAGATAATACTGTTATTGGTTATTTCTTTTAAGTTTGATTAAATAGTTTCTTTTCTACTTCTTTCTTTTTAGGCTAAATGATTTAGATCTTATCCTATGTTAAGAACTTAGGCTTACTTTTTTCCTTTGTATTTTGCTCTTTCTACAATCATTCCTAATTCCCTTTTGCTAAATTGAAATAACTCTTCATCTTCGTCATCTAATTCAAAATTTTAGTCATCTTCTTAATCTTCTAATTTAAATTAATTTAAATCTTATTTTTATTTATCAGAAATTAAACTAATATGGTAATTTTCATTGTCATCATCATTATCAATAAATTCCATACTTTAGTGAATTTATAAGTTTTGATAAGAAGGCTATCCAGAAGATAGCAGTGAATTTTATTTTTATGCATTTCTTTTTACGGAACAAGTATTTGATTTATATTTAATGTAATTTTAGTGATAGTTATTATATTGCTTATCATAAATCATGTTGTTTGTTTGCTAAATACTATTAGCTTATGAGTCTTTTTATTCATCAAAGTTGATTTCGGATAGATGTTTAACAAAATGAAACTTCATATCTATTCTATTGTGAGTACGAGGCAAACTTTATATGTGAGCATTACTTTTATTTTAAATGGTAAAATCATCTAAGTTTGATCCTATATTTGTAGAATTATCTAAAGTAAAAGGATTGCTTTTATCTTTGTTTATTGAAGGGAGAATCTTGAATTACTTTTAATTTTAATTTGGTATCTATTAATTAACCTAAGAAATAAATATCTAATCACCAAAAAGATCAATTTAGCTCTATGGATGTAACTTATTTTCAGTTTAAGGTGAAGGAGACAAACTTTATTTTCTACTTCTTATTTCTTATATTTTTTGTTTAGACAGAAGCTTAGAAGTGGGAGATATGCCAATATGATCAACGTTAAAGTGTTTTTATTGGAGAATTTGATTTAATTTATCACATTTCTCTTCAATATCTATAGATTTTTCTTTTCTAACGCTTTCAAAGTTTTTGAGTAACTTGCTTCTATCGTTTTCATACTTAAGATTTCCAATCATTTTTGTCATATCTATTTAAGAAAAGTTATTTACATGTGAATTGTTTACTTCTAAGCAACTATTATTGAGTTAATTATGTTTAAAGTTTTTATTTCTATTTCTGGGATTATTAATAGGAGTACAAGCAGTAGATAGAATTTTTTAAGCATTTATATTAAATTATTGGTAGTCTTTTGTTTATATATTCATTTTATTTTATTTAATACTCGGTAATACTTCATTATCAAATTATTTTTAGTAATTTGAATCAGCAGACACAAATCTAGTTCTTTTCTTTTGTGAATTGTCTTTATTTTACTAACAGTCAAACTGCTTTTTCCATGATCCTTAGTTCAGCTTAAAAATCTATTGATTAATCGTTTTTGACATGAGCATTGTGTAGAATTCATTCTTATTTAGTTTGCGATTACCATCTCTGTCAATTAAATGTAAAATATTATTAAAAGAGTTGCGATCCATAAAGTTTTATTTTCCTAGTTTCTTCATTACATGATAAAAAGCTTCTAAATTGATTGACTGATCTTGATTATTTGAACTATCCTAATTCATTTCAAATTTGTAAATATCTGGTGAATTTTAAATCACTGTATCGAATAGCTCCTCTAACTATTTTTTATCATAAAGCTACTCAGCCTTCCACAAATAATTTATATTAGCTCTAACTCTATACCTTTTTCGCAGCCAATTTTAATATTCTTTTTTCATGAGTAAGCTTTTATTTTGATTAAATTAGTCGTTTTTAGAGTAGAATTCTTTAATATCATTCTAACTTGCATTTTAGACCAAAGATTGATCATTTTTAGAAGGAGATTTAGAGCTAATTTGTTAAGTTTAGTCTGATTAATTTCTAAATTTCATATTGTATATTAAATATCAATTTCTTTAAAATTATTATTATGTTTATTAGTTGTAAATTGATTAAATAATTTTCTAAACCATAAAATAATGTATTATGATTGCCAGTAAAAGCGCAATATCATAATCAATTATAATTACTAATTTACCACGAATTAATAAAACTAATAAATTAAAGATTTTAAAAACAAAAATTACAACCATGTATTTATTTATTTTTTTAACATTATTTGATCTGTGATGATCAATTCTAAACATTATTTTTATACATATTAAGCATCAAAAACATCTTTTAAATTTTTGAAGAGAAATTTTAATAGCAATCAACGAAAATGTATGTAAAACAATCACTTTAACAATGTGTTAGTTACCATTTCAAACTATGTTTTTTAATTAATATTTTCTTTTTGATTCTTATTTTTGCATTATTATTTGTAATAAACTTCCTTTGTACCTTATTAATCATAAGCTAAATATGATTAATGAGAAAATATAGCCAAAACCACCAATATTATTGTAATTAGAGCTAAGATATAGATAGAAAAAGTAAATTAATGAAATAAAATATGTAATTAAAAAGTTAATTTACTCATTTTAGATTAATTGTTTTTAAGTATTTATTTTTGATAAGTAAGATAATCTGGTTAAGGAACTATTGCTAGGATAGTTATAAAAAGAATCAGGCTAATTTAAACTCCAGAAATAATGACCTTAACTATAATATTAATCTAAGAAATTATACTAAATTAATGATTTAATTAAAAATTAATATATTGATTTACATTTCTCCATTTGATGTTAATGATTTCATCAATAATAAATATTCCAGTGATCTCTAATCCATAATAAAATAAATTCTAGTCCATTTCATTTAGTAATATAAATAGTTGGATAACTAAAATAATATTTAAAAATTTGCAAAACTTTCCTCCAAGCGGGATATATACATATTTTTTTATCCATAAGTAATAACTCCTTTCATAGTTTCTAAAAATATCTTTTATGTCTTAAAAATTAATTATAATTTTGCCTACATTATCAATAGGATAAATATCGTTAGAAATACTCCAATAATAGCACAATTTCCAATAAAACACCTAAATTGCCCTTTATTTTACAAAAGAAAATTTTTAAATTGCTTTAGAAGTTAAATTTGTGTTTGTTTACCATTTCCAAATAACATAAGAAATAAGTGTCACAATTGTAGAGGCTGGAAGTTATTTTCTAATCCAAATATATTCATTTTAGGTATGAGATAATAATGCAGATGGAAAGAATATGACACTTAATGCCAATACGAAGATATACATCAGTGAGATTTTAATAAAATACAAAATATGTTTATTAAAAAATTATTTTGAGTTATGAACTATTTATTGCTCTTTAAAATTCTAAATATTTCTATATTGATTTTATTCATTACTATTTACAATTTCTTTTTCAAAAATTTGTTCTTCATTTTAGTGCTAGTATAAGTAATCGTTAAATGTAATAATAGGTCCTCTAAAAAATAGCGGTGGATAATAGATATAAGACAAATAATTTAAAAAACAATATTGTTATTGTTAATGAGGACAGTCTACTCTTTATGCATAGCATTTCATAACACTAGTGCAATCAAAGCATTTTTCAAAGTGATTAGATTCATTTACATTAACTGTAATTTGAGAATTGTGGTAATCTATACTGAAGCTCAGACATCTTAATATCAAATAAATTAACACTACATTCCAAAAATACGGAGATGAGCCATCTAAGTTTTTCTATTTAAAAATTAAAAAATAAGTTAAACTATTTAAAATATATTGATTGCTTAATATATTCATTACTATTCCTTCACTGATATAATTGATTTCAAATCCATTAAAAATAAAGGCAAGATTCAAAAATCCTAAATTTAAAACCCAACTATTTTTAAAATGTTGTTAATTTATTTAAAGAGATGTAAAAAGTTTATTTATTTTAGTACATAAAAATAGGAAAATATTTCTTAGAAGCAAGAGTCTTTGTCAGAGCATAGTTTGCAGTTATAAATAATAAAGAGTAAATAGATTTAAGTCTAAACAAAAGAAACGATAAGGCTAAGCCTACAATGATATAGAAAAAAGATAGAGCTTTTTGCCTTTAGTCATGGTCAACAAAGTAAGGCTTAATAATTTTTTGAGTAATTGCTGTGATTTATAAGGAAATATAAGTTACTTGAAGAGTTTTACAAATAATATAAGTTAATTTAATGAAGAATTACTTAAAAACACCAAGGGAACTAGTAGGTAATATAAATGCAAGTGTATGTTTCTCCATTCAAGATATGATATATCCTTTTATTAATTCATAGATTTTAATTAAAAATCAAGTAAGCAGTAATAAAAGTATTTATTTATTTAACACTTTTTTCTATAAAACAATCTTTTTCCAACAAAGCAAATATTCTTATTAAAATGAAATTACTTCTGAATAAGTCAGGGAATTGATTCGCTGCAATCCTCTTATTTCATTCGTGGACCATAATTCTATTAAAATTTAAATTGATTGTAGTTTTTTCACAAAATCAACAAACTTTACTAAAAACAAAATCGATATTGATTCCAACCAATGCTATCATTATTGAAACCGAAATAAATAAAAAAATATATTTAATGTTATGTTTCAAGCCATTGCAACTTTTATTGTTTTTATTATTTTGAATCTAGTTTTGAGCATTATCATCTTCATCTCCTTAAGGACTTGCATTTTTTTGCATTTATACTTTCTTATTTATTTTGTTATATCTCTTCAAAATCTATCAAGTTTTATGTTGATTATTAATTATTTTTTGTATTTATTTATATATTGATTTTCTAACTTTATTTAAAAAACTAAACTAACATTTACTTTTAATCTTTTCGTTTTCAAAAATCAATCAACTAACTAATTAGCCATATAGATTTAGTAGATAGAATTAAATAAATGTCCTAGTTTCAACAAAACAAAATATAAAATAATACACTACTATACTAAAATAGCATTTAACGATTATTGTAAAACTATTAATAAATATTTATTTGAATCTCCAATTAATGGAATATCTAATTGTTTTTTATATCTTTTAACAAAAAATTATCATACTCGTTACTTATAAATATATAACTTTATATAAACACATTTAATATATTTTTATTATAAAAGAGTGAAATTAGTAGATTTTTATTATTATTTCTCTTATTATCACAGGTTAAATATTTCTACGCAATTAAGACTTGTGAAGAAATTGTCATTTACATTTTAGCGGAGGGCAGCTCTTCTAGATGGAGAAGGACTCTCGAACACAAATTAATCCATTTAAACTTTTTTATTTTTATCAAAAAGTGAAATATCTGCTACATTCTTCACAAAATGGTGCTTTTTCAAAATATTTCTGCTATTAAATGCTGTAGAATTGTTTACAGAAGGACTTGTAGGCACTTCCTTAAATTTATCATCTAATTCTTTTATTTATTCAGTTTAATCAAGTGCTATATTTCCATCAATTTTTTTAACACTTTAATTCTCTTTGTGATTCGGAGAGGAAAATATTTAAGAGCTTTTACCTAACACTTAAAATGAAAAATCTTTTTCTAATTCTAAATGAAGAGTACTACTGTTTTATTAACTAAATCTTTTGTATAGAAGATTCACATTATTTGGTGAAGCTTGAGTTTAATTTGTTGACTAAATTTATTTCTTAGGAGATCTACTTTGAGAACCAGCAGTCCTTGGACGGGAAACTGAGCGAAAGCTCTTACTTAAATCAAGAAGCTATTTTTATTCTTTAAAATCACCAGTGTAAAATGATAAATTTGTAGACCTCATTTAATCTCTTACAGGAGTTTCGTTTCTTGAATTGGTGACAATAAAACTCTTGCTCATTTTATCTCCTTAAACGAAACTAAGTATCTACTTTTCATTTGAATACAAATCTGAGTAAGGTAATTTCTTATTAGCCTTACTTGATGATGCAGGTCTGTTATTAAAATTATTTTTCAGAATTCTTTATTTTCCAGGAGTGATAGCTATAGATTTTCGCTAAATAAGGCTTTAATTAATGCAATTTTATTGAGTTTATACGAGCTTTGCATTGGTAAAAATAGTTTTTGGACGAAGATTTTTAATGACCAAACCTTTCTATAAATCTTCGATTCTTTTTTTTTCATCAACGATAAGATTTGTTTAATTTTTATTTTGTTATAGTAAATTGCTGAAAGCTGATTTAAAAATTTATCTCTTTTTGGGGCTGCTTTAAGTGTTTTAGCCTTAAATTAAAATTTGATCATATAATTCATCTTCTTCTATATTTTAAATATTTGCCAAAGACTGCTTCTTCTGTTTCTCAGAGTTTTTTTATGAATCGAACTCTATGTTTTATATATTTTTTATAGGTTACCAAGCGCTAATCGACTATTTATGACTATTCATACAATTTTTATCATTTGATTTATCTTATTTAGTTTATTTTATTAATTTATAAGGGCTATAATCGAAATGATTTTAAGCAATAGGGCCACTATTTTCATAACATTCTAAGCTCTTTTTTCTAAAAGGAGTGTTTGGGTTAGTCTTATAAAATGATCTAACAAATGTGTGGCTAATATTTAATTATCCACAAGCATTATTATCTATTGCATGTTATGTGTGATTTGTAGATAATGGACTTTGCATACTAGTTTGAGTTGTAACATAGCTATTTCTTTCGCTTTACTTTGTTAAAATAACCCTATTTTTTTAAGAAGCATGTCTCTCTTTATTCTTCATAAATTTTTTTGGTAAAATATTCATGTACGATTCATCATCATAGCTTTATAATTCGTAATCGCTCATATTGCTTTTACCTTACTCTTTATTATGATTCTATACGATTAGATTAAACAATACTAAACTTTCAAAATAATAGTTTTTACAAAACTTAATACTTATTTTAATTAACAGGTGCTATGATAAATAATATTTTGAATGAATGGATTTCCTTCTTTTAACAAATTTATGAGAAATTATCGCTTCTTTACTATTAAAAGTGAGAATACTAAAAAAGTTAATTTTATGATTGAAGCAACTATGAAACCAAACAAACAAACATTTCAAACCCTAATATTTTTGATGAAATCTTTAATAAAATATTCATTCATTAATTCAAGACCACATTTAATTTAAACAATAAAAAAAATTTATATAGAATTGTAATAAATTTTATACAAGTTTTATAATCCTAATTATTTAGACTAATTTGTGTATTAATTTAATTCGATTTTTAATTTATTAAAGTATTTAAAATTTATTCTATATAAAAAAATAGTATTTTTTCCTTCTAAAAAGCATACAGTAATTTAAACGAATTACAAATAAAATTTATTGTAAAATTATTAATGATAAAGGTAGATAAATTAAAGTAAAGTAAAGCATTAAATTTTTTTTAATTTAGTTTATCCACAAATTAATTTTTTCATAAAGATTATGAGGAAACCACTTATTTCTTTTTTATCAAATTTCATTTTTAAAAATATTTTTTAAATCATTTTTAATAAAATGAGTAAATTAATTAAGTGATATTTCTTTTAATTTTTTTGTGATTAAAAAGAAAATAAATGAATAATTTTTTTGATAATTGGAAATATAAATTTAATTTTATTCATGTTGGTTTATCATAAATGCAATTAATAAAACCATTTTTAATTTAAATATTATTTATTTTTATTCTAAAAAATGCTTCCGTTAGGTATATTATCAGATTAAAAAATAATTTTAATTGCTAAAAGAAATATTTAGATTAAAAAAATATATAAATTATGAATTTAGTAACATTAAAATATTAGAATATAATTCATTTTCTTAATTTACTTATGATATACAATTTATTTAAATCCATACAATTTGTATTAAAAACCATAATTCTATTATTAAAAATATTTGATTAGTTTTAAAGAATTTAAATTTAATAAATTATTTGACAAAAATTTTGATTTTATTTAATGTAAAATAACTTACAGAAAAGGTTAGTCGTTTATCTCAAGGTCATTAGATAAATTTATATCATATTAATTATTTTTTGCATATATCTTTAGTCATTAAGAATGTCTTAATTCCTAAATTATATTTGCGAATATTTATATTTTAGAAAACAAATAGAAAAAATAAGGAAAGATTTTGTTGTATAAGAATAAAGAATCTGAAAATCAAATATCATTAATTTATTATTTTAAATATAATATTAATATAAACATAAATTTAGGATATAAAAAAAATAAATTAAAAGCTATAATTAACTATGAACGGTTTATCTTCAAATTCTGGTCCTAGAGAAGTCATTTGTGCTCTCTTGAGAAACTTTTATACTTAAGGATGGTGCGCTGGTTCAGGTGGTGGTATATCTATTAGAAAAAGCGACGATGAAATATATGTTGCACCTTCAGGTGTATAAAAAGAATTGGTTTAACCTGAAGATATCTATGTTATTAATGTTAATGGAGATGTAGTTGAAAACCCTAAAAATCCAAAATTAAAACCTTCTGAATGCACTCCTCTTTTTAATGCAGCTTATAAGCTTCGTCGTGCTGGTGCTGTTTTACATTCTCATGCTCTTCCTGCAATGCTAGTTACCAAGCTCTTTGGAACTGAATTTTAGACAATTGATCATGAAATGATTAAAGGTATTCCTAATCACCATAATACAGAATGGTGTGTCGTCCCTATCATTGAAAACACTGAAAAGGAATGCGAATTAACAGAACGTTTAACTAATGCAATCAACGCTTATCCTCGTTCTAATGCTGTCTTAGTTCGTAATCACGGTGTTTATATTTGGGGAGAAAATTGGGAAAAAGCAAAAATACATGCTGAGTGTTACCATTATTTATTCGAAGCAGTTGTTGAAATGAAGAAATTAGGTTTAGAAATTCCACGCACTGTTTCAAGCAGTAGCCAATTACGTGCTTGGTATATTGATGAAAATGCAATTGGCCAAGATGGTGATATTCGTGAGAGCTTACACTATCGCTCATATAAGTGGGTTAATCCAGAATATTTGGCAACAATTGGTGTTGAACACTGGAAATTAGACGGAGAAGAGAATAATACTGAACTTGAAAGAGTTTGCAAATAAAGAAATTACTCTTCTCGTGATTAAATTAAATGTGGAAATCATTGTGAAAATTACTAACAAATGTTATCAAATTTCAGAAAAGAACACATCCATTTAGATGAAGAGATTCGCTATATTATAGGTGGTAGTGGTTATTTTGATGTCCGTGACCATGAAGATAAATGGATTCGTATCCAAAGTGTTAAAGGTGATTTAATTGTACTTCCTGAAGGTATATATCACCGCTTTACAACTGATAAAAATGATGGAGTTCATGCTATGAGATTATTTAAGGATGAACCTAAATGGACACCTTATAATCGTCCTTGTGATGAATTGGAAAGCCGTAACAAATATGTAGATTAATTCTTAAAAAAGTTTTAAAAATGATATCTTGACTAGTTTATATATCAAATCTTATATGTTAATATGAATTCAATAGTTGAAAATTTCAATTTATACCAAAAAAATAATTTTTAATTATCCATTCAAATAAATTAGTTTTAAAATTATAAATATTTTATCAGTCTAACTAATAAAAAAACAAGTACAAATTAATTATTCATCTAAAAGAATTAATAAATTTTTATGTTTTTTTGAAATAATTTACTATTAAGTTAATTTAATAAAGATTCTAAATTATTTTCAACTTTAAATTAAATAATAAATCAGGTATTTAATATTTGCACTTAAATATATTAAATTAATACATCTCATTTATTATTAGCTTTTACAGCTTAAATATTAAACCAAATTTAAAATAAATTTGTTTATGTCAAATAAATAAAGTTTATTTGAATACATTTTTTTATTTTGTTTAAAAATAAATGGATAGATATAGCTTTACTGAGAAGAACAAAGCTATTAAAACATAAAATAGAGGCTAATTATGTAATTATAAATAATTAATAACATAATAGATATATTTGATACAGTTAAATCAATAATAAACACTAATTAAATTAATATGGTCAAAAATTTACATAATTGTTATTAAGTATTTTAGTTATTTATTTTATAAAAATAATTTATTTTTATCATTTTAATGGCTAGTTTATTTTTTAAATTAAAAAAAAGCAAATTAAATTAATTGTTTTTAAAGTTTGAAATTCATTTTTAAGATTCTTAAGGTTTATTTACCTATTCTCCCTTTTTCTTTTCAATAGGCTTTTCTATTGTTTGAATTTTTAACTTTAATGGTTTTAATTCATCAGCTAATTAATAAAAATAATTTAGAAGCATATAGATCTAAAATATTTTACGGTTAACAGCCCATGTGAAGTTTGATTTACATTTTGAAGAGTAGCTATTTATGTCATCAATATGATTTTATGTTTTTTCAAACTTTAGAATACCTAAACCATTGAATTTTTTCACACCAGTTATATCCATCATCCTTTTCCTATTTTTTATATTAAGTACTTATCCAGCCAGAATTATAAAAACTAAAGTTTAATTCAATTAATCAGAAATATTTTCTTAAATTTTTATAATCAAATTTATGACTTAATTTAATATGAATGGGAAGGATTTTATTTAAAATCACTATTTCAATTTGCTATTTGATAAAGCATCTTAAAAATTTATTTTTGGTTTTATGTTGTATTTATATAAAATCTTACCTTTGAGATTTTTATAATAAAATGAGTTTGACATTCTTTCTATTACATAACTATAAAACTTCTTCTAAAATATCATGGGATCTAAGTTTTTTATTTAGTTTTATTTATTTATGCTATCCAGACAATAAAAGTAAATAATTTTTTACTCACGCTCATATATTAATACGACTGATTCAAAACTATCAGGATTATTTCTCAATTTTCTTGCTATACTTTTTAACCCAATTAGAATATGACTCATGTTTAAAGGTTAAACTTTATGCTTTACTTCGCTTTTTTTAGGATCTTTTGACCCCAAATCAAGATAATCACTTAATTAATAAAATCCTCTACATTCCTTAATATAATCGTTAAAGCTATTCATAAATTTAGCACTATCTCCTTCACTTAGTATTTCCCTATTTTATTAAATTTTATAAAATATCCTCAATCTTCAAATTTTACTTACAGAGAAAAGTCTAATGGCTAAAAAAATGAAGTCTTTGTAACAATTTTAGTATTTTTCTAGTTCTATCCGCCTTTTTAATTCTATTTTTAATTATTGTTATTGCTGTTGTTGTTATTCCCATTCTAGGGATTGTTATTTTTAGTTTTATTTTAAGGCTACAAAGTTCTCATTAATCTAAATATATATTTACTTTCGTGCGAAATTATTTAATAAGACTATTTACTTTTTTATAAGTAGATTTTATTTATGACTTTTAAGCACTCTCATTTATATCTAAGATATATTCTACTTAATTCTTAAAATAGCCACAATACTTTTAAATAAAATAAACATATCTTAGAAAAATATTAATATGATTAAATTTTATTCAAAATAACACACTTTAATAAAATAAAATTCTAATTTAAATACTTATTTTAAGGAATTATTTTTAATTTATTTAATTATTTAAAATTGTTTATATAATAAATAACTATTTTTCAAAGATTTTTAATTCCATTTAATAAATGTAAACTTGAAACTATTGATTCTAGATTTAACTCTTTATTTCAAATTATAAATATTATTTTTTTACTTTGAGTGATACACATCATATCAGACTATCTATGATTTATTTTTTGCATTTAATTTAGTGTTTTCCCACCAATTAGGAAAAATGATCAACTTCTCTTTAATTTCAAAATGAATATTGGGTGAAACCTATAAAAATTCACTTAACATCAGAGTGATATAAATATTGTATGTTTTTTTGCGACTTATAAAAAATTATAATAATTAAATCAAAAAAAAAAATCAAAAAAAAAAAAAAATGAACGCAAACGTTATTAAGGCATTCGTCGAATACTGTGGTGGCTGAGGTTACAAGCCCCAATACAACATGGTCTCTTAGAAAGTAAAGGAACTTTACCCTAACGCCCAAGTTGAAGGAAAGGCTATTCCTGGTGGTTCAGGAGCTATGGAGGTTACAGTTACCGTAGGTGAAAAATCCTAAAAAATATGGTCTAAGCTAGGTGGCGATTCTAGAATAGACTAAAACGCTTTGGCTGAATTAACCAAAAGACTCTAATAGTTTGTCGACTCCTCTTGACAGACTTGTCATATTCTAAGAAAATGAGTTATTATCTCCTCTTGAAGCACGAAAATGAACTAGAAAAATCGTCTAAAACTTATTCTCTATGAAGGAAGATCTCTAAACTGAGAAGTGAGGTTTTCTGGAAATGATTTAAGAATGTTTTAGATTGATTGAGTATAAGACATATCATGCTTTATGAGTTATTCTTAGAATACTAAAATTGAATAATACCAATATTAATAGAAATAGCACAATAATAAAATAATAGCTGCAATGAATTAAAAAAATCTTCATATTTTATTATATATAATACTTGTTTTGTATAGTTTCTTTTAATATTGAATTTTCAAATATAAAATACAAGGATTTTTTGATTTGATTTGGTGAATTTCCTATTTTATTGTCTAACAAGTGTACTCAATTTTTAATAGAAAAAACTTTGGTTATAAATCAAATATTTTTTATATTTTCTTTTATTTTACACAAATTTCATCAACACTGTGCACGATAACAAAAAAATATTAGTTAAATGTAAAAAAATAACTAATTTGTTAAGAATAATGCCAACAATATAAACAATAAAATAAATGTAATTAAATTAAAAAAAACTCATTTAATTATTTACATTTATATATTTTCCACGTTTTAAAAGAATTCCTAAACATAAAAATTAAAATATTTTTTTAATTAGCTTATTTATTTAACTAATTTTTTTAAAATTAGTAAGTTTTTATTTATTTAGGATTAATAAAAGATAGAAAAGAAATAGTGAAGTTAATAAATATTTATAACAATTATATAAAAAAGAATATGCGAAGACATTAAACTATACTTTAAAAATAATTAATTTTAACAATAAATTTATAGATATATTTATGAAATATTTGATAAAAAGTTATCGTTAACAAAAATTAATTTAATCTTAAATTATACTTTACATAATTTATATAAAATTATTGCAGACAACAGATATATATTATAAAAATTTTAATTGAGTGATAATTAATTAAAACAGAATTTTTCAACACACACATTCATTCATTATTATTGTTTAGTGTAAAATGATAAATAATTAGAATTAGTTTTAAATTGAACCAACTGTTCATCATCCAAATGGAGAATATTAAAATTATAAAAGATTAGATCCTCACCTAAAGAGTGATACCTCTAGTCCTTTTCAAGCTTCTACACCCAGAATTTAATATAGCAATAGAGACGATTCTCCTGTGATAAAATTTTTTAATTCAAAATAAGTAATTCCAAACAGCAATCTTCAAATAGCTTCATAATAATAATACCCTTCTTATAATCAGTAGCATGAAGATTTTAATGGTTCTTACAATTAAGTCTATTATTAGCAAACTCCAGTTTAATAAAATATAAATTAGGTCAATAAAAATCCATTAGGTAAAATTTAATTGCTTAAAGTCAGTGATTAATACGCACAACAACAAGTCCATAATAATTTAAGCTAAAGTAATCCTTAATAGAAAGAACAACTAAGCATGAATGAAGTAGAAAAAATAAACAATGTAATAAAAGGCGATGAACTTTCTCCATTAAATATGAATGCATTATAAGAAAGACCAGATAAAAATCAAAAAAGAGAACGCAATCATTCCTTGCCCTTATAGTTAGCACAATACATGAAACCAAGTATTTTGCTTGAAAAAATAACCAATACATTCAAAAACAAAAGTCCTCAGAGTGCTTTATAAAATAAGGAATAAGATATTTAAAACAATTACTTTAATCATACTATGCCATAAGCAGGTGTTTAAAAGATTCCTTTTGATGAATAAAGCTAGCTCTCTGCTAGATAGAATAAAATTAATCCTTAAATATTTTCTCCAAAAGTAAGGATTTTGTAAAGAGAGATGCCTTTACAAGAACAAGTAAATAATTACTAATAAACAGAACCTAGACAAACTCGTTACTCAGCTAGCTATTTATAGAATAATGTTATGAACAGTGCATCTCCTAATTCTAAAGTGTATATTAGAACTGATATTTCTCCTTAACAGTAATAAGTTTAATCAAGTAGATAATACATATAGTAACCTTAGTATATTCTTAGATCTACACTACCGTTAAATGCATCAGCAGATTATAGCCTTTCTAATTAAACTAATATGTAAAACTAGTCAGGATTTATAACAGATAGAAATAATTCTATTTCTTCTTAAGATTTATCAAGATAAATGGTTTATACTCCTCATCATAAACCTATATTCTAATAACCTTTTCCTATCCAAAGAATTTAATAATAAAGATAATCAGTACAGTATGCACCATAGTATCGTTAGAGTATTTCTCATATTGGAGAAGTTCATGGAAATGAATTTAGTGCAGTAAATAGAAGCTTAAATTAATTACCAAATTAAAACAACATCAACAGCTAAGGGAGAAATATAAAAATAATTCAAAATGGCATTCCAAACTAAATAAATTAGCCCTACAATTTTCTGTAAAGTTCTTAACCTCAATAAATTTAAATATATCAAAATCAGCAGAATCATCATGGTTTTCCTTAAAAAATGTAAATTATCGTTAGATTAGCATGAAAGATTATTATTTAATTTTTAAATTAAATAGGTTTAGCTAACATTCTTCATTTAGATAGTATGATGCACCTGAAAATAGTCAACTCAGTAAATCACTAATAACATCTAACATTTTTATTTAAATATTTTATTTATTAAAGTAGTAGAAAATTAGAAAAAGATAGAATAAAATCTAAATAAAGCTATTAATTAAAGGTATTAATAAAACTAATAAGACTAAGCAGGTCATATAAGCAACTAAACCAATTTAAGCAACGAAAAATAAGTACCTATTTCTAAAAATAATAATATAAATTAAGCATCTCCTAATGCTTGGAATAATAACCAAGCATAGCACCAAAGTATCAGAAATTAGAATTTAAGAGCAAGCGGGTAATTTTCATTTTTAGATAACCACAACTCCAAGGATAGTGATAGGTCTTATCAAAAAGAAGTATAAAGTATAGATAGCAAAGAAAACGAACTTAATTAAGCTATCTCTGCTATACAAAAACTGACAAATGAAAAATATCAATTAATAAATTAAGTTGAGCAACTTACTAATGAACTAAGTGAATAAGCATAATTGTAATTAAAATACTAACAATAAATTAACTAATTATAATCTGAAATTGATTAAAGCAAAACTTAAATATAAGAATAAATTCATAATTTAAAGATGGAATTAGAAAATGAGAAATTGCTAAGATAGAATGAAGCTGTTATTTACAATTAAAAAATAAATAACGAATAACAAATTATAATTAATTTACAATAAAAGAACGAAGAACTACAAAAAACTCTTGCATAGAGAAGCACTAACATTTAAAAATCTATTTATGAACTTGAATAAATAGGGAAAATTTTAAATGATAATGAAGCATGGTAAAAGATTTATCAATTTTAGAAGGAGAGTGAAGCTGGTAGCTCAAAAGATTAATCAACATTTTTAGATAAAATAAAAGAAAGTAACTTGATTGAGGAAGAAATGAATAAGTTACTTGATGAAAGAACTATTTTAATGTAAGAAATCACAAATTAAAATGACTTTTTAAAAGGAAAACTCTTAGAATTTAAAAAATAAGGATACAGCTCTGGCTCCTAGAACCAAAAAGAAATGTCTTAAGTATAAATTTTAGAGCAGCAATTATAGATCTCAGAGATCTAAAAGAAAGAATTAGCTTAAGAATAAGACTTGATGGCAAATTTATATGAGTGTTAAATTGCCTAACTTAAAGCCTAACTGCAAAATAAAAATGAAATTATTTAGGTGAAATATCAAGAAAATAAATTCTTCTTAAATTAGATTTAAGATCTTGAAAATAGCATTAAAAAATCTCCTTACAGAAAAGAAGATAAAGCCCCTATTGGCCATGTTGCTCCTTTTTGTTAAGTACCTGAGAAATAACTAAAAAAATTAAATTAGTAATATTAACTTATCAAAAAATTATTTTACTAAAATTTTTAATTTTAAAAGAAAACCTGAGAGTAACTTCCAATAAGTATAAAACAAAAAAGAAGAAGATAATTTATTAATTAAAAAGAACAATGAAGAAGAGCACCTTGATGAATCTGAAGAAACAAGCAATGTAAAATAATCAAACATGATAGATAGAGTAAATGCCTAGAAATAAGATAGTAGTAACCAATTAACAGAATAGTAAATAAGACTAAATTCTGTTGAAGAAGATCTAGTTAAATAGAAGTTATTTGCTGATTAGAATTCTCAATCAGCAATCAAAAAAGCAGAGAATCAGCCTGTTATACCTGTTTTTATGACTTATTAAGAGTATAACTAAAAAATGAGTAGAGATAATAAATCAAAAATATAAGAAAATTAAAAAACTGACTCTAAATCACAAAATAGTAATCTTTAATAAAGTCATGACAAATATAACTAAAATGATATTTATGTAGAGAAGCAAAATTTTAACAAAACAAGCAAAAACTAATATAGTCCAGTTAAAAGAGAAGATTAGATATAGGCAAACTTTCCTCCATTATAAGAAAATAAGAATATAAATAGTAATTAAGATTAGGAAGAGGATATTCTTTTGAATAAATAGTAAAATTCTAGTTAATAAAATTTAAACATGGATATTTAATACATTTAAAATGAAGATAACTTTTAAATTGATAAGGATAACTGTTAAATAAGTAAAAGCATCTTAGATAAATACAATGACTATTTATAGGGAGAGAAGCTCTATATGGAAGAAGATAGTTTAAATTATTAACAGAGAAATCATGTACTTTCCACTATAAAAGAAGAATTGCCAAGTGAACACTAAACAAATTTTTCATCCGTCTACCAAAACTAAAATAACTAGAACAATGAATTGAAACAAAACCAAAACCAAAATAAAAAAAATACAATAAAAAATTATTCTAATTACATAGAAAATCTTAAAATAAACCTGAAATAATCTCAAGAATAAAGAAAATTATTAGAAGAATAAGTAAATAACATAATCAAAACAAGTAACATAGCCTTTAAAGAGGATGATGAAGAAAATAGCTACATAGATGAACCTTTAAACAAGTAAATGGATACATTTGACCAAGATACAAATTAAAATTAAGGTGTTGCAGTTTAAATTAAACTTTCTGGAAATTAAATAAAACAAAACATGGAATAAAATTAATTAAATGATTAACAAAATTACAATTACGAATGGGATAGTAACTAGATTCCATAATTAGAAGAAGTATAAGATTATGAGTAAAATTAAATAGAAAGTAATTACAACGAGGAATAAAATAATTGCAATTATAATTTAAGATAAGACGATAAATAGCAAATTAAAAACTCAAAATATAAATATGAGGATGAAATTCCTGTTAACCACTCAACATTTTAAAATTAAAATGAATATGAAAGATAATATCAAGAAATAATAAATTAATAAAATGTAATTAAATAATAATTCAAATTTTTAAAGTGAAATTAAGTAATAAATAAATTAATTAATGCTTGTTTGTTAGTTAGTTTGATCAACATTTTTCTTAAAAAAATTCATTCATTAGTTTAAAAATAGCTAAAAAAATTAAAATTATTATGAAAAAATTATTTATTAATTTTATAAAAAATTCTAAACAATTTTTTCATAATATTAAATATCTTTTATAACTTTTTTCAAAAATAAATGTGAAGAATTTCTTATATTATAAAAATTGAGAAAATTATAAATTATATCAAAATTGCGCTAAAAAAATATCAAATAATCAGTATTAATTAAAATTAATTAAATTATTAAATTTGAATTTGATTTAGTTTTTTGTTTTTTTGTTTTTTTGATTGTTTAATTATTTTTTGTTTGTTTGTTTGATAATAAATAATCTTGTCTCTGAAATTCTGCTAAATTTTAATATATTAAGATATACTAATAAGTTTTTAAAAAAGTAAATTAATTTAATTTTGTAAAGATTTATAAAAAAAATAAATATACTTAGGATTGTTTAATCAAATTATAGAATATGGAAGTAGAAAACATAGGACCATAAAAAACACCTTAAAAAAAGGCCAGCTTAGGAAATCAATAAATTCATGAGTCTATAATTATTCAAGATGATAGTCCTGTATTAGAATAAATGAAAATTAGTATATCAGATTAGATAAAAGACTCACGCTCAACATTAATTGATGAAAAAATTGAATTCAGCAATAATTCGTATCAAAATTTTGATAAAAGAAATGAAAATAACAACTTATTTAGCTCAACAGAACGCTAAAAGTTTATGGATTTTCATAAGCATTTAGATAATATTGTTTTACATAGTAATAAATAAGAGAAAGAAAATCTAATATCTCAAAACTTGAATGATATAAATAAATAATTACTAAATAAGAATAATGTTAGAGATTAGTATGCATAGGAGTAGATTTAACAACAAAAACTAAATGAGTTGAATATATTTGTAATTTATTTATAATTAATTTATTCTGTTTGATTGATTGATTGTGTTTCTATATAGAAAGATAGTTAAAATGAAGAATTCAGGATGAAACTTAAACAAAAAGATTTTGTTATATCTCAAAAGGAAGAGGAGTTAGCTGAATAATAAAGGAAATTAAAAAATTTAGAATAAAAAATAAATATGCAAGAGACAGAGCTTATAGAATATAAGCAAGTGAACAAAAAATTTCAATAATTATTGGGTAAACTTTATTTTATTTATTATAAGCTTATTATTTTTTGTAAAATTATAGATGAACAGTAAAGTGCTTTTGAAAAGAAAATAGTAAAAATTGTTTATCTGCTAAAATTATTTATGTTTTTTAAATTTAAAATAGTAAAAAATTTAATCAAATTAAGACTTCACATTAGAAATTAATGGTGAATGGAAAACGTAATTGCTTGAATAAAAGGAAAAAATAGAGGAATTGCAAAGATAAGTTTTGATTTTAAACAGTAAATTGGAGAAAAAAGAAATAGAAAATCAGTCCTTAATTGAAAAAAATTTAGAATTGAGTAATGAAAATTATGATCTCAATGAAAATCTAGAAAAACAAATAAGAGAATACAAGCTTTTATAAGCTTAAAGGAGACAAGAGGAGGGTATATTTGATGAATATGGAAATCAATAAAATAAATTCATAAACTCTCTAGTCTCTTACTAAAAAGATTTGAAAGAGGTATTCTAGTAAATTAACAATAACCCAAGTAATTAATTGTTTTTTTGTTAATTTTAGATATCTTTATTTATTTATATCATTTCAAAATAGTTATTGAGAAATACAAAAAGTAGAATGAAGAACTTATTTTAGAAAACACCTCTGTAAAATATTTTTAAAATTCTCAATTAAGTAAAATTAATGTTTTTTGAACTCAATAAATTTAGCTAAGAGAGCAAGTTGTCAAATTAAATCAAGAACTAAGTGAGCATTAATTAGAAGAAGCTAAAAAGAATCATGAAGAAATTAGCAATCTCTCTGCTAATTAAGATGAAAATTAAAAAAATAACAGTGAAACACTATATCAGAGTATGATGTAAAAATTTATAGAAATGGATGAAAAAATGATTTAAAATGATAATGAAAAATTCGAAGCATTATAGCAGAAAAACTTTTGGTTCGGAAAATCTTAATCTTTAGAAAATGAAGTAAACTCCCTTAAAGAGTAGATAAAAATACTTAATTCTAAAATAGAAGATTTGGAAAATTAATAAATTCAAATGAAGCAAACTAATAAGAAAGCTAACAACGTAAATAATAACAAAACTAAAAAGCGTAAAGTAGGAAAGGACTCAGATATAGAGGAGGACTCTATGAATATAACTGATAAAAAGTTAAAACCTAATTACGATTTAGACACAGCAAGTGTATAACTTAGTGTATAAGAAAGCTTACATAAAAATGAAATGTCTGCTGAAAAAGAGTAAACAAGTGTTCCTATTTTATCTAAACCAATATAACAATCTAACCAAAATGTATCTGTCCCTTCCAAAAATACAGCTTTGTTTAAATTAAGAGTTTGCAACAAATGTAATTTAAATATAAAGAAATTACAAGAATACGAAACTTGCACAACATGCACAAGTAATTATTTAAAAATATATTTTTTCTATAATATTATATTCATTTAAAATAATCAATCTAACAGAGGATTATCACACCAAGTGTAAAGGAGACTCAGTTGTTGGTACATTATGCCATATTTGTCATGAAAAGTAAAAGAAAAAAATAAATCAAGAAATGGAAGTTGAAAAACAAAAAGAAAAACCATTAGACATGGTTTCTGAAAATTGAAATAATTAGAATAAATTCTTTTAATTATTGTTGAGTCAAATAAATATATATATGTATAGCATTTAGAGTTTTTTGTGTTTAATTAATAAAATTTAATTATCGATGATAGCTTTCACTATTAATAAAATAAGTAAACATTTCATTTATCTGATTAGTCTAAAGCCAGTTAATTTTTTTTTAATGTATAAACAATTATAAAGATAAAAATACAATTTTACTTAAGTTTTTGATAAAAATGTATAAATTGTAAGGTAAAATTTTATTACAAATAATCAAGGATAGATTATTTAATTTCTTCAATTATATTGAAGTTGATTTAGTTAAGAAAAGGCTATTAAAATAAAGGATAGCTCACTTATATTATTATGAAAGGGTTTATTTAAAATAATTGCTTTAAAAAATGATAGTTTTATTTATACACATTAATTTTTTTTCTAAAAAAAATAATAATTGAAAATAATAAAAATAATAAATAATTAATAAGCTCAGTCAAATTTGATTAAATTCAAATTTTACTTAATTTGTTTCAATTTTATTGAAATTATTTTCAATTTAATTCATCTAATTTTAAAAAGAACTAGTTGAATGTATCCTAAAAGATTTCTATTTCCATAATTTTATCTCCAAGAAGTGACTCCCAGCTTTAAAGCCAAGATTTTATTTCTTACTTTTCTGCTCCCTCACTAGATAACCACTCCATTAGAACTTCAGCCAATTTGACTAATAAAGTGTCTTCCATTATGCTAGTAACATCTTTAGGTTAAATTAGATCGCACCATAATACTATATTCTCAATTACATCTAAATCCTTTTATTCACTTGGATTTATCTCAAGTTAGTCTAAATAAAATTATAATTTAGGAATTATCTGCTTAAGCATTAAATCGTTCCATTAAGATTCAGATATAATCTGTTTCCAGGGTTTTAACTTTTCAAACATGCTTTTATCTTAAATTTCCCATTTGGATAAAACCTAAGAGTATTTAGCTAGCACTAGTTTAAAGGTGTCTTTCAGAAGATCAATAGGAGAAATAATTGTAATCCAGGGGATGAGCCATAAATCTACATCCGCTTAAGTGTTCTTGCCTTCTGCCTTTGTAGAAGGATGCCACTTTTTAACAGCATCATTTAATTTAGGCAAGATGAAACTTTATACTAGATCAGAAATAACTGCTTTGGGGAGAACTTTTTAGTACTCCTCAAGGCAATCTATGATTTAATTATTACTTCTTAAGTTAGTAGGATTAAATTATTTTATCATGAAATTCTTTAAATGAGGCATAAATGAGTGGTTAATTATAAATTAAATATATCTCTATATGATTCTCTCATTTTTTTCATTCAAATTTGTGTCTCTCTACAAATAAATATTTCCTGATAACTCACTTTCGTATCTGTGTAAATTTGAGTTTTGCTTAAATAAGAATATTTTAGTTAAAAGCTTTTCAACTTATTAAATGAGCTAAACAGATTTTTTTATTTCAGTTTAATCAAACTACATAATTTAAAAGTCTTAAGATTGTTAAAGAATAGACTTGTTTTTTATGCTTGATCCCTCAATGTCGTAGCCAAAGTCTTCTGTTGTTTTCTATAAACTAATTTCTTATTCTTCTTCTTCTACTTCAGTTTCGATATTATTTGACTAAGATTTAAGATTTTGTTTATAAATTGAGTTCTAAAATTATATTTTTAAACTTTGAGTGATCTATTTGACTAAAAGTTATTCTAAATTGTAATGAATAAATTGTTCTCCACAGTTTTCAAACATTTCTTTGAAGTGCTTATAAACATCATCACCGTTCAGATTATTTTCATCTTATCTCATTTATTAAAGATTATTCAAAAGAGTTACTGTTTGATTCATAACTTTTTTATGGCTATTTTGCTTCTCTGTTAACTACTATTCTTCGTATTAAACTGTAACTATACGATCGGATTCTGTTTTAATTTTTGAGGATAAATTCATTTTCTTTCCTTTAGATTTATCTAATTTATTCTTTAAGTTATAGAGCATTTCTGAAAATATTGGATTTTCTTGCTTAGCTAAGGATTTGCTATCTAAAATTTTACTAGCAGCAAAGAAATTAGTATAAGCATCTCCTTTTGCGCCATCATAAGTCACAGAGCTATCGCCTCTCATATCTATAATTTTCATACTTTATACACCAGAAAAATTAGAAGAACCTGGTAATGAATTATCACTTTTAATATTTGAATCCCCGATATCTGTCATACTACCTTGCTTTGCTTGCTTGCTCTTTTTATTTAAGTGAGCGAAAAAGCGGTTGGGGAAACGCTTATTCTCGTCATTTCTTTTAACATAAGTTTTTTCAAACTCAATAGTATTCTCATCATCGTAATCTCCAAATTCTGACTGATTCTTTTTAAATTCACTATAAGCTGTTTCGAACTCGTCTATTTCTGCTTCTACATCAATACCATATTCTTTAAGCAGCTTCTTATTCTCAGCTTCCATTTGCTTGTAATTGTCTTACATTGTAAAACTCTGTTTGAATTAAGCTTCAACAGGTTTTGCACGACCTTGCTCTTCTTTACCAATACCTTTTCCAAGTTTAAAACCCATTTTTTAAAGCATATCAAAACCTTTTCCATAATTTTCTTTGTGCATTTTAGCTTCAATCATTTCCTATTATGTTTCCAAATTTACTATAGCCTTAGACTCCTCTTCTATTTCTTAATCAGTTTTCTTTTTGAATTATTTTCTTTGCTACCCAAATCTCAGAGGTAAGTTGAATTGCTAAGTTTATTCTTCAAAAATAGCATCTTCATCATCTTCTTTATTCCTTTTAAAATTAAATATTTTCTTCTTTCTCATTTATTCTTTTGTTAGATGAATCTAAGATGATTTAGAAGCTTTTTTAAATTAGAATTTTTCATCTTGATCTTCATAAGCATCCTCATCATCAATCTCTTAATCATTATTTTCTTCACCACTACCATCACCTAATTCGTCTAAATCTTGCAAATCATTATCAAAATCATTTCCTTGTTACTAGTTACTATTCTTCTATTTTAAAATAGATTTCAGTTTATTCTTTTCTTATTTTTTTGATGAAGTAGATTTAAAGAAAAGCTTATTCTTGTTTTTTCTTTAAAAGCCTTCAACATCATCATCGTCATTATCTTCATCTTCTTCCTCATATTCTTCCCTTTCTCTAAAGTCATTTTCATCGTCTTCATCATTCTTTGAAATTCTTCCTCCTCTCTAAAACATTTGCTTGTAATTTTGCTTGTTTTTTTAGTGGTACAGATTTTAATGACTAAATTTGTCTTCTTCATTATCGCTCTTCTCTTCTTCCTCTTCATCCTCTTCTTATATTTCAACATCATACAAAAGAGGATCGAAGCCATCCTCAAATCTCTACTACTATTACAACTATTTCTTTTTTTTTAATAATTCATTTTCTTATAAATTTACTTCATCAAATTTCACAGACTTTTTCTATTTAGATACCTTTTTTTAATTATCAGTATTTTATTTTATATCGTTCGATTTCTTAGATTACTGATCTTCTTTCTATACAGTTGATGACTGTTACTGATTAGCATATTTTACTTTAATACCTGTTTCTGAATTATGTTCGTACAACCCACTCTTCCTGAAATTCATAGCTAATGTGGTTTTTGCTAATTGCTTTGATCCTTTAAATACACTTTCTTCAACTTCTTAATTCCAAATTCCATATATCTAATCTTCCTTTGATAGTTTTTTAGGTTTTTATTTAGTGAATGAAATAAAACCGTTTTCATCAATATGAGAGCCAAATTCATCATCCATATTAAAACCTGTAGTATTATAGTCTTTCTAGTAGCTCATTATTTTAACTCTTTTGAAAACTTATTTTTCTTTTTGAATTGCAAGAATTACTCCTTCAATTTAATTAAAGATAAATTATTGATAAACTATAATTTTTATTATCAATATACTCAATATTAATATTTCTATTTGTAGACACAAATTCATTTATAGTAAACCTATTACATACTTTAAATAATCTATTTTAAATTAAATAAATTAATGTTTTATCGAAATAAACGAAATTAAAATAGCTAAAAAATGCAAAAAAAACTCACATAAACATCATGACAGATTATCATTTTATTGATTTTAATAAACAGGGCTTATTAAGAAGAAAAAAAATCTTCAATTAAATAAAAGTATTTAAAATATTTTAAATGTAAAATAAAATATATTAAAAAATACGAATGACATTAAAAAAATAAAATTATTAATTTATTTTTCTCAATATTTTAATTATTTTAAAAATAAATTAACTTAATTTATGAAATATTATAAAAAAATATCATAAAAATAATCATGATAGAAAAGATTTTAAATAAAATAATTTAATGCTTTACTGGATCATTTAAAATCAAAATAGTTAAAAAACAAATATAAATAAATATTTATTATAAAATAGCATTTTCTTTATTTTATCAAACATTTTATTTTCATAAGACATATAGAAGTAATCATGATGAGAAAATATTTTTTAAATGAAATTAAAAGAAATTTATTAAAAGTAAGGTAAATTTTAGTATGTTAATATGAATAAAAAAATTATAAAAATTAGATTAAATATGGTTATTTTATAAAAATAGCATAATATTTTAAATAATCAAAATTAATATATTTAATTGATAAATAGCTCATTTGTTAAAAAGAAATTGATAATTAAAGAAATTTAATTTATCCAAATTTGAATATATGTAAATGATATATCTATTAATATTAAAAATTAAATTTACTTATTTTACTTGTTGAGTTACTTACTAATAAATTAATAAAATTTTAAATAAAATTGTTTTTAACATAAGTTTAAAATTCTAAAAATAGTAATTAAACAAAAAGATTATTGTGTTCTTAGATAACATAACTTCAAAACTCTTTTGTATTCAATGATATTTTAATTTTTTGTAACAATTATTTATTATTAATCAATATATAATATAAAATTAAAATATTTTAAGCTAATTTATAAAAACTGAATAGGACGGACTAATTATACTTGTATACATGCATATGATCCATATACTATAGATAGATTAACATAAAAAATATATTGGGAATACATATAGTAATTGAAATCATAATATTACTAATAGATCAAAAATAAATATTTCAAGTAATTTATTTATTTACTTAAACATTTTATTATACTTTATTAAATTAATTAATTAGAAAATAATTATTATTGCTCAAAAGTTAGAAGATTTATAAAATCAATTTCTTTCTTCATCTTCATAGTCTCCTTCATCTTCAAATTCAGCTTCATCATCATCTTCATACTCTCCTTCATCCTCATCATCATCTCCATCCTCTTTAAATGAGTAATCTCCAACGACAAGTTAATTGGGATCAACACCAGGAATAGGCTTAGTTCCTTCACCTGCTCCATAATTTTACCCATTATTTTTCAAAGTAGCTTCCATAAGCTCTTAGTTCAAAGCTTATTATTCATAAAAATTATTTTTCTTGTAAAAGTCATTTAAGAAAGCATGCATATCTTCGACTTCATATAGATCCATAACCTAACATTCACTCTTAGCATGGAGTAGTTCACCACATACTCTGCAGCAAGTTTCTTTGTGATACATACATAAGAAATGTTTAATTCTATCGTAGTGATATTCACACCATTCTAAGCCAGATTCTTCATCAATCCTGACAGGCATTTTTTAAGGTAAACCATCAGGTCCAACAAATTATTGTTAATCATATTAATATGGTTATTATTGATAAGACTATTGTTTTTGCTTTCCAATCATTTAACTTGCTTCAAATTATTAGTATAAAACAGCTTATGCATCAATCTAACCCTATTAATATAAATATATGAAATTAAATTTCTCTTTGAGGTAGATGGCAAGTATATAAACAATTAAAATGAATTAGTAAAAAAATATGCTTTTTTAACTTAAATTGAATTAAATAACTTGAAAATAAAATATTTAAAGTAAATTTATTCAAGAATAACTTACCTCGCCATTTTGTTCGCATTTTTTATTGTATTAATCTGCTAATTTATGAAAGATGGTGTGATTAACTGGAAGTCTTTCAATTGTTTCAATTTATTTAACTAACTTAAGACACATAGGACATCTAACTCTGTTATTTTTGTGGAAATTTTTTAAGCATTAGGTGCAAAAAGTATGACCGCAGTGAATCAAAATTCTAGGAAGATGTGTTGTAAAGTTGAAATCTTATTTGCATAAAACGCAGGTATCAGTATTAATAAGCTTTTTTGTGAATTCATTAATTTTATCTGAATAATCTTCAGCTTCTTTAGGTGCTTGGTTGAAAAAGTAGTTTGTTGGATTCTGTATTCTTGTATTTACTTACATCTTTATTTACAATTACCTATTTTTACTTATTATTGAATCTGCTTTAGTCAATCAACTATTTTCTTTTATTTTTAAAATATTAATTATTTTTTATGAGTTGTGAATCTTAGCCTTTTATATTGAAATTGATTAAATAATTAATTAACTAATTAGCGAGTAAAAATTTGAATTTTTATTATATTTTAAATTATCAAATTCTTGATATTAAAAAGAAAATCTAAATTAATGAAAGAGTTTTTTGTATTTGTCAGCTCATGCATAATTAATTATACAAGCATACTTTCATGTATCTTTCAAGCATTAATTAATATTTTTATAGTTCTTCTTTGTGCTTCTTTTACTGTTTATTTATAATATATTTATTATTTTAATTACAAAGTATAAAAAATCAAATTTATTAACAATTCAAAAAACCTTCTTCAATTTAAAGGTTTCTTCTATAAAAATATTTATATCATATCAGTTATAAATAAATATCAAGAAGGTCAATAAAAGATTCAATGAATTATCTAAAATAATTCTTTTGATTTTATCAGCAAAATAAATTTAAAATATGTTAAACAAAAATTCATTTTAAAACAGTTTGATTTCATTTATTTAATAAATTAATTTTTTAAATTTGATTAAAATTAAGGAATTAATGTTTGTTGTTATTTTTTCTGAAATTATAATTTTTTTTTAAGTTATAAGAAAGTTAACATATATAATCACTCTAAGTACATCAGTAACAAAAGAACAATAACTTTTGAGTATGAATTAAAATATATTTTATCTATTTATTTATGTATTGCTTTAATCTTCACTCTGAGTGGAGTTTTTCTGATTAATCCTTGTTTTTAAGTTTGAAAGTAGAGAGAGCAACATTTGTTATCATTTAAATTGCAGCCACTACTAAAAGATAATAGATTATATTTAGTTATTTAAATATGATTGAGAAAATCATGCCAATAAATGCACCTACACACTAAACTAAGTTCCAAATTCCAAAAATACGTACATCATCTCCAAATTTTGTGGAGATTAAATTACAATTCATGCTTTGAGTAGTACAGTCAGTCATTCCCCATAAAGCAGCAACAAAGAAGCACAACAAATAATTCTTTTCATAGTGAGCTATTATACTTCCTATTATTGCAGCCTCAAATAATAAATTTGTTGAAATAGCTATTCTTTTTTTATTTAGCTTATCAGCAAGTGGAGTAACAAATGCACCTCCGAAAAACTCGAAACAACCCAAAACTATATTCACAGTAAAAGTCTTTTTATTAACTTGTTCGTCTGAAAGATCAGATGAAAGACTATCTTATACTATTCTATAAAGGACACCAAAACCAAAAGACATAATTATACCGCTTGAAAACATATAAAATAAAAGCGGGCGTATATCAGGCTGGCTCATGATATTAAACATAGACTTAAGCTATTGCCCTAGTGGTAAAGAATAAAAATCTTACTATTAATCCTCAGCAGATTCTATTGGTCTATATTATTACTCGTTTTCATTTTTATCTATAAGACTTTAGCTTCCTAAGTTGATAGGGACTTTATCAGAGTCTAAAATTTGCTGTTTTTTAGGAGGTTTTTAAATAAACAAGAAAAATAAGCTAGTCACAGAAGCAATACCTGTCATTAAAAGGAAATATCCAAATTGGCCAAGAGGCTCAATGAAAAACATAGAATATACGTTTCCAACAATATATGAGCTTTAGAGTAAAGCCCAAGCTATACCAAAATAAAGACTCTTGTTTTATTCATTTGTGTTTTCTGATGTATATTCATTTTAACAAATATACAAAATTGAGGATAAGAACCCACAAATTGCAGAACCAACAACTATAATTGAGTAAATTATTGGTTTTCTACAATAAAAATAAGTGTATTCGTCGTTACAGCTACAAACTAAAATTCCCTCACTCAAGAAAAAGAGATACCCTAAAGAACTCAATACGAAAATATATCTGTATTAAATTTTTTTAACATAAGTTGGTGCAATCAGATTGTTGATTCCTGATGCCAAATAGATAACAAAAAGAGAGATGTTGCCTAAGTTTAAATAATCACGCTCATCAAATACTTAGGATACAATACCCATTGCACTGTTTACAGCAGAGCAATATATCAACAGTACACTGTTGAGATAGACGACATTTCCAAGAGCACCCATTCAACTAATTTAAAAGAGAATGCTTTAAATAAAGAGTTTTATTAATTAAACAAAAGTAGAAAAACAATATTGTTTTCTTTTAGAATTAAAAAAGTTCTTTTTTACTCAATAATACTAAATTTTTATGGAATTAATTCCTGTTATTTTGTAAAATATTTTAAAACTCTTTTTAAATCCACGAAAAATTAAAATAAAAAAAAAAATTGGCATGCTAAATTTAAAAATACCATACGTAATCTTCTAAATTAAGCAAAAAAAAAAAAAAAACACTTACAGTTAATAAAAGATTTGTTTTTAAAATTCATTAATTTTTTACCATCAAGTAGTACTTAAAACTGCTAACTATTTTTGATTTTTTTCTCTCTCCTTACAATAATTTTTTATATTAAATATGTAAGTAAATAGTGCAAAGACTAGACGATTTCTCTATTTTGAAGAATTAAAAAAAGTGCATTTGACAAAATATAAGATTAAAGGCTTGTTAAATATATTTAGCACAACATGAATGAATTATATTACACTTTTGAATCAAGTAAAAAAAATTAAGAAATTTACCATAATTAGTCTTAATATTAAAATTCAGGTTAATTAATTCTATCTAGAAATAGATTTTTTAACTATTTTTATGACTATTACCTACCTATTACATTTATTTTGGTTTAAAATATAATAAAAGAATTTGAAATTTGATTCATTAATTTAAGCAATGCTCTTTTATTGAATATTTATTTTATTTTTTCAAATTTCCTTTCAAGAATTGAATAACTTATAGAATTATTTAGTTAAAAAATTGTTATTATAATCAAATATTTTTATTTTAGCTATTGAAAAATAATTTATTTGAGAAGGATTACTTTTTCTTACATAGGTATCTTCAATAAAAGTCTTAATCAATGTCTTATGTTCAACTATAAACTCATTTATATGTTTTATATACTTTGTTTATATCAAATATATTTTACATTAATTAAGAAAATTCTATACAGATATTTATTTTAGAAATTAGATAAGCAAGTATTTGTAACCAAATTAAATGATTTGCTTTAAGTGATAAACAATCTAATAAGTATTCTATTTATCAGTTAAGAATATTTGCTTTTAGAATTGAATTATCCTGCTTGCTAGTTAGTTTATTTAAATTAATAAATGAGTAGAAACTGACGAAAATTAAAATTTCTATGTTTATTAACATGAATATGATCTAGTAAATGAGATTTATAGCTTTTTCTAGATTATTTATTTTATTAATATTTGTTCGTAATTTTAAATAAACTAATCAGTACTTTTGAATCAATTTTCCTAAATAATTCTATTTGAATGAGTGTAAATCATCTCCTTAGTCTTTAATACTTCTTGTTATTAAATAAATAATCCTTTTTTCAGATGTAAGAAAGAAAAGAGCTTCAGTAACTAATTTTGAAAGGTTAAATATATTATTTTCAAATGGTTAAGTTAATCATTAAATAAAACAATAAATCTATCATAACTTTTTACTTTTTCAAATCTTAAATGAAATAAAATTGTCTAAATACCAAAATTAATCATCTAGAACTACTTTATTCATAACGTGATCAAGCAGTTTTCGTTTATTTTTCTCATACCTAATAAAATTTAGTTAGCGTTAACAAATAAGCAGTTAAATTAGAGCCTTTATTGAAACTGTTTTAATTTATTACTGAATCAATATTTTTAGAGAAATTAATTCTCTCAACTCTCCTCAAAAAACATAAAAAAATTCTTTGATCGTCGTTTTATAATAAGATAAAAATATAAAAGTAAAATAAGAAGATTATGTAAGCTGAAAAATTTTGTACTGACTTAGTCAAAGATTTTTTGTTAGAATGTAATTTTATAATCGAAGTGTATGTTTTTATATTGAATTTTATCACACAAGAAAAATATGTATTTTTTTCAATGGTTTGTTAAATTGCAGAATTTAAAAAATGAATAAATAATTAGATTTTAGAAACAATAATTAAGAAAAAAGTAAATTAAAAATTTCAATTAAATACATAATATCCTTGCAAAAAGAAAAAAAGATAATTTATAATATTCATCATAAATAAATAAATCAATCAATCAATCTAAGATTAATAAAGAAACAAAAAAAGAAAAAAGCTATTTTCCTTTTTGATAACTAGACAATCGAACATTTATTATTCTGTAGTATTTTCAAAAGTTTCGCATACTTGAATGAGCACTTAAATATTTAGCTCGGCATAAACTATTTTAAGAGGCTTAAAAAATCTTCATATTATAACTGAGGGTGAGTAAAAGATATTTTCTGATCTGTTGCTTCGATTGGATCAGTTTAAAGATATTTATCTCCTTCGTAAATACAATACACTGCTCTATCGCTTTATTGATCAATTATAAATCGAAGAGTTTAAACCTCAGTAATTTATTTACCAAGATGGAAAACACAACGGTATCAAGTACTTCCTTATTGGAGGAGAAGTTGTTTACACAAGATAAAATGAGTAGCTAAATTAAATTACTTCTAAATAAATTCTCTATTAAAAGCTAGAAGAAAAGTCTTAAATTAATGCATCTGAAAACAAAAAGAGAGCCTTCTAGCTAATTTAAGATATGAAGATAAACAAAACAAAACCAATTAGAGAACTTTATCTAGGTGAATAATTTGGGTCGAGAGAAGATTATAATAATCACCTAGTTTTTAAGGCTAGAAGATTGGAGTAAGAATATCAGAAATTGAAAGGTACTTTTATAAAATTCTAATTAATTGATAGTTTGAAAAAAACTCTTTTATTTATTTATTTTAGATTTTATTTTTCCTAAAATAAGTTCCCAATTACAATTTAAATCTTTTGACAATTTTTGGTTATTTATTAGAAGAGCATAATCAACCAATCAATTATTTGTTTTGTTATTTTTTTTGCTTGGTATTTTTAATTTAAATAAAATAATAAAATCAAAAGTCTACATTTCAATGTTAAAAAATTTGGATTTAAATTTCATTAGAATTAATTCTAAATAATAAAAAATACAAATTAATTTAACTATCAAGGAAAACCAGAAAGCCTTCTATTCACTCACTATTTAAATAAATTTTTTTTATCAAAAAATAATTCATTTTAATTAAATTATAAATAGAATCGCTAGATTTTAACTAATCATTAAGTGTTCAAGCACTATCAGATTGTATAGTAGTCTCTATTTCACAAGAAAAATATGACTTAATGTTTTAGCCTTTCATTTTAAAGTTGAAAACTCTTATATAAGCTCTTAGCTAGAGTTTGATGAACATCAAAATATCAGAATAAGAGATGTATGAAACCGAGTATTTTGCTCATTATTATGATGAAAATGTATACCAGCAAAGAGAAATCTTAATCCAACAAGGAATGCCAACAGATTATTTATATTTTGTTAAGTCTGGCCAAGTACAAATCTAAAAGAGTATTACTGAACTTTATCGCTATGGCTCCGGATAATATATTTTGTGCAAAAACTTTTTGAATTCTAAGTCTTATGAGCATAATGTTTAAATTTTAGATCCTGAAACAATTGTGACAAGAATACAACGCTACTTCTTATATCTCATGCTTAATCTCAAATCATTAAGTAATAAACCTATTTCTAGCGTTTAAAAGCAAACAATTGTGTCTCTTTATTAGAGCAACAGTAATTCTGGTACTAAGTAATCTATACCATCTCCTTTAACCTAGGCTAGTCTTACCTCTAATTCACAAATAAGCATGTTTAGATAATCACACACTATTCTTGACTGTTCTTCAATACTTTCATCTTACCATTCTTAAAGAGAGATTAACACTCCTATTTCATTATAACAAAATAATTACATCTCTAGCATACAAAATACACCATCATCTTCTAATTTGTAAAAGTAAACTACTCTATGCAACTCAATTATCCTCTCTAAAAAAATGTCTTAAAGTAGCGGCAGTAATAACAATAATAATACTGTTAATGGTTCATTTGGATTACTTAATTCATAAAACTAAGGCAACTTAACATAAATAGAAAACTAAGATAAAGCTCTCAAAACTGCTCGCCCATTATCTTCCAATAAGAGAAGGATAATAATTCCCACAAAAAGTAAAATTTACTAGAATTTTTAGAGATCAATTAGTGCTAATCTTAGAAAGCGTTAGGAAAATAAATTAATATAGGAAACAATAGAATAAAGTAAGTAAGTTTTAGGAGATTAAGACACAACTAAGCGTTTCAGCTTAGAAAGTGAGCAAGTTGAAATTGCTGTTTTGAAATAACCTATGAATGCTACAACCTCTTCTTTAGTTAAATAACCAAAATTAAACGGATTAAAAAGGACATTTACAGTAAGTTTCTTAGATAACGACAATGAGGAAGAAGATAATAAAATAAACACAAGCACTCTCTATCATAGTGAAAAAATTGGAAGTGTTTAAAGCTAAAGTTAAAGTTAGCGCAGTTCTGTTACTCATAAAGAAGATTCTTAAATCTCAACTAGACATTCTTCCAAAAAGTCCACAGCTATTTATATTAAACCAAAAATTTTAAATGCATTTGACATTTTTTCTGATACTCCTATCAATTCAAATACTCCTTTAGGATCTCTTACCCAATCTGCTAATCTAAATGACCATCCAAATACTATTCATCATTCTAAATTTAACATTTACAATAATCAAAATAGACTTTCTAAAAACTCCTCCACACCAAAGCTGAGTTACATAAAAATATAAGCTGATTAAGCTAAAGATTAATTAAACATCAATAAAGCTCCTTTGTCATGTAGAATGCTTTCACCTCCAAATATAAAGTCTTCTCATTATTTCATTAATAAGAATAGTAAAAATAAAAGCTTATACAACAGCAATAGCAGTAATAATAATAACAATAATAGCAACAATATTTTCAATAACACATCAAATAGTAGCAACAATTCTAATAACTCCTTCCCAAACAAAAATCTCACTAGCATAAAATCTCTACCTCTAAAGAAAAGCAACTTCGTTTAATACATATTTGATAATTCTCATAACAACAACTCTAACTTCAAAATCTGAAGATTTGAAGATTTTTGATACAATAATCTAACAATCATATAAAAGATTTCTTTTACATTGATAAAAATAATATTTTTGTTAAAATAAATAAAATTTACAATATTATCATTTTATATTATTATAAATAATTCAAATAAATTAGATCAAAATTTTATATTAAAATCAATAATCAATTAAATAAAAAATTTATTTATTTTTAACATTTTTGTTTTTGAATCTAATTATTGTACAAATAATGTAAATAATAGTTATAACAATAATTCAACTTTTATTCTAAATTAATATTATGATCAGCTACCTATATTTAAAGTTTTATTTATCATAATTGAAAATAATATTTTAAATTATATATTTCAAAGCATAATATATATTAAATTTATCAATAATTTGCTAGAATAAAATAGTATAACATGATAAATTGCTGCTATTTTAGATTTTATCATACTTATAATGGATTTAAATTGATTAGAAAATGAATGCTATTTAAAATATTTATCTTAACAAATTTTCAACTAGATTTTTAGTTTTAAATGAATTAAAAGATCGCCATTTTAGGAATTTATATTATTATTATATAGAAAATTATAGTTTAAATATCTGATAAATAATGTGGACAGTTTTAAGTAATAAATATCATGAATTCTTATTACTATATAAATGAAAAAATTTATTTATTCTCAAAAATAAAAATCATAAAGTAGTTTTAATAATAATAATAATAATATGAATTCTTTAGATTTTGTTTTGTGATATTTTTTTTATTAATTTATTTTTCATATTTTTATTTACAATCATTTTTAAAATTTCAAAAGAGAAGTTTCAAGATTATCAATATTTTACTTCAATATTTATGAATTTAAGAATAAATTTCTTAATGAAAGAAAAAATAAGCAAATAAAAATTAGAAAAATATTTTAGTTTATGTTTAACCATTTACCAAAGTTCATTATTTAAATAATAGTAAAAGAAAAACATTTTAATCCATAAATAAATATGTTTTAAATAAATCTTATTTAGAAATTTGTAGATATTAAGTAATTATTAATTTTTCTAATTATATTTTTAATTGATTGCATATTTCTTAATATTTATTGTTATTTTTAATAAATTTATTTTATTGTAATTCAAGTAAAAATAAATTTTTTAATTTATTTTAATAAGTTATTTTATTTTAAAGTTAAAATAGAATAATAAATTCGAGTAGAAGTAATAATAGTAGTAATAGCCTTGAATTTTTTAGAATAGATATGACTCTATTTTTAAAAGTGATTATTTAATTTAACCAAATATTGTAACTGATAGAATAGAATTTAAAGGAGATAATGTATGAATGTAAAGAGCGATGTAAAATTTATTCAAAGCTCTATTTTTAGCATTTTTGGTAAATTGGCTTTCACAATAATAATATATTAGTAATTTAGAAATTTAAATACTTATTATTTAGGAATATAGAGCAATCTTATTATTTTTTCATCACAATCAGAAGTAGCAGAAGAATATATAATATTTTTTTTTAAAGAAGAATAGTTATAAATATTGATTAGCACTAAAATAATAATAATTCTTCTATAATGAATTCTTTCATCAGCTTATCATTAAAAGGAATTATAAGCTTGTTTAAATTAAGAATATGATTTATTTTCGCTATAAATTATTGGATAAAGAAGAAATAATATTTAAATAATAAAATTAAGAGTTAACAGAGAAAAGAGAATAATTTTAAATTTGATATAAATTTAATTTTTATTCTCTTCAGAGTCAGAAAAATTTATTTCAAACGAATACTGACCAGACTTTATTTTCGATTAATTCAATGTGTCTATTTCAAAATCAGATGCTACAAAATCTTTGTTGGTTGTCTATAATAAAAAAATTATTGAGAAAGCTCATATTTTATAAATGAAAGATTTTTTTTCTGCATCTTTTATCTATTTTACAACTCACCAATAATTAATTTTTAGTTAAAATTAAAAAAATAAATTTTAAATTCTATTCATTTTAGTCTATTTCATTTTATTTTTATCTCTACTTTATATCTTTAAGTATTATTACACGCGTATACTTCCAAATTAAAGTGAGTATTTGTGTAAGAGACTCTTCTGTTTGACTTATTCTATTTAAACGCATATTAAGCAATTTTTTTTGGTATCTAAAAGTCAAACTAAATTAAAATATATTTAATATCCACTTCAATTTGCAACAACATTTATACTCAATTAATTTGTGTCGTGCATTGATTGTGTCTCTCTATTTGAGAGAATTGATAAATAGATTCAAAAATTACTAATATCTATATCAGAGTTTGAGATAAAATTAATTCCAGTCAATATTTTGATTGGTTAGAAGATTAGCTATTGCTTTTTAAGAAATAACTTATGATTGGTAGACATATTGATAAATAAAATAAAGTATGAATACGATAATTTTTATGTATAATTTAAACAAATATTTACAAGTAAGTAATAAATAAAGCTAAGGTAGAACAAGATAAAATAATATTTTATCATCTTATTTCTAATTTAGCTTTAGAATTTTTTATGATTTAATTAAATAAATAACATTTGGTTTTTGTTGATGTTGTTGTTTGTAGTTTAAATATCTATTTCTCACATCAAAAAGCTAAACTTTCAATAAATGATTATATTGTTTCAGGGTTAGAATATTAGAAAGGACTAAAGTACATTTCTTTTTATTCGTAATATTAAAATTTATTTTAGCTGACAGGTGAATTTTAGTGATTATCCTCGTTTTCTGAATTCTGAATTTAATTCTCTTCTTCATCATCAGTAGATACTTGAGATTATTCTTCTTATTTTTATTTATTTTTACCTTAAATTTTAATAATGACAATCTTTTTATGGTCACTGAAGTTATATGTATTTTTATTTTATCCTTTGACTCTGAAGAAAGAAATATCAACATATTTTAAAATTTTTTTTCCTAAATTAATATTTTAATTAAATGATTCGATGAAATCTTCCTTAAATTTTTCTTAATCAGGGATGTTAATTCCTTTAATCAAGCCATCAGATTAAACTCCAAGAAGAATTTTACCTCCCTTCTCGCTTTTATAGTATTTTATAATAGAGTCATATATTTAATTACTATTTTAAGGATCAAACATAAAGACTTAGACATTTTTACTATTAGTTGTTATTTTAAGATCTTAATTGAACAAAATTTCCATGTTAAGAGTGCAATCATTTTAATAAAATTAGCTCAATATTTAATTATCATACACATTTTTACCATCTTATCCCTTAAATTTTTTTATATCCATTAATCTTATTTAGGTAGTATCTTGGATAATCTTCTCTTTTAGTTATTAAATTGTATCATTAAAGGACAAAATATAGCTCTTAGGAAAGTCATCCAAAAAGTAATTATAAACATTAACCTTAAAAAATTGAGGATTCTTTTTAATAACAAGCTGTTTTCTTTGAGCAGGGTATGTCTAAAAAGTGTTTTATCTCATATTTTAAATCGTTTAAATCATGAAAAAATAATCCAATTTTAAATTTTTTGCTTTATTTTTTTTGTTATTTATTTATTTTTTTAATTAATTAATTATTTATTATTAATTATTTTTGAGTTTAATCCTATTTTTTTAATAATCTTTTTCTTCTTATAAATTCTAACAGCGGGTAGAATGGATAGCAAACAATCTAATTTGTATACTAAATTTTCTATATCAAAATCTAAATTTTCTATTCATAGAATATCCTATGATGAATTATTATGCAAGTGTTTCTACTTCAAAAATAAGAATATTTATTATCTCATGTAAATAAAACACTTTGTAGTTGTAATAGAGGCGCAAACTATTTTCTAGTTATCTGTGTTTCTAAATTTAATCATTTTATTTAAATAAAAGTAATTTATGAAATAAAAGTATTTTATTTACTTAATTATTAAAATAAAGGTATTTTATCTTAAAAAAAATTGATTTTTAATATTCTAATTGACTTAAACATGAAACATCTAAGAAATGACTTAATATTCTAATTAAAAAAAAACAGTTTTATATTATTTTATGTTGTAAACTCTTAAAATTAATTTAATGTTATCTTATCTATCTTTTACCCAAGCGATAAAAAAATAAAAGCCTTTCATAATAAAAGACTGACCATATTTTTTTAATATTAAGTTAAATCTATTAGAATCTCATTTTAATTTTAGAAAGTTTTAGAATGTGTATAAAAACTACTTAAAAAAATATTCTTACATAATTTTTTTAGAAATTTCTTTCTTTTTCTTGTTATAGATTATTTAAATCTTCTAGAATATCTACATAAAATTACAATATGGGTTATAAATATATTAGAATATAAATGTAGCCCTATTTATTTAATCGCGCGAATATCTTAGTCACTTCTATAACAAGATATAAAAAAAGTTTTTATTATACTTAATTGTTTGTTATAAATAGCTCAGCAGCCCTCACAACTTAATTTCGAAATTATTATATTAACTTCTAAATTAGTCAATAAATAAGTAAAACTATTAACCACCATTTTTTAATTTGCTCAAAAATATATTTTATTCATACTTTGCATCTAACTAAGCATTAAATTTTATTATCTTAACCGCTTTAATAACTCAAATTTGAAAATGGAGGTTTTTTAATTGAATATTGCTCCATCTGGTTAATTTAGTCTAATTTCAAATTATGGCAATAAGGTGGTTGATTGCAATTTATGGGTGATCGATAGATACAGAAGTCTGATTATTCAAATTTATTAAGAAAAAAAAAAAATTCATAATAATTAATTAATTTTAAAAAGATATTTAGAGATATTAAAATTCAGAAAAAAAGATTGAAAAAAAAATGAAACAAAAAGTTTTTAAAATCCCCATTAAGTTTTTAAATCGCAAATTTATAATTAAATAAATCCAGAATTTTGTCACTCATTTTATTTCAATCGTTCAGCCTATTCTAGTTAAGAAAACCTCTCAACTAAAATAGAGCTGAATTTAAAGAGCATGCGTATCTACAAGTTTTTAAATCCTCCGAAATCCAACAAGTTTTTTAAGGCTATTAAAGGATTTTAATATCTCATAGCGATCGAAAGGTCTTTATTCCCATTTTAACAAACTATATGAAAAAGATTTTTTTGTGGTATAGGCAAAGATTTACAGGCACTCAGACAGTTGGATTGAGCGAAGTACGAAGTGAGATCAAATAAATTAAAAGAAAAAGAAAAAAATATAAAATTAAAATAAAAATTTGAAATTTGAAATTGAATAAGAATAATAAAAGAAAAAAAAATTATTAAGAAAAATACAATAAAATATAAAAAACAAATACAAATACAAAAAAGAAAAGAAAAGAAAAAGATAGTAAAACGCAATAAACAAATAAATAAATAATACCTTAATTAATCAACTAAATAAATAATATAAATAATAAAATAGACAACAAATTATAATTAAATTAAGTACTATCATTCATTCAGCTTTTTGACTGCAGATTTGTTTATTTCAAATCAGATAAATAGATTAAAAATTTAAAATAATAAAAGCTTTTACAAAACAATTATTTAAGTAATAAATTGGTATGCTAACATTTATAAATTTTTTAGAAAAATAATGCTTTTAACTTATATTTATTTTCCTTTCATTCATTCTATTTAGTTAATCACATTTTAATTTTAATGAAAATATCTTCAAATTAATTTATTTCTTTTTATCGTTGTTTATTTGTTTGTTTGTTTGTTTCTGAAAAACAACTTTTTTTATTTGAAACAAAAAATATTAATATCACATTCGCTTTATTTAAAATTAAACTTTCACAATAAAGATTTATTGATTCAAATATCTAAAAATTTAGAGAGATGTTAATTACGTTTCTATTTATACTTTCCCTCACAGCTGTCGTGGTTTATGCGTCAGTTATGATATGGAAAACTGATTATTCACAAAAGGAAAAAAAAATATTGATTGGCATCCTCTTTGGACTTCTTGTTTTGGTAATAATCGTAAATGAAGCTAAAAATTAAAACTATATATCATTTTCTCTATTGGGATTGCATGAAGCAGATTGCTCTTAAAAATTTTTTTCAATCTTAGAAACATAATAAAATATCCTCACACATAAATATCCTTTGCTGCATATGAATTTTAAGCATGTTCCCGACTAGATTAAGGAAAATTTCGGAAACATAGATTAAATGCCAGAATAAATTGCTAGTTCGTTCTTCTATTTAAGCATATCAGATGAAAATTCAGGAGCTTCTCACACTATGAAACATTACGCCGAGTAACTATAAAAAAATAACATACCTGTTTTATATTTCAGATTAACAAAACAAATTAAAAATGCTTAAGATTTAGAAAATTTACTTCAAATTAAAGGGATAGAAATAATATAAAAGACTATAGCAAAGTTTAATAAATATAGAAACGTGATACCTTTTATTTTAATAGATAACTACTAACTAGCATTTAACGATGGAAAGGATAAAGAAAATTATAGTATTTTGACTAATTTATTAGTTGAGTTATATTTCCAATACTAAGTTAAAATTATATTGCACACTCATAATAAGAATGCAATTACTTAAATAATGCAAGGTAATAATTTTATTTATGTTATTTGATATCTAATTTAAACCAAAATATTTTAATCAATTTACCTAAAATAAATAAATTGATTGTTTTTAATAATCAATTAATAATTTTTTAAATTTATGTTCTAATTTCCCGCCCTTTTATAAAAAATGCAGTTCCAAGAATCTATCAAGTCTTAGATATAATCAAATATAAATCTATCAGCCCATAGCTTGCTTTTGAATATATAAAAGAATATTATTCTGAGTCTGTGAAAGGAGTAAAACAAGAATAGTTGTAGTAAATAGATGACTTTGTAGGATTGAATTATGAAATACTATATAAATTTACTGAAAGTTTTGAAAAGTATCAAGGAGAAGAACAAAGTAATTAAATTATTTATTTATTTACTAGCTAACTTACTAAATAGATTTATTTTATATTAATAAAACTACATTTTTAAAAAATAATAGAATTCATTGAATCTCTTCTATAGGAATACTAAGAAATATTAAATAAAGAATAAAACCTAAAAGATATTTTGTATATAACAAAAGAAGTTAAAGAATTAAAATAAAAAGTTAAATCCTCCAACAAAATTATTCACTTTAGTGAATTAAAGAGCAAAAATATTTAAAATCTGCTTTAATTAATAGATAAATATGAATAAGAAGGATACTTATGGATTGAACAAGGATATGTTAATTTTTATAAACCAGTCCTCAACTCTTTATTCATATGATAGGTTTTAAACAATATATATAATTTAGAATATCTTAATAAAGAAATAATCTGATCTCTTTTTGAATTTATTTTTTTTTAAATTAAGATATTTTATTTGTTTATATTTATCACTTTATATTTTTTCTTGCTAAAATTCATATTTTTTTATACTAAAAAACATTAAAATAAACAAATATTAAATGAAATATGATTGTAAAAAATCTTTAAAATAATATTTTAATATCAAATTTTATAATTATTTATTTATTTATTTATTTTTAATTTTTTAAAATAAATTGGTTTTTGTTTTGAAAAAATATTTTAGATTTTAATTTCTTTAAAAAAATGATCAAATTTTTAAATTAATAATTTTATCTTAGAATATTTGACGTATATCAAGTAGATTATTAGTTAATATATATTTTAAGCAGATCATTATTTTATATTAAATATAATAAAATAACTTTTTTTCTTCTAATTTTTTTTGAAAAATTCTAATAATTGTTATTAGATTTATTTATTTCTTAGAATTTTTAATATTTAAAAAGGATTAATTTCTTTATAAATTTTTCTTAAAAAATCATATTTTTTATGAGATTAAAAACATTTAAAAGAAATATTTAATGATATGTTTTAAATAGATTAAGTTTTAATTTGAATATGGAATTTTTTTATTTTCATTGTTATAAAAATGATAAAAAATAAATTAGGAAAAATATAAAATAAATAAAATTTAATGCTTTTTATGATTGAAATAGCTATTTAGAAATTAATCAAAAATATTTATTTGTTTTTTATTAACTTTATTAGTTTTTTTTAGATTTTTATCAAAGTTTCCTTGTAATTATTTAAGCGAAGATTAAAAATTTTTTTATTCATCACTTGCTTACTTATTTATTTATTAATTAATTCTTTCACTTTATGAATTATTTTAAATATTATTAAACTACTTGTGTAAGTTTATCTTTGAATACAGGTTTTACTAAATAATCTGACATGCCTACATCCAAGCATTTTCTTTTTTCTTATTCATCATCATATCCACTACAAGCAATTATTTTTGTATTTGTTATATTATTTTCTTATAAATATTGATATATCTTTTCTCCTGTTGTTATTCCATCCTGTTCTGGCATAACTATGTCCATAAAAATTATTGCATATCCTTCATCTTTCTGTTGCATATACCTATTTCTAACTAAATCCTCTGCACCTTAACCTCTAATAGCATAATTACATTTTATTTCAGGACATATAGCACTCAATAAGCACTTCATAGCAACTATGTTGTTCATATTATCATCTACTATAAGAACTTATCCCCACTCTTCTTTTATGTTGATTTACGTAGCAATTTTAGTGAGCTTATTTTTAGGATTGGTGTAATCAATTTAGACTTTTGGAGTATCTTATAAGTTAGTAATATCTTAAATACCACTAATTTTTATGAGTTACAGTTTAGATCTCCGTCTTTCTTTCCATAACTACTAAAAATCAGTAAGCAATCTAATCGTACTTCTCTCCTTTTCTGCAGATTCTTCTAATATCATTCAAACAAAAAATTTATTACTAATGAATGTATTACAAATTATCAAAATACTTTTATATTCAAATGTGTTAGACTATTTAAGAGGTGATAAAGGACGAGAAGGTCTTTTATTTTATGAAATCTAAGAATCTGTGGATGATTACATTTTATGAGTTTCCTTACTTCCAAATTTGACTTTTTGTGGACTCAATTCTTCTGAAAATTTGTTTTTACCTACTATGAAAGAATTGTACTATTAAATATTTTTAATAACATTATTTCCTTCATTTTCTTCAGCTATTTTGCTAAATTTTTATTCTTCTTCATCTTCTACGATTTGTGCTTTCAGCTCTTCCTAGGATTTCTCGGATTACTCAGCATTCCAGTCTTATATTTTGAATTGAAAACTTGTTCCTTTACTATATTCACTTTTGACTGTTAATCCTTCCTAAAATAATTCAAAAGTATTATAAAATTTAAACATATTTGATTAAATAAACTACTTTTTGTTCTGAAAGAGAGAAAGCTATCATATTTGAAATAACCAAACCAAGGCCCACACCTTTTTTAAAATAAATTCATTTGTAAAAAATTTTTAATAAAAAAATAAATCTTCTTATTCTTTATAAATAAATTTTTTTATTGCTTAAATAAATGACAAACTTATTAATTTACCTTGCTCATTTAATTTAACAGACTCTTCACCATCTAGTTTGCCAAAAGTCTTGAATAGTTTATTAAGATCTGTTTCTTTAATTCCAATACCTGTATCAATTACATGAACTTAAAATAGAACATTATTTATTATTTAAACTTTAATTGTGATAGATCCTGTGAGAGTGAATTTAAAAGCATTTCCAATTAAATTTATTAATACTTATCTGACTCTATTTTTATCTGATGTAATAAACGATCTCATGTCTTATGGATAGTCTATAACCAAATCAATATGCTATCTTTCAGCTTGGATTTAAAACATTTCTAGAATCTCTAAAATAAGCTCTTTTAGATTGAATGTTTTTTTCCGAATCTAGAACTTGTTGACTTTAATTTAAGCCAAGTCTAGAAGGTCATTAGAGATACATAACAGATATTTTGAGTTCATAAGTGCCGTTTCTATATAATCAATATCAGGTTTATTTTTCATAGACTCTAGCATAGCAATTATGCTGTTTAATGGAGTTCTTAATTCGTGTGATACAAAAGAAACCATTTTTGATTTCTTTTTGCTGATATCTTAAAGTAGCTTAATATATGAACGATGTGTGACATCTCTTACTAAAAGCAGTATAACAGGTTATTAGTTTAGAATATATGTAAATATAGTGATGTCAACTTCTCTAGTGTTTCGATTAATATCTTCATCACTCCATTCTATGTCTTATTTTTCTCTGTTAGTTTTTTCCCCATTCTAAAAATCTAGATTTTTTTGTAAATAACTCATTCTTTTTTTTGTGAGGCTGCTTATTTTTGTTAAAGATTACTACTAATATGAAATGATATTACTTTAATTCTTAAATAAATTCTAGCCTTGATGGTCATTAATATCCTCTTCATTAATTTTTTGCTATCTATAATTTATCAGGTTTTTATTTTAACTATTTTGTTATTTTTCAAGTATAGGCAAAAGACTGCTCTCTGTTTATGTAAAGTTTGTAGCAGGGGACACCAAATCACCTTTTTATCCAAATAGCTAGTTTTTATTTGGGATTGCATTTCCATTACATAATTAATTATTAATAAGAAAACTTGAATTTAAATTATTGTTATTGCTAGTATTATTGTTAGTGTTTATCCAATTTATAGATGGAATAGGCTTGTTATTTTACTGATCTAAGTTTGCAAAATCTACTTAAGAACTCTAATTTGGTTTGAAAAAAACAAAATTTTATTATGGATTTTAATTTTATGCAGATTGTTATGTAAGATTAGATTTTTTAGGTTAGAAATTAGACTGTGCCTATTAAGTTTAGATTATGTTATTTTATTAATTAAGATTGATGCTACAACTACTTTTTTGTGTCTGTAGATTGTTGCTACTTGTATTGATTTTATCAGGAAAAGTTTAATTGTTAGATTACTGAGTTATTTTGTTATTTAGAAGCGAATTAGGAGATCCCATCTTACTTAGTTTTTAGCTCTGGAATTGATGGCTATCATTTTCTTCTGAGTTAAGAAATTCTTCGTCAAAATCAATCAACCCCAGTGTAGCTGTATCATCTGTATTTATTTTTTTATTATCTTTGGATGATTAACTTTTAAATTAAGCTTCTTCACCTTCTTGGCAAGAAATAATAGCTTTTAATTCAGTTTATTCTAGAGAAGATACATACTATGGATTCTTTATCTTATCTTAAGAAAATGCATTGTATTTTATTTTATTTTAATAGCTCCCAGATTGCTACAGTAAATTTATATCAGAAATATTATTATATTCAATTTCTTCTTTATTTTTTGTTGAGTGATGATGATTTAATCTTTATTCACCTGACTTTTAGTGATTTAGCTGCATAGATATAATTTAGTTCAGATAATTTTGATTTTATAGCTAACTTAGAGTACTGTGAGTAGTGCTTGTTCTTTAGTGCATAAAATTTTTTGATAAGCTAGTTTAAATTTACGGTAGTGGTAGACTGGGCTCTTTTTTTAACGTATTAGATTTAAATGATTCCTCTTTCATTAACTTTTCCTAGATAGATACCTTATTATCTCTGTTTAAATTAACACTAGCATTATTTTGATTTATTTAGAAGCTACTAAAAAAACCAAACTGGTTCGAATCTTATTTTTATTACTCGTTCAGTATGATACGAGAGGTAAATGAAAAAGATTGATCAAGTATACAATCTTATTCAATAGTATTTTGTTGTATGTATAAATTAGCTTATTGTATAATTAATTCTACTTCTTAACTTAAATCTTTTGATAAAGAGTATTTCTTTTGAATATTTATGTGACTGTTTGTATCCTAAACAGGGAAATGATTGGTGAATAAGCATTCTTCATATGTATTAAATTAGTTAATTGGATTGAAATTCATATTTATATTTTCTTCTTAAATATTTTTCTTGCTACCACCTGCTTAATAAATAGATCCATTATTATGAAATAAAGAGTTATTAAAGGTATTACGATTTAGGCCATTTAAGGGTAATGTAGTATTACTCTTTTAGCGCACATTATTAGGAGTATTATTGCTTGATTGGAGAATGTAATTAGCAAATTAGCTATAATATTATGAGTTATCATAGTTATTTGGGGTCTATGAAATACTTTATTAATTTATTGTATTCTTTGATTAAATCCCATTTTAAGATACTTGTTAATTTATAAATGAACTAGTCTGTTTTTGTAATTTTTATGTCTGTAAATTAGCTTATTAGTCAACGGAAGGAGGACTATGTGAGCTAGGGATGTATATATTATTTTGAATTGGATTATTTTTAGTAGAAATAGCAGATAGCTTGCGATATACTGGAGGCATATCATGTTGCATTATGTTATTATAAGACTTCATTTTAAATGGGAAGTTATTTTTAGGAGTTTAAATATGCTGATCTGTTCTGAGATTATTATTTATAATGAAGTTCTGAGCTTTTTAACTCTTTTATTTTTAAAGTTAATCTACTTAAAGCTAGTTTTTAAGCTAAAACATCTTTTCTAATAAATCACTTTAATCAGATTAAAAGAACTTATACACACTGTTATTTGCATATAGCAGGTTCATTTAACTATCTATAAACGCAACTCCTTCAGGAAAAAAATTGAAAAAAGCTTTTGAAAGAGAATCGCTTAAGTTGAAATCGTTATTACATTTGCTCATATTAATATTGTCGCTATTTTAAGAATCTAGGCTAGTATTATTACTACAATTATTGCAACCTTCTTTTTAAAATTAGTTTTAAACATTTTTTTGAGAATTCATCGCTTTACATTTGTTTTTTTTACAAAATGTGCTCTTATTTTTATTTAACTTCCTTTAATGCTAGATGTCTTAAATGCCTTAGAGTGAACCTATGTTATTTTCGTCATTAAAAATTTCATTAATCATTTATTTTTATCTACAAAACTTGAATTAAATATTAATGCGCTTATAAATAAAGTAATTTTAATATAATAAGAATAGTATCCCTAAATTATTTATGATTATAATTGTTAAAAGACAAATAATTATTAAATTATCTTATACAATCACTAAGACAATTCTAATTCAGTAGTTTTGTTTTAATAAAGACTATATTTTAATTTATTCATTAATAAATATATAAATAGATAAAAAACCATATTTATCTTACTTATCCTTCCATATTATTTTTATAATAACCTCTAATCAAATAATACTTCATTTTATTTGGATCAAAGCTAAAATTTTGTTGATTTTATATAATTTCCTAAATAAATACTCAATCAAACTCTTTACATTTATAATATTATTTGAAATTTAATCCACATATTCATTAAAGGTATTGTATACAATTCTTTAAACTGAATTTAAAATAATAATAAAATAGTCAAAAAATTTATAAAATTCTAAGCAAGCACTTTAAATTTCTAAGTAAAATTTATCAAGGAACAAAAATTATTTTAATATTAATCAAAAATTATTTGAAAATAACATGAATCAGTTTAAAGTTTAAAGATATTTTTCTATATTTTGGCTATTTCTCTTTTTATTAACCTATTAAGTTACGTTATCCAGCTTATGCAATTAATTTCATAAAATGATAGAGTAAATTAAAAACATATAAAAAATTATATTTATAGAAATATAAAAAATAAATGCTTTTAATTTTTAATCAACTTTAATAAGATTCATTAATTTTAATTTATTTAGCTAAATAAATTTTAATTTAATTAAAAAATAACTTTACTCATTTCTGATTAAAAATAGAACCAAATAATATTACTGATTAAAAAGAATATTTAATGTTAATTAATATTATTTTATTTTAAATATTTCTAATTCTTTTTATGTCATAAGATCAATATATGCTGTTAATTTTACCATAGTTATAATATCCTTTTATCCATTCATAGTAACAAAGAGTTATACTATTGAAAAATAATCTGTGAAAGAATCTATTATGGTACTCAAAGAGTTTGGATGGATTTTTAAAGTAAAAGACAAACATAGATTTTGCTAAATTTGTATATTTATTAGCAATTTGTATCTCTTATTGTTGTAAATTTTTGATATAAGCAATAGATGCTTTTTAAAGTGGATCACTCAACAGCTGTGCTAAAGTTGATGAAATAATTGAGTAATACAATAGAGAATAGTTAGAATATTTATTTCTTATGCTACTATTAAGTGAATCAAATGTACCAAAATAAATTGTGCTAAAAACTATTTTATTATTTGCGAATATAGAAAATTTTGTCATTTATTTAGAATTTAACTTAATTCTATCTAAGATTCTTTAGAATTTGTCTGCAGGCTCGATTATCTAAGCCCGTTTACATATTATATTATATAGCATTTCAAATTAAAATACAAAAGCTGATGCCAAAGAACCAGATAAATAATTAATACCAATTGAATGTAATGGATTTTAAGATTATAAGTCCCAGTATTTGTTTTTTAACCAAAAGTTAATCTCATCTTTGACAGTAAATTGAGCAGTAGAATATAAAATATTTGATAATATATACTTAGGATTCAAAAACTAAATTATAGCCTACAATTTATTTGGTACGATTTGCTGTAATGCTTTGTATCTGTAAAATCTTTCACGAATATGAAATGGTTCAATGTGCTATAAAAAAGTTACTGCTACTTTAGCCATAGCTATAGATTGTATTTCAACAGCTATTTATTATTTACGATTTTTAAAGCTGTACTCTTGCTAAATATGAGGAATTTAGGCATCTTATAGGCTCTCTTTATCTAAAATAGTTAACAAAGTTTCATCTATTTCATTAATATGAATAGCTTTATCTTTATTTTAACTTTGAAATGGTTTATTAGAAATTTAACTCATATCAATTTTAATGCTAAAACTATTATAACTTGCAAGTAGCAATAATCGATTAAAGGCTTAATTAATTTAAGATTTTTAATTTTTCTTAATTATTTTGTTGTTGTTGTTCTTCTTCTTCTCCTTCTACTAGCTTGCTTGCTCTTTTAAAAAGATTTTTTATTTTTAATTGAAAAGATAGATGAATTTAGAACTAATAAGAAACTAATAGATTTTTCTGTTGAAATATAATCAGATAATAAAAATTTGTAATATCCAAATAATTTTTATAAAAATTATTTTACATTTGTAAGAATAATTTATTTACTAAAAAATTCAATAATATTTTTAATTTTGAAGATTGTATTATTTAGAATAGCATTAAAATAAGTATTGATATTAATATTAATTATTCTTTTTATTAAATTTGTATAAAAAATTTATTACAAAATCTTTAATAAATTTATTATATTTCTTATTTGTTTTCAAAAGATTAGGCGGCTTTTCAGATCAATTAATAATTCATTTTTTAAGTTAGCAATAAAAAGATTATAAAAAAATAAGTTAGATGTCGGGAGATCAACTGCCAACTCTAAAGAGAAGAGCATATAAAGATTAAGTTTTCTGCTGGATTGGTAATCAATAAATTTTGAAAACAAGAGCTTGATGAAATATTATTATTCGAATTCATCATTATATAAAATGGAATTAATTAGTTAACCAAATTAAACCAAATTAATTTGAACAAATAATTAGCACAAATAAGAAAATAAATAGCTAGTTGGAAACTGTAGTTTCTACAAAGAATTTTATTTTAGAATTCATTATTGTGTTCAAAAGTATTTATTTTTAAATATTTATTTTGAAAATTTAGAATCTGGCGAAACAGAAAAAGTTATTAAGTTCATAGACGCTTACGAACACCATGCAAAGCAATTTGTCACTATGAATAGCTGGAGTATACCTATGTTCGCTTGTAGATATGGAAATTTATAATTATTGGAATTTTTGCACAAAAAAAAATTAATATATGAAGGAAATTATTAATATACTTTAGTCCATGCTGCTTGCTTTGGTAATGAGATTGAAGTCTTAAAATATCTTCTAGATGTACTCAAAAAAGATCCAGTTCCCATGAATGAGTAATAGCCTCCTTTAAAAATATGTTTCAGAGCAGAAAATCAATCTTTGGCAGAGTTATTAATAAGCAGAGGAGCTTACTTTTAGTATGGATCTTTTTGTCACAATGTAAGGTTAGAAACTGTAATGCCTTAAAATCCTTAATAATAACCTTAGCACAAATATAAAACAATTTAACGTGATCCAAAAAATAACGAAATAGTTGAAATTGAAGTACCTGCATCTCTGGTCTTTTAAAGTACCAGTATACCCAAAGATAGTAACATGCTACCCTTCTTAAGATTCAGCAGAATACGTAACTTTATCTATGTTAGAAGAGTATATGAAAACTAAACAGTGCCTTTCAATGATGAAAAAAAGAAGGAAAACTTCTACTCTTTTGCAAAAATTGCTTTCGAAAACCCTATGAGAAGAGAAAGAATACTTGAGTATTTAATAGGTAACAAAGAGGTTCGTGATAATGGGGGGCAATAATAACCTTAATTAACTAATGTAAGCAACTAAGTACCACCTGTAGCTTATAACAAACCTGTTTAATATCAAAACCCTCCAAATTAGAATCCTTAACAAATGATGCCAAATTAGAATTATAATTAATAAGTTCCTTTATAAGGAGCCCCTCATAATTATTAGAACTAAGGATAACCATAGAACCCAAATTACTAACCAGTTTAGTAACATCCATAATAAAATAATTAAGTTCCTCCACAATTTAATAATGCTTAAAATCATCCAAATCCAAATTGAAAAATAAATTTAGTGCAAATAATTTAAACATTTTATATTTTATCAAAATCAAAAAGATTAATTTTATTCATAAAATTCAAAAATAAATAAATAAATAATCTATATTTTAATGTTAATAGTTGATTTAATATAAGTATTTCTACTAAAAAAATTACTTTCTATCTTTTTAAAACTTAAGGAAAGATTATATTTTAAATTAAAAACCTTAAAAAAATATATCAAAACATGATTATTTTTTATATTCTTAATTACTTTAAATAAAAAGAGTTATTTTAATTTGAGTTTATAAATTCACAAATGTAAGAATTCATTAAATTATTTAGATTTTTTAATGATTTTCAATATATAAAAAAGTAAATTAATCTGATAGAAATATATTAGTGAGAATCATTTTTTAATATTGATCTATTTTTTTTATCTCAAAATTAAAAACTATTTATTATTAATTAAGTTGAAATTGAAAATTTGGTCATAATAACTTCAAAAATGATTCAGTAAATTTATAAAATAATATTCATATAACGCTTAAGCATGAAAGATTAAAATTTGTAAATTTAAAAAAAAAGCATTTAAAACAGAAAAAAAACATATTAATGTAAAATACTAATTAAAATACATTATTTGACTTCTAAAAAATTAGATTTTTTTAAATTAAAATCACATAGATTAGCTGATACTTATTTTACTATTATAAAGAAAGTAAAAAATATTTGGTTTTTTAAATTAAAATGATTTATAACTTCAAAACTAATTCTTTTTTAGAAATATCTTCAATACACAATTGATTGCTGCTAATAAAAAATTAAAGTTAATTCTTTTTGTTGAAAATGCTTTCAAATATAAAACAATTTATTATTTTCAATAATAATTTTAGACGAAATCTAAAGCTTATGGTATCAAATTTTTATACAATTATTTATTTTTGTTACAATTATTTACTTCAGTCTTACCAAAAAATTATGAAAATTTTTGTTATTTAGATAATCTTTATTTACTAATAAAAAAATTTAGTCAGCCCTATTAACTTATTGAGAAATGATAAGAAAATTTTCTAAATCATAAAAATGATAAAAAATGAAAACTTCTCATTTAGTTAAAAATGATAAAACAATAATAATTTGCTTATCAATTATGGCTTCTTTGAGATTTTAGTTTTATTTTTTAATGAAAAGTAATAAAATTTACATGAATGAATTTGTATAAAATAAACACTTTTAAAAATAAGTAAATGACATTTGATTTTTATAAAAAAATTTTTTTGATCTGTGACAGTGCGAATTACACTAATTCTTATTAATTAAAGTGATTTACAATCAATTTTCAGCCAAATATAAAGAAACTAATTTGTATCACATTTCTATATTTGAATTAAGTTTTAATTAAAAAACAATAAAATTCAATATCTAATATTACTGTTGATTTTTTTTTACATTAATTTACTAGTTATATTCATGCTCTTATAATATTGAGATAATCATTTGATTGAAATTTGGTGATTTTTTTAATTGAATTTATAAATTTTAAGTTTATTCAATATGATTACAATCGATAAATAATACAAATTTTTTTATCAATTTGATAACTTTGAACCCATTTTTATTTATTTTTCTTTCTTTATAAAATGTTATTGAAGGATTATTCAAACAAAAGTGATACTTTATTTATTAACATTTATTTTTGTTCATAACTACTCCAATGTAAACAATGCTTAAGAAATTGAATTTTTTAAAATATATGCAGTAATTTCAAACAAAAATTTTTATTTGCATTTTTATAGCATTTTATATGTATTTTACATTAGAAAAAAAATAGAGATTCCACCAGAATTTTGTATATACGCTTGGATAAAATAAATAAAAAAAATCAATTTTTCAGATATTTTTATTAAAGATTATTTATTCATAATTTGCGAATATTATTATATGCTAATTGAGTTTTTGATATTAAAAGTTCAATGTAAGGTTAAACAAATTAATAGAAAATTTTTTGTATTTATTTACTAGACATCAAATTTGTGGAAAACATACATGAATAACAATCTACTATTTTTGAAGTTATTGATTTTTTAAACGCTATAATATGATAAATTATGTTGATTAAAAAAAAGAATGGTAAATAGATAAATAAGAGAGAGCTTATTTAATTTATATAAGTAAATTAATAATAAATATCAATCAATTAAATAAATAAATAGATTTTTTGTTTAAAGCCCAGTAAATAATTTATTTTTATATAATTAATATTAAACTAAAAAATAATTAAAACAAAAATGAGAAAATTTTACATAATAACTTTTTTCTTATAGTTAACTTAATTTTTGAAAGCTTAGAAATGCTAAGCTGGATATTATGGAACTTCAGAATGCTTATAATGCCCAAATAATATGATGTCAAATCCCTCTAACAATCATTCTATAGATTAGTGTTATAATTGCCCAGATGGCTACTATTTTAATAGTGTAGATTGCTTAAAGTGCAAAGCAGGAACATATTCCTAAAATGGAAAGTGTATTACTTGCGAAGATGGAACTTCATCTGAAGAAGGTTCATTGTTTTGCTATGAATGCCCTCCTGGTCAATATTCAAAAAATGGAGAAAAATGCAAGGAATGTCCCATAGGATATTATTCTCCAAATGTAAAATCTTCCTCTTGCATCAAATGCCATCCATAAAAAGCTTCAAATAAAGGATCTTGGATGTGTAATTATTGCTAACCTGGAGAATATGCGAAAGATGGTGAATGCTTAATATGCCCAAGTGGAACTTATTCTAAGTTTGGCTCTATTTACTGCGCAAAGTGCGAGCTGGGATAAGGTTCTAATCCTGGTTCATCAATGTGCATTGATTGCCCTCCAGGAACTATTTCATAGTAAGGGAGATGCATAAATTGCTATGCTGGATCAACAACAACCGAATATAATTAAATTGTTTGCAGTAGATGTCCAGATGGCTAATATTCTGAACCTGGAGGTCAGTGTAAGTTTTGTGAACCAGGAACCTATATAAGCTCATTTCGTTAAAAAAGTTGTGTACCATGCAAAAGAGGACTCACTTCTTATCAAGGAAGTTAATGTTTCGAATGTCCTTAAGGTTCTTTACTAATTGATAATAAATGTGTTTGTGGCAAAAATTAATTTATGGTAGGCGAATACCCTAATTTTACATGCTAAAGTTGTTAACAAGGTTTTTTTTCAGAAGAAGGATCTAGTTCTCCTGAGGAATGTTAGCCATCACAAATAATTAATGCACATGCTTCTTTCAATTCTTCTGATATATTAAAAACTTTATCTATTTACTTAATTTTTCTGATGCTTTACATTTGAAAAAAAAAGTAAATAAAATTATATTAAAATATCATTAAAAAATTCTTAAAAATAATTAAAAATATTTATTTATACTCAAGTTATATAAAAAAAATAAAATTAATTTATATTGCAAGTTTTTATTAAAAAATTGTACTTAATTTATCGATTTTAGTTAAAGAGTATGTAATTAATTGTTTTTATTTAACATTTATTTCAGATAAAAAATATTCAAAAAAAATACTTTTATCATTATGTTAAAATATTTTTTCATATTTTGTTTGTTTTAAGGGTTTAGGGATTTAACTTAATTTTTTTGAGCTAATTAGAATTGAATTAAATTAGTTATTTAAGTAGTAATTAATTATGAAGCAAAAAGATTCATACATACAAGTAATTTATTTATTTATTTGTGTAATTTGTAATACGGAAAAGATTTTAAGTTAATTAATTTAATGAAATGAAAAAATAATTGTATTGGTTGTAAATTGATCTATAAAATATTTACATTAGAAACAAAAAATGAAGTAAAGAAGATAAAGGGAGAAATCTTAGCATATAATTGGAAAGAAGGAAAGGGGAGTGAATAAAGATGGTCTTGGCTTTCAGCTAAATTAATTGGGTTGAAAATTAATAAAATATCTTGAAAGAAGTAAAAAAGGAAGAAAAATACAAAGAAACTCAAAAAACAAGAAAAATTAAAAGCAAAAAGAGAGGAAATTAAAAAGTTGCTTTTAAAAGGAATAAAAATAAAGACAAAAGAAACAAATAAAGGTTTACAAGGAAACCAAAATAATAATATAAAACAAAGAAAGAAAATACTTAAACAAAAAGAAAATATTAAAAATGACCATCGTTATCAGAACCAAGAAGATTTTAGTCAATCCCTTACTCTCAAGAAGATAATTATCTCTTGACGTCTTACACCCTGATTCCCCTACCGCTTCCAAGGAAAAGATCAGAGAAGAATTGGCCAAGCAACTCAAGGTCGATGCTAGAAACGTCGTCGTTTATGGTTTCTCCACCCAATATGGTGGTGGTAAGTCCACTGGTTTCGCTCTTGTCTATGACAACCAATAATACCTTCTTAAGTATGAACCTAACTACAGACTTAGAAAGGTTAAAATCCTCGGTGAAAAGCCCAACACCAGAAGATCTTTCAAGGAATTGAAGAGAAAGATCAAGAGGTAATTCATCAATAATTATATTAAAAATACATAATTTTACTAAAGTTCATAAAGATTTAACATTTTTTAATTTGCAAACGCTTTAAAATGTCAGATGCATATATTAGTCGTAAAATTCCAAAAAAGGAGATAATAAATAGAATAATTTGTATAAGAAATACTCCTAAAATTATTAATGTGCAGATTATTTTATGATTTAAGAGGTGGCGATTGAAGCATTTATCAAATCTCTTCTACTTATAAATAAATACAAATAAACATGGTTCAAAAGTAACTCAATACTTTGATAAACTCTCATTAAAGTGTCTTAGATTTCACATAGGTTGATTAATAGTTATTAGACTAAGCATAATTTCAATCATACTAATTAGAATTCTAGTTTTTTGATTTGTTTTATAAGTGGGATATTTAGGAGAATAGCAGAGCATAAAGCAAAATAAAAAAAAGCAATTAATTAATAGTGATAGATGGAATAATAAATAGACATTTCAACTCTAAGTAGACCATAAAAAATAGTTAATAACCAGTCTAACTCACTCTCCTTAAATATTTTATATAAAAATAACCATTAATTAAATTTTAGCTGTTAAGAGTAAAAGCTAAGCATGATGAAACATAAATAAATAGATTAGAATATATAAATAAAAGAAAAAACACATTCATGAGTATTTCAAAATATAAAATTAGCTGCCACCTATACCAAATATATTCTATTTTCATATTCTCTAAATAAGTTGTAATAACCACAAATAATCTAGCCATATGTAATATCTAAAACCAATAACTAATAATTATATTGTCTGACTAAGATTGGAATTGCACTAAATGAAATTTGATGTATTAATAATAGATTTATCTAACAAAAATAATCACTATTAATATTAAGTTAAGATAAGAAAAATAGAAAAATGAAAATAAATCTAATTTAGTTAAAACACAAAAATTTGTTGTTCAAAAATTGAAGCGTTTGCAGTTATAAATTTGTGAAATAAATATGAATTTTCATATTATTTGGAAATATTTTTTTAATTTAATTTATTAAAAATAGAACCTCCGGTAAGGCTATCACTAAGCTCTTATCTGAAAAGAAGGGTGACACTTGGGCCTCCGTCCAATCTAAGAAGTCTGATCACCTCAAGAACTTCGTTGCTAAGTGATTGGAATAATGAATTTATATAAATATAACTTTTAAGAAATATAAAATACTACAAAGGCATTTATTAAGTAAAATCTATATCGCATATAGTCTTCGTATTTAAACTTAGAATTATTCCCAAGCATGCTTTTTACTATCTAAATTGTATCTTTAATTAAACCTTTAAAATTTTGACCATCGATAATTTTAAATATAAAAAGAATTGTATTTATATCTATATATATAAATCTTAAAAAGCTAAAAAAACAAAGAAACATTCTAAAAATAAATACAAAAATCTTCATAGCCTTCTTAAAGATAAATTTAATTATTTTTAATATCTTATTAGAGGCAAAAAAATAGATCAAAGTTTCCTAAGTATAATATTTCAAACATAAAATATTGAAAAGTAGAGATAAGATTTGATCAATATTAATAAAAAATATTCATTACCTTGTTATTAAACGAAAATTAATATTATTAAATCAATATTTTAAATTAAATAAAATAATTTTAAATAAAAAATTTAAATACACTTTTTCATAATAAAATTTTAAATCAAAATACCTAATAAAAATAGCTATTATTTATTAAATAATGTTTAAAAATTATAAAATTGAAAGAAAAATTAAAACCAGTTTTTGGGTTTTAAAGTAGGCAATAATTTTTTTGTTTTGAATGTTGAATTAAAATAAATAAAACTATTTAACACTTGCTACTCAAAAAGAGGTAGAAAAAGTAAGTTAAATAGCAAAATAATTCAAAAATTTTTCTATTTTAGCTATTAAAAATAATTAATTTATATCAACATAAAATATAACAGGATACATTAATTATTTAAATTTTATAAACATATTAAATACATCAAGAAGTATTTCTCTCATATTTGTAATTAAATTTCTTTTTAACTTTTTGCTAAAATAATAAATTCTTTTATTTGTCTTTATTCATGAAATTCATAAATAAAGTAAAATAACTTTATTTCTAAGAATAATAAAATATTTTAAACATAATACCAAACAAAAATTAATTTCAAATTTTTTGTATTTCAACTGCCAAAATTTAATTAAAATCAGTTAATAAATACAAATTATTGATATTTTTATATAACTTTATTCCTCAAGTCAAGTGCCTATCACATAACTTGGATGATGCCATTTTTCATAATAAACTTCATCTGAAAGACTGAGCCATTTGACTTTGAACTAGGAATTAGGCTATTTAATATGAAAAAATGCTTCATCTAAAAATAGTAAAAGAATTATTTTTTCAAATTTCAAATTTGTTGAAATTAGGCAAAAAATATTTTTGGTCCTAATTAAATAATATAAATTGAAAAAGTGAGAAGATTTTAGGAATAATTTAAAAATTAGTTCAATATCTTCTCTATTTAATAATCTAATAAAAAAACAAATAAATTTACAAATTATTTGATTAAATTAATTTTTTTTTTTGAGTAAACAAAAAAACAATAAAAAAAAATAATTTAATAATTTAAACTTTAAAAATAAAAATAGATTATTTAAGATATTTATAATTATTTTTATCATAAAAAATAAAAGATAAAACAAATAAATAAATAAATTGTACAAAATTTTGATAAATAAACAAATTTAAAATATTTTTTACCACTAATTAATTAATTATAAATAATTAGTGATTGATTTATTATTTTTAACCAAGTGCTTTTTTATTATTTTTTTATAAATTCAATTTAAATACTTTTACTTTGGATTGTATTTAGATTTATTAATAATTTCTATTATCTCATTAATTTCGTATTCTCTTTCTTTTTCGCTGTTCTTTTAATTTAATTACGCAAGACTTTACAGTTTATATTTTGTCTATTTATTAAAATAATTTTATTGTAATTAAAATTAAAAAATATATATTTTGTCAATACCTTTTGATTTGAATTTAGATTTTAAGCTTTCTTTTTCTTGACTGTAATTAAAAATTTTATTTTCTGCTTTTTGAGAGTCTCCAAAATACGGAAAAGAGCTTAAACTGGTTCTATAATTACATGAGCCTTTATTATTAATAAAAATGTAATATTTAGAGAAGAAAAAAATTTTTACTTTTATTTAATGGTTCCAGAGCTCGTCAGCTAGAATAAACTTTTCTTCTTTAAGGTCTTCATCAATGCTAATTATTATAGCTTCTATTTCATTATAGTCTTAAAGTTATTGCTAAATTTGTGTTTCCTAATTCTAAAAATAAAAATATTATTTAGGGAATTAAATAATCTTGCTTACATCATATTGAGATAGAATTGGCCTGAAGAAATGATTAAATAATTCATCAATATAAACCTAAAATCCAATACCCTCAGGTGCCTGCTATTTTTATTTCTAACTTTCAACAAAAAAGTGATCATATCTACCTCCTTTTATAAATATTTTAGCAAGAATATTTGATTCTTGATGTGTATTAATTTCTTTTAATTTATTGCTTCTCTTCTTAATAAATTCAAGCTCTTCGTAATTTATAATATCGAAAAGAAGTCCTGAGTGATACATCAGATTGTCTGGTAGTAAGCAAGTATCGAAATATAGTGTTTCTTTTGGAATTTTAAATAGGTCTAAATACGAAGTTAATTCTAATAAATATTAATGTATTAAGTTTATTTCATTTTAATATTTTATAAATCTTTCTTCAAGATATTCTTTAAAAGTGTCTAAATTTGCAGAGCTTATTTTGAAAAAACTTATGATTTGGTGAAATATTTCTTTTTATATCCCATATTAATCAATAAAAATTTATTCCAGTTAATTAATTTATCTGAAATCATTTTCTCTTAAGTCTTAAATTTTTTCCATAATAGATTTATCTGCTAAAATCTTAAGTAATGTCTCTTCTTAGATTGATATGCTTGAAATCAGCATATCAAGTAGCCCTGAAAATCCTATTCTTATTTTATATTTAGTAGTATCTTTGCAAAACATTCTTATAACTTCATAAGCAACTCTTATCAGATTTGCTTCATAATATTATCTAACAGAGCTAATGTCTTAAGATTAATATTCTTCATCCTTAATATAAACCTATTTATTTATTAAATACAGCAAATCAAAATAAATATTTTAATTTATGAGTAAATATAAAATTCAATAATAAATTTTTCGTATAAAAAAATATTTTTAGATAATTATGCTTGCTTAAACAATTAATTACAATATCAAAAGAGGCTCTCTTATTCTCAACAGGGTAGAATTTCTTTTTTTCAGAGTCTTAAAATTGAATGCACGCAAAAGTATAACGTTTTATCATACTTGAAAGCTCTTTCTGCAAAAGATTATCTCTTTTTTCAAGCTTTTTCATTTAAATATAATGTCGGGTTTTAACTTTTTGAATCCATGGCGTTAGCAAATTATCTGAAAACTCAACAAGAGTTCCTGTATTAGCTAACATAATAGATTTATACTACCTTTTAATTATATTATGATACATTTTAACTCTGAATTGAAGTCTACTCTGTTTTGTATTCAAATATAGCTTATTTAGGTATATATTTTCTGTTAATGGTACTAAAGGATTAGCCTCCAAATTTATACCTCCATGAGCTTCAAAGACAGATTTGATTCTATCTTATATCAATTAATAAGATTAAGTAAATCTAATAAGTTTGATGTAAGGCTCTACAGTGTATATAGCACTAGGTAGATTTTAAACTTTAAATAGATATTCTATGAGTTTTCTGTGATCTGCATTATTTGGGTTTGTAATCTAACTTAGATGCTCTAAATATTACTCATCTTCAAGGGTCTTCAAGAGTTCTTCTGCTGAATATCTTTTACTCGGATCAGGGTCAAGTAATTTAGTTAGTATATCCCTTATTTCCTTAGCATCATTTCCAACTTTCAAATTAAAATCTTAAGGAAGTTGATTCTTTTCTCTTATTTCTTTGAGTGTTTGATATTTTTCCATAAAAGTGGGGAGTGGGTACCACATTTCAAATATAATTACTCCTATTTTATTGATTTTAAATATCAAGTTATTAAAGTATTATTTTGCTTAATTTAAAATACCTAACGAAAACATATCTGCTTTAGTGCAGTAACTTGAAGTATTTTCCTATTCAGGTGCTCTATATACTCCAGTTCCTACACCTCTCGTGATTTCTGAGGGGAAATAATTATTTGAATTTTCGCTTTTTTTATCTTTATAATCTATTTCACCAGGTAAGCTACTGGCATTATAGAAGTTACTTTATACGGAACTTGCTCTTTTTAGATTTAAGACAGCTTTTCTTTCTATTTATCTTTCTTTTTTTAAAGTTGTTGCTAGACCAAAATCAACTAATTTAATTTATCCACTTTAATCAAGTAAAATGTTTTGTGGCTTTAAATCTCTATGAATTAACTCTTTTTCATGAAGGTATTTCAAGGCTTCTAATATCTGAGCCAATAAAGATTTTTTTTGTTTGGAAGATATTCTCTTTTCCCTTTTTTGAATATATTTAAAATTTTGCTATTGAACAATAAATAAATAACTCTACTTACTTTTCAGCACAAAAGAAATGATTATCTATCATCTCTCTTAAGGTACTTCCTCCACAGAACTCCATTTAAATGTGCAATAAACGGAAATCTTTACTCTTCTTTTTCTTGTGATGTTTCTTTTTATCTTCTTTAGTAAAAAAATCAGTCTCATCTATGTCTTAGATTTAACTTTCTTTCCTTTTATGAGTCTCTTATTTATTATTGGCAGTAGAACTATTTTAATTTTTTTATTTTTACTCTTCGTCCCCATCGCTGTCTTCAAAAACTATACCATTATCTGAACTATTTTAAATCATCAAATTAGATATGCAGGAATAATGACTATGATTATATTTGTTTACTAATTTTCAAATTCAAATGGCAATGAACTTTCTTCTGAAGATTCTATAAATTCGAAGCACATTGAACTTTCTTTACTGGCTTTAGAGGGAGCGCTATCGTTTTCTGATGAACATTCTTCTTCTTTTGAATCTTCTCTAAGCTCGTCTTCCTCTTCAGAGTTTTCAAACTCTTATAACGTTTTCTCGTCAGGTTTTTCTAACCAAGCCTTACATAATTTTTACATAAATTGATTATCTGATTTAATTTCTCCAAAATACTTACTTAATAGTATCTGACAATATGATTGTGCTGCAATATGCTCAATAATTTAACTTCTTTAAGAGTTTTTTTTGTTAACTCTTTTTAGTTAATATCAAGCTTAATTTTTTTTACAGCATAATTTAAGCTGTCAAGTCTGTTTTTAACTTTGTAAACTTATCCAAATCCACCTTTTCCAATTTATTCAACCTCTTCAAAATTAGTTTTATATGCACTCTTCAAATTTTCAAGAACCTTTTCCTCTTATTAATCTTAGTCTGTCGAAGATAAGGACTATCTTGATAAGTTAACTTCTTCTCTAAAATCTCCTAACAATTTATCTTAATACTCATATACAAAACTCTTTTTGATTGCATAACTTTAGAGCTAATCAAGACTGCTTTTATTTTTACTCATAGAATTATCAATACAAGACATGTCGCTTTGCTTAACATTCTAAGGTAGTGTATGTACAGTATCAGCATTTTCATCTTAATCTTCTAGTATAGTTGAAGGGTTTTTATACATTTGAAGTTACTATTATTAGCCTTTTGCTTATTGCTATTAAATCCATTCCTCATCAAATTCCTTTACAAAATCTAAAATCATACTACAAATATTAAACACACTCTCTTCCATTTTTTCCTATTACTTCTTTGCTACTTTTTTTATATCTTCAATGAGTTAAGATCTGAATTTCTATTTATTAATTTAATACACCTCAATTACACAAAAATTAATTAAATGTTTTAGAATATCATTATATCATTCAAAAAATATTATAATTTCTTTTTAACAATTTTTAAATATTTCATATTCCTTGTCTTAAGATATTTAAAATTAAAATTACAGTAGCATCTATTCTATCAGGAATATTTTATTTTGGTTCTACTACAAAATGCACAGGCGTGAAAGGATACTCAATTGTATATGTATACTTAAATCTTATGATAGTTCTTAAATTCTCAGGTATCCTGCTTTGGAATAGATCAATCTATATTTATCCCATTATTTTTTTGCTATGAGGAATAATAATTTTCATTTAGTCCTATAATAATATATTATAATTTCTGCAGTGAATCATATTAATTTTTAATTAAATAAATGACTTACTTCAAATATGCATTTTAATACATCAATTTCTCTTATAATTAAGTTAAAGCTTTCATCGCTTTGTTCAGTGGGTTTTACTTTTTATTCTTTACCTAATTTTTTTAGTGACTTTTTTGATAGCTTTTCTAATGCTTCTAGTGAAGGCGATTTATAATCTAGAGAAGAAAAAGACTACTTTATATTCATTGGATTTGTGCTTTAATCTTGAATTATATTTGACTGCGAATCTTTAAATAGTATATTTTCTTCATTGCTACCATATTCCTATCAAAGTATTTAAAATAAAAATCCTTATAAAATTTCACTTTTTACACAATTTATTTGAATAAAATTACAATATTATGTTTTTCTGAACTATAATTTTTCAAACCAGCTTATGACTGATTGAATTAATTTATTTCTTTGCCATTTGCTGATTTCTTTTTTTTATTTTTTGTTTTATTCTACGTTTTAGGAAAATTAGGATAATCTAAAGCGTATTAAGAGTCATTTTGCAAAATTTTATTTTGATTTTATTGAGCAGATATATCCTAAGAAGCTATTTATTTTTATTTTTTGCTACTTCCTCTGTTATCCTATATATATAAAATGGTGCTATAAGAGCCAATAAAACACAAAATAGCTTTCAATAAAATAAATGCAGCTAATAAAATAAATTTTATTGACCTTCTCTCTTTACTATTGCATATAATCCTATAAAAACTATCAAATTAAGACTGATTTTGTGAAATTAATTACGAAATAATTAATATCAGTGGTTTATAAAAATGTTTATATTTGATCAAACTTTATTAAAAATAGCTTATTTTTTTTATGTTTAACAAATAATAAAATATATAAATAAATAAAGAAGAAAGATAGAAAGATTAGATTCATTTACTATCAAAAAATTTAGTTGTAAATCTTTTACATATCATCTGAATTATAAATTTTCTAACGTGTTGTTGATCAAATTACTTCAAATATTTTTAACATAATAAATATCTTATTTTCTTACTTTGTCTGTCAATCCATAATGTATTTATTTGTATATTTATTTATAAATTCATTCATTTATTATTTTAAAATCTAAGAAGGAAGCGTTGAACATAAAATACTACTCGAGTTTTAATGGTTTAATAAGTTTACATTAATATTTAATATATCAAGCAAAATAAATTTATTTTTAAAAATAATTCTAAATTGTGAAGGTTAATGAATTATCTGAAAAACAAAAATGTGTCAACAAACAAATAAAATTAGACATAGGATAATGAAATAAGTATTAATGATTAAGTATTTATTTATATACATAAATAATATTTTTGAAATTAGCTTTGAAAATAATATTAAGAATAGATCAACTACTTAATAGTATATATATGGTTTATTTATGGTAATGCAGTTAATTAGGTTAATTCTCACATTCAAGAGCTCTTAGGTCATCCAAATCAAATTAGAGTCGAATTATTCCATAAATTTTTAAAAGTGGGTCAAAAAAATAGTTACTATATAATTGCATGTATTAATTATTAAAATTAAATGCATATTGGTAAATATTTATTTTATAGGTAGTTTTAGAGAGCGAGAAGTAGGAGTATAATAATTATAGCAGGGCAAATCTCAAACTCTAATTTTATTATAATTATCTTAGATATTTTATATGTTTAATACTAAAATTCACATTAGTGGTTTAATTACTCGCTTATAATTAGTGAGTTAATTTGTTTATTTATTCTGTATTAAAAGTTATTTTCTATTTCTTTAATATAGTAGTACATCATTTACTGAGTCTTATAATTATTTAGATTTTTATATTATTTATGCTAAGAGTTTGATTACTCTTTTTTTTTAATTTGTTTGTTTGTTTGTTTGATTGATTGGATTGTTTGTTTATTGTTAGTATAATATATGTTTATATTCATATTTGAAACAGAAAAAGAAAAGCTTCATTCCTTAGAAATTTTAGTGTTTGTTAGACAATTAGTTTACATATTTGTTTTTAGTAAGAGGTTTTTTTAAATTAAAAGTATGGAAAAATTTTAAGCTTCTTTTTTATTTATCAGCTAATAAAGCATTTAGAGATAATTTTTTTTTGGAAAGAAGCATAATATTTACCAAAACTTTTCATCTTCAATTAACTTCTTACTCAACCTTTTCTACTTCCATATTCAATGAGTTCTTTCTGCTTGTCTTACGATTAGATTAAGGAGGGCTTTATGTTAAAGACTATTCAGTTTATTATATGGGGGAAGATAATGCTTTGTTTGCTTCATTTAAATTTTTTACTGATTTTTTTTGTTAATTCTATTCTTTTTTCAGTTTTTATTTAGATTATTTTTCAGCCTTTTATATTTTCTTTTGAATTCTCTAAGGTTCAGTTGAGTTCTCTCTAGTCTCTGCCTTGTGATTATTTGAGTCTTCATCAGATTCTATGGTGGCAGCTTTTTTACTTTTACGTCCTCTTTTCTTTTTTTCAGGTACAACTACTGGTATCATAGATTTTTTCATTTCAACTTACTCTTCACTTGAATTTTATTCTTTGCTGGTTTCCTCTTCACTCGCCATATTTTCTTATTCCTCTAATTATTTTTATTTTAACCAAGCTTAGAAATTTTTCACTTCAGTTCTATTTTTTAATTCAGGGCGATTTTTAAGAAGAGTAAGTATGAAATCGTTGTGATCGATACTAACATTATCTGAGGCACATCTACATTATTTGGATTGAGGGAAAAAGTCTAACCATCCAAGTGTAGCATAATTAACAGCTTCAGCAATATTGTATCCCCAATTAAAACCATGATGGTAAGCTCCACTGAATACAACTATGAATTCACCAGCTTCTTGAGACATCTTAGAAATCTTAATATCACCTTTTAATTTCTTTATCATTTAGTAAGGATTAATCACAGTAGTTTTGTGTCTGAGGAATTCAGGACATTTAGCAAAGCTTTCTGCAAAATTAGCCTTTGCAAATGACTCAAGCTTGTGAGCGTCTGATCTAGCGATGCAATACCAGAATCTATAAAAATAATAAAAGTATATTTAAATAAAAATTATAAAGCATACCAAATTAAATTAATGAATTAAATTTTTACTTTGGTTTTCCGTAATGGAGGTAGTTCAGAGCTCCTAAATCAAGATCTTCTTTATGCCAAGCGAACAAAGTTTTCCAGCTTCCAATATATAAATAGGGAGTATTAACACCAGCAATATTAGAAGTCAAACCATCACTTTTAATATTTACAAAAGTAAAGTTATTTAATTAAATTAGAATTTTTAATTAAATTTAAGAATTAAATAGTTTAAATTACTTCATGATAGAGCGCATTTCTTTCATATTCCATTTAACGCCGTCATCGAAGAGACTCATTTGCATGTCTGAACCGTATAGAGGAGGACTGAAAGAGATATTCTTCCAAAACTGCATTTTTGTTATAAAAGAATTATGAGCAACGATTTGTTGATGGAAATTTGTTGCATAAGTAGAAATGAAATAAAAATCTTACCAAATCTTCAACCTTCTCAATAGTTTTATTATCAGTTACCTTATCAAAATCCCTTGCTTTTTTTTTGTATTCACGGAAAGGTATCGACTTTTTCATAATATGGATGCATTCATAGATACCTATAAATAAATAGAAAATGGTTAAAATATTTACTAGTATATTTAAAGAAAAGAGATTGATAGATATAATGTTTTTTGTTGTTATTAATCAGAAATGACAAAAAGTCATAATCTGATTGGATAATCTTTGCTTTCAAGCGATTTTTGGAATGAATTAATGAATCATCCCGCTGCTTGGGAGGGAATTAAATTTTCTTAATATAAGAAATTAATTTAAACAGTGAGTTGAAGGAGGGGGAAAAAAGGGCTTTTAAAATAGAGGAAAGGAGAAAGTTTGTAAAATTAATAATTATCCCTTTTAATTAAATATTTAATTAAAGATTGTATCGAAAAAAAAAAAAGAAAAGGGTTGTTTGAAGGTTCAAAAATAAGAAACTAGATTATTTTATATTTTATTATTAGGAAAATAAAGTAGAAAATATATAAGAATGAGTAGAAGTTAATTATTTACCTCCTTTGCCATAAGGATTTTATTCAATAGGGCCAACAATCATTTTATCATCAAGGCTTTCTTCATAGTCAGCCTGTCTCGCCTTCCAAGATTTGGGAGGAACGACCTTTAGGAGAAAATACAAATAAAAATAATTTAATTAATATACTAATCAGAATTTGAAGAAGTTTTTAATAGTTTAATTGTTTGATTTTAGTTAGTTAGCTAGTTAGCTTGAGTTTATTGAATAAAAAGTTTTCACACTGCAGAAGATTGGTTGATTTATTTATTTATTTATAGCTATTGCCTTAAAAATAAACATATCCACTAAAATTAAGAGAAACACATAGAATTTAGACAATAAATAAAATTAAAACTAAGCAAAATGAGAGCACTTAAAAAAAAAAGTTTGTTGAAATAAGCGCGATTGAATGAAAATATAACGAAATTGGGTTTGCTAACTAATCAATACTTGTGCGAATGCAAACAAAAATCAAGCATTTTCTAATTTAATGGCAAATAATAGCTTTTTAAATGAAAAAACATTTGCAAATTGGGTGAATTTGAAAATTAAACAAACGACATACTTTAACCATGCCATAATTTTATGAATATTCTTTTTCTAATTTCTCAATATAAGTGTTAAAATCGTTAAATTCCTTTTAGGTAGGATGAACGATTGGACAAAAGGGGATAGTATTTGAATCTGATTCCCTTGATTGCATTGTGCTAGTACTGGCCATTTTAAACCTTTACACCTTTTTTTAAACTTTTTTTATATAATTTTTTGCTTGCTTTGTTAAGACTCTTCTTTACTTTTTGCGATAGCAATCTTTTTGAATTTACTGTTTCTTTTTTAACCTTATTTGTTTTTTGATTTTTAAAAAGTACTTTTCTATTTTTTCCCCCCACGATTCTATTTATTTTCTCTTTTGTTTATTTATTTCCTATTTCTTATATTCTTTTAATTTCTTTCTCTCTTCCCACCCTTATTTATTTACTTGATTTCTTTAATAAGTCTTTTTTTTTGTTTATATAGTTAATTATCGATCTATTCTTTTTCTTCTATTTTATTTATCAAATAATCTTTCTTCCTTTTACTAAAATTTTTGAAAATGTACTAAATAGGAAGTTGATAAAATTTATAAAATTTTCATGTCTATAGACTAAAAATTAATTATAAAAAATGCTTTATGGGAGGGGGAGAAATTAAAAATTAATTATATTAATGACATTTGAATTCAATCTGACTCAAATAAAAGAAAAATTTAATTAAAAAAAAAAATATATATATATCTTAATCCTTTATAGAGTTATTTTTCTCCCCACTATTTGTTTGTTTCTAAAATTCTTAATTTAGAAAAATAGAAAATTAATCAAGCACCAAAAGGGGACTTAAAATAATCCTTTACTTTGATTATTATGATTATTTCATTACAATCATGTGAGTAAATTGTAAAACATTTTAAAATGTTATTCCAAGAAATTTAAAGAGCAGAAATTTTCATTCTCATAGGTGCTTGCTTTGCTCAAATCAAAAAAGTAAAAAATAAGTTAGAAATTTCTCTTTCTGCAGTATCATCGACAATGAAAATGAATGAATGATTGATTGATTGATTGATCTATTGATTGAATGCCCTTGTATTCAATATGAAAATCGTTAATTAAATCTTATTTTCCCTTATTAGTAGCTATTTACATGTAAACAATCAAATTACAACAGAAACAAGCAATTAATAAATGCAATGAATAGAAACTAACAATATACAATGTATTCTATTTACTAATTTATGTATTTTTCTAATAAAGCTATCCTATTTAAATTCATATCTGTTAAATCATACAAACATTACTAATCAGGGAAAATTTATTTTAAAATCTTTCTGCATTTCAGCAAAATAATGCTGTTGCTTTGCTTGCTCATTTAAAAAGGATATGAACTTTTAAAAATCTATCTAATTAATAAGAGTTTGTTTTTATAGAGTTGTATATTTTAATCTAAAATCTATCTTGATCAAATGCAGAAAAAATAAACATTAAAGGGTATTAAATTAAAAATTTAATTTTTTTGCTCCACCATTCTGCTCGCATCAAAAAAAATACGATTTACTTAAATTTCAAACATCTATCTTAGGATTATCAAGAGTAGAAAATTTATATTCATAAAGGACTAATAAAAATCTGCTTAAAATATTAATTAATTAGAGGCGATTAGTAGTTAGTTGATTAGTTAGTTATTCATTAACACAGTTTCTTTTTTTTTCAGTAAATTGGTTGAGAGTCGGTCTCTAATTGCATGTTTTTGAATTAAAATTGTTGGTAAATAAAGTAAGGAGGTTTTATTTATATATTATTTGAGAAATTTAGATAGTACTTCATTTTTTCTTGACTCCTATCATCTCCTTTTGGAATTTAAAAAAATGACTCAAGCATATTTATCCATTCGTTTATTCTTTACAGCTATTGTTTTTAATATTTGTGTGTTTAAACATTTTTATATGATAAATATAAGGCCTGGTAAAAATGTTGTTTTTTCAAATTCTTTTAAAATTTAAAAAGCAGCTCTCAAATTAAAAACACTTCATTAGATTTTAAATTTTGAGAGAAAATCAACGCCTATTCAGTGCTACTAAAAAATTATATAGTGTCACTTTTAATTATAATACAGTTGTATTGGCGCAAAAAATCCTTTTTAATTTTTCTTTGATTTATATGGGTAAAAGATAGTAGTTAAAATGTTGAAAAACCTACAATCATTTTTTCTGTATTTTGAAATTATAATATTTCATTTCCAACAGAAGGGGCCTTTAAATGTTGGGGGAAACTATTATTTTAGTTTGAGTACAAAAGTATTTCTGAAAAAAGTTAATTTGAAAGAATTTTAAGGGGTAAGCTTCTAAAAGAAAGGAGATAGATAGAAGATTTTAGATTTTTATTGGAATGAAGATGAACTAATCATTTTCAGGATTTGCTGAAAAGAAATATAAAAATGTTTTAATCTCTTGTTTTCTGCTAAAATCTATCAGAAATAAAAATTCATATATTCTAAGCTCCTCTAATTCAATGAAATAGATAAATTATAAAAATTAAAAAGTATTAATAGGGAAGAAATTGCGAGTCATTTATAATAGACGTCTTTAAAACTTTCTATGAACAAGGGCGTTTATTATAATTCAGCATGATGAGGTGATAAAAAATAATAAGAGGATTGAATAAATTATATCGTTTGATATTTTAATTTTTTATATTAATAAATTAATTAATAAGGCTAATCTGCTTCAAGCAAGCTTGGATACATGATTTATTTTTTTTGTTTGTTTGCTTGTTTTTTTTTTTGTTTAATTGGTTTCCCTTTTTTATATCTATTTACTTCACTTGCAGGAAGCTATTGCCTTGCAAGATAATTGAATAAATTCTTCACTAAGAAATCACGCATGCGGCCTTTGAATTTAGTATTATTTGTTAAATAATTTAGTTTAAATTGCGTTAACATCTCTCTCTTCTCAGTCTTTATTATTAGTCTTATTTTTATGCAAAAAGGTTTATATGAATAGCTTGCTAAAATAAATATTTAAGTTAAAAATGTTTTATATCAAATTTTCAGTTATTTTATTTATCTAATCCTTGAAAGCTATTTCAATATGGCTGTTTAATGGTGGTTTATGGATAAAAAAGCTCATTTTTTTCTCCTCCATATTGTTTCATTCAATTTTTTATAGCCTTTCACTTAGATTTTATGATTCGATCTGACAATAAAAAAAAGTAAAATAGTGAAATAAACATTTTTAGGAAACTAATCAGCTTTTTATGAATGAATGAGTGAGTTAAATCAACCGCTGCTTAAAATTATTGACTATAATTTCTGAGAAGAGAGAGGAGTACTAAAATAAAATGCCAAATTACTTTTATAATAGTGTTAAGATGAGGTTTTTATTTTATAATTTAAGGAAACTCCGCATCTATCTTTAATGGTAGATGCAAAGCAATATTGAAAAAATGTATTGAAATTCTTAGTATTAAGTTATTTTATCTGTATCAATCATATCCATCCTTTTTGCGATTATTCATAAGCACTCAAAAGTTATTTTTGGAGTGCTTTGCAACTTGGAGTTTCAACCCTTGCAGCGAAAGACGAGTGAAAAGTGTGCATTTTTAGAAATTTTTGATTTGATCATTTTGAGATTTAATGGTCTGCTGAATTTGAATAGATGACTATTTCTCAATTTAGGAATACTATTGCTATGACATGTACTCACTAAAATGAGCACATATGTGCTTGTGTCTCACAACTATAACATATAGCTATCCATCTTGAGCTTCTAAGAAGGACATTTTAGAACTATGAAAATATTTTCTACATTAATCGCATGGATAATCTTCTAATTAATATTATCCAACAAGGAATTCATTAGAGTCTATCATTTTCATCACAGAATTGTTGGCAAACAATGTAACGAAATAGTTGCTTCCACTGCTAGAGTTTTCAATCAAAAGGATATCCTTTGCTTTAGATTCTCCTTTGTACAAAGTTTTAATGAGTTTCTTTTCTTTTATATCCCACAACTTTATATGATTACGCTCACTGGTAACAATATAATCAGGATTAGTCTTAAGCGACACAAAGCAATTAACACTGTTTGCCTCCTCAAGACGTTTGATCTGTGTGCATCTAATTAACTTGTTCTTAGTAGGAGATAAAACTTCTTTACCAACTTTGGTAGAAGCATCTTTATCTTATAATTAACTTACAGTCTAAATCATTTATGGTTTATCATACCCTAAATTAATATGAGGATTTGTATTATTTGCTTAAGCGCTTTCAGCTTCCTCATACTAGTTAAATGGTATTTTTTGAGACTATTAAATATTATTGAAATACCCAAATCCAGTGGATATTTCATCACTCTGCTACTCTTAATCATAATCTAGTTTCCATAAGATAATACCACCTTAGTTGTAGTCCATTCTATGAGCAGAAATAAACATTTCTTGCTTTTTAATTAAAGAAAGACGATGAACAATCTATCCTTGAGTATCAAGCTTAAATAAGAGGTTATCTTGTACGTAATCCCAAATAAAAATTCTTCCATCCCAATCACCACAACACAAATTATTGTTGTCTTGAAGATCTAATAGAGACATTCCTCTAAAGAATCCTTCTTTTCTAAATTCCATGATTGGATATATTTTTTAGTTTCTAATAAAATTAGTATCCCAAATCTTAACTGAATTTTCACTACCTCCTAGCTGTTATAATTAAAAAGTAAATTTTTATCCTATAAAAATGTATTAAAAATAAATGTAAGCATATAAATAAATGTTGCACATATTTTATAAAGAAATAATAAAAATTTACAAGTCTAAAGCCATATTCACTCATTTTTCTTTCTGGATTTTCAAGTATTTGTTCTGCTACACTCTTAAATACAGAAGTATCCTTAAAGAGCTTGAGTGTAGAAAGGGAATAAATCCAGTTTTTGCATTCTATTTCTTGCAATAGTTTATTTGCTTCCATTAGATAAATTTATATGTAGTTATTTGTCAATCCAATAGCAACTATGTTCTCTGCTAATACAGCAAGAGAAGTGACACATACATTTTCGTTTATTTGCAGAGATTTGGTTGATTAGCTTCTTTCTAAAAAGAAGTTCTTTTATTCTTATCTAATTAAGCAGTTTTTTTTTTCATGTGAAAATGCAATTTATTGCTTCTCAATACCTAAAAAAATAAAATAAAATTTTAAATAAATAAAACTATTATCTATCTAAATCTATAATTTACTTTCTGAAAAGCTTTAGTCTATTATATATGTTTTCGATCTTTCTTTTTTCAACGGTGAGTTAGGCCAGTCTTTACTGTTAATTCTAATATCTCCTATTAAAGGAGAATTATCATTTTGATTCTTACTCATGCTTAGATTTTGATGCTTACTTTTATACTAAAGTTCATTCTTTAAGAAAATATCGCTAGAATTTAATTAATCTTGATCTTCAAAGAACTGAAATTCAGGCATTCTTGGGTTTACTGTAAATCTAGAAGTCACATTCCTTGTATATCTGTTAGAATTAGGATCAGTAATATTAGTACTTTAAGTTATACTCTATTACTACTATAAATCTTCAAATAAAAATTTTTCTAAGGGAGTATTTAGAAGATTTTATTCTATGCTTTCAATAATTTTGTTGCTTAAAAGCTCTATCTTTTTTATTATTTAAAGTATGAATTTTATTAAAATTAAAAAACAAATATTTTTTTGGGAAAAAAATCTTATTGTTTGTCAAAGTAAAAATTATTTTATTCAGTTAAAAAAATGGTATCTAATTCTTTATTTTTGTTGATATAAAAATCAAAAATAAATTATAAAACAAATAAATACACCAAAATTTGAAATTAGGAAAGAAGGAGGGTAATTTTCAATTAAATCAAAATTGATATTTAGCTATTTTGAGTATTTGGAGTATGAATTAATTAATTAACTAATATTGATTTGATTAATTTTAGTTATATGATTTAATGAATGATTAAAGTTAATTTTAAGCGTTTTATTCAAAAATAATGAAAGACAGAGGCTGGTATTTAAAGAAAATAACATCATTTTTACTTTATTTGTTTATTTGACTGATTAATTTTTAAGATTAGAAAGTAAAACAAACAATTAAAAAATAATGATTGATGAAAAAGAAATTAAAGCAAAAAGAAGAAGAAAAACAAAAACAAAAGAGTCTTTGAATAAATTAATTAATTAATTAATTAAATCAATGAGAAGCAAAAAAAAATAATTACACCAATTGCTTGATATTAAATTTTACAAGTAAATGAAAATTGAAAATTTTTAGCACACAAAGCAAAATTAAAAATATTTTACCTGCAGTTTGATGCTGCTCAGTGAAAAAACTTCAAAATTATGGGATTAATATGTGGGTGGATTAGTTGTTTGATCGGTCAACAATATTGACAAATCATGTATTGAATTCATATTATATTCCGTTGCTTTATCTTCTACAGTATATTTTTTCAACATCTTATTGATTTCTTTCAAAAAATGAATAGCTTCTTCTTCGTTGCTGTTATTAAGTCTCTTGTACAAATTTTTATATTCTGAGCATTCGCGAAGTATTTTATATTCAGCACCATTACCTGCATCTAGCTAACTCTTAAAATGGGAGTAGTTTTTCTTGTAAATTTTAAGTTGCTCATCCATTTTTCTATTCAAATCTGCCTTTATTCCCTCCATCTACTGCTAGAAGGTTTCGACTATAGTCTATATGTCCTTCTCAATTTTTGACTTTTATAGCTATATGAATTTTTCAAATTCTTGTATATTTTACTTTTCGCTAAAAGTCAACTAGTCGAAATTTTCTCTGAACACCTCTTAGTTGTTTTCAGGACAAACCACTTAAAATCTTTTTGCAATCATTTAAATGCCTACCTCAATAGGTTGGATGAATTTTGAGCATTCGTCCTTATGACGCATGTCCTTTTGTATGCATACTTAACAAAATAATTAATCCTATCGATCGCAGTTGGGATTGCAACATATTTCTGTCACAAGTTGGTTATCGTGCTTTTCACAAAATATCTTTAATTATAAATCTTCATCAAATTATCCGATGATCTGGTCCTACAATTTTATACGATCGCTGCTAATCTTGCTTGATAAATCTTTGGACACTGACATTTTCTTTTTATTTCTATATGAAATGTAAACTTGCTTTGGTTTGAGCTTATGGGATTATATGGCTATTTTTCGATTTTCACTTGATTTATTTTCCCTATTTATTAATTGTTTGCTATCGCCTTAGTCTTACTTTAAATCTAAACTAATTTAATTTACTTAATGATTATTTGTTTTAATAATTCTTTTAAGCAAATTTTTATGTATTTTTCTTTTATTGTTTGCAACAAGCTATAAATTTCAATGTTTATTTGCATTCAATCTCTTTATCTTCTTAACTATTTTCTTTATTTTATAAATTTTCTTTTTCTTCTTCTTCATTCATAATTTATTAGCTATCCATTTAGTTTTTTACTTACCTACCTACCCACCTATTATTTTTTTATGATTTTTGTATAACATCTTACAAACAAATTTCCCATCTTGTTTATAAATTAATTGAATATTTTCTCAAAACCTCTTCATTACTTTCATAATAAGAAGTAATGAATAAATTTACTATATATTTTTTAATTAATCTATTCTATTTTTAACTTATCAATAAAAAAGTAATTCAAAATATCAAAATTTTTTAATTTAAAATGAGAATTTAATTTAAATTTTACCCAACCATATATTAATTTCAAATATAAATAATCTTAGTAATTTTATTTAATTAATATGTGATAATCAGTATCTTATTTTAAAATTTATTTGTTAAAAATTTTAGTTTATTTCATTATTAAAAAAAATTATTATGAAAAAATAAAATAAATTGAAATTAACTAATATTTTAATTAGAATTTCTCAATAATGATTAATTTTTATAAGTTCATATTTTTGTATCCTAAAAAGTATATCTTTTATTTTTAGTTTTTTAAACTATTTTAAGTTATAAAAATTAATATGAATTAAATTTTATAAAAAGTATTAAATCATTTATTTTCCAAAGTTTTAACTATTCAAAACGTTTAATCAATTTCATTTTTCATAATAATTTTATTTTATTAAAAAGATAAGCAATTAATTAGTTTGAAAAAATAGATATCAAAAATTATTTTTCAAAATAAACTAAAAATTATTCAAAATTATATTTTTTAAAGCATTTTTTGTAAAGATTTTATTTAATATATACAAATATTTATTTAAATAAATACCAATAGATTCTTTTTATTTAAATAGCTTTTTTTATGTTAAAATTTGTAATTTTTAAATAAATAATTCTCTTATGAGTTTCTTTAAAACTCTAAAAACAAAAGTAAAGAAGAGATATTTTTATTAAATCAACTAAAAATATTTAAAATTATAAATTTTAATTCATTTTTAATTTTATATTTTGCTATGATTTTGCTTTAATTATAAGTGAATTTTTACAAAAATGTATATAAATTTAGAAACAATTAATTTTTTTTTTATTAAATAATTTAAGCTACTGTTTTTGTTTTAAATATTTTATTATTTTTATCTTTAAATTGAAATTTATTTTTGAATTTCGATAAAATTTCTTATTTGATTCAAAAGTAAGAACGATGTGTATTATTAAAAGATAAATCTCTTGATTTATTTCCTTATTTTTTTATTTTATTAAGGTATATCTTTGATTAATCTATTAATTCATCAAAAATAACTTATTTATTTTATTCAGAATTTTTTTAGTCATCTGCTATGACCAACTTTTATTTTTGAGTGTGTCTATTCATAAATTAAGAAATCGTTTATTTTACTTAATATCTGTTTAATTATTGAATTTTATTTGCTGTTGATTTCTAAAAATACAAATCAGAATTTAAAATTTCGTTTTCTTCTCGCTTTTCTTGGTTTAATGAAAGTGGTTTATGAGTTGGATTAAACTCTCTAAATGGCTTTGGTAAAAATTCTTTAAATCCTTCAAGTAAAATTGATGTATTTTTTTCTGCATAATCAACAGGAGTAGATGATTTCAATATTTAATTTCTTGTAATAGGTCTTGATAAATCCTACATTATCTAGCTTGTAGCTCTTTATTTTTATCTTGATTATTACCGAGAAGAGTATTAAATATTTTAATTCAAAGTAAAACTATTAGGAGATATACTATTTTCTCTATTGCCTCTGCTAGTTGTAGTTCTTGATTCATAATTTCGAGCAGATTAGTTTCCTGGTAATGGCTGGTTATTACTATTGTATCTTTTAGCATTAATAGAATCTCTGTATGTTAATACTTGATGCTAACAAATATTTTATGAATTATAGAATTAAGAAAGTGTTGAATATTGTTATTTATTTTATATGTTAGACAAGTTAGTAAATTTATTTTTTTATAAGGGGTAATTTATGCTTGAAAGATCATCCGAATTCCCAATTCCACTTTTAATAGAAGAAGCTCCCCCATTTGAGGAATACTTATTTGGTGAATTTTAAAAATTATATTTCCCACTATTTAGCTTAAGTTATGGAATCTTTTTTCTTTCAACCATAGGTATTGTTGGAACAGCATTTATCGAAGTTTAAAATATTTTTTTCCCCATAACTTCTTATTAGCCTTTTTATTCACTTAGCTCTTCATTTTTACTGATACTATACAGATGACTTTAATTTAAGTAGTAATCCATAACATTATTAATTTCATTTTTTAATTCTGCTTGTTCATTTTCAATGATAGACTGTTGTGGTTTATTTAGATTAATACTTTAGATATGTGAGCTGTCTTCATCAATTGATTGTATTTCTTTAATTGTGATTTTATGATTTTAATCGATTTAAATTTTATTTGAAGATAAATTCAGACTATGATTTAATTATCTTCGACAATCATTTCGAGAACTCATTTGTGATGAGGGTGTATTTAAACATGAAGGACTATCTTTCCGAATAGCTTTATTTTCTCTTAACTCATGCAATTTATAGTCAAAATAGCCTGCATTTCTCAGTACACCATATATTTTATCCATTTAGCCGATTCCATTTCTCCATTCACCAAGATAGTTTTTCCTTTTTGGTTACTTTTAAAGATGCTTTCTGACTTACCTATCTAATTCTTCTTCATTTTTTAAAGGATTAATCAAAGGAATACCAATTCCTTTTTCGTCCATCATTAGATTTTTTCTATTGTATTATAAGTATCTAATCATACTAGATTTATTCATTAATTCAGCCTCTTCTTCGAAATTTCCTGATTAGTTAAGCGAATTTTATCTTTTTTTTTCATTTGATTTGTTAATGATCTATTTAAAAGTAATAATTAAAATTAGTAAATAAACTGAAAAATAAATATTTAAATACTTCATTTGCTTTTTCTATGAGATTTGGAATATAATTTAATTATTCTTAAAATTAATTAGGAGTTTAGCTTTATTCTATCTATTTTTTTTCCCTTGGGCTATTTCGACTCTGCAGTTAAGGAGATTTTATGGGACTCTATGATCCTTTCTCATTTTAAATTTGAATTTTTTAAGGTGAATTAGAATTTTATCTTTTCATCACAACTGAAGAATTTTATATGCCTACCCCACTACTTTGATCAATCAGAATATCCAAATTTTTAATGAATAATTAGCTTTAATCAACATTTTTATTATTACTACTTATAACTTCTAAACTACTGTTCTTTTGAATTTACTCAGAACCTCTTCTATTTTAATAATATTTTTTATAATATTCTTCTTGTTCTTACAGTAATCTTTATTCCTTTAATTTATCGTATCTCAGTTCAGCTCTATTTTCCCTCAAAAGTTTCTTGAAATTTTATAAATTATATTCAATCAGATTAACATGATCTTAAAATATTTATTCCTTTAAATGTATTCGAGATATAATTGTCCTTTGCGCTATATCTCTTGCAAGAATTCTTTCCCTAAATACTTGTTTCATAATTACAATGATTTCTCCACCTTCAGTACTCTCACATTTAATGCTATATTACCTCTTTCTGTTTTTAATGATATCTTCTTCTCCTACTAAATCTTTATCACCTAGCTCTAATACCTATTGAGATTAAAAATTAAATATATATTTTTATATTATTTTAAAAAAATATTTTACCTTTTTAATTTCTTTTTTTTACTTCAAAGAAGACTCGTTAACATTAAAAGGAAGTTTTACTACCTTTTCTTTATTCTTCTTTTTAGAAGGCTTTTCGTTTTAAATAATCAAGTCATTATTGCTTATATCTTCCATAACTAAAGGTTTTTACACTAAAAACTCTTTATAAACATAGAATTTACCCTTTGTAACTATAGCAACAAAGTTAGCCTTATCACCTTCCTTAAAAATGAAATCACCTCTATTTAATTACCGTTTATTTATATTCAAATATACATCCCTCAAGAAATGAAATGGCCATCCATTAAAACAAGGAAGTGACCCAAGAAACTCTGTTTATTTCTGCAATTTTTTTTCTTCAACAGGCTTTAATATAGCAACAAAATCTTGCTTTTCCATTACAGCAAAATGAGAATCTTCAGAGCAAGTAATAGTACCTGTTCTAGATTTATTACAAATTAAACCTATTTCGCCAAAGCAAGCACCAGGTTTTAATATCTTTTATAGATACAAAACTGTATCTTTTTTTTCATTTTTCTATTCAGAGTTATTATTAGCAGCATTGTTTTGATTATTTTATCCTTAATTTTTTTAGAGAACATCAAGATCTTATTCAACCTCATCTTCATCACTTGGTTTTATGCCATGCATTTCAAGTACACCATTCAGAAGAATGTAAAATTTATCTGATTAATCAACTATTAGCATTAGTTATAAAATAATTTTATTCAAAATTTTTTAAGTTTTATTAATTTTAAATAATTTGGTATTCCAATTTGAAAAAGTAATTACAAATTCTAAAAACAATAGTTCCTTTTTTCATATATTCATATTTAAATTTGTAGCAAGCTTATTCATGTAAATCTTAAAGTTTGCTTTCATAATAGCTTTGAAAAAAACTTAATCCGGCAGTCTTACTTCGAATTAGCTCTACTTCTTCACTTGATTTATTTTCACTTTTTAAAGCTTCAATTAGTTCCTTCATATAAAAAAATCATATTAAATGTAAAAAAATAGTAAAAAAAAATGAATTAATAAGCAAAACGAAATATTATCATGATTTACATCAGAATATAGCTGTTCTTTTACTTATTTTTTATTTCTAGATTATATTGTTTGAGATATCTTTCTCATCTCAGATAGATTGATTAAAGATAACTTTCTTCAGAAGTTCCGTTTATCTTCAATCAGTTTAATGATATATGTATATTTCTTATATTTAGTAATCTATTCAGATAAATTATTAATTTAGTGTAAATTTTTATTGGTTAAAATTTACATTTTAACTGTAATTAGAAATATCTTACTAAATTAATTGATATATTTTTTTTTTTGCTAAAAACTAATTGTGTCAAAAATTACCCAAAGGATGAAAACAATATAAAATTCAATACTTTGACTTGAATGGATATTGTGTGTTGGTTTTTACTTTTAATGATAATTATATGTCATCCATCAACTCAAGCAAAGGTATAATATTATCACAAAATATTCTACAAAATTTATAATTAATTTTAAGTTGTGAAAAAATGAATGAAGCAAAAATAAATAAAGATTTAAACAGAACAACAAATTGAAAATGAAAATAGGTGAGTTAAAAATATTTAATTACTTTACTAACAAATAAATGATTATTAAATTTTATTATAATTTTATCAAATAATGTAATTGAATTAGCATTAATTATTAATAAGATTTGTGTGTTGAAATGGTAATATTAAAAACATATTAAAATAATACAAAATAATAAACATTTATTAAGAGTTTTTTTCAAAAAATTTTAAGATAACAATTTAAAATTAAAAAAGTTATTGTAATTTATTTTTATTCATTATTAGAAATTTAATAATATCTAAATTGAAAAAAATAATTGAATCAATTTATTTTGATCAAAACCACTTAATATTTAGAATACTTTATGAAAGGATTTGTTTTATTAAAAAAATAATTTTAGTTCAACTAATACTTACATTCATAAAAACAACTCTCACAATAGAGAAATTACAAATAATTTACAAATTTAAAGAGAAAGTTAGAAAGTTAAATAGATAAATGATTAACTATAAATAAAATTTCATTTTTATTAAGTAATTTATTTTTATTACTGCTTTTACTAAAGAGCCTTTTATTATAATAATTTCAGCTATTGAAGCTTTATAAACTGCTACTGTTCTTTGGCGTTATCTTACTCTTCTATCTCAATACGTAAATGATTTTTTCTATTCTTTTTACGTTAAGGAGGTTTCTTTGATAGTAATTAATTTTTATCATTATTTAAATTATTTGCAGAGAGATCTCCTTAATTAGCATTCTATTTCCTGTCAGATAAATGGTTTTACTCCATTTCATAAAGACCAGATTTATCATCATCTTGTGCTAATTAAATATGATTTCCGTTTGTTTTTATTGAATTTTTAGTTGATTATGGCTTTTTAATAGTGTTTCCGCTATGGTCTCCTGAACTATGACCTTTTTCTATATCTTCATGATTATCACTTTATTTTTCTCCATCTTCTCCAACTTCATCCAATTATTCAGGATCCTCAAGCTATCTATTTTAGCACTTAACATAAATTAACGTAGATATAATGATGAATGCTAAACCTACAACTACTATAATATATAGGAACGTTTGATCTCCTTTACTGTTACTATCTTGTTTATTCTTATCATTACTATTATTATTATTATTGTTGTTGGTGTTATTTTTATTATCATTATTACTATTATTGTTTTCATTTATTTTGTCATTTTTATTATCATTATTTTAATTACTGTTATTATTATTATTTTAATTACTGTTGTTATCATTATCATTTGCATCATAACTTTGATCAGTATCCATTAACACTCTTGTATTAATTTCAATTAAATTATTTTAGATAATTTATTCATCTTGAATCAAAACACGAAGGTATATTCCTTGAAGATCATTTATTTAATTAATTGCTTTTAAAACATACTTAGTTTCAATTGAAAATATACCTAAGCCATTATAAATAGCTTATGGTTAGTCAGATTCTAATTATTATTTGCTAAAATAAAGCTTGGATTTTATATTTTCAGAAATGTTTTAATTTTAAGAGTTTAAAGATTTTAAATTAAATAGCAAAGAAGAATTATTAACTTTTTCTTAATTTAAATAAAAGAGGTTCTTTTTATCTTAGTCTTAGCTAGATAAATGCTCTAAGAATGGATTTTAAAATTTTATTAATAACTAGGATTAATTAATTTCTTTGTTTAAGTTACTAATTAAAGGAGTGGTTAAAATAACATTTCTAACTTTTTTAGAGACTATATTATATTTATAAGCTATAACCATCCAATTTTTATTGTTATTGTTATTTGAAACTTGTATCCTCAGTTCATTGTTTGTTTATTCTGCTGTGATTTACTAGAGCTTCTTGGGATCAAATTCGATAACAAATTAACGATTCTACAGTAAGTTGCTTTAAAATAATATACTGTCTTAAGAGATTGGTGTTTTATTTAATGTTATATTAACTTCTTTTTATAAATCTACTTGTTAGTTTGATTAGCTATTTTTTCCAAAAAGAGATCCGTTGGGATTTAAGAAGAAAACTTCTATCTGGCATATATCATCATCGTTTTGTAATTGTTTTAAGTTAATTTATGGTAGTTATATGTTTACTTATTTTACTGTATCATCATTTAATAAGGTAATACCTGAATTTTAACTTGCCACTATGTCTATAACTTCTGTATTATCTGTTTTTGTGAAATTCTGTGGTATTATTCTTGCAATAGGTTTATAGTTTACTCCAGGTCTTTTAAACATAAGATAAAATGTTTATCCAGGTTTTACATTGCTGGATAGATTACTGATAATGCATGATTAGGTATAGGAAAGGGAGCATGTAATGTAATTAATATTGTGATGGGTTGAATTTTTTTCTGATTATCTGTTAACCTATTTTAGGTCTTAAAGACTCTAAGTAATGATGATAGAAGGATTTAATGTGAAATCATTTAAATTAGCTACATTCAAAAGTAAATAGTCTGACTCCTTGCTTGCTTAAAATAGGAAGATATTCTACTCACCATCAGTCTAATTTTTAGCTTTCCAATCAAGATTGGTGATGCAAAAAGGAACTTTTTCTGCTACTTTTATAACTTCTTTTTCATTTAAAGTGCACTCTACCTTCTATATGAAAGCTACTAAAACCAGTATTGCTAAACCTAAAATTTTCTTATTTTAATTCACCATTTTCTATGAATACCTTTTTATTTGAGAAATTTATTATTCTTATTTGTTATTTTTCAAAAATAAACATAATTACTTTTAATCTATAGGATTATTATAATAAAAACTTTAATAACCTTAAAGTAGTTGTTTGTAATCTAACTATTTTTTTTTGTTCATTGAGCATGCATTTCCAAATTTTTTAACTTTAATTCATAATCAAAAGACTATTTTTTTCTTGCTTTTATTTAATTTTTCCCATTTAATTCTAATTTAACAATAGTAGGAAATATTTTAATGAGGCATAGAATATGTTTGATTTCTCAAATTAAATGATAGTTTTCTTAAGTAAATAACAAAAAAATAAATAAAATGCACCTCATTTAGAAGCACGTTAATTATATTTTTTCAAGTAATTAATAATCCTTTACAATTTTTCAAAATCAATTAATGTTATTTGTTTAGCTTAACAGCAAAATAAAGAACATAAAAAATAAATAATACTTTATTCAAAATATTTAAACATCAAATGTATTATTTAAAAAACAAATATTACTTCAATGAAAATTATTTGGTGGAATTCAAGTTTATGATAAAAATTTATTTAATAAAAATTATTTAATTACTAAAGTAATTGAATCTAATATAATATTCAAAATTACTTTAAAATCAAATATTATTTTAATTCTTTCAAACCGAATTTTATTTATTGAGAGTTAAAAAAATATTTTAACTTTTTAATAAAAATTTTATGTTAATAGATTTTGATAATTTTCATTTTAAAATTCAATAAAATTATGAATTTATTTTTTAACTTTTTGTACAACACACACTCCAATTGTAAAATTAAAAAAATAAAATATTATTTAACCTTTGTAAATATTTTTAAAGGCTGGAAATTTATTATTTAATTTTTAAAAATGATGTTAAAAAATAAAAATATAAAAGTTTAGTTTGAATTTGATTTTTATTTCTAATATTTTTTGACTTTCTATTAAATTAACTATGAAATCATTCATATTTACATACAAACATAAATGCATGGATATTTAAAATTATGGATTTGAGTAGTGATCACTAAAAAATTTGAAAATAATAGAAAAGAAAGTTAAATAATTTAAAGGATAAGAGAGGATTATTCACCAGCAAAATTCATAACATATTAATTACTAATTAAAAGAAAAATCAAATAAAGTATATTGCAAAATAATATATATACGTATAAATATTTATAAATTCATTAAAATAAAGAAGCAAGATTTGTGTTGACTACTAATTCCCCTCATAATAAAAAAGGAACTAGGGAGTATATAAAGAAGAACTTCACATTTTAGAGCATAAACACTTAAAGATATCCTAAAAAGTTTAAATACATTTTAGTGAAGCTCAAAAATAGAATAAAAATAACTCTACGAGGTTGATAAAAAAATATTTAGTGTTATACTTCAAACATTATGGATAACTACGAAATATTAGGCTAAATCGGAAAGGGTAGCTTTGGTTTAGTATAAAAGATTAAAAGGAAATCCGACGGGAAAGTACTTGTTTGGAAAGAAATGAATTATGGAAGAATGAGTGAAAGAGAAAAGCAATAGCTTGTAGCAGAAGTAAATATAATACGAGAGCTTAAACACCCAAATATAGTGAGATATTATGACAGGTATATTTATTAAAGAGTTTTACACTATTGCATTTAAAAAATAAGAGAATGAATTTGAATTAAATTCCTGATTTAAGTCTAAAATTTAATCTTTTATGAGAATAAACTATGCATTTGTCAAAGTTTATCAATTTGGCTTTATTTAAATGTAATGCCCACATTTAAATTTGAGCTATGCATCAGGCAGGCAAATCAATATCGTATTTTCTATTTTTTTGATATTGCCTTTTAAATGAAAAAGAGAGTATTAAATCAAAATAAATGTTTTTCAAGATATTAATTAAGATGCAATTATTAAATTTTAAAAATCTTTGGCTGATTATTTGATTTCAAATTATAAATCACAACCTTTTTACTTATTTTTCCTTTGCATTTTCAAATAATCTCTTCTCTTTAAACAACTTCAAATTTATACGGAATGTTGTGGTAACGAGCGAGAAAATTAATTCAAAATCAGTTTTTAGTCTTTGCCTATTTTACATCAACATGCATGAGAATTTGCTTATTTATTTATTTGTTTTAACGAATTTAAAATATGTTTGTTTGAACAAATTATTCAATTTGAAAAAATAAATAAAAAAATATTAAAGCAAAATATTTTAAATCTTCTTTGGCTATTTGCATTTATTTAAATAATTATTATAAAATTTATAGAATCATTGAGAAAAAAGACACTAAAATTTATATTATTATGGAATACTGCGAGGGAGGAGATGTAGGCACTCTCTTAAAGAAATGCAAGAAAGAAAAAGATTATATTGCTGAAGATGTTATTTGGAAAATATTTACTTAAATAATTCTTGCACTCAATGAATGTCACAACAGACCTTAGGGAAAAATATTACACAGAGATCTTAAACCTGCAAATATATTTCTTGACGCTTAAAATAATATTAAACTAGGCGATTTTGGTTTAAGTAGAGTCATGGGAGAATAATCTGAATTTGCAGATACACATGTAGGAACACCATACTACATGTCACCTGAGTAAATATAAGAGAAAAAATATAATGAAAAGAGTGATATTTGGAGTGCTGGTTGTCTTTTATATGAAATGGCTGCTTTAAAGCCTCCCTTTGAAGCTACTAATCATCTTTCACTTGCTATAAAAATTAAAAGTGGTAAATTTGAAAGACTACCTTTAAGATACAGTGAAGAATTGTAAAAATTAATTGAAAGTATGGTTCATATAGACCCTGAAAAGAGACCTTCTGTTTAAAATATTCTCGAATTGCCATAAATAAACCTTCGTTTGAAGGAAAGAAAGTTGAGAGAAAAGCACTCTTAAATAAAATTAAAAGAAGACGAGCTAAAAAAGCGCGAGGAACAACTGCAAGAAAGAATTGATTAAATAGAAAAAAAGGAAAAAGACTTAACTGCCCAAGAATAAACTTTAAAGGATTTGGAGGAATAAGTAAAATAAATTGAAGCTCAGTTAAACATAAGGTCATCTCAAAATTCACTTCAATAATCTGAAGAAGATATTTTTTAAAGATAAGATAAATAGACAAATAATAATAACAATGCAGGAGTATTACCTTAAAAAAGTGCAAGAGGAGAATATTAATTGCTAAGTTAAAATTTAAACAGTTTTGGTAAAGACCTCATGATGCTAAATAAAGGCAGCGTTGAAAACAATAGTAGTGGCAGCTCAAGTAAAAATAGCACTGCTACAGCATCAAATAATACTTTTGAGATATTTAAAAAAGAAAAAGAAAATATGATAAACAATGGAAGCAATATCTAAAGCAATTTATAAAGTATAGAGAATTACAGAAAAGAAAAGGAAATTCAAAAATAGCTTTAATCTTACTCAAGCAACAAATATCCAATCTTTTAAAAATCTAATTCATCTATTGTTTCCTAGAGTTTAACGGATTAATAAATGCTATTGCAACAATAAAGCTCTTAGGATACAACTTCATCTTAAGTAGTTTAGCAATAATCTAGTGAAAATAATTAATCTAATTTGAAATTAAGGGGTAATATTGCTGATACCTAGTAAACATAAAGCAGCTGTTCTTCTAACTCCAGCAACAATGATGCTAATGCTAGTAACCCTATAACAGCAAACACTAAAGACAAAAATTATACTCTGTACTAGAGAAGAGAGCAAGAAGCTTTTTAAAAAACTCCTAACAATAACAGCAATTTACACTAAAATTATCATACTTTGAATAGATAAGGGGAAATTGAAAGTGTAACTAAAAAACATACTTCTTATTCAAAAGACCATTAATACAAGTCTGTGGATCATTTCACATCTATTTAAAATAACAACAACTCTAGCTCAAAAAAAGATGAGAGTACTGCCTTTAGTACTACTTGTAAGTAAATACCTTAGTCAGCATCATAAAATTAGAATATTGCAAACCAAAGTAGTAATAAATCTTCTCATAAAAGCAGCAGTGAAAATCTCCCTAAAAAGAGTACTGTTGCTTAAATTTCTTCTACAAATAACTAAAATTAAATTGATAATTAAAACTAAGAAAATTCTTCTGCTGCTTCTAATAATAACAATAATAATAATAATACAGGAATGTCTGCATTTGAAAGATACAAAGCTTCCATTTTATAGCAGTAACAATAGTAATAAAATTAAAATAATAATGGTTATTAAAATAAATATGCATAAATTAAATCTAAAGTGCGTTAAGCAAGTTAAGATTCCATGGATGATAATGAATAATAAACTATGAACAATAATTACACTTCAAAGCTTCATACATAATAACCCATTTCAAGTAAATTAAGAGCACAGACATCAATCGATTCAGTTTCTGTAAAATAAAACCAAGATAATAAAAACTACTTGCTTAATTATAAAAAGGATGCTCCTTCTGGTAGCACAGCATCAGCTGCAACAATTACTAGAAGATCAGCAAACACTACAATAGATTCAGTAAAGTATTCTCAAATTAATAATTCTTCAAATATGTAAGGACCTACTAATAATAATAATTAAAATGCCTCTTATGAGATATATAAATAAGCAAACATAAAAAGAACAGATAGTTATAAAGAAAACACTTTCAAAAATATAATGTAATAAAATAATTTCATCAATAAGCAATAAGAAGCTGCAACTCAATCTTCTTCTAATAATAATTAACAAATACATTCTTCAACAAATTTAGCTTAAAATTAAAAGAATTTTTAGAAAAACAGATCATCATTAGAGCCTAAAAATAGATTCCACTCTTAGCATAGCACAACTTCATCATCATCAACAACAACAGCATAAACTGCTATACAATCTACACAATAACCATAGTAGTCTTCATCGTAGGTTGCTTTAAACTCAAATAAACCTCCAATTACTATGATGAATAACAATGGAGCATTAAATGGGAATAGTAATAATAACGAAGATGCCTTACTTAATTTCAAAACGCTCCCTAATACCGAATTTCAATATGATTCCAATAATGTTAATAAAATGTAAATAAAGAAGAAAAACAATAACAGCTTCACAACAACATCATAAAATATAAGCAACACTTATTTAAATAGTAACAATAATTATATAAATAATTAACCACGTTCTACTACTAATAGTAACACAATAGGTAATAACTCAGCTCGTATAAATAATACAGAATAAAGTATTGAAAGAAAAAAAGAATTTCCTCGTCCTAGAAATAATTATCTGTTACCTTAATCCAGATAAACTTTAAACAGTAATCAAAATCCAGATGCTAATATAAAGAATTATTTCTCAGAATAACCAAGCAACCTTATGACTGTGCAGACAGACTAATTGTATAATAAATATAATTTAAGAAAGATAGGCGATAACATTATTTCTCCATCAGTATAGCACGTTTCATCAAACTAATATAGAACTGCTACTTAATACTGATCAAAAAAACTTAATTCAAATAAAATGCATAATTTACTTAAAAATAAATATCTTAATTTTCCTTCACTGAGAATCAAAAAAGTTTTGAACTGAAATCATTTTCCAATAAGATATAACAAAATAAATAAATAAATAAAATTCAGAATGCTAAGAAAGCATATATAAAAAATGATTAATTTTGAAAGACTCCTGCTTAAACTAGTAAAAAAACATATTAATAATAATTCATTCATTCATTTATAATAAAAAGTAGGATTTTTAATAAAATAATTTAGGATTTAATTAATGAATGAATAATTTAACTAAATTCATATTAATGAACTATATAGTAACGAAGATTATTTTCTATTTCATATACAATTATATTGTGAATGTATTATTATTATTATTATAATTATATTATTACAACTCATCTATCCATTTATCTCATAATATATTAAAAATACTTTAAAAAATTCTATTTGTAAATAAATATATAAAGATAACTAATTACATATTTGTATCAATTTTGCTTTTTATTTAATACTATTTTACAATAATTTATTTATTTATTCTCAAAGATCATCGACGTTTCTTTAGTCTTCCTTTTCTCCATCTTCATCATTAATAGGTGGCAGAATTTCAGACTCACCGTACATCATTTCGTATGCAACTTAATATTTCTTTATATTTTCTTACAAAAACATAACAAATTTGGAAGTAAGATCTTCAAAAACATCTTTGTAAGTTAATTTATTTTCTAGTTCATCGGGTTTTGATTCTACAAAATCATGAATTGCATCTATTAAAAGTTATATTTTTTCTTAATTAAAGTTCTATCCTGCTAAACTCATGCCTGCTCCAATTATATCTCTAAGTACTTTAAAATACATTTCTTTAGAAAATAAAAGTTTGCCTTCAGGATCATGCTAGCGGATAATTTCCATAATAAAACTATCGTCGTCTGTGACTGTGTCGTAATCTGACTTAACAATTTGTGAAGTAAATAATATTAGTAGTAGTACTAAAATTTGATTTCTCATATTTTTATTCTAAAATCTCTAAATTTGAAGTATTTATTTTGTTATATTAATATTAACAAATACCAAATATTCCAAGTGTTTTATCTAGATTTTATAAATCTATATTTTGCAAAGTAATATGAAACTAAGACATTAATTAACACATGTAATTAATCTCATGAATTTCTAAAATATTGGTAAATTATGTTAAAACTTCAAATACCATACATTTATCACAAACTAAAAGCTAAAGTAATTTAAAGTTAGGATCAATAAAATAAGCAAAACTCTTAATTTACTTAAAATATTAATTAAAAAATCAACAATTAAATTAAAATAAATTCCATGATTGATGAGCAAGCAAATAATATATTAGATTTATACTGAAAAATAATATGTAACAAAAATAATAGCAGCTAAAACAATAAAAAATATAATATATTAAAGATTAATTAAAACTTTCTTTAAGGAGAGCATATTAGATAGTTATTTAGATAGATAGATAGTTAGGTAGGTAGGTATGTAGCTATTTACTTTGTAAGTTATCTGCTTATTATTTGTTTTGAAATACAACTTCAAAAGTTTTTAATTTAGAAAATACTTCTTTGACTAGGGAGTTAATATTACTTTGTTTTTTATAATGATTTAGCCATAAATTATTATTTATTTATTTATTTATACTAAAACACTAAAGATGGCAATTACTTTTAATTTATAATTAGTTAATGAGGCCTTTCAACAGCAGCCGCCTTATTTTTTTTCTTTTTTTTCTTTATTTTGCTCTTCTGTTTGGTTTTAGTCCAGTTGAAAATTTTATTTTGTTTCTTCTGTTTATTAGATATTAAAATAAAAATTAATATTTTTAAATATACTTTGTTCGTTTATTTATTTATTTGTTAATTTTCTTTTAAAATAAAATACCTTAGTTATTATTTACGTTTTTGTTCATTCCTCCTTAAAGCTGAGCAAGCTAGCTAACTTCTGCTCCTGGAAGCATATTAGCAATAGATCTAAATAGTTATTATACATTTTAACCAGTGAGAGCACTAACTTCAAAAAATTTGACATCTAATTCTTTTGCTTTAACTTAACCATCTGTTGTTTATACTACCCTAAATAGTTGAATCAAAAAAGCATATTGAGTTTAAAGAATGACTTTTAATTAATAATATTTACCTTTTGTCAACTAAATCATTTTTACTACCAACTAAGCAAATAATGACATCGTGTCCTCTTTCTGCCCTAACATCTTCTATCCATTTGGCAACATTATCGAATGAAACTTTGTCTATTTTAGTCGGAGGAAAAATAAATATTAATATAAATCGAATGAGGCTATCTAATTACTTGTAATATCGTAACAGACAACTGCAACAGCGCTATCTCTAATATATGAAGGAATTAAACTTCTAAATCTTTCTTATCCAGCTGTATCCCATAGTTGTAATCTTATAGTTCTATCTTCATAATAGAGGGTCTTGGAGATAAAATCAATACCAACTGTAGGCTAATATTAAAAATAATTATTTTAATTTAACTCAGATATTCAATTTTATTTAAAGTTAATCCATAATTCTAAGTTTCAAGTGGCTATAATAAATATACTCTTAGATTTAAATATTCTTTATATATGATGATTGTTTTTTTATATTTATGATTTATAATAAATAATTTCATTAAGGAGTTAAAATGAGCTAGATTTAAGCGAATCCCAAATATATAATAACAAATTATTTTTAGATAATTTAATGATTTATATTTTTAAATCTATTTCTCCTTAATTCTCTTTAATATATTTCATTAATGTAGTTGTGTTTTTATTTAAATTTTTAAAAACAGTTGATCATTTTTATTTACAAATTATGGATTGGTTTTATAGAGCATTTAAAGAAGAAGAAGAATTATTTACGTGATCTTTTCCATCAAATGTGTCAAACATAAATCTGTTAATAATTGATGTCTTTCCTACACCCTAATCTCCTAAAAATACTAATTTATATTTTGACAAGGGAGTAGCTATTGATCCTTTTGTTTCTGAGTTCATTGTTAATACTTGATTGATTGACTGAATGATTAATTATTTAATAATTTAATTTTATTTATTTTTTTCTTTTTTAATGTTTTCTTTTGATTAATTTAATAACGAAATAATTAATATATCTATTAACAAATTTCTTTTTCTGTTTTTTATAAGACTTTTCTATTGCTTTTAAATATTAAGAAAATAAGCTTATTAGTTATTTATTTATTTATTTACCTTTTTTTCAACTATCCCTCTATCTTAAAAATACAATTTCCTTATTTTTAAATTTTTTGTTTTAAGCTATCATCAATAACTACTAAGACCAAACTAGAATGCATTTTTAATCCGAATAAAATCCATCGATTCGTATTTTAACTTAACATTTTTTTTATTCGTTGAAAATAATTATAAAAAATAATAAAAACTAAAATTAAACTCAAGGCTAAGCTATCTATCTATCTAACCAAATGAAAATAATTAATCATATATCGTTTTAAATAATAATTATTGGAATGAAAAACCTTCAATTAAATTTATTTGTGAATTATAAAAACAAACTATTATCTCAAATAATTTATTTTCAGGTATTTTTCTTTATAAATTAAATTTTTAAATAACTATTACAATTATAAGCTTGAGCTTATTTTTTTAGTGTCTTACATGAAAAATTAAATTATATAAATTTTTGAAATCTATTGAATAAACCCAAAATAATTAATTTTTTTAGACTAGTAACCAAGATAGTAATAAAAAATAAATATATTTATACTGGAAGATACACAATATTTTGAATAATAATTAATAATTTCAATATATTTTAGTAATTAAACACTGAAAGAAAAATAAACTACTATTCTATAGTGTAAATCATGGTTCTACCCAATCAAATCTAACAACTTAATCTATTGAGAATACAGCATCACAATCAACTTTATCAGTATCTTCCATAAATCCAGGACAAGTATACTCTCCTGTAGATTTGTTGAATCTTAGTTTACCCCCTCCACATTTAGTGCATTGTGGTATAGCACCAAGGGTGTATCCATCTGCTACTTTTTCTAAAAGTACTTCTTTAGTACCTGTTTATGTTTAATTATTTGCTTTTAAAATAGCTTTGAGTTAAGCAACAGTTTTAGATTTTAGTTCTTCTAATTTTTTTAAGTATTTTTATCTTTAACCATCTGTGTATCCAGCCAAGCTAACTTCAGCATCTATATCTTCATCGCTATCATCAGCTTTTGATCTCTTGTTGGTTTTCTTTTCAGACTTATTCACTTTTGTAGCTTTCTTTGCTTTTTTAACTACCTCTTCTCCTGAATCAGAATCTGAGTTATCTGGATCCCAGTTTTTATCTTATTTTTTACTTTTTTTATCATAGTTGTTTCTGTATTTAACATATTCATCCACAGCATTGTTAAATAAATCCTTTTCTGTTTACTTAGATGGATTTACATTCATGTTTTTAAGCTTTCCTGTTTATGTTTTAGGGTTATAATCAACGATAGGATGACCAGCTACAGGAGGTAAACACTTTTGGTGATAATATCTTTTACTTACATAAATAGGTTCAGCTCTATCTCTTTCTGAGCTACACCATCTGAGCACATCTTTATCAATAGTTTTGCCACAAGATCTGCACTTGGCTTTATTTGAAACAGAAACTTCGAGATATAAATCTTCGTAGAATTTATATTCTGGTGTATTGCTATCATAATCATAAAAATTCATTTGAAGTATCCTTTTTGTAAATATTTATTTTTACCTAATTTGAAAAATATATTTTTTTATGCTAATTAATCTTTATTTTCTATAAATTTTAGTTTACTTTTTATAAAGGATCTTTAATCAAGGTTGTTAAAATCTGATACCTCAATAGGCGCGGCTTGTTAATAAATTTTCTGATAATCTTGTGGATATTATCTGCTTATATCATAGATGCAAATAGTCCTAATAAATCTATTTGTTTTTTTATCTAAAATATGTCTTTTGTTATTTGAAAATATAAAAAAATATTTCTTTAAATGAGGATAATTAATTAATGTCAATAATCATGATTTTTGTTAAAAAGAGAAATCTAAATTTTTTCTTTGATTTTAATAATACCCTAAATATTAGGTTGTATATTAATTATTATAAAATTAAAGTAAATTTAAATTTATTTTATTTAATTTTAATAATATTTGAATTTAGCTATGGTCAATAATAAATAGAGTTTAAAAAGAAATTAATTTTTAACAATAACTTAAGTAATAATTTTTACAAGTTTAAAGTATAATATTTATTAATTTAATAGCATTATTAGATACTTTCTAAGTAAACAATTTAAAAATTAGAAAGAATATATAAAATCAAAACCAATATATTAACTTATAAAAATGAATTTTTTTAGTATTTTTGATAAAGAGGCTAATAAAAATTTGCTGCAGGCATAATATTATCTATAATATTTTTTATAAAACACAAACAAATTTATTTAGGTAATATAATTTTTTAAAAATATCATCATGTAAAATAAATTAATATAGTTGTTGCATTTATATAAATGATTAATTTCAATAGAATCGATAACTTTTAAACAGATTAATTAGTGCTTATTTGTTTGTAAATTTAATTAAATTATAAAAAAACAATGTAATCTATTTAAAAATTGAAAAAATTAAATTTTTTTATCTTATATCTAACTTTAATCAGTATCAAAAGCAAATCAAGTTAAAGATCTTAATTTATAATTTTTAGGAATTACCGATTAAATGAGACCAGCAAGAGGAAAGTCTAATCCAAAGTAACTTTCTAAATAGAAAATTAAATGGGTATTTACTAGTTTATGATATTAAAATTAGGGCTCCATTAGCTTCTTAATAACTAGAATTGGAAACAAAAAAAATGGTACTTATTATGAATAATAAATAGATTTATATAGAAAATAGTAATTTTTAAAGCAGAAAAGTTTACTTAACTTTTTAAAAATATAGGAAGAAAAGCTAGCCTATTTGAAGGCATAAATGGAAGTAGAAAAAAAGAAAAAAGAAGATTAGTATATTCTTATTGAAAGATAAATTTATTATTTATTTACTTAAAATATAAATAAATAATAGATTAAAAACAAGTGGAAGTAGATGGAAGTCATCTACAGCAGCATAACCAATTAAGAGTAATTCTTTAAAGAATCTCAAAAATTAAATTGTTTTTATAATAAGATTATGCTAATATGATAATTGATGCAAAAAAATCAAACGAGAAAACAACTAAAATTGACTACGCTAAAATGAACAAAGAATTTGGTTAAAAAATGGCTCAAAAATCTTCATTAAGTAACTTATTTGTTTATGCTAAAAAACAGATTTTGAAATTTTAATATTTGATAAAGAAAATACAAGTAGCAGTATGTCTTCGATACAAAGACCCTCTTCAAATACTTAGTCTTCAAGACAAAAAGAAAACTAAAGCTCTAATGATTTAAATAAATCTCTTAATGGGTCATTCTAATAAAGTAGCAGTAAAGGAATGATTGAGAGAAGAAGTTCAAAAGATTCCAGCTAAATAAAACAAAACAAAGCTATTTTAACTCCTTTTTTAAAATAACTCCTAGAAGAAACAAATTTAGTAAAATATACAGATGTGTTCTTAAGTAATGGATACTCTAATGAGGAATAAATAAAATGTAAAATTCATTTAAAATATGTTTGATTATTTAATTTTTAAACTATTATAAAGAAATAAATACAGATGCATTAAATAAAATGGGTATTCCTCCTGGATTTTAAATTAAAATAATGAAAAGGATAAATACTTTAAATCTGAATAAAAGTGTTGATTTAAATAACACTGAATTAGCAAAAAAACCTTCAATGAATAATAATAATAGTATTACAACACCCAAATCCGTAGCATAGAAATCTCTTTTAGAAGAATAAAAAGTAAATATATAAGAAAAAAAAAGCGAGTCTCCTAGTAAATAAACTGATAATAATAATAATAAGATTGCAAGTAGACCTCCCTTATTGAAGAAATAACCATCTCAAGATTTAAAAAAAGTAAGATTTTAAGAAAAATCTCCTTAAATATAGCCTAAAATAAAGTAATCAACTGACAACACTGGTAAATAGTTATTTCACACAGAGTCAACAGCAACAGACGCTCAAACTCCTTCTGACTTTTTATCTAAAAAAGTAAGCTGTTGGTAATGCTACTCTATTTTTGTTGAGGAAAAAGCTATTTAATAACACGGAAAGCTGTTTTGTAAATAAGAATGCCTTTAAACTTATGAAGATTTCTATATAGTAAATTATTATTATTTTTATTCAATTTAAAAATAACTATTTTACAAAAATAATTAGGTGCAATGTGCTAATAAAAATTGCTTAAAAAAAATAAGCAAACAAGACTGTAGCTTTAGAGAGGGTAATTGGTATTGTCTAGGAAAATGTGAGCCCAATATTTAGCAAATAGAGCAAATGTGGGAGGAATAAATTTAATCTACAGAAAAAATGGAAGGAGAAACTGATGAATAATACTATGAAAGAAAAATCAAAGAGTTCGAAAACATAGATAAAAGAAAAAAAGTAGAATATGATTTAAAGCTTTCTAGTGAAAATGAAAAGAAATCTAAAATTTTATCTCTTGAAGAAATAGAAGCAAAATATAAATTTATAAATGAAACCCAAAATATTGATTGAATTAAAATTATTGTTAATTGCTCAACTCAAATAATAAAAACTCACAAATAATTAATAAAAATTACTCAAAAATATTGAATTAAAATTTAAACATAGTTAAAATTTTTTAAAAATAATAAATTTCATAAGATAAGTATATTATATTTATCTCTCTCTATCTAATTATCTGTCTACCTATCTATCATCTAACTATCTATCTATCTATTTCTATATTTTTCATAAAAATGAATTTCTTTCAATTAAATGATAAATATGTTCTAATAATTTATCTGATGCAGTTTATATTTACAATAATTTTAAAAAACTAATAAAAAATTCAAATATAAAAAACATTTTAATTAAAAGAATCAATAGTTTAGATATTTTTTTAGAATAAATTTGTCAATTTTAATTAAATAAATTCTTTTAAATTACATTAACTTAGTTAGTTAAGGGATAAATAATAATATTACTTATTTATTTGTTTTTGGTTAGAATAGTGATTATAGATTGTTTAACCAGTTTATAGATAAAATGATACCCTCTCTTAATTCAAAATTATAAAAATTTTGGATTTTTGGATCTTTTATTAATCTATCTGTTCTTTACTTAATCTTTTTAGTATATTAGTTATTTTATAAATTTATTTGTTCCTTTACTTTAAATATTCTTAGAGGATATAATTTTCATTTCAAATTTGATTTTATCAAAATAATGCTTATGAATGAAAATTATGATTCAGTTTAAATAATTTTTATATTCTAAATATTACAAGTATTATAAATTACTTCAGGTAGTTTTTTGATTTAGAATATTTAAAGAAAGAAAAAATTATTAAATATAAAAAAATTCTGAAAACATATTAGAAATATACTAAAATTTGTTTCAAATGAAATAAATAAATTGGCTTAAGATGATATGATGATTTATACAATATACATGATGAAATAATTTAGATAAAAAGTAGAAAACTTATTATAAGTTAATAATTTATATGTTCATAAAAAGGAGTTTTATATTAGTTAGTTAGACTATTAGTGTTTTTTTTATAAATTTGTATGATTTATTTATTTTAATTTTCTATAAAAATTTAACTTTTTTAAATTTCTAGTCCACTACACTTGATTGATTGATTTATTTATTGATTCATTGATTGTTTTGTTATAGGCATTTATTTGTTTTTTTTGTTTTCAATTGACTATAAATTTCTTTTAGAAGTAAGACATCTAGTTCAGTTCTTTGAAGTGAGAAGTTGAATATAATATCTATTTAAATGAAAAATCATTTTTCTTATCTCAACAACAGCCATTAGATGCTGGAGGTGTTGGCTTTGTTTTTGCTGATAAAGTCATAGTATTTTATTCAGTTCCAACCTTTACTCCAAAAGTCTATTTATATTAATTTTAAATAGGAAACTTTTAGTTATTTTAATAGTAAAAAATAAATTTAATATTACCTCGATGTTAGGATCTATTAAGCCTTGATTAATCTTTTCATAGATCATTTTTGCTGTTTATTTGAAGGCTTCTTCAACATTATATGCGGTTTTAGCACTTACTTCTAAATAAACAAGATCATGCTCTTTGGCAAACTTTTCACCTTCTTCATAGCTTACTTGACGACTATTTATAAAATTATAAATGTTATTTAAATCTTTCTCTTCTTCATAAAAGTTATAATCAAAGTGTATTGAAATCATCTCACACACATTTTTTAATTTGCTTCACAGATAAAGTAAATTGTAAAAATTTTAAAAGCAATCTAACAATAAAAATTTACTCTTATTCCAAATCGCACTTGTTACCAACTAAAATAAAACTCATTTATGGGTTTCCGTTTTATCTAGCTTCTTCAAGCCATCTGCCAAGATGTTAGAAACTCTCACGCCTTTTCAACAAAAAATTAACTTAAATTTAGTCAATACATTGATAAAATTGTTTTACTTAGTAATATCGTAAACTAAAAGAGCTCCAGCTGCTGATCTATAATATGAACGAGTAATTGATCTAAAGGATTCTTAACCAGCCTAATTGTTTTAAAGTATTTTAAATTATTTTTATGTTTGAAAAAATAATCAAAAATCTAATCAATTTATTTTATTTTATAGCTTAAGAAATAACTATTTAGTGATCCTTCAAAGAGGAGGTAAAGTGTTATTTGTAAAATATAATTAATTACTGTATCCCAAATCTAAAGCTTAATATTTTTATTATCAAAACTAATCATTCTTGCACCAAACTCGACACCGATAGTTACATCGTGCTTTTCTTTGAATCTCTTATCTATGAATTGAGAGAGGATGCAACTTTTACCGACACCTTTTTTAATAAAAATAAAATGTCATAAAGGCAAGATTAAATAATTTCTTTAAACATACCAGTATCACCGATGATAATATACTTAAAAAGATAGGCGTAACTCATATTTTTTATTAGCTATATTATTTTAAGACTCTTAACTCTTTCTTTGTTATTTTAGTTTGCTTTAGATTTTTTTCTTTTTCTTAATAAATTAATTTAATGATTTAAAAATGTTTATTGTTTTCAGTCAATTAATAAGTTGAGTTCCAGACTATTTTAAATAATAGTTTAGAATGTTTTTATCAGTACTTTTATTTATCACTATCATCATCAGCTTAATTCAGTTCTTCATATAAATTTTGTATTGTAGATTGATAGTTCATTATCAATATTCCTTCCTTTCTTTCTATTTTATTACTTTAGCAAACAAAGAAAAATATTAAATTTCTTTTTTGAAAACCTTATGATAAATTATTATATCAATCAATATCAAATAAATAGCTACATATCCATTTTGCAAATTTTTCTCTATCTTTCGGTATGAAAAAGATTGCAAATATAACAAACAAACATATTTGATAATCAAGCTTTTGATTTATTCATCAATTTTACCTTGTTATAGATAAAGTAAATTAATTATTTTTATATTTTAAATTCTAATAAGCCGATTAGCAGAAAAAAAAATACCTAGTTTTCTGATAAGGAGCTATTTAAATTTTAGATACAAATTTTAATTTTGGTGAAGGCAATTTTAAAATCATAAAAATTATTTTACAACTAAATTTTTGAAAAAGGAAAAAAAATAAAAAAAGAAAATTTTTACATTATAAAAAAAAGAATTAGTAATTTCATAAAGTATTAAATTTAGTTCATTTTTTATATAAGTACTGATAGTTTCTTTTTAGCAAGCATTTTTTTGCGCGAATCTTAGTAAAAGAAAGAAAATAAATAAATTTCACTATGATAAAGTTTAGTCTGAGAATAGTAAATACATTTTTAATGAACAAATATAATAAATAAAAGTAAAAGTTTCATAAATAATTATAAAATAATATTGTAAATTTATTATTTAGTAAAATTTATAATGTCTTTTTTTAGATATCAAAACAATCTCTTCACATAGGTTGCATTTTACTTTCAATTAATATTTTCTTTCTTGCATCAACCTTTAAGTTTTTAAGTTAGGAATAAGACTAAATATATAATTTTCTTATAATATAAATTTACTAATCTGATCATAATCTACTCATAAGCTCTCTCGAATTAAAGAATAGGCTCCCTAATTGAGTTGGCCTAAAAATTAACAGGTCCTTCTTTATCGATAGCTGATATTATTGTCTATATAAAGTTTGAATATATATTCTTTAAATTAAAACAACAAACTCTAATTAAGATTTACACGAATAGCCTCCTCAAAGGTCTCTTCAGAGGTCTTCAAATTTTAATGCATTTAGTTAGAGTGTGGGTGGTTCATATCTTAGTTTAGCTTAATTTACAAAATAAATATATAAATAATTAGTGTTTAGGAACAAATTTCTTAATAATTAGAAGTAAAAAGTAATTTTAATTAAAAAATAATATATAATATACATAAATGTTAAAAAATGAAATATACTTTTTCTGATAATAACTTTTAAGCAATTGGCATTTAAATTTTCATAATATTATATATTATTAAATTTTAATTATCGTTAAAGAAAAAAAGTAAAGTTACCATTTTAATTCTTTCAAATAAAATATTTTTGTTTATTAAAAAATATTTTTATCTATTTCTGATTTAGAGAAGAACAAATCAATAAATAAATAATTTAATTTTTAAGGAAATTTAAAATTTTTATTCTTTAAATTCTTCTTAAGTATAAATATATATTTGACAATATTATGAGTATTTTTGTAGAGTACATTGAAATTAGAATATTAAATTATCATTTTATGAATTTAGTTAGCTAAACAAAATAATTTTTTAAGTAAAAAAATATTAATTTATCAATTTAAAATAAAATTAATTAATTTATCATACTAAATTATTATCAAAAATTAAATCAAATACCTAAAAACGTACCAAAATTATAATGATTTTTTAATAAAAATAAAACAATTTTTTTAGTTTTAACATTGACATTTATTTGAATTAAAAAAATATTTTATTGAATTATCATTTATTAAATAAAATTTAACGAAGATATTTTTTTATTTATTATTAGAGAGTATGTATCATTCGTTTTTAAGATTTTTTCTAAACCAAGGAATAAGTCTAGAAACAGTTTTTTAGTAAAGTTTATAACTTGGCTTTTTTTATGATAAATACTTTTCCATAGCTGGAACACTATAAAAGTTAAATAAGCAAGTAATACTAACAGCTCCAATCACAGTCCATAATGGAGGATTTGTAGATCCAAGCAATGAGATAAAGATTCCCCACCATATTGTGATTTAGCCAAAATAGTTAGGATGTCTCGAGTATTTCCATAGTCCTACTTCTATGCATTTTTCAGTTTTCACTCCTCTCCAAGGAAGCAATTATTCATCAGCTATAGCTTCAATAATAACTCCTGCTAAAGAAATAAAGCTTCCTAAGTAGGTAATAAATTCTTATATAAAAGTTTAATTTGCAAGATCCTCGTTTAAAATATAGTAAAGAGGAGTCAATCCCAAAAAGACTAGAATTGTTGGAAACAAATGAAAACTGAAAAAAGAAAACAACCAATATAAAACTGGATTATGAATCACATTAGAGTATTACTTGTATCTGAAATCTTCATATTGGAAACCAGGCCAGAATCTATTTTATTTTATATAAATTGATACTTAGTAAATAAATTTGAAAATAATAATAAGCTGATCTACCTAAAATAGTAAACATTCTGCTTAATGCAGTAAGCAAGTAGTGGGAAGATTGCTAGCATGTTTCTTAAACTATTTGAATATAAGCTTTATTTGTTCAAAATATATGCATAACCAATAGGTAAGGTTTACCAGTAAGGATCATAAATGCTACTATTTTTGAATATAAAAGAAAAAGCGAAGACCAAAATAGTATGTGCGATATCAACCAAGAGCACTCTAATTAGAGGATGTAAATTGAATGGTTATGTAAAATCATAAAAGATTTCTAAGGTTAGAAAAGCCAAAGCATATGGGAAAACCATAATGAAGAGACTAACCAAATATGGGTATTTATTTTCTTAAGATTTGTTCATTTTAAATTACAAATGTTGGAAGTTTATTGTTTACCTTAATTTATTTATCAATTTTTATTAAAATATAAATCTTTAAGAATATTATTAATCAAACATAAATTTATTAAAATTTATTAGAAATGTTATAAACTAAAAACTAAACAAGAGTAATCAAGATACTTCTTGAAATTATAGGTTAAATTTTTTTGCAAAAATAAAAAAATTAAATTATATAAAACAAACAAATAATCGTTCAATCATTATCCATAAAAGATTTTAGATTTTTTGTTTTTAGTTCATCAAATTAAATATTTTTTAATCAACACCAGCCAGTTTTATGAATATTCGTTATTAAATGCAATCAACTTAAAAATTATTTAAAATTTTTTTATGAATATTTTCATGATAATTTTATGATGAAAATTTGTTTAGCTGAAATTTTGCAATCCAATTATTTAACAAACATTATAAATAAATAATAGATTTTTGATAACATTTTAAAAATTCACAGTTTGTTAATTTTTATAACAAATATAATACAATAAATAACTTGCTGTTTTTAAAGATAATAAATTTTTTTTCTTCTAAATTGTTTATAAATTATAAATCAGTAAACTCTTCTAAATAAATGTATACCTATCTCAAAATTATAATATGTCATATTTTACCTCTAGGTTAGTTATACTAAAATATTAGATTGAGCAACACTTATTACACATTGCCTATTTATATAATTATAAATTTTAATTATCTTTGAATGGTTTAAATAATTAAATTAAAAGTTTACTTAAAAGTTGAATTAAAGCTAATTTATTTACTATTTATTTAACTTAGATTGATTAAGAATACTTAAATCTAAAATCTGATATGAAGTCTCAGCACATTTTTTACATTTTATTAAGAATTTTAAATAGTTAAACTTAATTTCACCATGTATAACAGCTGAAAATTAAAATAAGAGGCTTATATCATTAGAATTTTGCTTATCAGATTTCTTAGATTTTTCATTGATAATTGGTACAACTTGATATTAATTAAAAGAATATATTTAATTAAGAATTTAATAAACCCAAAAATATTACACTTATCCTTCATATATAATTTTTTTTAGCTACAATTACATATTATACTTTTTGATTTTTCATCAAAGTTCGTAATACCGCAATCTTTACATGTATAACTAGCTTGAAAACCTTCTACTTGGATTATATTTTCAATCCCTAAAAAAGTTTCTACTTTTGCAATCAAGCGGACATGTATTAGTTAACTCTCCTCATAAATTAATGTATTATCTAATATTTTTTCCATTAAAATATCTAAGAGGTTTTATTTAATCTAATTTACTAATAATTTGAGATTAAAGAATGTTTTTAACTTCTGGATCTACTGTAATATCGCCTTGAAAATGTTATGAACTTTAATCATCTAATTAAATAGTTTGATTTTAACTCAGATTACTACTCATTCTTGTATATAGCAATTTATTTCAGCTTCTACTAAAAAATTTATTAATTTAATTTTTTCAATCAAAAATATATGATAAAATCAGGAATAATTAATATTTTTTTTAAAAATTACAAATTAATGAGACAAAAAATATCTTAGCAAATTAAATCCATATAACATCTTACAAAATAAAATTGTATTTAAAACTATTTTATAACATTAATTAATTAATAAATTTTATATATTTAAATCAAATGAATTTAATTATGAAAAAAATTTTAGAAAAATAATTTATAAAAAAATATTATAATTGATTTGATAAAATAGAATTTTCTTTTGAAAATAATTATAAGTTAATTAAGCAGATATAATACTGATGTCTATTTTGACATAAAATAATTAAACATCTAAATTATAATAATTTGAAGATTATAATAATTAATTTTTGTAAGTAAGTTTGTTTGTTTTGTTTGGATAGCAATAATAAAAAACTATACAAGAAAGTTAAATTGTTTGGTGAATAGAAAAATTTATAGAAAAAGTAATTTAAATAGCATAAATATGTCAGATAAGCAATAGTAGCCTAAGAAGGGCATGCTTAAATTAAAAGGAAATAAAACTGCTTCTGATATTGTGAGCAATTTAAAAAGTCAATAGGAATTATTGAAGAAAAGACCTATTTAAGAAGCATTACCAAAAGAATATTTGTAGCATAAGAAAAAAGAAGATGAAGAAAAAAAGAAAAAAGAACAAATAGAAAAATTAGCTTCATAGCCAGTCACAGGCGAAATCAAGAAAACTAAAAGTTAAGAAGCTTTTGATGTTATTAGAAAAAAGAGATTTGATGAAAAGGTATAATAAGAATTAAAAATCACTCACAGAGAAAAGCTTGAAAAATTCAACAAAGGTTTAAGTTAACTACCTGAACATTTTGACATTCCTAAAGTAGGTCCTGGATGATAATCAAACTGTTTATTGTATTTAATAATTATACATGTTTACATTGGTTACAAAATTTAAAATGTTTATTAAAAGTTTTCAAAAAAATTATTCTTTAAATAGCTTTTAGATTTATTAAAATTTTTGATAATAGTAATTTTGTATATAAATTGTTAGATTTTAGCAATAATCCAAACAAAAAATATATATATAAATGATTTTAAGATCTATTTTAAAAGTTAAAATATATAATAATTTTATATTTAATTTAAAATACGAAAAATAATTATTTAGAGTTTTAATAAGTATGAAAACATTCACAAAATAAATGCTTTACTAATAGAAATTCAGTTTAAAAACAAAAAAAAATTGTAAAAATATTTAAATTATTCATACTTAAAATTGTACCGCTCGATTAGCTCAGCTGGTTAGAGCATGCGGCTGTTAACCGCAAGGTCGTAGGTTCGATCCCTACATCGAGCGCTTTTTTTTTCATATCAGAATTTTTATAAAAATTACAGAACTTTATTTGATCTCAAAATAAAAAATATTTAAGTAGATCAAATATTTAAAATGTTTAAGAAGATCAAATATTTTTTCATTGGAAAAAAAGTTATTCTCAATAAAAAAAAATGCAAAATATTTGTAGATTTTGCTTCTATCAAAAGTTTGTATGATAAGTTAATTGAAATAATCAAAAACTTTTTTATATATGTAATGGAAAAATTAAAATGAATATGAGCTTATAAAAGAAAAAAATATCGATTTCAGATACTACTAATTCTAAACTTATCTACTTCAAGTATTTAAATATTCATAAACTAGATAGATGATATAAATATATTTAGATAGTTAGATAAATAAATTAATAATAATTTTCTATAAATTAAGTTAGATATTTTGATTTTTAAAAAACAAATCGCTATTGATATAACTTCAAGTCATTTTTAGCTTTTTGTTGTAATAAGATGAAAAGTTTAGGTAATTATAGTGCTTTTGCTTTAACAAAAATAAAGAAAACTTTAAATTTAATTATTATTAATATTGATTGTAATTGTTATGGAAAAAAATATTAATCAACATACTAATTTTATAGAGGTCGAAGATATTGAATAAGCGCAGGCTATTGTAAAAAATTAAGATGATGAGAAGAAATAACTATATCTACCTCAAGAACCTGTTCAGAAAACGGAAATGGAGTACTCAAGGTATTAAATACCACCTAATTTTTAAATTGCACATCAACATTAAGTAAATTAAAAAATAGGTCTTTAAAAATTAAACGAATAACTTAAATTTTTACTAAAGATAGCTAACTTGGTAGGATATGAGAGTAAAGAATCAAAAGATTTGTGTGTCTGCTGTGCAAGATAAATCAATAAATAAAAAATTAATTTGCTTTGTAATCTCAGAGATCTCTCATTTCTTGGGAGTGGCTACCCTCTATATTTCAGTTTTTTAAAGTACTGTGAGGTATTTCTATGCCTTATACTATTGACTTCAGGAGGATATAACATGCTTACTAATGCTATTTATGGTTAAGACTGCAAAGAAGATAATGAAATTGAAGGATAAGACACTTCATAGATCTGTAAGAAAAATTGGATAACAGTAATTTCATTAGGAAATAAATAAGAACAAAAGACTTTAATGTTTGTATAAGAGATACTCAATTTAGCTACTGTGATTATAATTATTATATTACTTCAAATATTTAGACGCTATTAACGTAAACTAGATTCAGAGTGTGATGAAGCAGATATTTCTGCAAACGATTACACATTATTGTTTGAAAACATTCCCTTGGAGTTTGATGCTATTAATAGCGACTATGATGATGACTTGAAGCTGTATGTTGAAAAAGATATTTCAAAAATGTTAAATTAAGAAAGTTCAACACCAAACTAATGCCTTGAAGTAGTTAAAGTGATTTTATGCTACAATCTTAAAGAATTATAGCAATTAAATGACAGACATTCAGAGTTAATAAAACAAAAATAAAATACAATAAAATAAATGAATAAAGGAAAAATAGCAGACACTTTAATTTTAGAAAACATTAACAAAAAAATAGCAGATTTAGATGATTAAATTTTAAGATTTTAAGAGAAATTTGTAGATGGTAAAGGCAAAGAATTCATGAAGCAATATTTTACTGGTAAAGCACTCGTTTCTCTAAAAACTGAATAAAGTAAAACTATTTTTATAAATTATCTATTAAAATTCTTTACTTCATTTTTTAAATCATTAAATTACTCATAGATTTTTTTAAATCTGGTTAAAATTTATTGTTTTATTAGTTCTATAAGATTTATCATTTATTTTAAAAACATAATAAGAAATTGTAATTTTAATTTCGAGAAAAGTAAACTTAATTTTTCTATAAATTTTTCAAGAGATGGTTGCTAGAAATAAAAAATTAGTTATTGATAATTTTTATTAGCTATATAACTACCTATCTAATAATCTTTAAATTTTATTTTATTTTTCTTTCTATAACTAACTAAAATATTGTTTAATTAGTGAAAGAATAAGTCCTCAATTTCGCAAAAGACTCTAAAAGATCTAAAGAGCTAATCTATCAAAATCAAGTAGTTTAGATAAAATAGGCACCTTATCCTTCAGATATGTACTGGGAAAATTTACACATAACATAAAATGAGAAAAATAAAAGATTTGTTAAAGGATTTTGCATAACTATATTAGCATTGGCTGGATGTGCAGGATTAATATATTTACTGTTATTTATTCAAAAGCAATAAAAACCTTCTTAAAATTAAAATACAAGTTAATAAAGTAATGCGTTGGTTTAGAGCATAGCTATTTTACTATCTATTGCAATTACTATATTAAATTTTTTACTGTAAATTGTTCTTAAATATCTGACAAAGTAATGTTTTTAATATTGTTTTAAACCTCTAAATAATTTTAATTAAATAATTAAAGTATTGAAGGATGCTATACAAGGACTGAGTTTAATATAAGTATTGCCAAAAAAATGGCATGGGCTACTTTTATTAACACATCTTTAATACAATTCTTTATAGATGTTGTTTTGAGCGATTCAAAAAAATTTGGAGCAATATTTTCAGAAGGTGGGATTGCTTATAACTAAAATTACGTCTTTATGTTTAATATGGTAATTCCTTTTGTAATGGGACTTATCGATTTCCCAGGCATTTTCAAAAAGGTAAAATAAAAAATGCTATCTAAATAAGTGGAAAAATGCTATTTTACACAAGAACAACTAAATACGTAATGTTTAATTTTTAAAAATAGTCTGTCAATTATTTAATTTTAAATAGCTTATACGAGTATCCATAGTATAATATTTCTCAGTAGTATGCTAATAATTTAAAAACTATGTTTATGGTAGCTTTCTACTCGCCTATAATTCCAGTTGGTATATTATATTCAATGGTTGCTATACTTCTAATGTATTGGGTTGACAAGGTAAATAAATAAGTTTGAAATAGTTTTGGATCAAAATATTAATTTTTTTGAATTATTTTTTAGTTTAATATACTGAGAAGAAAAACAATCAAATTCTCTTAATCTGCAGAATTATCAATTGAGATGACTGAAATGATTGAATATATATTACCTATTTATTCTCTCTCTAATGCACTATTTTTGCTATATATTGTTGGGATTGATTATGTTTCTGTGGTAAGCTGGATTTCTTTAGGAATTGGTCTAATTCATGCAGCTCTTCCTATGTAATTATTCAATGAAAAAATGTTTGAAATTGCTGAAGCACCTCCTAATTTGCAAGATTTTTACTAAGCTGAGCAGTTTTTCACCACTGATTATGATAGAGAAAATCCAGCATATTAACTTATAGTACTAAATAAATACACTAAAAAAGAATAGGAAAATAAATCAATTTAAATCAACAATAATATTTAATTAAAAAACTCTACACCTAAAAAGCTATAATAATCTATTTTCAAATCAAATAATGAAGATGTCATTTAAAAGCATTCAGATCATAAAACAAAAGTAGTACATGAATAAGGTTAAGGTTCAAATAGGAACAAGTATTTTAGCTCAGAAAAAATGTATAATTCAAATCTCCAGATAAATTTTATAAATTCAAAGTAAGAAACAGCAGATACAAATTAAAAAATTAGTAATCTCGAAGACTCTGTTTGCTGAAAAGAATAATAAATTGAGATATTTAGTCAATTTAATTTATTTTAAACATAATAAATAATTAAAACTAAATTGCCAAATATTAAAGTTATTATATATATTTATATATGTGTAGTTGGCAAAATATTGGTTTAATTAATTTTATAAATTGTATAAAAATATAATAGTAACTATCCTCAATAGCAAAAAAGTATTTTGAAAATAATTTATTTGCTTTAATTATGACTGTTTTACTATCAATTTTAATTAATATTTTAAATGTATTTTATTCTTCTATATAAAAATTCAACTATTGTAAATTTCAAAATTTCCCCCCCTATTAATAAAAATGAATACATTTATAGAAATGTATTCATTTTAATTATAGGGGGGGAAATTTTAAAATATATAATAATAAATATTCTAAATTCACTAAGTAAATTATTGTTCCACTTAGCAAACGATTTTACAATTAATTAATTAAGTTAATTATACACATTTATTTATATATACGTTGTCAGAATAATCTTATGATCTTAAATTTCTGCACTAAAATATATCTATATATAAAAATTTTTCTTTTATAATTATTTATTGTTTTTTTAAATTAAAACATTTACATATTTATTTTTTATTTTTTGTAAAATTATTTTTTTACTTACAATTTTTTTATAAAAAAGTTTTTTAGGAATTTAATTTTTCTTTTTTTTTCAATAATTTAGCTTGTTTATTAGATTGATTAAAACTAGTAAGTAAAAAGATTTGATTGGATTATTCAAAATGTCTTATTTGCTAAAAAGAAAAGCTTAGCAAGGAGCTTATGACTACTCCTAAATAAATTAATTGGAAAATATTAGAAAATAAACAAAGAAAGATGAAGATTCTGCACTCTCTATTTCATAATAAGACTTAGAATTTATTGAATCTCTCCCTCAAGTTAGCTTCTAGACTCCAGATATAGAATAAAATCAGATGTTTTTAGTGTAGGTAGAAATATCACAATTTATTTATTTAAGAATATTTTCAAATAATTTTTATATTCAGCTTTACTAAAATATAATTCAAAAAGGTTTAGTATCTTCAAGATGAGATTGAGAATAGTGTTAGGTTAAAGAATTTCAAAAATATTCCAAGAGTAATAATAATATTTTTTAATATCTAAATAAGGAGACATTAATATTTTAATTATGATGTATTTATGAAAACTAGATTTTGAGAAAGAAACTTATCGCTTTAGTAAAAAATAACTCCTAGAAAAAAAATTAGGACCAATTTCAGAGATTGATGAGCATTCTTTCTTCATGTTTATCTTTACAATAAATTGCAAACAACTTCTTCTTATAAGTAATAAAATCTAATTTTTTGTTAGATTTAGTGATATAAATAAGCTTTGAAAATGATATAAAATGCTTGTTTTTTTAAATGATAGAAAGAGCTATGTGACAATCTTTTTGAAATTTTAAATTATTATGAAGAGTTTGTAGATAGTGATTGCATAGACATTTTATTTAATTTGGTAAAATATTCAGAATATTATTAAAAAATATATTTATTTTTTATTTGTTTTTTTGTTATTGCTGACTCACACAGCTAAGTATAGTTGAAAGTGGAGGTATCAAAGAATGTTTGCTCAACATCATCATTTAAATGTGCAAGAAAAACATGAATAAATGCAAAAAGAGTGTCTAAGAAAATTAGGACAATCCTGAAATTAACAAATTAAGCGTTAAAATGAAATTTAAATTTATCAAATTATTATTCAAAATTATCAGTGTCGATGTACCAGAATAGGAGCTGTAAAGCAATAGTAAAAATATTTCAATATTAAATTCAGAGAGTTCAGCTTCCAAAAATCTTTAGCAGAAACCAGCTAAATCATTTCAATCCTAATTGATTGCAGAGATGTTAAGATGGCTTTAGCAAGAACCTTTAATCTCTTCAAAAGTTCTTAAATTTTTATTAGGGATAGAAAGTAGATAAGCAACGATTGTCAAGCTCTGCTTACTTAAAAATATTAACCTTAATGAAGATTCTTAATTATATTTCTTAGATTTTCTATAATTACTTTTCAAAAAAAATCCTTAATCGTAAGGTGATATTATTCACAAAGTGTTTTTATACATCAATAACTGTACCAGGTCTCTTTCATAATAAATAAGACTTAAAGCATCATAAATATTACATTATTTCCCATACTTTGATGAAAATCTTCTGTTGAGGACAATAAAACTAGAATAATTTTAAGATTATGGAAAAGCAGGAAGTTAAACTCCTACAAACAGTGTAATGACACCTAGTAAAAGTAAATTTTTGCTTTAATTAATAATGAATTTGATATAAATTTTGACAATTTAGACGACTAAGAAAGATTTTCAATCAGCCACGGATATGGTGCAATTGTTCATCTATTAGAGGACGAGTTTAATGAAATAAGAAAGAGTGCAATTGATATCATACAGAATTTTGGACAATAAAGCGAATAATTTGGTAAGGAGTCTAGAGATATATTATTTTATATGCTCAATGATGAAAATGACTCTGTTAGAATTAAAGCAATTTAAGGAATTAGCAATGTGTTAGCTTAAGAGTCCGTCGAAATACCTGATGGCTCAAATAGAAAATTAGTTGTTATAACAAATGAAGAAATGGATAGCTTAATGTTCAATTTAAAAGAAAAAGTACCAAGATTAAGAATTGTAATTTACAAGCTACTAGGAAAGGTGAAAATAAATAATATAGATTAGCTAAATATGATTCTTAACATAACACTTAGAAATATCAATGAATTTGGGGACAGTTCTTATATTTTCGAGATGTGTAAAAACGTAGGAGAAAATAATAGTGAGCTCATTAAAAAGAATATTTGCTAAATTTTGCAGATAGCTGATATTCTCTATGTTTAAGAACCTCATTGGAAAGATAAAGCCCATATTTATAGAATTATTATGATTTCAAATGCTTTCAAAAACAGAGAAGAGCTTTTAAAAAACTCAGAAACTCTCCTTCCAAGTTATTTTTTAAAGTAATACGATATGATGTAGGATCTAATGCCAAAGTATTTTCATCAGCTTTACAGGTAATCATTAAATAAAGATTTTAAAAACTAATTTTTATTTTAATTTATTCTTAGTTATGAGTAGAGCTAATTATTCCCTTAGAAATAGCAAGAAGATGAAAAGAAAAAATATTATAAGAATCAAAGAGATATTGAAAAATAGGATAAAGAGATTGAAGAAATAGAAGAAGAAGAATAAGGTGAAACTAAAATAATTAAAAATGATAATTAAACAGAGAAAAATAATTTAGAAAAGGTTTATGCTGATAATCTACTCAGTTTATTAGTTAATAGTTTATCTGAAATAGGTAAAAAAAACTCTGCCTTTCAAGTAATTTAAAAAAATGCAAAAAGCTAAAAGTCTGTTTCTGGGCCTCAGCAAGACTAATATTAATTTATAAATAAAATTTCTAAAATTGCATATCAACTTTCACTATTTATTAAATAATCACAGTAAAGGATATCTTAATAACAATCTATTTAAGATGTCTAAGCTTTGAGATATTAGCTATTGAAGATTATTAAAAATATCCATAAAGTTTAGTGTAAATTTATTTTAGATGATTAAAGTCAATAAGTTATTGAAAAAATGCTCTTTGTTGCAATATTGTAGTTGCCTATTCTTCATATGACTTAAATTAATTCAAATAATTCTTCAACAGATTTATTCGAATCCATTAAATTTGTTAAAACTATGACATTTATAAAAGACATAATTAAAGAATTTTAAGATGCTAACAATAATAAGCTCAATAACAATTAACACCAAAGTGCATCTTCCATTCGCTCTAGTAACAATCCTTTCTTTCTTCTCTACTCATGCTTGGAAGAAGGAATGAAGATAACTAGTGATGTTTAAGCAAACCCTTAAAGACTATCTATACCTTCTACTAGAGAAATATTTTTTAATAGATATAACAACTTCTTAAAGTAATTGCCATACAGGTTACTTTTTCCTAAAAAAGAGAGCAATAATTATTTTTTATAAAAATAAAGTTCAATTCTGCAAAACTAGTTGAACTCAAACTAAAATAATTAGCAAATAAAATTAAGAAAGGCAAACATTTTCGTGCCAAACGATGAGCCTGTTGAAATTCAGTCTAAATATATGGCAAAAACAGGTTTTATAGCAGAAATAACTCACTTTTTGACTACTGAAGAGAGAAAAAATCTTTAAATAATTGTGGAGTATTCAGATAGTTCATATGAGAGTATGTAGTTAATTGAAGATGACTTTGTTTATTTAACAGAATCTATACACGTTATTAACACGAACATATTTTTCTAAAAAATTAATTGGACTACTGAATCTCTAGTGAGTATTTCTATAAATTATCTGAAACCTCTTTCTCTCTTCAATAGAAACACCATTTAAAGAGAGATAGGACAGCTGTTACCTTCTTATCAGAATTAGAATAATAAATTAATATATAACATTCTTGATTCATCATGCAAGCTTGCTTAATCCAAACAATTTCCTTTAATTATAAAATCTAGGGTAATCTGATTAAATCCTGGACAAAATAAATTTAAAAAATAATTTTTTAAAAACAAAAAATTTTAAACTTATAAAATAAAAAAAATGTGTTATTTAAATTTTAAAACAAGTGTTTTTTTTTTGTATAAAAATTTGTAATTTATTCTATTATTAAAATGTAATGCACAGTAAAAAAATTGGTTTAAAAACTGCACATTATGCTAATTATTGTTAAAAGTGAAATTAATTCAAATCCTTCCACGTTAAGTTTGACTAAACAACGAATGAGGTTTTTATTTATCAAAAAGATATTAAAAAGAAATAAAATATGCATTTTTAAAGTTTGTAAATAAATAAAATTTCAATTTAATTGGCAAATGAATACAGTCTATATTATTAATTAACATTAAAATAAATTGAATTAATAGATATATGAATGAATAAATAAATAAATAATCATCAATAAAAGAATGAGTGAGACAAACCTATCTAAATAAAATAAATAAGAAAATTAATTATAATAAATAAACAAAACAATAATAATAAACGCAATCAATTGATCCTTTTATCAAGAGGATATTAAAATTTTTCAAAAAGTTTTTAATAAGCAAAGGTTCTTCAAAAGACAAATAATTCCTGAAAAGTAAGGAAAATCTAAAAAGTATTTTAGTGAACGTTGTTTCAACACAAGGATAATAAGTATTTCATAAGTTAGAAAAAAAAGTTTAAAATGGTCATTATTAGTGCTGCAGTTTGCGATAAATAAGGTGACATCTTAATAGCTCGTCAATATTAAAATATCACAAAGCATTAGCTTGAGGAGAACATGAGAAATTTTCCTAAGCTCATAACACCTGATCAATAACACACTTTTGTTGAAACAGAATATGTGAGATATGTGTATTTACCATTGGATAATATGTACTTGGTTCTTCTCACTAAAAAGAATTCAAATATTATTGAAGATTAAGAAACAATACGCCTTCTTCATAAAATAGTTTAAGATTTGTGTCCATCTGGAGTTTCAGAATAAAATGTTTTGAAAAGAGATTTCGATATCTTATTATGCTTTGATGATGTTATTTCTTTTGGTTTTAGAGAATCAGTATCTTTAAGTCAAGTAAGCTTTGCTTTTTTACAAATTTATTGTATTATCCTCAATAGACAATGTTTTTATTATTGAGATTGTTAATAAGATTTAAATTAATTATTTCAAAAGCTTTTCAAAGCTAAGATATACAAAAATGGCAAATTAATTTAAGAACTATTTTGAAATGTTTTAAATTAGGAAAATGAATTTAGTTTTGTGAAAAAGTTTATTTTTCTTTTAAATTTATTAATTTCTGATCAATTTTTATTTTATCTGTATGGATATCAATTTGAAAAGAATTTCTAACACTTGTAAAGATATTCTTGCAAAAAGTTTAAAAAGCAATTTATTAAATATTTTAAAATGAAATATAGGTTTAAAGTGCATTGGAAATGGAGAGTGCAGATGAAAAATTCCATATTATGTTGATGAAATAGAAACAAGCAGAATAGCAAGAAGCTGCTAAAAGACATTAGTAAGAAATGTAAAAGAAACGTGCTGCTGGAATCAGCTCTTCTGGTAATAGCATTTCCTCCTCAAGCTATGGTTCCTATAGCAGCAGTGGCGCTTCAACAAATGCAACTGGAGGTATCTCTTCTAGTGGTATAACTAGTATGGGTTCTAATTCATTTAAATCCAAAAATGATGAAGATGAAGGTGTTTTTCGTCCTGATGACAAACCTGTTTATAATCCTTCATCAAAAGCAACTACTGTTGCTCCAAAGAAGGGTTTAGTCCTTGGTAAGAAGAAAGCTCCTACAAAAGAAACTCCTGTTGCAAATTAAAAGGAGGCTAGCAGCTCTTCAGCAAATACATAGGCTACTTTGTAAGAGAAGATTGTATAAGAAAACTCTAAAAAAGAAGAAATAAAAGTTAATCCTCTTAAGGCTCCAGTTGACATTGAAATAATTGAAAAAATGAGTTGCTAAATGACTCGTGATGGAACATTAAATTCCCTTGATATAAATGGTGAAGTATTCCTTTAGTTCTACGATCCTTCTAAAGCCCGTATCGCTATACAATTCGAATATGAAAATCTAAAACTAAAGACACTTAAACCCCATGTAAATTTAAATAAGTAATTGTGGACAGATAAGAAATAGATCGCTTTGAAAAACATAGAAACTGCTTTCCCTGTTAATACTAGAATTCCCTCTGTTAAATATGGTTATAATTCTACTAACACAGCTGATTTACCATTCACACTAACTTGCTGGTTTAATGATGGATAAGTTGCTCTTGAAGTTGAATTTAATACTGATCAAAATCGTTTTGAAAAGCTAGAAAAGATTGAAATTTCCTTTAGCTACCCATCTAAAGAAAAGCCTGATGTAAGCTCAAGTGAAAATGCTGAATACGAAGTCAATTCTTCAAATAGTGTTTTCAAATATATAATTCCTTCCTTAAGTGCTTCTAATGCCACATCTAACATTTAGATCAGTTTCTCATCTAGCTTAGCTGAAGATGACATATTCCCTTTCGATGTTAACTTTACATTACCATACACTTTTTACCAAATTAAGCCTCTTGCTGTTGCTAATTTAGGTAATAATAACGAATTGCTTAAATTCGATGTAATTTCTAAATGCACAGCAGATAAATATCAAATCAATTGATAAAAAAGTTTTATTTTATTTATGCTAGAAAATTCAATCAAATAAAATTATTTTTTGTATAATTTACGTTTTTAAAAATTATTTACAAGTATCTAAATAAGATCGATAAATATTAATTTGTTTTTTGTTTTTTTTGTATTTTCACTTAATAAACATTATTGTATCTGTGTTAAAACTATGATAAATTACCTAATTTTGATATTTCAAGTATCTAAAATTTAAATATTATAAATATCTAGTATTTTTTTTTTGTGTAGATGCGTTATTAAAATAACTTTAATTCAAAGAAATATCAATTCCAAAATATTTAATTAAAGAATTTTCTATTGTGTTTGGATATTCTTTTATTATTTGATCCCTCTCCTTTTATCCTCAATAAATGATATCATTTAAGTATTAAATGAGGCTATTAGCAAAAATAAATTGTAGATTACAGTTTTTCACAGTTTTTAATGGGCTATTTTTAATTAACAAGAAAAATGATTAATAATTTTAAACATTCAAAAGCTGCTGACTTTCTATCTGGTGTAATTACTTTTTAAAAAAAAGAATTTTAATTTTTTAAGAATAAAATAATAAGATGTAAAAAAAGTCTGTTGTTTTTATACTTGTATTGCTAATCTCATGCAATTCAGTTTATACAGAAGATTAATTTCCAATTAAAAATGTCGTTGTCTTAATGATGGAAAATAGATCTTTTGATCACATGCTTGGATGGATGAAGTCTAGTAAATCAAATATAACAAATCCTAATATAGATGGGTTAACAGGTTCGGAATGTAATCCAAAATTACTTTCAGGAAAAATATGCGTTTCCCAAAATGCAACTGACACTACTAATTATGACCCATTTCATTTATTTTCAAGTACTACTGAGAGAATTTACAATTGTAAATATGACCTTATTAATTCCAAGAACTCTAAAAACCCTTGCAAAAATCATGCTTCTTTGGAAGAGCCTGCTAATATGCAAGGTTTTGTTAAATCTGCTGAATGGCTTTTACATAGCGGAGAAGTTGAAATGAGTGGGCACTTACCAGAAAATGTTCCTATAATTAGCACTTTAGCAAGTGAGTTTGCTTTATTCGATCGCTACTTTTCAAGTTTTCCTGGCTGTACTAATCCAAATAGAATATTCATGCACACAGGTACCAGTGATGGATATGTTGGTAATGGCTAACGTGCAGGATAAATTAAAAATACCACTATATAAGAAGTGCTTGAAAAAAATGGATACTCTTGGAGATATTACTACGAAGGTGATGCTTTAGATTGGTTCCTTTATATTGAATATTTCAATAATAACTTTTAAACTCCTGGTAGATTTTCTGAAATGGAATAATTTTATAGTGATGCAGCAACTGGAAACCTTCCAAACTACACTTTTATTAATCCCTCTGAATCAATTCACCCAAATTTGAATAACACCAAATCATTTGGCCTTCCAAACGACTAACATCCTAATCATAGCGTAAGAGAAGGAGAGAGATTGATTAAAAATGTATATGAAGCATTAAGAAATGGTCCTCTATGGAATCAAACATTATTGATAATTACTTATGATGAGCACGGTGGTTTTTATGATCATGTCCCTCCTCCATAAACAAATATTCCAAGTCCAGATAACAAAGTTAATGCTAATGGATTTGATTTTAAAAGACTTGGTATTAGAGTTCCTACAATCGCTATTTCTCCATGGATTGAAAAAGGAACATTAGTGAATAAACCCACAGAAGAATAAAGACCCTTTGAAAACAGTGAGTTTGATCATACTTCTATAGGAAAAACCATATTCAAGATATTCGGAATTGATTATAATTTATCTCAAAGAAGTGAATGGGCAGCTTCTTTTGAAAATATATTAAAGTTGAGAAAAGAACCTAGAAATGACTGTATTTCAGAATTAGCTTACATTCCCCCACCAACAAAAGAGGAAATCACAAGACTATACAGCTTGCCTATTTAAGATACTCTCAAATAAAAAATAAATAAAATTTGTAGGTTACATAAACCTCGTGATCCATATTGTGGTGAATAAGTAGAAAACTATACAGACTATGTTAATTTTATAGATCAACTTGATAAAATTCTACTCGATTGAATCTAAAAATATATTGGATTGAATATAAAATTAAAATAAAATATTAATTTTTTAATTTATTTTTTTAAATTAGATTTAGATAGTTTTATGCATTGAAAATAAATTATGTGTTTATTTTTTGCTTTATATAAATATGAAATTAAAATTTCTATAAAATAGTAAAAAAAATTATTATTTTTAATTAATTTATGAGTTTATGTTAAAATAATTAAAAAATTGTGAATTACTAATGAATAATAGTGGTATTTTCGTTAATAAAAATTTAATTTTTTGTGTTAAATAAACGAATTTTTCACTAATAAATTTTTCTGATTAAATTCATCGATAAATAAATAAATTGATAAAACTTAAACCAAGTCATCTAATTAACTTTTTGTAAGGATGAGAAGAAAAAATTAAAATGAAAACTCTACTTATAGCTAAAAAAAGTAATAAAATAGAATAGTAAACGATATGCATAAGTTAGAGGAAGAAGATGAAGATGATGGAGCATACCCACCTATTGAGTATGATGAAAATTACTAGCACAGCTCTGATTCCTCAGATGACGAATAGTAGAAATTTGATACTAATAATGGTATCTAAAATAAATAGACTAAATAAATTTTTTAAAATTAAAATTCTAACGATCACAATAAGGGATTAAAGGTAAGTATATATGCGAGAGGATAAGAATAAAAGTAATAAGCTTAGCATGTAAGTAAACCACCTATTGAAAATATTTAGGATATGTTTAAGAATTAGCTAGAAAAAAAATTAAAGATGAAAGAAAATTTATCATCTTTAAGTAGTATTAAAAATAAATTTGGATCTGGTGACGAGGAAAGTGGTAGTCTTAAAATAAATGTGCAAGAAAATTAAAGCACTCAATTACAGCCTATTACTTTTAAGGAATAAAATATAAAAAGTCTTAATGGGTCTCAAAAGAATATAAATGATTTAGGGAGCTAAGGTAATTCTCAAAACAGCTCAATGGTAGAAGTAATGAATATTTAGCTAAATGAAATAAGCGAAGCTAGAAAAAAACATTTAGAACAAATAAAAATGAAGTAATATGAATAAAATATTAAAAATGACAAAAATTTATCTGATGAGCAGAAAAAAGTGAAATTAGACTACATAAAGCATTCAATGATTGTTGATAGAATTAAAAATATTATCGAAAAAACTAAAAAAATGAAAGAATAGCAGTTTAAGCCTGCTAAAAAAGAGTAACGGTTCGAAATGTAAATAAGCATTTTCAAAAACTTAGACACTTATCTTGAAACAAAAGAGTTTTTACAAAAAATCAACTCATCTGTTAACGATAATTAAAATAAGTAAAAGTAATCGTAGCACAAAGTTTAACAAGAAAATTCTACTGAAATAATACGCAAAAAAAAAAATACAAAAATATTTAAATCCTTATAAAATAACTAATTCTAAGAGCAGGGTGAGCTCAAATATGAAAATATTTAAAAGATACTTTAGAAAAGCTATTAATATTTAAATGAAAAAAATGATTTAATATTATAGTAGGAATAGATTTTAGGTGGTAGTTTTCTTTAATAATTAGAAAAAATGATGGTAGGAGATCGTATTAAGGAAGAAAGTTAAGAGGATATGCTATAATTATAAAAATAATTGAAATAGAAGTTTGAACAAGTAACTACTTAAGAAAATTAGTCTGATACCAATGCCTTCTATGACATCCTATAATACCAACTAGAAACAGGTAACGCTATTTGATTAAATATTATCTATTTTTTTTTTTAAATTCATTTAATTTCTTTGAAAAAAAGAAATTTAAGTATTAACATATTTATAATTTATTAGGTTACTTTTGTAAAGTCGATCCAGATTAAAATAAAATTTCAGAGTCTTCATCTTATGAACACTAGAACAATTAGATAAATGAAATAATCAACTAGAAAGTCACTGTTGATAAAAAAAGAACAACTCAAACAAAACAAGATGAGCTTGAGGAATACAGAAAGAAGGCTAAAAAAATAACTTAACTTCTATTAAGTACGAGCAAAAACATATTAAAAAAAAATATAGAAGAAAATAACTTAGCTATATAATAAGCGAGAAGAGCTCGTGCTAATCTTAAAATTTAATAATATTTAAACATAAAATAATTAGAAAAGAATATTAAAAGTATTCCTTAAAAGCTGCAGAAAGCTTACATATCTGAGCCTGATAAATTAGATGAAGATACAAATGAGTAAAGAGTTCAACAAGAAAAAGAAGAATAAGAGGAGTAAGAGGAGAAAAAATAAATGCTAAAAGCTATGCTTCCACCAATTAGCACAAATAAGAATAATAATATTGATAAATAATTATAAACTTTAGAAAGCACCCTCACAAAGCTGAACAGCTCTAGTATTTCTTAAAATATTTAGAAAATTAGAAATTCTATTGATAGAAGATTTTCTTTGAGTAATGAATAAAAAGGTATTATTGTTCCTTCATAAAAACAATCATAATTTGGCAAAACAAATAGTCCATCATCAATTCTTATAAAAAATAACCAAGATCCATAGTATTTCGCTCAAGTATAAAATGAATAAAATTTAGATTTTACTGCAATGCCTTCTTCCCCATTAATAAAAAACCAAATATCTTAAACCTCAAGGAGAAGTAATACTAATTTCTTTAAGTAAGATCCGTAAATATTTAATATGACAAAATAATCAGTAAATAGTAATTAAAAAACTAACGACAGATCAATTAAAAATCTAACAGAGAGTGGTTACTAATACTAAATAAAAACAAAAAACGTGCAAGAATCAGAAAAAATGAAGGGATCTAAACGGATATTATATAAAAAATAGAGCTCTATATCTAAATTTGGAGATAAAAGTCCTTCTTCTTAGATGATTTAAACAGAAGTATCAACTTAAGGAAGTCCTATTTTATAAGCATAGAGCTATATTTCAAGTGCAAAAACAGGCTAAATAAATAGGAAGCAAAGTGGCCAAAGCATTCTAGAATAAAATAGCTTTGATAGTTAGTTCGAATAGCTGAACAAAAAATAGGGTTTTTGTGTTATGAATATTAAGGAGATTGTTAATAAATTTAAGTTAAAAGATCATAGTTTTTAAAATACAAATAAATTCATTAAATTAGATTAGAATAAATACTTGTAAAACTAAGATCAAGTAAAAGTAAAAAGATAGAAAATACAATCACTATCTTTGTCAAATCAGCGCTCTAATCAAAAAAATACTATTGAATATCATAACAATACAGACAGATACTCAGCAAATAGCTCAAAATAAAAATAATAAAATAATAATTAAGCCAATAATCCTTATTATCCTCTCGTTTAGTAAAAATAATAAATATTTAATCAAATAAAATCTTAATCCTTGGAAAAATAAAAATCTAAATAAAATAATATTTTCTTGACTGATAATTTTGAACTTTCTCCAAGTAATACAAGAAAAAATATAGCGAGTGAAAAAGTTTTAATTTCAAATCATTTCTCTGCTAATACACAGAGACGTAGTGTAGCAAATTTAAGTGATAAACTTCTTCAATTTTAGAAATAAAGTGATAATGATAATAATCCTCTAAAATTACTAAAAAAATGTTCTTTAAATTATATATCTGAATAAAATAGAAATCTTGAGTAGATAATGAACAATATTAATCACTTTAAAGTCTCTTATAAAAATGATAAAGGTTACTTTAGTCAATAAATAAGCGAATTGCAGCTCAAATTAGAGTAGCAATAAGAAAGGCTTACTAATTAACCACTAGATTCTCTTAGATTATGTTTAGATGGAGTATCTCGTTAAATTAAGCCTTACTTTTTCGATAGAAAATAAATTTAAAAAATTACATGAATTTTATTTTTTAAATTGTAAATTTCATGAGTTCATATCTAATTCATAATAATTAAATATATCTGTTGAAAATTGTTTTCATATTTACAAATTTTTATTAAATATTAATTATAGTGACCGTTTATATAATTAATTAAACTAACTTAAAATATTTAATTTTATAATTTAACAAACTAAAGCATAGTTTTTATGGTAAAAAGTTTTTAATTCTTTGATAAGATATTTGGAAATAAAAATTACAGTGGCTGGAATATTTAAAAATTTTTATTTTATACCCTAATTAATTATTTGCCATTGAATAAATAAATTATAATCTGAATTCTGATTAATTAATTAAATATGTAAATTTGTTAAATTAATAAACTATAATAATTATTCAAATGAGTTTATCTTCTCATAGATCTTAAGCAAAAATAAAATTAGCGATATTTGACAAAGAAGGATACTTAACAAATGAAGTTATTTAGATTTGTAAGGATATAGGTATTGACGAGCAAGATCTATACCAAAGAGATATCGAAGACTTTAAGGAAGTAGGCTAAGAAGATGGTTAAATAACAAAAATATAGTAAATGAGATTTTAACATTACGAAAAAAGAAGGCAGAGTATATTTATTTAGTTTAGTTTTTTATAATTTTATTTAAAATTGTGATTGTAGTTAAAATCAATGCGATCAAAGAGACTATGAAGTTAATCAGAGAAATGGAATTAGAAAAATAAAAAGCCGTTGAACAAGCTATCAAATAGACTACATAGATGACTGTTTTAGATATCAAATAAAACAAAAATAAAGAAATCAAGCTCTAATAGATTATATATTAGATGGAAAAAGAATAACTTTTAGGGTTGTAAGATCAAAGCGAAAATAAAAAATAGAATATACATAGCTTTTAGGCTATTGATGATGGTTACAATCCAAAAGAAATTAGTTAAAAATAGTAAAATATGTATATTAATAAGTCCTTTCACTTGTAATCTGGATATGGGAACTAAAATAAGGGCAAAGATAGCAATTCTTTAAATAAACGATCGTATAATTAAGTTAAAAATGGCTACTAAGAAGATTAATTTAATTAAAAATATGTAAATAATTCTAATAACTAATCTATATTGAGTGATGCTCAAAACATAACTTTGGGAAGTAAATCAGTTGTGCTTTAAAGAGCAGGAAGCCGTAAGCACCACTTTACACAGGGAGACCATGAAGAAGATTGTAAATCTAAATATAATACTCTTGAGCAATAGAATTCAAGATAGAAATTAAGAAATTACACTGCTTCAATATCTCCTTACAATAAAGATTAATCCCTTTTAAATAAAACTTTACCTCATTAAAGCGTAAATACTGTAGTCGAAAACCTTGACTACGAAGTTAAGTTAAAGTTAGTTAGAAAACTTATGAGAATGGAAAGAAACGATGAAATAAAAAAAGAGGTAGCCAAATAAAAAGAAGAAGCTGAAAATCAAATAAAAGTAAAAAAATATTAATAAGAACTAATATGTTTTTTTCAATATAAAATACTTTATTCTAATTAATTTCGAAAAATAATTAACTTATAACGTTTTATATTTAATAAAAGGAAGAATTAGAGTAAAAGGAATAGGCTTTTGCTTAAAATCATGCAAAGATCCTAAAGCAAAAAGAAGAGATTCTTAAAAAAAAAATGAAAGATCAAAAAGCACATCAAATGATTGTGAGAAGTTAAGTAAAAGCCAGACAAAAAGAATAAGAAAAAGAACGAATTAAAATAAAGGAATAGTAGATAAAAGAAATAGAGTTAAGGATGCAGCTTGAATAGAAAAAATTAGAAGAGGAAGAAAAATAAAGTTTCTTGAGGTATTTAGAAAGAAATGAAGAAAAAAGGTAAATAGAAGAATTTAAGAAATTGAAATAAGAATAATAGATTTAAAAAGCCCTCCAGTTTATGCAAGAAATAGAAAAGGAACAATAAGCCAAATAATAAAAGCATAACCAAATATTATCCTAAAAGTAAAGAGAAGTCTCTAAAAAAATCGAATAAGTAAGAATTTGTTATATAGATGAATTAAATTTTAAAAAAATAAATACTTATAATAAAGAGATAAAATAGGGCTAAATCAAATATAATCATGAGAGAACAAGAAATATAAGCCAATAAATCTCACACAATTTAAAAAATAATTTAGAGTATTTAATCGAATGTAAGTTATTATAAGATACCATTGAAACTAAAATATATTTTATAACTAATTAATATTTAAGAGTGTGACTAATCAAGAAAGGAAAAGAAATACTAGTGTTTATTAAGCCTCTAAAATGGTTGAAATTAAAAGCAAAAAAGAAGAATTCGAAAGAGAATAAAGCATAAAATTGTTAGATAAAGTAAAATAATATGATATCAAAGTTAAATAAGCTGAATAGTTTAAAAATCAAGTATTTAATGAGAACTCTGCCCAAAAAAAAGAATAATTTTAATTAAAAAGAGAAGGAGTTCTTGAAAATTTAGCTATAAAAGATTATCAATGGGTAAGATATCTTGAATTTGTTTTTGATATTTAAGTCTAACTAGAATAATTAAAAATATATAGGAACTTTAAAGATAAAAAGAAATGGACAAATATAAATAAAAAATAGAAATGGCCAAAATAAATAAAAACATTAAAGAAGAAATAAATGTAAAAATTATTTACTCATTTAAAAGCAAAAATTTATTTTAATTACTAAACCCTATTAAAATTAGTTTCTAACATAATAAGGAGTAAAAGACATGTACAATATATTAAAAAAGTAGAAAGAGTAATGATAAAAGTGTTTAATCATTATATATATATAATAAATAAATCTAAATAATTATCTTTTTTTCCATGTATATATCTACCTAACTACCTCACTGTTTAAGTAAGCTCTAATTTTTAGATTTTGTTTCTTTTTAAAATTTTTTTGCAGCAATTAGCTAATTTAAAAAAAATTTTTTAATAATTGTTCAAAGAAAAATATATATATTGAATATAATTAGTAATCATAAAATAAATATCTTTGAATTTGAAAAAATATAATATTTCATAAAAAAAGAAATTATTTATAACATATTTGTTAGTTTTAAAAGTTTGATTTTGTTTTGTTTTTTAAAACTTAATGTTTTTCATACTTTAAAGAATATATTTATACTTAAATATTAGTTGTAAAACTTTTATTTTGTTGTATTTTAAAAGATTAAATTGTAAAAAATTAAAGAATAAATTAATATCTTTAGATATCCAAAATAATATAAATTAAACATTTCTATCTTAATAAATTAGATTTTTTACATAGTAATAATACCTTTATTTATCAAACTCTTAAATTTATACTCTTTCATTTTAAATACTTACTATATTTATTACTAATTATTTATTATTTACACTCTTTTATATTATATTTTTAGCTTCTAAAAGGAAAACAAACAATTCAAATATATCAAATTGTAGGCTTGTTTGGCATAAGATACTTAGGCACATCTGCAAATTTTGGTGGCAAATTATATTGACCTGGACCAGGTGTGGTAAATTTTGAGTCATAACCTGTTCTTTAAGATTTTTAAAATGTAAATTAAGGAGTTTTAAATTTTTAAGCTTCATAATTTCTATAATCAGCTGGTCCTGGAAGTTTTGATTTCTCCTTCAAGTTAGCTAAATCAGCCCTATCAGACTTTGAAGTTCTAATTAAAATTAATTTAGAGTTAATAATTTAAAATAATTTGATAATCTTATTTACGTATAAGCACCTTTTTTTGATAAAACTGCATTAAAATTTGGATTGTATGACTAAGGTCCAGGAGCATCTGAGTATGAATAATCATAATTCCTTGAACCAATAGTTGCCTTTAATATATTTCAAAAACAATTTAATCAATTTATTAATAAAAAACAATAAATTACCCCTCTTTTAGAGTTCCAAATATCTTTTGTAAAATAATGCTAAGGACCTTTTTATATATTTTTTTTAATTTTAATTTCGATATATTGAATTACCTGGTGCTTCACTGTGTCCTAAAGGTATTCTTTATGATGACCCAATTGTAAATTTTGGATTATTTTTTAGCTTAAACTATTCAGAACCTAATACTCTGAATAAATTGAGTTGTTTTAACAAATAAAAAATAATTATTTAAATTTTACTCATAGTGCTAAGGCCCAGGAGTATTATTATTTGCCAAAGACTTTCTTTATTCCTTTCCGAAGGAACCAAATTTAGCTTTTCCAGAAAGTAAATCTTTAATATTGTAAGCTCCTACACCAGGAGAATCATCTCGTTTCTCGTGCTCATTCTTTTTAGGAATAAAACCTCCCTTGGAAGAAAGCATAGTTTTGTTCAAATTATATTACTTTAATATTTAAAATAGATGTTAATCATTCATTCATTTTAATAAATGACTATTAATTTTACTCCCACTCCTGGAGTAGTTCTACCAGCTCCATCAATTGATGACCTGTCTTAAGATCCAATAGAAAATTTAGGAGATTTTCTTTAAACATCTAAAGCTGATTAGCTTATATTATATTTACCAGGTCCTGGGCTCTCTTTATTGTATACTAAATCCTCTCTTTTTTGACTTCCCATTCTATTTTAAAGTTTACAAAGAGTTTTTTTCAAACAAAAAATATAAAGAGATATTAGCAAAACTTTTTATGAATCATACTTTGCATAACTAGGTCCATTTAGAGTGGTTTTATTAATATCATAATAGCCTGGTCCTGGTGCTTCAAACGATTTATTTAATTTATCTGATTTGTTTGGCGAATCATTTCTTTCACTTTTTGGAATACTTTATAAAAATATTAGTAACGTTTTATTCTTTAGCATAATTTATTTCTATAAGTTATAATATGCGTAGAATTTGCTACCTAAATGCTGGAGCATTCTTTTAAAAGCTTTTTGGGCTATAATTCGCTGGACCTGGAATTTTTTATTTTTCTCTTTCTTCATAGTCTATGCTTCTTTTTTCTCCTATGTGATACTTAGGAGCTTCATTACCCTTTAAATTACGAAAATAATTAAAAATATTCAAGGAGATAATTAAAATGATTCAACAAATATGGATCTTCCATATTGGCTACTAGAGATAATATATTACTAAAAGACTTGGTAATTTATATGTTCCGGGACTTGGAGCGTCACTCTTTATAAGATCTGTACGTCCACTCTGTCCAATGCTGTTAATAAATTTGAAAAGGAAGCTTAGTTTTAATATCTTTTAATAAAATTTAACCTATATTATGGTGATTAGTTATGTACTACTTTTACTTAATTTTCAGTTTTATACTAACCAGGACCAGGTACTCCTTCAGTGCTACCTAAATTGCCTATTTTAAATATATTTTTTAATCCCAAATTAATCAATTAGCAAAATTTAGTACTTCTTTTGGCTTAAGGTATTGACCAAGCTGATACCATTTGCTTTTAAACTGTATTAAAATAAGAATTTTTTTATTATATGATAAACAATTCTAAAATCTTGAGAATCAAACAAAAAATTAACAGCTATCGCTTGATTAAATTGTAAATTAGTAAAACTTATCCATTCAATCTTGAGAAATATTTAATATATTTATGAGATGAGATGGTAATGTATCTATCCTAGATTTAGAAACATATTACTAAATATATAAAATAATATATAAATAATTTAAATTAAATTTCAGGAGAGAATAAATTATATAATAAGGAGTTTATTGAATTAGACATATTTACACCAGCAAAGCACAAAATTTAACTTTTTATAAAGAGTTTATGCTTTAAAAATGAATAATTTCTTTCATTTTTATTTATTAAAAGACTTAAATTAGTAAAAAATGAAATATTACATTTTATTTTAAATAAATTATTAAAAAGAGTAAGTAAGTAAGTACATAAAAACTAATAAAATATAATATGTTTACTTAATTTTAAATAAATTGTGATAATTTTGTTATTTCTTTAAAGTTATATTATTAATTTTATATTCTTTCATTTAATTGGTTGATTTAATTAAGAATTAATAAAAAAAAATACCAATTAATTTAATCAATAATTAATTTAGAAAATAATTAGTTTATTTAAAAAGCATAATAATTTTGTGAGTTTATATAATATTTTACATATGCATGTATGTATGTATCTATCTTTAATTTATATTAATAAAAAAAAATAGTTTATTTTTTTTTTTTTAACTTTTATTGTTAATTTTAAATTCTTCCATTTAATTGGTTGATTGAATTAAAATTGCTTATATTTATAATTATTTTAATTAAGGAATTAATAATAAATGTAAATGCCAATAAAACAATAATTAATTAGAAAATATTAATTTTATTTAAAAAAAGCATAATAATTTTGTGTAATTATTTAATATTTTATAAATACCATATATCTATCTATAATTTTTATTATTAAAAAAAAATACTTTATTTTTATTTCTTGATAACTTTTCTTTGTTTAATAATAAATAATTCAAAAAAAAACAGAAAAAATTTTTTTTTATCTATTTGGATTTTAGCTTTGCTCAAAGTCTTCTAAATATTAAAGATGATTATTCAAATTATTTTAAAATTGTTAACATGACACATTACAAAATGTATCTACATCTTTAACAGCATATAATTATTTAAATGCTTCAAAATATTCATCTTGTTTCAATAGTTCTAATCCTTATAAATTCTATTTTTTGTTTATCTTTAGAAACAATTCAGCATTAAAAATAATTGCATCTAAATAAACTGAGATTACACGAAAATCTGTTTTCATTAGTTTTTTCATTTTATAAAGGCATTTTAAATACTCTTCTTAAAATCCTGGATAAGAACCCCATTTTTGCAACTAAAGTAAATTTCCAGCCAAGCAATTTAAATTTTACAAGTATGTGTAAGTTTCTTTTTCAACGTCGTTTTTATTTTTGTAAAGATAAAACACTTTGCTAGAATTTAAAAAAGAGTCTTAATAATTTTATTTAAAAAATTAGTCTTGAGCAACTTATTGAAGTGCAAAGGTGTATGAAATAAAGTGATTAGTAATAAATTCTTCAGGGAATTATTCAATAAAATTAATAGCCTAACTTAAAGCAAAAAGCCTTTCATCATCATTTTTTTTATATTTCATTATCTTTGATAAAGTCAGTATTATTAAATTTGCAAGTTATCTACAAGTTATTTTTTTGTCAGCTGTCAAATTTTCTGTACTTTTAAGTTAATTATATTAATCTATAACTTTTTTTATATTGTTTAAGCTTTTCTAAAAATATCCTTAGCAATCTTTTTCATATTTTGAATTTACTAATTTATATCCTATTGTAGATTGAATCATAGATAGTAAAAGGAAATCACTTTCCCCAATCTTACTTTGCAAATACAACAATTACTAGATTGATAAAGATTCACTTAGCCTGTCAATTTCTAGAGCTTAAGATAGTTATGAGTTTTTACTGTTATCTTCTATGAATTTATCAATTATCTCTTTACCTTCAAAATTTTAATCTTTCTTATAAAAATGACTATAAGATCGGTATCCAAGTGCTATTAAAAGAGCATTAAGAAATACACCACTTAAATAATATTCAGTTTTTGAATTTACATCTTAATCATCATTCACATTAGTTTTATTATCATTAGAAAAATAATTTTTGTTTTTATTAAATAAAATGGAGTTTGATTAATATGATTGACTATAAAATAGATTTTAATAATTTATAGCAAACTTTTTTCCTCTTTGTTGTGAACAACTATTAAAAGTTGAATAAAGAAACTATTTGTTTGTAAAAAACTTTTTGAACATTTTCTTAATTTTTTTTTTTGAATATTTGTATTCAATTTTTTATTTGTTAATATCTTTATGGATTTTAATCAATTCTAAATATTTTATTTTCTCATTTTTCAAAATTATATTCATCTATCTAATTTTCTGAGAATTTATTTATTTTAATAATTGGAGGTTAAATATTTTATTTTCTCATTTTAAAAAATTGTTTGTATTGATCTAATTTTCTGAGAATTTATTTATTTTAATAAATGGATGTATATTCAATTAACATTACTTACAATACTTTTCATTAATAAAAATTAATAAATTAAATATTTGTTTTTTATTATCATTTCAAGTTAAATTATCTTTTCACAAAAATTTTTTTTTTTAATAATTCTGAGATTATTTGAATTTTCAAATTTTTTAGAAATCCTACATTTTTGAATAGGCACAATTAAAAAAAAATGGTATTTTAATTTAAATCACTCATTAATTCACTCGTTATAAAAAATAATTACTTCAAAAAATTATATCTAATACAAATATGTAAAATTCTTAATAAATATGAAAATAAAACTATTTACAAAAATACTAAAATATATAATTCATGTTCTCATTATCCTTTATATATAGAGATTGATTCATTTAAGTTTTGTAGAAAATTTTTTGCAAAGTCTTTACTAAGCAAACATTTTTACTCAAAATTGAAATTGCCTAAATTAATTTATTTCCTTTGAAATTTCTCAAATTTTCTAGTATTATCAATAAATTTTAAATTTATAAAATATATTATTTATCTATATTGGTTGATTGATTTATTTAAGTTTTATAATAAATTAACTATGAAGAAAATAAGAAAATAAAAACATAAAATTTTTATTATTTATATGAATACATTCTATTAGTTATATTAATTTTAATTCTTTATTTATTTATTTTTTATATTTAATAGAAATTTGTATTATTTATTTATTTGTTTATTTGTTTGTTTGTTGATTTCATTAATTATTATTTATTTATTTATTTTTATTATGTACTATTATCAATTAAAAATGTACTATCTTTCAATTTAAGCTCATTTTAGCTAAATAAGCATTTAAATCAGATTCTTTTATCTTAGGAATTTTGCTTAAATCTTCATTTTCTAAATCTTCCTTTTCTTTTTCATTTTCTTCTTCGTCGTTTAATGCAGGTTTGAATATGTGGAAACCATCTGCAGCTGTGCTTACTATCATTTCATAATATTTAGGATGATATCTTAATTCTTTCATGTCTTATTAACCTAAATTTTTGAATTTTGATTTAGTAAAATGATATTTTAAATTTCAAAATATATATTACCTTAATGAACAAACATAAGTTAATCAGGAATTTCTTCTCCGTAATCTTCAACGTTTTCATCATTTTCAACTGAAAAGTCCCAAATAGTTAGTCTGTTATCAGCAGATGTAACTGATAAAACAGATTCTTCATTTGGTTACCATTGTATAGAAGTAATTGGTTCTTGATGGTATTAAATTTCTGTAAATGCAGTGTCAGGATAACGTAAATCCCAAACTTTAAAGCAACCATCATCTGCTCCTGATGCTATGAGGAAAGGATTCTTGTGGTTCCAAGAAATAACATTTACATCACATTCGTGGGCTTTAACAAGTAATTGAGCTTATTTTTTATTACCTACTCTTAAATCAACTACTCTAATTGTTCCATCAGTTGAACCTTGATTTTAAGTTAAAATTTAATAACTTTTAATTTTCTAAATATAAATTATTTTTACATGAAGCAAGACTGTATTCTTCAACAGGAGAGAACTAAAGATCTTCGACAGATCCTTCGTGGTAAACATAAGGGTGTTGATCTCTCTCCCAATCGTTAAAGGCAAAATTCTTAGCATTATAAATAAATATTTTGCCATCACAGCTACCTGAAGCCAATCTGCCAGGCTTAATAGGACTCCAATCAAGAGCAAAACCTTCAACTTAATTATGGAAAGTTTTGGTAAAAACTTTGTCTTTAGGATTGTTTTTGGGTTTTGAAGCTAAAATTTTTGGATCCCATTAGTTAAGTATATCATAACGAGATGACAAATCAGCAATAGTGACATCTCCATTTTCAGTCCAATATGCAACAAGTGGTGAGTTTTACATAGCTCTAATACGATTAACAGGGTCTTTAATTTAAATACTTTGTAAAGCAAGCTCAGGTTCATCGTCGTTATTGATATCATCTTCATCATCATCTTAGTAATCAGAATCATCGTCATATTTTGTCTTATGTAATTTGGACCATCTCATTAAGTATATGAAATTTTATTACTTGCTTTAGGTACCTGCTACTACATAAACATCATAAGGATACTTTTTCATTTCTTAGAAGCCAGGGTTATTAATATTATGAGGTTCTCCAGTTACAAAATCACATGACAAGCAAGGCCTGTTAAATATATTTAAAACAATTTAATATCTTTGTTTAGGTGCATTGTTTGTTTATTGTATTTTTAGATCAATTGTAATTTTTGGCTAAAAAACTAACTACATAGATAGTTTCATGTAGAATTTTACTAACCTTAAATACTTATTTTATCAATTGTGTGTTTAACTAACTAAAAACTTAAAAATTTTTCAAGAGGTTTGATTGTTTATATATGTAAATGCTTCATATTTAAGATGTAAAAAGTAGTTAATTTAAATTACCATTCAGTGTTAGCTCTATGAAGCATTTCGTATGCCTTATTATCGAAATCTAGAATTTCATCTTCTTCTAAATTCTTTTCAGTACCCATGAAAGGCTTTTATTAAACATCAATAAATTCAACTTTTTAGTTTTTATTTTTTTTATTTCTCTTCTTTGCATTTATGTCTTATTTTTCTTCTTCATTACCAATTTCTTCATTTTCATCATCGTCATCATCTCCATCGTCTTCCCATTCCTCTTCATCTTCTTAGAAATTTCCTTACATAATCTTTTTGTATGTCTTTTCATCAACATATTCATCATCTATATAATTAAAATATAATCATTTGTTTTATTGTAATTTGAATATATTTTTATCAAAATTATATTTTTATCATAATAAATAAATAAACTCTACATAATTAAAATCATATTTTTTAAAACTGAATTAGTAAAAAGCTGTAAAAAAGTATAAATTACCTATATCATCTTCACAATCTTCAAATTCTAATTCAGATCCTTCTTCCTCTTCAAAATTTTCATTTTTTTCGAATTCGTCAACTACTGCTTAATCCCCTTTCTTCTTATTAGGATTTTTTTTCTAGTTTTGTTCTTTAATATTAAGTGAAACATCTTCAGCAGTTTCAAGCTTTCTCTTTTAACTTATCTTTTTATTGTCACTCATTTATTTACTGACTATATACACACTATAATGCTTTTGAAAACAGTAAAGTTTTAAGAAATGTTTATGTTTTTAAATTGATTTATTTAAATCTACTATTAGAAAAAAGATAAATTCTTTCTGCTTAGTAATATATATATAAATATATTTAATTTTACTTTTTTAATGTTTTGATAGCTATTATCTTTTTTAGACTAATTTAATTGATTTTTGGCCCCTAAAACTTGATTTATTATTCTCGAGTATTAATAGCAATAATTTTGATCAAATTTATTACTTTTTCTACTAATGATAGAACTAAACTACAAATAAATATTCAATACTAAAAATATTAGCCTTTCTATTAATTTTAATCATTAGTAGAAATATTTTTTATTAATATCAATTAGATTAAACTATCAAATATACTACTTTTTTAAAACAATTACTTCAAAAGGACTATTAAACGTTTGCTTTACAAGAATAATGAAAACAAAAAATCAAGAAGCAATTAAAATTTGAAGAAATAAAGAAATAAATATTTTTTCATTTTTTTTTTCATTTTTCTAAATTATAATTTTTTCAAGTGATAAATTATGAAATATACAAAAAGAATTAAAAACTTCATTTCAAAAATTTTATAAATTATTATTTCTCATAAAAATTAAAAATTAAACATCCTGAATTATTAAAATTATTTTTATTTTTATTTTTTTATAAAAAATTAATAAAAATAAAATTTTTAAACCAACTTATCCTGTTGAAAAATAATATCATATTAAAAATTTACTTCTTTATTAATTATGAAATAAATATTTTTTCATGATATTATCAAAATTAATATTTAGTTTATGCATAAATGACCACAAGAAACAAAAATAAGCTAACTTTCTTTTAATTTTATTGTATTTCATTAATGATAGTTTTTATGAGGTTTTAATTGATTTTAGCTAACAGATTTATTTATATAATTGTCATTAATTTAGTATTTCTATGGAAATTAAGATATGTTTTTATTTAATTTAGTGTTATAATTTACTAAATCATCAATTTAATCTTCAGAATTTTAAGAACTACTGTGATGACTTCTGTACCCAAAAGAATATAAATTTTATAAAACTTAGCCTTTTGGATGATTGCTTTGGTAGTCTTATTTTGATTTCTACTTTTTAGGTGTGTTTTTGGAATTATTTTAAGATTTATTTAATCTGTTAGTATCTTCTTTTGATTTTTCTCTATATTTATACATATTTTCGTCATTATTGTAAAAAAAATGAACATTTTAATCAAGACCTACATACCTTTAATTACTTATTTCTTTAGATAATCTATCTAAGTTTTCTTTATTCATCAACTTAGATAGTATATTTTTTGCATCTTAAATTTTATTTTTTTCTTTATGTTTAGAAGGTGTTCTTTATCTTTCCTCTTTAATATATTTATCAATCATCTAATCCTAATTTAAATCATTTCTTGGTCTTCCTAGCTTTTGTTTTAATTAAGTGTTTTCTTGTTTTATTTTTAAAAATTATTCTTCTAACTTACGCTCATCATAGAGCTTATTCACATCAATATATTTCTTTTTCTCTGAATTAATCAATGCTTCCTTTAACTTTTATTATTAACTAACGAGTTTTTCTAGAGTAGTGTTGTAGTTGTTAAAAATTCTCTCAGTATCAGTTTCGTCATTTTAAATATACTCCAAAACCATTTATTTCAACCTTCTGTATTTTATTTGGAGCTTCTCATTTTCGTATAATATGTCTTTATTGATATGTATTTAAGTTCTTAGTTCCTCAACTAATTTTTCCACTTAGTTTTACAATTATTAAATAGTTTGCATTTTTGTATCATAGTAAAAGCTTGTATTTATTTTATCACATGTTCTATCATCTGACTAATCTAAAAACCTTGCTTAGTATTTTTAAGAATAAAATCTATGGGAATTAGCAGCTCCTCTATTACATAAACCTTCATCTTAATATAAATAATCCTGATAGTAACTAGGTTTGGAATTATTTAAATTAGAGCCACTACTTTCGCTATTCAAAGTATTCATATTATTGATCGAATATTAGTATTATTTGATAGAACTAATTTTAATTCCTACTTAGGATTTTAAATAATTATATAAACTATATACTGTTAGTTAATAACGGAATTAGATAACCTATATTACTTATAAATTCTATCCATAAATACTTACAACTAGCAATATAAATTTTAGAATTAATTATCTAATCAATCATTAGCAAATCAAATATACTTTGTTAAATATTTAAGCCATTTAATAAATTTGAAAAATATATATTTTACTTAAATTATTACAAATATCCAAATTAAAATAAAACATTAAAATCATAAAATCAATAATTTCAATTTAAATATTTGATAGATATTTATTGTAAATTAAAGTTGGCACTAAAAATATTTTAAATGTCACTTATTGATAATTTTACTTAGTTTTTAATAAAAATAAAGAGTTCATGAAATAAAACATATGAGAATTTAGGTATTTATATATTTTTTATATTGAAAATCATTAATTGCTTTGAAATTAATTAAAAATTCTTATTTAAATACAATAAAGTACTTCTTAATACTAACATATTTAAATACTCAATATTATAATAATATCTTAAAAACTAATTAATTAAATAAATTATTTTATAATTATAATAAATAGAATAAAAAGTCAAAATTTTTCATCATTAAAAATCTTTTCAAAAATTTTTTAAACCAATTCCATTATAAAAACAATTAAAATTATTTTATTTTAAAATAAATTTGACTCAACTTAATATTTTTTAAAAATATTAATAAATTTTTTCATTTAAAATTTTCCAAATTGTAGACTTTTTTAAATTAGGTATCAAAACTAAATAATAAATTAAATTTTAGAATATTTCCTTTTGAGGTAAATTTTTAGTTTCGCTCTAATAATTAATAAATGAAGAGTATATTTAATATTAGCCAAATTAGAAATTTAGTAACAATTAATTAGATGAAATCAAGTCATACTTAATTTATTTTATTATGAATGTGGTTGATAATTTGGATGGTTTACACAAATTAATAAAAAAATCTTTTAATCAGCTTATTTTCAAATGACTTTAATGAATTTAGTTATCTCAGCCAGCAAATAATTTATTTATATGCAACTTCACAAAGAAAAAAATTGAAATTTTTTGATTTATTTTATCTTTTATTTTATAGCCTTATTATCAGCAAAAAAAAAATAAATAAATAAAGAAAGATAGGTTAATAAATATTAATACAACATTATTTATCATTAAATTATATTAGAAAGATAGATAAGGCATAAAGATTGATCTGAGAAATAATTTATATCAAATTAAAAATATAGTCAAAAACAATATAATAGAATTATCAGTTTAAATTATTCCCTTCGAAGTAGAAGAAAATTAGGTGAAAAATGGCTCAAAAGTTTATTATTAATGATGATGTCTTAGAAAAAGCAATCAAAATACTTGAAAATAGATCTTTTATTGAGAATAAGGATAGCAAGTAAACTCTAATGAATGGACTTTGCCAGATAGACCATTTTAAAACATTGATGAGGGATCCATCTCTGTGCTTTTATTTATATCCATATTTGGAGGATTTTGTTTAATAAGTGACATATAGACCCATCCCAAAAGGGAAAATTCTTTTTCATGAAGGTGATAATGTAAACAATCTATATTTTGTTATGAGAGGATCATTTGTAGAATTTTAGATTAAATCTGAGGGAGATTTAGAATAAGAAATGTATTGGGAGTAGTAGGCAGGACAGTACAAGTAATAACTAACTCAAATTCAAAAAAATCAATTAGAAGTATAGGAGAAAAAGAAAATGTAGCTATAAGAAATATAAAAGATACAAGCAAGCTATTAAAAGTAAGGTTAGTATGGAAATGATTCTGCTAGAGGTGAGACTACAACAACAATAGGCCAGACAGCAACACTTAATTAAATAGGATAAAATTAAAAAAGCTTAAAAACATTAACAGTTATCCAAGATGACAAAACTTAGCAATCAAAAAGAAGTTATAGGACGAAAGAGCAACCTAGAAAATCTGGATCACTAGAAGAAATATACTTTACAGATGAGTTTAAGTAAAAATAATCTAAGCTTTAAAGCATGAGCAGCATGTATTCTGAAGCAACTAGGTTCTATCAAGGTATAGAATATGAGTAATTGCTCAAAATAGAAAATAAGTACTAAGAAAGATATTTTAAAAACAATAAATGCCTATTTAAAAAAACGCATACTTATTCAGCAGGTATGAGCTTTGGTGAACTTCATAACTTTGATACTTTACCTGATGGAAACTTAAATTCTTATAGGAAAACGAGTTCAAAAAGCACTGTTGTATGCAGCGAAAATTCCTTTTTATTATAAATATCTTGTAAAGCTTACTAGCGTATTTTCAGTAAATTAACAGAAAAAATTAATTTTGTCTTTCATGTTTTGGCAAATTGCTTTCCTTCAGTAAAGAAAGTTATTTTGAATGAATTTGCCTTCTAATTTAATGAGTAAACTTTAGAGTATAATTAGCACCTTTTTTCTGAAGGAGAACCATGCAATTATGTATATATTATGTAAGGTGGAGAAATTGATTATAGGAAGTAAATAACTATTCGTGGTGAACTTGTTGAAAAAAGAATAGGAATGGTAAATTAAGGAGAAATTTTCGGACATGAGGATATTTTTTAATTATCTAGATAGTATTCTGTGTACTCCTGTGTTAACAATTCAGTTGTTTACAGAATTAAGAAGGAGTTCTTATTAATATCCTAATTTATTTAGCCTCTAAAATCATATGTAAAGCAAAGATAGGAATACCTTAGTAAAAGAGTTTAAGATATTATTCAAAGAAATACTGATTTAATAGAGTAGTAGGAAGAATAAGATAAATAAAAAAATTAAAAATAATAACAAAATTTTAGCATATACAGCTTAGATAAAACAGCTAACTCTACCCATTAAATTCATTCTAATTCATTAAGGTAACTTGAATCTAAATCTCATTCAAAATTAAACCATTAAACGAATAATCATATCCATTCTTTATCTCACATCCCAGTAAATGCTAATCTGAAGAGTCAAAAACACACTTAAAACAACTAAACTGAAAACAGTGCTGGACTTTTTCAATCAGCTAAAAATATAAATTTAGGAGAGAACGACTACCATTTAACATTTAAAAGTTTAACTAAATTAGAAATACTTTAATCATAAAGCAATACAAAAACTGAAGATTAAAGTAAAAATGAAAACACTTCTTAAAAAGAGAATTAATAAAATTAATAAAATAAAAAGATAAAAAATGCTTAATTACAAACAACCAGGGCTCAGCCAGAAAGTGTTTATTCTCGTATAATTAGACCAGATTCTGCATTTAAAGAGGAATTAGATTAGATGAAGAAAGAATAAGCAGCGTAGCTTTCATAATTCAACAGCAGTGATATTATGTCATCAGGACATTTACACGATTATACTTCATCTTCTAAATTTCTTTCCCTAAATAAAATGTATCGAGGCAATTAATAATAATCATAGAGCGAATTTAAGATAAATAAAATGCCTAAAGATATGTTTTCTCTCTAAATAGCTATTAATTCAGATGAAAAACTAAAGAAAAAAATTTTAATCAGAACTTTAAAATAAGAAGAAGAAAATTAGTATCAAAGCCAAAATAAATTAAGAAGTGGCTCAAATAGTCCTGTAAAAAAAGACCTAAATTCCAATGAGCAATAAACTTTTATTTAAAAAATTCCAAGAGGCACCACATCTTCTTTAATGAGATATAAAGAACAAGCAAAAGACTATTTTGTTAAAGATGATAAACCAAAGTAATTAGATTTTTTTATGGAATTCTAAAACTATCGCCAAGAGATAAAAGCGAAAGAGATATATGATAAACTTAATAAAAAAGAAGCAAAAGAAGATCCTTTTTCTCACATAGATTTTAATGTTGTATAAAATTCAGTATCTACCCCTTAGTCATAAATATCTAATTAATCAACATCTTAACAATCTAATACGAATAAATTGATATCAAATAACCTTCTTCCAAATACTACAAAAAGCATAAACCAAACTGATAAACCTAAAAGTAGCTAATTCCTTAACTCTCTAAAAGCTAATCAATCAATAAACTTGATTTCTAAATAAAAAAATTTTATGAATAATAACTTTTTCACAAGTGAAGAAGCTGATTATTCACCTGAAAATAGAGAATCTATCCCTCCAATACTAAATATGTATAATTCATAAAGTATAAGTTCACAATCATAAAGTAATCTAAATTAGTATAATAAAAATTTTTCAGAGTCTTAAAGAAGCTAATCTAAAGATAATATGAGGAGAAGCTAAAGTAATACATAACAATCCCACAGAAAAATACACTTCTCAAACCAAAATAGCATAAATTCATATCAAAAAAATACAAAAATTTCTAATTTTGGAGCAAAATTTAATGATTTTAAAGAAACTAAAATATAATAGTTTGAAAGTGCACCAATTTAGGTAAGAAGTAATTTTGAAAGTCAACAAAATGGAATTTCATAAAATAATTAAGAAATTAGACCAGATAAAACTTAAAACAAGCTATTTTCAGCAGTTTATGTATAAAACTAGCAAGCTGAAAATGATATAAGAAATAACTTTTAGAACTCTCTGAGTTTTGTTGGACTAAGAAATTCTAATAATCTACGTTTAGGATAAAAACTTAACTAAATTAATGCCAGAGATAAAATTTTAAAAAAATGAGTAATATTTTTAAAGTCTTTGTTTACATTAATCGGGTTTCGTTTATATATATTAATTAAATTTTATGAATTGAAATTACTATTCATTAGCAGATAGTTATTATTAAAATTATTTATGCAATCAATAATTTTGTTTTATTAATTTTAGTAATTTTAAATAATATCACTAAATAATTTAATCTTAAGTAATTTTTCATAAGAAAATTTTCATATTTTTAGAATAAAATTTTAAATAATTATTTTGAAGTTCTCAATACATATATTTTCAATCATATAGTCTTGATTTTATTTAATTAATTTAATTAAAAACAATAAAATTCAATAAAATTTGATATAAGTCAGATATAGCTTGCTTCTAAATGGGAGAAATTAAAAATAAGAAAAATTAAAAAAAATATTTTACTGTTTGTTTGTATATTTTAAAAAATATTAATTAATTTCTAATTTCTTTACAATTTATTTTTGATATTTAATTAAAATAAAATTATCATTTTTTCTTTTTCTTTTTGCTATTATTTTTAGATGAGCCCAGAACTAGCAAAGCTGAACTGCTAGTATCTTCTCCTATTTCTTTCAGCTTTTTATTTGCTTTTAAGTGATTTTCAATATCCTTTATCTAATTTAAATAAAAATTAAATAAATTTACAAATGTAAGATTAATTACTTCCTGTATTTTAGCTTGGATATCTTGCTGAATGGCTAATAACTTTTTCTTCATATTATCTTCTTACTATTCGTCTTTTAACCCAAGCTATTAATGCTTTTAAGAAAGGGTATTTTCTTCTTTTTATAAATCAATTTTTCTTTAACTTAAAACTAAAAACATTTATTTTGATTTGTTAAGATTTTCTTCTTCTAATTTTAATTGATTTTCCTCAGATGCTAAGAGTTCTTTTTCTTACTCTATTGAGAATATCAATTATGCCTTTTTTTGCTCATAACCTTATAATTTTCTTTAAAATCATTTTAAATAACATCTTAGATATTTTTGAAATGTTTACTTTGTATTTTATCTTTTGAATTCCTATAGTTTTGCTTAATATTCTTTTCTCTAGGCTTCAAGACAAGTACTCATTTGAATTTCATATTCTTTTAAAGAGTCTAAACTCTTCTTCCCTTTTTCATACTCATAATTATTTTGCTAATCATTCATAATATTCGCTGAGTCTATTTCAACTATTTTACCATCTGCCAAATTTTGCATTAATCTATGAACAAATGTATCTCTAGAATGATCATAAACAAACTTTGATTCTATTTCCATGGAATATGTATGCTAAGTCTCTTCATAATGCATTTTTACATGTGATTATGTCATGAATTCCATACCACAATTAATACTTCCACAAACTAAGCACATCCATAGAGCTTCAGAGCTTCTGCAAACATCACAATAGCTAAGCTCTGGAGGTTATTAATGATATCTACATAGAGGGCATATTGAATCCTGCCATTTGCTTAAACAAGCTGAGTGAAAGTAGTGTCCGCACATGATACTTAAAATTTAATCTTATATATTTTTCTTTTAAGAATTTTATTTATTAGGAGAGAGCTCTAATAAATTAGAACAATTTGCATCCTCTTCCTATAAGCTATTTCCTCCTATCATTTATTTTTTTGGCGAGTCTTGATCTTTTAAATGAGTTAATAATTATTCCTGACATATAGCACAGTTAATTACCTATAATAATTTATAAAGCAAAGATCTTAAAAATTAAAAATTTTTCAATTGTTATCAAGTAGAATATTTAGAGATTTACTTAATTATTATCAGTTTGCATAAAATTATATGTAAGAGATAAAGTGTTTGTTGGCAATTATTAAGGTATAATACTTTATGCGTTTTATGCTTAAGGTTAATTGACATTACTATTTTATTAAGAACTTGAATTTGTGTTTATGCTTGCTGTTGAACAACTACTTTTAGAATTGTGCCTTGAAAAAAGTAAACTCTCTTCCTCATTTTTAATATCATAGGTATCCAAGCTAAATGTAATAGCTTTAATTGGTCTTAAAATACATACATCTTCTTCTATAGTATTAAACCTTTAACCAAAGTTTTTATTCAAAAATTCATTACAAATTTCACCTAATTTTTATTAAGAAGCATTGTAAATTAAAAGTAAAACACATTTAAAATGTTAATTCTTGAATGATTACATGATGAAAAAAATAATATCATCCCATAAATAATGTTTGATGTTGTTTTTATAACTCTTATTTCAGTAATATTTGTAGAATGCTGCTGTTCTTTGAAAAATTCGCATATTTCTAAAGGACTTTTAGAGTTTTGTATCCCTAAAACAACAAGGGCATTATAATTTCTCTCTTTATCATTTTATATAATCTATCTTCTCTAGACTATTAAATCTTCAATTGATGCATTAAATACTAACGAATTTTATGTATCTTTGTCCAATATCAATTATCCATGGATTATTTAAACTACAGGATTTCCTATCCAATAGTCTATCTCATCCTCTATTAATAATCGTTTAATTTCTTATTCTTTCCTAGCATCTTCTTCAAAGTTTAAATCTCTTATCATCTACTCAAATTTCTTTATATTTGCTTAATTTATTTCTAAATCATAAATACTTCTAAAGAAATTAAATAAATAATTATTTATTTTGATAATAAAAAAAGTGCGCATTCATAAATTAAATGAATAGTGACTGATAATTGAAAACTAATGAAATTTTTTGTGCCTTTTTTCTCATTATTATAAAGAAATTTGAGCAATTAAATAAAATATTTTAAAATTTACTTGAGCAATTTAATTATTTTAAATCATTTTAAGATTTATTTCTTGAAAATTAAAGCTAAAAAATAACTCAAAATATTAAATAATAAGTCAACATATTTAATAATTTATTAAGCAATGTCTTTCTCTTTCATAAAATTTTTAAGAAATAGCTCTAGTTTAAATATTTTAAGCTGGTAACTTTTTATTTATGAGTTAGAGAGCAAAAATTAAAATTTTAATTATGATAAAAGACCTTTAAGACTTAATTTTTGCAAAGAAAAATAACCCTATCTCAATGACCATAATATTTACTAATGAAATAACAATTTTCTAGGTAAATTAATTATACCATTAAAGAATATTAATGAATAATATTTAAATATATGATCTAGAACCTCAAAGGATTTGAGAGTTCTTCATTATATATGTAAAAATAAGAAAGAAACTATAGTGTAAAAGTAAGCTTATTAAAATAGATTTTTGCAAATAGATATTTTTATTTAAACTGCTTTGTTTTATTTATTTTTCAGTGACTTAAATTTAATAAGAAATTTTTTCAGATTTTTTTTCTATCTTCTGATTAACAATACCAAAATTAGATATCATTTCCTAACATAGGACACTTAAAATATATTAAATATTTTCATATCAAAAAAATGTAAATCTGAATAAATAGATTAAAATGAATACATATTTTTGTAAGCATCAAAAAACATTGTATTTTATGAAAATAGTTTACATATCAAAATAAATAATAATAATAATAATAAAAATAATATTTTTGTAGTATTTTGCTTCAAATTTCTCTATTAGAGAGGATATCTGCCTAATCATCGTCATAATCGGGAATACCAATGTTTGTAATTAATTTACGATAAACTTTAGAAAAATCATATTTTCCATTTACAAATAGTTCATATTCTTCAGCTGGTAATTATTCTTTGATTTTTACCATTTTATCATCAAGATTAGCTATTATACTTTCATCTGAGAAATCTATAGTTCCACGCACATCGGTTGCTTGTTCTATTTGCAATTTTCTCTAAATAGTAGAAATTGTCATTGAAGCAGACAATCTAACTTATTGTAATTTATTGTATTATCTCTGCTTATTTTCGTATTGGCTTTCTAAATTTGCAATTTTTTAAAGGTAATCTTCTTCAGATAAATCTTCTTGATTAGGTCCTTCTTCACTACTTTGTTCATTTCCATTTTGGTTCTGTCCTTAAGAATCTTATTCTTTTGCAACAGAAGAATAAGCTTTTTTCACAGTTTCTAAGTAGCTTTACTTATCTTCAAGTCTTTATTTTAAGTTTGAAATAACATCCTATCTTTAAAGGACTATAGCAGTAAGGTCATCTCTTTTTTCTCTAGCTGTTAATAGGAATTAGAATTTCTCAGAGCTTGAGTAGTTAGGGTCAGAAATATCTATGACTTATTTTAACTTTTAATATTATGCTTCAGCCTTTTCGAGCTATTCTAATATTTACTTTGAATTCTTTTCGAGTTAACTCTATTTATCTTTTTACTTTTTACGATTATCCTATCCTTTGAGATCAGATTTAAGTTTTTCTACTTACTCGATAGCACTTTACTCAATCATATTGTCTGTTTTAACGAACATCGAATCAAATTTTTCTTTGCTCTTAATTTATTTGTTTATCTAATTGATAAGAGTTTTCTGAGCATCCATCTTTTCCTAAAAGACAATAACGTACTCTTTGTTTAGCTTCTATAGCTAATTGCATTCTTCCTTAATTGATTTAATATCTTCTTGCTCCTGTTTAATTACTTTACGGAAGTTTGATAAAAGCATATTTAAATTTCTAATCCAATCTTCGTTTTACTATTTGTTGTCTTCACAAATTTTTAATATACTTTTTAATCTCTCTATCTGCATTAATCCAAGCAAATAGTTTTCTTCAGTCTCAGAAATATTTTTTTCAAGGTCCATTATCTATTTAAATTATCATAAGTATGAATGAATGAATTAATTAATTAACTAATCACATATAAAATTAAAATTTTTTACTCTTGTTTGAGCATCATCTACTTTCTCAGGATTTGTACCATATTTATGCTAAATATGTTCATGGACTTTTAGCTCTTTCAAGTTTTTAGCTAAACATTTATTTGTGTGGATCAAATGATCAAGTTCCTTTTTCATATCTAATGCCTATTACTCAAGTAAGTATAATTCCTTGTTTGAGTGAGTTGCTATATTTGACTTTAGTCTTGGGAGTATAGTAGATAAATTTTGTGAGTCTTAAATGCTAGAAATAGGATCAAAAAATCTGCTTTTATCTTTAAAAACTCTACTTTTTTCAAGAATTTTAGATGTATTTTGGAGATTATAGGTTTACGATTGATTCAAATTAATATTTTGAGCTCCAGCTCCAGTTGTGGTATTCGCGTGAGTAATCTCTAGCTCTCTATTTAAGGTATTTTAATTAAGATATTCATCAGTTATGTAGAAAGGAGACTATCCATTTGAATGTCTTAAATTTCTTTTCATTGCTATAGTTTAGGTACCTTCTTTACCATTAGGTTGTAAACTGCTCTATCCTACATTGATATTTTAACTGTTGCTTTGATTAAGAAGCGATTTAGTTTTTCTATTTGTATTTAATGAAGGAAGATTTTAATAACTCGCATTAGTCTTGATAAGGATGGAATCTCCACCACCAATAGGCTTAATCATAGATTGAGAATCGCTCATATTTTACTTTTTATACATCATCTATTTTTTCAATTTCGCCTCAATAGCAATCTTCAAAGCCTACTTAGTAAACTCTTTTTCTTTTTTTACACTCATATATTCAATAGGAGATGAAAAACATTCCTTTAGCTTAGCAGAGTAGTCACACTTTAAAGATAAGCATGCCCATGGGAATTATACCCAAAGCCATCTTTTATAGTAGTAATTTGTTGGCAATCTCTCCTTTAGATAGTAAGACTCTCTGAGCTGACTTAGAGTAATAATTTAAGGATGACATTTCTTCTTTTTCTTTGATTTATCTTTATCAATAAAGCTAGGCATACCACCATTTCTATTTTAATATTTAAAGTTGTAAAATGTAAAAAATTTCAGTTAATTTAATTTACTAATTTTCTGTTTTTAACTCCACATTTTCAGAATCTTCATCACCAGAACTAGATGACTCTTCATCTCCATCTTCGTTTTCATTTTCTTCAGTGTGATTTTGATTATTTTACTTCATTATTTCTTTAATTTGGTTTTCATAAAATTTTCTAAACTATTCACGTGAGCTAGGTATGTCAACATTCAGAGCTTCTATTTTTGAAAGAATCATAAATTTTTTTGGTTTCTTTTCTTTCTTTTAAATTTGTTGGTTATTTGAAGACTTTTAAGTTTCGCCATAAGGATCATCTTAATCACTTTTCTTTTTTAAAGTAGATTCTTTTTTATTTTTGTGTTTCATTCTTTCCTTTTTGTCAGCAATCTTTTCTTCAGGAGTACGCTAAAATTTATCAAGATCAATAGGTTTATCTCCTTCTTCAGCTTCTGTAGGTGTAAAAATTTGTAAACCTAGAAGCTCTCTCAATAAACCAATGTCATCTAACTCTTCATATGTTCCCTTTACTGGTGGGTGACGAAATTCAGGAGTAAAATATGTTTCGAAATCTGAAAATTCCTTTAAGAATCTTGAAATCTAAACAATAATTCTGAATACATCTTAACTGCTAGGATGATAATGCATTTCAAATCCTTCGATAGCTTTATTATATTCAATGACAGGATCAAAGCCTTATTCTTCTAAATTCTACCAATAGCGACAGAGGTCATATTTGTTATTTGGGTTAAAAAGTAACAAAAAGTTTTCTATTGCTGAAATGATTTCTTTTAGCTTGAAATGATCTTTGCTCATAAACAAGTGGTATGTTTGTTCCTCTAATTTACGAATAGAATTAGGTGTTATTTTACCCAAAATTTAGGCTATATCTTAATGCAACAGTCTAAGTTATGTTTGGTCTTATTTGAATTTCTCGTTTATTACCTTTTTGAGAGCATCATTATTCATTATCCACATACCTTTATAGCTTAATATAAAAACTTTAAAGCAAGCAAGGAAAAGCTTCCATTCATCTTCTGTTATCAAGGTAACTCCCATAATTTCTTCAATAGTCAAACCTTTTTATGTTAGAGTAAATACTCTAAGCAACTTAATAAATTTGTCTTTATTCATTAAAGAGTTAGAGTAAAAATCTAAAATAAATTCGATGAGCTAATTGAAATCTTTAACTTCAGCCAACTTATCATAATCCAATTTTTCAAATATTTTCTCAAAAGTTCCTTCAGGAATATCTTGCTAGGTGATGATATCATCTACAGGGTAAGGTAACAAAGAGCATAAAAATATCTTATAAAAACTTTAATTTTTGCACTTTTCATCAAAATGTTTCAGGAAATTTATGTGCTTCTCTTTAAGTGTGTCATTTATAAATAAAGGACGCTTAGAGTGTCTATCTATCATATTCTGCACTATGCTAACTTCAACAGGAATCTTCAAAATATCACATCCAATACTTTAAAAATATAATTAGCAATATGTACAAGATTAAACAATAAATATACCTTCTAAAATAAGAATTGGCTTATGAGCTCTTATCACAAGTGACAATTAATTTAATATGTTCAGGGAAAAACTTTGGTAACCAAAATGCTACATTTGCTTCCTTGTTATATTATTAATCTATGAACTGATCAATACCTTCTATGATTATAATAACTTTATCGTAATTAACCTTTTCTCCATATTTAAGTTGCTTCTCTAATTTATCACTGCAGTGATTTAGCCAATACGAAAAATATTTTCTTAGCTTTTCTTCTAACAATTCAACTTTTTGTTAGATATCTAAGGCTTCCTTTAATTTTATTAATAAATCAAGAATTAATTCAAAATAATTTTTTTGATAAAAAATCAATAAAAAGTAGGAGAGTTTTATTTAATATTTTACTATAACTCTTTTTGTTTTATTTTTGTATAATAAGATTTATTAATTTAATTCATAATTTTGTAACTACAAATGCAATTTTAAAATGATTTCTAAATATTTTTTAATAATGAATAACAGTAAGTTATCCTTAACTTAGCTTTAAAAAACTCAACTTAAACTAATATATTTATTTATAATAATTTACACGGAGCTTATTGAGGATTCTATAAATTGCAAAGAAGTAATTAGCATTGTTACCTCCCGATGAAGCAAAATGTGAAAGAATTATATCTGGATATCTCTATTATATTTTTAAAAAAATAGTAAATTGACATGAAAATAAAAAATAAATTGCTTAGATATATTTTTCATATTAAAATCATTTATTTTAAATAAATCTAGGATTATGAATTTCATAATTAAGAAATAAACGTTTTAAATAAATATATGTTTCAGTAAAGCAAGACCTAAAAAGTAGATTTATAGGGAAAAGCTATTTAAACAAATTTACCTTTTTCTTTTTAGTTTCATGATATTCCATCCATTTCACAAGGAGAGTTTTTTTGCCTACACCTTCATCTGCCTCTATCACATATGGTTTATTTTCTTCCTATGAATTCAAAGGTCTATCAAGCCACTCCTCTATTTTTAAAAAATACTTTTCTAAGCCTACAGCAGAAGAGTTTTTATAGATCTAAATGACAACATCAGAGGAATCAATGTAGTTTGAATACTCCTGCTCTGAGTATTTATCATTTAATGCACTGCTATTATTATTTTTAACTATTGAATTATTTTGAAGTTAAGTCTAGGTTTGCATAGATAACATTTCTACTTAATTGATTATCTTAAATAAATGATATTTATTTTTCTATTTATTTTTGTTTTGTTTCTTGCTTATTTAAGTTAACTAAAGTAATAAACAAACAAGATAGTTTCTTTTTATTATTTAATTATAATGCCTTGAATGTTGTTTCAAAATAAATAAATAGGAATTTCACTTATAAAATAAGAAGTACAGCAACAGCAAGCAGACTGACAGACAGAATGGCAGCTTTATTAAAAACACATAAAACTTTTCATTTAATCAATATTAAAATTTTTAATTTCACACTTTTAAACTAAATACTATCATTAAGCTTTTTATTACTCTTTAAAAGCTAATAATTTGCGCCTGATACTTAAAAAATATCAATTTTATTCAAATGAAAATTGAAATCTATTCGTTTCATATTCAACTTTTAATTCCAAATAATTATTTTGCTTTTCGTTTGAAACTCATCTTTAAAAATTCTATTTTAAATAATTAACTCCAAAATAAAGCTTGAAATAAAAGCATAAATTAATTTGGTATTTATAGTTTAGAATTGGTTTTTATATATTTAGTAAATAATTTAAATTACTTTTAATTTGAATAATTAAATATTTAAAATTTTAATTATTATTTATAAAAGTAGAAATCGATTTAAAAATAACTATTAAAGTTTAATAAAAATAAAAACAATTATAAATCTCAAGTTAAATAACGCCTTTGAAAAATTGTTTAAAAAAGCTGTACAAATATAAAAAATAAAATGACTAGTTTAATAAAGCTAAAGAATATAAATGAATTCTTAATTTATTGACTTCTTATTTTATAACTAAAACCTTTTTAATCTAGTATATATCCATGAATCTACCTTCCACTAAATATTAAACTCACATTACCACTTCACTTTTAAAAATTAAAATATATTTTAATTTAATTTTTTAATTTTTGATAAATTAATTAATTGATTGATTGATCTAATTATATATATCTTTAAATTCTTTCAAAATATGCTTTTTTTAACTTAAAATGAATAATAAATAAATAAATAATTACTCTAGATTCCTTATCAGCGTTATATTCTCACCTTTTAATAATATTCTTCCAATTTCTCTTTTTTAGTTAGTCTTGCAATCACTATATTTTAAATAATCATATATAAATACATAGGTTTATCAAATTATGCTTGATGCTTTTTTGGTAGCCGCTAAAATTTTATAATCATCAAATGATATGTTGAAAAAAAAAATTTATTACACTTCTGAAGTTTCATCAAGAACCATATTCATATATTCATCAAAACCCTTTATTTATAAAAAACAATTATTATTTTTCATTTATCTATAAAAAAATGTATCTGTTTACTATAATCTTTCCTTCAAGCTTAATCTCAGTATTTTCAAATAACCATATTTGAACACGAACCTATTTCTACAAGAAACCAAAGATGGTAGTCTTTATTTATAAAATAATTTAAATTTATCATCATATTTTATTATCATAAGAGCATAAGCTCAATTCTATCTAAAAAATATATTACTAATGGATTTGTGATAGTCTTAGTTTGCTTTTTACTCATTTGTTTAGTATTGGCTTTAAATAATCAGTCCTATATGCTTTTAATATAATTTATCTTTTTTATTTCACTTATAAAAAGATATACAAGTAAATATATCTATCTTTCAAATATATAGATTAATTGTCAAATTTCTATTATGCATAGAGAAGAGATAATTTAATTTATTGATTTGTAGTCATTCATTTATTTTACAGCTAAATAAATAATCAAATAATAAATAATATATTTTAATTTTACATTGATTTTAATGCAAAATAAATATTAATTTTCATATTAATCTAAAATAAAATTTTTTCTGTTTTTAAAATATTCTTCTATTATTATAATTAATTTGCAATTTAATAGTAAAAATGTATAAGTTAAACATTCTTTCATAAATCATTTTATTATATTTTATACATTTTTAAATGCAGAACACATATATAGTTAGACAGATTATTTTTCAAAATACTAAATTATTTTTTTTTTATTTATTTACATTTATATTTATAACTCAGTTGTTTTAATCATTAAAATTTATATGCATCATAATTTAATTTTATATTTGTATTTTTATATTAAGGTTGAGTAGGTTCATAACTACTGTTGTATCTTTATCTTTAGACTTCACCTGGCTATAATAGATTATTGCTACTACTCTTGGTAGTTGCGAAGCCAGTAGCTGGACCTGATGCTGCTGCAGTTGTTGTTGCTGCTGAGGAATAATCATATATACTGATTGGAGATCTCTTTTCAGATTCTTGTGCAAAATTTTAGGGTTTCATTTTGTAATCACTATTTAAATTAGCTGTAAAAGGGCTGTTAATTTCATTGTTTTTATTAGCATCACTATTTGGAGTTTATATGTTAGTTTATATGTTAATTGGATTGCTATTGTAATTATTTGTGCTAACGTTACTGTAAGTAGGATTACTTGCATTAGACTAAGGGTTATTTATAGTGTTGACTATGCTTCCATTATTAGGAGTTGTAAAGGCACTGTTAAAATCATTTATAATGTAATTTGATAAAAAGTGCTTGTTTCCTCCTTAATCTAGTATGCTGCTTTTGTTACTGATGAATGGCTAATTCTATTCTTTATCCTTTTATAAAATGAATTTTTTAATAAAAGCAATTAAGAGGTACAAAAAATTACTGCATTTATAAAGGAATTTTAGTTTTCTTTCCTTAAAAATGAATAAGGGCTCAAAGAATTATGAGATTTTGATTCATTAATTACTTCTTCATACTTGCTTTTCAAGTGCTTAACTTCACTGAGATTTTCATCTATTTACATACTTTTGACTCTAATGCTTTCTTCCACATTCTTTAATTATTCCTTATAATAATTAACTTGTCTTCGCCTTTTCGAAATTAAACATAAAAATTTTAAAAACATTTTTAAACTTTTAATTTTAATTTTACAGTTCGTCGTTCTCAAGTAACCAACGATCATAGTATTCAGTTTTTATAAGGTTTTCAGCTTCTGCTTACTTAAGCTTTTCTCTCAGTTTCTCGTTTTCTGCTTTAACTTCTTCGGAAATGCTCTTTTAGCCTACTTATTCATTTTTTCTTTTCTCAATTAACTTATACAGTTCTGTAACTTCTTTCTCTCTATTTTTCAAATCTTCCTCATATTTTACTAACTAATTTTATAAAGATGCTTTTTAATGCGTTTCTTTCAACAAGTTTTCTTCTAAAGTTTAAATTTTTTGATTAAGCTCGCCATTAACTCCTCCATATATGGGTTGAGTTGAGTTAGATTTCTAGATAATTTAAAATTAAATATTTTATTTATTTATTAAATTTAGATTTTCAATTTATTTACTTTCCAATTTTCAATCATATTTAAACGTTCTACTCCTTAAGCAGCTAAAATTTTATTTTCTTGAGTTAATCTAATAACTTCCTACTCCAATTCATTTACTTAGCTCTTTAGCTTAAGGATATGTGTTTCAAGAGAGGTTTTTTCAGCATTGTGCTCTATTAAAAGATCATCTATGTCTTAGTAATCTCTTTTGTTTTACTCTATGGCATTTTATGCATCTATTAATTTACTATTTAGCTCATTTTCCATATCCCTATATTTTTGTTGCAATCTTTAAAGCTCATTTTACTTGTATTCAAGATCTTAACTTAGACGTTTCTTTTCTTGTTCATTATAAGCAATTGTATTATTCAGCTGATTAATTTATTATCTCAACAAATCAATTTCTTTTTTTAGATTATCATTCTCCTACTAAAGTTTCTTTTTTTCTTCTTCACTCTTTTTAAGTTCTTAGTCTTATTTTTATTGGTGAGAAGTGTGCTTTTTAGATTCCTCCATAGAATTTTAAAGAACTTATATAATTTAATCACTTTGCTTCAAAGCATTAGTCAGTTCATTATTGTCTCTTTCCAAATTTTTTATTTTTAAATCACTATCAAATTTATCTGCATTTAATATTTTGATTTAATTCTCCAAATTCTCCTTTTCTTTCTTAACCAAATCTTCATTTTATTAAATCTTAGATTTCTTAACCTTTTTATTTTAGTAATACCAATTTAATTTATTTTCTAAAAAAAAATTTTAAGTAAAATTTACCTATTCATTTAAACTCATTTCTGACTGAAGTTCTCTATTTTTCTCCTATTATTAAATTTTAAATAATTTCAAACAAATGTATTTATTAATATAAAATACCATCTCTATCTAAAGTTGATTCCTAACTGAATTAAGCTATGATAATAGTTACTCCTTTTCTTTTATGTTCTGAGCCATTAAATTTCTTTCAAGTTATTCCTATTATTTTAATTGATGAAACAAAAATTTAATATAATTTTAATTAAATAATTTAAGTTAATTTACGAGCTGTTTGTTTATTTCCTACTGTTGATTCTTTGCAAGTTGATCTAATTCAAAAGCAAGCTTTGTGTTATCCTCTAAGAGTTTCTGTTGTTAGAAAATTAATAAATTATATGATGAAAAAATTTCTTAAAATTTACCTATTAGTAATTTTTCAGATCAAATATTTGCTTTTATAAAGTTTAGATTTCTTATGTTTTGTCGCTATCCCTAATTAACGATTGGTATTGCTGTGTTAAATCATCTACTTTCTGTCTGTTTTTTGCTTCTAAGTCATTCAACTTATCATTCAATAACTTAATTGTTGATTCCTTTAGAGCTATTTCATTATTTTTTTGAGAAATTTAGTTCTATAGATCTTTTATTTACCTTTGTGAGTCCTAATTTAAATATTCTTATTCTTCTAGTTCCTTAATTTTCTATTCTTATGATTATGCAACTATAGTTAACTATTAATTAACACCTTGTAAACGTATTTATTCAGCCTCATATTTATTAATTTGTATCTTAAGCTCAGAAATCGCATTTTGCAACTGGCCATTTTCCTTTATAATTTTCTCATTTACTCTCATAGTATCATTTGTTTGTGTTTGAATAGCAGTTTATAACTTATCTAATTCATCACTATACATTTTCATCTTATTACCTTATTCAAATAATTCCTTCTCAAGTTATTTGATGCGATTGCTTTGATTTCCTATTTTCTCCATTAAGATGATATTTTCATTTTTGGTATTTTAAATTTCTTTATTTTTCAACTCAGAAAGATTTTACAAAGCCTGAACTTCTTAATTCTTTTATGAAATGAGTTAATTCATTTTATCTAATTCTCCTGCAAGTACAAGGCAATGCTATTCAATTTCTTTAAATTTTTGATTATTTTCCTAATTACTTTTCAGACTATCATTTATTTTTTAAAGCAACTGAACTTATTCTTCTAATTGAGCATTATTCTATTTGAGAGTTTAAACCTCTTAATTTTTCTTTTTTAACTAATCATTAAGATAATCTATCTGCTGCCCAATATTAGCCATTTCTTGCAACCTTTATGCAAGTTCTATATTTTATTTTTAAAGTTCTGCGTTTCTACTAGTCATTTCATTAAGCTTTTAGCCTAAGTCTCCATTTTGCTAAGCAATTACTTATTTAAGCTTATTAATCTCTAAATCTCTCTACTAAAGCAGTTATTATATTTATTCTTAATTTTTTTTTTCTAATTCTAATAGCTTGTAAAGATTCTATTGATCAATTTCTTCATTAACTCCTTTCTACATCTTAGATACTTTTAATTCCTCTACTTGTTGCTAGAGTATATATAAGTCATTTCTTAAACTCTTAACTTCTTATTCATGCTCTTGCTAAATTGCCTTTCTCTCATGCTTCAAATTCATAACCTAAATTTAAAATAAATAAAATATCAACTTTTAACTCAATAAATTTTTTAATTTTATTATTAATTATATCAAATTTTTTATGTAAACTTTTATCCATCTTTCTTTTGATTATTATTTATTATTTTAACACATTCAATTCCTGATGCACTTTTATGTTTATTTCATAATTAAATAATAATTTACTTCTGATTCGAGATATCTTATCTAAGTGGAGTCATCATTTAGGTTTGCTTATTGCTAAGGAGTTTCATCATGGGTTTAACTAACACATGAGAAAAATCCGCTATTGTTATTTTTGTTTTTAGAGTGCTTAACTCTTTCTTGTTCTTGCTGAGGCTAGGATTAATATTTACTGCTACTAACATAGCGAGATTAACGCTTTTCTTGTTCAAACTGTTGCTCTAAGTTGTCCACTCTTTCTAATAATTAGCTCATGTTATTATTAATAGAATCTAAATTTTCATTGTTAGTAGGTAATTGACTATTATTCGTATTATAGTAAGCGCTCTATCCATTGTTACTAGGTGTGCTTTGTTGATTATTATTTCTTAGAGGAGTTCTTGAAGGAGTAACCTATCTAGACTTAGAAATAGGACTCTTTGATGCTGTTACAGGAGGATTGCTTTAGTAAGTCATATAGGAAGAGTTATTGTTAGGATTGCTTTGCTAGGGAGTTATATTTGCAAAGTAGTATATTTACTAAGAAGGATCTACCTTAGGTTTCATTAAATGAATTGATGCAGGTTAATCATATTGAATTTTTCTAACTGGATTCGAACTAGGAATATTTTTATTCTCTTAGTACTAGGAACGAGTTAACTGCTTATTTGACTGAAGAATAGGAGAATAGCTACCTAATTGTGAATGATTCATCTAAAAAGCTATTGTGTATATTTAAACCAAATTTAACCTAAATCTAATTCAATTTTTTATATATTTTTTATTTGTTTCAGAATAAATCTTTCTTATAATTCAAACTAAAATGATTGATTTATTCTGATTTTTTTCTATCCAAAATATATGCTGTTAAGCAAGGACTTAGCATAAATGAATACAAAAAAAAGTATAATATAATTATTTCTTTGTATTTTTTTAAATAATATAAATCTTGCTTAAGTAGAAATATAAACAAGCAAATCATTTATTTATTCATATATTTGAAAAAATTTATACCAGTTAGTTAGCTGTTCATCCATTTGATAACAGCTACTATTTTCTATGATTAATATATTTATCTATTTATATTTTACTTTTTTAAGTTTAATATATATTTAAAATATACCAATATATTTCTTAAAACTTATTTATTCGAATAAAGTTTTGTAAAATGTTTTCATAAATTCATAAAAAATTATTTCATTTAGTAAAAATAATAATTTTTTTAAAATTCATCAATATTTTTATTAAAAAAAATTTTAAGAATATTTATCAGATATTTATTTAATAATTTGGATTATTAATTCAATTAGATAGCTTTAGAAAAATTAGTCCTTTATTAAAATTTACTTAAATGTTTAACCAAATAATTTATTTTTTTAATTTTATTTTATAAATTAAAATTTAATTCTACCTATTTATTTCTTAACTTTATAAAAATAAATTTCCTGATTTTTATATCACTAAATAAATAAATTATTTATATCATTTTAACACTATTCAAAGAATATGTTGTTTGAAAATTAAGTTTGATGAAAATTAAAAGTTACTAAATTATCAAAAAAAAAACTTGTTATCTTTTAATAATATATTTTTAGTTAACAATTTGTTAATTATTCGAAATTATTTTATAATTCGGTGATTTATTCCCGAAAAAATTTGTGAAATGCGTGAATATTATCTTCTAGTAAAAAAAACTAATAATATAAATTTTAAGTTTATCATTATACTAAAATATATTATTAAAATTTTTGAGATACGAATAACTCTTATATCAATCTACTACCTAAGAATTCAATTTTATTTATAAAATATTTTGAAAAAATTTTAACTCATATTGAAAAGTAATTTTATTTAATTAAAATTGGAGGGATTATTATCTTGAAATACTTTTTAAATAGATATTCTTAGCATGATTTTTATAATTAGTTTTTGTAATTTAAAAAAGAACAAGTTAATACTAAAATGAAATTTTAGATGGCTTTTTTCTAATGAAAATAATAATAAAATCAATCTACAAATTTCAATTTACCATAGTTAGAATAATAATATTTGTAAATTAACAAAAATTGTACATAAATATTGGTTATTGTTGATTGATTGACTTGCATTTAAGCTTGATATTTAGTTTTGAAAAAAAAAATATGTAAGCTATTTAAAAATGTAAACTGGATTTTTCTTTTCTTTCTTTCTTTGTTTAAAATATAAAAAATAAATTTCTTTATTTTTTCTCGAATTATTTATTGAATCATCATATAGCTTCCTAAAAAAGTAATGACATAAATTAACTAAGGTATGTTATTATTTAAATTCTTTTACAAATTATTTAACATTTAATTCTATATTAAAGAATTAAATTGTGGAAAATAAAAAGATAATCTTAGAATTATTCACTTTTTTTCACCTAATCTAAACATTTATTGATATTTATATTTTATTAATCAAACAAGAAAAATTGTTAACTTATTGTTCATGAGAAAATATACAATTACTTTATTATTAGCTTTGCTTGCATCTATTTCATGTTTAAGCATAGTTCCCAACTGCACTGAATACAATGCAGATGATTCATGTAAAACTTGCAGAGGAGGTTTCTACTTAAAGGATGGTACTTGCCATGCTTAATGCTTAGCCAATGGTGAATGCTCTATCCCTAACTGTACTGAATATAATGATGATAATACTTGTAAGACTTGCAGAGGAGGTTTCTACTTAAAGGATGGTACTTGTCATGCTTAATGTTTAACTAATGGTGAATGCTCTATCCCTAACTGTACTGAATATAATGGTGATAATACTTGTAAGACTTGCAGAGGAGGTTTCTATTTAAAGGACGGTACTTGCCATGCTTAATGCTTAGCCAATGGTGAATGCTCTATCGCTAACTGTACTGAATACAATGCTGATAATACTTGTAAGACTTGCAGAGGAGGTTTCTATTTAAAGGACGGTACTTGCCATGCTTAATGCTTAGCCAATGGTGAATGCTCTATCGCTAACTGTACTGAATACAATGCTGATAATACTTGTAAGACTTGTAGAGGAGGTTTCTACTTAAAGGATGGTACTTGTCATGCTTAATGTTTAACTAATGGTGAATGCTCTATCCCTAACTGTACTGAATATAATGGTGATAATACTTGTAAGACTTGCAGAGGAGGTTTCTATTTAAAGGACGGTACTTGCCATGCTTAATGCTTAGCCAATGGTGAATGCTCTATCGCTAACTGTACTGAATACAATGCTGATAATACTTGTAAGACTTGTAGAGGAGGTTTCTACTTAAAGGATGGTACTTGTCATGCTTAATGTTTAACTAATGGTGAATGCTCTATCCCTAACTGTACTGAATATAATGCTGATAATACTTGTAAGACTTGTAGAGGAGGTTTCTACTTAAAGGATGGTACTTGCCATGCTTAATGCTTAGCCAATGGTGAATGCTCTATCCCTAACTGTACTGAATATAATGATGATAATACTTGTAAGACTTGCAGAGGAGGTTTCTACTTAAAGGATGGTACTTGTCATGCTTAATGTTTAACTAATGGTGAATGCTCTATCCCTAACTGTACTGAATATAATGCTGATAATACTTGTAAGACTTGCAGAGGAGGTTTCTATTTAAAGGACGGTACTTGCCATGCTTAATGCTTAGCCAATGGTGAATGCTCTATCGCTAACTGTACTGAATACAATGCTGATAATACTTGTAAGACTTGTAGAGGAGGTTTCTACTTAAAGGATGGTACTTGCCATGCTTAATGTTTAGCTAATAGTGAATGTGATATTCCTAACTGCAGTGAACACAATGCTGATGGCACTTGTAAAATTTGCAGAGGAGGTTATTATTTAAAAAATGGTACTTGCCATTAATAGTGTTTAAGAAAATCTGATAATTGTTTAGTAAAATAAACATCAAAAGAGAATAAATGCATAAAATGCAATAAAGGATTTGTTTTAAATGAAAATGGGTTATGTGAAGAATAAGATTTTATAGTTTCTATTTTGAAGAAATTATAAATTTAATTTAGTTGAATATTGATCTATCTATCTAAATCAATCTAAATTATAAAATAAAATATTGATTGGTGACTGACTATATATTTAAATTTATAAAAGAAAAAATGTTATTAAAGAAAATTTATATTTTTATACAGAAGCTAGGAAACAAAAAATTTGATTTATTAAAAAATTTCTTTTGTTAATAAACTTATTAATTGATTTAATATCTAATTTATCATCCATTATTTCGTGTTTTTTTGTAAATCTATATCACATTACTCATATATACTCAAAAAGAAATTTTCAATTAATTAAATTGAATTTTAAAAAAAATATTAATTTATGAGTAAATTATTTTTTATTTATTTTCTAAACAAATGTAAATACAAAGAAAGTATGCCTTATAAAAATATATATGGATAAGAATCTAAGAGTGAGTAATAATAAATCAATTAAACTGTGAAAATTATTAATTAGATTTTTGGAGGTATGTTAAATTAGAAAAGTGTTATTCAATAGTGCTATTGTTACTAATATTATTTCCAATATAATTGCTACTTGGAATAGTATTTGAACTTTTAAAAATTGGATTTAAGGTATTTGCTGATTAAAAATTTTATTCTATAAGTTCATTATCATGCAGTTCGAGGCTATTTCCACTAGCTGATTAATATTGAATTTAACTTTTAACATCATTATATGATAAATTTTTATTTTATTTTAAGCCGTTATTTGTAACATTTTAAAAACTGCCAAAAAGATAAGAGTCTTCAAGTATGCCATTTAAAGGCATTTATTATTTTTAAAATTGATTTAATTATTGTTAATTTGGCTACAATTATTAACAGCTTTACTGAATTTATTAATAATTGTCAAAAACAGCTTATTATTATATATTGCTTGGGGTTTAATCTATTTCAGACATAGAAATCAATTAATACTATGATTTTTATTATGGTTATTGACTAAAAGGGAATATATTTTATGATGTTTTAATTTAGTTCAAGGATGAGATTTAGCTTGTGTTATAGTTATTAAGTGTATCTAGCTCAAGTAAATCATCCACAGTTAAAATTTTATTTTATTATACACTTTACTCTTTGTTATGGAAAATAGTATTGTTATTATTACTTAAATATTATTACTGTGCTTATTATTGGTAGCACATATTGTTTTGCTAAAAGTTATTTGAATGAACTTAATAAGGATTTACTTAAGAGGATTACTGCATCAAGTTATATTATTATATCATAAATTATATGAAATTGGGATTCTCTGTAATGAATTTATTTATTTCATCTACTTTTTCTTATTTTTGTTAAGGCTATTAAGTTTAATTGTTTTGAAGTTGATTTTCTGTAAAGAAATTATTTTTCTTATTTGACAATTGTTAATTATCAACAATTTGAGCCTTATTCTGAGCTAAATTTATTTTAATAGTATCTAGATTACTTTATCTGCTTTGCTAAAATTGTTGATCATCCATCGATGTTTCAGATTGATTAACAAATGAAAACATTGATTTTTTATTATTAGAATTTAATCCATTGTTAGCCTAGTTATTTGGTGTTTTGCAAGGAAATAATATTGAATTTTTCATGCTTTATTATTGACTTTGGTTGACAGAAGAATTCTTAGAAGTTTAATTTCCATTATTTGACATATATTTGTATTACATCTGTCTATTTAGCTTGATAAAATTTTAATTAGTAGAAGCTAAGGTTGATGGATTCTTTTCTCTAAAAAAGCTATTTGTACATTTCATACTAACATACTAACCATTTTACATTTAGGAGTTATTTTGGCAGCTACTTGTACTGTTTTGATTTAAATTCATCATCATATTCTGTTATTGAGGTGTTAATAAAGATATATTTTTAAGTCCACTTATCATATTTATGTTTTGCAAATCTTAGTTTTAATTTATACTATCTTCTTCCTCTTCGATGTTGATAGTGATTTTAGGTTTCTTTGATAGAGATCTATTACTTGATTTTGATTACTTATTTGCAGACAAACTAATTTTAGAAGTACTATTATTTTGATCAATTTAGCTTTCATAGCTTGATTTAATAGTTGATTTTGAGTTTTTCAAGTGTTTTTTTATTGATGCTACTGATGTTGGAGCATAATTTTAAGAATCTAGATATTATTGATTAGAATGCTATTAAATTGGTATATTTTAGTCACACTATTTTTGTTAATTTTCTAATTTATGCTTAGAACTAGAAAGTTGTTTTAAATATGATGATTTTGAATTATTAGTGTGATTAAGTTACTATTAAGTATAATTCTTAGCTTTTTCAGACTCCTTAGCCTAATTCTTAGAAATAGTGGCAATATGATTTTGGCTTACCAGAGGTTTAGAAGGAGTGTAGAATTAAAATTAAAGATTTTCAATGAAATTTGTTGATTTTGTGTGCATTTGAATGTTATTTTTAACCAAATTATTTTATTCTTCTTCGAATTTTTCATTATTCTAAAATTGCTAAAGAGCAATCTAAGTTTTATTTAAGTGAGCTTAAGAGTCACTTTTTTGTAAAGGATTTTAAGTCCTTTTTAAAATAGGTGAGATAGTTCTATTTTGATTCTTTTTAGAATAGCTATGCTTGATTACAGTAGTTTGAGTACGCTGTAAACTATTTGAATTTAAATTTTCCTCGAAGTTTTATATCTGAGATTTAGGATTTATAATAGATTTTATTTTACTTTAGACATTTGCATACAATGTACCATTATGATTACTGCTATTTCTCTTCATTATGCTTTCTCTCTAGGCTTCTAAAGATTTTTACTAAATAAAAGGAAATTTTAGCTTAAAAATAAATTTAAAAACATAATTCATACCTCTCTTTACTCTTCTTCAATTTTTTTCATTTTTTACTGCAAGACTTAAATATTTTACCTCCTATTTGCATCGCTAAATAATTTATTGACCAAATTTGCTTCCTAATCTTTAGATAATTTCCCTTAAATTTAAATATAAATTTATGAAATTTAATTTGTAAAAATGATAATTAATTTTTACCTCTTGAAATATTCTATTTATTTGATTCTTCAATAGATTTTTTGCTTTTCATTTCTTTTTATTTTATTTGTTCTTACTGAATTGCTCTCCTCCTCTCAAAATCCTAATTAAGTCTAAACAAAGTGCTTGTGCTTTTACTGCTAAGCTTAGTATTGCTCATGCTTCTAGCATAAGTATTCAATTCTTCATTCTCGTTGGAGTCAATATTATTTGTAAAAAATTTATTCAATTATTAAACTTCTTTTGAGATTTATGATTTGGCTCTTCTAATAAGTTAAAAAATTTAATGATATTTAATTTAAAAAGAGCAAAAAAGAATACTCGTTATTGGATTCCACACTTTCTTTAGAAGACATTCTGCTGCTTCTTCTTCTATTTAAAATTTTAGCATAATCTTAGGCATTTGAGAGAGATATACTTCTTTACTAATTCCCTTTTTGTAAATTAGCATGGCTTAAGCTCTTAATAATCTATCCTTTCTAGTTAGAATTATTTTATTTTTAAAAATGTGCATTTCCTTCAATATTTTAATTATTCTGTTCGTTATAAGCAAACAACTTATTTAAGGATAAGACTTGCTTAGTATTTGGTTAATCCTAAAATTTATTATTATCAGGGTCAGATTAGTCGTCAATATTGATTTTTTCGTAGTTATCGTTTTAATCTATTTTTAAATTATTAAAATTAAAACAAGAAAAATTAAATATTTTTAAAAGGAAATTGCAAGTTCTTAAATTATTTTTTACATAAAACAATAGTTTGATTTGAAGATGGGGTTTTATTTCCACTTTTTGAATGAACTATAGAACAATTTTATTGAGAATTTGATTTACTTCCTGCTGTATGAGATCCTATAGTGGTGGAAGAATTGGTTTTTTTGAGGGAGTCTAAAATATTAGAGAACTGAATTTAGATTTTAGAATTAGAATCTTTTATATTTTATTTGTTTATATTGTTTGAAGAGTAATTTTAGACATTTATCGGAGATGGAGGAGGAAGTGTACTTAAGATCTACTTTTCAAGTTAAATTGGGGTAGGAGGCTTTAGCATACTTTGAGGAGCATTTTAATCGTTTGCATTTAGTTAATCATATTTTAGCTTACTTTAAAAAGCTCTTTCAAGGAGCAATTATAAAGAATCAGTTTAATGATCAATAGATTCTGAATTGGCTAAATTATATCTGTTAAAAATATCAGAACAATCAGTAGCATCAGAAATAGTGTTAAGTTTAACAATATTTGAAACATCCCTTTAGTTAAAGTGTTTGTTATCTGTAGAATTTATATTATACAAGTCATTATTTTTTCCAGAAATATTGCATTTCATTTATAACTACTCAAGAGACATATAGTTCTTTTTTAAGTTAGGTTTCATTTTTATTTACTTATCAGATACTTAACTGACACAAGGTTAAGGAGTTTTTGCAGCAATCAGAATTTCTTAAGCAGTTAAATCAGTATTATTGCTCAAAATATTGTCTTTTGAATTACATTTTAAGCTTTAATAATTTAGATATGTTTCTTACCTGTATTAAAAATAGTTAAATGATTTAAATAATGTTTGATATATTAATATTTTTTTTTCTTAAATGCCCAAATTTTATCGTTAATTTGTAAAGACTGTAAATAAATAGAAAATAAATTTCATTGTAATATTTTTAAGATGATTTTCTTTCTAATTTGATAACATTTTAAAATGAATAAAATACAAATTTAAGAATTACCCAGTTTTTATATTTTCAGGATCCATGTTATTTACTTGCTATTCTAAAAGCTCAAACTCAAGAAGATCATCTCCTTTATTTACTTTAGTATTAGAGCTTCTGTTAAGAGAATCACTATTATCATCTCCTTAATAATGGCGCTGTTAAGGAGGAGTTATTTGTTAGTAGCATTGCTTATTAGAAGGACTAGCTTATCTGTTTGACTTTAAATTTAAAAATTAAATATTTAAAAAGACATTTTTCATGATATAGTTAGTATTTAGTTTTAAAATATTTTTCTATTAAATATTTACTAAGTGAATAGAGTTAGTTGAATCTGATCGAAGTTCATGGCAAACTTGTGCGTTCTAGTTAACCAATTATTGGGTTTAATGATCATTGATTAATGAGTTGCTAAATATCTGCAATTAGTTTTATTAGCTGAAATTTTAATTGTCTTGACTTTCATTACTTATATTGCTACATTATATAACTTATATAAAGTTATCTGTAGTTGAATTAAATTTAGGTTTCAGATTATCATACTAAAGACATACTCCTTAAATATCTGGTCTTTCTAAAATCTAACTACTCATCGAGTTCAATACTATTGACGATTAACACTCTTTGGTTTTATATTATTGTTCTTAATAAGTAACTCTCAACCTATTTCAATGTTTAACTTTTTCCCTTGCTTGCTTGTAATATTTTAGTAGGATCTATCAATATTTTTACAAGTTTGTAATTATATGCAAATTCTTTATTTTTCTTCTATTTAATTGTTACTTGAAAATATGAAAATTATAATACTTGAATTATATGTAAACCAAAGTATTAATAATAATCAAATTTACATTAAACAAAATAATATTTGTACTAAAGTAATACATGTACAATTACTGAATAATATTGATTACTACATTCTTCAAATTAGTTATCATAGTTGTTAGCCTTATCTCCATACAATTTTATAAATTAATTTTTATCTGATTGTAATTGTCTTGCCTTTAATTTTAAAAATATCCTCTCTTTAAAGATATATTTGTAACACTTTAAATTACTTAACTTGATTTGATATTTTGCTTAACCAAATTTTTTTCAGTAGATTTATCCAGCTAAAACTTGCCAAATACTATTTTTTGCAATATTGACCATTAAAATTTCTAATATGAATTTGATTAGCTAAATATTTCTTAAATTATTGATTAATAAAAAGCAATCAATCTAATATATTTGCACACATTTGTTTTCAAATTTTAATTTATAATTAAATAATTGTGGCTAAAATCAAAAGCTTTTTTTTTCTCACCTTACTACCATAAATACTTTAATAAATATGCAAATAATTTCAACCATATAAATTATTTTCTTAAATTTTATTTTCTGACTATTTAAGTAAGCTAATTTATGAAAAAATTAAATGATTATGTATATAAAATAATATTTATATATTTTAAATTCCAACAATAGTTTATTGTATCAAGAAATCCAAAGCTTACAATTAGTTTTCTTTTAATAAAATTCCTCTATAATTTACTTGCAGATTAAATAAAACCATAAATTAGTTCCACTTTTTATATGACTTCTTCTTTTCAGATTAAAGTTTTTTAATAGAATATATAATACTTAAGAGTAAAATTATAATATTTAACTTTTAATATATTTAATTAGTTTAGATTTTACTTAAAAAAAACACAGTTTTAAATGAAAATTAAAAAATGATTTTGTTAAAATATGTTTATATTTTTATTATTAGTATTACATTACATTTACTGAATTACACTTAATTTTAATTTTAGATATAATTTATAGAATAGAAGGAAGAGTAAGTAATAAAGAAATACTTACATATAAATTTTATATAATCATGAATTAATATCATTAATAATTAGATTTTTGATATTATTAATTTTAAAAAAACCTAATTTATATTTAAATAATTAAATAGAGCTTTTTTAATTTTTTTAAAGTTTTTTTTAAAAATAAAGTCTATCTTTTTATTTTAAATATACGATTATAGCTTTAAGCCAAAACAAAATTTAAAATAATATCTTCATTATACTTTATCATGGAAATACTAGGATTAGATTGATTGCATTTTTAAAAATAATTTTATTTTAATTACTTTTTAAACTAATTAATTAATATTTAATGTTTTATTCTTCAAATGAACTAAATTACTCATTCATAAGAGATTAAATTTTAAATAAATTGCATCAGGTGCTCGTTTTCTTAGGCTGCACACACTCTTTCTTTATCGTTTATTTACTTGTCTAGTTAATGTTTATCTTAATGAGTACCTTCTTTAACAAGTATTTCGATTTTATATTCATCATAATTAGGAAGTTCTTGTTGTAATTTTGTAATTATAGATAACCCAATTTAAGAAGCGAGATGGCAATGAGGGACAGTAGGTACCCAAATTATTTAAATGATTCCTAAATAAATTTCATTTCTTTTTTATCCGCTACTTATTTAAACTTGTTAAAAGCGAAGATTTTCTCTCTGTATGACGTTGAGATCTCCTAGTGTTTAAGGGAATTCAGGATCTCTAATAGTAGATATAATATAAAATGTATCATCTAAAATACTTTCTATCTCCTCTTAAGTTTTTAACCTCTCCATTATACTTAATTTTCAACAATAAAATTAATTTTATAGTCTGATTTATATATTATTCAACTTTTATTTTAAAAGTACTACTGTTTGCTATTCCTATGCTAATTGATTAACTAAATATTAAAATTTATATATTATAGCAATTATTGGGATATTTCCTTTAATTTAATAATTTAAGAAGAATTATAAATTTCTAAAGACTATCGATACATACAATAATTATAAACTTCATCATTTAATGACCTTTTTTTCTAAAGGATGACAACTAGAGAAATCTTTATATTAAGAAATTACATTATTATAATTATAATTATTATTTATTTTTTTTTAATGGAAAATACTTTTGCTAACAAATTTATTTTTTTGTAGATGAAATGATTGTTTGGCAATCATACCAGACAATATAACAATATAATCTTCCTAAAAACAATCTTTAATAATGGGAATAATTAATCTTCTATAAAAACCATTTAACTAGATTTTATATCTCTGAAATAATAATATTGTTTTGGAAAAGGTTTTAATTGCAAATTTCTATTTTTAAATAAATATTATATATAGTCATTTAACCAAATTTAATTTAAATATTTTCTAAACACCAAAAGCGTTTAAAATTCTTCCAACTTCAGGTTCATTTAATTGTGCAATTAATTATATTATATCATAAATTAAAAATCAGTTATCTACTATCTGAGATAATAATACATCACGTATTTTTGGGAACTATAAAATCAATTAGCTTTGAAATTTGAAATATTTAGAACATTAGGTAATTAATTAATAATAATTGAGAAAATTATAAATTATTTTTTGAAGAGATAAATTTATTGATTGATTGAAGATAACATTTTTAACAAGTTTACGAAAATGTTGATATCAATTAAATTCAAATTTTAAAATCGATTTTAAATATATTTTTTCCATATATTAATTACAATTTTGATTTTTTAAATACTTCTTTTGTATTAATAATGATAGTGTATATATTCTAGGAATTTAAAGATTTAATAAATTGTTGTGTCAAGTAACAATCCAAAAATTAAAAAAAAATATATTCATATTCAAGTATTTTTTATCATTTAGAAACTTAATTATTTTAAATTGTTAGTAAAAAAAATAAAATTAATTGAAAAATGATGTTTTATTTGGAATAATAAACATAATTAATTGTTTTTGTCAAATCTATTTAAATAAAATAATAAAATATAGTTGATTTGTAATATTTTTAATTATTAATAAGAAAAATATTGAGAAGTAACTAAGTAAGCAAGCAAGGAATTGTTGTGTTAATAAAAAAAAGCAAATAAAGGAAATTTAACATATTTTTGTTTCCGCAAATTGAAGATTCATCAAACTTCATAAATAAACAATATAAAATTTCTAGTTTAATTGTAAATTTATATAGTTTATCCTTTTAGTTGAACTAAATCTTCTAAATAAGCAAGCAAGAAATATTACAAATAAACATACATACATTAATAATTTTGACTTTATTTCTATTTAGTTATTGAGATTTAACTCTTTTAAGTATTTAAATCCAGTAGAATAAAAGTAAATTTTATATATTTAAGCTTATTTCGCCTATAATATTATTCTATAATTTTAAATCAGATAAATAAACATTATTTTAAACTATTTTTTAGGTATCTTAAAGTAAATAAATAGCTAAAAAAAGTTAGAGAAAGAAGAGTATTAATTACTTAGTTTTTAGCTAAATAATAAAATGAGCGATTAGACTACAAAAAAAATAGATAAATACTAATTTAACTTAAATCAGCGCATAGGTTCTGGATCATATGCAAATGTTTATAAAGGCGAAGATAGGGAAACTGGAAAAGCTGTTGCAATCAAAATGATTGATAGGAAAAAAATATCTTAGGAAGATTATTTAATGAACGGATTACTGCAGGAAATATAAATAATGAAAAAATTGGATTCAAATTATATTGTTAAGCTAATTGATGTACTTGAAACAAAAAATAACTACTATATTGTTTAAGAATTTTGTGATTAGGGTGATTTTAGAAATTATTTGAAGTAAAAAGGATATCTGCCTGAACAAGAAGCAAAATAAGTTTTAGTTGATATTCTTAATGGTTTTTTAGAACTGTTAAAGCATGGAATTATTCATCGTGATTTGAAGCCTGAAAACATTTTGATTTAAACAAAAAATCCTTAGGTAACGAATGAAATTTCATTTTAAATTGAGTAAAATATATTAGTTCTCAAAATACGATAAACTTTTTAGTGTATTAATCAAATTTTTATTTCGAGCAGTCTTATTGAATAATCATATCAGTTATCAGCAAAATAAATGAGTGATCAGATTTTGCTTGATTTTTTTATTAATTCTCCATAATTCGTTTTTTTCATAAAATCAAAAAAAAGCAATCAATAATTATTTTATATTTTTTACTTATTTTTATAAACTAAAATTTAGATGTAAATCATATTATTTTATTTAAATTTAGACAGGCGAAAGAATATTTAAACTTGCTGATTTTGGATTTTCTAGAACTGTAGACAATTTTAGAAGAGAGCTTTTAACCAGTCTTGTTGGAACACCTCTTTATATGAGTCCATAAATTCTCATGTTTAAAAAATACACATCCAAAAGTGATATTTGGAGTATAGGTTTGATTATGTATGAGATGCTTTACGGAAAGACTCCATGGAATGCAATTAGTTAATATTAGTTAGTAGAAATGATTAACAAATAGCCAATAAACTGGAAAAGCGAAAACATCATAAGTGAAGAGGCTATCAATTTTATGTATAAATGTCTTCAGTTAGAAGAAGAAAAGCGTATATAATGGGATGAAATTTATGCACATCCTCTGTTTGGTGATCATTTCGTTCACTTCTTAGAAAAAAATAAAAATCTTGAAGACAAAGCTTTATATTTAATTAACAACTTAAGATAAAAAATACATTCAACTAACACTGACTTAATGCAACTTTTTAAATATTTCGATTTAACAAACGATTCTAAACTTACTATTAAAGAATTTGAGTAGCTTATGAAATAGATTGATAAGGATTTGAATAGGGAAGAAATTGAATATATTTTTAACAAGTTTGATAGCGATGGAGATAACAAAATTGATTTTACTGAGTTTTAAAAATGGCTAGAGCATAACAATATTAGGTTAAGCATAAACAACAGTTAGTAAAATAGAAGAAAAATGATTGATTAGCAGCTTGATTAGGAGGTTAAGCAGCTTATTTAAAAATAATAGTAGCAACCACCTAATTTAGTGTATACACACAGCTAGTTTTCTCCTTTAGCAGCAAATTAGCCTCACATAGATATAACATCAAATAGTAAGTTTTATTAGAATCATGCAACTTAAGACAAATAAATAATTAATAATGGTAATAATGGTAACTAAATTAAACAGTAACCTTAGTAGTAAAACATAAAAGTATCACAAGCAAAATAATATGATTCAGAACCTGGTTAAAATAGTAGTGATGAATCAAAGTAAAAATAAGACATTTCTTAAAGCTAGAGAAAACTATCACCAGAGGAGAAAGCAATCTTTGCAATTGGAAAATTGAAACTTGCTATAGATCAATATAAAATTAATAACAAAGAATTATTTAATAGGTATGATAAAAGCTAGCAAGATGCAATATAATTAAGTGAATTTACAAGAATGATTAAGAAAATAGATGATAAACTTTAAGATGAAGAAATAGCAATAGCTTTTTAAAAATTCGACTATGATAATAGTGGGAAAATAACATTTAAGAAATTTGATACAACCTTAGCAAATATCGGAAATTCGATAGTTATTTAAGTTAAGTAAAAGTAAAAATAAACATCCTCATAAAAATCATTGTCAGATGTTAAAGATAATTTTTCATAGCCAGATTCAGAGAAAAAGTAAAGCCACCAAAAAAGTAATAGTGGAGCAAGTACAGATAGCAATAAAGAATATCAATAGTTTTCAAGTGCTCCAACAAGAAGTAATATTTTAGAATAATTAATTTATTTTTTTTAAAATACAATTCAATATTTTTGAAATAGCTTCTAATAATTGAAGAGAACTTAAAAGACAGAGTAATTATCTCAACATTTATTTCAATTAAAATCATCAGATAAATATAAGTATAATGGATGGATGATAAATTATGATATTTATATGCCACTAGGCTTTTAGCAGTTTAGCTCTTTATATAAAAATAAATCAATCTTAAATTTAAAAGATGTAATGTAATTATTATAAAATATAGATTAATTAGTAAGCATATGTGTATGTGTATATCCTTTAGTTATGAAAGTAAACAATATATAAAATATTTATAATTCATTTAGTAAGCAGACAATTTATTATATTTACATTAAAAATTTCTAATTCTATTTATCTACTGCAATCTTGATATCTATCAAAACAATATCTAAGAATATTTTTTTAAAGTTTGTTTTAACTCAATTAAAATAAAACAATTTTTATTTAAATTGTACTTTATTTTTTGTTTTCTGATTTTATTTGGTAAATAAACATTAAAAAAATTTATATAATTTTATTTTGTTTACTTTTATAAAATAAAAATAAAAATCAATTAGGAACTTTTTAAAATAAAATATTATCGATTTTAAATTAAATATGATTAAAAGATTGATTTATATTAACAAATAAATATTTATATATATATATAAATTTATATCAGAAAAAAATCAATATTTTTATTTACATATATTATTAAAGATGAAAGAAAATAAAGCAGTTAGTTATTTTAACCTTAATTTAATAAATTAAAAAAATTTTTAAATATTTTTTTAGATTTATTAAGTTTAGATATAATTAATTGATTATAAATCAAAGATAAGTGGAGAATTTACCAAACCTTCAGAACATTTGATTAAATGTTAAAAGTTATTTTTAGTTGTTACTTATTTATTTAGATTTAATAGTAATATGAACAATAATAATAGAGTAAATGATTGATTGATTGAAACAGAACATATAATAAAAAATTATGAATACTTTATAATCTAAGAGTGTTATAAGTAATTTGTGGTGTTAATAGTTGTTATTATTGTTATTGATACTTTATTAATAGTATTAGATAACATAAATTAATAGTTGTGTTCTAATTCCTAAATATAAATATATATATATGTATGTTATTATTTACAAATATTTTTTATTTGTCTTTGATTCTTTTTTTTGGTTGCTTATAAGATTTTTTCATAATTTTCTTTTTGTAGATGTGAATTATTTTCAACAAACAATTAAAATCACTTATTCTTTAAATATTTATCCCACTTAATTTAGTAAGTTGTGATTCCTGGATGTTTGCTCACAAAATGCTTATGAGGTTATCTACCCATTTCATTTCTATTTGTAGTTAAATAGTGTTTTTTATCAAAGCTATTCCTATCTCCAATCTCTATAACACTTCTATTTACGTAGTATTATTTAAAATCTTGAGAAGGCAAACGTGAGCGTTAAGCATTTGGATTGTATGGCTCCAACGGTTTACTAGAGCCCATACCTGCATGACTCAAAGCTCTTGTACGATAAGCTTCTGTATTTGTTGAAGTTTTATATAAGGATTTGTTCATAATGGTCTCAGCTGTGCTAGCCAAGTTGGCAGCAGTTAAAGGGCGTGCATAGAAAGGTACTGCTTCGTAGTCATTTCCTTTTCTTTTTACAAAGGAACATGTAGAGATTCTATTTTCATTGAAAATATCAGCTGATTTTTCTCTCTTATGATCTCCATTGAATTATAAAGCAACAGAATAGCCTTAATTCAAAGTATTTTACATATTTTCTATTTACTTAGCTGATTAAATTGATTAAGCACGCTGACGTTTGACCCAATATCCATTATCTAAACCCCTAGAGTATTTACTCATCTGAAATATATCGATTTCTAACTATTTTTTTGTTTTTTGCTTGCTATAAATAACTAATATTTTTTTTTTTGCACAACGGAATATTTTTACTTTCTCTTAAATGTATTTATACTTAATTATATTTATTAAGAAAAATATTGATTGCAAATTTTTAATCAAAACTTCATAATCCTTTATATGATATATGTATTAATGATTGATAAAAAAGATGATATTGTATGTAATTTTGGTGAAATACCCCAATTCACCATCCACTTTAGCCTTAACTTTTTTCCATATTTATTTGGTAAAGAAATTTTATAAGCAAAAGTATTAATTTATTTATTGGTTATTATGCAGTTAGGTTTTTTATTATAAATAAATCGTTCGTTCGTTACTTATAATTTTTAAGATTTCTCTCTATTTTTATAAAATTTAAGCATATTTCTCAAACTCTCAATTTTAAAAATCCTCTTAGAAAATTAAAATGATATTTGGAAATCTTTTATTTATTTATAAGAAAGATAAAATTAAAAATTTTTATTTTTTGAGATTTATTAAACAACAAAGTTTATCTAACTCCAACTAAGATAAAAATAAACAATAAATTTACTAATTATTAATAATATTTTTTAATTGTTTTTTTTTATTTGACTATGATTAAAGTAAAGCTAATAAATACTTGCAGTTAAAAAAATTTTTAATAATATAAGAAGGGAATAAAAGACTTAAAAGTGTCTTAAAGAAAAATTGCAATTTGATACCTTAAAATAAACTAAAGAATTTTTTAATACAAAATCCAATTATAACAAAGAAAGATTTGAAAGTTTAGAGACTATAATTACTCTAATAGGAAATAAATTTAAGCTATTATTCAAAAAATATACTTTACATGTTAAATTTATTAATATTGTTATATTAAAACTCATAAAAATCCATAAAATAATAAATTTATTATTTTTTTAAGTTCTAATTTAAAAAAAATTAAATTTTTATGATCACAGATTTTAAAAATAAATTAAAGTATTTTATAAAAAATCTAAAATCCGTTATTTACTATTTCAAGCTATAAGATAAAAATTGGAATTATTAATAAGAAAAAATTAAAAGTTTAATTTAAGTTTTTTTTGCATACATTCTACATAAATAATTTAAATAATTGCATACATGAAGCTGTTATTGGTTCTGGTTTATTTGTTAAAATAGTTAAGGTATTAATTTATAAACAATTTAATATCAAATATGTTTTATAAAGAAGTTAAATTAAAATAAATTTTTTGCAAAATGATTAATTAATTTATTTATAGATATAGTTTTAAATTATGTGAAAAAAGATACATTATTTATTTACTTACTAAGTTTTTTTATGGTTATTTTCAATGATTACTGGATAAACTCATTAGAGAATAAAATACTCCTAAGCAAGCTGAAATTACAAATATAAGGCAAATAGTTATGCCGAAAATTATTCTGTACCATTATACTTTAAAGTATCTCATATATACTAATTAGGGAATAACAAACTGAAGTATTATAGAACCAAGAGAACCTACTAAAGATATGATTTTAGCTAGCTTATATGTTGTTAAACTTAACATAAATATGCTAACAATTAGTACATATCTAATGGCATAGCGTTTTAAAAGTGCTAGAGATTGATCAAAGAAATTCTTATATTCGCTCATTTCATACTTTTCAACACTAAAAATTTCATCCTTAAAACACTTAAGATTCTCATAAATTTAAACAACTACATAGAATTTTAGAGGATAAGATAAAAGTACAGAAATTGTGTACATTAATCTAACACAAAAGCCTATAATTGTCTAAGGAGCAAAATTAAGGAGGACTATATCTTCTGTATATTCTCCTATGGCAAGTTATGTTACTATACCAAATACTAAATACATTAAGCATGTTAATATTGTTGAAGTATAAAATACTGGAATAAAATTATTAGGATTTTCCATACTATTTCTTATGTTAAGAGCTATTCCCATTACCTAAAAACTATAGACAGATATTCCTACTGCAAGAAAGAAATTATCTGTCTTCCAAAGATCATTTTCACTTCTTTAGACTCCTCCAGTTCCTAAAATCAAGCTAAAGTCTAGATAAAGCATCCATAAAACGGCTATTAACCCCACAAGAAATCCTACTAAATTTGTTTACCAAAAAAGGGTTATATTGTTGACTGTTGAGAGTGGAAGAATTATCGTAAAAGCAAATAAAGCTCCTATTAAATGAGCCTATTCATTTGTTATTTTATTGCTCCACTATTCTTGTATGATACCTGAAATGTAGATCTCAAAAAATATAATATATGATATGCATGATCCTAAATTTGCGATTGTACTAAATATCCTACAACTCAATTATCCTGGAACTCCAAATATTTTAAAGGCTAATTCTGTTATAGTTGTTGTTTACTTAACTTATGAGGGATCAACTTTCGATTAAATGTCTAAGTGCACAGCCATAATTAAATGTATAGAATATATTGTCATAGCAGCTGTGAATATAATAAGTAAACTACCTAAAATAAAACCTGTTAAGTAAAACATGTAAGGCAATGCGAGGATACCAACGCTAAAAAAGTATTTTCCAATCAAAAGAAAGGCTTCAAAATTTGTAGATTTTTATTTATTATCCATTCTAGTATATTGCTTCTTCATCATTAAATTGTTTTTGTTAAAATTGGCTATTTTAGGTGTTTTATTATCTTCATCTACCATTTCTGTTTCAACAATTATGTCTATAGAATTAAAAGATGAATCATAAAACTATGAATGTTAGTGGTGAGTGATATTAAATTCATCCTTCAATTCTTTGAATGATTTAAATGAGTGTTATGACTCAGAAACTTCATTTTTAAAAACTCCTTAGCTAGATTTGGAAGGAGAAAATTGTATTAATGAAGTGCTAAAGACTTAATCAGTCTAATTCAATTTAAATTAAACCACTTATTTCATTGTACTAAAATAAATTTGAAGTAAATTATTTTCAATTTTATCTTATTAATCAAGTAATATGATTATTTTATTATTCTACAAACTTTTTAGTATTTTGTAATCAAAATATTTAATTAATTTTCTGATTTTTTTTGTTTTTGTATCAAAATTTTTTAAATTTATTTAAATGCTTTTAAACTGATAATTTATTTACATTTACTAATATGTTTTTTCTATTTTAAAAAGCTGGAAAATTCATTTCAATAAAAATGAATATTTTTATCTCTATGCAATGAACATTAATTGGTCTAAAAAAGTAATTCAGGTGAGTTGATAGGTTGGATAGAAATGAATAATTTCTTTTACTTTTAACAAAATAGTTTTTATTATTATACAGGCATATTTTGACAGGTAAAATGACATATTTTTTTAATACCCCTGCATGTAATTGTAATGAATCCATATAACTTTCATAATTAGAGTAAATTTATTTAGTTAAAATCTTATCCGTATCTCAAATTACACAATAAATAAATAAATAACTTGTATGAATCTTCTTTCTTCATAATAAGAAAGCTTTTTACATTTTAAAAAAGATAATTTTTTTAATATTTAATGATGCTTCATCTAATTCTTGAAATTTAAATTATAAATCAAAAATAAATTAACTTTAAAAAATGATTTATATATATATATATTAACTAATTATGATTAAATTTAAAATTTATTTTAAATAAATATTTATGAAAAATAAAAAAAATATATCACTAATATCTAAAAAGAATTCAAAATATTTTTTAGTGAGTTAAGCTAAAAATTTATATCGTTTTTAAGAAAAATATTCACAAACACAAGAATCAAATAGTATTTTAATAATTTTATAATTTCTTTTAATTCTAAACAAATTTTTATTTGAAATTAATTTAAATCTTATTTAATGAAGATTTTTAACTTTAAAATGAGTTCTATAAAAATATTTAGCATACCTTTTTTAACAGATATATTTAATTATTAAATTTTATAATCACAGAAAATTAAATGATTAAATTTGAGAAATCTAAGTAGTTGCCTACTTCATAAAATAAGATAATAAAAATTTTATTGTATAAAAAAAATGAATTATCTAATTACTTCAGAAGCAAAATTTATTTTAATGGTTTAATGTTTTTTAACTCCAAATTATTTTTTTTGAAAAAATAATTTAATAAATATTAATAAAAAATATTAGAAACATATACATATAATCAATAACTATTTTATAGCAGATAACCTATCAATTTTAAAGCTAATACTTACTTGCATATAGATAGCTAAGAAAGATTTGGATTAAATCTATATCAAATAACTTTAAAGATATAAAAAATTTAAAGAGCAAATATATATTAAATTTTACTTATTTTAATAAATATTATTTTAGAATGGTTAATTATAAAAAATTTGATCTTTAAATTAACAGATATTAAAAAATACAAAAAATAATAAATAGAGCTGTTTTTTATATTTAATTTACTCGAAACATTTGTTTAAAAATGCACGATTAACAAGTATAATTAACCTTTTATGATTTATTATTCTTGTTATCAAAATAATTAAGATATTCTTTAATAATTTTTTTATCTATGTAATTTTTAAAGAATAAATAAAAAATTCTAAAATAGAGACCAAAATGTATCTTTACTTAAATTCTTTATCAGAATGATTTAATCTAGATTAGATATGTAGATATTAATTAGGTAATGATGCATTTATTAATAAAATTAAATGAATATTGATTATTTATCATTTTTATTTATATTTGGCTTGCTAGAAAATTTTTCGTATCAAAAATAAAATCAGTAAATAAAAAAAGCTATCAAATAAATATTCCAGCAAAAAAAAATTGAATTAAAATTAATTGAGTAAATGAAAAACTCTATTTTTCCAAATGATTTAAAAAATTCTTTATGAAAATATTCAAAAAAAAAGGTAATTTTAATAAAAGGATTAATAATAACTTGAATAAAGACAATTTTGATGATGTCTTATAAGGGAAATAAAAAATACAAATCATAATAATACAATTAAATAGCTCTTTTGTAAATTAAAAGACCTTTTAATTGCTTTTGATCAGATTAAAAGCTAATTAATTTATCAAAATCAATAAAAAAGTTTCCAGTATTTAGAAATATTAAGTTCTACATAAATATTTGTTTATTTTATAATTTCATTTAATTAAAAAATACGAATTTTCTTCTTAATTTTATATATAAAGATTGAATTTGTATTTTTACCATAATATTATAAAATTAAAGTTAAAAAATAATTATGAATTCTTATTTAAGTTAGATGCTCTTAAAAGGTTCTTTTAAATAATCTATGATCTGAAAGCAGATATTACTTGCTAATCATATATGATTTGTTAAATTATTGTAAGTAAATACTTTCTTTTGACTTTTATTAAAATATCTAGATAAAATAATTAAAGTTTTCTTATCAATCCTATCTAGATTTTATTAAAAATTTGATAAATTTTTAAAATCTTAATTAAACTGAGATGACAAGAGTAACAAAAAAGTTTTTATTTGAAATAGTTTGATAGTGCAGAAACCATTTCATATAGATTATTATATATATATATTTCTAATGGAAATATAATTTTTTGTTTTAAAATATTTGAGTTATCAATAGTAGTTATTTGAATAATTAGCTAAGAACAAAAAGACCAAAAATTTGTATTATTTACTTTTAATTTAAAAAGAAAATATAAGCAATAAAATTTAACATACCACAATATCTAATCAGTAGTTCAATTTCAGAAAGGGCATACTTAAACTAAAATTCCATTTAATATAAACTGATATAATTTCACAATAATTACTCTAACTAAGAATTAAATCAAATAAATGCTATTATCTGACTTTTAATTTATAAAAAGCTCTGATAATTTTGATTACATAAATAGAAATATGTGATAATTATTGAGCAATTAAATACTTTAAGATTTTAGATGTATTAATTTCCATAAACTATTTATAGTTTAGCTTTGATTAAAAGTTATGGTGATTCAAATATTATACTAATATTTGACCTTGTGGTAATTATTGTAAATATATTATATATAATTGCTTATGAAAGAAAGAAGAGCGAACGAACGAATGAATGAATGGGATTTGTTTGATTTAATTATACGAAGTATTAATAAATAATATATAGTAATGATTGAAAAGCGATTAATTAATTAATAAGTTTTATATATTAGTTTAGTTAATAATTTTTATATAGTAGTAATAAATATTGATTATAAAGATTTGATTAGCCTGTAAAGGTTAGCTAGTTTTTAAGATTAGGATTTTAGATTAAATTATTATTTTATATTTTTACTCATTTAATTTAGTTTGCCAACCAATCGATTGACTGATCAATAAATAAATAAATCAATCAGTCAATCAATTAGAGGAAATCTACAATTTTAAATTAAAATATTCTTCAATGACTGAGTTTTATATTATAATAGTATTTTGCATGTTCTCATCACTATAACTTTTGAAAACATTGATTTCTTTGTTCATACGATGTTGTTTGAGTATTTTTTGATTCAAATTATCAAATTGCTATCTCACTTTTTATAGCTCGTTTATGCATTAATTTACTTAGCGGGAAATATCAGCGCTGTACTAAGCACAAAGGTTTTTTTTTATATATGTTTCAGCTTATCTAACTAGGTATAAGTCAGATTAAAAGCAAAAAACTTGATCTCCTCCTTCATAGTAGTTTATTAAGTGAGGTATCTCTACACAGTCAAAGAGTTTGATTCTTAAATGTGTAATTTATTTCATAATTTTTTCATACTCTTCACTTATCTGAGAGGCATTCATTTTATTTAAATTTTTTTTGTTTTTTGATTTTATTTTTAAATAATAATATATAGTCAAAAGGAGTACCTAGCTATTAATATTGCATTACATAACTCCTATTAATTAAAATTTAAAAATTTTTCTTTTTAATTGATCATTGAATTGATAGTGAAAGAGGTAAATTAATTAATTCAAATTATTAGTTATTATTCATTTATTTTAATTTGTAGGGGTGTAAAGATCATTTCAAAATGAAAAATATCAGTTTTGTTATAATTTCAAAAAGTAATTACTGATTATTTACAATAAAACTAAGGAAGATAAGCAGCCTTAAGTTTTAAAATAACATTAATAAAAAAAACTATCCAATTTTCAATTTTTTTGCTCTAGAAAAAAATAATTCAATTTACTTTTTAACTTCTTACCCATCTCATTTAAATAAATCACCAGATTACTAGATCAACGTTGTTTATTGATTTAAATTTGTAAAGAAAAAAAAGGCACTCAAGCAAACAAATTAAATGAATAAAAATTAAAAAAATATTTCTAAATTATATAAAGACTTAGCCATTCCAAGTTTACATTTCTATTTTTTATTAACCTATTCATGATGCTTAAACGCAGAAGACCACAACTTATAAAAACTTTGATATTTATGTAATTAGATGATCAAATATAACAATTTTTTTTTAATCAAGCAGTAAAAATCTAATGAATTTAATTTTACAATAAATTATTAATAAGCTTACAAAAACAAAATTTGATGAGTGAGTCATAAAATTTAAAATAATGTTTACTATGTTCAATTAATGACTCAAAAACAATTTAAATTTTCATTAAATCAAAAATATTTACATCTTTTTTTCAAGCGTAATAATAACCATTAATTAATTTATTCTTTTTCAGGAAATTATTGAAAAATATTTAAGATGGAATTTTAAAATTATAATTCTCATACAATGAATGGTTTCTAATTGCAACATTACAAATCAATTTTTTTAATCAATTTCCTAATTTTTAATCATCCAAATTCATTAGAAATCAATTTTCTTTATTAAATTTTTAATCTTTACATATTAACAGTAAGATTTTGATGGTTCGTTTCTTAATCTAATTCTAATCAATTAGTTAATTAATCAAGTCAGTATGGCTTTTACGTTAAAAACAATCCTAAAAAGAAAAATCACAGAATAAGGACATGAGTAAAAATGCAAATGTAATTGATAATAAATAAATAAAATATTTTTAAAATCTTAAAATTGATAACTAAAACTATATTTCTAAAAAATAGCATATAATTGAAATCTATTTTAAATTAAGGGAATATAAATAATTTATAAAGCAAATAAATACTTTTTCCCTTGATTTCCTTTTATATAAAAAGAGGTTAAAATTAAAATTTTTCTTAACTATGGTAAAATAAATTATTAAAAGATTACTGATCATCTAAGCGTTTAAGGCAATTAAGTTAAAATTTCATTTCAATTACAAATGAATAGTAATACAGCCTAACTGATAAGCATTAAAATATGACAAAAAATTTTACATTTAATCACATGTTTGAGTAGGCAGATATATTTTAGCAGCAGCAAAAATTATACCAGTAAATAAAAAATGAGTACACTTTTTCTAAGTAATCTCCATTTATTTAATAAAAAACACAAAGATATCTTAAAAAAATTAAACAAAGGATAAAAGTAAAAATGAAGCTTTTCTAGTGAAAGTAATTAACAAAAAGCACCTATTTTTTTAATAATGAATAAATATTTTTTATCAATCTGTCAATCAATCAATCTATATATTATATTCAAGATTAATATTTATTTAGTAAGTACTACTTTGCTTCAAAATTTAAAAATAGATTACTAAATAAATAGATATAAAATAAAAAGCTTTACTTTAGCTTTTTAAAACAATTTATTAAAAATACATACTAACTAATTAATTAAATTCTTCATTCATTCATTAACTTTATTTTAATTTTTATAACTCTAGGTATATTTCTTCATACTTTTGCTTCCACATATTTCTCTCTTTTTCTGTGTCTTCTAACTATTTCTTTAGCCTAATCACCTCTTCTGACTCTTTTTATAGTGACATCTAGCTATCTATACCCATCCTATCGCCTCCTGGCTTTCTAAGTACTGCACTTTTTATTGAACTAGAGTAATACGAAGATTAATTTGATGGAGAAGGCGACATCTTTCTGTAACTCGATCCACTTCTCATTTCCATTTTGTATTTATCCATATCGTTTTATTCAAATAAATGTTTGAATGATTGCTTTTTAATCAAACGCTGAGAACCATTAATTTCTGAACCTTGCTAAATATTAGAAGTGTATTATGATTATCCTTATTTTAACTGACTACTGTTGATAAATTAGTTATTATTATTATTGTTGTTGTTGTTAACATTGAAACTGCTACTATTAGAGCTAAATTATGATTAGTGATGATTGCCTCTGTAATCAGGATTAGGAGTGGGTGTGCTAAAATTATTTCCTTCATTTCTTTTATAGCTATTTTGTTAATTATATTTTTCCTCTTCTTCAATATCTTCTTAATTATATGTAGGTCCGAAGCGAGAACTACCTTATTCTATAACTTAATCACTATTCTACTTTAAATTTTGATTATAATTTTTGTTGTACTCATTGAAATTTTGATTTTCATCATTTTAATTAGTTGGACTCATACTGCTTTGAGTTCTTAGAGGTCTTATAATTATAGTATATTTACGTTTTATTTCTTCAAAAAGTATAGACTTCTACTTATAAGCTTAAATGTCTGCCAAAAAATTATCAGAAAATTCACTTTCATTGAAAAGACGAGTTAAATGCTACTCGAAAGAGGGAGAACTTTCTATGTGTTGAGCCTTTTCAATTAAAACTTTAAAGTCATTGCTAAATTATTTTATTTCTGCTAAATTCTAGTTAAATTATTCGACATTCAATTATTCGCTCAACAAATTTACTCTAATACTCTCCTTTACCTTTTAAAACTACACTAGAACCTACACTAATATTTTAGAAAATTCTCCTGAACGAGTGATATTTAAGTTCAATCCTGTTAAATAACTCTTAATCTGTATAACTTGTTAAGGTATGCTTGTATTTGAGCCTTGTTGTTAATTTTATTGTATCTATGTAAGAGATGGGTTTTTTTAAGACGTGCTATTCCTTTGGCTGGAATTTATATTACCTTGAGATATTTATGATTATCTTTTTTCATTCTCTTCTTTAAAATAATTGAGCTATTCAGGAAAGGTAACTCCTATTTAAACCAATTACTGATAAATTTCTGAATACATAGTATTTGGGAACCAATTAGACCAGACTAGTAGGCATTCTAATACTAATCTAAAGAAACTATTTCCCAAAATTGCCAATTCATTTGAAGGTTTGTCACCAAAATAAAATTTACCTCTATCTTCTTCTTTTTTTTCTTTATCAAATTAAGCTGAAATAAACATCTCTGGTAAAATTCTTTCTGCTATTAGTTCTTAATAATCTTTCCTTTAAGCTGATTTATCGAGTGTTTCTTTAACAAAACGTATGCTATTTAGTAAAACCATAGGTTTTTCATCCCTCTATCTTTAAAGGCATTCTTAAATAACCTAGGACATAACTAGCATAGTTTTCATATCTCCCTAGTTTATTGCTTGCTTATAAGGCTTCGCAGATTTTTTATATTGCTCAGGATTAGAGAGCATGTTAACTATTGAATTTGGATCTAAATCCATCATTTTTCTGATTGATTACCCTTTTTTATTTATCTTATAAAACTATTGAAATATATCAAACTAATTTTATTTTTTTTCTGTTAATTAAATATTTAACTAATTAGTTGTTTTTATTTTTATAAATAAGGATTATTAAAATTCCAAAGTCTTTAATAACTAACAAATTTTTCTGAGTTCTCATCTTATTCATAACTTAGTATATGTATTTTTTTATTTATTTAGAAATAAATTTGATTGTATTAAATTTTAAAAGATTTAAAAAATGTTTTTTAAAATTTTTAAATAATATTTTCGATTACAAACTAGTTTCAAAATAAGATAATATAATTTATATTTTTATCTAACATTAATATCAAATTTTATATTTTAAAGACTTTATTTAATTAGGAAAAAAAATCATTCAATTCAAATAAAAAATGTTTAAATGATAATTTAAATTTGAATTACACCTATTAAAATTTGATTATTTTATTATAAAATTGTTAGTATAAATTAATAATATAGTTTGCAGTAGTTTAAGCAAAATGATAAAAAACAAAATTATTATATTTTAAAGTAGATATATATTGATTGTGTTTGTGTTAAATAATAAAAAAGAAAACAAATTAATTGTAAAATATTCATAGATCGACCTTAAAAAATAATTGATAAATTTTATTATTAATTATTTTATCTAAATTAATTGAAAAAATACAAATAAATAAATAAAATATTGCATAAAGCAGTAAAATCTATACAATTTTCATAAATATAATTTGTTAACAAAATATTTTATGGAATTTAAACAATTTAATTATTTTTTAAACTCCTTTCTACTTTGGCTAAAACTTTTCAGCTGTAATGTAATTTATTCTATACTAATTTTTTATCATTTAGAGCCTTTTTTTTGAACTAAGAAAGAATAAATGAAATAAAAACCAGTGTATTAAATTTAAACAACTATTTAAGGTATCAAATATTTTAATTTGAAAATGTTTTATCTTTATTTTGTTAAATGGAATATATATTTTTTATCTTTATCTAATGGTTTAAGTTATTTTTATTTATTTATTGATTAGAGCTTCAAGCATTTCGTTAATATCTCTGATAAATATAGTTATTTTTGAATTCAAAAGAATAACAATTACAACAACGAAATTAAATAAAAGAGTAAAAATAAATAAATCAATCATTCAATCTTATTATAATCCATAGTAGCTTCATTTATATCAACTCTTATTTAATACAAATTAATTATATTATCAAAACAAATATCAGTAAACTATCAATAATAAAGCAGCTGCTTAATATTTTATTATTTCAATATTTTCTATTGTGAGAATCATATTCAATTTGAATTTCAATATAATCTCCTATCATAAATTAGAAATTAGCTAAAGTTTATTGCTCGTCTTTTCTATCTTTACTGCTTAAATCTTAGTCATAAATCATTCCTAGTTTTTTTGTAACCCATTTATTATTTTTAGGATCTTAATAAATAGAATTCAAATAAAATCTTAAATTCTTAACATCGCTTGGAATTTTTATTTATGATCTACTTAATTCTATTATATTTCTCAGTGTATCATCTTTCCTAAATATTTGCAAAAATAAATAAATAAATATTCGATATGGGTATATTAATTTATTGAAAGGTTATAAGCATTTTAAGCTTTATATCTATTATTTTACACAACCTCTATAAAAATGTTAAAATCTGCCATAAAAAATCTATTACCATGCATAGACATTTATAGAATTATATTTCTTTAGCGCAGTGCCATCTTCAAAGTATTTTAAACTTTTATAAAAAGATTAAAAATATATATTTTTTAAAACAATTGAAAGCTTTAAGTAGATATTTGAAAATAAGTTAAAATAATTTACTCTAATGAGTTATTTTCTACAGGGAATACGCGTATTAAAAATGGACAGACCTTTATTATTTAAAAGAATATTTAACTCAGTCTAAATCTAGACAAATTTCTAAAAATTATTATCTAATTTATAAAAATAATAATTCAAAATTTTACTTCGTTTCTGTTAACTTAGTGCTATTGTTGCATTCTTTATTGCTTCATCTTATATAAATTTAGTTCGAAATGAATTTTGCTTGAATAGAGATACTTATTTATAAGCAATTATAATTATATAAAATATTTTTCTTTTCTAAAAAGTTTTTTTCTAAATTTGTAAAAAGAAAGTTTTTAAAAATTAATTATTATGAATTAATTAATTTTTTACTTAAATTGTATTACATTATAATTAACATGAAACAATAAATCAATTATCAATAAATATTTATAATTTATTTTTTAAAAGATGAAATCATATAAAAATCATTTAAATCTAAACAAATTTTCAAACAATTTTAATTCTTTTTGGATCAAAAATTATACTAAGAACTAAATAAGCTATTTGCTAAACAATTTTTTAAACAAATACAAAAAAATTGAGATTATTATTATTTTTTAACCTTAAAATAGAATTATTTAATTTAAAATTATAAATTTTATCAATCAAAAAAAATATTATTGATATTTTAATAATAAATTGGTTTCTTCAATAACTAATTAAGAAAAACACCATAAGCAAGCAATGTATTTTTTAATTTTATTAAATTTATATTTGTAAAATACTATTTAAATAATGAAAATTCCAATTAAAGTTATTTTTATTTGACTTACCTCAAAACAATAAATGTTAAAAAATGGATGAAAATTTTTTAATTGTTAAGAATAAATGATATGTAATTAAATTTGATATAATTATTTATTTATTGATTGATTCATTTATTTATTTATTTATGAATGCAAGGTAGAACATAAATAATAAATATATTTTGTAAATAATAAGGGGATCTTTTATGTAAGATTCGTAAATATCTATCTCCTTTTTTTGAAATCTGATAATTAATTTGCAAATAAAAAAAATATTAATATCAATTAAATATCTAAAAACTAAACTTTAGAAATGTCTATAAAATAGTTTAAGCCTCTTTTTGAATAATTTGTTCACCATCCTAACTTGAAACATACTTTTGCAGGACCTATTTATGGAAAATTTAAATTAATTGAGGATCCACACCCTCTCATCAATAAGGAAAGTCAAATATTATTGAAGTACAAGGTGCCAAAAAGTATGTGTAATTTCTTTGGCGTTGTTCATGGTGGAGCTTTAGCCACTTTAATTGATTGTTCAACAACTCTTGCTATTCTTAAAGCTGACGAAACAAGAAGACTAACTACAACAATTGAACTTTCTTAGCATTGCTTATCACCATGCCACATATCAGAAGAAATTTTAATCAAAGCTGAGTGCATTAGAATAGGTAAAACAATAGCCTTTGCTTAAGCTGAAATATATAATGAAGGAGGTAGGTAAATTGCCGTAACAGGAAGATAGACAAAATACATCCTTCCTAAGCCTTGGGATCATAGCTTCTTGAGTGAAGAATAAAGATAAAAAATGGAACAACCAGAGGAAGAAGCTGAAAAGAAATGAATAGCTTAAGTTAAGAATATTCCTACTAAATTATGCAATCATATTTAAATAAAATTAATTTATTTTTTTTAAAAATAAAAAGGTAATTAAATGTAAAATAAAATTTTAATTTCTTTAAAAACAGTTATTAGTTTATATTATTTAAAAATGTAATAATAATTAAATAATTTTATGAAAAATTATTCTATGTTAATATTTTAATCTTGACTTGTTCTTTTTAATTTATAAATTAATTCTTTATTTTAATTAATTAAATTTAAAAATAAAAATTATTTCAAAAATATTCAACAAACAATTTATTTATTTATTACAAAGATTACAAAAGAAATAAAATAATTTTTTTCAGTTTAAGAAATTGATTTTGTCAACTTTTTTCTTATTTTTTTGGTTTTCATCATCATCATTAATATTACCTTCTTTGTCTGCAACTTCAACATCTGGATTCTTTTCTTGCATCATCATAGCTAATCTATATCTTCTTCTGATGATGAATGTTTTAATATTCTTATATATGCATATAAGTATTAAAGCAAGCAGAGCTACACCTATTGGCACCATTATGAATAATGGTAGGATATATTTTTCTTCTGTCTTTTCAATAATTTAAGGTTGACCTCCATCAGTGCTATTTCCAACAACAAATTATTTCATTGGGTAAATAAATGTGAATGGTTCTCTTAGGCTTTTAGTATAATTAGTCTCTAAGAAAAGTACTGCCATTACTTCTACATAATATGTACCATTTGGTAAGTAAGAATATTATTCTTGAATTAATTCAGGGTGTGACTCTGTTTTATAATTTTTAAATGATTTCCTGTAAAAGATGTCTGTTTCATTCAGTCCAAGGTATTTCAAAATAGATTAGTCCATATTGCATTTAGCAAAATATTACATATAATTGTCTTTATTAGTAATATGAATAAGATATGTATAGCCTTTGGGAATATAAGCAGAATCTAAGCAGCCATTTGCACATTATATGGCTCCAAATGAAACTTTAATATCACTAACATACTAATCGAGAGCTTGATCGTATCTAAAATCAACATCTGTTTTAATCTATCCTTCTTCAGGAGTACCAAAGATTTCATGAGGAATAACCTATTTGATATTTAATCATAAGATAAATGAATAAAAGAAAAAAAATGAATGAAAATTAAAAAAATTATTAAAAAATTTAGTAAAAATAAATTAAATTTTTTATTTTAGTTTTCTAACATATTTTATAAAATAATTAATCATCTTAATAATTTTCATATTTTTGAATAAACAATAAAAGTTAATATTTAAATAGTTTTGCTTCAAAAATTAAAAATAATTGTTAAAAAATTTATAAAAATAAGCTTTATTAGAAATATTGTGTGTTTGATTGAAAAAATGTTTATATAATTTAAATTAAAAAAGTTTATTAATTAAAATTACAGCTTTTTAGTTCAAAATATGGGGGATGATCATGAAAAGAGAGTTAATATTTCCAAAAAGATGATCTGATAAAGAGGAAACTGATATGAATAAAGGTCCTTTTGTATTTTTTTCATAGTTAACTATAGTGTGGTCTCCTATGAATCTAGAAGGAGTAGTACTTTTGACATCAAATATTTATGACTCTACATTGCTTATTGTGCTAGAAGCTTGAACTTTGACTTTTCCGATGCAATCAAATACTTCTAAGTAAACATGTGCAGGCTCATTCACATAAAGCTCATAATTCTAATATTGCTTTGGTTTTAAATCTTATATGTAAGCATCTCTAGGCTCAATGTACATAATATCATTAGCATTTATATTTAATTGATATCTAATTTGAGCTGTTTTATGAATCTCATCTTTGTGGGAAAGTGATACTATGTATTTACCATTGCCTGTGTGGTTAGTATAAATCTGTTTTTTATTTTATTAAATGGTATTTTTAAATTTTTTGCTTAAAATAAATTAGTATGTGTACCTTGATTAAGATGAAATCTGAAGATATAAAATCTTATTACACACGAGTAACATTCAAAAATGTTGTCTTATTAACCTAATAGAAAATCTAAATTTAAGGATCGATTCTAACAGTTGGTATTGTTTCGTTTTTAAAAGAGTTAAAGAATAGTGCGATGTTATTTTAATGGGTTGAAGATTAATCTTAAGGATCTACAACAAAATAATATTGGTGAGGTGATAAATATGACAAATAACCTTTTTCTACATTTCCAAGCTCTATCTATTTCATGTTAGCTACTATTGTACCATCATTCTTCTTGTGATATATTTTTACATGTATCTAGTAAATGCAACCTTGAACTGCCTGTATGCTTATATAGTAGGAACCTTTAAGAGAAGGATTTTTATTGCTACGATGATAAGATATAACATCTTGAAGAGCAAGCTCAGCTTTTTCGTTATCCTTAGAGTCAGGGAAAGGATTTTTTCTAGAAGAATATACAATTAATTCACCTGATATTGTCACTATATTAAATTCAACTTTATGCATAGTTTCATCTTCTTAACTAATAGTAAATTTATAGAATTCTTTTTCTCCTTCGAGTAAGAAGTATCTGTGATCTTCATTTTCTCTTAATTGAATAGGTTAAATAGTGTGCTTAGCTAACAAACGATACTTATTCTATCCTTTAAATAAACCTTAAACTCCAACTACATGAATGCACTTATTGACTCCGTTTGATCCAGTGCAATCATTCTTGTTATATGCGAAATCTATCTTGTGATTTTTGCTAATTTCTACACTTCTGTAGAAATTAGGTTATGCTAATTGCTTGTTGTTTATATCTGATTAAGTTATCCTGTTTTTAAAATGTTAATTTTTATAAATATTAATTAAATATTTTTTAATTACTGGCAATCTTCTATTTTTGTTGCATTAATACAGCGCTTGAGGAAAAGTTGAGCATCACCCTGAATAGTTGAAAGCTTTAAAGTTACATTTGTGTCAGCTTGTTATTCCTATAATGGTAATTAATAGTTGACTATTTCATTTTAAATTGTATAACCGACTTCTACACAATTGAATGTCAATAATCTCTAGTCGATTGAGGATGAGTATCCTAATAATCTAAAACTAGCAGCACTCTCACCATAAACAGCAATATAAAAAACTTCACCTGTCATTGATTTATTATCAATAGAACCTTTGGTGATAGTCAAGCTTTCTAGACCATCTTATTCTGTAGAGCTCCATTTATAGCTTGATAAATTAGTAGGATCATCAGGTAAGCTATTATGATTGACATACAAGTCAGCGTTACCAAAGTAGGGCTCAAGATCAATTGAAAGCTCCTCTTTATCCCATTCAAAACCAGTAAAGACAGATATTTCTAATTTGAAAAAACGAATTTATCCTTTTTTTACCATATCGTCAACGGATTTAAAGAAATAAATAGTTCTCACCTTTTCAAATGATTCACTTCTAACTAACATCTTAGCTTTTGAAGGAACTTCTATTGCTACTGAATATACCTAACCTGGAACAAACTTATCTACAGACTTTTCAAGTAAAACTGACTGTCCATTGAGTTTTAGTTCTTCAGTGATGTAATCGTAGGAGGAAGAAGTTGGACGGGTTGTTCCTTTATTGACATACATGTTAAAGTTTGTTGAAACTTGATTGAAATTCAAAATGTAACTTTCAATTAATATATGCTCTATGTTATCATCTAAATTTGATGGAAGAACTACCTAAATGTCAAGAACATAAGGATAATCTTTCAAAGATTCATAAATGACTTAACTATTTAAAGGTTAGTTAAACAAAGGATCATATTGAACATAGATTTCGAATTGGCAAGTTTTAATACAGTGAATACCAAGGTAGTAAGTTTAGTTTTTGCTTATTTTTTCATCAGGTATGATGCAAAAATCATGTCCTGTTAATCCACAGTTAACGTCACTAGGAGAGGATAAGTCAGGATGTTTATTTACCTAAGAGTAAAACAAAGCAGGATTATGAGTAAAATCCTAACGACCTCTAACCATAATTACCAAATCTCTTTGAGGAATCTTTTCATTAATTGTAAAGTAGAAAAATCCAGCAGGTTAATATCCATTATTGTAAACTAATGTTTTATTAATTTTGTAGTATTCTCCTATTTTAATTTCTTTTAAGTCACTATTGCTAGGTTCTTTGTTTGGGTCACCTCCATTATTATCACCATTATTATCTTGATTTCCATCATTTTTGTCATCACCTTCATTATCATCATCATCGTCATCATCTTAACCATCACTGTTTTTTCCATCAGTATCTGGTTTATCTTATTTTTACTAGCCTTAGCCATCGCTATTTCCATTGCTATCGCCATTTTATGGGACTCCATCTTTGTTGTCTTAATCGTCACTTTGTGCTATCACTAACCCTAAAATGAGCAGTGATATTAAAACAAAGAAAATTTTCCTAGTTTTCATTTTACTTTTTTGCCCTTTTACTTATTTCTTACAAAAATTTAATTGTAATAAATATTTTTAAATAAATATTAATTAATTTTTAGATCTATTATAGATTTGCTTTAATTATTATTTGATTTACAGATTTTATTATTAAGTAATGCTTCCAACCTAAATTAATAATTGAGCAATTTATATTTTTTTCTAATAAAATTTCCTCTTGTTTGATCATGTAATTCTTTTTGAATTTTTTAGGTCAGATTGTATAGCTATAGACTTTTTTTTAAATCTTCTACTTTATTACGTGTTTTTTTTACATCAAAAACGATCCTTTACTCTAAAGCCTGTTTTTTCAATTTTTTAAAAATTCTCTTAAAAGAACTGAAATAAAATAGTGTTTATTTCAATAGAGTTACTTCAGAAGTATCAAAAATATAATATGATCTATATTTTAATAATAAAACTAATAAATTCTTAATAAAATGTTAAGAAGCAATCCATATTTATTTTAAATATTTTGGTAAGCTAGAATAAATATTTGAAAGAAATTTATGTTCTGTGTATATTAGTAATATATCATAAATGAATAAGTGAATTAAGTTACACAAATATACATAAACTAGCAAATTTAATTCTTTATTTTTGGAAAAATCTTAAATAAAAAGAAGTCACTTTTTTCTATCAAAAAAATACTTTAAATTATAATTAAAAATATAATTTCATGTAATCTAAATGGGTGAAAAAATTCTGACAATAATTAACACAAAAAATTAATATAATAATTATCCGGTTTTTAAATTTTGATTATTTGATTTTCTAAATTCTCAAATTATGTTAAAAAAACTTAATCAATTCTTCATAATCCTTCAAATTTATTAAAAGAAATATCTTTTAAATAATAATTTATAACAAAAAATAATAAAAAGGTTTCTCATCATCTATATATTAACAAAAAAATGTACGACTTGTCATATTTTTTGCTAATCTCATTAAAATAATTGCTAATTAAATAAAAGATTTCATCACTTCAAAAAATAATTATGGAAAAATTATTTTTTTATTGCTTGATAGAGAAAAGATATTTGAAAAGCATAATGAGCAAATTTGTATAGATATTTAAATTTTACCATTTAATTTTATATTAGTATAATTCATAAAATAAAATATTTTTTTCTTTATTATTTAATATTAAATTAAAAATAAAAAAATATTTTATTTTATTAAAAAAAATATAATTTTAATTTTTAATTATTTTCTCTACAAAAAAAATAAAACTTAATGATCTGTTTATAATTAATAAAATCCATCGATTCATCTTAATTCAGATAGATTATAGGATATTTAGAGGCAGTAATTAAGAAAACAATAATAATAATAAGACTAATTAAATCAGTATATTTTTATTTGATAAATAATATTAATTCCCATTTTTAAAGTTAGCTCATTCTTTTAGTTATCAGTTTAATAATAAATAACTTTCTAAAGTTAAGAATAGAATTATAATTGAATAAATAAAGACATTAGCCTTATTTTTATATTTTAGAGTTAGCTTGAACTAAACTTAACATTCAAAAATAAAAGATTCAAAATTAAAAGAATATCAAGAACGTTCAAATATTTTAGACAATTCTTTAATAAATTAAGTCATGAGTGAAGGCACATTTGGGTTAACAGGAGTTGATATAGAGTAAAAATAGAAAGCTTAAGAGTAATAATAGTAGTCTCTCCCTTAAAAAAAAACTGTTGGAGCCATATTGCCAAAAGTAAATTAAATTCCAATTTTTTATTTTAAATTGAATAATTTCAAACTTGAATAGATAATTTAGTGGAATTTTCTTAAATATTTTTTGCGATTTAAAAGATTTTAAAATATAAATTAAATATTTTAATAGAAAAATGAAGATAAAAAGGAAGGCATAGAGAGTTCTTAAAAAAGCAATACAAAATTCCCACCTATTGAGCAAAAAAAACCAAATAACTAAACTTCAACAGGTTAGGTTGGAAATTAACAGCAGGCTGCTCAAAATGGGTAACAACAATAATAAATGGGATAAACTAATATGCTTATGAGTAAGAGTATTAGAGCAAAAAGCTCTAAGAGCTTAGTGAATGTTCGTAAAATTGATAACTTGAAAACTTTTATCGACTAGGAGCGTCAGTTACAAAGTGGAAATGATAAAATGAGTCGAAATAATAAGAAAAGCGATGTCAATATGAACACTTCTTATAGTAAGCGCTTGGAATAAGAGAGAGAAAAGAAGGAAAAGAGAAATTAATTCTTAGAAGGGTATAGAAGAAAGATTGAGCAAGACTTTGATCTACTCTATAAAAATGATAACTATGACAATGTTGTTTCTCAGTTAAAGGTTTTAGAAAATAAATAAAAGTTGCAGGGAGAAATCAGAAGAAATGAAGACATGTTGAATAAAGACTAAAAAGAGTATAACTAGATAAAATATGAAATTGAATAAAGATAAAAGTAATTAAATGCAATCAAGAATTAAATTGAAAATTTAAGGCACGTTTTTTCAACTGAAGAAGAAAAGCAAAAACTTTATGATTAAGACTAACTCTACTAAGACTATGACTAAAAATATGAAGACGAATAAATGGTTTTCATGAGTTTAAAGCATATGATGCAGACTCGTAAAAAACTGCTGCTTGAAGAGAAGGAAAGAAGTGAGAAAATGTATGCCGAATATAAAGGATTAGTTTCTTTGGCTAGTGGCTATGAAGAGTAAGTTCTTAAGGGCTAGCAAAAGCATAACACGTTGCAAAAAAAGATATCTCATTATAGCTCGTTGAATGCTTTCAACCTAAACCCAAGATTTTAAGAGCTCCTAGAAGACGAGCTTAGCGAATTTGAGGATAAGAATGCACTTCACGAAATTTTCAAGCACGAACAAGAGCGTAAAGACGAATTGGTTCGCTTAGAAAAAGAAACAAAAAAACAAGAACTTGAATAACTTCATTTAGAAAAACAAAAACAACAAGATAAAATTAAGCAAGAATAACGCTAAATGGAATAAATACTAAATTAAAAGAGAAAAAATATGGAGGAGCTGCTTAAAATATCTTGTGTAAGTGATATTAGTGAGCTGCAAGATCGTAAAATTTTCTTAGAAAAAAGTAACAGAAATTTAAAAAAGTTCGAAGAAGAATTCTAAGAGGCTATTGATAATTAGAAATTAGAAATAGAACATCTTAAGAGATAACTAAATGAACTAAAATATATTCAAAAAGAAAGCTAAAATAATAAAAAATCATAATAGTAGCAATAATAAGCTGCTGCACCATCCCAAGAAGAGCAAAATACATAATAAGCCAAGTAGAATCCTAAGGGAGATGATAAAACTTTATAAGTGATTGATGAAGAGAACTTAACTGCAAACGTGAATATTGAAAAGTTTGAATAAGTTTTAATCGAAGAAACTGATCGCTTATAAGATAAAGAAAATCAAGTGAAAAAGCTTGAGCGTGTAGTTGATGAAATTTGCCTAGTCTTCAGTCGTATTTTGTATTAACTACAGCCATAGAACTAAAAAAATAAAAATATAGAAGTTTCACGTAAAGACCTTACAAATTAAATTACTATCTGTGGGCTAAAACTTGAAAAAATTATATCATTTTTGGCTAAAAAGAAGGATTCACTCCGTGTTGAAAGTATAAACACCGACGCTGATAACTTTTAGCCTCCTGAATATGTAGGAATTAATCCATTAAGTTATTTAAGACAAAGAGATGTAGAAGAATAAAGAGAATATGAAGAAAATCAAGACCCTAAATTTGAATATAAAGAGGATGATCCTAATGAGTTTGAAGCAGAAGCCTATCTATCGCAAATGCGTAATAAAATACATAATAATAACTTTGGAGACGAAAGAGATAAAGAATTTTCTGATGATTGAATTTTAAGTTAAGGTGAAGTTTTTTAATAAAAATAACTAAATATATTTTTAAATTTAAAATAAAATAATGTTATATAAACAAAATATTTATATCAAAGTAAAGATATTTATTAGTGTTTTCACTCAAAATAAAATTTAAGATATTACTCGAAGTTTTCTTTTATTAATTTATTGAAAACTATTCTTTCTCAAAAAAGCAATTTATTTAAATTTTCATTGTTTTTAAAACAAATACTTTTAAATGAATCAAAATAAAATCAAAAAATGTTTGAGAAAACATTAAAATAAAAAAAAAATTTTAAATTATGATTTTAATCTTTTTGTTTAAATCTTTAACACTTTTTAAAATAAATTCATCATTAAAAAATTTTTATTAATTTTTGAAATTAAAAGTTAAACAAAGATAAAAAGTTAAAAAATAAAAAAAAAAATTTGGTTCAAACTATTTATTTTTATTATAGAATACTTATTTATTAATTATTTTGTTTTAACCAATTTATTTAATTCACATAAACTAATTTTCTTAATAAATTTGTATAAAAATCGATTATTATTTTAACTTAAGTTTATAGTTTATTTTTTGGGAATTAAAGTAAAATTGTTTACTTAAAGTAAATAATTTAGAATAGGTGAAAATTAAATTTTGTTAATAAAGACTTAATTTAAATCTTAATAGTGATTATAAAAGGTGTTGTTTGTTAGATACAAATATTTCTGACCTATCTTATTGTTATTTTAGGACTGATAAATTTGGATATCTAAAGTAGTTTATATTAAAATTTATTTAAGTAAATGAGGAATTTCTGAGCTAAATATAATTAATATTGTATAAATAAATAGATAGATAGATTGACATAAATATAATTATTTTTACAAAAATATTTTTGAGTTTTTGAAGTTAAATTTTTTATTGAATTATTTTTATTAATTAAATGGATTTCAAAAGGGAGAAAATTAAGTATTAGTTATAAATGTGGAGAAAGCTTAATTTAAATCTTTAGAGTGATCATAAAATGTGTTGTTTGTTAGAGAAAATTATTTCTGACCAATTGAGTTGTTTTAAATTGTTTTTGAATTATTTTATCTCGGATTAGATTTTGATCTATAGGATTAGGCTGATTTCATTGGAGATCTAAAGTAATTAATATAAGAACTTTTAGATACTTCTGTAAATGGTTTAGTGGATCCACTTTTTGAATATTATGTTGATTACCCATTTATTGTTGTATTAATGTTTCCATTTTTGGTATTTGGTGTATTTTAAAGCAGTGTTTTTAAACACGGTCCTTAAGGATAGCCACTGTTATTTGAGATGTTTTTAAAGTAGTTATCAACTAAATTTAAAACGATACTTTCACTTTTCTTATATTAAACAGCACTGGAAGGTATTTTTGTTTGCTCTCCTTACTCAAATTATTTCATTTATTATAAATTTTTCTTTTTTTACTCAAGTTTCCTTTTTAGATAATCAAAGCGATGAGTTTACTAACATATCCCTGATACATCTAACTTTACTGGTAGTTTTGAATTTGTAAGCTGTCTTATTGCATTTTTCTTAAATTTCAATACTTGAGAAGAAGTCTTTTCATAATCAAGATCATACGATATGCATCTTTGATTAGAAATACTAATTGGAATCTTTTACTGAGTTTTCTATATTTCGAGCATGACACTATATTACTTTCTCTTTTTAAGAGAATTCGTTTATGCGTTATCTTCGTTCAAATCAAAGTTATTGGAATAAATTAAATCTTCAAATACAGCACTGGAATTCTTTCTCAACTGTTGCTATTTTTCATCTATTAGTTATTCTAAATATGTGTTAGATTTACAATATTCATCTATATCTGTAACCAATCTTTATTTGTTAAAATTTTAAGCCTATTATCTGGATCTAGGAGTTGTTTAATAATTTTAATTTTATTATTTCTTAGGAAGACTAACTGATTTTTATTATGTGTCAGTTATAAAACTTTAATTTCTATCTTGTAAGTCTTGTGTAGCTAGGTAATTATTTCCCTTAGAGTTATTTAAAATAGTGCTTCTTCTTGAATAATCTTGTTTAACCTTAATATTAGGAGAAATATCTCTAGAGCGCTGTTGTGTTTTAACAATATTTTTCCTGTTTAGTGAATCAGATTATATTTTTACTTGGTCTTTATTTTAATATTAAACAAACATTTTTTCTCTACCTTCAGAAATAAACTAATTATGGCTTTAAATATTTGATATTGATTAATTCTATTTTAAATAATTGATTCCATTTTTATCAAATTAATCTTTATTTTACTAAAATTAGTTTTTTTCTTTTAATTAGGAGTATGAATTATCTTTATTGTTTTAGATAAAAGAAGTATTTTAATTAAATTAAATTTGACTTTATTTGTAGCAAGTTTTAGGTGTGCTTTAAAGTTAATTTAGATTTTTCATATAATCTGATTGCTCCCTTTGCAATATGAAATCCAAAAAATTTATATCTTGGTCTTTGTTTCTATCGTTCTTTCTATATTTTGATGAAAGGTTGATTTAAGAAAATTAATTACCCATTTTAGAATTATTATCCAAGACACTTAAAAAGTACTTTTACTGAAAATCATTTTCTTGCTATTGCTGATTTTGATAATTTAATTAAACTTTTTTTTCAGGAGAAATATTTGAAGACTGCTGAATATGGTATGAGCATAAAGCATTATTAATTTATGTTATATCTTATAGTTTAGAAAAACTATTTTAACTTGTTATTAATTATTAAATATCTTGATTTTCTTCAGTTAATACAATACTGTTCACTGTGCTCATTTTTCTTAAAAGACGAGAAGCCCTCTTTTTGCTTTTTACACTTAGTTAATTGCAATTCTAAAAATCTTGTAAGCTAGATTATTTTTCTGGTTCTCTTAACCTATTTAAACTATATTTTTCTAAAGGATTTCCTGTTTTACATACAAGCATATTAGATGATTTTCCTTAGATAAACTAGCTAAAACTTCTATTTTAAATTACTTTTTCAATTCTTTCTTAATTCTTTGATTTCCATTCACTTTTTTACTAAATGTATTTATTCAAAAGCATGTGAACTTTTTAAAAATTTTTTTATTTCTAATACATTTTTTCTAGCAAAAATGCATAAGGTATTTTATGGACAACAGCTTTATCACTACTGACAGTTGCAGTATACTATCTTTTTTATTAGGTCTAAAGAAACAATTTTTTCTCTTCTTCCAAATGCATGGAATCCTACTCCTCATTTAACTCTTACAATTCTTAATCATACTTTAAGTAAAGATTTTCTTCTCCAAAATATTGAACTTGAGTTATGATGCTTATTTGCTGACATCTTTTAGGAGGTGTTACTCTAGAATTTTCTAAGTGATCTAATTAGGAAGTTATGCGTTTTGAAAAATTAATTTATCCTTAACTTAATACATACAAACTATCGGCAATTTCATTTTCGTTATAAACAAGACTACCATAAATCAAAGTTCTAGGTTACTATAAATACGATAGCTAAATAAGATGTTCCTTTTTTAAGAACAATGAAACCATGGATTTAGGAGCACCTTGATCAAGCGAGCTTAGGATAGGATTCTTAAATTTAATAAAAGAGCTAATAACAGAATTAAATATTTCTCTATTTAGATAAAACACAAAGGTTAATTTATTGCATTTGATTGTAGCATGTCTCTTTCCTCTAAATATCAATTCCTTCTCTCCAAAATAATCACCATCCTTTAAAATCTTGCTTTTAGGAATTTCAAAACTATCTGATGAAAATCTAGTTATCTCATCACTGATTTATTCTTCGATTTCTCCTTACCAAACAATATAAAAATATTAGCATTTCAAGCATACCTACCATGACTCTTAATCACTTTTTTCTCTTATATTTATACTAGAGTTTTCCTCATTACTTTTACTCTATGCTTCGAATAAATCTTATTCACTAACTTATTTGTTTGGACTAATTATTTCCAAATTAATTTAATCTCTTTGTTAACTACTTTATTCTTTTTCACTCTTACTATTCTATTTATCTTCACATTAAATACTACTATCTTATTGATTTTATTCTCCAATATAGTCTTTTTTAACTTCGTAAGTACTTTTACTTTCTGAATAAAACTACTCTTTAGTAAATTTAGTATTTTTTGCATTCTTAGAAGGACAATTTTCATCACATCTAACTTTACCATCTTCGTAAATGAAATTATTTTCTTAATATTGCTTTAATTTTAAGTGAGAAAATAGCTTTATCTAGATCTCTTTAAGCTTAGAGTCTACTTAACTCTCTACTTCTTTTATCTTTCGATTATTTTCATCTATCTTTTTATAATATTCGTATGAATTATTTTCAATATTTATTTTTTCAGATATTTATGCTTTTATAGGAGATTAACTATTTTTCTGAGGTTAATTGAAACAATTTATTTATTCATTATTTCGATCACATCTTCCATGTTATTTATCATTAGAAAAATTTATTTTTGAATTATCTTAGAACTAATAATCGAAATCATTCACCTTTAATCTTGTTACATCTGTCTTCTTAGAATATTCATTTTTATTATGATAGATAACTTATTGATGGGATGAATTTATTTTCTACTTATTGCCTAACTATTTTTCACTCCATTTTTATTTATCAATTTATTAATCAATCGTTTTATCCAACTCATTTCTACTATTTTTGATATCTTTTTTTTCTGATGATTAAGATCTCTTAGCATTTACACTTTTTTTCGAAGGTAAATGAGAAGCATCTTTTTATTCTTCATTTTTATCAATAATACCATTTTGTTAATCATAATCAGTAATTACCTTTCTTGTAAATTATTCACTCCAAAATTGCCATAAATCTAAAAAAAAAGGATGATTATTCAAACTTTGTTAAAGAAAATATATTTAATCATAATCTTTTAACTCTTCCTAAGTATTTTCTGTGAGGATTTATTTAATTTTGTCATTAATATTATTTTAATTATCATTTAAGCTGTTATTTTTTTGGTTCTTAATTTTATTGAGCACATTTTACCATTTTTAATTTGTCTTTTTTTAAAAGATATTCATCTAACTTTTTTAGATCTTTAAAATAGCAATTTTTGCTTATTAAATATATAAAAAAATATTTAATATTTAATAACTTTTTTAACCAACAATTATCAAAAAATGTGTAATTCGCTTAATCTGCAGTAAGCAGTAATAAAATTATAATTACAATTTATTAAGTGAATTTATTGTTAAAATTATTAGCTGTTAATAAATACATGAGTAATGCTACTGTCAAATAAATAAAATACTTTTCAAATTATTAATTATAATTAATTATATCATTAAATAAGCTTTTCTTTTGTATTTAAAAAAAAAAAAAATATTTTTATTGAGAATGAAATTAAACTTTAAAAATATTAGAAAATTTTAAAACTTAATGCTAAAAATAATACAAAATTATATTTATTATTTTAAATTATTAATTTAAGCTAATTAACTAAACATTTTTAATTTTCTAATAAAATTCAAATATTTTTGCTATTATATTTTAGTATGTTTATAGATTATTGCTCAAAAACATTTTAGCTTTTTCTTTGAGTATTAAATAAATAAATCATTTCATTCAATAACTTATTAAATATTTATTTAAGACAACATTTATATTAATTTAGTTAGATTATTAAGAAAAATCTTAAAGGAGAAAAATATAAAAAATAAAGTAGAATGATTATATCTAATTACAATTAATTTAATATTTCCAAATTTTTTATTTATGTGTTTTGTATATTTTTTTGCATTTTTTAGATTGATCAAACTTTGCTGTAATCTAACTTAGATTCTAATTTTTTAGATTCTTTTATCTTTCTAGCAGCCTTGAAGAAATCTTCTTAAATGACATAATCTCTACCAGCTCTAATAGCAAACATACCTATATTTTTATTTCAATAATATTCATTTTAAACTAGGTTTATCATTTATTATTTTTATTTTACCTGCTTCTGTACATACGTTACGTAAATCAGCTCCATTGAAATCTTCTGTAAGCTTGGCAAGTTCTTCAATATAAGTTACTTCACCTAATATAGTAATAGTTTTCATATGAATGCCTAAAATTTTTGCACGGGCCTATTCATTAGGTAAGGGAATTTCTACTTTTCTATCTAAACGACCTGGTCTCATAAGTGCAGGATCAAGCACATCGGGTCTATTTGTGGCCATAACAATCTTGACTCTCTTTAAATCATCAAAACCATCAATTTGATTTAGAAGCTATTTTTTTAAATTAATTTTATTAAATTAAATTTCTAATTTTAAACAATGAATTTTTTTTTACTTCCATCAAAGTTCTTTGGATTTCTCTATCAGCAGAAGAACCTTCTGAAAATCTACGACCACCAATAGCATCGATTTCATCCATAAATATAATGCATGGTTCGTGCTCTCTTGCAAAAGCGAACATTTCACGAATAACTCTTGCAGATTCACCAATATATTTATCTACTATACCTGATGCTACAACCTTTAAGAATTTTGCATCAACATTATTGGCAAGAGCTCTTGCAATTAAAGTTTTACCAGTACCAGGAGGTCCATACATCAAACAACCCTAATAAGAATAATTTAATTAGGACTCATAACTTATTTTAACTAAATATTACTTTAGGAGGCTTAACACCTACTCTTCTAAACAATTCTGGATTTGTGATTGGTAACTCAATAGTCTAATTAATAAATTTTAATTATTATTATTTTATTGAAATTTTAATAAGCATTCTAATTATAAATAAATAATCTATTTTTCTTCTTCCATTAAAATTTGTTTGGAGTTATTTATTTCCTAATTAAGTAAGTGTGTAATAAAATGCTAAAGCTTAAAATGGTTAAACTATTTAATTATTTATTTATTATTAAATGAGGCATACTAAAAACTCTATTAATAGAAATAAATATATAAATTACTTCTCTAAGAGTTCTAATTTAGTCATCTAAACCACCGACATCGTCAAAGGTAACTTTACCTGGATCTTCATGTAACATATGATATACCATAGGATCTACTTCTCTAGGCAAGATTCTAACAATAGTATAAGTATTCTAATCTAATGCTACTCTAGCTCCTATAATAATAAACAACAATAATATTTGTTAATAAGGAGCCATCAACTAACTTAACAAAATATTTTAAATTCAAAAAATTGATTCTTTACCAATAACAAGCTTTTCTCTATTAATTTTAGATTTAACACCAACTACGTATCTAGGGCCACTTGATGATTTAACAATGTCTATAAATAAAATAATATGTTTATATAATTTTAAGGATAATAGCTCATCAAAATGAAGGAAAAAAGGCCAGTCACTCATATTTGTTTAAAATTATTGTCACATAACCTTTTTTGATCTGCCATAAAGAAACAAAACTAATAAAGATTTACATTTTTCTTCATTAATTTGCTTTAAAACTTCACCAATTGGTTATCCTACACTTTAGATAGCCTTAAGCTAATCATCAGTTTTATCTAATTGCTTATTCAAGTCACGTAAGTTGAATCTTTCTATATTCATTTATAAAAATAATTTTTTATATTTAATAAATCACTCATTTGAAGTCTTAATCAATATTGATTAATTAAGCAATCTTAATATGTAATGATTGAATAAAGTGCCTTTGAACTTAAATAAATAAAATTAGAATTATTACGCTTTTTTAAATCGATTTCCATCTTCTCATGTTCACGCTTAACTCTAAGGTAATTTTAAACTACTGGATTATCAGTTGAAGCCATTTCTTTATATTTTAAATTTTTAGTTTTATATAAAATCAATATCTTTATTTATTTATTATTAATAGATAATAATCTTTTGCTTTTTATTTCTTTGATGTTTTTGAAAAATATTAAAGGTTTAAATATTATTTAATCTTATTTAAATAAATAAAATCTTTTGGAAGCTTATTAATAAAAGTGAAAAACTGATATTTTTAATACATATTGTTGCATACATACATACATACATGCATAAATACCTAGTGTTAGATAGATACATACATACATATTTATATATATCTGGTAATTGTTAACAAAAGTCATGATACTCATTTTTTTTCTTTAAATCTATTTATGTTCTTCAAAGATCAGAGAAATTTTTTTTATTCTTATCTTCGATTCTTTTTATTAATTTATTTATCAGAAGAGTATATTTAGTAACGATTTCATATTTTATGTAGAAGTAATTTTATAAGTTTCTACCAAAATAAAACAAAATTTTATAAATCATTATTAGTTTTGTTTGTTAAAATTTGTTGATAAATAAATATAATTTAATTTTTTATGTTCGATTTATTTTAGAATTAAAATATTTATTAATAAAATATTTTGCCAATTTATTAAATTTTTGATCATTATGATTTGAAATTTTAATACTTAAAAAGCAATTTTCATTTTTAATTTTTCAATTGTAAAAAAATTATTATTTTAAATTAATGACTTTTTAATTAGCTATTGATTTTAAATTTAATAAATAAATTAGTAAATTAAAAATATTTTACATTTCACTATATAGCTAAATAATTTAGAATCAAATTTAAGTTAGTTACTAAAACTTTATATAATCTATATTATAAATATAACTTGAATATTTGCTCAATTTTATTTATTTATTTATATCTATTTTCAAAAAATACAATTTTGTCTGAAAATATTAAAATAGATTAAATTTGAATAAAATCTATTTAGATTTTATCTAGTTTTTAGAAAGATGATTAAATATTTAAATTGCTTTTCCAAAACAATCTTTAATATTTTCTTAAAAATTTAGTGTGTAAATAAATAATTTTAATTATTGAATTAAATTAATAATTTTGCTTTTATAAATAAAAATAAATAAATATTTTAACTTATTATATTAGTAATTTTATAAACCTATAAATTAAATAAATAAATAAAAATTTACAAAAAATATTTTTTATACACAAATTTTTAGTGTTTTCTTATAATTTATTTTTTTATTTAACTCTTTTTTTAGTAATTGATTGATTGATTAAATATGATTGAATAAGATATTACTATTCAATAAGATTTTTATAATTTGAGGTTATAATTAATTAAATACATTTATATATTTTTTCTAAGTTCTTTCATTTATTATCTTCATAACCTTCTTTTAGTCCCTGAATAAAAAATGCTATGCAAGTGATATCGTCTACCGAATCTCCTTCCTTGTTATTTAAAATTAAATGTTAATTCTTTTAAATTATTATTTATTTTTATTTGATCTGTACCTTTAACCATTCTTTATGAGAAATAGATATTATTCTATCTACTCCTTCACTTATCTTACTGTCTCTGAAGTAGGGTGTTATTATTTTAGTAACCTTTTATTCAAATATATAAATTAATGAGGGATTTTCAAAATTCTGATTACATCTACATTAGAGAGAAATTCCCATACTCCGTCAGAAGCTATAATAATCATTTTATCATCGTCTGTTAAGGTATGCTAAATTATATCTGGATCACATATAACTCCACATTCCCTACCAACTGAATCTCCCATACTCCTAAAATTAAAATAATAATTATTTTAATAAAAGTAAATATTAACTACCTGCTCATTGCTAGTCCTGGTAAATCCATGTTTTTTTTCCAAACTCTGTAAATTCCAGCCTTCTCTCCATCTTCGTTCATACTTTATTCTACCCTTCCTCCATTTGCATTTATTCTTGCCTTTTCTTCAGGAACCTCTGGCTTATGATCCTTAGAAAGTTCAACTTATCTCCATTCGTTATTTGGTGTTTAACGTATAGCAATAGCTCTAGAATCTCCAGTATTAGCACAATAAATTTCATTTCTATATTATAGAACTGTTACTGCTGTGCATCCACTCATTTACACATCAAATTAAGTTTAACCTAAAAGCTCTTTATTAGTTTACTAGTATGCCCTTCTAAAACAGCTAGGAATATCTAAATTTTCTCCTTCTAATCCTCCACTTTGCTTAATCTCCTTCATTAAGTGTTTTTATATGCCCTTTTTTACGAAATTTGATACCTAAGTCCCATATTCGCCTTTATTTTATTTTTAAATTAAAAATTAAATAAGATAAAATTAATTTTTATAATACCATGACCATCAAATACTCCAGATAAGCTGCAGTGTTTATCTCCCATAAAATTTAGTTGAAGTAAGCCAGCATCTTAATTCTACTTTCTAATGAATTATGAGTACTAACCAGCTTTAGTTTTTAATATTGAGTTCATCTGAGGATACTTAAATTTTGCAATCTAGTTATGAGGCTTATTTGCAGCAAGTTTATTACTCTATAAATTATTCTTAAAATAAAAAAGTTATATTTTATCAAGAAGTTTTATTATTTATTAAAGTTTAAAAGTAGTAATTAATTAATTAATTAATTAATTACATTTAATTAGTTCTTTCTTTGATTCGATGATGACATTTATTATATAATTTGTTATTGATAACTAGCCAAACTAGAGTTTACTTCTCTTTGTGGAATTTAAAACTCGTTTTATTTTTTTTCTTTAAAAGAAGGTAATTCATTGCTTTCTTTAATTAGCTTTAGCTTTTTTTCAAATTTTTTAATTTAAACTAAATCTGATGAATTATTAATTAGGCTTGAATTAATTGAGCTATCTGATATATCTGGTGATTGAATTAAAGGTCTTATTAATTGGTTGGGATAATCATCAGTTTTCTTCTAATCATACTACTACTGGTTATTTATTTTTGACTGGTTTTAATTTTACTTATACTTAATAATGTTGTATCTTGGGCTATGTCCAACAACTGTCTTAGGTGATTATCCATTTATAGAATTAGGAGAGTTTGTATTATTTTATTACTCAGAAGAAGAGTCAGCCGTATTTTCAGAATTATCTTTCTACAGATAGTAATTTTTGCTTCCTTAAATCTATTAAAGCTATGGAGATTTTTAATAAGCTAATAACTAAGGGCTAGTAGCAGTTGAATCAAAATCATTTATTGAAGTACTATTAGATTATGCTTATGAAGATCTTCTTTCTTTATTAACACTTTGTTTGAAATTATCTTATTCGCCATTCATTTTTTTAATTTTTTATGTTGATTAGCTTTCTTCACTATTGAATAAAATATGTAAATTAACAATTCGAATTTTTTATTGAATCTTTAAGTTGTTGAATTAGATTTTAAAAATACTAATTCATTTAAAAATGTATACATCTTCTGAGCCATTCTGTATATAGGGGGAGAATTAGGATACGAATCTAGTTTGGGTAAGCGAACTTCATTTTAATTTTAGGTATCATTTTCTTTATTTTAATTTGTTGGATAAGCTGAAAAATTTTAATTCTAAAGAGATTATTTTCTTTTGTCACTTCCATAATTAATTTATTGAGGGATTTTTTTTAAATCTTATCTCTAAAGAGAGCCACTTACGTTATTATAGGCAAACGGATGAGGATCAGCTCCTTGACTTAAATTGTATTCTCTAATTATATGATTAAAGTATTGTATCAATATTATTGATGAATTAATTATTTTTATATTTAAAATATTTGGTTAGTAATTTAAAAAATCAGTCTTACAAACAAAATATTACAAATAATATTTTATATAATATTGAAAAGTTTATGTATGCAAAAGCGTTATTCTTCATGTAAAAAAAAAAGTAATACGGTTTTATAATTTGAACTGAAGCTTATTTATTGCTTATAACAAATTTTTTTTTTGTAAATTAGTCTGGAGGAGTTTTGAAAATAAAATCAGCAGAGTTTCCTAGCATAGAGTTTTATCCCACAATAATTTTTGAACTATCCTTTTTACTCATTTCTAATTTGCTTTATTTTTTGTTAAAATCGTTTTCATGCAATCCTATTGATAAAAATCATCAAATAAGCATAAATTTTAAAAAAGGCTTTATAAAATGAATAAATTAAATTACCTTTTGAGTATAATTAAGATATAAATTTATTTTATGAGGAGCCGTACATGTTATTGTTATTAGATTACTAACTTTGATAATGATTTGCTATATTTTTAAAAATAATAATTAACTCCTAAATTTTAAGAGTAGAGATAAATAAATTTGAAGAAAAGTTCAGTTACTTGAATCAATCTATTAGTTGCTTCCACCTTTATATAGTTAAACTAATCTAGACTTTGGTTGTTAATGCTAAGCTAGCCTTTATTCATAGTCTAGCTTTTAAGAGTTAGAGTTCATATCTATATTTCTATAATAAATAATTAGAGAATTTACAATAAATATATTTGATAATATAATCTATATTTTTTGCTTACGATTATTTCCTAATTTCTTTGATTTCTTTATTATCACAAACAATTCCTTAAATCAATTTATCGAATTTTGTAATCAATTATTAGAGATTGATTATTATTTTGCTTTTTTTTAAGGACAAATAAAAATCTGATAAATTGCTTATTTTTTAAAGCAACCTATTAGCTCGCTGCAGAAAATAACTTAACTTATCTCTATCTCTGCTAATCAAAAAATGTTTGTTCTTGCATTTTTGTTATGAATTTCTTTTTGTAAAAGGTTTTAAAATCTATATGTTCTAGTTTTAGATACTTTAATTAGCATTCGGATTTAGTAGAGTATTAAACAACACAAATATTTAATAAATATTTTTGACAAAACAAATTTATGCTTTGTTTGTTTGTTTTATAGAAAAATCACAATGCTATGAGATTATAATTGATTAATTAATTAATTAAAATTAAGAAACATTTTTAGAAAATTTATTTCAATTTAATTGATAAAAAGAAATAGTTTTTTTAATACTAATAATATAAAGTTAAAATTCATAAATTGAAAGAAAATATTTAAAATAATTTATTATAAAATTTAAGAAAGCTTCTTTAGGTATTTGAAAAAGCTTATGTTTTTATATAATTTTTTAATTTAAAAGTCTTACTTAACTTTGTTAATAATTTTAGTTGAGAAAAAATTATCAATGATTTTTTATATTTATAATTTTTGATTAAAAAGATAGATGATCATAAAAACTCCTACTTTTATTTTCTCTTAATTTCTTCATTATGAGCATCAATTTACTATTTGGTAATTGTTGTTGTACTCAATTCCTTAGTCCTCATATCGATTACTGAGACTTTCTCTTGAAAATTAACTCTCTTATGTATTTTTAATGCTTTTTTCGGTGAAATATCAAAGGTTTAACTATTTGTACTACATTAAATACTGTTTTCGCTGTTGGGTGGTGAGCTAAACAAGTTTTTAGAAGAATATATTTTTTTGTTTGATTTTGTTTCTTCATTTTCACCAAAATCACTTATATTTGACAAAGTTTTAAGTGAAGCTGTTCGCTTTTTAAGTATACTTTTTACTAACTTATTATTAGATTTTCCAGTAGAATTTCTATTATTGATATTAATTTATTTTGACTGACTGTTATTCTAAAAATTATAGTTGTCTTCTGAGATATTATCATTTTTAATTACTCTTATAACATATTTTTTGGCATCTGTTTTTTATGGTGTTTAATTTTCAAGCAAATTCTACTTTTATTGATTTTAATTCAAATCTTGGCTCTCCTGTTAAAAATTTAATCCTAGCTTAGGTTCACTAAAATGTCGATGCTGAATAATTTTATTTATTTATTCAGTTTCTTTCACTTGTTAATTCTAAAATTAATTGTTAAAAGAAGAAGATTTCTACTAAATGGCATTTAACGAATACCTTTTATCTTTATTTTCGAAGTTATTAGAGATATTGCTCTCTGTTGGTATTTAATTTGGCTTATTAGATTCTTTTTAATCTTGTTTAATAGTATTTTCAGATTATTCTATTAAATATTAGTTATTCTCAATTAAAGAAAATTAAGGTAATTTAGTATCTTTTATCTACTTTGTTTCTGATTATTTATTTTCTTACAATATTAAATTTTATTAATAATTTTATGACCCAATTTCATTATCTTAGCTATCATGTTGTATTTAGATTTTACTTTCATTATTATTTTGATTTTCTGTTGATTCACCTAACAAAGATCCACCTAATTCACTATTAAGCTCATTCATCCAAGATTAAAGCTTGTTTTTGCGTTATTTATAAATATTTTTCTTTTGTTAAATTATCATATCTATTGGAGAAGATAATTATTAAGATGGTTTTTGAGTAGATGTAAATAGTATTTTTTATAAAGCGTTTTTAGAGGGTGAAATTTAATTTTCAATCTGTTTTTATTATGTAAGGCTTTCTTTTTAATTTTGGTAAACATTTGGATTTTATTTAAACTGAGATGGTTAATTTGCAAATTAATTTTACAATAATTTTGAAGCTACTGTCTGAAAATTATCTTATGATGAAGATAAATAATCTGAGAAATCTTAAGAATTGTAATTTTTTTGTTCTTTAGAATTTTTGCGGTCTAAATAACGTCTATGAGTATTTAATGTTTTAAATGACGGAATTTAATTATTTTATAATTTTGATTATGGAGAATTTAAAATTTGAGCTCTAAATGTTTGATTATCATTAGATAATTCCCTTTTAGTTTCTATCGCTAGAACTGGTTATTAATTTTAATTATCCTTTCCTTAAATCCAGTCCTTCAAATTTTCTTAATTCATATTATTAATCAATTAACTTGAATTTTTAATTATTTCTTGACTTGGTTGGTTATTTATAATATCAGGTTCTGTCTTGCAAGTTGTTTAAGGGATTATATTTTGTTTTTTGCTACTGTTGCTAAATTAGGATAACTTTGTATTACTTATAGGAGGTAATTGTATCTCTCTTTCTGAAAAAAATATTTATTCATTTTAATTCATTTATTACTATTATTTACTTTAATCTCTGTTTGAACTTGATTAGAGTTAGTTGTTTTAACTTTGATTTTCTATTGAGATACTTTTTTTTACATATATGTTTTCAGAAAGACCATTATTTCCATAGGATCTAACACTTGAAATTTGGCTAGGAATCAAGACTGGTTCATCTCTTTTAGGTAAATATTTATTTTCTTATTATTATTATTTTATTAATTTGCCTTCATTGAATTTAATATTTTAAGATTATTAACCTAATAATTATTAAAGCTAAAAAGAGCTATCGCTATTATTTACTGCTTATTTATTTATTAATTTTTATGGAGTAAAGAATGGTGTTTGCTTCTAAAAAGCTTATCCTCTGTCTTAGAAAAAATTTCTGGTGATTGAGTTATTCATAAAATTAGTTTACGCATTTTAACCCTCAACAAATTAAGAAACAGAGTTAAAAGAGTGCACTTTTTTTTACTGCGTTATCCTCCCGTTAGTTTAATTATTAATAGCTTTCAATTACTAAAAAGAATTTTAATATGAATTTGCTATTAAATCTTTATTTGGTTTAGATACTTGATTAAATATGTTATTGAATTCCCTAAATTTTTCCATTTCATTCATACAGGTTAGCTTTCTTCTTTACAATTTTATAATTTTATCGTGTTAAGTTGATATCTTGATCTATTATACTTTTTGTTTGACAAAAACTTATGTTTTGAAATTTTGATTACTATTTTTTTAAAATGACTAATATTATCAAAAGTAAATCAATTAAATGAATTTCAACACATACAAATATTTCTTTTTGCACAAAAAACTATCTTCTAAGTAATTAATTATTTCTATTGTTGGGCTAATTTATTGTAATACATAAGATTAAATATTTATTTTCATTTTATTCATTATTTAATTAGTCTAAAAAGATAATTTCTCAGTAATCTAAGATACATTCATGATAATTTGTAATAATTAATTAAACTAATTAACCTAATTATTCTAAAATAATTTAAAAATAATGTATTAAAGTTCCTAAAAAAGATATTTATCTCATAAATTTAAGAAGCGTGTAAATCAAAATAACTAAATTTGTTTAAAATAAATTTAAAAAAATAACAAATTAAAAATTTTATACATTAAATGTTAGTCATAAAAATTATTAAAAAAATTAGATTTACTTAAATTATAAATTACGAACTAACTATAACTAATTATTTTTCTTTTATTATTATATAACACTTATGAGCAAAAATTAAGATTTTTTGAGTAATGGTCTATCTTTACTATCAGTACTACAAAAAATAAAAAACCTTAGAAAAAATTATTTAATAGTGTCTTTGAAATATATTAAATATAATAGTTATTATCCTTATTAACATATTCTATTTTTATAGACAACTATTTTATCAAAAAATGTATTCTTAAAATGTTAACAAATAAAAAAATGTTATTTTATTAAATTAACATTTATTTATTTATGAGTTTAAATAAATAAAAAAATTAATTTTACATTAAAATCAATTTACTAAATCAAAAATAATAAAAAATATTTAATTTTATTTTTGATTTAACATTTTATATTTTAAATATTAGGCAAAATTTTAGAAGATTAGATTTATTTAGAATTATAAACTGTGTGCAATAAATAATAATTTTTTATTGTAATAGTATGTGTTTTGAACAAAAATTTTAATTTTTTCAGTAATAATTATTATCAGCTACAAAAATAAATACATATTTGAAAGAATTATTAAATAGTATTATTTAAGATATATTAATTATTAATAGTTATTATACTGTCTGGCACAAATTCAATTTGAAAGAAAAATTATATTATCAAAAAAGGTGTAGGTAGTCTTAAAGTGTTATACAAATAAAAATAACCTTTTACTAATGAGTGAGCTCGATTAGTGTTAGCAAAAGATAGATAGATTTTTACAAAACAATAACTTTAAACAAGCAATTAATTATGTTACCTCCTTGAAATAATCAGGTATGAGCCCTGAAAATGTATCCTATCTGCAAGTTTATATTTCTAAAAAAATGAATCAATAACTTAATAAAAATATCTAAGAACCTAAAAAAAAACTTTCTTTAAAAACAGAGTCTAATCAAGATGCTTTTTCTCCTAGGTATTTATAAAACAAATCTACAAAATTTGAAAGCTAATCACAATTATTTCAATCTGAATCAAGAAATCCTCCTTCAGTTAAAAGATAAAATAATTATCCAAAACTAGATAATAACTGCTTCTCAAGTACGCTTTCTAAATTTGATGATCTCAACAGTCAAATGACTAAAAGGTAATCAATAAAGGAGGGTAATTAAAAGCAGCTAATGGATAGTTTAAAAGTTAATAAGAGTGTTGTCAAGCTCCCTTCGTTGAATAGCTTAGAAAATGAAAAATATAACTAGTTAAAGCAAATTGTAAAGGAGAGTTTGAAAGACCTTAATGGAAAAATAAATCAGAAATATTTTAAATCTAATGCATTACTGGATTAAGCAAATTTCTATAATAAATAAAAGGAATTTGATAAAGCGATAGAATACTATGATTAAGCCATGGAAGTAGATACTAATAATATAAACATTCTTGTTGGGAAAGGTGATTGCTTAAGAAAATAGGGATAGTATGAAGCAGCTTTAGAATGCTATGAATATGGAATGAATTTAAATCCTCCTCATAAATATCAATTTAGAATACTCTTTAACAAAGGCAATATTTATAAATGTATGGGCAAGAACAAAGAAGCTATCGAATGCTATTCAAAAGCTAGTTTACTTGACCCGCAAAATCCTAATACTTATTTTAACAAAGCACTAGCATTTTATAGTCTAGGTGAACTGGATGAAGTTATTGATAATTATTCCAGGGTTGTAAAATAAAACCCTAGGGATTAGCATGCACTGCTTAACAAAGGTAAAAAATATATTTTATTTATTTTATTAAGAAAATTTCTTATTTAATTTATTTAAGAAGAGCGTAAAATAATTTTTTCACATAAGTTTTTTTTATTTTAAATAAATCAATATTTTTATGGCTAAAAACAACTTTGCAAAGGTTTTAAGTTACATCTCATTTCCTTTTAAATTTAAGAAAAAGTTATTAGTAAATTTGATTTAATTATTCCAAAAAAATAATTTGATGTAATCATTCTTTATTATTTCTAAATTTATTAATTTTCATACATTGAAAAGCTATTTACAGTCAATTACTCATTTTATAAAAATCTCAATTCAAACTTTAGAAATAACTATTTTATAATGCTAAATAGGAATGGCACTGAGAGAAATAGGAGAGTTCGGTCCAGCAGTAGAATGTTTTGTAAAAGCCTCAGAAATGAAAGCAAGAAATGCGAGACAGTACTTAAATAAAGGTAACGCTTTGTTTCAAATTGATAAGCTTGAAGATGCTCTCATTTGCTACAAAAAGGCTATAATGATAGAAAATAATTTTTATGAAGCATTCTTAAATATGGGAGTTGTTTTAAATGAGCTAGGGAGAACTGTAGAAGAAATTGAATGTTACAAAAAAGTGTTAGAGCTTAAGCCAGATGATGTAAAAGCCTTATATAATCAGGCAGTTGCATTAAGAGAATTAGGAGAAGTAGAAGAAAGTGCTAAATAATTTGATAAAGTAATAAAAATTAACCCTAAAATGGTAAATGCCTATATAAATAAAGGTTTAAGCTAATACATACTTGGATAATTTAAGGAAAGCTATGATAGCTATAAAGAAGCCCTTAAGATTGATAACAATTCTATTGAATCTTATATCAATATGAGCTAGTGCCTCCGCTAAATGAAAAAAAGTAATAAAGCACTCAAGCTTTTGATGAAAGCTCTTAAAATTTCTCCTAATAACTTCGAGCTATATTTTTAGATTGGAGAAATTTATAAATAAATTTTAAATATAAAAAAAGCTCTAGAATATTATAGTTATTCTATATAATTAAATCCAATATATTCAGAGGCCATCTTTTAGAAAGGCGTCTGTCTTTCAATTATTAATGAACTTGAATCAGCTAATAAATGTTTTGATCTTTGTATAAAATTCAATCCAAGCAACCCAAAACCACATATTAATAAAGGTTAAATTTATGAAGTTCAAGGAAAGTTGAAATCTGCCCTAAGATAATATGACATGGCTGTAACCCTAAAGAATGGACAAGAATCTGATGATTTAGCTTTATTATGTAAGGCTCATGCTTATAGGGAAAGAGTAGGTGAAGAAAGTAAATTAAATGCAATCGAGATATACAATTTTCTGATTGATAGAAAAAGTAGTAACCCTAATACTAAATTTTATGCCTATTTAGGATATAGCGCTATCATAATTAAGGAAATAATTGTTAATAATTTATAAGCTCTAGGTAGGTTTTCTCCAATAACTGATTCTTATCAATCGTCACAGGTTTCATCATTAGCATAAATAAGTCAAGTTTAATTAAATTAATAAACCTAACAAAGTTAGTTTATATAAATAAATTTAAAAACTGAAAATGATACAGATAGAAAATAGTAAAAGCTCATTTAAACTTTGTCAGGAGCTGAAATAGAAGATGCATACTTTCACCTTTTTTGTCTATTGGCAAGTGAAATAGAAAGAATGACAACTTTTACATCTCCAGATATTTAAAAAATTTAAGATGAATAAAAATAAGATTTTACATTAATTCTTCTTTTAAGGTATTTGAACCTTAAAAAGAAGCAGGGAGTAAATTATTTAGGAATGGGGAATGCAAAACACATTATATACATGGTCTTGTCGTATATTTATATAGGCTTAAAGAAAAGAGAGAGAAAAGAATTCGACGAGTCAATTCTCTATTTCGAATTCCTAATGAATTTAGATAAAGATTTAGAGATATTCTGCAGATATCAAAGTTTTATTTCATACCTTTAGAGTAACTATTTTTAAAATAACAAAAAAATTTCATTTCCTCTCTCAGAGATGATTGCTAAAGGATCAACATCTGAAACTTATGGAATTAGTTTTGATAAGAATCAAATAAACGAACACGAATTATCAGAGGAGGATACAACAAAGTAACAGACATAATAACAATAGTAATAATAACAAATTAAATTGAGCAACATAAGCAAATAATTACTTGAGAATTTCGAAAAAGAACTTGTTTGTAGAAAGATTAAATCTACTGTTTTTAAAACAAATAAAGATTAGTATTACAAATAATTTGCAATTCAAAATATTTTAAATCATAGAAATATCCAAAAAATAAATTACATGTATTTTGATCATGAAGAAAATATTTACTTTATAGAGCCTAGGTAGAAGTATAATTTAGAGGCTCACCTTCACTAATATATTGTCTCTTTTGAATAAAGATTAAATATTTTGCTTTAAATATCTTAAGCGGTTTAATATTTACACTCCAACGGAATAGTGCATGGGAATATTAGCATGAAAAATATTTTAATAAGAAATAGTGATTTTATCCCTTTATTAACTGGTTTTAGAAATTCAAGAATCATATTAAGCACGTATCACTCTTCATCTTTTTAGAATATTTAGTAGAGTAATACAAAATAACCAACTTTATTTTTTTCTGCAAATCACAATCCAAATAACTTTACTTCTCCTGATTTGACTATTTCTCTTGCAGAAGATATTTATGCACTTGGCTAGGTTTTTGAAAAGATGCTTCTAAAGATAGATCAATAGGACAGAATGATCAACAATTGGTACAAAAAGGGCTTTACTTCTTCATTATCGTTATAGAAACTTGTAAGGAATATGCTTGAGCACAATAAAGTTTATAAAAGACCTGATATAACGAGAGTAGTGGAAACTTTGTAATTTGAAAGTATAGCTGCTATGCTCTATAACATATATCAAGGACCGTTTTAATCTTTCGCAGGAATGTAATCAATAACAAGCTCAGCTAGTAAGAATAACTCTTAGGTTTTTAGTTAAATTGGAGGACTTAATAACCAAAACTTGAAAAACGTAATACATACACATAGTTTATCTGGTAACAATAGTGGAATAGCAACTCCAGCAAATAATAATATTTCTACCTTAACTCTTTTATAGTAGTAATAGCAGCAAATTTAGCACCAAAATATTGTAGATAACAACCAATATTCTCATGTACAAACTCCTATAAACTCATTACCTAATAACTAAAATATTAAACTGAGCAGAAAACAAATAAAAAAGTTAGTTCCATATTAAATTTTTGCCAGTGAATTAGAGGATATAAGACAGTACTATAAGTAGACTATGTAGCTAAAGGTGATCTCTATGAATGATGTAAATACTATCCTAACTGAAAAAATGGCTAAGGTGCTTAACTTTTAGTATATTTATGTTTAAGACCTTTTGAATAGAGATCTTTTCTTAAACTCTTTAAGCGACGTAAATATAAACTTTTTAGTCATAATAATAAAGTAAATCTAAGACTGTTCATCAAACGATTAAATCAAATTAATTTAAGAATTTTTAAATTCTATTAAAGAAAGAAACAAGCGTTTGGAAACTGAAAACATCTATTAGTATTCATAAGCTCGCTTGCTTTATCGCCTAATAGGTCGAAGCGACCCAGAAAAATATAGATATAAACTAATGTAAAAACTTCAATTCAAAGATGAATATGTAAATATTGCTTCAGTTTTCCTTTCAGATGGAATTGAATTTATTGAGAATTCTCTAAGAGTTTATCTGTTAGATTCTCTCCCTACTTTGCTTTTTTAATTATCTAAAGCAAATTTAAATAACTTCACATTCCCTAGTTCTTACTCAATACAAAAGAAAAAGTTGGCTATTATAGAAATGTTTTTAGAAGTCATATCACCTCTTCAAATTTCCCAAAATGAAATTGATAAAATTGCTAAGGATACTGGAAATCACCAAAAATTGCTTCAAATCCTCAAATTCGATGGATACTTGAGAAGCGTAGGAGATGGAGTCTATGAATTGTTGTTCAAACCACTTAGAGAAATTATTGAAAAAATATTTGTCTATTAAAAAGGAGACAATTCAGTTATAGATTAATCCTCTGCTCCATAAATTTCAGCAAAAGATTATTACAAGCAAAAAATTAGAGCAATAGTAGAATTAGGTAATTAATTTTAACTCATATTTGTATTTGTTCATTAAAAATTTTTTTACAATAATAAAGAAAAAGAAATTGAAAAAATCAAAGAGTCAGCTAAAGAATATCTTACAACTAATATTGCTAAAAAATCAGGCATAAATTTGGTAATTGAAGGCAGCGAAGACAACTTTAATAAAAAATAAGCCAATGCATCATCATATCTAGACAATAAACTTGATAAAAATTTAGGAAGTAAATATATTATTTATATTTAAGTTTTTAATTTTCAAAAATATAAAAAGTCAATAATAGAAAAAATATAATTACTCATAAAGAAAACTAATCTAGTCCTAATTTATTATCAGAAAAATTATCATCATTAATAAATATATCTTAATTAGATGAAATATAACCAAATTAAGGCTAGAAGAAAACAGACAAGAAGACTAATTTGAATTTAACTGCTGGAGCTTCGAATTAAGGCAAAGGATCAAATTCTTAGTTGAATGATATTGATGATAAGGTTTAAAGCAATGAAGTTTAAATTTAGCAAAGCTAAAAGTTAAAGCAGAATGCAGAGTCTAACGCAAATGAGCAAAATGAACTTTATGTTGCTCCTCCTCGTTCAATAGTTAGTATAGTTGTAGATGAAGCTGATAAACATATAAGATAACTAAAACTGTATAAATAATAACTAAAAGAGTAAAGCAACGAAGACAGTACTAACAGAGATATGCATTTATCTACAAGAAATACAACAAATAACCAATCAGAAACAGCTCTCACCTAGCCAAATACAGATAGAAAAAGTAAAAAGAATTTATCTGACAAAAAAAATCTTAGCCCTACAAAGTCTAATCTGAAAAACGAAGATATACCATCATCAATCAATATTTAATAATTTGATGATAAAAAATCTCCTCTTAAATAAAATAATTCTTCATAATAGTCTTAAATGAATCCACAAAATTAATTAAACTAAAACTAGTAGTTTTAATCATAAAACTAGTATTTAGCTAGTTGTCATGCTGATTTGGTTGAAGAAGAAAATTATAACTAATTTATTAAAAACCATCTATAGTAAACAATATTTGGAGATTCTCAGCAAGAAGGATAAAATAATTAAAATGCATACAAATAAAGTAATAGTAAAAAACTTTAATTCTCTTTTAACAACCTCCAAATTGATGGTGATGACGAGGAGGATAGTGATGAAGAACTTGATTAAATATAATCAATAGTAATTAATAATAATTATTAGAAAAACTAATAAAAATTGGCTAATATTGGTGGTGGAGCTTTGAAAAACTAGCAAATATAGTAATAAAGCAATAAAGAAAAGAAGAATTTAGTGGTTGAGTAAATTAAGATGAAAAAATTAAACTTTAGTGGTATTAGTTCAGGAGAAAGTATGACACAGCTTCATAATAAATCAAATTCCAGTGCAATTTAAAATTCCAGTCCAAATGCTGATGATAATAAGATTCAGAAAGAGGATGAAGAAGTTAATCTAGAAGGTAAAAATGATTAAAGAGAAATTAAAAAACAATTTAAAAGCCAGAATGGAAATTTAAATCCTAAAGTATCATTAATGGAAAATGTCTTTTCTGTCGATTTCACTGATTTAAAAACATTATATGAAAAATCAATAAATTTATGATTTTAACTAACTTAAAATCATTTTAACAACAATACCATTGATTAAATTGAAAATTAATTAAATTAAATTGATTAATTAAGCATAACACGAGCTATTCTCAGTTTAAACTTAATTTATTATCAATAATAATTAAAAAATTTAGATTATAAAGGAGTTTAAATTAGAAAATTCATTTTTGAAAAAAAAAAAATTCTTGAAAAGTGAAAAATATCAAACAAACATCACAATCAAGAAAAATAATTTTGAATATATTATGAAATTCTCTCTATTTTCCTAATTTATTTTTAGTATATTTGTAAATTAAATCTAAAAATACAGTTAAACCTTAATTTTTGTTCACCTTAATAATAATATGAATACTCACTTATAGTTGGCAAATATTTTAAACATTTATTTGAAAAGTATTCATTATAAACCTTGAAAATGTTGGCATCTATGTATGTAATTGATTACAGATGTTGGATCATATGGTGACCACTTTATACAATTTTTACTGTATCAATAAATTGATTTTTTAAAGCTTTAATTTATTCTTTAACATTTTTTGATTTCATAAGTTATCTTATTTTCAAAAAAATAAGATACATTCTAAACACTTAAAAAATTTTATTTAAGATTTTTTTTGAAAATAAAAAATCAATTAAAGAAGGGATTTACTTGACAACCAAACACTTAAAAATTAATAAATAGAATTATTAAGTTTGGTGTTTTTAAATTAAATTTTGCTTATTTTATCATTAAATATTATTTTTTTAATTATTTTAATTAAAAATTAAAATAAAATGCTAAATAAATGCGTTTAATGAATTTATTTATAACTTTGAATATATAAACACCCTTCAATAAATAAATCTAATCTTAATCATTTAAAGTGGTGCACAAATTTTTTGACAAAAATATTGAATAATAGAGTAATTTAACAAATGCGAATAAAATATTAAATTCTATTTGTAAATTTACAATTAATACATTATGTTATTACTTACTTAATTATAAAGAATTATTAATAATTTTTAATATATTTTAATATTTTTTAAGAAACCAATCAATATTTTTTATAGAAAGAATCATCTTGATCAACATGCCTGCTGGATACAGACTAAAAATCTGGATTATTTGATTTGTTTCTTAATTAATAATTATTATGAATTTGAGAATTACTCATCATCAACACTCTTTATGATGCAGATGAAGAAGAAGTATTTCCAAACAAATTACTGTTTCCTCCTTATATTGGATTTTCACCTGTACTAGATCCTCTTCCGAACTTTTAAAGGAAATTTATTGTTTTTGCACTTAGTCTGTAACCAAGATTAGAAGGTTATTTTGAGTTAGAAAAAGATGTATTATGGTTTGACTGAGTGTTGTAGTTAGAAAAGCTTTTGTTTAATCCTGCTCTGTATGTACTACCAGAATTTACTGTATTGATATTTTATTGACTAGCATCTAGATATTCTTAATTATTATGCAGAGGTGGACGATAAAAATGATGAAAACTATTATTTAAATTATTAGTACTGTTACTACTTCTAGAATCAATTTATTGTTACTATACGAAAATGTTTTCTTATTGCTAATGGAATTAATTTAATCTGGGGTTATGCTTCTATGAAGTCATCGAATACTCCTAGTATTAATATGGTTTTTGTAATTATAGATTAATTAAACTGCTTGTTGAGGAAGAGTTATTATTTCCTGTACGTGATGTATTAGAGATCATTGGGTTTGTGATTTAGGTAGGTTGTAGCTAAATAGGTGGTTAGCTGGTTGAATCCTCTGTTAATATTTGCATGTTTGATTAACTATCATTCTTCTTCATAAAAAGATTTTATTATTACTAGAATAAAATTTGGCTTTGATTTTCTCTGTGGAAACCAAATTATTAAGCACCAAAAGTATTAGGGTTATTGCTATTGTTTTTTTTACTATTACTACCATTTGTTAGTATACCTTGTTTAGTTTTGTTTCCTCCTGCACTGCTAAAGAAAGGCTTATGTTTAGCTTCTTGTAGTATAGATTAAGACAGATTAGAATTTAAAGGTGATGGTAAAGGAGTCTCAAAGTTTGAATTTTATTGTATAGATGGTTATTGCATTGTTTGTATATTTAAAGTAGATTCACTTTAATTATGGTTTTAAGATAACTCACTGAGTGTTTGTTGGTTATTATTGGGCTTTTAAGTTTCGCTTTGAATGTTTGTTTGAGAAAGGTTGTGAGCTTTTTTCTTTGATAAATTTGTATTAGGCGATAAAGTTGTTGGAGTGTTTGAGCGGTTAACATTACTAGTGTTGAATTAGGAGAAATTTAATTAAGAGTTATTGCAAACAGAGTTATAGGCAAGATATTTAAGAGTATAAATTTTAAGTCTTCTCTGATATGAATCTTGGAAGTGCTTCAATAGATAAAATGCACTTGAAAATCTTGTATCAATGTGTTTAGTGTTTATTTCTTCAATTTACTAGCAAGCAACAGATGCAATTCTCTTTTACAAGACAAAATCTATCCACTTAATAAAGCTCCTCTTAACCTATTACTATCTTGTTTCTCTCTTTTCTAAATAGTTTGCAAAGAGAGCAGTAGCTAGACATTTAGATTTTGCTTTCTTTTCTATCGTTAAATCTTCAAGTCTCTTTTATAAATATATAAAGTAAATTATAAAATATTATATTTCAAATTTAAAATTAATTACTGTTTCAATTTCTATTATTTCTTCCCTCTTCATACCAAGCTCGTTCATTATATTTGTAGATTGAACTTTATTTTTTTCCAGCTCAATTTTGTATTACATGAGTTATTTTTCTAAATCAATGACCTAATTATTTAGCAAGCATAAGTTAATAAAATTAAAAATAAATAATTCTAATTAGTAAATCAATTAATTACTTTTTCAGAGCTTTGATCTTTCTCAGTTATCAATCTTTCATAATTTTGTTGTTTCCATAATGAAAAATACTTCAATATGTTTGATTTTAAGTGCCTTTCTCTAATATTCCTACAATTATTCAAGTGCAACTTTTCTTTTTAAACACTTTCTTTTAATCTACTTTTTATATACTTGCAGAGTTTTATGATTTTCTGCTGAACTGAGTCATTCATCTAAAAATCTGAAACTGTTTCACATGCTAAAACTGTTTTAAGGTAAAATTCAAATTAATAAAATAAAAATTTAAAGATATTGTTGTACGATAATTTTTAGACTAATCCATATTTAAATTGAGCAAAACTGTTTACACTGACTACTTTTCGCGAGCAGATAGGTTTGTTGATAATATAGGGTAATTTAAAATTTCGCTTCCATTTTCAAATGAGCTTTCTTTATTAATAATTTGATTAATGTAATATATTTGTTCGTTTTCTAGTTATTAATTTTCAAGTTTTTTCCAAATTGGATTAAGCTAGGTAATTTCTCTAGAATTCATGTTAATTAAAACGAATTATATTTATCTTAGATTGTTTAAGTGTCTTGTTATTTTTTTATTACTAAAGCAGACATCAATAGTTCGTAAAATATTTCTAAGAGTGGGATTATCAATTTTATCTATGGCTTCTTGAACTGCTTTAAATACAAGCTTTATAGGTTAAGGTCTGACAAATAATTCAGTTTTTAAGTCATTAAAGATCTCATGAAGTCTTGTCTGATATAATTTTTGGATCATTTTACTAATGATAATAGCTCTAAATTTTTCAGTTCTTGATTCTTAAGCTTTATTATTTGATAAATTGCTAAAGGACTAAGCAAGGATCAATTTATTCCTCTTTTCTAAAAGGTTTTTTATTTTACCCAAAGCCTACTTTTTCATTTCTCTATTACGTATAAAATGCTAGATATTCTCAAAAGACTCTTTATATTTTCTAAGATTAACATTTCTAATTAATTTAGCCAAAAAAAGCACCTTCACTTTTTAAATAGTTTCATTTTTGTTCATTTAAAATGCAAATTTATTTTTCTTCATGCTTTCTAGAGCATAACATTTACTTTTTTTATTCAAATTTTTGATCAAGCAAACAAATTTTCCTAATTTAACCTTTAATTCTTGCCATCTTTTAAAGTTCTACAATAAAAGCTTGAATCCTTCTTATTTATTTACTCTTTATAATTTATCAAATATCAAATTGAGTCTTTATGATCCTTCTATAAAACTACCTTCAATTTATTTCTGTATTTTAATATAAAAAAATTTTAATTTAGTACTTAAAATAATTAATGAATGAATAAATAATACCTTTAACTGTTTGCAATAGTGCCATTTATAAAAAGCTATTTGAACTTTTTACTTCAAAATTGAATCAGGAATCAATAAAACTCTGGAAAGTTTTAATTTTAACTTCTCTTGCTTAAGAATTTACTAAGATTGATTTTATCTAGCAGAATTCATTATTTAGAAGAAAGCATTAGATTTATTTTTATGTTTACAGGATTCCATTAAGGTAGAAAGCCTCCAAAAATATAAATTCTTTCTTTACTAGTTAACAAAAACATTAATGTCGGTAATAATTTCCAAGATGTTTAATTTGTTATTTTCCTCAAAAACTTCCTTCAGTGTATTTGATAGACTTGATTCAACTAAATTCTTGAATTTGCGTTTATTGAACATTCTCAAACGTGTAATTAAGTCTCCTAATTTTTCAACTAACTCTTCGAAACATTTGCTGAGCACATTCAAAGCTAAAGTAATATTAGGCTCTTTATCTTTTAAAGCTTCTAAAAACATATGTTGCATCCTACTAACATTACTCAAATGTAGTTCAATCATATTTTAAAGAGTCTTTTCTGACATTTTAGTTAAGCACAAGTCATTTAATTCACATCCTATTCTTCTAATAAATTCTACCATCTCACGCATGACATTAGATGGTTAAATAGGAGTATCTCCTATTGATGATTTTCTGGAAATATTGTAATTAGAGCCTTAGGCCATCATAAGTGCAGATTAATTAGTATTGTCTATATGTATAGACCTAGTAGTTGGTTCAAAGTAATCATAATGCTGCATTTGATCGTTAACTTTAGAATTATTCTATATGTAACTATTATTGCTCAGATTGCTCATATTTTGAAAATGATTCTTTTTTTCACTTTTTTTTCTAGGATAATTTTGGTTATCAAAATTATCATTATTTAAATTACTCATTTCATTTTAAGAAATGTTTTTCAGCATTTATCTTTTTTTGTTGCTTCCATAAAATCCTCCCGAATTATTTGCAAGCTCATTGAATGACAATTCTTCATTGCAAAATTCATTTTCTTTACCAAAAAATGCTGTTCCATGATCTAAAGATTTATTTTTCTCCCTTCTTTTCTACACTTGTGAAGGAGATGTGGAATTATCGTTAAAATATACTTACTACTGTGTCTACTTAGAAAAGTAATTTAAATTTTAATTATGTTTTCCTCCTGAATTAAGTAAGACACTATTATTATTACTCTAGTTAGATATAGTTTTTGGAGTCTTAGGGAAACAAATGCTTTTGAGCCTTTCTATGTCTCCTAGCTATTCTTGCCTAAACTATATATACTATGGTTTACTTGCATTCTTAGATGCACTCATTGCTATTTGTAAGATTTGAAATTGTTTTATGTTATGTCTTTATGTAATATTAATGAATAATAAAATAATGTATGAATATAAAGACTAGAAATTTTCTTTTCAAAATTTATTTTATTCAAAAAAAATTAAATTAATTCGTCAATTCAAAAAATGTGATGATAACAATCAAATTAAAGATATTATTATTTGATTTTTAAATTTTGTTCATTTCAATTTTAATTAATTATAACAACCAATTAAAATTTGAATATTCAAGACATTTTATTATTGATTTATACTAAAACTGCCTGCAATTTTATTAAAAAGTATCTACATTATATAATAAGCAATACTTTAGTTTTGTTTGTATTAACCCATTTCAAATACTTCAAAATTTGACATCAATAAATGATAATTATAAAAATGAAATTTTTATTAAATATAACCAAAAAGCGATTAAATTTTTTAATTATTTACCAACCTGAATTATTTTTTATAAATATATATTTTCTGTTTATAAAATGTTAAAAAAAGATTTAAAATATTAAATAAAATTCTTATTTAAATATTCGTTAATTGAAACCAAAATAAATATTAATTATTAAATTTTATAAATAGTATCAAAATAAATTTAATTTAAAATTTTAAAAATATTTGTAAGAATTTAAATTATTCTACTGAGAAATAAATTTTATTTCAAAAAAATAATAAATAAAAAATCTTTACAAATTAAAATTAAACTTTCACAAATAACTGAAGTATGAATTTATGAATTTTTTTTTTTTGTAGAGCAAATTCTTTTTTTAAACTAGAGAAAAACAAAATATTTTGTAAATAAAATAATTAATATAAATATAAATTAATTCACTTTTATATATAAAATGACAGTAAGATTAAGTAATTATTAGTAATCAAAGATTTGCCCTCAATAATAAATTATTAAGTGATTCGATATAAGAATTTTAGTATGTTTTTGGATTCATAATTTTATTTTATTGTTGTATCATATTGAATGCCTTTTTCATGTGAAGGAATTTTTCTTAGTTAACAGGAGTAAGAAATTTAAGGATATGAGGTGTTTTTAAAAAGCTGTATATTGTGTGATAAAAGTCTTTTGAGTAATGATTACAATTTGCTACCTATTTTTCTAGATTTTTTTAATTTAATACATCTTCGACTGAAATGTGCTTTCTAAATGCTTTTTCAAAAACTTAGAACAAGTTGTTGCTTTGATAGTCATGCAATGTCATGTTTCCTAATAAACACTAACAGAGAGTTTCTAAAGATTCTTAAATATCATGGACACATGTTGTTTATACTTACTTATCAAATTCACTCCAAGGTTTCTGACCAAGCTTTTTTCTTTTTTCCTAAGCTTCTATACACCATGATTCAATTTATTCATCATCCCAAAGCAGATAATCTCTATTTCTACTATCAAAAAACCAAAATTCAATATTTTCATTATATTTATGAGCAATAAAAGATCCCCAGTGATTAGTAATTCCAAGCATCATTACAAATACAAGGTGTTAGTTTTTTTTATTAAACTTGATAAATTAATCAATCATTTGTTATAGTTCCTTTTATTAATAGTCTCCTAAGACAATACGGCCAAACTAGTATTCCCATGAGTAGTACATAACTTAAAAATTATTTTAATTACAAAGAGCTTAATTAAATCTTGGATGTTATTTTAGGCAAATATTCAAATAGGAACGCTCAAAGTCTCCATAGTGAACATCTTTTTATCTCCATGGCCATTTATCATTCTTAGCTTCATATTTGAGCTTATATTGCCATATAAATTAGGAAATTTCATTCTTAAATTTCCAAAATTCGCCACTAGAGAGTATTCTTAATTCTCTGTTTAAGTTTTGCTCTTTTAAAGCTTCCATAACCTCAAGTATGTTAAATGAAGCATGGTAGCCACAGACGTTTGCTACAAACTATTAATGTACTTTAGCATGATTAAGATAATATTTCTACTATGATAAGTAATGAGTAAATGGAATTTAGCGTATGACCTCAATAGAATTTCTGTCGAATATATCTTTAATCATTACAATTTAATTTTTATCATGCTATTCTTCAATCTCCATTTTAATTTAGTTTTTGACTTCATATTTTTTTGAGCTAAAAGATTTAAACACATCATCAAACATTTCATTAAGACAGCTATTGATGATTAAGTCTCTTTCGTTATTATCATCAATTTCTATTTAAATAGTATATTTAACCATTTTACTATCTTCTCTTCTAATTTTATCTAAATAAATGATTTATGAAATTCTTTTTCAAATTAAAATATTCTAATAGAAATGTCAATCTATTTATTTGATGAATCTAATTATTGAGTTAGTTGTTTTAGATTATTTTTATATTCAGTTAATTATTATTTTTTTTTTTTGTTTGATTAAATCTTGATGTAGACAATAATTTTGATTCCTAGCCAAGCTTGTACAATCAAAATATAATCTATTTTTAATTTCAAAAGATTAGATCTAATAAAGTCTGATTCAGCGAGGACTTTTCGATCTACTTGTAATCATCAATGTTAAATATTAATATTTATTATGCTTTGTTGATAGACAAATATCCTTTATTATAAATTAAAAATAAAATATTTGATAACAGTTAATTTATTATAAAATATTGATTAATTTTATATTAAAATACATTTGTTATATAAATATTTAATTTTGATCTTTATTTTTAGTATAATTTTATTTCATCCATTGATAAATATTCTAAGTATTACATTAATAAAATAATTTGAGCAGAGCTTAATAATATAATAATAATTTTTATAACATAAAATTCTAAACTTACTTCATGAATAAAATGATTTAATCCCTAAAAAAAATGTTTGATTTATTTTTAAAAGATTTTAAAAATTATTTATGAAATGGAAATTATTCAGTGTTTTTTATCTTGAAAACTTGAAAATAAAATTTTTGGATAAGTAGAAGTAATTAAATATTACTGTAATTTGAATTATTTTAAATACAAGATTAAATTGCTCTTTGTATGTAATTTAAATTTGTCTATATTTTTAGCTCCTACTGATCCCCCTCCAATTAGCACAATAAACTTATAAAATTTAAATTTTTTAATTTATGAGGTGGGGCTCTAGAAGTAAAGTGATAGTGAATCATAATTATGACATCTTGTTAAAATTTAAAGTAAGTTTTCAGTTAAGCAAGTAAGGCTCATTTTAAGCAGTCTTAACATTTAACAATTTTAAAAGATGAAATTTATGAAGTCATAAAATATGGATGAGTAAATTATTGTTGAAAAAGGAAATGTGTATTAGACAATATGAGAATAAATATTATGGTACATTATAAAATATGTCATATTAGCTAATTAATTATTTGATATATTTAAATAGATATAAATATTAAAATATTTCATTGTTGGTAAATTTTATTTTATTTTATTTTCTTTCTATATTTTGTTTGTTTTCTTAATTTGTATAAATTTTATTAATATTTCTTTGATTTAAATAAGCTGTTTTAAACTAATTATTCATTTTATTTGTTTTTTTATCGTCTACTTTAAGTAATAAACTAATTTCTAAATACTTTTTTGCATGTTGCTATGGTTATTGATTTTTTAAATTTTTGATGCAGAGATTTAATACATTTTTCAAGAGTTAGCCAAATCAATAGTAGTATTGTAATAGCTTTTGCTTTCGTAAGTATTTTTTTGCTTTTTCTTCTCGTTTTTAGGATTTGAAAAAGATTTTTCTCTAGCATTTTGGTTTTCATTGAATCCATATTCATTTTGGTTTTATGGAGTTAGTATCTTATTATAAACTTAGTACTCACTTTCATCTTCATCTTCTTCCTCTCCTTCATATATTTTATCATTTTACTAAAGGGATAGGTATTATTTAGCTGGTTGATGTGCCATGCTGCTAGAGTTGTTTCTATCTGATTTAGTAGTATGACTTTTTTAATTTTAAGCATCACTATCAGTGTTTTAAAGTACATCCATAGATTTGAGAGCTTTCTTTTTTTTATTGGGAATCGAATTTTCGATGTCACTTATCACTGAGTCTGTATATTAAGAACAATTTTCAAAGAAATCAACTTATTATTTCTAATCATTTCTTTCTTCACTCGTCTAATCTTTGTCTGAAAAAAATGCATCTTTAATTTATAAATTAAATTTATGAGATCGGTTTTCATTTTATTTCTTAAAAAAAAGCAATTCAATTACTTTATTTAGATAATGAAGTTTGAACAGGAGTTGTAGATTTTTGCTCTTCTTATAAAGATACTTGGAAGTTTTCGTAGGTAAATTTCTTACATAATTTATAGGCTCTTTTCATTTTAACGAGAAGAAAAATGCTTATAAAAAGACTGAAGGTTTGAATCATAGTAAATACAAATCCAAGGATAATATCACTTAATTCTATTTATGCCTTGGAATAATTAGGATCATCTATAATAAGAATTAATTAAATTTTTATTAATAAATCTATAATAATTGAATTTTACTTTTAGAGTATCTAACTATAACGTTAAGGATTAATGCATCGTATATAAGGCCTATTGTAGCTGATCTTTATTCATATTAATAAAAGATTTATTAAAGGATATTTTAATACAAGCAAAAATAATTTAGTTTAATTAGCATTAAAAATGTATTATGAATCAATTAAATTTAGCTAGATGCATAAAAAGATTAATATATTACGCCACGCTGTGCACTAAGAATAGTTTTACTTTTCTGAAGTATGTTAAATATATGAGAATTAAAGCTAACAACAGTCCAAAAGCGCTCTATTATTTTTTTAAAAAAGCAATATTATTAATTATTCTGCTTAAAACAAACAGTGAGCACAAAAATCATTTCATAACAAAATATTCATAAAGTTATAAACAGTACCTGTGTTATTCCTAATACTAGCCTTAACTAAAACTAAGATTTAATAACTAGATTCAGTATGAAGATTGCAATAGAGCTGCATAATATAATTGCAGCTATTGAATAATTTAATTTACAGCATTTATTTAATTTTTTTTTTCCAGTTTCTGATATCTCTAACAGAGGCATGGATTTATCTTGATCCATATTTAAGAAATTGAATAGCTAATAGTAAATTCAGTTAAATTTTCGAAACTCTAAGATAAAATGACAATTTTTTAAGTGAATTTGAAATATCAAAGGATTCAGATTCCTTTATTTGGTTATGCTTATCTAAATGAGCTTTTTAGAGAGATATTTGATTTATTAAGTAATAAAGATTAATAATTACCAGATTTTCTTTTATTACTAAAACTTTGCTTTTTAAATTCCTATAGTATTAGAATGTAAAAAAAAGTTAAGCGTAAGTTAAGTTAATCATGAATAAATACCTAAATTAATATGTTATTGAATACTTTTAATAATATTTTCAACAATACAAAAATATTACTCTGTCTCTCTGCCTGTCTCACTAACTTACATCCTGTTTTAGTATCTCAATTTTATAGCTAATTCTATTTCCAAAAAGATTTGGAAAAAGATTGATTTAGGCTAATAAATTAATAAATAATTTAATTAATAAGCCCTAAATACAAATATAATTTGGACAAAATTTCTAATTAGAATAATCTTACTTACAAGTTTTAATTTAGACAAGTTTACATGACACAAATATTTTTCTTAATTTTTGCGAAATTAATTAAATTAAAAGAAGATTATTCATTCTTACACAATTTTAAATAAAAAAATGTAAATAAAATTGATGAAAATCATTTTTTGATTTCTAGACCGTCAATTAAAACTTATCTCGTCCCCCTCAAAAAATATGAAAAATAAAAATTTATCTTTAAATCTGCTTAATGCATTTACTCACTCAACTGATAATTTTATCCAGTGTTTATAACTATTTTACATGTAAAATTTACAAATAATATGAATTTAAATATATTAACTTGTTATGTGTTTCAAACTTAAATGAATTATTTGCAAACTGGACAATTTTTTTCGTTTTTTAACCACTGGTTGATGCAATCAGGATGGTAAAAGTGTTTGCAAGGATTTAGCTCTTTCACCTTTTCATTATTTTCAAAATCACATTAACATATAGAACATAGGGCACTCTAATCTTTCATTCTCAACTTATCATATCTGATTTCTTTTATTTTATTAATATCTTCTGGTTTCATACCTCTACTCACATATCCTATCTAATCCTGCAGGTTGATAATTTCCTTTTATCAAAAATAATTAATTTAACAAAATTTTCAAAATTATAAATGAAAATATATCTGTTTATCTGATAATAATTTTCATCATATTTGATGATAATTTAGAATTAATTAAGACTTACTTCATATGTCATATTATCTACATTTGGGGCTTAATTTTAATTATTATTTTCTTGCTCAATTTACTCTAATGCCAGCATATAGGCATATTACCTCTAAATCTCCATTTCTTCTCTCTATCTTTATCTCCTTTATTACTTTTATTACTCCTATAGCTCTGGTTATATTTATTTATTAATTGATTAATATAATTAATAAATTAAATGCTTAATTAAATAAATACTTCTTTGCTAATCTTTGTTTTCATAATCTTACAATTTCTATTCTAAATCTTTTACTTTTTCTTACAATTTAATATTTTCTTAGTAGAGATTAACATCCTTCTCACGATATTTCTACAATTCCTAAAAATAATCATAAAAAGACAAATAAACTCAAATATTATTTTTATATAAATATCTATTAACTAATTACTCTTTTTAGGTTGAAGTTTTCTTGCTAAAGGTCGTTTATAAGCTATTACTACCTTTTTGGAGAGTAATTATTTTAATTTTAAGTTTCGAACTAAAACATGTTTTGAATATTTTAGGCTGAAGTTTATTTGTTTATTAACTACTACTAATTTAAATTCAGAGGTAATTATCCTTCTGTTGGTTTATTTAAAAATGTTTTTGTAAGAAGCTCATTCTTTTATATTAAGAAATTGTTGTTGTTGTTGCTGTTTGAAATGGGATTGTTATTGTTAGTTGTTGACAAAGGAGTGAATTATTTCTCTGAAAAGTGGTTATAATTTGTAAACTTTTAATTGATATTTGTAGGATTATTAGGCATCTGAGTTTGTGGAATGTTGTTAAACTAAAAGTGATTATTTTTTGAAATGACTTCACTAGTGATATTTTGAGGATTAACTGGCTTAGAAGATATACCTGAAGCTAAAAAAGATTGCGGTTATTACTTATTATTAAGTTGCTAGCTACTTAAAATATAATTATTCCTTTAGTCATCACTTTGAACAGGAAAGCCTATGTAAATTTAGAAAAGTTATTGTTAATAAGTATTTAATAATATAAAATGGAGAAAGATCTATTTTGTCGCAGATGTAAGAAAATTTTACTTGTTCCGTTATTATTGGGTAAATTACTTCTACGATTAAGTGGAAGTAAATTTGTATTCGTTTTACGAACTTAGAAAGTCTGATCTTAGTTTGATTTTTTTGAGTATAAGTAAAATTAATAAAAATCTAATTGAATTAAAATTTTATTATTGCTTACTGGTTTAGTTCTTTTTGAAATATCCCTCCATTTTTTTATATTTGTCTTCTTTTTTTGTTCGAGTATTTATTTAATATTTTTTATGAAAATAAAGCTGATCTATTATCTTTCAAATTTTTCTTTAATTTTTAGATTTTGTTGATTTCCAACGCATTTAATGAATATAATTAATTAGTTAATTATTTTAAGGATCAAATATGCAATCAAGCAAGCAAACAAGCAAATTAAAAATACTAATAGCAATGCTTGCTTTGCTGATTCGATTGTTAATAAATAATATATATTTACATATTAAATAGTATTTTTTTAAATTAAGAGCAGTGAAGTAAAATTTCAAAATAATATTTTGTTTGAATAATTAATTCTATTTTTACAAACTAAAGCTTTGAATGATTTTTTAAAAAAAAATAAAAATTACTTCCATTAAATATTTCTTGATTTCTACTTTCAAAAATTCAATTGCTTTATATTTATTTTCCCTTCCATTTAAATTAAACATTTCAGTAAAATATTATTTATCAATCTAAATTGAAAATAATTGTGATAAAATTATGAAATATCATTTCAATTTATAAGTTAATGAAGTTATACTCAAATAAACCCACAAAACAGAATTATATATTTTCAAAACAAGAAATTTATTTTTTAAATATTTTTGAAATAAATTAATTTAAAACACTATTTTAACTAGATCATGGAAATTACTTAGCAATCAATCTGATTTTTTAATTTGACATTATTTTTATTCTTAGTTTTAAATTGTTTAAACATATTAAGTATTATATTTCACAAAAATGCTATCATTTTCATCATCATATTCAGAAGGAATACATTACTGGCTTTAATTCTTATTAATGTTATTTTTAGATGTTGTTTCAACAGTATTTTTATCAAAATTGCTAGTTTATTTATTTATTATCAAAAATAATATTAAAAAAAATTAATAAATATTAAAGATTAATTTTGTTTATTATAAAAATAAAATATTTATTTACCTTTCATTTGTAGTCTGTTAAACAGAAGATGTTATTTCAAAGTTGCTTATTTTACTTAATTTAATCATTTTATCTTGATTTTTATTTTACTTTTATTAAAGAGGCCTACATTTTTTATATATAGATATTTATAATTTATAAAACTTATTCTAATATTTACCCATTTTAACTGAGACTATTCCTTAAAACTATACTTTTCTTTAAAGATAATGACTGTATTCCACCAACTTATGAATTATTGCTAGATTTTTGAATTCTCTTTAAAATAGGATTGCTGCTTTTGTTATTACCATCATCAATAATAATGCTATCTTGAATTAACAAAGACTTCTTTTTCAAATTAGTATTTTTATCTATTGATGATACCATCTTTTTAAAATTTATTTAACTAAAATTTTTTTATTTTAATCTATAAATTACTTCAAGAGTGGTACTATTTTAGATCATTTCAGGGAAAATAGACTATTAATATAATATATCTTTTGTAATCTAAGGCTGATGAGATTCTGTGGTGTTTAAATTATTTTAAGCATATAATTGTGAAATCTATTAGGAACTTCTCATATCCTTTAATTTGTATTTCTAAATGGGTGTAGATTCACCTAAATTAAAAGGTGCAAACATACAGGCATTTTTATTTTTTTTTCTTCTTTTTAAAAAGTCACCAACTACCCATCTATTTTTAACAAAGGTTATCAAAATAAAGAAATAAATAAATAAACAAATAAATAAAGAAATAATAAAAACAAATATTTACGCTAGATTTCTCCATAAAATTCTGGTTTGAGATTGATTAGACTTAAAATACTTTTGAAAACAAGAGTATACTTTAGGAAGCTTCTTTTAAAGGCAAGAATTAAGAAGAGATTTTAACTTTACAAAACTTTTATTTTTCTTAATGACTTTGTAAACAAGTATGCTGATAAATAGATAATTTATAGAGCAGATTAAATAAGCAAAAAAGTTTTAGTATTTATCATTTTATGACTCTAAAACAGCAAGAAAATAGAGTAAAAGCTATACTAATGTGCTATATTTCTCAAGGTTATTTAAAGAAGTTTTCCTAAAGGGCTGCATTTTATTTAAAAGTATGAAATAAAATAACAGTACCAACGTACTCATTATCCCTTTTATCTAATTATTTTATGAAAACATGTTTATGCAAATTGTTACAAGAATTCTTTTGAGAATCTTTAAAATTTCCCAAAAATAATTTTATGGAGTATATTCTAAATAAAGCAGACCATATCTTAGGATATTCAAAAAGTTATTTAGCTTCTTTCTAATAGATATCAATAAGTAAAGTTTGAAGATTAAGGAAAATAATTAAATCAAAAGAAGAGGTAAAATCAAAGAAACAAACAAATCTAAATGATCTTTTCCCCAACATTCCATTGAAATGTAGAGCTTTACAAATGATTTATTACCTATCTACCTGCAACTTATGCTTGATATTAGGATTTACATGATACTATATTAAGTAAACAAGGAAAATAAAATGAGTGCATTTGTCCAAGTATAAAACTTAGATTAAACTAACTTGAAACAGACTAAGATTTTGTAGACTATAGCAAATATGCAAATGTAAAATATTGCATTTAAGTGTATCCATATTATCCTTGCATAATTTAATGATAAAAATTCAAAATTATTGATCAGAAAGCAATCTAAAGAAAATGAAGTTTGGCTAAATGAATCACCCAAAAAATCAACAAATAAGTTAAAATCAGCATATCTAACTGAGACTTGCTTGAGACCTGATATAATTTAAAAATAATCGTTTGCTATTTTGATGTAAGCAGCAGTCAAGCTAATGAACGAACTTCTGCCTAAGCTGATCATTTTAATTATTCTCATAACTTCTACTTGTATAGTTGCCTTGGCCCTATCTATTGTTTGCTTTACCGACCACAATAGATAAAAGCTCATAAAAATAATTATGCCAGCAATTAATATATGCTATTTTATTTCATTTTTACAAGGCATACAATCAAAGTTATACATATTTAGCTTAGAATATCTATTCACATTTTAAAAAATGTTTATTTATTTTAAAATGATTTATTTTTAATTACTTTTAATTGAATATTTTTCCTTCTATGTCACAGTCTTCGCATAGAGGACCTGAATATTAAAAACATGTTTTTTTTAATAAATTTATTAAAAATGGATATTACCTAAATGACCCTCTTTGCAAGTATCATTACCTGCACAATTACTTGGATTATTTACACATTCCAAGATTTAATCAGTCTCGTTATTAAGTCTCCAAAAACCAGGATTTAGGTATATTTAACTAAAAGAACAATAGCTTGCTTAGGGAGGACATAACATGCATTTTTAATTGTTCTTCTCTCGACTTAGAGGGTCAATCAAAGAATATAGACCTATTTTTTTAATTAAAATTAAGTTAGTTGTTTACATTTTTTAATGAATGACTTAAATTTATATGAAAATTATGTATTTTCAATTTAAAAAGAAAATGTTTGATTAAAAATTAATTTAATTATTTTGTACCATCAGAGCACTATCTGCATGTAAAATATTCTTTAAAAGTATCTTAGCTATAAACTTCTCCTTGTAAACAGTCTCTGAAATATATATTTAGTTTTAAATTGTTTTAAAGCATATTGGTTTCTTTTTCGTTTGATTAATTAAAAGGAGGGGGAATAGATGCTGAATTCAATTCTAAGGATGACTATTTGCTTGGAATACCAATTATTTGATTAGTAAATTAAAAGACAGACTCATTCAAAGTTTAGTTATGGATTAACTATATGGCAGAATAGTCATTCAATCTTACATTTTAAAAATTTTACAGACTGAGCACAAATACAGCTTATGGCGTATCTTAGATGCTAATCTTCCTATTTTCGTCATCTAATAGAACAAAGCTAATATCAGCATACTATCCGCTTCTTACATTACTATAATAGTACTCTGATTATTTCTGCTTTTAAATCTATTTCTAAAGTGTTTAGATTTTAATGGGACGACTGCCAATATTCTATCCGAATATTTTACATTAATTTTGTAAGAAATTATTTTGTTAAATGATTTTATTAACTAAATTTTATTTTACAAACTAGCTCACTTAAAAATAGTAATAATAAATACTTCCTCCTACTAAAGCATAATTTTAGTTAAAGATGTTTTTTTTTAAGTCAAAAACAACATTTATTGCACAGACTGCTCCTCCAAGTAATTTTGCTGTGTTATTATGAAAGGAACTTTAATATATTTCCATAGCTTAAGATGAGATATAGCTATTCTACAAATACACTCCAGTACAGAAGTAGCCTTAGTTATCTCTGAAAATAGAACCAGTTATATTTAGTTAACTATTTGAAAGAAACACAATTCCTTTCAAATTTGTGCTAATTATATTTCTATAAACAGATTAATCTATATTTGCATTTATATTTTATCCATAAATTACATGATCAAAATTTTTAATGTTTTCAAAAAAACTCTTATAAACAAATAGCCTTGATTACTGTTACAAAATAATCAAAGAATTGATTTTATCTGGTTAGCTTAGCAGATATTCTTTGACTTAGCTATCATATTCTACTAATATGTTAGGAATAGACATTGAATTTTAACTTTGATTAAAATTACTAAGTAAAAATGTATTCAAATTAGGCTTGTACTCAAAATGAAGGGTGACATTTTAAATATCTTCATAAAGGAATGGGTATTTATTTAATTAGTTTTCAGAAGTTTTTGGATAGTAATTTTATTAAATAAACCTGATCTATTACTATAGAAGAGTTTTTTAGATGTTTCTGATTGTAATTTATGATAGAGTTGTCTAACCAGATTCTGTTACCATTAAATTATCAGTTATGTTATTATTATAGATTGAGATGTTTTTCATGCTAAGAGAAGAATTATTTATTTGATATTCATGGGAATACATTTCATTTAATAAAATCGCAGACTGTTAGTATAAATAAGAAATTCCAGAATTCATATAAAAATGGGTATTGCAATGTTAGTGATTAGAGATGCCAGCTAGAAAGAATATTTTAGAGAGAATTCCTTGGTTATATTTAATTATTAAATTTTCAATAAAAAGCTAATTTGAATTATCTATTAAGAATATTTTAGATTAAGAAAGTACACTTCTAGTAACTTAAATTTAAGAAATACTTATTTCAGCTCTGTTCGTTAAAAGAGTCTCAGAATATATTTTTATTAAAGTGCTATTATTTAAAAAACAGGAGTCTATATTGAAGTTAAGTAGATTTACATATTGAGAATTTATTATTTTGATTCCGCTGCTGTTATTTAAAGATTAGTATTTATAATTTACATTCATAAAAGTCACATTTGAAATGTTTTTAATATTAAGATGAATAGGTTATTATAAGTATTTATTACTCATAGGAGGATTAATTCCTATCTATGTAGGATCTGTTGTGTAGTAGAAATCAAGGTTTATAAACGTAATATTTTAATTTAGTCCATAGTTATTTGTGATATTTAAGTAATAATTTTTATTTTGCTAAATCTGATTTTATTGAGGTAGCAAGACCACATTTTCAATGATAAATTGATTCCACAATCCTATATCATAAATGTAGTGATTTTTATTATTTTGAAATGGAATCTCAATATTTTTTTTTTAGTTGCTTAACCCTTTTAAATGCAAGGTGCTATTATATTTAAATTTTAAATCAGGTAATTCTTTTAGCTTCTACTTCATGTTCAAACTAATCATAATGTAAAACGAGTCAAAATTTTTTACTGTTGTGTCATATGTTGTTTCTAAAAACTTCAGAGTTTTTTAGATTATCAAGAAATCAGTTTCTAAGATATTATGCTAACAAATTTTCTCTTATCCTTAATCAATCGGGATAATGTGCCTATTTAAAAATTGAATTTATATTATTAAATATTTCACAAAAATTTTATTAAAAAAGTAATAAATTTTGCATAATAATAGAAGAAAAGTTAATTTAAAGAGCTATTAAATTATTTAAGTAAATTTAAAAAAAATATAGCAAAAATCTAATAATACTAATAATAATAAAGTAAAAGATTTCTTTTTAATATTTGAAATAAGAAGATTTAATAAATTATTTAAATTAGAAAATCTAATAAAAACAATAAAATTCTTAATAAAAATAGGAAAATTGAATGAAAATAAAATTAATTAATAGTAGAATTACATCATCAAGCCTTTTTCATGATATCCTCTTATTTGGATGTTTTGGTTTCCTTGATTATCAACTAGCACATTTATATTTGAGATTACAGGAAAATTTAAGTAAGTAATCTGCTTTGACTCAATATTTAATTGGTTAGAATTGGGAAATGTTCTTTATTTGGAATTTAAACTGTTTACAAGCTATATTATCTTATAACCCTTTTAGCAAGTTGCCAAAAATACTTTATTTTATAAGTAAATGATCTTTTAGAAATATCCTAATTAAGAATCTATTAGGTAGTAGGATTAGACTATAGTTAAAGTGTTTTTAGGCTATTAAATGTTCACCTAAACTTAGTATATATTTATCTAAAAGTCTGTTAGAACTAAAATTATATTAGATTTGCTGCATGATATTAATTAGGAATTAAATTCACTTAATGGTATTAATATACTTTTCCAATGTTTCATTGTCTAAATATCAACAAACTGCAATCTTTATAATCTAGGAATTATGAAAGCTATATAGCCACTCTCTTGTGAAATTATTAAATCGTTTGGTTGAGCTTAAATATTACTTTTATCAGCATATTAATTTAATAGAGTTAGATTTAGATTGAAAATATTTGAGAATTGTATTGAGTTGCAATTATTTTGATTGCTTTGTGGGCTAAAGTATTCTTAAATGCTTTCTCTATCCTAAAAACAAAGTTGATTTTCATTTTATTTATTTGCTAAAGCTTAGCCATCAAATTCTAGAATAAATTTGCTAATTATTCCCACTCTATCGAATGAAAACAATATAATGCTCTTTTCATTTTGTGAGATTGATATTTTGACCCCTTAGATTTGAGATTTGTGGGATTATGAGTTAATATTACTCATTTATTTTAAGTCAGATGTAACAACAATTATTTAACCTGAGTAGTATGAGATAAGTAGAAAATCTTGAGTTAAGAAAAAGATATCCTCTATTGTTTACATTTAAACTTAAGTCTTTTGAATATCATTTTACTAAAATTGTATTGAAGAAAATTTTTTAATATTTATCTCGTTTCCTTATCCAAGACACACAATATATAAGTTTATTTTGTTGAGAATTCTGTTTATTCCATATAAATAGTTGGAGTTAGTCTTAGATTAAATTATGGTTTCATTTTTTATTTGAAAACTCTTGAATTAAAAAACTGATTTGGTTTATAGGTCACTTATTTGGATAGCTAGCAACTAATTTTAGCAGTTAATTACTAAAATTTCTAAAGCATTTATTATCTAAATAGGTTTACAGTTGAAACCTTAATGAATTAATTTAAATTTGTCTATTTGAGAGTCCCAAAATTCTACAGTCCCCACGCTTTTCTTACTCACAATTTAAGAATAAACCAAAAGGCTATTTGCTTGGAAGTAAACTGCTTGCTAAATAGATTTTTTCATTTGCATAGTTTTGAGCATGAAGTCAGGATTTGTAAATTGGAACATATTTAAAGTAATAATACTTTATTTTGTACAAATGATTAAGAGTCTAGAATATATAGAAAAAAATATTTAATCAACAATGGTATTTTAATTATCAATCAAAGCAGAGCCAATTAAATTGCCTTAATCAAGATTCCAAGCTTTCACTTGACCTTACTAGCAAATAAACATAATATTAAATTCATTTTAGATGAATACTTTTGTTACTTAATCTAAGAATTATAATTCGTAGTTTAACTAATAAGATAGCAGATCTTCAAAAGCATTGTCATTTCTTTATTTCTTATATACATATACTATGTTTGACGAAGTTCCAACAATAAGGTAATTTTAAGTTTAATCTGTTTGTAGTAAGGTAATTTCTGAGTTTTGAGTTAAAATTGCTATAGGAAGGAAAGAAGATTACTAAAAAATTTACACTCTACCAGCTTATTCTCCCACTATAAATATATTTTATTGATAATTTACTATCAGCGAAGTACAGTAGCTTATCAAGCTTGAAATTTCCTTTATTATTTTCGCCTGAGTTATACTGTATACATAAATGGTTAAACTTTTCTGAAGAGTAAAAAAAATCTAAGCAGAATTAAATTCTGTAATAAATTTATCTACTTTTTATTTTAAATATAAAGTGGGATTTATCTGATCAAGAGTTAAAGCATTCCATAACTTAATTTAATTTTCAGATTCACAATAAGTGATAATTATTAAGATTTACTAACTACCAGCTTTGATTTGTATAGCACCGTGGCTAACTATTGTTACATTTGAGTTATGGACTCCTTATTTATATTTCAAAACTTAAGAATTATTGAAATCGTAAAGAAACATGTCTATGAAATTTTAATTAGTGTTCTAGTTTTTTCTTAATTAGAAAGCTATACACTATAGTAATTTGGATTAATTTTAATCATTTGGTTGTAAAGGTGTGTTCAAAATTTAAATAAATAACAAAAAAGCTTATTCTTATTTACTCCATGTAAGGGGTTTTATTATATAATGTTATAAAGATAAATTATCAATACTAATTTATGATAATTAATATTGATTTTAATTGTATTCACTGAAATAGATAGTATTTTATTCATTATCCATTTAGAAAAAAGATAAACCTTGAATTTAATTATCTAAAATGGCAATTTTATGATGTATTTAAAAAGGAGCCTGTGTATTTAATTTCCCTATTGTACCGTCTTTAAAAAGTAATAGGGCAAGCTAGTTATTTTCTTCGTAATCAATAAAACTACTTACTTGTTAGCTTAAGCTGAAATCATAAATGGGCTATAATAAGCTTGAAGAATCAAGTATAATTACCTAACATTTTTAATTTATTTAAGATTAATATATCATATTAAATGGATTTCGTTTTATTACTCTTTAGTCTGAAAGTGCTATGAGGATGTTTGCTGATTTTATCGAAACTGTCAAAATGCTAGAATTAAAATTGTTGAGATAGGTTTTAAGAATTTAAAAAGAGTTAGTATCAATGGCTTAAAAGAATTATTTATTATACAAAATGATCAGATTGGTTTCTTCTATTTGTTTTAGTTAAACATTTTAAATATGCTATTTTGTATAATTAATATGATTTGTAAGATTAAAATATTTATAACTATAGTTTAACAGCCTAGTAGAGGTAGCAATAAAAATATGTTTTTAGTTAGAGTTGACATGTAATTGGTATTATTATTTAAAAGCTATTTGAATTGTTTATAGAAGTTAAGTATTTATGTTCATCTTTGAATCAATTTGAAGGTATTCGACTTGATAAATTTATATATTCGACAAATAGAATAAAATCAAAATTTTATTGATTTAATCATAATAATTGTCTTGATATCCCTAATCTAGATTAATGAATTTTTAGAGAGGTTGGCCTTCTACTTAAGAAAACTTTAAGTAATCTATCTTTGCAGATGTCAAACTATCAATCTTATAGATCTTCAAAAGAAATAAATTTAAAGGTTCAACCAATAGCTTTATGTTTATGATACTTTATAAAAATTATATAAATTAAAATATAAATTATATATTCAATAAACAATACTTAAAAGGCTTAAGTAATTCTTCTCTAAACACTGATAAATCTTAGTTAGCATCTTTGACTATAGATAATACTACAATCTTTGTTTATTCTGAAATTACAAATATTTTTGTTGTTTTTTGGTAAAAAATCTTCGTTGGGGCTTCTATCTCTTCATAGATAGTAATTAAAATACCACTCCAGTAATCCCAAACTGCTATAGTTTTATCTAGTTATATTGTGACAAATATTCCCCTCACATTATCAATTGCCATATCTAAAACTTCATTTAGCTAAGTGTTTTATTTATCTAAATACTTTTTCAATGAAGAATCATCATAAAATAACTAAGTCTCTTTTGAGTAATTCCAAGCATCAATTTCAAAATATTAAAACCTGACTATAATTTAGTTTTCAAAATCAAAAACAGCATTTACTTTTTTATCATCATTTTCTTGATATTTTAATATTAAAAAATATTGATAAAAAGTGGGTAAATTATATTATTTTAAAATTAACCATAAACTTTCCTTAAAACTAAACTGAAAAGAGAGAGAGAATTTTTTTTACAATTCACTTAATCTTAATCTTAAAATTTCAAAAAATGTATCAAAAAACGGCAAATTTTAAAAAATATCCTGTTAATTGAAAACACCAAAAATAAATTTAAAAGAATATTTTTTTTATTTAAATAAAAAATAATAGATAATTAAATTGAAAAAATTATTTACTATTAACTTATTGAAGCTAAAAGTTTGTTTAGGGTAAGAGACATTTTATTGAATCTAAGCTTTCCTTTATTGAGTCATAAATATAAAAACCTTCTGATTCTCTTTTGGTTTATATGACGATATACTTATCGAGCTAAAAAATATTAGTTATCTTAGAAAAAGATATTCTCTTTTTCATGAAGCTAATACTACCATCGCTTGTATATGGACAAATGAAAATACTATCACTACCGTCGTGAAAAATAATTTTCTTTGTCAAAGAAATATATGATACTTAAGATATATGTTCTAATTTAGTTGGAACTGTCATCTCATTTATAAATGTTCCTTTTCTTTAGGAATAAATTTAAATTATACTATTGTTTAAAAAAAGAACTATCAATTAAGCATCATCTAGCATAAGATACTTAATAATCTTGGCTTGCTGAGAATTGATTTACCAGTACACATTATTGTAATCAAATGATCTTGCAATTAATTATTATTAACTTTAAGAAATACCTACAATAGAGTTGATTGAGGCCAAATAATTTTGTGTTTCTACAATTATTTGATCGTTATTAAATTAAATAATTTATTATTAAATATTGTTAATATCATCTTTTTATATTTTAAGTAATAAAATCTATCTATTTTAAAGGAACAGCAAAACACAAGAGTGATCAGCTCTGTCAAAAAAGGAAATATGAACAATTTTGTCATTCAAATTAAAAGTTTAATTAATTGTATAGTTATAAAAATGAAATACTTGTACCTATTTTACATAATAAAATACTCTTAATATTTACATTAGATTAAAAAAAATTTATAATTAAAAAGTATTTTTGATTTTTTCTTAACTTTAATATTACTTCAGCTTACTTTTACTTAATATAAATTTTTGTAAATATTTTTGCAAAAAAAAAAAACTATGTCAAAATATTGATGAAGCAATGAAGCAAATCTAAGTTAAAAATATGGTATACTTTATTTTAGAGAGTGACTATGAACGCGTATGGTAAATACGGATGAAAAAACGAGCTGTCAGATACTCTTTAGTCAGTGATTTTAAATTCTTTTATAGTTTAGCCTGATGGATAAGATTGTATTGTAAGATATCCATTCTAGTTTAGAATAATTAATTCATTTTAATCGGAATCTAAAAAAATGCTAACAATTTAGCTGTTTTGAGCTGTAAACATCTTTAAATCATTCATTTATGTTAAATCCCATAATATCGCCACATCCTCTAATCCATATGAGATCAAGCGATTATTTTATTTATCAAAAGCTAATCCTTTTATTGCTTCTCTATTGCATATGAGCCCATTATTTTTAAAGAAAGAACAAAGCTTTGAATCAGCAAGCTGCGCAAATATGAGCCAAAATATAAAAATTAAAAAGTATCCCATAGAATTAATCTTTGTTTTTATTTAGAGAGCTATATTATTAGATGGCTTTGAATTTATGAAAGAAATTTTCTTTAGCTTAAATTAGTTCTCAAACCACTTTTATAAACTCTCTTATTTTTCTATTTGTAAAGTATCCTACTTTGATGTAAATAACTTTATAAAAAATAATTCAAATTGACTAGCTTTCTCTAAATCATAAATCTTATTAATTATTTTCATTTAATTTAAATAAATATGACACCATTCTATTAATGGGTAAAAAAGTCCCTAAATTTGTTTTTTAGAGAAAGGATATTTATTTATTTATATAATTGTTTCAGTTTAGTTGATAGCTTAAAATTAAATTTGAATATAACCAAACATAATAGAATTTGTTTAATTTTAAATCTTAAATATAATTAACTTATAAAATGCCTTCTTATGCTATGCAGTTTAAATTTTGATTGTTCTAGGCAATTGGTTTCATACACACCTTACAAACTTTTACTCAATTTTGTAATAAAGTTAAAAAAAGGTATTTTTAATTGATATGCTTTAGTTTGTTTTTATTACTTTTAACAATTTAAATTCTAAAAATTATTTTTAATAAAGATAAACATTAAACAAAATTAAAAAATTATTTTTCAAAAACAATTGAAAATATTTTGTTTAAATAATTATTATAATAGATAATGATTTTAGATTAAAAGCTTTTTTAAATATTTTAATTATTCAAATAATTTCTAATAAAAATAATTAAATTATTTTTAAGAAATGAAATATATTTTTTAATTGTATTTTTGAAGTAATTAAATTAAATTTTAAAAAGAAATTATTTATTTTTTATTTATTATATAATATTTTTTTATTGTAAATTTTGATTATTTTGATTGTAAAAACATTTAATTTTTTTGCAAACAAAATCAGAAATCTTGAGATTAAATTTATTTAAATGTTAACATTTATCTTTTTATTTTTCTTATTTAAACATAAAAGATTTCATATTTTACTTGTTAATGATAAAAAAAATATTTTTTCAAAGTTAATAAAATATTATAATAAAGTTTTCTTTTAGGTTACAAAATCCAATTAATTCATGTTGAATTAATATTTACATTCTTCTTCTTTTTTCGTAATTTAATTTTAGAAAAAATAAATATGAAATATCTAACTAATTAAAAAAAATCTCTAAAATTATTATAAAATTTTAAGCAAATAATTATTTTCTTTTTCTTTCATAAAGATATTCTTAAAAAAATTGGAGTTAATTTATGATGCATTGCTGAAATTTAAAATTTTAACTATATTAAAACTAGATTTAATTAAAAATTCATGAATCTTACTTTAACTTTTAATTTTGTTATCAAACCTTTAAAATTTTCTTAAATTAGAAATATGAGCTTTATAATAATGTTATAGATTTTCAATAAAAGATTAGGTTTAAAAAAGAGAATTTCATTGTATTTTCTTTTCTTGAGAGCTATTTTCACCTGCAACTGCAGAACTTAATTTTATTAAAGTGCATCATAACAATTAATGAAAAAATCAAAAATAACTAAATTTAACTTTAAACAATGCAATAAATTTTTATCATAGCTTGTCCATAAATAAATATTTGATATCAAATAAGTATTCAGAGGTTAGAATTATTAAGACTTATAGTTAATAAGGGCTAATAAAAATATTTATTTACTCATAAATTTAAAAATCTCCCCCTTCAAATGTATAAATTAGTTTTTTAGTAGAGTTACTCATAGAAAAAATACGAATAAAATAGAAATTATTGAATATTGGAGCAAGTATCTATCTAAAGTGAAAATGGAATGAAAGAGTTAGTGAATGACTGAATTAACAAGCCCCCTTAAAAAAGCTATATTTAAATTAGAAACCAAAAAATCATATAAACACATAATTTTTAGAATGAAATTAAGAGCTTCCATAAATAAATAAATATTTATTAAATCGTAATTAGATAATTAATTAAAAAAGCAAAGCAACAAAAAGAAGCTAAAAAATAAGCTAATCGTTGAATTAGTATTTAGAAAGATAAAATATAGTATTTAGTATAGAGATGATTTAAAATTAGAAAAAGATAAATATAGACCCTGCAGAAGCAGCAACAACTTTAGTAGAAACCCCTCATACAACATAAGAAACAAATCATGCCCTTCATGGTGGTATAGCAGGTCTAATTGTTAGCACTATTCTTCATCCTTTAGAAGTTATCAAGATAGGAATAATCATTAATCCTATGCATTCTGAGGCTATTTAAAAAGCTAACTTTGCAGAATCTTTTATAACTGTTGGCAAATATATTTACAACACTGAAGGCCTCAAGGGCTATTTTCGTGGTCTGACACCAGAATTAGTTCGTTCTTGTGCAGGTACATCAATGTACTTCTCTATTTTGCATTAGCTTGAAAAAATTTTCCATCAGAATGGCTCAAAAAAAGATGATTAATTTTCTTAATTCACAGCTTCAGCTTGTGCAAGAATGGCAAGTGCTTATTTAACAAATCCTCTTGGTGTGGTAGCATCACGTAGCTAAGTCATAGGATTTAATGTGTATAAAAATATGTTTGATGGTATTAGAAAAATAATAAAATATGAAGGTGTTTCTTCTTTTATGAAAGGTTCATTAGCAAGTGCCTTAAAAGAAGGTCCTTTTGCTGGTACTTATTACGTAATTTATAAACTTCTGAAAAGCTCTTTTACTCATGTTGAAAGCAATTCTCATTATTTGATTTCATCTCTATTCAGTGGCATGACAGCAGGTTTAATTGCCACTACAGTCTCCCATCCTTTTGAAATTATAAGAGCAAGACTTTAAATTATAAGTAAATTTGATAAAAATCCTGACTAAACATACAATGGTATTTTCGATGCATTTAAGAAGATATATGAACATGAAGGAGTTAATGGATATTTTAGAGGGCTAGCTCCTCGTCTAGTAAGAAAACCTCTTGCTAATGCAATGACTTTTACTCTCTTTGAGCTTTTCCACATGAATAGCTCCAAGAGATGGTGATTTAATTGCAGTAAAACCTAATTAAAATCCACATATAAAAAATAATTAAATTTTAATTTTAGCATCATCAATTAGTAAAAAAGTAATTTTTGAAGCAAATGATTAATTGCTATGCATAAAATAAATTTAAAAAATTTAATTCAATTAAATATTAATTCTGAATGAAATGATCGAATTAATTATTCCTGAATTGATGCAAACAAAAAACAAAGAAAAACTAATTAATTAAAAAAACTTAATAATAAAATTAAAAAATTTCAATTTAACTGAAAAAAGCAAAAGGTTATGTTATTTATTTTGCAATAAACTTTAATAACAAAACAAAAAAACATATAACTACTCCCTCCTTACATCTCTCCTTAACTCAATCAATTAATTAACCAATAAATCAATCAATCAAACATTTATTTTCCTTTAGTTTTTCTTGGTTTATACTTAAAAACTATTTTCTTATTGTTATATTTATTATTTGTTAGAAATATTTTTTTTCTCAATAAATTATCAAAAATAACAAACAAGTTCTAAGTCTTTCTTTCTTTCTTCCTTTATTTTGTTTATATTGAAATTAGTCAAAAGTTTAAATTTGTTTATTTAAATTAATAATCAAGTAAAAATAGAATATTCTCTTTAATTTCAGATTTGTTTCTCCAAAAATAGAAAATTAAAAATATTTTAAAGTAATATTTTTATCAAATAAACAATTTATTTATTTGTAAATTTTACAAACATTGTCAAATTATTACTTCCATTTATTCATAGATCAAAATGTTACTAAATCAAAAATTTTTGATATCATATCAAAAACAATATTATTTTCTTTTAAAAAATTTGATTGGCTCACATAAATGCTAAAAAAAGGTTTTCTGTTATTAGCTTAAAAATTAAAATAAAATTCCTATTTTTTCATGTCATATTTTTCAGCTCAACCAATAAAAAAAATATGATTTACTTATTCTGTATTATTACTTTAATTTTAGCAACTTAATGAAACGAGACACTTTTTAATTTCTATTTTTTTATAAAAAGTTTAAAAAATATATTTTTGTCAGTTGATTTTTTCTATCTTTGATAAATTTAACTTTTTAATGATAAACATTTTTGTATAAAAGTATAACAATATGCAAATAAAATTATACAATTTTTACTTGTTTACACTTTAATTATTTAGCCTATATAAATTAATATTTATTTTTTTTTTTTTACAATTTTCTTATTAAATTGTTCTACTGTTTAGTGATAGTTTTTAGATTTCATTTAAATTGAGATGATTTGAAAACTAAATTTATTGATAAAAATAAGATTTTATTCAACAATTTTGAAAAGAGAAAACTAATCAATTAGACTCTTTTTGTTTAATGATAATTTGATGGACTTTTTTTATATATTTAGCAAAAAAACCAAAGAATAAATTGAATTTTAAGATATTTAGAATGAAAATAGTAATAAATTTCTTTTATAAATAGCAACTGGAATTAAAACATAGAATTAATTAAGAATTTACGAAAAAATGTGATTATTAGTTAAAAGAATGATGTAATCACTCTTTAATTAATTTAAACATTTAAAGTAAAATAATTTGAAAATCAATGATGTAATCCCTAATCACCTTATCAGCTAATTAATTGCCTGATCAAATATTTATATATTAATTATATTATTTCAGTTTATTTTTATAGAGATAAATATTAAAATAAGTTATTTGCTTTTTTATATAGATAGTTGTAAGAATATTAGTAATTATTTTATATAATGTAGATATATTTTTCATGTGTAATTAAAATTTTTGTTTTTTATCTTATTTTAATTTATTAAATCAAGCGAAGACACCTTGTTACAGATCTCGATTTTCTTCTTAGTAAAATTTTTATAAAAATATTTCTGCTTTCATTTCATATTCAAGCTAAGAAACATTTTAAACCTAAGTAGGTTAATTACGTTTTGCCAAAACATCTTAAATTATATTTAAATTAGCATCTAGGATGTGTATATCAAGATATTCACTCATTTTTTCTCCAGGGACAATCTCAAACTCGTTTAAAAATATTCTTTTTATTGAGCAATTTAAAGGAATAATCAAGTCATCAAGAGTAATTAGATTTAAGTCAAATGTTGTATTTCCTTAAAATTTTGCATCAATCAAATTTACCATTCCTTAAGCATCAATATATCTTGGAGTACCAATTCTATTCATGTATTATTCTAATACTGAGAAGTCAGACTTTCCTGTAAATAGCTCACTCATAGTCATATTACTTCCTGTATAGTGCAACTTGTGAGTTAAAGTACTTGGATCAATCTTTTTATAATGAAACATTATTATTTTGTCCTGTGTTATGCGCTTAAGATAATTCTAAGCTAATTTTAATGATTATTAGTGGTTATTATAAATTATATGCTCTATTTTAGAATGGTCATTTCTGTAGTAAGAAAAAACCTTTTACTGCAAAGTTTACAAGTTTTAATAAAAATTATATAATTAGGCTAAGTTTTAAGAAATTCTGTATGCTTTATCATAATTCAGTGAAGCTAGCAACTAAATAGGAAAGTTAATATCAGTAATTCCCATCTAACTATTATCAACAAATGCTAAGCAATATTTTTCTGTTTTTTCTGTAGCTATAACTGGGCGATAAGCAGAAACCGGACAAACATTCGATAATTTATTATCTCTGCTATCCACAAATATATCTTTATGGATAAAAATGTCTCCTAAGAGCATGATATTAAGCTAAATATCTATATGTCTATTTATTTCAATCATTCCTGTCTTTCTAAGTACTTTTAATGGTTATTTCTTGCTCTTTTAAGAGTAATCAGAATTATCTTCTGAAATACTTTCAAAAGATTTTTCTTAATATTTAATTGAATTTAAGCTGCTATCTTCATCATAATTTATTTCATATCCATAATTATATTTTTATAATTACATATCTCCATAGTTATCAACATCAATTTATCTGTAGCTATTTTCGCAGTCAATCATATCTGAATTTATGTAATCAAAACCTTGTTCTTCAAATCTGTTTTCGTTTTGAGCCGATTCTTCTTGTATTTAGTTATTTGTAGAAGATTCACAGTTATTTGAACCCCCTTCAATACTTATGGTTTCTTGCATTTCTTTTAATTGTATTTTTTACTTTTTACTTATTTTTAATCTTTGTTATATTGTTTGTTAATTATGTTAATCTATTAATAAAAAAAACAATTATTATTCTTTTTTAATTTGGTTTGTTTTTCTTCTCTATATTTTTTGTAATACTCATCAAGTATCAAAAATTAAATAATAGCCGTATTTTAAAAATCTAAATTATCTTAGACCAATATGGAATCGCAAATACTCTATAATTTTTAAAATAAACCCAATATTAAATTTACTATTTTGATATTTTTAAGTTCCATCATGCAGTGAAAACATCAGAGTGTAATAAATACTGCAGATATTTTTTTATAAAATTATACTTACGATCAAAATCAAAAAATATTGAATCATAAAAGAATAATAAATACTGGAAATATTCCAGAATTGCTCTAGAAAGAAAAATAAAAATACATCTTTTTTATCAACTATTTATAATCAAGCAACCAAAAAAATTTATTTTGGTACTATTTTGAAGTAATTTAAAATTTTTGATTTTCTAAGGTACAAAATTAAATAAAATCTTCTAACTTTCATGTAATGATGTAATGTAAATAATAACTACAAAAATATACTTTAATTTAAATAAATTTAAATTTATTTGAATATTTTCGTTATTAACTTATTAATTACATCGAAAAAAAATAATTTTTTTTAAATTAAGCTATGACTTGAACACCAATAAGACTGTCTAAAATTATTCAAAACTTCTCATTTTTGCAAAGAGATTGTTTTGAAAAATAATAATTTTGATTAATAAATACTTATTTAGATTTTTAATGAATAAAAGATAATCTAAATTTTAGTATTTAGAAGTTGTAATCAAAAATTTAATTATATTTCAGTATAAGTATAGACCTTATTAGAAAAAAATTAATTAAAAATCTAAATTTATTAATTTGTAATCTTAGTATTGGAGTTTTAATAGAAGAAATGCTTTTTTTGTTGAGTGTGTAAAAATTATTTTAATTTTAAAGCTCTTAAATGAAATTATATAAAAATTTTGTAGCTAAAAATTTATTTTTGTTATTTTTTTGCTGTTATTTGTGAAAAGTAATGTTATTTTTGAGTAAAAATAATTAGTTTATCTTAATATAAATTATGAATAACATATATATCTTTAAGAACTTTAAATAATTATTCACTATTTATAACTTTATTATTTTTAAAAATCATAATTATGAACTTTTGCTTGTTACTAAATAGCTACATTTTTCATTTTCTGGATATGCTGACATATCAATGTATTGTTTTTATGAAAAAGGTTCTCTAAGGAATTAAACAATTGATTCAGATGCAGTAACTCCATTGGGATAGGGAGAAGTAAATAACCCAGAATTGTAAAAAGGGTAATCTAATTCAAACATATGATTAATACAAGAAACAGTCCACACACTAATATTTTTTTTATCAACAAATACTTATTGTAAAGTTTAAATAGTCTTAGTCCTTAGCTCCTCAATAAGTTTCCATTATTGATCATTGCAGTTATAGAAGCTATAAAATCCATTTTTAGTTTTTAGACATTTTACTTATTTTTAAATAGCAAGCACATATGTGTCATATGAACTTAGCAAAAAAAGTGAAGGTATTTCAAGTTAATAATAATTATAAACTGGTTAAATGCATTTATACAACTAAGTATCGTCTTTTAAATATTAGCAGTTTAGAGGTATTATCTCTTTTCTTTATTTATTGTAAGCAATATCCATTTATAGTTACCACATCTTTTTAGAATTAAAAAAATTATTGTAAAAACACAAAATAAAAATTTATATTAAATTACTTTAGGGTTAAACCAACCATCATCAACAAAAAATCCACTGTCGCTAATTAATTAGACTAATACTTTTTAAGGCATTAAAGATCTCAAATATTAGCTCCAATTTGTTGCACCTATACCACCAGCACTTGAACCGCTTAAAACTATTCTGTTTGCATTTGTAATATTCATATTTTTTTGTAGGTAATTAAATAAGGCTATCATATTCTCTTTCCCTCTAAAGTAAAGGGTAGTAGTTGAATTTAGCTCTCTTTAGCTATTCCCTTGATAAGCAAAACCATCACAATAATTTACAAATATAACATTCCAGTTATAAAAAGCTGGGTTTTTTGTTATAGATTGATCTAAATTTGCAGAATTTGTCATATTCTATGGCCAAAATGAACTAGATCCTAAGCTTGTCTTTGATCTTTATAAGCAGCTATCAATAATTTCTTCTTCGTTGCTACCTTAGCACCAAGCACCACCTTAAAGATGAATCATGAAATTATTTCTACCTTCTCCTTAACCTTCTCTAAAATAGAATCCTGGCGAGGTTCCATCTAAGCATCTTGCATTTTAGTAGTCTTACAGTAATATTAACTTAAGTAAGCCATCATCTGATTAGCACTATGTGTAAGTAAACAATTAGATTGCTATCAATAGTAAACACAAAATTTTCAATTTCGTTTTCATTTTAAACTCAAAGCGATATTTTATTAAATAAACTTTTCTTTTCTGTAAAAGAAAATCAAATTATACACTAAATAAATTAATAAAGATTCTATTAAGATTTTACATATAAAAAATCAAGATTAAATAATATTTGATAAAATTACAATTCCAAAATAACAATATTAATGAAATACTATCAGAGGTAGTTATAATAAAATGTAAACTTCTTTTTAAGAAATCTATAAAAAAAATATTTAATTACCATAATTTTAATTTATTCTTTATATCCAATTCAATATTTAAAAAAAATTTATTTACAATAATATTTTCTTTTTTATAAATGTTATTTAGACTATTTTTAGATTTATCCAAATATAATTAATCTCAATTTAAATAGCATGAATAATATTCAATTTTAATAATTTTTAGATGAATTCTGAAATAAAAGCATTATAAATTTGAATTTTTGCATTATTTTTATAATAATAAAATCCAATTAAAAACTTAATTTTAACATTAAAAAAATTTATTATTAAATGAAAAACCATTAAAAGAAATTTTAATTGAATTTATTTTAAATTTTTATAAAATTAATATTTAAAAAATTTTTTTTAAAATTGTTCAAAAGTTACAATTTAATAATTTAAGTATTATCCAAGTAACTAATTGAAAATCCTTATTAATTATATCATTTGTAACAATAAATTTCATTTTTCATTAAAAAATTGACAAAAAATAATCATATAGTGATTAAAATCATAAATTTATTATATTTATATTTATTAAATTTCATTAAAATTATTGACTTAAGAGTTGCAGTAATTTTATTAATGATACTAAATACTTAAATTTAAACAAAAGATTTTAGTTATATAAAATATAAATAAATAAATTAAAAGCATAAAATTATTACAATTTTATTCATAAATTATCATAAAAATAATTATTTATTGGAAATTTTTTATTATTTTAATCAGATTAAATTTAATTTCAAAAAAAATATTTTCTTTAAAAAATAAAAATAATAAATGAATTAAAAGAATAAAATTATTAGAGTTTTATGTCAATAAATTATAAAAATATTTATTTATTAATTGATACTTATATTCCTAGCAATAAACTATAATTTATATGAAAAACTTTAAATATATTTCTAAAAATTTAAAATTATTTTTGTTTTTAACAGATTTATTTATTGATTTATCGCTTTATATGACGAGAAAATTTGATAAAATAATTTAAATTTATTTACAAAAGATTGCAAATTAAAATGTCTTTGAATTATGATAGGATCGTTTTTAAGATTTCAGCTTGTTATTTAATTGATTCATAATGGGTTATTTAATCTTGCTTATTATTGTATGGTGTAATAAAACTTAGTTTTAGTTTAATTCTTTTAAAATAAATATTGGTACGGCCAATAACAAATAATGTGAGAATTCAAAATTTTAAGATAGAAAATTATAATAAATTATTGACTGCCAATTATCACTTAATAAATTAGGAAAGCTTTTTGGGTGTTTTAAGAATGAATTTTGCGTGCTTCAAAAAATAACAAATGTTTAGGAAAAATTATTCTTTAAAAATTCGCAAAGAAATAAAAAATAACAAAAAAAAAATATTGCAATTTAAAAGCACAATTTATTATTATATTAACTGTTGAATTATAACAAAAATTAATTAATTAATTAATTTTAATAGAAAAAAGAAGAGAAAGAAGAGAGAAACTGAATATATAAAATAAATACAAACAAACATACATACATGGACAAAGAAAATATAAAAATGCAGCAATAATAATTATAGAATTAATATAATCACGTTAAGTAGATGTAGTAATAATAAAATTAGCAATAACAAGCACAATAGTAATAGCTGTAACAACAATAGTAGCAATAGTAGTAGCATTAGTAGGCACAACAGCACCAAGAAAAGCCTCAAAAACCAATTCAAGTACCTCCTGGTAAGCACAAATTTGATTGTGGGCAGACTATTTTTGTTGTCGATGAGAAATATGAATATATAAAATAGATCGGATATGGAGCTTACGGTGTGGTTTGCTCAGCAGTAAATAAAGAAAATGGTTCAAAAGTTGCAATTAAAAAGGTTTAAAATGCTTATGATGATTTGATCGATGCAAAGCGTATTGTCAGAGAAATCAAACTTTTAAAATTCTTTGAACACGATAATATTATTTCACTTTTAGATGTTATTAAGCCTAACGCGCCAGTAGGTGACGAAGATATCTACATGGTATTTGATTTGATGGAAACTGATTTGCACCGTGTTATTTATTCTCGTTAAGAACTCAGCGATGAGCATATCTAATATTTTGTCTATTAAATTCTTCGTGGTCTCTTATACATTCATTCTGCAAATGTTATTCATCGTGATCTAAAGCCCAGCAATATTTTGCTTAATAAGAACTGTGATCTTAAAATTTGCGATTTTGGTCTGGCCCGTGGATTCGAAGAGCCTGGTGAAAGCTTGACTGAATACGTAATTACTCGTTGGTACCGTGCTCCTGAAGTTATTTTGAATGCTAGTGAGTACAATCAAGCTGTTGATATTTGGTCAGTTGGTTGCATCACTGCTGAATTATTAGGAAGAACACCCCTTTTCCCAGGAGAAAATTATCTAGATTAAGTTTAGCGTGTCATAGCAGTTTTAGGAACCCCTACTCAAGAAGATATGGCTTATATTGGCAATTAAGATGCTATTAAATATATAAAATCTCAACCAAAAAGAACTAAATAATCATGGTAGAGTCTTTATCCGAAAGCAAATCCACTAGCTCTTGACCTTTTAAGTAAAATGCTCACTTTCAATCCAGAAAAACGCTATACTGTTAAAGAATGCATCGAACATCCTTACTTCGAAGGACTTCATTACCCTGATGAAGAACCTGAGTGTGAGTAAGTTTTTGATTGGTCTTGGGATAAATTCACACCTACTAAAGAAATATTGTAGAAGATGATCTACTAAGAAGCTAAATCTTTCCATCCTATTCACTGAAATGCAGGATTACTTTGTACAATCATTATAAATTTTTAATATTAAAATACTAAATAATAATCATATTCAACCATTCATAAATTTTAAATCATTGTAAGCTTTATTCATACTTTAATTCTATAAATAGCTTGAAACATTTATGAAAATTAAGAAGAAAAACAAATTCAAATTCAAAGATTAATAAAAGGAGATAAATAGATACAAATAATCAAGCAAATAAATAAATAATCAAGCAAATAAGCAAAAGCAAGCAAGCAAACAAGCAAACATTTATTTATTATTACTATTGTAGTTTTTTAAATTTAGAATTTTTTCAAACAAGAAGTAATAGTAATTTAAAAAATATAAAATACATTCTCTAAAATCATAGCTTGACGCTTCATTTATCAACATAACGATTAAAAAAAGGTATGTCATCATAATTTAAAAAAGAGTACAAATTATTTATGTTATTACTTAAATCCAATATAATAAATAAATATCTCCTTTTATTTCTTAAACAGTAAAGAAATGTTAATCAAAACGTATAAATATATTTATATATATATATAGTTATATAGATAGTAAGTTAGATAATCACTTTGTCTTATAATCTAGGCTTCATTTAATATTAGCACCAAAAATCAATTAGACATTAACTTATTATAATATTTTTGTATAAATATTTTCGACTTTGAAATTTTAGTTATTTTTAATTTATTTAAACTCTAATTTACTATTTTTTTTTGAAATATTTATGACATAAAAAAAAACATGAATAAATTTTTGACAAATATTATTTGTGATTATCATTCATAAATATTAAATTAATCTGTTTAATTTTAAAAGTTACTATTTGTTCATTAATTATTTTTTTTAATATTTATCATTTTTTAACCATTTGATGTGCTTTTTGATTTTCATTTTATTGAAACAAGATTTTATTTAATTAAATAAATAAGAATTTTTGTCATTTGTTATTTTAGGTATTTTACAAATTAAGTTTATTTTTCGCACTAGAAAGTTTGTCTTCTATCTTGGCCATACGGTTTTTTAATCCTTTGAGCTTTAGTATATATAAGGGAGCTAATTAAAATACTTATCTGATTTGCTTAATTTTCTCTTCTTCTGAAATGTTTTCTTTCACTTTTTAAATGCTTATTTTATTATTTTCTTGTGCTATCCTATTATTTTATCAACAAATAATTAATTGAATTAATCATCTTTTTTTAATTTTTAATGTTACTTTAAGTTACTTATCTTGTCACTAATTTCATTAAGTTCTTTACTTTTATACTCTTCAAAGTAACTTTTTAAACCTATAATATCGTCAAATACTTTTTCTTTGCATTCATTCTTGACTTTTATCTATTAGGATTCCTAAACATGTTCGCCTTAGATATTTGTTCTGCTTAGGTTGTTTTTTTATGAATCAGAATTTGAAATTTATTATTACACTTAATTATCTACGTCTTCGTCTATTTCTCCTTCTTATTCTATTACCTTAACATTCCTTTGATTTTTATTTGACATGGCTATGAAGCTAAATAATTTTTTACTTTTTTGAGATACTTGCTTTATTGCTTATATAAATAATTAAAGTTGAAGATATTTTTGATATAAACGTTTTTAGATTAATATCAAATTCTAAGGATGTAATTAAACAAATTATAACAATAATGTAATTAGATAAACCACAGCAGCTAAAATATTTGACTAAATAATTTTATATTTATAATTAAATATATTTTAATAATTTCCAAAATTATTTTTGAATACAAGAAATAATTTTTTTATTAAAATAAAAATTTACTATTTTTAAAATTAATTTAGACTTCTAAAAATTACAAAATCAAATTTTAGAATAAATAGAAAAAAAATAAGTCCGTTTAAAAAGTATTTGAAGTAATATGATAGAAAATTCAAACCTAAAAATAAAATTATAGATATTTTATTTTATTTATACCAAAATAAATACATTAATACTTTTAATTTACCTGTTTTTCTAGCTCTCTGTAAGTTTTATTTTCATTAAAAAAAAAAATTTATTTAAATTATAAAATAAAATAGGATGAGAGAAAAGTATTAAAATTTGTTTTTTTTCTGATAATCATACTTGAAAGATTAGCATCTGTTTCTCAATTATTTACCATAAATGATTTGAAAAAAAATGAATTCATATAAATTCTTGCTTTAATTCCTTTTTATCTGAATTAGATTTATTTTATTTCAAAAAACTAAAGATTTCCTGACTATATTCAAAACAATTTATTCAAGGAGTGCTTTGATGAAGGGATAATTTTACTTCCTTTATAAATTATAGCTGTTTTTAATTTACTATGCTCTCAAAGCATAATTAACTAGCTACTAAGTTGCTTTATTCAGCTATATATTGTTATGAACTTCTTTATAGTATATTATCATTTGCTCGTTCACTATTTTGATAAAGATTATTATGCTAATTAAAAAGATTTTTAATATTAAATTATTAAATAATTTATTCTTACATCCTTCTAGCTTCATATTTACTTAAAATTAATTTTATTATTTCACGAAATGCCATATTTTTGGGAAATTTATACAAGCTTAAGTGTTTTATAAGCTTGTCGGATTTGGAAGGAAATTTTTATTAAAGAGAAATAAAAAAAAATACCTCTATACTTTTTTATTTTGTTATAAATTTAACAAATTGCCTTCATAAATCTAGACTACAGATTCATACTAAATAAGTTGAATACTAGAGTATTAAAGAATTACGGGTTTTTTGTATTTGATATTATTATAGAAGGTTTTTTTATAATACAGCTGTATTTTAGTTGCTACCTGCTATTTTAATTTGATTTTAATATTCTGAAAATAAAAAAATAAGATTATACATTAGTATTTTTGCAGATCCTTAGCTTTTCTATCAGTACTATCAGATATTATAAATATATTATAACTTCTTATATATATGGATATCCAGCTATCAATATTTATGATTAAGTAAGTTTGAGAAGACTGACATCAACATAAAATTAATAAAAAATAAAAAGCTAATTAGCAAATCTCAAGTATGTAATGATACACATAACTTTATCCGAATAAACATAAGAAGAAATTTTGTTTTATTTATTTTACTGCTTTGGAAAAAGTGAAATTTAAGGTAATCTACACAGCAGATCAAATTAAAATTAAAAAAGCTCCTTTCAAGCAGTCTCTATTTAGTTTTACTTAAATATAGAATTTTTTTTAAGTGTAATAAAAATTAACAGAAGAATATTACCTCAAATATCCTAAATATATTTAAGAATTAATAAATCAAACAAAATAATTTAGTTATTTTAACTGATGCTAGAAGTTGATATGATTACAAAAGTATTTCTGAACTAAAATTTAGATTTATAGTTAGCTCTTAGTAGCTATGTAAATTAAATTTAATAGCAATTACACTTTTATTAACTATTCAAAATAAAAGTTGAACCTTTTATGCTTTGCAATCCTAAAATGATTTATTAAGATTTATTTTTTTGATAAAGTTAAAAATAATATGATGAATTTATTCTTATTAAATTTTAATGTTTGAATATGATACACTTAAGTTAAAAAAATTTCGTTAAATACTTAAAACTGTAAGGTAAATATGAATACATATAAAATTATTTATTTACTTTGTTTGTTTGTGTGTATTTAAAATTAATATGTGATAAATTTAAAGTTAAATACAATTTACAAGCAACTTTTAAAGAAATTTTTTGTAAGAAAACTATTTCAAAGATTCATAAAAAAATTTGAAAAGCAGCTAACTTTGAATTGATACTACAGTCAATTTTACTTCATTAATAATAATTCGTAATTTTCTTTTTAAAATATTTTTTTTGTTTTTTTTATAATTAATAGTAGAAAGAATTTCAAAAATATGCCTGATATGATAAATTCTAATTTCATTAATTAAAAATTTTAATAATTACCTTATTTATGGATATTATTTTTCTATTGGCTTATTTATATAAAAAAGTTCAATGGATAATATTAAATAATATTTTGAAAGAAAAATAATATAATTAAATTGAATAATTTTGCATAAATATTATAATATAAAATGGGACAGAATAAGTCAAAATGAATAATACAATAAACTTCTGAACCATTATAAAACAAAGCAGAACCATAAAAAAAATATGTAGTTTAATATAAGGTAAGGAGTATAACATAATTGACTATTTTGATGAAAATAATGCTAGAATATCTTACTTTACATGCTAGTATGCTAAGATACCTAATTAAAAAAGGTTTAGAGGTGAGCAAAGATACACTAGCTATATACATAAAAGATTCTGATAGCGAATAATTTAAAGAATTTTTAAATATTATTAATAAAGAGAAATGCAATTTAATTATGATTCACAAGCTCTCATTAATATCATTAAACAGAAATGGTAGATGTAATTTTGTCATCCAAATAACTTATAAAATTAGATTTATTATCTAAAAGGAGAACTGAATCAATCGATCAACTAGTGCGGTTATTTGGTAAAATTATAGATTATTATGAGTAATCTAACTATTTACGAGATGTAAATTTTCAAATTTAATACAGTACAATCAGAATATATTGTGAAAATAAACTTTTCTTAGTTGAAATCTTAAAATTACATCCTCCATAAGAGGAACATAAAATTTAGCCAATAAATTTATTTGCTATGAAATCAAAATGCAAATTCAACAAGATTTATATAGGTGTTTATGCAGAAATTTTGAAAAACAGAATATTTTCTATTATAGATTTCTTAAAAAATAATCAAGAAGAATTATTAAAGCTTAATTTGAGTTTTTTCAATGACTTTTAAGAAGATGAAATAGAATTAGCCCTTTAGCGTATAACTCAAATAACTTAAGAAAACAAAATAAGTTAATGTGTTATTTACATAAGAACTAAATCAAATATAATTTGACATATAGGAATACATAATCAAAAATTAAAATATATTAAAATTTAAGATAAATAATATAGGAATTTATGACAATCATACATTAATCTATTTTGATTTAAATAAAAGTATGCAAGCTTAGCTTTAAATTTAAAAAATCATTTAAAACAATCCTAAAATATAAATTCTTAAATTGTAAAATGACTTTTTCTAATAATTAAAACCTAACTTAGTAAGAATATTTAAAGCTATTACAGTAGCTTTCTAATGTTAATTAGTTTGAAATAGCAATAAATGATTCATATAACTTAAATTGTTAAAATTTTAAAAATATATTAAATAAATATGAAAATGAGATAAAATTATATGCCATTATTTATTTGATTGTAAAAAAATAACTTTAAAAACTACTCTATCATCAAGCTGAGAATTCCTTCATTGATCTGTGCATAGATTAATGAATTAAATCATAGCTTGTCATAATAAAGTATATATATTATTTTTATAATTAGTATTTTGAATATTAATTTTATGAATGAAACTACTCTATTGATTCAATTTTTTAAACATATATTCTTGGAAAATAATTTATTTTTACTGTGTTAAGAATATTTAAACTAAAATATATTTTTAAAGATTTTTGTTTACTGATAAATATTTTAGAGTGTATATTTATGTTTATCTGTTTGGTCAATCTTCCTGTTGTTATTGACATAAAATATAAAAAGATATTTATCAGAATTAATAAAGTTTGATTATTAATTTAATGCATCTACAACAATAATTTATAAAACGAATATTTTCAAGGTTTCTAAAAGCAAAATTTAAACTTTTAAATATTTATTTATATAAAACTTAAAATTAAAAGAAAAGTATTAAAGACCATGAATAAAAAACCATTTTAGCTTCTAGTATTTTTCTATATAAAAATAGTCACAGGAGGTTTGATATATTTTTTCTTCTAGTTTTTAGAGGTAATTCGTTTCAGATAAATTATAGATGAATACATATTTTTAAAAATATTTAGCATGAAAATAACACATTTAAATACACCTTCTTATCATTTTACATCATAGAGAGACTTATATGCTTCTTTTCTATTTTTGCAAATTTAAAGCCTAACATTTTTGAAACAATATTGATAGCTCTCCTCAATCCTATCTAGCTTGAAGAGTTTTATTTACTGATTAGAGGAAACAAATATCCACGATACTAAAATGAAGGTATTGATGGCCAGGCTTTTGTGATATCTGTTTTTAGTGTTCCAAATTATATTTTGATCTTAATTTGGACATTTTATTATCCAGAAACCGTTAATATAGTTATTACTACTCTTGCTCTTGTTGCTTTAATATTCGGATAATTCTTTATATGCTACATTATAATTTACCAAAGAGATTTGAATGTTAACTTATATAATTCTCAAATATTTTTGATATTTTTAAAAGAAACTACTTCTGTAGCAATACACTTTTTAAGTTATGTGGCTTTGCTATGCGTAAATCTCCAAATGGAATATTTTTTATATTATTTAATAGCATTTGAGGTATGCTTGATCAGCTATTATGTTACTTAGATTAATACTAGAATATAAGATTATTGTAATTCAAGTATTGAAGCAGTTGGTGCTGGCTTTTTATTAATATGTAAGGAAATTCTACACTTAGTAATAGATTTAAGAGATTTGATTGATAGCTTTTTCAAACATTCAGTCTAATCTTATGGATTAAATATATATAATAACATGCTTCTTTTTGGTTTCTTAGTTAAAACTTATCTTTTTATTATGTTTAATCTATTCCTTTATCAGCATAATTAATTCCATAACATGAAGCTCTTTTACGTATTACTTTACATACTTTCAATTATAAGCTGTATCATATTAGGTTTCAGGGTATTTGAATATATGCTATGGCCTGTTATTAATGGTAGAACATTTATAGAATTTAATAGTATTGATTCTTTCATTGAATATTCAAAAAAACAATCTAATACAAAAAAATTTGAAAAATTAGAAACAATACTGTTGTTGTGCAAGGAACAAAATGCTACTTAAGATTTTATCTTTTAATTTTTTTATGGTTTTTGTAAAAGTTAAATAATATCAAAATCAATTAGCCGTGAGTATATCTAAAAATCACAATCTGAACAACAAAAAATTTGCTTTTAAAGAGCGGTTAATGTAAATGATATTTAATACATCATAGAAAAACATGGAAGAGTTCTTCCCTAGATTAAAGAAGTGTATTTTTTACATAGCGATAATAAATATGAATACAATTTGTTTAGAGTATTTTCAGAAGATAATATCTCTGTTAAATTAAATTTTAATACAAATTTAGTTCCAGATGAATTGACACAACTGAATACAAAAACAGTATAATAAATAAAAGCAATCATTCATTCATATTTTATATTAAATTCTCAAAAATATGATATTTTGGGTCAGTAATTAACAAATCCTTAATTAGTTTTCTACGATTTATTTGATGAAGTAAATTGAAAAACAAAATCGATAATTTTGAGAATTATCAATTATTATCTTGGTATTTGTTTAAACAAATAAATTTTCCACTAAATATTTATAAATTATTAGAATACTATTAGATTAGTAAGGAAGATTATTTATTTCATATTTATGTTTTGATTAATGTTAATTTTTAGAATTAAATAAAATAAAAAGTTTATTTTTTATAACTTTTAAAAAAGTATTTAATTTATGCATTGAATCTAAATAAGGATAAGGAAAAATACCCTTACAACAGTTCCTTGTTATAAAATATTAATATATTAACGACTAAATAGCAATCTACATATTTTTTCTTTTTTTTTGATAATAATTTATAAAACAGATATACTAGATATACTGTACCTTTAACAATAAAACTAAGCAGAATATTTTAATTTTTTAAGCAAAAAAATTATTATAAAAATTTTCAAAAATATGCTTGATAAATTCTAATTTGATTAATTTAAATTTTCGTAATCACGTTATTTATAGATATTATTATGTATTTATTTATTTGCTTATTTATACAAATTAGCGCAATTGAAAATATTAAATAATATATTGACAAAAAATAAATATCATAATTAAATTGAATAATTTTGAATAAATATTATAATAAAATGGGACAGAATAAATCAAAATAAATAATACAATATACTGCTGAACCTTTATAAATTGAAGTCTAGCCAAAATAACAATATTTAATGTTATTTTAAGGTAAGGAATATAATATAATCGACTATTTTGATGAATCCCATGTTAAAACATCTTATTCTACATGCTAATGTATGCTAAGATATCTAATTAAAAAAGGTATAGAGGTGAGCAAAGATTCACTAGCTTTATACATGAAAGATTCTAATAATGAATAATTTTATGAATTTTAAAAAAGCATTAATACTGAGAAGTGTAATTTTATCATGTTACACTTATACTAATTTTATTTGTAAATAAGAATAGTAGATATAATTTAGTAATGCAAACAACTTATTAAAATAAATGTATAAGCTTATAGGTATGCTGAATCAAACGATTAACTAATATAGCTATTTGGTAAAATTATAGATTATTATGAGTAATCTAACTGTTTACAAGATGTATATTTTAAAATTTCATCAAATACAATCAAGATAGATTGTGAAAATAAATATTTCTCAATTGAAATCTTTAAATAGCATCCACCACAAGAATAGGATATTTAGCAAATAAATTTATTTGCTATGAAATCAAAATGCAAATTCAACAAAATATATATAAATATTTATGCAGAAATTTTGAAAAACAGAATATTTTCTATCATAGATTTCTTATAAAATAATCAAGAAGAATTATAAAAGCTTGATTTGATTTTTTTCAATGATTTTTAAGATGAAGAAGTTGGATTAGCTCTTTATTGTATAACTCAAATATTTTAAGAATAAAAAAAATTAAATGAAGTTAGTGTGTTTTTAACAAAAGATCTAAATCAAATATAATTTGACATATATGAATACATAATTAAAAATTAAAATATGGAAAAATTTACGATAAATGATATTGGAATATGTGACAATCTTGCATTAATCTATTTTGATTTATAAAAAAGCATGGAAGCTTAGCTTGTAATTAAAAAAATCATTTAAAATAATCCTAAAATATAAATTCTTAAACTGAAAAGAGACTTTTACTTATAAGGTTAATTTCTATAAAATTTTGAAGTGGAAATTCCAAGAAGAATTAAATTATAAATTGAAATAAATAGTTACAACCTAACTCAGTAATAATATTTAAAGATATTAAAGTAGATTTCTCATGTTAATTAATTTGAAATAGCAGCAAATGATTCATATACATAAGGAATATAAGGTAAAAATTTTATAAATATATTAAATAAATATGAAAATGAGATTAAATTATATGCAATTATCTATTTGATTATAAAAAAATAACTTTAAAAGGTACTCTACCATAAAGCTGAATATTCTTTCATTGATTTATACATAGATTAATGAACCAAATAGTTAATTTATCTTAATAAAGTATACATATGGTTTTTATATATTGTATTTTAACTACTAATTTTTTAAAATTACTTGTTGGTTCAAGTTTTTATAAAAAATTTAAGCCAATTCTATTTACTAATCTTAAATTTTAGATTATATTTTCTAAAACACTATGTATATTTTTTTGATCAATCTTAAAGTTATAGACATAAAATATAAAAAGATATTTATCAGAATTAATAAAGTTTGATTATTAGTTTAACGCATCTACAACAATAATTTATAAAACGAAGATTTTGCTATTAAAAGCAAATCATAAAGTTTGAAATATTTAGATTAGACTTAAAATTTATAGAAAAGCTAAAAAATAAAAAGGTATTAAAGAAAATGAATGAAAAACCCTTATAGCTTCTACTATTTTTTTATATAAAATTAGTCACAGGAGGTTTAATATATTTTTTCTTCTAGTTTATTGAGGTAATTCATTTCAGATAAATTATAGATGAATACATATTTTTAAAAATATTTAGCATGAAAACAACACATTTAAATATACATTCGTATCATTTTATATCATTGAGAGACTTATATGCTTCTTTTCTATTTCTGCAAATTTAAATCCTAATATTTATGAAACAATATTGATAGCTCTTCTCAATCCTATCTAGCTTGAAGAGTTTTATTTACTGATTAGAGGAAACAAATATCCACGATACTAAAGCGAAGGTATTGATGGCCAGGCTTTTGTTATATCTGTTTTAAGCGTTCCAAATTATATTTTGATCTTAATTTGGACATTTTATTATCCAGAAACCATTAATGTAGTTATTACTACTCTTGCTCTTATTGCTTTAATATTCGGATAATTCTTTATATGCTACCTTATAATTTACCAAAGAGATCCAAATGTTAACATATAGAATTCTCATATCTTTTTCATATTTTTAAAAGAAACTACTTCTGCAGCTATTCACTTTTTAAGTTATGTGGCTTTGCTATGCGTAAATCTCCAAATGGAATATTTTTTATTTTATTTAATAGCATTTGAGGTATGCTTGATCAGCTATTATGTTACTTAGTTTAATACTAGAATATAAGATTATTGTAATTCAAGTATTGAAGCCTTTGGAGTTAGCTTTTTATTAATATGTAAGGAAATTCTACATTTAGTAATAGATTTAAGGGATTTGTGTGATAGCTTTTTCAAACATTCAGTCTAATCTTATGGGTTAAATATATCTAATAACATGCTTCTTTTTGGTTTCTTAGTTAAAACTTATCTTTTTATTATGTTTAATCTCTTCCTTTATCAGCATAATTAATTCCATAACATGAAGCTATTTTACATATTACTATACATACTCTCAATTATAAGCTGTATCATATTAGGTTTCAGGGTATTTAAATACATGTTATGGCCTGTTATTAATGGAAGAACATTTATCGAATTTAATAGTATTGATTCCTTCATTAAATATTCAAAAAAACAATCTAATACAAAAAAATTTGAAAAATTAGAAACATTACTGTTGTTGTGTAAGGAAGAAAATGTTACTTAAGATTTTATCTTTTAATTTTTTTATGGTTTTTGTAAAAGCTAAATAATATCAAAATCAATTTGCCGTGAGTATATCTAAAAATCATAATCTTAATAACAAAAAATTAGCTTTTATAGAAAGGTTAATGTAAATGATATTGAATAAATCATACAAAAGAATGGAAGAGTTCTTCCCTAGATTAAAGAAGTATTTTTACATAATGATAATAAATATGAATACAATTTGTTTAGAGTATTTTCAGAAGATAATATCTCTGTTAAATTAAATTATAGTACTGATTAACTTCCAGATAAATTACTAGAATTGAATACAAATACTATATAATAAATAAAAGCAATCATTCATTCATATTTTATATTAAATTCTCAAAAATATGATATGTTGGGTCAGTAATTAACAAATCCTTAATTAATTTTCTACGATTTATTTGATGAAGTAAATTGAAAACAAAATCAATAATTTTGAGAATTCTACATTCTGGTCTTTCTATTTGTTTATACAAATGAAATCTCTACCAAATATTTATAAATTATTATAAGAAAAATATTAAATTAGTAAACTAAATTATTTATTTCATATTTATGTTTTGATTCATGTGAATTTTTAGCATTAAAAAATTTTTTTAAATAAATTAAAATTTTTGAATATAATGCTCTTAAATTTAATGAATTTCAGTAAATACTTAAAACTTTAAGGTAAATATGAATAAATATAAAATTGTTTATTTGTTTTATTTATATGTATTTGAATAAATACGTGATAAATTTAAAGTTAAGTACAATTTTCGAGTATGTTTTAATGAAATTTTTTCTTAAAAAAATTATTTTAAAGATTGACAAAAAAATTTTGAAAATCATTACTATTAATTGATAATTTAGTCAAATTTACCTCATTAATAACTACTTGTAAGTATTTTTATAAAATAATTTTTTTTTTATTATTGATCATGTAAAAAATTTAAAAAATATGACTGATAGATAAAATCTTATTTCATGAATTAAAAATTTTCATAATCACCTTATTTATGGATATTATTTATCTATTAGCTAATTTTTTTAAATTAGTGTAATTGATAATATACTGTCAGAAAAATATCATAATTAAATTGAATAATTTTGTATAAATATTAAAATAAAATGGGACAGAATAAGTCAAAATAAATAATATAATAAACTGCTGAACCTTTAAAAATTGAAACTTAACCAGAATAAAAATATGTAATGTTAAACAGTAGGGAATATAACATAATGGACTATTTTGATGAAGCTCATGTTAAAACATCTTATATTACATGCTAAAGTATGCTAAGATATCTTATTAAAAAAGGTATAGAGGTGAACAAAGATTCACTAGCTTTATACATGAAAGATTCTAATAGTGAATAGCTTAAAGAATTTTTGAGAAATATTAATAAAGAGAAATGCAATTTTATTATGTTACACTTATACTAATTTTATTTGTAAATAAGAATAGTAGATATAATTTAGTAATGCAAACAACTTATAAAAATAAATATATAATCTTATAGGTATACTGAATCAAATGATCAATTAATGTAGCTTTTTGGTAAAATGATAGATTATTATGAGTAATCTAACTATTTACAAGATGTATACTTTCAAATTTAATCAAATACAATCAAAATAGATTGTGAAAATAAACACTTCTAAATTGAAATCTTAAAATAATATCCTTTTCAATAAGAGTAGGATATTTAGCCAATAAATTTATTTGCTATGAAATCAAAATGCAAATTCAACAAAATTTATATTTATGTTTATGCAGAAATTTTGAAAAACAGAATATTTTCTATAATAGATTTCTTATAAAATAATAAAGAAGAATTATAAAAGCTTCATTTGAATTTTTTCAATGATTTTTAAGATGAAGAAGTTGAATTAGCTCTTTAGTGTATAACTCAAATATTTTAAGAATACAAAAGATTAAATGAAGTTAGTGTGTTTTTAAATAAAGAAATAAATCAATTTTAATTTGACATATATGAATACATAATTAAAAATTAAAATATAGAAAAATTTACGATAAATAATATTGGAATATATAACAATATTGCATAAATATCTTTTGATTTAAATAAAAGTATTTAAGCTTAGTTTATCATTTAAAAAATCATTTAAAATAATCCTAAAATATAAATTCTTAAACTGTAAAGAGACTTTTTCTTATAAGGTTAATTTCTATAAAATTTTGAAGTAGAAATTCCCAGAAGAATAAAATTATAAATTCAAATAAATAGTTACAACGTAACTCAATAATAATATTTATAGCTATTACAGTAGTTTTCTCATACTAATTAGTTTGAAATAACAGCAAATGATTCATATAAATCAGGAATATATAGTTACAATTTTATAAATACATTAAATAAATATGAAAATGAGATTAAATTATATATCATTATTTAATTAATCCTAAAAAAATAACTTTAAAAGGTACTCTACCATAAAGCTGAATATTCTTTCATTGATTTATATATAGATTAATGAACCAAATAATTAATTTATCTAAATAAATAAAACATATGATTATTATAATTTAGTATTTTAAATATTAATTTTATGGATGAAATTGTTAATCATCTATTCTTGGAAAATTATTTTTTAGTACTGTCAAATTTATTATTTTTCAAAAAATTAGTTTTTATTTTATATAAAAAATAAAAATAATCAGCTCTATAAATAGCTGTTCTTGCATATGAAATATCTCAAACTGAAAGTAATTTAATGGTTCGTGCTATTTCATATCATTTTTATATTATTTTATCAATTTGATTTTGTATCTTCAAGAGCTATTTTATATTTATTATGTATATATTTAATCAAATCTGATTTATTTATTTTATACATTATAATACTAATAAATTGAGCATTCCTAATTTGAACATCCTATTTATATTTCAAAACTTAAGTTTAAAAAACTTGATAAAATATTTGGTTTAAATTACTTTTATTATTTAGCATAACATCAAAAAAAAATCTTACAATTGATTATTTTGTAAATTAAAAATTGTTTTGAGAAAATAAAATTTGTGCTGAAATTTTAAATTAAAAGCATTGAAAAAAATGCAAACTTTCTATTTCGGAATTAATAAAGTTTGATTATTAGTTTAACACATCTACAGCTATAGTTTATAAAACAAATATTTTTAAAAGGTTATTAAAATCAGATCATGAAGTTTAAAATATTTAGATAAGACTTAAAATTTATGAAAAGTGATTTTCTACATGAATAAAAAATCCTTTTTGTTTCTACTATTTTTTTATATAAAAATAGTTAAAGGAGGATTGATATATTTTTTTTTCTTGTTTTTTGAGATAATTAGTTTTAGATAAATTATAGATGAATATATATTTTAAATAATTAAATTTAGTATAAAAGCAACATATTTAAATACACTTTCCTATCATTTTACATCATCCAGAGAATTATATGCTTCTATGGTATAATTGGATTTTTAAGTAAAATTACTAACTTTTAATCATTGTTAAAAAATATTTTAATAATTCAGTAGATGAAGAGATAGAAGGATCTACCTTAGTTATAATTTTTTTACAAGAAATTTTATTAGTCTTTTAATTTATAGCTTTAAGAAGTAAAATATGTTTATATGTATCAAAATCGAAGCAATATTAAAAAAATATTTAAATTCTTCATCTGATACTCAGCTCTGAACAAGAGTACCTATTTTATTTATTTAAAATTAATATCTAAATCTAATATAAATTTTTAACAATTAAAATAAATAAAATAAAAAATTTGCTTTTTAAATGAAAGACTAAAAATAAGAAAAATGAGTTTATTAATTAGTTAAATATTTATTAATTTTAAAGCTTCTCTATAAAATGAGTTAAGAAATTAAAAAAAATTAATTTGTTTGTCCAGATTATTGCAATATACTGTTTTATATTTAGACAAAGCTTAATTTTTATAAAATATAAATTAAAATATTATAATTTAACAAAAAAAAACAAATTTTAAATTTATATTTATATCACAAAAACAATATAAAAATTATTTTAAAGATTTGTTCAATTTGTTTCGGAAATTACATTCTATATCATACTTGCAAGGCTAAAAAATTAATAGACATATCTAAATGTTTGATATAGATAATAGGAAATATACTTAATAATCTATTTTCATACTCATAAATAATACTACAATATTATTGAGTCTAATACTTATTTTAGAATAATATGATGTATAAATGCTTTAAATATTAAATGAAACAATACTGCTAAAATCTAATATAAATTAAAGGTGACATCTTTTCTAAGAATTTATTTCAGATTTACTCAGAAAAGAAGAAATTTTTTGATTAAAAGTTTGAAATATTGAAATGTTTTCAGAAATAATTAAAATAAAGCTTCTTAAGAAACAATAAAGAATATAAAGAGAAACTTTATAGAAATTCTGTGATAGACAAATTTAAGCTGAGAAAAAAAGATAAATAAAAACTTGCTACTCAATTTAAATATTTTGAAAATTATTTTACATTCATAAGTAATTGTAGAACAATTAGCTTATTTGCAATGACATTAGCTTTTTTTAAATATAGAGAATCATAATTGTAAGTATTGTCAATTGGAATTGAAATTGATAAGAATTTAGTAAAGGTAGATAAATTTATGAAATTACAATTATTAATAGAAGAGATTTTAAGATATGAATAAAAGTAACCCAATTTATTTGTGAAATTCTAAATTTGTTTATTTTGAGAAAAACATAGAACACAATACAATATAAAATCAGTAAATCCCTTTTTAATTAATAAAAGAAATTAAAAGCTTAATTTTTTCCTTTTTTAAATTTTTAGGTAACAAGGTAGTAAGACTTTACTAGAAGTAGATGATAAGTTATAAAGAGAAGGTAAAAATTAAGTAATTAAAGCAATCAATGAATAATTCGCTGATTAGATCAACTCATTCATTCAAAAATTTCATCAGAAAAGATGTACATCTAAATTTTTATTAATTTTTTCAAAAAAGTTCCTTCCTATTTTCTACATTTTTGAATAAATAAAGTATATTTTTATCTATTTTCTCAACCTATTTGTTATTCTAGCCATTTCTTCTATTTGAATATCATTCCTTTTTTGTTTCAATTTAGGATAGGTATAAATTTTTAGTTTTAGGTCATAAATTCAACAAACAAACGTAAAATCTGTTGATTTAACACAGAAGAGTAAAATAGACAAAACATAAATTTTAAATATATTTGAGTAATTCTAGCTAATTCAGTTATAAATTTAAAAAAATTTTACTCAAATGATGACGAAATCAATCAATCAATAAATCTAAACTATAAAATTTAATATTTAGATTTACTCAAACTATTTTCTTCTATATTCATTTTATCTCTCTTTTATTTTAATTGAATGGTCTAGTCAAACCTTTAGTTAGCACTTTTTTAATATTGTTTGATTAACACTTATATACTTATATGTATTTCTTTAAGTAAAAAAACTTGTTGAAGAAAATTTATTATTCAGTAAGAAATTGGTAATTTAATAAACAGAAGGTTAAAAAAATTTATGATTGAAAAAATTAACTATAATGAAATGAGAGGAAGAAAATATTTGATTAAATTTAAGTTATTGGGTAATTATTTGGAAATTTGTTTGAGTAAATTGGATGAAATTTTAATGGTATTACCTAATGATGAAATAAATTCAAAGGAAGCATATAATAACAAATTTATTAGTTATAAAATTGTGGGTAGAATTTCATATAGTTGATTTATAGTTTTGTTAAGACAAATATAGTCTCTCAATTTTATTTATTTATTTGATATAATGATCTGATGTAAAGTTGTAATTGCAAACAAGCTTTCCCTTATTTATCTATTACGAAGGCATTGGATATAAAAGTGCGGAGGTGATTTGTTTATAATTAATTAGTAAGAAAACATTAAAAAGTAAAGAAATTTGAGAGAAATAAAAAAAGGGATACATAATTTATCTTTTTTAAAGATCGATTGATTGAATTAAAAAATTAAATTTTTTGTTTTTTTACAAATACTTAAAATTTAAGAATAAAAAGATAATATTACAAATTCACAAACACTAAAAAAAGCAATTTGTAATAGTGAAATTATATAGAAGTACTGAATATTATCATAAAGATTTGAAAGATAAACGCGCTTAAGGCATTTATTTATTTACAAAAGAGTATAAAGATTTATAATAACCAAAGAACTTCTTTGAAATAAGCATTTTACTTTGAATAATCTTGGTTATATAACATAATGATTTAATTTTCTGTAAGGTAGCTTGAAACTATAAAAACACCTGCGCTTGAAAAGATTCTTTAGCTATACAAATTCTATCTAGTTTCATTCTTAATATGCTTAGCAGCAGCATTAACAGGTATTGCTTATTTGATATTAACTGCCATTAAATCTTGCTCAGTATAGTAAATTCATATCTTTACAATTATAACTGTATTATTCTATTGCTTCTTGGTAGTCGATATGTTACTATCTGAAAAAGCAACCCTATAATTTTTTAATTAACACTGTAAAAATTTAAATTTGACAGAGAATGTAACCTTCAAAACTTTCTTATAGAGCGTAGAGCGTCTCAGGTATTACTCAAACTAGAAAGAGATTTCTGTGTTTTAGGTTCGTGAAGTGCTTTGGAACTCTATGCAAATTCCTTATTATAAGATATTTTTTTTAGCTCAAGTCTCTTGTTGGATACTTTATGGAATAAGTTTCTTTTTTGCCTTTCAATACTTTGGAAAGGGATGCATTCATGAACATGAGTCCCTGATTATTTTTATAGTGTATCTATATCACAATTTATGGTTTATTATTTTAGTAGGATTCTCCTTAGTAGTAAGCGTTTCCGCCATCTTATTTTTACCATTTATTATTTGTGCTTACTTTAAATTTAATGACAGCTCAGAAATTCCTGACGACCCTGAAGAACAATAAAAAATATTCTTGTAAAACTAGTTAGAAAACTTTTAATATGATCAATCAAAAGCTAAAGACACTTTATGTGCTATCTGCTTGGAAGACTTTTAAGCCGAAGCACCTGTTAAAAGAACTAAATGCTGTAAATCTATCTACCATCCAGTATGTATAAAGGAATGGGTTGTAAATAGTATTACATGCCCTAACTGTAGAAAATCTCCTTTCACAAAAAACAATAAAAACTCATAGCCAAATGAAGTTCGTGTTGATTCAGTAGTACCTCTAAATAATAATATTTTAAATACAGAATTAAATAACCAATAAGGAAACAATCCAAACCAAAATAATAATAACAATCCCATTCAACCAATTAATAATCCGAATGAGATTAATATAAATTAAGCTTAACCTGAATAAATTGCAAATTAAAATGTTGTTGTCCACGAAGATATTATCGCAGATATAGAGAACTAAAATATTCAACCAATGTAGGATGCTTAAATGATTGAAAACTAGTAATAAGTAATAAATTTATAGCAAGAAAATCAAGCTAATGCAGAACCAATTAACCCTCAATAAGTTTAGATTTAACACAATAATCAGAGCTAGCTACCTCCAGCTTGTAATTAAAATAATAATTTGTAAAATGAAGATAGCTACATCATCTAATTTTCTGATAGTTCTGTAAATTAATCAGCTAATAAAAATCAAAAAACAAAAGAATTCAATGGTTTATAACAATAAGATAATGAAGAAATAGAACAAGAATAAATATAAGTTGTTGATGATATAGAATAAATTGATTAAAACAAAGATGCTACCTTTGATAAAAATAAATCTCAAAACGAATCCTCAACGAACAGCAAAGGAAGAAAAAAATTCTAAAGTACATGTACATAAGGTGATGGAATAAACAACAATGGAATTTCAGAACTCCATGGCTAAAGATTAACCATTTATAATAATATAGATGGAATGGGTATCAACTCAACTGAAATAAGTACTCAAAAAATAAATATATATCATAAAAACAATGACATCCCAATCCATAATGCAGGAATAATAGATCATTTTGATGTAAATGATTTTGATAACGCAAATGAAAATAAAGTCAATGAAAAGTGAAAAAATAAATACTTGAAAATTAATTAAAGATATATATTAAGTAAGCCTTTTAATTAATTTAAAAACCAAATCCAAGTGAAAAGTTTATTATCAATTTCTAATTAATGAAGCTAACATATATTATTAACAATAAATATTTTCAAATTTACAAATAAACAATTATTTCAAATTAAAACAATCATCACAAATTTATTTGAGGAAGAAAAAAACTAGAAGAATAGATTAGATAAATAGATAGTTAAATATAGTTATGTAAGCTAAAGTAATAACTAACTTTTTATTTATTTATTTATTAATAAAACTTTTAAAATTTTTATAAAAATTTCTAATTAAATTTGACAGACGCACTAAACTAGATATTAAATAGAGAGCTAGCTTTCTTAATAGATTATGCTCTTCTACCTATTTAAATATAAAATAAAATTCATATTAAATTATTCTATTTAATTATTATATCTACAATTATATGTAAAAATACTTCTTATTCATAATATTTACTACATTAGATTTTCAATTCTAAAATCGTTTTAAAAAGTTTAAAAATATTATTTATAAATTTATTAATTTTTTTCATATTAAATAAAAAGCTTCTAATTCTTTTAATATACTTCATTTATTTTTAATTCTAAAATAATTTTAATAAGTTTAAAAATCCTATTAATTTTTAAAAAATATTATCATAATATACATCTTCTTACTAATTCATTTTATATTATGTTAGATTTTAAATTCTAAAATCATTTTAGTAAGTTTAAAAATCTTATTAAATATTTAAAAAAATATATATTATCATAGTTAATATCCAATTTCATTTAAAATTAAATTATTTTATTAAATTAAAATATCTAAACTGAAATTTAAAAACTTCTTTTTCATATTTTTTACTACATCCTATTTTAGTTATTTTACAGCTTTTATCTAATAGAGAAAAAATTTATCATAGATTATATCCATCTTCATTTGCAAGCATAAAATAAAATTGAAATAAAATTATTCAATTAATTACAATATTTCATTATATAAAGAGCTTCTTATTTGTATTATTTACGGCATTCTATTTTAATTTCTAAAATAATTTTAATTACTTTACAATTTTTATTTATTAATAAAAAAACTTAGATTATTTTCGAGTTATTAAATAATCTTTTGCTACAAGTTTCTGAATTAAAGTTTAATATTAGCTTTTTTTGATAGATTTTATTTTTTTTAAGTACAGTATGTTTAACTTGATTAAAAATGTATAAGAAATATTTTATTTAGATTAAAAATGTTGAATTAGAATAAATTATTAAATAATTTATGTTTGAAAATAAAAATGCTTTATTTCACTTTTGATATGATTTTTAATAAAAGTAAAATTTACCTTTTTTGAAAGTATTTTTTTAAGATTTTGAAATCAACATAAATTCTACATTTACTTTTGAATGGTGTAAATTATTGAATAATATAAATAACACTATTTATGTATGTTTAAGTATTAACGAGTTTTATAATTACTAAAAGAGGAGAAGTATTTATAATATTAGGTTTGAATACATTAAATTCAGATATTTAAAAAATTCAAATTAAAAATTAAAAAACACAAAATTTAAGTAAATTGTGTTTAAAGATTTATATTCAAGTTGGAAAGAGATCTAATCAGAACTACTAATTAAATTATATATAATACATATGAAAAGCTTAATCAAACGAGATATTAATCGAAACTATTTATATTACAATATTGAAAATTTAATTATTTATATTTAAAAAGACACCTCAGACTAAATAATCAAATATCTGAATTATATTCATAAATCTCTAGTGTAGATAGAATAAAAGTATTGAAGATATAAAAGCTTAATATTTATTTTTAAAATATTTATAAGCTTTCATTAATTATTAAAGTAGAATTTATTATATTTATTATATAACTTATATTTCTGTCTCTTAAATCTCAAAGATATAGATAGATCAATCAGTCTATAGTTTTAACCTAAACATCTATCTCATAAATAATTATATAAATTAATTAGTATTTAGAAACACTATCATAAATATTCAAGGAACATTAATAAAGTAGATTGAGTCTAAAAAAATATTTTTCAAGAGTTTTCAAATATTTAGATGAATTAAGCATCAGATAGAAGAAGTGAAGCTTCAGATTAATACGCTGTTGCTTCAGCCAAAAATAGTTTATCAAACACATAATCATCTAACTAAAATAATAATGCAAGTAAAATTTTTATTTAGTAAAGCTTTTTAATAATTCTCATTACTATAAAAAGGTTAAAATAATGAAAGGAAAAATGATTGCAGGGTTTAGGTTGCAGTAAGAGTAAGACCTTTTATAAATAAAGAGCTAGTTGATTGTGAAAGCTCTTGTGTTAAAACACAATCTAATAAAATTATAATAGGTGGAGATAAGGATTTTGAGTTTGATAAAGTTATAGACTAAGAAGCGTCTTAGGAAGAGGTATATCAATGGTGTGTCAAAGATTTGCTCAATAAATCTTTTGAGGGTTATAACGCCACGGTATTAGCTTATGGATAAACTGGATCAGGTAAAACTTTTACAATGGGAACATCAAATACTAGCCTAAACGATGCATAAGAAATGGGTATAATTCCAAGAGTAATTAGAGAAATATTTAGCATTAGAAGGGAGAAAGAAAAATCTGTAGAAATGCTTTTAAAAATTAGCTATTTTGAGATATATAATGATAATATTATTGATTTGCTTGATCCTAATGCTATATCTGGTACTAATAATGCTGCTGCATCAAAAAAGGGAAAGTCAAATGCAAATGCAAATAATATATTTATTAGGGAAGAGCTTGATGGTAGCATTAATTTATATGGAATAACCGAAGAGAAGGTAAATTCTCCTGAAGAAATGCTTGCAGCATTAGAAAGGGGAGGTTTATGCAGGTCTACTAGTGCTACTCTCATGAATTAAACAAGCTCTAGATCTCATGCGGTTTTTACAATATTTTTAGAATAGCATTGTATCGATGATTTATATCAAAATTAAGATTAAAATGCTATGATTCCTGAAGATGCAGATGGGTAAAAAACAGTAGAGAACATTATTAATGAGGGATTTAAAACAAGTAAGTTTCATTTTGTTGATTTAGCAGGAAGTGAACGTATAAAGAAAACAGGTGCTGTTGGTAATACTATGAAGGAAGGAATAAACATTAATATGGGTCTTCTTTCTCTTGGTAATGTTATATCAGCTCTCACAGAACCATAAAAGCCTGGAGCTGCAAAAAAGCATATTCCTTATAGAGATTCAAAGCTAACTCGTATCCTTTAAGATAGTTTAGGTGGAAATAGTAATACACTTATGATTGCTTGTGTAAGTCCTGCAGAAAGCAACTTTGAAGAGAGTCTTAACACTTTGAAGTATGCCAGTAGGGCAAGAAGAATAAAAAATAAACCAATTGTAAATAGGGATCCACAAAGTGCTTTAATAAGCTCCCTTAAATAGCAAATATAAGAGGCTCATTTGGAAATAGCAAAGTATAGATAATTGCTAGTTACAAATAATGTAAAAATACCAGATGGCATGATGGGTTTTGGATTAAATGCATTACAAAATGTTGAAGATGGTGGCCAAAAAAGAAAATTGACATAGGACCTCATGATGCTAAAACAAAATAATAATGTTGGGGGAGCAATTCTTTCAATAGGGATCGGTAATGAAGCTGATATAGAAGAAATAAAGCAATTGCGTTTAAATTAAGTAAAGTTAGAGAAAAAAGTAAAAGAGCTGTAAGCTGAAAATAGCCAATTGAAATCGCATACTTAAAAAGGAGAGATAGAGGTTTATACAATTTAAAAGCAAAAGGATGAATATAGATTAAAATTAGAAAAAATCTTACAAATAGCAAAAGAAAAAGGGTTATTACATTAAGCAAGTTCAAATAGTATGGATGTTGAAGGAGAGGATCAAAAATAGCATATTTTTATTAATCAAAATGGTGAACTTGAGTTGGGCTAAGAGTAGCAAAACTTATTCGATGAGTATAATGAAAACATACAAAAGCTAAAAAAAGACCTTTTAAAAAAAGATCAAGAAAAAGGAGAGATGCAATTTGAATTTGAAGAGTCGATGAGAGCTTCAATTAGAGATTAATAAATATTGTGTGAAAAAGAAAAAAAGATAATTACCTTGAATAGAAACTTGAAAACAAAAGAGAATGAAATTAAAAAGCTTATGAAAGAGTTGCAAAACTTAAAAAAAGAAAATGCAGATTTATTAAAAAATGCAAATGTAAAGTTAACAGCAGCAGATATGGAAAATATTCAAGATACTAGTATAATGTAAGAAGAGCAAGAAGAAGAGTTTAATGATGAAGGAGAAGGTTTGGATTAAATATCTATGGATCCTGAGTATGTTTAAATGGAAAGTTAGTTAAAATTAGAAGAAAACTAAAATAAGCTAAAGCTCTCAAAAGTTGATGGATCTATTTAAGAAAAAAGCGAAGATCTACGCAGATTAAACTAAAATTAATTAGAGCTCTAAAAGTAGCTTCTAGAGAAAATGAAAGAACAATACCATTAAAAAATTATTCATCTTGAAACTGACATGAAAAAAATAGAAAATTAAAGAGATGAGGCTCTTTAAAAGTTATCTAATAATAACTCTAAGGAAGCTATTGCTGAGAAATAAAGAGTTATTGAAAATTTCAAGTAAAAAGTAGTAGACATGCAATCTAATCTCAATGAATACAAAAGAAAAGCAAAGGAGTAGGAGACACTCTAAAAAACTGTGTAGGCTTAAGAAAGACAAATACAATAACTTGGAGTAGAAATAAATAAATTTAAGCAATTAAAGACTAACCTTTATAAAGAACTTAAAAAGAATAATGAAGAATTTGAAAAATTCAAACAGAAAAAATATAAGGATTTAATGGATGAAAAAAAAAAGAATATTGAAAAGGAAAAGCAAATATTTAAGTTATAAAATTAGACAAAAAAGTAAGAGCGTCTTTTACAGAAGAAGTAAGAAGAATACAATAAAATGATTAGGTCACGAGATTTAATTAAGAAAATTATCTCTTCAAAGAGCACTAATTAGCTTAGAGGAAAAATTGCTTCTCAGCGTTATAAGCGTAAATAGAAAACAGAATTACAATTTGGTATGTCTGAAGACCAAAATGTAACTTTAAATACGAGCATAAACGCTTTTACAAACTAGTCATTTGCAGAAAGTAGCTCTGATGACCTTGAAGAAATTCTTGATAAGTGTCTATGCAAATTAATAGAATCAATAGAAATAGAAATGAATATTGAAAAAGTAGAGGAGGAGTTAAAAACAACTTCACAAGAGCAAGAAGAAGCTTAATAAAAGTATATTGAGTTTAAGCTAAATCTTGAAAAAAAAGAGAAAGCAATTAATGAAAAATAAGCTGGCAATAAAAATAAAGATGAGAGTTTATTTGGTGATGATATGATTGAGTAACAACAGCATTAAATAGATTAGTAGAAAATGGAATTAGAAGAGATTTAGAGCAGACTTGATAGTTTAGAAGCCAAATACGAATTTACAAAGGAGAAGCTAAACAAACTAATCAACGATAAGCGTTCAAGCAGTTTTGAAACTTTGTAAAATGAACTTCTAACATCACAGAAATATAACAATATCCAAACTCAAAAAATTCTTTTTAAATATTTAATTGAAAAATTTGGATCGAGCAGTAATGAGATACTTCGCAACCAGGATAAAATAGAAAACCTCAAGCTTTAAATAGCAGATTTATAGTAATATGTTAAGATGCTATAAAATCAAAAAGACATATGCTAAATTTAGCTATAATAACAAATTGATAGTTTACAGAATTAGCTATAAGCAGCACAGACGCTTTAGTCTCAGTCTTAGCCTTGTCCTTCAGATTCTGATTCTGAAATTAACTAAACCTAAGATGAACAGAGCTTTGGGTATATGTAAGTAAATTAGATAGGAGATGATGGAAACCGCAGATTTAATAAAAATAAAGGGTCTCCTCCAAAATAGATATCTAGTAATAGATATAAAATGATGAGACAGCAATATTAAGCAGAGTAATCTCCATTTAAAAAAGACAATAAAAACCAAGAAGATACGGTTAAACTTTAATAGAAGTAAATTAATGATCTAACCAGGTAACTCAAGCAACATGAATTAAGAGTAAAAACATTACAAAATAGGAATGATACTTTACAGTAAAAGTATGATGATCTTAAGAAAGCTAACTGCAAGGATAAGTTTATTGGCATAAATAAGTAATATATAGAAGAAGAATAAAGCAGCTAGCAATAGTAAATTCAAGCAGTTGGTGTTGTCACAAATCACACTTCTTAGACGTAGAATGCAACATAAATTTAAGCTTAAAACTAACAACCAAACTTGAATTTACCTGGATTATAGCAAAATTAGAGCATAAATAAAAACATTAAGGAAATAGCAAGCATATAGTCTTTGAAAGATAGAAGAAAGGAAATAAAAGGGAAAGTTAATACAAATGAAGGAACCCCATAAAATAATAACAATAATAGTACGAGCACTCCCGTACAAAATACACCATAATCATAGCATATAAATTCTCTGTAAAATTTGTCAGCCTAATCAAACTAATAGGAATAGCATTCATTTAGCGAAAACAGAGAAGACAGAAACATACAATTTTAAATACTTGATAAAGTTACAAATAATGATACTCATATTAGTTTATTTGCTAGCAAAACCAAAGCTCATTCTCTAGCTTAGAAGAGAAATATAATTCAAGAAGCTCGCCTATAACAAAATTCTTTAGCTTAGCAACAGCAACAATAGTAGCAGTAAGCATTATAGCAATTGCAAATTTTAAATACAAATGGTTCTTCAGATTTTGGAGTAAGAGGAAGACTTTCCTAAGGAAATCCATCAAGACAAGAAACTTAGATGCCTAATTTCAATAATTTAACTCTAGAAATAGAATAATAATAATAATAATAATAAAATAAAAATATAGATACCATTTTGAATACCTCAAGTGACAATACAAGTTCCTATCACAATTCTTTAGGATTCAGCTTAGGCAGTCCTCTTAAAGTTCCAGAATAAGCAAACACAAACAATGTTTCTTTAGCAGAGTCAGAAGATTTAACATCGTTACATTAGTAATAAGCTTCATATAATAATAACAATATTAATAAAATAGTAAATGAAATGAATCAACAAGGTCAAGCAACAAACAATATTTTCAACAATTCAGGTTAGATCTTTTCTTTTGCAAACGACTTAAGCACTTCATTAAATTAAGCTAACCAGATAAATAGCTAAAATAATTTCAATAATAGCCTGTCATTACAAGGCTAAAATGGAAGTGGATTAAGAAATTCAGTTGAAAGCAATAATGGATTAGCTTCTCCTGGCGATGAAACTCCGTTTTCTTGTAAATATGAGTGTTTAGCAAAAATCAATGATGCTCATACAGGTTAAGTATTTTGTGTAGAAAGTCATGAAAACTTTTTATTTTCAACCTCTGTAAAATCCCTTAAAATATGGGACTTAGAAACACTAAAATGTGTAAGTGACATACAAGCCCATAACCATTTTGTGAAAGGTTTGGCAATTTTAGAATAAGAAAAATGGATTGCTACTGCTTGTGATAAATATATCAATATATGGGATATGATAAGTATGTAAAAAGTATGTACTCTAACTGGACACAATGTAGATATCAAGCAACTTTATGTAGATTAAAACCATATTTTGTATTCTGCAGGTAAAGGCTTAAATAATTTTGGTGCACTTGTAACTTGGGATATCAGAAAATAGTAAGTTATAGATGAAAGAGAAAAGAATCAAGATATATTTTCAGTTCTACCCTACAATAATATAATCTATTATGCAAGCAGAGATCACTATGTTAGAAGAATCAACATGGAAACAAATTAATCCATAGATCCATTTAAGCCTCCTCATTACGATGCAGTTACTTCTTTGGCCATACTGAATGGTTATCTTGTAAGTGGGTCTAAGGACCATAATTTAAAACTATGGAATACAAATCCTTCAAATATTAGCTTTAAGTAATAGACACACTACTCAAACGAATAAGTTATCTGTTTAGAGTCAAACAAAGATAATAACCTATTATACGTTGGTCAAAAAGATGGTAAAATAAAGGTTGTGACAACTTAAAACAATAGGTTTAGAGATATTAGTGATATTAACAATGGACTACAGTCAGTAAATTGCATAACAAAAGTATAAAGTACAAGTGCTGAAAATGTTTTTGCTTGTGGAAGTGCTGATAAAGTAATAAAAATTTGGAAACCTACATCTGAGTCATAATACAACTTAGCTCAGCTCAAAAATATGTGTAGCAATGAATTATTGAATGCAAATAATTAACTGACTCCTTTTTAGACATTCTAGAGTGAATCAGCAAATGATATTATAGAGTCTGAATGATAAAACTTAATTTAACAAATAGATGGAAAAGCAAATGATCAAATGAACTAATTTTATTTAATTAAATGCAAATATAAAAAATGAATATATTATATAATTAAAAATAGGTTTCTTAGTAATTATTTATTTTTATTTCTTTCTTTTTTGTTTTTTTGGTTTTTTTCAATATCAAAATATGCTTACTACTTTGATTTTAGAAAACCAGTAGGATTTACCTCTTTTTTTATTTAGTGGTTTAATAAATTTGAATTTCTAGCTTGCAAATAAATTTTAAATAAATTAAATAAGAAAGCTTTAATCTTACATTTAGAACTGTAATTCTGCAAACTATTACAAATTTTTATGGAAATAAATTTCTATCATATTTTATATCGAAATTCATTTTTATGTTTTAAGCCTTACTGGGCTACGAATACAATTTATGGATTTACAATAAATTACCAAAAATATTTCTGTTAGTAATATTAAAAAAGTATATTAGTAAAGTTAATATAAAAAATTAATCCATTCAAAAAAATAAGTTGTTTTTTAATAATCTTTGTTTTGAAAATTAATCAAGATTAAAAAAAATAAAAAGTTATCAAAGTATATAGAAAAGTAATATGCAAATATTTTCACCTTAAATTTTCATTAATTTAGACTATTCTAGATAGTTTTTAAAAATCTTTTCATTAAGCTTAAGGCTAATTTTTGAGAAAAAGCATTTTTGGTAAATTAATGAGAAAAAAGGAATAAATACACTTTTAATGACCTAAATTTTGATATTTCCTATTCTAATTGAAAAAATTGTATATTTTATTTAGTTCATGCATTTCAACATTTATTTTAAAAGGGTTATTTTTTTTATTTAGTGTAAACTATCTTTATTCAAGTTTTAAAATTAAAAGCAAGTCAGTATAAATCAATTTGTTACATTTAGTTAATTAGTTTGAGTTGAGTATATTATTTGGCTATTCAAGTAGTTTTATTCTTCTTGATAAATTAACTGATTATGGTTCAATTTGTTAAATTTTAAATTATTTAAAAATCAGTAGAAATTTATTTTGAATCAGTAAATAGATAGAAACTGAAAATTTATTATTTATAATTATAACAGCTATCAAAGAAAATTTTTTAATTTTAACAAAAATAAATAAATAAATATTTAAAATATTGAGATAATTTCCATTAATACAAAAAAATTTGATAAATGCTTGTGAATACTTTGAATTAAATAATAATTATTATGAGTTTTAACCATTAATTATTTTTTGCAATCAAACTATTTAATATTTTGTTAATAATTTTTCAGAATTTAGTATATTAATAAATCTTCAATTTTATATTAAATGAAATTTGTTAGTAAATTCTTTTTTTTCAAATTAGAGTGATTTCAAGAAAGAAGATATTAAGATAAATAGCTAGTAGCTGACTATCTTTAAATAAATTATTATTTTGAAAAATATTTGAAAATGTACTGATTTCTAAAGCATGAATTTTATATTATTTTTTTAAAAAAGGTCTTGTTATCTATTTTAGTAAATTTTATAAGGTTGTTAATATTTTGTTTAAGATATGGTAAGAATAAAGTAGTAATATAAAAGATGTAATTACAAAATACTGATTTTTTAATCAAAATCAAAATAATTTTATCTATTGTAATTATAATAAGTAAAATAAGTATATATAATATCAGAAAAAGTTTGAATTTTGATTAAATTCAAGAAGATGAAGTTTTGTATGATGATTGGTGATACTCATTATTATTATTATTGTTATTATTATTATTATTATGAATAGAATTTATTAATGAATTATTCAGCTTCGATTGTGTAATGAAAGTCATCTAACTTAAATTTTTCAATGACTGCTTATGGAGTCAGATACCTTTAGCGATGAACACTATCAATTAATTTTTAATTTCCTTCTAATAATCTCACTTCTAAGAAATCACTAAGTACGTGGCCAGGTATAATTTCAAAGGGTTAGAGATTAATACGCTTTATTGTTGTTGTAAGTGGGATTTCAAAATCATCGTAAGTTACCATGCTCATGGTAAAAGATGTGCCACCTTCAAATATCACACGAGATAAATCTATGATTCCCTTAGCATCCATATAGTGAGGTAGTCCCCAACGAGACATAAATTAGCTCATGATATCAAGATTTTGAGATCCTATAAATAAATTACAGAAGGAAGTATTGCCTCCTACAAAATGCTATTTAACTGTTAAAGTATAAGGATCTACTTTCTTGTAATGCAGAGCAATAACTTTGTTTTAATCTAACTTATTTATAATGTCAAAAGCTTTTTTTAAAGAGAGTTAGTGGTTTTATGCCACAACTTCACGAATTTTTTATTCATCATTATTGTAGTGATTAAGCACCTTGTTTTTAAATTCTTGTTATCCACTTAGCTAAACAGAATATTTTTTAGATAAAAATTCTGAAATAAGTCTTGCTTCGTATGTGTTTAATCTATCAAGCATATGGACAGCAGCATTTACATCAGTTGTTCCATTATAAGTATCATCCAGCTAAGCGAGGCAATAATTATTTCCCTTAAATACTTGCACAGGAGGCCTAAAGTAATTTATAGGACAACAAGAAGTTTTAATCTTTTCTATGTCAAGATCTGTAAATACATCTTTACAAACGCACATATCACCATAGAATAAGAAATTGAATTATTCATCTATCAGCTTGTATAGGCTCTATTTGTATTCAGCTTTTTGTTGAATGCGGATAGGCTTGAATTTCCTCTTTTACTTTAGTACACTTAAGGCTTCTTCTTCACTTTTTTTCTTTTCTTCATTTTTTCTTCTCTTTTCTAAAATGTATTATTTTTTCTTGTTTTCATATTCCTTTTTATTCAAATAGTGGAAGTTATCTGAAACGGGTTCATCCTCTTCGAAGATATTGTTTGATAGTCCCTCTTTTTTATTCTTTTACTTCAATTTTTCAAAGTAAATATATAAAGAATTATATTGAGTTTCTATAAAATTTTGATTGTCATCTTTTTTTTCTTCAATTTTCTTTCTTTTAATTATAAATGGCTGCACAATACATTAATCTGCATCAGATTTCGTGATCAATCCATTTTAAAATCCATATTTTTAAGTGCTAGCTTACTTTTATTATTATAATTATTATTATTATTATTATTCGACAAATTTAGCATCAAACAAAAATCGATTATCTTCCGAATAATTTTAAGCAGAGTAAGACACTTCAAATGATTTATCTTCTAAATAGGGAGAAGAGACAAAATGTTACACTATTTCTTGATTAGAATAACCCTCAGTTTCGTTGGAATTAAATATATTTTCTGCGCTGTTATTTTGTTAATTTAAAGAAATTGAGTTATTAATGTATGAGTGGTAGTCAAAACCAGTGCAATCATCTAGTTTTTCGTAAAACAAACTAAAACATTCTTTTGAGGAATGATCCATTAATTCGTTATTATTTAAATCAGGAGAAGATGATTCTTCATCATTTAAAAATGATTTGGATTAACTGTTCATTTTATTTAACTTATACTTAGCAGTTATTTAACAAGTATTTTTTATATATGCTTTAGACCAGAAACTTTTTTATAATTTAGACTGTTTTTTAATTACTTTTTTTTTGTTAAAATCTTAATTTTGCAGAAGGTATGTAAAATATTTAGATTCAATATAGAATGTTTTGGGACTATCAAGACTATAAGGATTTTGAATATTAAAGTAATTTGTAAATCAAAAATTTTGTTACTTGTTTTTATATTGGATGAGATATATTAAAAATACAAACTAAATTTATTGAAATTACGCAGCAGGGTAATAATGAGGATTAATCTTTCTAAAGAAAGAGAGACAGATTACTATAATTTGAATACTTTTTTTAAAAATTTTGCATCTCATATTTTTGATGAATTTGAACAAAATCAACCTAATTTTGATTTAAAATTCTTTATATTTTCTATAAAAGTTCTATTCAAAACTATTGCATGATCCACAATTATCTTTACATTTACTCCTAACGCTCATTTGTTCATTACTAACACTCAAGTTAAATTCATTTACCATAATTTACTAGGACATTTTTACAGAAAAATGAAATAAACACTAAAATAAAAATTATTAATTCTGTTATTTTAACTTATTCTGAAGAATCTTTAATTTATAAACAATATAAATAACTGAATAACTATAAAAAAATATTCACAAAATAGCAAAGATGACAAACTAAAGGTTGACGTACTTTAATTTTGATTTATATTTTAGATAATTGTTTGTTTATCTATTTAATATTACTATAAAAGATATAAAAATATTTATTATTTGATTCTTTATTTTCATTAATTGTCTTTATCGATTCTGATTATTTATGACCCTTATCAGGCAATTAGTTACCTAATCTGAAAAATATAATAAATCATGGTAAAATTTTTCTTCTCGTTCTAGACCTTTAATAAATAAGTGAATAAGTTTAAAGCTCTATTAGCTTTGATTAATTTATTATTACTTTTTGTTACTTTGTTACTTGTGTAGCATACTTAACTTCTAATTTTTAATGTTTTTTTGGTATGATAAAAGCAAGAAAGAAAAAAAATACTAATGAGAAGTTTTAATCTAAATATTTTAGATAGAATTAACATTTTTAATTAGGAAATGAAAAAAACTTTTTTTTTTGATCAATTTTAATCGTACTTTTCTACTTGTATCTCTTTACACTTTCCAATTTTAAAATTTATTTATTGATTAATTAAAATTGTCTAAGCTTCTAAAAGCAACCCATTTTACTATTAAGCTTGATTATATACATTTTTAGTAATTGATTTGAAATAAAAATAAAATGAAAATTGATGGTTTTTATTGTGTTATAATTTAGGTTATATTTTTCGGATACAAAAGATTAATAAATATGTATAAATTTTTACTTTATTATTAAAGCTAATAAATAGTTTTTAATATAAGGTACATTGATTTACCTAATTCTTTTTTAATTTAAATTAAAGATAAAATTACCTTTATTAGTAAAATATATATAATTAGTTTTTTACTTCCTTATTATTTGGTTTTTCCTCGTTGTTTATTCTTTTATTAACTTATTTGAATATATAAATTTAATAATATTTTCTATTTATTAATGTTAGAAGTGATTGCTGCAAAAAGCATTTGCAAAATCATGAAAATAATATTCTGACAAATATTACATAAATTCATGATTTAATTTAAACGATGGCGTCACCAAGAGAATTAGTGTGTAATCTCTTTAACTCTTTATGCCTATTATTAATAATTTAGAGCATTAAAAGCTTTGCATACACTAGTTATTCTCTTTAAAGCGACTACTATAAGAAAATACTACCTCATCTTTGAATTCAAGCAAATTAAAATTTTGTATGTTGATGATTTTCAATATACTTTCTAACAAATTTATTTCTAAATTGAGGTTAGAGGAAGAGATATTTAATTATATGTTTTAGTTGTGGTTGTGCCAAAAGCAACGCCATCGTTTTGCGATTCAGAGATTGAAGCATGATTTTCTTAATTGAGAATCTGAAGAAGAATCAGATGTAGGAGGATTAGTTTTTGATTTTTTATTTTTCTTGTAAAATTTATTAACAAAGGCTTCTGCCTCTAAGGTATATCCTAAATCTTCAATTTTCAAGTAAGTTTCCATTTGGTTAGTTTCAGTACGAATTTAGGCTACACTTTGATAAACTTTAGGGTTGAACTTCAACTCTCTCATTTCGAATTTATCTCCAACAGAGAGACCAGGAGCAATTTCTAGTTAGTGGAGAGGAACAAACTCTCTGACACCTTCAAAGGGAAGGACTTCATCGTCAAAAGTAACTAAATTTGAGAAATATGAATTTTTGGATTAGAATTTTGAGTACAAAACATTAAGGACACCAGAGACATCATTAAAATGAGGGAAACTATATCGTTAACAGTACTGCCTCATTAATGTGATATCGTTTTAGCCAAGGAATGCTTCAGTAAATTTGGTGTTACCTCCAACAAAGAATAGTTTATTTGTTCCTGCTTCATAGTCGAACTTCATGTAAAGGAAAACATATGCCTTGTTTTTATCAGCTTTTTCCATAGCTTCATGAGCAATTTTAAGTGAATTCAAGTGATTAGCTTTTACCTACTCTATCAACTACTCTTTGTTAAAGGCATTATTTAAATTAGTTCTGATCAACTGCAGCTAATTAATGTAGTTTTAGTAATTCATTATAAATGATGATATTTCAAAAGCTTATTAGTTTTATAAAAGTTTTAGCATAGTTACAGGAGCTAAAATATCAGTAATACCATTATAGGATTAGTTGAGAGTGCAAATAACATAGTTCTTACCAGTTTATACAGAAACTTAAGGGCGATAATTATGTAATGGGCAATAGGCTTCCACTTAAGAAGAGTTTTGTTTTAAAAACACACCTCTATCTACTGTGAAATCTCCAGCGAGCATGAAACATGTTTTATCATCTAGATTTCTCAAAAACAATTCCGAGTAGTTAGCAACTCTGCTAACTCTAAAATGTGAACCTCTGTTTCTGGTAATTGTAAAGGGTTTTATTTTTTATACTTTATTTGAGAAATTAAACTCTAAAGAGCACTAATTCTTTTATCTGCCAGTATTATCTTCGTTATCATCACTTATTTCATAATCTTCTTCATTTTTTTTTGTGACTATATTATCAAATTAAAATGAAGTGACTCTTGTTAAAAGTGCATTTAAATCAGTAGTATCAAATGCTTCCTAAGGTGAAGATAAGAAAGAGTTATAATCTTGATTTTTAACTTAGAAGTCAGCTAAGAGGGATAAAGTTTATTATGAAGTGTGCATTTTTATAATTTTTTTTGAGTTGATGAGTTTGATTATTTCTTAATTTATCTAGTTAATTCAATTTTGATAATTTATTGACAAAAATAAATATAAATCAATGCAAAATTGCAAATTCCTTAATACCAAACAAACAAACAAACATACATACATACAATTTATCAATCAATCAAACAAGCAAAATAAATATCAAAATCCAATTTGAAACTTTAGATATATCATCAATCTATATTTTAAAGTTATTTATTATCACTTATGAGTAAATTAAAAATTTCGAAAAATGTCCTAAATCTACATTCTAATTCTTTTACAAAAAAAATAACACCTTATCAAAATATTATTATTTCTGATGACTATCTTTGAATATTTAATACTAATAATGCATCATTATTTTATAAATAAATTTAGATTTATTATTTAAACAAATATTTAAGGGCGCAGCATCCAAATACAAAAGCATTAACTTTATAAAAGTCATTGCTAATAAATTTTGTAAACAAATTAAAAATTATTTACTATAAAATTATTTCTCAGATTCAATTATCATAGAATTTTTCTCATAAAACACAAAATATAAGTAACAAATAAGTTAATTTTTATAATTTTCAGAATACTTTATGCTTATTTAATACATAATTTTTAGTTTTTGATGTAAAATTTTCACCCACATTTAGGCAAATGGGTTAAAATTAATTATTCTTTTACATAAATTTTACCTTTATATTAAATAAGACCTAAATCATATAGAAAAATATCATTTTTTATTTAATGAAATCTCATCTTTTAAAAGATTAATTTTTTTAATTCTCAAACTAATCAGATTTATAAATTTATTCTTAATATTAAATATTGTCTAGCTATTGTAGAAGGAGTAAACCTAATAGCCACTAAGTATAAACAAAATATGACTAATTAATATTTTACTTACTTTTTAAGCGGTATATTTGTAAGTTTAGGTTAAATTTAATCTTTAAAAAATTAATCTAGTTTTAAAAGAAAAAAAATTATGCTTAAAAATAATTTAAAATAATTCTTAATTTAAAATTTATTTATTAGTTTATTAACAATTTTTTAAGTTTTTCCATTTATACAGGATTCATTTTTTATATAATTTAAATAAAATTAAATATAATGTTAGTAGATATTGTTGTAAACTATAAATATCAATTGATTCAATTCAATTTAAGCTAAGTATTTAATTAATAAGATTTGGGTAGCCTTTTATTTTTCTATTTATAAAAAAGAAGATAATTTTAGTTTTGTTAAATATTATTTTACATTACTAATCAATTATTTTGAAAATTATTTTAAGTCTGAATTTTGTAATTTCTATTTTCAAATAGATGTAATTAATTAAAACTCTAAATTAAAATATTGGCAAAGAGTAATTTATTTTTAAATGATAAATAAATACCTTTCAATCTAAAAATATATAGTTCTTTGGATAGTAAAGATAAAATACACTCTTCGATTGTGAGAGAATTTCATCTAAATATATTTGATTCATGTTTTTAAGAATAGAAGTTTATTTTTTAAATTTTATAAAATAGAAAAAAAAAATAACTTATTAACTCTATTATTATTAGTATAAAAATAATTTTAGTTATGAGGTTTATTTTTCTGATTCATAACATTAAAAAATTAAAAATTCAAGTTTTATAATAACCAAACTGATTGTTGACAGTAAATTCTTTTATATATAAAACTCTACTTTTAGTTAAAAATTGGATATTTACAATAGATATGATTGGTTTATTATATGAATTTAAATTAATTATAGAAGAATAACTAAAAACAAGTTTTACACTCACTTTCAAGAAATTCTAATGAAAATTAATGCTTTTTTAATATTTTTTCTCTTGGATAAATCTTTATAAAAATAAGATTATTTTTAAACATTAGTTTTTTTAAATCAATTAGATCAATATTAAGATGTTTTCAAAATGGCAATATATTGAAATTTAAAATAGATAAACAAAAGGCTTTCCATTAAGTGTTTAATTTTAAATTATATTTAGCTATTGTTTTTTGACATGATATATGTGTTATTTAAATAAATTATTTAAAAAATAAACAATAAAAATGGCTCTGGTGGTTTTTTCAATAATAAACAAAATTTAAAGCTGTATACACAAAGAAGTGTAGTTTGTATTGATGTATGATCATAAAAAAATATTGTTTTATTAAAGAATGATCAAAGGTTAATAGAAAACTTGATATTTTTATTCATTAACGCTTTCTCCATATCATTATTTACGCTTTAAACGAAAAATAAAAAATAAATATGAAACAGTACTATGAGTATAAATGCTTCATCCTAATTCATTCTATTTCATTAGCAAGGATAGATGAAAACAGGGAGAGAAGTTAACTGATTTATATATTTATTTTTTATTTTGTATAAAAAAACAAAAACCAAAGTTAGTTAGATAGATAGATTGATAGATAGATAGAGATAGGTTAGGAGGCTTTTTGAAAAAAAAATAATAAGAAAGTTTTAAATTATATTAAGGCAATATATGGATAAGATTATTAAAAATGACTAATTAATTTACTTATAAAGTATAAAGATGAACAGAGATAAAGAAATAAAAATTGAATCATAACTCAATTTTAGTAATAAATTTTGAATATAATTAGAATTTGAGTTCTTATTTATTTTTATTAATTGAATGAAGATGTTTTTTTTTAAGAAAATAAAATTCTGAATAATTTTAAAGAAATTATTTAGTTAGTTAGTTGATTAATGTTATTATTTTAGTACCTCAATATTGAAAATTATTAATGATTTAAATTATTAAATTATACTCTTTAGTCTTATTTAATTCATATTTAGACAGCATAGCCAGGAGGCTAGAGATAAAAGAGTATTTTTTAAGTAAGAAAGACAAATAGAAATGAACCAGCGATTTTTGCTTTTAAGATTATTAATTTATTGGTATTTTTTTCACTTTGAGTAGAATTTTATTGTGTCGAGAAGAGATGAGTCGGAGTAACTTCGAAGCAGAAAAACAATGTAAAAAATATGGTATCTAACATCTACAATTTTAAGGCTCTGCTTAAGCCAATCAACTGCGTATACTTCAAGATAGTATTTGAAAAGGATACCAAAACGATCATTCAGTATGAGATCTTTGACAAGAGAATTGTTAATGTTTCTCCTTTTAATAAATTTTTTGAATTACTGCCTGAACTAAGCGCATTTTTTTTGATAAATGTCTAAGCACTCAATGATCACTGAATCACCTTCATCAAGGATAAAACGATTAAAGGATCTAATCAAGTTTTTTAGGTAGTTTGATTTTTATTGTTCTCTAAAAACTTCAAGACACTCAGAACTAGGCATTTCTTAATAAGTAACCAAATACTTATCTATTTTTTATTAGCGAGTTTCTGAAGAATATGATGAAGCTGACTTGCTCATACAAGGCGAAATATCCATAAAAGATTCTGTTTCTTAATTGGAATTGGAGGTATATTAGTCGAAATTAAGAGAGATATTTTCTTTGCTTAAGCTCATTTTATTTAAAGATATTTTGGTAATTATATTTGATATTTTTTATTGAAAGGGTTTTATTATAAATAATTTTAATAAATATTCTATTCTTTTAAATAAAATAGCTTGTTTTCGTTTGATTGATTTAGTTATTTATTTTTAGTTGCTGCCAATATTTTTATTAAGATTTTATTTTTTTAATTGTTATAAATGTTTGTTTTTATTAATTATTTATCAATTTAAGAACCAATTTACATCATTTCAATTTTTTCGATAAATTGGCTATGACGATATGACGATTAAAGTTGAATGAATAACTCTTTTTTATTTTTCTTTTGGTGAATTCGAAATAAAACACTCGTTTACTTAGTGATATTAATTATATATCAGTAATAGCTAAAGCTGAAAATTTAATTAATCTTATGATTTTTTTAAATTAAAAAATAAATCAGATAGATAATTAGATACTCACCCCTTGAATTAAATAATTGCTTTAATTTCAAACTATTCTCCTTAAGGCAAACTATCTTAAACCAGCCAATACATTAATAGCTGTTTTTATTTGATAAAAACACTTTCAATGATTGTTACTTACATCATGAAATTAACTATTTTCTAATGCTACGCCAAATTATTATTTTGTATAACAAAATTTTAGTTAGCTTACCTAATTTATTCTATGCAACAAACAGATAGTTCACGATAAAAGACAAGCGTCATAATTTTCTTTTTTTTACATTTTTATTATTTTAGCCTTCCACCTAAAATTTCATATGAATAAATTAAGTAATTTTTAATAAAATAAATTTTATTAAGCAATTTTAGATTAGTTCTTTTTCAAATAAAACAAACTTTTATATAAAATATTATAAATATTAAAATTTTTATATGGTTTCTCAATAAAAAGCAATCTCAAATAGAAATGTGTAAAATACTAATTATATTTACTAAATGCTTCAAGTATAAAAAATATTTTATCTAAAGAAATCATTATGATAATTTATATGAGTATATTTGATTGTTGTTATATTTATAATTATATCTCAGTCAAAAACAAACATTAAATCCATTAAAAAAATGACGTGCTTTCTCTAAAAAATATTTATTTTTTATTTAAAATAAAAATATATTCTTCAGGTCAAATAAGCTATGATTGAATAGTAGTGTAAATAGAATTTTTTTTTCTTTAATCTTTTTTATTTTAAGTTTTTTACTATCTTCTCAATATCTTTTATAAATTATATTTGTTTTCTATAATTTATTTTTAAATAGTCCTTGAGTTATAAGCCAAACTTTTAAAACTGAAAACATTATTGTTGAATGAGAAAGAAATTATTTAGTGATAAATAATTCAGCAAACTAATTTCAATAAAAAGGTTTACTCTTTTAGAAGTAAGACCTAAAATGATTTATTCATAAATACTCTTATTTTAATAAAATTAAATTCAAGAAAAACAATTAATCAATTGGATAAAATAAAATTATCTTTCAATTTGACATCGATTACAGTTGCTGCTTCTAAGATTTTAAATATAGAAAATTGATTTAATTTTATGATCAATATTTTGAAATTAAAATGTAATATCATATAAATTAGGATATTAATGTATTTAAATAAAAAAATAAGCAAATTAGTTTTTTAAATGAGATTACAAAATTAAATTTTTTAAAAGCTTTATTTTATTGTGAAAATTTAAATATATTTTTCCTTTTTAGGTTTAAATATTTATTATAATTAATATAAGTGTAACAATTAAAAATTTTAGTATATTTATTCACATAAATTCAATATTTTGAAGTTAATAAAATAAATTGATATTTAATTATCAATGATTAGATAGCTTGTTAATTTAAAGCAAAATACTATTAAACAGGTCTAAATGAAATATATATTTTTATTTGATAATTTGATAATAATATTGAATTTTATAACAAATTATCATTAAAAAATGTATTATTAAAACCTAAAAAAATTTTTATTTTATATTATTTTATGTAATCAATTATTTGAATTGATATTTTAATGGATTTTTATCAAGCAGTTTTTAACACTCCATCTTGATAGAATCCTTCATAAACTATTTAATCATTTTAGTCTAATATATAACATTTGCCTTATGCTTTGCCTTTTATAAAATACCCATAAAATCTAAAATTGTTTTATAGTAAAATAACTCCTTCTCCTTCCAAATCATTTTTGTAAAACTCAGCTACGCTTTGTATTTACGAAAAATCATCTGAATCAATTTCGTTTTATAATTAATTTTAAAAATTATTTCCTAGTTTGATTGATTGATTAGATAAATTATTATTTAAGTATTCGCTTTATTAACTGTTAAGATATTATAGATTCTAGCATTAGATTGAATAAATTTGTTATTGATAAGAATTCATTTCATTTTAGTCAATTTTAGATCTCTTTATACTTTAATTGCAATTTAGTTTATTTTACTCTTCTTCACTTTTTTATTGATTACAGTTAACCTATTTTATTAAGAGAAAAATTTAAGTAAATAGATTGATTCTGTAAGAATAAAATGAATATTAATCATCATTGATAACAGCAATATAAATATTTTTAAATTTTGCTAGTTTTTTAAAAAAATGCTTTTATGTTTGATAATATATCCATTTTTTAGGCAATTTTTGATGTTTTAATATTATTAGTTTACATTGACAGAATTACTTTTTAAGGGGAAAATATTTGTATTTAACTCTTTCTTCACTAATTCAGGGCTTCGCACTTAGGAGTATAGTTGTTGCCTTTCAAAGTTTTAGTTTATTTTCATTTGGTTATTTTCAAATTAAAAATCTGAGTTTTATCTTATGCCATCAACTGACTCTATAATCACACTTCCATCTAATTAAATTAAAAAATTCCTCATATTTTTCAAATTTTAAATTAATTTTTATTTTTACTGCTTTGCAATTAATCTCTGAAGCTTATTTTATTACTTTCATAAATTATTATGCTTTCCATTTAGTGACGTGATTAATCTATTTAGCTTTAACGCCTTTCTAAAAATTAATTTTTTTATATATCATTTAACTAATTCATTTATCGTTCTCTGCATGAGCTGTCATTTTCAGTAATTTACACACTTTAAATTAGAGAGTAATTTTATGTGGGAATAAAAACTGATTTAGTTCTCTCTTCCAATTCATTTTATTTTCCCATAAGGAATTTATTTGCCTTACCCTAATTATTAAATTAACTCTTAATATTGCATAATAATAAAAGCAAATAATTAAATACTATCCCAAAATTATTATCAATTTCTAATTATTTTTATTGCAATTGATTTTTTTGCAAATTAAATTAATCTTTACAATTTGTGTGCTACGTTTGTTATTAGCTATCAATTTAACCTAAATTTTAATTACACTTATTGTTCTCTTAAATTAAAATTTTAGGGCTAGGTTATTAATTTTCTATTTTAATAAATTCCTTTTTACCAAGGATATAGCAATCTTTAATTGAGGTCTATTTTTATTAAGAACACTATTAAGACATTTGGACATCATTTTGTTGTTAAATTGAGCACAGTAAATAATTACTTTTTTATTATTTATATTAATCTACTCTCTCATATTTTTAATGTTAGCAATCATGAAAAATACCTTAATTATCTTTTAAGAAAAGAGTAAATATTTATTCAAAAAATAAATTTCAATAAAGTGCTTAATATTTAGATAAGCTTTAATATAATTTTTTGTATACTTTCTTTTTGATCAGCACTGCTAGAGTAAGATGACATATCACTATTGTTGATTGAAATTTTATATTCTTAAACATTACTTTTAATTGGTTTATTTATAACTCCCAATTTTTCTGCGAGCTCAATAAAATCTGGTCTCTTTTCATCATTTTTAACTAACATTTTACACAAAATTTATGCGAAATCGTAGCTGTACATCTTTTCAACTAAAGATAATTATTAATTTATGAATTATTAACTAGCAGAGTCACTATTTTAATGGAAAGAAATACCTATATTTTAATTAACGCATAAATTTAGCATCAGACATCCAAGCGAAAAAACATTTTCTTTATAAATGTTTGTTGGGTTGATACTCAATTATTTTAATGATTTAGGCTATATTTATGTTTTATTATTGAGTTATGAAGTCTTATTTTTATTTTATATAGGAAGTATAGTATGCTAATCAATTTTGAGTTAAGAGGGATTTTTAAATTTTTCTTTTAAATACTGTTAAGTGAAAAAATGCTCATTGAGTTTTATATTTCCTTCATTTGTAATTAAAATAGATTTTAAGTTTAAATTTTAATAAGCAATTTTGTGAATTTGAAGATATGCTAAAGCAGATACTAAACTTTTTAATATAAAAGTTATTTCTTCTAGTGTAAACAAATGTTATTTTGTTAGAGATCTAAATATATATTCAGAAAGTAGATCACGTTCATAATGCTCAAAAAATAAATTAACTAAAAGCTATTCAGTGCACATCGAATTATGTTCAGCTCGCTAAATTTTTTTAAGCCTGACCAAATTTGTATGTTTTAATTTCTTAAATATTTTCGTCTTTTAGATGAACTGCTCCATCTCTAATTAATCACTAAAAATGAAAGATTAAACAGCGTATAGATGCTTTTAAGCTTTATCTTCAGCTATTATAATTTCTCCTTAAGCACCTTGATTATTTTTTATGTGAACATCGAATTATCTAGATATTGAGTTTATATTATTTTCAACTTACACTGAATTGCTTTAGCAATTTTAATTGCCCATTTTTAATTAGAAAAAACTAGTAATAAGAATATATTCTTTTTTTAAATTTATCAATCAAATAGTGAAAACATTTAGATATAGTAAATTACAGTTAAAAAACTATTACTTAAAAACAAAGAAAGAGTATAATAGTTCTTTGAATAAATTTATTTTTAAAATTTATATTTTTTTCAATTTTCTAAAAATCTTTTAAAAATATCTTAAATAGCTAAATAATATTTATTTTTTTAGAAATAATTTGGCTAAAAAATATTTTTTAAATCTAATTTATTGATATTTTAGTCGTTTTTTTTTTAAATTGCTAAAATTTTTTTGATAAATTCTAAAAAATTGATTAGAAAAGATAAAATATTTATATTTTTATAATAATTTCTTTATGTAAGGAAATTTAGAAAAACTGAATGATAAATATCTAATACTTCAAAAGATATTTTGATAATATTTATTATGAGTTTTTGATTTTCTAACTTTTAAAGATCTAAATTTATATTAGTTAAAAGAGGTTCACAGTTTCTTGTTATTTTTTATTTACTTCTCCACTCTTTTTTGAGAACTATTTGATTTAAGAATTTGTTTAAAGAAATTTGTTAAATAATTTGTAATTATTGCGATACTTTTTGACTACTTTTACCTTTAGGAAATCAAATAACATTATTCAATTAACTCAGAAAGTAAATTTATTTGTTATTATACAGACCAAATTTCTTTTTAATTTGGAAAAAGGGTAACTTAAACAATGAATTTCTTATTTTTAATTCTTAAATAACACAAAAAGCTGTTTGTTGTAAATTTTCAAAAAAGTTAACTCTTTAATTTATAAATAACAAGAATTTTTTCAAGCTTTGTTCTAAATTTCTAAGCATTCGTTTACCATAAAAACTAAATATTTATGCAAAAATTAAAAAAGCACTTAAATAAAAACCTCAAATATGATTGATTATTCTAGAGGCTGGCTTATTCCAAGCATAATTTACTCCTTGTAAATTATTAATTTCGACAATGACTCATAATTTATTTATTCTGAATTAACCTTAGAATTAAGAGCAGCTTTTCTTATTAATCAGTAAGGAAATTCAGATTTTTATCAATGCCTATGTAAAACCCAAACTTAATTGAGAAAAAAAAGATTAGAAAAAATGTAATATGATTCTTTACCATTTATCATCAGAAACCACTAACAAATAAAGGAATTCGAAAAGAGGAAAATTTTTAAAATTTGGATGAAGATATCTCTCAAAAAAAATTTGAGGTAATTTTATAGGTTGATAAAACACAAGATAAAAATAGAAGAAAAAAAAAGATTTATATGCTTGAAAGAAACTTTTAGTTTATATAAATATAAATTGCCTACAAAAATGAATTTTCAAAATGTAAAAAAAATTCAAGAACATTTAATTATCTGTAAACTAGTGAACAGAAATTTCAATATTTTGTTAGAAGAAATAATAAATTTAAAGAATGATAATTCTGTTAGTTTCATTGTCTAAATAACTTTTATTTATTTAGTTAATTAATTTTATGTGATCAAGTCAGACAGTTGGACTTATCTAATTTCCTTATTACTCTTCAAAATAAGGTTTTGAAGGATTAAGAAAGTTAATCTTATGTCCTTACCCAAATGAATCTTAGCCCCATTTCTCACTGACAAATTAAGAAAAAATATTGTTTTTTTAACTAATTATATCGTTGGGTAGAGGGTAAGACATTGTAACATCAATATCAGACCTAAAACTAATTTTTGTTTAACTATTCAAATTTTCTTCATTCTCTTTAAGACTAACTATTTAGTTTTATAATTCGTCCACATCATGTTAATTCTGTTCATTCTACCCGTTCTACAAATAATTAGAAACATTATTTAATTTAAAAGTGTTTCTGCTAGACCTCTGGGTAAAGTTAGAGTTGTGCTTATTAGATTACCTTCTAGAAAACACAGAACCTCTGCTGTGATATTTTGAATAGTTAGACTGCTATTTTCCTAATTCCTCACCATCTTTTTGTTACTCGTACTTATTATATAGAGAATTCAAACTTGAAGTTTCTACTTTATTTGACGATTTTATAGTACTACGCTTTGAGCGTTTTTTATTTCTCAAAAAGTTAATATTTTTTTGAATATTCTTATTTTTGTAAGACAATACCTTGTCAACATTATTATGTGGAAAGTAATATGCAAAATTTTTTATCTAATCTATTTCAACAATTATAAACAATTTCTCCTCCATAAGCAAATTAGTAGCAAAATGAGTCAGTTATTTTTCAGTGCCCTACTTTTCAATATTTTTTTCTATATGTTTACTATCAGAGCTTGGAATCCTACTAAGTTTTTTATTTATTTGTCTGTTTTGTGTAATTTAAATAGTTCCTTTTCTTTCACTACTTCTCTTAATTACATCTGGTTAATGTGAAGGAGGAGCAAAGCTTGATGTTATGTTAACCAACATTCCTTCATCTTAAGATAATCTTTATCTAAAAACTGGTTGCTGTGGAAGAAGGGTGTTTCTTTGCTTGCCTTTTCTAACGACTTTCATTGAACTTGTTCTCACATCTTCTTCTTATTCTTGTTTTAAACCTGTAGACATTTAATTCAAGTAGCTATCTCTTTAATTTATTGACGAAACTCCTCCTCCTCCACCACCAATAGATTCAAATTTAAAGTAACTAGGGTTTTCATTCTAAGTCTACTCAAAAGTTTCTAAATGATCATAAAGCTCTTCTATTATTTAATCATTCTCTTCATAATAAATTCTTGCTTGTTAATCTATATCTTATTAAATTGATAATGTTCTTCGATATTTAATCTTATTTATCCTTTGGAAGTCTTTATTTCTTTCGTTAAATCCAAAATTAGCATCTCTGATTACTTTGTGGCGATTTGCAACATAGTGTAAATAGGGACAATCATTTAGTTGATGATTGAAGCTCCTACAAGAGTAGCATCTATAATATACATATTTTTTTTATTTTTTCAATATGAATTAGATGAAATAGCAAAAAATTAAGAACAAAAATAATAAACAATGAAAAATTTATTCAAGAAAAGTAAAAATAATAAAATCTTTATTCAGAAATTCAAAATTATCAGCCTTTGTTCATGACTTAATGTGATTACATCTACATTATACCAGCCTTTGAAGTATTTTTAATCTAAAAATGAAATATTATCCATAATATTTTATGATTACATGTTGGTTAATTTTATATTATGTGTTTTTGAATATAATTAAATTTAATGATTGTGCAAAAGTAAATTAAATCATTAGAAAATTATGGTAGTAATATTCATTATTTAAGCTAAATAAATTTGCCATATTATAATTAATTACCTTAATCCTAGCTTTTAGTAGTCTTTAACGATCATAATTTTATCTCTCAGATAGCAAAATCTTTCATAGTCTTAAGGAAATTCTTACAAAATTTGCAAAAATTCGTCTCTTTTAATCATCAATAGTGTTGTAAATTCTAAACTTCTAACACTCTAAGTCCGATGCAACCCAGTAAAAAATCCAATAGCTCCAAAATTATCTCCTTTTTTAAGCTACTTTAAAGGTTTAAACTATTCTTTTGCGCCTGTTGATATGTCTATGTATATTTCAACACTACCTTTTTCAATGAAGTAAATACATCCTTCATCAGTTTCTCCTTCAAAATAAATAATCTCTTCTGGAGTACACCTAAATTCTTATTTCAATTAAAGCAAAATAGCTCAATAAAATTGGTTTTAAGTTCTTCAATTAATTTTACCTTTAATTAAGGGAACGGTTCTTTTTAAAATTTCTGGGGAAAAATTATCTCTAAACACAGGTGAATCACTCAGCACTAAATGGTTTGCTTCTATTATCAAAGTTTCTTTTAGTGAATCACTTAGCTGGTTGATAATCAAATTTTCTTTTTCTCCATCTTTGTTTGATTCTTCAGTCCAATAATAAAGTAAATACTCTCTAATTTCATACCTTAATTCATTGGAGATGTTTTTATTGTGCATGTATCGAGATATTGTTTGCAGATTCTTTTTGATTTCTTGTTAGTTTTTTCTTAGATCTTAGATAAGCGTTCCTATTTCATTAACTGAATACGCAAATACACCACAAGCTGTGGTCATAATAACAATACATGTTCCTATTTCGATATTTGTCATCTAAAAATTTTTATTATAATCATAAAAAAAATATCAAAAATAAAATCGCCATAATTTTATTTTATAAATCATAAAATATTTTGATTTTTTAATTATCTGAATTTTTTAATAAAATTAATTTGATTTGGTATTTTGGATTTCATTTAAGATTTTTAAAAATTTTCAAGTTTTGTATCAAGAAAATTTAATTACATTTAATAAATTATAAAATCATAAAATTAAAATTAAAGAATTTACTGGTGTAATATCTCCGTAACCAACAGTTATCATTGTTAAAGTGATAAAGTAATAAGAGTTAATGTACTATGTTGGCCAGTCTTAATTTTCAATACCACGTTTAACAAGCCAGTTTTAATCACTTTACGCTCTTCCAATTAGTAACCATAAGCAAGCAAAATAATGAGAAACGAGTAAGTGAACTATAAGTAGTTTAAATAGTTGCATATATGAACTGATTGAAGAAACAAGATGAAATTAATCTTATATTTTTCCTATTATAGAATACATCCTATTTAACTTGATTAAAAAGACTAAAAATATAAATCTCAATATAGTATAGTCAAATTAAACTATAAATAGATCGATAGTAATTGGTAAAATAGGTATTAAGTCTAGTAAGAACGATGTTTAAAGATATTTTAAAATTATAATTCTTCTATCTACAATTTGTTTACCTTATTCATAGTATGTTGTATTCATATTTACAAGAATATCAAATAGTAAAAGAAAATACATCAAATAGGCAAAAAAAGGATGTATAATATCATAAAATGCAATATTAAATGTGATATAAAGAGGCAAGAAGCCGTTAAATGCCATAATAACTATCATTTATAAAATATCCCAAATCAAACGGAATTTTCCACTAATAGAAAATAGTGGTATGCTCTTTAAAAACGTTATTATCATATTTTTATTTTTTTAAGCATCATATTAATTCATTAACTTAAGCTCTGATTAGTAAAATCCCTCTTCATTATTTCCTATTCTTTGCGATACCATTTCCAAATGATTACCTCCTTTATAATTGTCTATACTCCAAAAATCTTTTTTTTCATTTTGAAACTCTATCGTTTTATCACTTAACAAATTGTAATGCCACGAATTTAATACTTTCATCATTCTACTTGGCATAAACTTTCTCCATTATTTAAAATAATTTTTAGCTTTTAGCATCATCAATAAATCTTTAAATTTATTTCCCTCTTTTTTTTAACTATTAGCTTAGATATTTTACTCATTTTCTTCATCAACTTATTTCAATTCAATAATTTGATCTACTGCAAATCCTTATTTTGTTCCTTTTAGAGTTGCTAATGTGTTTTTATTTGACGTAATACGCCTCTTTACATGCGAATCTATCTTTTTAATCTTGTCACTGTTATCATTTATATTTGCAACAGTCTTTTAATTATCTGTAATCTGACTATTATCAAACATCTACTAAGTTTTTTTGAACGGATTGTTAATTATTGATATATTTTCTATATATGAAGGCGTATTTAAAATGTTAGAAGATGACATATTCTTGTTTAATTTTAAGGAAGTAAGCTACATTTTTTCAGCGCTTCTAACTATACTTAGATTTATAATTATACTTTTGTATCAAGCTTATTTGAATAAAATAGATTATTATTAATTGAATATGGCTTTGCTACTTAATTATAAGCTAATTGAATGATTAAAAATATTCAAAGTTTTCAATTTTTTAATGATTAAAAAATTCTTTTAACTTATATTTTTGTTAAGTGGTATAGATAAAAATATTTGCACTCATAATATAAGGATTGGATAGCATAAAAATTTAAGATTTATTTTATAATCTCATTATTTTATGAAAATTGTATTGTTTCTTAGTTAGCCATTAGATTTGGAGACTACTTACTATCTAATAGAACTATTTTTTTTTTTGCATATAAGGATAACCTATCAACCAACACAAACAATATTTTCTTTTCTTTTTTTAACTAATAAAAAAATATTCTTTTAAAAAATCAACTAATTAATCGAAATCATTCAAAGAAATTTTATCAGCCTACCCTAATTATTGATTGCTTAATAAAATTAACTTGAATAATCTATTATTCAAATCATAAATTAATCAAAGTAGATTTTCTTTCTATAATTTAAAATTAATCTATGCTAATTGATAAATAAAATAATTTACATAATTATAGCTTTCATAAAAAAAATAATTAAATGATTTGAGATTTTTAAGTGAAAATAATAAAAATAATAATAGAATATTTATTTATAAAGAATACTTTTATTTGAAAACAAAAGTAGTTAAATAAAAAAAAATATTTAATTATAATTAATTTTATATATGTATATATTAATATAGTTGTAAGTTGGTTGTTAAAGCTAGGCAGATTTGTAGATTTTTCAATTGGATTTATCACTTTAATTCTAGAGTTAATTGTCGATCTTTAATGAATTACTTTCTTCATTGTTTTTAGCATTGTTATAAACTGGAGCAGTCGAAACTCCTTCATAAACTAATTTTGGATATTTACTTTCTAGTTTCTTAACAATAATTTTGACGATATATTTTTCATAAATTATATTAATTAGGCTGTTTAAAATAATAAATCCTAATACTGCCCATCTCCATTTATAAACCATTTCTGTGATAATGGTAGTTCCATCTACATTGGTGAGTTATGGATATAACATAAAGAAATCAACTACATCATATTATTCAGTATAGAGCATATAGATACTTAAAGCTGTAATAAGGGTCAAATATGTTGTGAAATATCTATTTGTATAGAATGGTTTCTTATGCACAGAACCTAAAGAGAATGCAATTATACAAGTGATGTACTAAAAGTTAGAAATCCAATAAAGAACAGTATTATCAAAAGAGTTTTGCAATAAATCACTTGGACTCATTCCGCTTTCATTCTAAAAAGTGATTGGGTCAATATACCAAGACTATGTACTAGTTACAGCTACCACAATTATTTAAAAACATAACTAAACTATACCAAGACCAGTGATAGATATAACGTTTGGAGGAGAAAAGAGACGATGAGTAGGTTATTCAGTATTTAATTTGTCAGAAGCTTCAGTCAGACCAAGCAAGAAAGCAAGTGGGAAAATAATGAAAAGATCCCAATAAAGAAATTAGAAATCAGATGGAACAGAACCTCTTTGATACAGAATGGCTGTAGTGGTAACTTAAATCATACTGTAAAGTGCCATAAATTTGAAACACTGGAATGAAGTAGTCAAACAGCATCTTCCTTCACGGAGAGCATATTCTGCTGCACTTATATTTAAAATTTTACTTGTGAAAGAAGCAGCAATAGAGGCTTCAGCTTCTCCTAAAGAGATACCCATATCAGCATCCTTAAGAGCAGAGCAGTCATTAGCACCATCACCACACATACCAATAAATGTATATCCTTTTTTGTTTGCATATTTCTACATTAGTCTAATTAGGGTTTATTTTTAGTTTGGTTTCATTCTAGCATAAACCTTACACAAATAAAGAAGGGTACTTATTGTTTAAATTTTATTATTTTCTGCATTTTCATCGAAGAACTTTTCAAAGAAGTTACCTGTGATAACCAATTCTATATTTTTAGTTTATAAGATGGTATCTAAATTTTCGATTTCATTTGATACTCCATTTACTTCGCAGAGGATTCTGTGGTTACTATAATCAAGAATGTAAGTATTTAAGCTAGGATTTAGTAGTAAACATTATTTAGCTATGTTAAGAGAGGTAATAGGATTATCACCAGTGACCATGTGTATTTAAATTTTAGCTTCTTGGAGTTTTTAGATATTAGGGATTGTTTCTGGTTTTAATTTATTTTCAAAAATTAAATATCCGACATAATTTAGCCCTTGCTCGAGTTAATCCCTTGGAGAGCCGATACTATTGGCATCAATTTTTTTATAGCAAAGAGAAATAACACGATATCCTTACTGAGTGTAGCTCCTTAGCTTTTCAGTATATCCGTTCTCATTATTTCCTTAAGGAATAGATTAAGGATTTGAAATAGTTTTTAATCTTTCTGGTGCTCCTTTTGTTAATAAATAAGTTTCTCCTTGGTATCTGACAATAGTTGACATACGCTCAAACTCTGATTCGAACTAGAAACATTTTAAAACTTCAATTTTTTCATTTGAAGCACTATCATATATCTCTTAAATTACTCCATTTCCTTCCTTTTAAAGTTCCTCTTCAGTCTTATCTGAAATCTTCCATCCAGAATTGTTAAACATTTCTTAATCCAGTGGATCTCCAACTGATTAACCGTTAAAATTTTACAATGTATGGCATGCTCCTATTATTAATCTTTGAACTTTGCTAAGATCCTTTGCCTCACTTACTTCTTTGAATTATCCTTACTCATATGCTGAAACCATCTTAAATGACAGGAGATTTTCAGTTAAAGTTCCTGTCTTATCAAAGCATAATATTCTAACAATACCGCAAATGTTAATCTTTTAGTGATTAATACAGTAAATTTTACAACGAGCCAAACGTCTCATCGAAAAATTAATACCAAAAGAGAGGCATGTAGGAAGAGCTGGAGGGACACTAATGGTAATAAGATCAAAACAACGCAAAAGTACATCTGAAGACTCAATCATTCCGTCATCTAGTTTTTGCATAAATGTTTTCACTGAAGCTAAAAAGGAAATCAAAGCACATAATCCCATAATTAATATGAAAAACAGAGAATCTTTAGAGAACGATATTTAGGAATGCTTTTTAGGATACATGATAGATCTTATAAGGTTACCCCTTAATGTTTCGAATCCAAGTCTAAATGCTTAACATCTTAAATTAGAAGTTTGTAAAATAATACTACCGCTATAGATGATATTTTATTTTATTTCATGGAATTTTTCATTGTCCTGCTAAATAGGTGTCTTAACTATTGGAATACTTTCACCTGTAAGCATGGATTCATTAACTATTGCGCTACCTTGGGTTACTACTAAATCACAGCAAGCTACTTCTCCTTTTTTAAGTTCAATAATATCACCAAAAATAACTTCATTATTCAATATTTCTTTTTTTTCTCCGTTTCTTATTACTTCTACTTTATATCTTTAATAACTGAATTTTTTTAGTCTTAAAAAGTTGGTTCTTTCTTCAAAAATTCCAAACCAATAACCTAAAAATGCACAGCATAAGATAATATATGCGTAGTAAATGTACCCTTCGAAGAACCACAGTGTGCAAGAGCCGATTTAAAAGAAGTAAAATGGAGTAAATAGTTCCAGCATGCACATAACAAACAAACCTTAATCTGGGATATCAGTGCAATTCATTCCATTTTTTTCTTGAGAGACACTTATACGAGAAGCATCAACAACATTATTCTAAGGAAATTGAATAATTTCTGAATTTTTCATATCAAATACATTTTCAAAGAAAGGGATAAACATTTCATCTTAGTAGATATATCTTTAAAAACGATATTAAAAAATTTTACTATTTCTTCCTTTTATTTTGACGAATTTTAAAATTTTTAAATCATCATCAGGACCAAAAACGCAAACTCCTGTAGCTTCTTACTCATTTACTACTTTGAAAAATAGCATAAACCTCCAGATAGGTACCCAATGCAGAACGACTAAACCTAAACCACCAGTAATTAAATAGAACATAATTTCCATTACAAAAACGGTAACTGATTACTTTATGAAGTGAATAGATTATATCTGGCATTCTTCCTAGCAATTAGGATATAATGTAAACTTTACTCCCTTTTTAGGATACACTCTTTTTTAGTGTCCCATACCGATTTGAGTTGATTGTTGATTTATATCAACTACCTCAGCCATTTCTTTTAAGAGATTAATTATATATTTTCTACTTTCTAATTAAGAAATTTTTCAGTTTATATTTATTATAAACTTTTATGTTTTCAGTAAAATTTTTAAATGTACCTAAATCAGAACTATTTAAGTTAATCAAGTGATTAAACAGATGCAAGAATAATTTGGAATTTAAAAACAACATCGAATTAATTGTTCGAATCGAATTAATATTTCGCATCAAATGAAAAAATTGCTTCGGATTAATAAATAATAAACCACTTTTGTATTAAAAATAGAAAAATTAAACAAAAAATTTACTTTTCGTGCAACTTCCCTTTTTACGAGTTTACCCAAAAAAGGATTAACTCAAATCTAAATCTAAAAAAAGAAATATACAAAGAATAATATAAAAAAATAGCAGTTTTTAAAAATAAAATAAATGTCGATTTAAATGATTTAATTTTGGTATATTTATTTTTTAAATATTTTGCATTTTAAATTAAAATATAAGAATGAAAAATTAATAAAATCAATTTGTTCCTTTAGCACCAAAAGATATTTAAAAAGTATTATATTTGAAAAATCTATCTATAATTGTGAAGTTTCATACAACTTTAGACGTCAAATAGGTTGCTATATCAGATAATTTTATTATAATATACATAAAAAATTACGTATTAAGCAGAGATTAATTTTTTTTAAATATAAGCAAAAAAATAAATTAATGATTACAAATTTGATTAATAGTTAACTGATATTGATTTTAGCTGCATATTTTATGAGCTCAGTAAATTTTTAAGATGCGTAAAGTTTAAAACAAATTCATGCTTGCTTTGAAACTCAATAGCATCAATAGAGATATTATTATTATTGAAAAATTTTCAATTATATTTATGTTATAGAAAATGATCATTTAATAAACAAAATTGAAGTTAGTTTAAAAAAGAGGATTTTTCAATTCCGTTATTTTAAATTTGAGAGAAAATGGGAATTTTTTTTTTCTCTAAATCAAATATAATAAATAAACAAAAAATTTATTTAAATTTTGTTGTTTATAAAATAATTACTTGTGTGGTTAATATAGACAAACCTTCATTGCGTTGAGTAGGTCAAAAAGAGTTATTTTAGTAATTAAAAAGTTTTTTTAGACTGCTTATTAAAAATTTTAGATAGATAGATAAATATCAACAAATAAAAATTCAAATAAATAAAATAAGAAATATTAATAGATAAGTAGTTTGATATAAGATTTTCTGATAAATTTTATGAAAATAAAAATAATTTAAAGGCAAATTTTATAAATTTTTAGCATACGCTTTAATTTTTAAATGCTATGATTTTTAGTGTATGAGATAGTTTATCATTTTATTTCTAAAAGAGTAATTTACAATTATATTCTAAATAATCTGATTTAAAATATCCTTTCGTTTTTGAAGTAATAATAAAAAGTGATAGATACCTCGATATTTATATATTTCCTTAAATCCTCATTAACTAAGTACAGTACAAAGGCTGTTCTTCTTCATAAGCGATTTTATAAAAATTTTGTTTAAAAATTATTCTATTTTTTTTGTTTGTTTTAATTAATAACTAAATTTGGTATATAATAATTTTAATAAATTTTAAAAATTTATTTTATTGAATAAAATATTAGATAAAAATATTGAATAGCTTGATTTAGTTAATCAAATCAAGTAACTAAGTAGAGTATATCTCTTTATTTCAATTTATATCAAACTTTAATAATACTTACCTTTAAATCTTGTGTATTTGAATATACTTATCATTATTCTAAAAAGAAAAATGTTTTTAGAATGTTTTTTTGTTTAATATATCAAAGAATAATATTTTTTTTTCTTTTATTGATTTTTTTACTTCGAATTAATATGTTTAAAAAATATATTTTTGAATTTTATTGATTAAAAATATTTTTATTATTAATTTAAATAATATTTTTTAAGTAAAAATCATTTTTGACAGTTAATTTATGCAAAAATTTCATTCAATTATCTATGAATTTTTTAAGTTAGTTCATGAAAACACCTCCAAAACATTACAATAAAGGAATAGAAATAAATTTAAACAATACTTATTTATTTATTGAACTTTTAAACTATTTTATTGATACAGAAAATAAATTAAAAAAAAATAATTATAAATGATATAAAAAATAAGTCATATTAGTTTGTATCATAAGTTATTTAATAAAAATAGGTAGAAATATGAATAAATTTAAGTCAGCATTTAAAATAATTACTTTTGCAATTTTAATAATATACAATAATTAAGATAAACGCTTATCAAAGAGAGAGAAAAACAATATTCAATCAAAAAAAGAGAAAGAAAGCAAGAGTTTTAATTAGAATAGATTATTTAATCTCTTTTTTACATATAGTATTCGAATAATTTCAATTTAAGAAGTAAATTTCTACGTAACATAAATATAAAATATAAAAGGTTTAAGATAAAACTTACTGGATTAGCTTTAACCAACCAGAGACGCATATTTATTTCTTGTTAATAAAAGAATACCCATATAGAGTAAGGTTAAAATATTTTTTTATTTACTTAATTATCTAATTTTAAACTAACAGGTAGTCATTAATACTGAATCTTACTTACTAACTAAGGAAATTTCAATAGTAATTAATAAAAGTCTATAAACTAGAAATAAATGGGTAACTGCACTGAAATGTTTAATAAAAAGAAGAGTATATTTTATTTTTAAGATTTGAACATATAATCTTGTATCACTTATGCCATATTAATTTGTTTTAGAACAATAACTGATTTATTATTTTTCAGCTTTATAAACTAATTAATTATGACTGGTTCATAAGATATGTTTTTATGATTGGCAAAATAAATGAGTTATTTTCTATTGGTTTATGTATTTTTTATTTTATATAGATCATAATTAGAGTCGTATATGTCCTACTTGCAATTAAAATATACCTGGAACGAATGACTTTAATTAGCATTTTGCTTAGTGCTAACGAAACAGAAATCCAATACAACAACATGCACCTAATTAGAACAACAATCGTAATCTTAATCACAGTGTTAGTAATAATAATGACTCTATTTAATAAGAAGGACAAAATTAATTCCCAAATCCCTCCTTAATAAATAACAACCCTAACTAACGCCCTTCGAACTAACCTCAAAATACAAATACGCACTAACATCACTAAAATCGTGGGCTGAGATAAAATTTTGTGTGGACAAAAGTTTACGATGAAAAAGATAAAACAAAATATACTTGGAAACAAGTTGAAGTAGGGTTGATTGTAGAACAAGAGCTCATAAAGTAGTTATCAAACACAGATATTAAAAATTTTTCATTTGAAGAGAAACAGGTAGCATTTTTTATGAATAAAAGATTCTGTATGATAAATTTAATAAATATAAAATCTACTTTAATACTCCAATTATTTAAATAGCGATCTCTCTTTTTACTATATGATAAATAAACTTTAACTTTAAAATTAATTTATATTCAAAACGAATTATTATTGTTGTTGTTAATTGTAATCCAACTACAAAATGATTGAAACGTATTTTATTTTAAATCTTTATTAGATATGGTTTAGATATAAGCTAGAGCAGCTAAGAATACCTTGGACTGAAGGCGCTCATTGGTAAATTGGTTTATGGAGTAAAACACCATTTTGAAGAATATTAATAAACTAGGATGGAGATTCATACAGATAATGTACTTCTTACAAGCTTAACTGCAATAGATTTAGTTGATCTTCATAAAGAAGTCAAAATAAGTATTAATGGAGATAAAGTCTAAGATGCAGGAGGTCTACTAAGAGAATGGATTCACATGATTACAAAAGAAATATTTGATAAAAATACAGGTAAGATTTACTTGAATCATACAAATAAAACTTAATATGAATAAATAATTTAACAAGGACTTTTTAGCCTTGCAGATTCAGAAGAAATCACATATAAAATAAACTAAGATGCAGATAAGTGTGATCATATTATGAATTGCTTTCGACTATTTGGAAAAGTTTTAGGAAAAGCTATATTTGAAAGAATTCCTCTAGAAGCATATGTAGATAAAACATTAGTAAAATAATTACTTGGCCAGCCAGTGACTCTCGATGATATCTATTCGTATGACCAATAAGTAAGATTAAAGTTTAAGTTCAAATTTATAAACAAAATCATTTATAAAAAAACCGTTTTAAAATTCTTTCCACATTCAAAAAGCTAAAATAAATGAAAAAATGAATAACCAAAAGGCTTCCCATAATTATTGTTTTAAAAAAAATAATTTTAGCAATTTTATTTTAAAAAAAGAGAGAAAATCATTTTTGGGATTTGAAAAATTATTTTTTTTTGGTTTTTAAGCCTAAAACTAATAAATTTGTATTTAAAATTAATATTTTTGAATTAAAATTATTAAATTTTATAAAATAAGCTTTATAAATCATGGCTGTACATTAAAAATAATAAATTGAAAGAGGATGACTTTATAGGTTATATGAGCTTTTCTAGAAAGACACCTTAAGGAATGATTGAGATAGATTTGATTGAAAATGGGTAATAAGTAGAAATAAATGAAAAGAATAAACAACAATATATAGATTTATGTATATAATATATTAGCTATAAATCAGTCAAAGATTTTATTGAAAATATTTAAGCAGGATTATATTCAGTATTCGTTTTTTTAAATTTAAATTTTTCTATAAAATAAATGTAATAAATAGGTCGTACCAAAGCATCTATTAGAGATTTTTGATGCTAATGAGTTTGAAATGATTTTGAACGGTCTTCCATTTATAAATGTAGAAGACTGGGAGCAAAATTCAATCTATAAGAATGGATACACAAAAACCCATCATTTAATTCAAGAGTTTTGGAGAATTCTAAGGTCTTTTGATTAGTAAAAACTTGAAAAATTCTTACACTTTTGTACTGGTTCTAGCAGGACTTCTGTTGAGGGATTTAAGTAATTAACTAATTTAAATTAATATATGTTTTTTAAATAAAATAAATAATAATATTAGAAAATTAGAGTCAAATAGAGGCAATTATGCAAAATTTTGTATTGAATAAGTTAAGTATGATTAAAGCAATCCATATCCTAAAGCTCATACATGCTTTAATAGACTAGAACTTCCTTTGTAAGATTAAAATTTTTATTTCGAAGCTAAATATCCTAATAATTATATTTTATAAAATAGATATCCAACAAAAGAATTATTAAATAAATATTTGTAAATAATTGTAAATAATGATTTAGATGGTATATTTGGTATGGAGTAAACGGCTTGCCTTAATCATATTAAGGGATGATACACTATTTTCAATGGAAGATATGTATCTCAAAGCTTAATTATTATTATTATTTTCTTCTTCTCTACTTTTTATTATTTTTCATTTATTATTATTATTTTTTCTTATTTATTGATTACTTATTACTTTTTTACTTACTTATTTACTATTTTCCTATTAAAATATTTAAATTTTATTTTTGATTCAAATTTTATCATAAAAATTTAATGGTAAATTTATTTTAAATAACAACAAATATTCACTAATAGGTCGAATAATTTATTGATTCTTTTATTTTGAGAGTAATTTTTAATACTTTCAAAAATTTAAGAAATACTTTAAGATTTATTTTGTTAAATTTTTTAATAATTTATAATATAAATTTTGCTTACTTTGAAACTAAATATTTTATGTTTCTTTTTTACATCCAAGTGAAAAGGAAGATACATAACATCCAAAAAATTTTCTATAAAATGTATTGAATAAAAAAATATAAAACTATGCATGTCAGAGGATAAATTTTTATTTAATCTACAAAATTAAATATTAGTTTATTTTTTATTATTGTCTTATTTAATTTTAACAATTTTTTAATCCAATTTTTTTTAATTATTCAAAGATAAACAATTTTTAACTTATACCAAAACAAAATATTAAAATAGACTTTTTATTATCATTCGATTAAATAAATTTTTAGAATTGGTTGTAAAATTTAGAATAAATTTAATATATTTATGGCTAAAATACAAATTAATTTAATTTATAATTTTGTTTTTAGATATATCATTTTAAAATTAAAATCAATAATTTTATTTTAAATTATAAAGAAATTACAGTATTTACCAGCCACTATTTTTTCTATGTCAATAGATATTATTCATTCAGAGAGTTATTATTATCATCATTATTTTTTACAAACCAAACAGAAATTTAGTTAAAAACAATAATTAAATTAAAAAGTAAATAATCTATAGAAAACTATTAAAAATGAATTAAAATTCAAGAGATAAGTATTTATCTTTTATGAAATCTTCTGCTGAAGATTAGTACTAAAAGGAACAACAATAATTAAAAATAAAATAACAGTAAAAATAAAAAATTATAAACCATAGAAATGTAGTAATTTTTGGTACAGACGATTAGAAAAAATAGGTTGAGAAGAACCTAAAGAATTAGATTTAGCTATAGTGTGAAATCAAAAGACAAATTGAATCAAAAGATAAAGAGGAATAGCGTAAAAATACAGGAATCGATAGCATTACAAATATGCAAAGAGAAAATTATATAGATAACCAGTATAGAAATCAGATGTTGAAATAAATTCAGAGAGAAAATAAGATTCTCGCTTAGGAAAAGCAAATTAAACAATAAAATGAAAAAAGAGAAAATTAGATGTACAATTAAGATAGATTTTTAGATTACTCAAAAAGAAATTAATATTTCTTTTGATTACATTATTTATTTAAGCAATTTAGAATAATATTATCTAAATTTAATTTTTTATTCCAAGATAAATGAAAATTATTTTATCTTTTTTATCTTTCAAGCATATTTATAGTATCCAGTAATCAATCAATCAATCTTTTTATATTGTTATCAACTTTTAAAATTTATTTTGTTTATTTTTGATTTGCTTTATGATATTTCTTTCCTTTGGATTAAGAAAAACACTATTTTTGTTTTTTAAATGTGTGATTTGTTTAAACATGCTAAAAATCTTAGCTGAAAAAAGGAGTTATTTATTTATTTCTCTATCTTTATTTTTTTGATATTTTTACATTTAATTTACATTGGTTTTAAATGAAAGTATCATTTTTCTATCAATAAATGAAATTTTGAATGTTAGTAAATTCCTAACTAAAATAGGTAGAATTTCTTCTCTTAATTCTGTTTTAATTTTTCTGATTGCTAGAATCGTTTGTTTGCTTGTGAGGCAGAAAATGGTTCTTAATAAAAATATATTTATTATAAAATAACTAAATAAATACTGATGGTATTATTGATTTTTATTTATTTATTTACTTGTTTTTTAGGAAACTAAATAGTCTTTTTTGAAAGTATACATTTACTTAAAGTTGACTCGAATTAAGGAATGAGTTACAAAGTGAATAATATATATTAATTGACAATCTTTAATAATAATTATAATTTATTTATCCAAATTTTATTTGGGGTTAAACATTTTTAGAGTTGAGGTCTTACTAATTTCTTTCACCTAAAAATTAAAAAGAATTATTTTAATATTTATCCATAATTAATATTAAATATATTTATTACTAAGATTCTTGCTTTAAGTTGTACTCCTTAATTTGAGTGCTGAAAGTACTTTGAATTTCAGCAAGTACTTTTTCATCTTCCTTAGTTGAGATGAAAGAAATAGCTTAACCTTTGGTCTCGAAACGACCAGCTCTACCGACTCTGTGCATGTAGTCTTCAGTAATTTATGGCATATCAAAGTTGATAACGAGGTTGACTCTTTCAATATCAATACCTCTTCCGACTAAGTCAGTAGCAACTAAAACTCTATTCTTGCCTTCTTTGAATTCAGAGTATATTTTTGTACTATAATTAGAAAAGTTTTGTTTAGAATAAAGCTAAAGAAAACTTAGTTAATAAGCATAAAGAAATATATATATTTACCGTTCGCTTTAGTCGAGGTTACGATAAATGAAGGCATTGTCGTGGCCTTTATCGGTGAGATACTTTGAAAGATATTTAGCTCTGTCTTACTTGTTGACAAAAATAATAACTTGGTTGTAGTTACCTTAATCAAGGAGTTAACGCAAAACTGAGATTTTCTACTTTTCTTCAATTTTAATGTGATATTATTCCAAACCGTGCAAAACAAGCTTTGAATTATCTTCAACGAAGATTTCAATTTACTTTTGTTAATTTTTGTTTGTTTATTATTATTATTTCACTTAATCAATTAGTTTTTAAATATTTTTTGATTAATCATGATAGATTAATTAATGCAAATAATTAAATTTAGAAAGAAAAAGCTTGGGGAAAATTTTTATTTGTTTTTTTTTTGATGTTTAAAAGTTAGAAGAAGGAGGCAAAAAGTAGGAAAAATTAAGAATAAATAAATAGTAAAGAAGAGTCCTATTATATATAATTCGTATTTATTAATTACATCTTGCAAGAATTTACGGCAGGTTTTTTTACTTTCATCTGACATGGTACCACTAAACATCATAACTTATTTCTTTCTAGGAAGTTCGTAGAAGATATTTTGAACATCAGATCTTTATTTATTATTTTAAGTAAAGGATTTTCAATACAAGCTTGATCCAGTTAAATTTTTAAATTTTTAATCGAGATATAAAGCAAATAGAATGGTTATTGATAAATTTTATTCTGATTTTACCTCATTTTGTTGCTGCTCAAAACACGATCGCATTCATCGATAATGAAATATTCTATATTTTGAGTTTCAATAACAGAAGGCTTAGCCTTGATTAAAGAAAGGCAACGACCAGGAGTAGCAACGAGGATATGGGGCTTCTTAGTTTTGAGGGTATGGATGTCAACAGATTCTTCAACACCTCCATAAACAGCCTTAACCTTGAAGTTGGTGAATTTACCAAGACGCTTGAATTCGTTCTTAATTTGGAAAGCTAATTCTCTAGTGTGGCACAAAACTAAACAACTGAAAGGCTTAGCATCGTCGGGTAATTGATTGAGCACTGACAAGACAAACACAGCAGTCTTTCCAGTACCGGCCTTAGCTTGGCACAAGACGTCTTTACCATGGATTCTATTTTTTATATACAATCAGAGTTTTTTACATGTATTTTCAAGGAGGGTTAAGGTAAGTTTTTAAGTAGATTTTTGATAATTAAGTGGTTGAGTTAGAAGAGGACGGATGATGTTATAATGAACATTAAATTTAATAATTTTTAGTCTCTAAAATGATGAGGTTATTTATACTATTTTGTAGTAAAAACCATTAAATCCATTTATTTATTTATTTTATAACAATAAGCTTTTAAAGACCGATTGTATGTATTTATTTTATTTATTTATGTATGTATTTATGTATTTATGTTTTTGTGGATTTATATCAATAGTAAAGTAACTAATAAATATTTTAAGCTCTAGCTAAGAGACTATAATTCTAATCTATCGTCTTTTATATAACATAATCTTCTTCTCTCTTTCTCTCTCACACATTTTCTTATTATATCTAATCTCTCTCTCGCGATTCCTTCTTCTTCGTCAGTAACCATAATATATTTGTTTGCGCAATATATTATACAACGACTCAGGGGAGGATGTCGGAAGAAAAGAAGTATAATGGCAAGGTTTTGAGTTTGCCATTATATTTTTAGTAGTTTTAAGTAAAGTTGAAGTAGTCTTACGCATTGGGGATACATTAGTGTTGAACTATTTTTTTATATAAAAATATTTTAAGATTTATTCTTTTATTGATTACATTTTCATATAATTAATGAGTAAAAGAGTTCGACCAATCAAACAGATTTTGCCAGCATTCGAAAAAAATATATGATTGCAATCAAATGTTAATAAATGCAACTAAATAAAAGTCTTTATTACCTTCAGATGGTCTTTCAAAACCAGCTTCTTTGACACTTCTAAGTAAATCTTACTTCAATGAAAAGTCATTAAATGAGGAGTGACCGCCAGTGCTATATTTTTAAATAGACAATAATTATTTAAAAATATAATATATAAGTAAAATGCAATAATTTGTTGATAAAAGTATTATTTTCTTATAATAGTTAATTACTTGAAACCTTAGGCATGCTTCTAAACAGGAGCAGTTGAGTTAGCTTCAATTTCATCATCGGGATCGTAGATAGGGACTTCTTCTTCTTGGTTGCTCATTGTATATATTCTTTTTTATGCTTTTTCTTTTTGAAAGATCTTTAATTTGATTTATTATTTAGATACAATCAATTATTGCTTTTTTAAAAATTTTTATTTATTTGAAATGACTTTAATTATAATTATTCATTATTTTTTAAAATCCTTTCATCTATTAATTTATTTATTTATCTATCTATCAATCAAGCTATCTATATATCTTCTTTGTCTTCTTATCAAAACACTCGTTCACCCTATTCTTTATCTCTAAATCCATTCAATTCAATTGCAAAAATGCATAACTTTTATACACTTCTATATATATTTTTATTTTTGCAGCAATTATTATTGTTATTAAAGAAACATCAGTGTCTCCCAAAAGGCTTATCTATTATAAATAAATAAATCTTAAAATACCTACATTTTTTGTAAAATAACATAATTAAAAAATAAATCAAAAATACATTCGATAGATTTAATTAGTATACGATAAAAAAAAAAAAGAAACTCATTTGTGATATGGATATAGAAGAAAAGTAAATTACCTTCTAAAGCGAAGAAGGATAGCAATTTAAAATTGATTACTAAGCGATGTTTTAGTTTTCTAAATTTATTTAGGATTAGCCTGATTTAAACTTAAATGGTAACATATTAGCTTTTCTAAATTTCTAAATAAGTGTATGATATAGAATTAAAAATTAATATAAAAACAGAACCTATAAAATGTGCAATAAGTACTCCTATTCTAGAGTTGATAATATAATTTGTAAATGATAGAAAAACTAATTATCAACCTAAGACTATACCAAAGCCTATACTTTCTGGAAATATTTCTTTATACATTAATGAAATAGATTATTTATTCTTAAAGAACATAAAATCTGAAAAGGATTTATACCAATTACTAAAAGTAAATTAATTGAGTCGATATCAAGAAATAGAATTTTGTTTTAAAATTTTCAAGGCTGGTGAATATTTTTATATGGACACATTATTAGAACTCATTTATGCTTTCACCGCTTCATAGTTTATAGGTATTAATTCTATAAATAGCTTAATTTGCTCATATTTATTTTAAAATAGATAAAACAAACATTGAGTTAAGAGAAAAATATGGAATTTAGGAACCAATGACAGAAACAATAGAAAAAGAGTTGAAAGATAAATATTCAGATATTTTATAAGGTACACCTTTTGAAGAGTGATATTGATATAAAACAATAAAAATTATAATAGTAGTAATTTTAAATTTTCGAAGTAAAACAATATATAACTATTTATATGTATGATTAGCAAAAGCTTAAAAAAATATGATAAATTTATTTATAATTCAAATAAAATATAATAAATCAATAAATGAACTTTTTATACTATTATATTTTTAATATGAATTTCAGAAAGTTAGTTTTATTTTAATAGGTTTCAGTCTCTATTTTTATTTCA